GCTTCCCGGTACTTTGGGCTCCCGTGCTTGGGGCACCAGTACTTTGCTTCCCGGTACTTTGGGCTCCTGTGCTTGGAGCAGCGGTGCTCTGCTTCCCCGTACTTTGTGCTCCCGTGCTTGGGGCACCAGTACTTTGCTTCCCGGTACTTTGTGCTCCCGTGCTTGGGGCACCAGTACTTTGCTTCCCGGTACTTTGGGCTCCCGTGCTTGGGGCACCAGTACTTTGCTTCCCGGTACTTTGGGCTCCAGTGCTTGGGGCAGCGGTGCTCTGCTTCCCCGTACTTTGTGCTGGGGCGCCGGTGCTTGGCTTACCAGTGCTGACCTGAGGTTGTCCAGTACTTGGCTTTCCTGTGCTGACTTGAGCTTGGCCAGTACTGACTTTGGCCTGTGTCTGTTGAGCAGCCTGGGTTTGTGGATTGCCAGTGCTGACCTTGGCCTGAGTCTGCTGTGCGGCCTGGGTTTGCTGTGCGGCCTGGGTCTGTTGTGCGGCCTGGGTCTGCTGGGCAGCCTGGGTCTGCTGGGCAGCCTGGGTCTGGGCTGCTGCTGGAGCGTTAGTGGTAGCGGCCTGGCGTCTTACCTTTTCCTTCTTTCCCCGAACGTTATGAGCAATTGATTGCGCAGAATGTTCAACAGTCTTCACCCTTGAATATTGATTAAGAATTGATGTAGTACCATGAGGAACACCATATCCCAAAGCACCTGGTGCGGCATCGACTGGGCGAACGAGGGGACCCAGCCCGACAAGGGCGAATATCAACAAAAGAACGTACAACATACTTGCAATGGCAAACTTGTAACGAAGGGTAGCTCGGAATAGGAGCACTTGATGTGAAGATTGACAAGATGTTCATGGACCTGTGAGAGATATTATCAATACCTCCGGATGAGGGGCGTGAACGTCCACCATCTTCCTCACTTGGTCAGTGCCCAGCTCCTCAAGATGATTTGAAGAGGCGTGGTATATTCGAGAGGGTCTGTTGGTCACAGCGTTGGACTCGAGACCTTCCGGAATCCTCACTCAGTCCTGTGGACCTTCCTCCTCTGGTGGATCGAAGGCGAGCTGAAGATGGCGCCATGAGACAAATCGATAGTCCCAACCAAGTCGTATGTAGTTCATGACCAGGGTATTTGTCCGGAGTGAATTTAGACTAAACGATTAGCTTGAAGAAATCCTCTCGGTGTATCTGTGGAGGCAAACCCAATGGTCGAGATCCACAGAAGGTGTATACACTGGCCAGGGTCAAGGTGTTAGAGTGAAACTTTGTAAATGTCAATAGGATGAGAGTTGCTTCCCGAGTAGCAGGCCCACGGGATGGTGTCCACACCGCGAGCAGGGATTTCGTAAAAAAGCGTGCAACCCGGACAAGAGACCTGAGCAGGCTCGAGTGATAGAGTTTGAAGCCTAGTTTGTGATCCGAGGAAGAGGCACAGTGGCCATGGCGTCCATTCTGATAGAGCTTCCACTCTCCCGCAAGAGGTGCGTGTTCTTCCGAACAATGACCCATGTCCATGGTCGTGGAACAAGTTGACCCTTTGAATAAAGCATCTCCTAATATGACGTGGTTACCATTACACGGACACCTCAAAACTGCTTGGCGAGCAAAAGGTATCTGAGCAAGTGCCGCAAACAAAGAATTATCTTTTGCATACACCTACCATTTCTGTCGTATGGGGGACGGAAGCATTGAGCGCGGGTGATATTAGTCACGTGAAAAAGGGCTCAAGGCTCCGTTTAGTCTGCCGCCAGATCCAGAATCGTCATAAAGTTCGAAAGTGGAGACGAAATTCCAGGCTTGCGATTTGGCACGATTGAAGGCAATGGACCCGAACTAGAGCTGAGGGTGTCTTGCCAGATCCCCGGCAAAGGTAACATGGGAGAAAAGCACAGACATTTGAAGATCCCTGTAGCCACGAGGTGGCGGCATGACTGAGTGCCAAGGTGTTTCCGCGCGCGGTCATACTGTTGACAGAGTCAGGGCTTCAGCAGTTGAAAGAGAAGTTTCAGCAGAAGTCCATTGTTGCATAAAGATGGCTTGAGCTATACTTGATGATTCTCGCGTTTATGCAGGAGTGGTATTGACGCCTCCCCACATTGAGCGTTGAAAATGCAAACACCACGATCGAGGCTATCTGTACAACATAATCGCCGACAGCAATGACAGCACTGTCAAGATCTCGCTTGATCAGGTCCCGATTTGCAATCAGACAGCTAAGCGAACGAAAGGTGATCCGAGCTCAGATGTATCCGTGGTGAGCCGCCAATAGTCGTAATTTTCAGCGTAAGCTTGGCGAAACTTCCACTTTGGGAACCTGCGGCATCTGCGAACTCTATAATTGCGAGGAGACATAAAATGCGAAACCCAGCAACTTGGTTGCTTACACGTGTGAGGCATATGTAGGACTGCAAAGACCAGTAGCGGGTCTGTGTCAAGGTCCCGTATCTTGTGGGAAGTATGAGGGCTTCTGACCAGTTTTGATCATGGTATGGAACAAGCACGACAGTTGCGAGGCTTGTCGCTATTGGGTTTGACTCGAACGCCAAAGACATAGCTGAACACCCATTATTGCAAGCCCTGTCTTCTTCTAGGGCACCAAGTAGCCGAGAGTCTTTGGCGAGTCCTGAAAAGCAGAATCAGTCAGACATGCGTCGGCATTTCGACACTTGAAATGACCGAAGCACTCGCATCGGAACACGTCGACCGAAACACCGGAATGGATCTCAGGACATGATTCAGGTATGGCTGCACGAGCCTACGTAAGATCGTCGAAGAGAGGATTTTCCCTTCGCGCATAAAGTCTCCTCTTTCCCAGCAGTGACCTTAGCACAGACACTTTCCAGCTGGATGGTTGAGGTGCACAGGTAAAGTGTCAACCACGTTTTTCTCTCGCTCTCACTCTCCCTCTGGTCAAAGCACTGACTGCGACACATTGTTTCATCCCTGGACAAGGGGAGACTTCCTGATCCTTAGGGTCGGGTCAACAGCTGTCCGACGACGAAGTCAATTGGAACACCCCATCGGGTTACATAAGTTGCTCCGTGCAGGATGCTATTTCCACAACCAAAGCGCTGGATCCGGTGCCGATGTTCCGTCGGCGCCAGAATTAGCATCGACCCTGCATCGGAAAGTCATCCAGTCTGTTGGCAATCTTCACACGCAGGCACGATGTTGAGAATCGAAAATACATTGCACAAAGTGCTGAGATAATGCCTCCGATGGTAGAACGCTCCTTATTCCCTTGAGGGGACGAATGGATATGGCAAAGATGAACTGCCCACCAAGCTGCAGTGACCAGCGGGTGTGGAGAAGGCCATGATGGCTAGGTTCAGGGCTTCCAAGCGGACCAGAGCTCTGGAAGATGCTCACTTCCTCAGATGACTTCATTGGTAGGTGGACGTGCACTGCTGGGCGTCAAGAAGCACGACGTCATATTGGGAATGACGTTAGATGGAAGGATCGGTAGAAGGATCGATGGAAGAATGATCTCGGACGAGCGTCTTGCAGGCTGAGTACCCACCGGTGCACTGTCAATGTTCGTAGGGGACGTGCATCGGCGAGGGTCACATTGAAGATGGACGTGGTTGATGTGGTTGACGTGTGGTGGATTTAGAGTTGCTTCGGTGGACTTTTCAGTTATGAGATGCAGATTACAAACGTGTACCTGCGTGAACCAAAGTTGGGATTAACAGCCACAGCGCGATGCGTCATTCAACGTGTTCCTTGCTGATGGCCTCATGATGATGGCCAAAATTCCATTGGCAAATGTCTACAAGTTATTGACGGAGAGAATGTCTTTTTATGCTGGAATCTGAAATGTCTTTCGATTAACTCCTACCCCAAAAATCTAAATCTCGCGGACGATCACTGATTATATCACGATTGACGCCCTCCCTATCGAATCCCCCACCTGGACTATGACAAAACCGCAGCCTCAATGTCTTTAGCTCGGTCGATGATCATGCTGAGCACTCCTTTCTCGGCTTTCGTAAATTCAAACTTCAGCCCCGGATAAGTCGTCAAGCAGCATTGATTGTCCTGCTGTAGCTGCCATGCATCCTCACCAACCCAGTTGTGCGGCTCTACCACATAATCCTCAAATACTGCGAATTGCTTGTGTGACTTGTCGGCAAATTTATTGTCGAGGACCCAACCGTTGAACCAGAGGGGTTTGCCGTTGGTGTCCAGGTGAAGCAATTGTGGTGCGCAGATGGTGAAATTGTCGTTTGATGGCCCATCGTGGCCCTGGTGGTGTTGATCTCTCTGTTGATCTCCTGTATGATCTTCTTCTGACGAGGTCTCAACTTCAATGTCAACGTGATGGGTTTGATTAACAACGCCCATAGTCCCTGCATCCCCCTTGTGGAATGCGTATTTGAAATCGCCACTAAGTTCCCAACCTAACCAGAAGGTTTCTTTATCGCCTAAAGATCGTGAGTGATAGCCCTTTCAAATTTGAGAGAGCAACTTACCATATACCATGTCGTATACCCCGACGATCCCTTGGTCTTCATCGCCATCACGGTCAGGGCCATTCATTCTTGTCACCAACAGCATGGAGAGAAAGTGCTTCCATTTGTCGACAACAACAACACCTGACTCTTGCATGTGTGCGCTCTCGCCGGTCCAGAATCGGTTCTGTTTCACCTGTGGTGAGAACGGCTTGGGTAGCACTTGCTGCACCCATCGCTTCTTGGACTCGGGCATCATCAGCCGGTCTTTGAAGAAAAGAGCCCCGGTTTTTTGATACTCTAGATCGTCGAAAAGCACCGCTGGGTCTTGGAAAAATGCACTGTCGGCGTCGATGAATATGACTTCCCGGAAACTGGAAAAAAGAATCGCAAACGCTTTGATGGCCCACCCTGCCAGCTTCCAACCTTCGTCATTTACCATTTGAGATACATCTCGAGTGACAACACCCTCAATAGCCTCTAGCTCTGCACGATAGTCTTCTGAAAGGTCCGAGTCGCCGAGATACATCACCTCAATGGGTAAGGTGCAGCCAAGCTTTCCTATGGTTTTTGTCAATTACTTGTCCTCGCTTATTTCAGAGCACTTACGGAATGAGTAAATGGTCGTCATCAGAAAGTGGGCTTGGTCATCACCTGCTGTCAAAACTATCCCTCGTTGTGCGTTCTTGAATTGGAGATGTAACGACATATGGTCGGGAAAGAACGGTGATGTATAGGGAAACAACAGCTGCCCGAACTTCGCCAAAAAGTGCCTGTAAGTTTCGTAAGTCCTGATGATTTGCCCGGTTGTCATTGATGAAAAAATCCCAGCCCCTTGGGTCGCGAGGCCAGGGCTTTCTCTCAGTCTAGTCAAATATTGCACTATATCATTTCTGACATATGATGTTCCATCAGGATCTGACACAATATGCAAGTCTTCCCAGATCTGGAAGAACTCTCCGTAGGATCGAGTACGGAGACCCATCTCGTGAAGTTTTTCCTTTCCTGTCCCTTCGACTGGCCTAAGGAGATCACGCATATGCATCTCACCCGGCAGGCTTGTGACCACACGACTCAGTGCAGCCTCCATCTCGGGCTGGCGCTGGAATGGCAAAGATCCGAGTTGCTGTTGTTTGGCCAAGGATCGTGTTTCGACTCGCGCATGCTGACCAATTATCGAGAAATCCTTGGGATGCAAGTTTGCATTGGAGGATACTTTATTGTCGCCATCTGGTTTTCTCAATGCTGTGACTATCCTCGACGTCGGTGTCTGGTTGTCCGGTGCCCCAACCTTCAATGGCACAGCAAGGACGACGCTGGTCTCTTTCCACTCGCTCTCTGGAATATCTGTCCTCTTGGGGTATGTCTTCAGGTCTTTCGAATACCGCCGCGTTTCAGATCCCGAAGGTGACGTTCCTCCCAGAGCATGCCACAGGAAGAAGGTGCCGACGAGTACAACGGTGAAGATTAGCAGCCTTCTTTTACAGATTATTCGGCGATAACGCTTGTGGTCAAGACCCGATAACCCTGGATGCATTCTTCCTTCCTTGGGCGGATTCTGCATAATGCTCATGAAGTTGAACACTTTGTTGGGCACCGGCAGATTTCTCGAAGTAGGACGAGGCTGAGATGGAGTACTTCTCTTTTTGCATGAAGATCACTCTCCAAATTGTGGATCTACCTCTTGTAAACAGAAGATCATCAGGGCAAATTAGCTAAGTTTGCCATTATAGGAACAGGAATCGAATTCCTTTCTTTCTGTCAGACAACAGTAAAATCGCCCATCCGAGGTGGTCTCTGCGGTTTCCAATAGTTCAGCCGCATTGACCACCACGGCTTGAAAGCTCTCATCTCCTAAACCCTAACCCTAGCACAGACCACCAGGTACAAACAATCCGGATTCAGCACGGGCCACGAACAGCCAAAGACAGAAATGTAACTCAAAATTTCATTTTATGCCATTTTGCCATCCACGGATACGTGCGAGATGAAAGACAAGCTTGTTGAGTGAAGTCATTTGCCCTGAATACAGAGCTGACCACTCAAGCATGGACGTCAAACCAGAGGTTACCGGCACTCTGTTCACCATCACGTCATTTACCCTGGAGCTGGTGACGCTCAGACTAATCCCGAGGGCTCGGAATGCCACGTCTCTGGGTCTGAAAAAACGTGGCATTCCAAGAGTGGTTTTGCTGTGAGCTCAGGCCTGTTCAAACATGATGCCACCGAAGCTTTCGACGGCCACAGAGCTGCGATGCTGGGCCAGGGTTTTCCAGGTCCTTGGCCCGTGTCTGCTGGCTCCGCGACTTTCCTAGACGGGCATGCGAAGATTTACTCGCTTCTACGATCTATTCAACTTCGTGGCCTAGAAGCGGGGCACTTTAGTCTCCATGACCGGGCTTATCACCGTATTGCATCAAACTTATCAGATTTATCCGGGTAGGCAACTCAGACCCGCTGGTATCGAAAGATACACCGATACCAAAGCCTCTTTTTGACTCAGAATAGAGTTTGATAGAGGCTTCAAGCATTATCAAGACTGCGGACTTCGCTGCATGAACCTTGCTGTTACTGTATGCAAAAGTCGAAGACCGAGCCTGGCCAAAGTCGACGGATTTGCTCATTGGTTCCGCTATACCCTTGTCGGAGGCGTCGAGAAGGAAGAGCTGAAGGCAGAACGCTGCTGATGCTGATCTAGACCTCACCATGACAATAGTTGGTGGGTCATGATCAAGGCGAAATACCGTCACGACCACACTATTACAACTGTTCTGTAAGACTCAGAACACTCTGCGAGTCGATGCTCCTGGGGCAGAGTTAGCCAGGAAGATCACCCGTGAAAGCCCATTGCTCCATCATTGGCGAGGTCTTGGGTGTTTCCACGGTCCAGCCAACTAAATCGTTAGGCTCCATTCGATATTCACGGTTACCACAGTACTTGTATGCATGCCTTGGATGCACGAGTACGGCCAGAAGCTTGACGATTCTTCTTCCACCACATTAAACAAGAGCAAACATTCTGATTGTTTAGAATACGCAAAGTATTCTACGAACCAACAGTATTTTCTCAAGTTCGAAAACTATATCTCGTGTCTTCAGGGTGGCTCTGAATATGGAAAAGTCCACTGCAATCTCCTTCAATGAGGTCGGTGAGATCTCCAGTCCCGTTACCGAGAAACGCTCGACTGAGCGCGGTACGATGGATGCAAAAACTATCAAGTGGATAATTGTCAACGCATTAGCGACGGTCACCATTGTGAGTCCTCACCTACGCCCCTGGGAATCGAGGTTCAAGAACCTTTATCAAGCCTGGGAGTATCTGAACTTATTCGTCATAGGTTTATGTCAACAAGACGATCTTCTCAGACCCGGCTTTCCGCCAATGCCAGCTCAGTTTCGTGGCCTTTCATTTTGCCATCACCTGGATCACCTTACACGTTGCTTCAAGGCCTATTATTGGGGCATTTGCACCAGCAAAGACCAGTGCAATTGGGATTCTTCCTCTCACGATCGCCATGGGGGCCAATGTGGTGCTCATGAACTTGTCTTTGGCACATTCATCAGTGGTATTCTACCAGATCGTTCGGATCCTACTTACTCCGTTGACTGCTCTGATGAACCTCTTCATCTACGGATCCAAGATCCCATTTCTTGCAGCCATGGCGCTTTTGCCAGCGTGTGCTGGCGTCGGGGTCGTGTCGTATCTGGAAGCTGTGTCCAAATCTAAATCTACCTCGAATAGCACCTCGATGCTTGGTGTGATCTTTGCTTTCACCGGCGTGGCTGTGAGCGCTTTGTACACTGTCTGGGTTTCCGCTTATTATCGGAAGCTCAAAATCTCAAGCTCACAGCTGTTGTTGAATCAAATGCCTTTGGGAGGATTGATTCTTGCTGTCTCCAGTTACTATACGGATAAGTATCCTGTCTGGGGTGAGATTACTCGTGAGCAATGGCTCATGATCGGCACAGTAAGTTCCCCATGAGGGACATCGACTGTAGTTAACCATGACCAGAGCGGCCTGTGTGCCACACTCATAAACGTGTCCCAATTCTACATCATCACTCATGCTGGCCCTGTGAGCAGCACCGTCGTCGGCCATCTCAAAACTGTCCTCGTCATCGGATTAGGATGGATCGTAAAGCGAGAAGTTGTTGGAGTGGAAAGTGCCTTTGGGGTGGGTCTTGCAGTTCTGGGCATCATGGGGTGAGTGATCCTGATCCTGAAAACTTTCCGCGCAGATTCCTGACGCACCACCTTTTCATAGATACTCTTATGCTTTGTACTTGGAGCAGAATCATGTTGGAAAGTAGTAGTGTGTAAAGTCGTGAATTTTAATAGCTTGTTAGCATACCTTGGTCTGATGACCTGCAGGTAACGATGTTTTCCATCAATGTGGGTCGACCGCAAAATGGTGGATGGAATTAGGTGTTCATGGCAGTGGTTAGCAGTATTTACTCGTGGGTGAATTGGCGGATCGGACGACAAGGCTGAATAAGAACTTTTATTTATTCCCACCATTCACAGCCCCATTCATCCACATCCTGGAGTTTCCTACCACTGAGATTCACGCTCTCGATCATACAGACTGCGCCCTAGGGTTCATACAGGTGATATCCTACTGCATATTTACCAGCATATCAATTGTGATCAGTTTCATGTCTTCTAAAGTGCATTCGATCCCCTAGGTAGATCATACTTGGATGGATATTCAATTTTTCATTTTTCATTTTTCATTTTTCATGTTTAGGGAAATAGAAAATCCTACATTAAGGCTAGTATAACTCATAATGGACCTGGCAATCTTCGTACTTGCAAGAACACAATGATGCATGTGTTCCACACGTCACCTCCGAGACATTCAAAAGCAGATATTGCTTGTATGGCAGGTCCTCAGCGCCTTTCTTCTCATCCCTGGTCTGCCGTAAGTCAAATTCCGACTCTGTATGGTCGGATTCATTGTCAAGGTGTTGTTCGCCGTGTCTCTCAATTCCCAACTTCTGCTGTGCCTTGACGTTCTCAACCAAGGGAGCCACAGACGGGATTGAGCCATTCAGACCGACCTCTGCCAACCATCCGAATCTTCTCCACACGATATCCGACAGAAGCGAATGAGTCTTGTACTGGTGCACGCCAACTTGGACCTCGCCCTTTTCATTCAACATCTCACCCCATTCATTGAATGCAACCATGGGGGTGGTTCCGACACTACCAAAGAGTGCTTCATCATTGGGAACCAGCTCAGTCTTCCCAACACCATTGCTTCTGAGCTCTTTGTCCAAGAGTTCAGAATAGTATATGTGGATGTGCATCGCTTGGTCGTTGCAGTGATACTTGGAGACCTTTAACTGCGAGGCCATGGTAGACATGTAAACCTTCATTGCTCGGGCAGTGCCATACACAGAGCCCGCACAGATGCGGTCTTTATGCATGTAGTCGGAGATGTGTGTATGTGAGATGAATGAATCAGTCTGCGGGCTGGCGCATTGGTTGAACCAAGCAACGTGGACTGAGCATTGACCGATTTTTATCCCCCTCCATTCTGCAAAATAAAGTAGCTCAATATCGGGCTTCATCTGCATGCCAAAGGGATTCCGTTGGAAGACCACATCCAAGTCACATGCCAACACTCTTTCATAGTTTTTTGCATGAACGTTTAGGAAGTCCGACCAGCCTTGGAAACGCCGCAGCACCACCGCGACATCCTCAATGTCTGGAAGTACACCGACAAAGTCCAGCGAGGGATACCTCTTCATCAGCGCATTAAAGCCTGCCGGAAGGTCTTTCGCAAGTGTCTGTGGTACGATGATCTTCACCTGGACTGGTGCTGTTGGACAACTGTTGCTGCGCTGGCGCTGGAGGGCCTCTTCGCTGATGGCGACTTCGAGTGATTGCATAAAGATGAAAATTTGATCTTGCCATCGCGATCCATCGATTGCACTGAGAATTAGATTCGGCTTCAATTCTGGACACACCGTAGGGGTTTGAGCCAGAGCTGTCGGGACTTCTGCTGCAGTTGTTGTTGCATGAGTCGCCGATTTTGTGTAGTTTGGAGGGCGGGAAATATCTGATGCTGTGCTTATATCGAAATTTGATGTGGTCTGGGGCTGATGCTGTGGTTTCACATGGCCACTATGGTTCTCGGGCTTTTGCTTAAGGCTTTCCCAAAAATCCTTGGAATCAGGACTGGAATGTGTGATAGTCCCGTGCTGGTACAAATATATCAAAGAAATGAATAATACGGTGATGCCAACATAAGATGGCAATCGAGAAAGAAAAAACATCATGCCAGTTTTCGTCGAGAGGAAACAGCGGGCAGCACCAGTCTGAACTCGACGACAGGGTGATGTCTTCAAGGCCTAGAAATATTGGTGTGGTATGATGCAAGGCTGGGGGGCCCAAAGGGGTAAGCCCTCTACCTAGCTAACAAGCATAGGTTGCATTTAATACCAGCGAATCTCAGCCATGCACGGACATTCGTTGTCATTACAAGGGAGCACAGACCTCTTGGAGTGTTGTGAGTATTTTCTGAGGGTTGGCAGCCTTCCTACGGGGAAACCCCTCCGCGGCACGCTTGGACCTTCAGGAACAGGAACAGGAACAGGAACAGCTTGAGACCCCAGGTTCGCGAACACATCTCGTTCGCCGATATGCACCCACATGCCCAATGAGGGCGAAGAGCCCGGTCTCACTCACTCTGCGCCACCAGCGCGAGCTTTTACTTCGCACTGCGACACGGTTCAAGTGCACCTGCATTTTGCGCATTGACCAGCATGCGGAATTTGAGAGATTTTCCGTCGTCACAATCGCGCTCAGACACTTTTCTTCTTGCCACATGGACGCATTGTTATTCTCAGCTTTTGGCAGGCGCCCGGAAATCTGGTTGAGAGGGGTTTCTCTTCTCTGCCGTGTCCAAGCTTTGGTGGGCCCTCCGACCCGATGGAATCTCGAGATGGTGCCGGGCTTCCTATCATGCTCGCCCCGTGGGTATGCTCTCGATCCAGTCTATTTCTAATCGAATTGGCAGATACCTTGGTAGCTAAGCCACGGAGTGCTCACGAGAGAGATGTCCAGACAGCGAAAGATTAATTTCCATAGCAAATTCACTCGCTTAGCACTGCTCAGTTGGTTTGCATCACGTTTGAGGGACCGGCATCAGTGCTCAGCTGAGATCTTCTAGATGTACTCGACCCTTAGGCTACTGTCCAGAAGACTTACCAATCTTGATCACTTGCTTCTAGTAGTCTCATACCGAACATTCTTACTCCATACAACTTTGTATGTCTTTCAAAGCCATGCCTCTACGATTAATGTCGCCTCCGGGCGTTAGGGACGCGGAGAAAGGGGTTCAAAGTCCTACTCGAACATCTTTCAATCTCACATCTACCTCGAAGAGGTACTTGAGGAAAGCCCTTCTGTCCATAGTCGCGATTCTTGTTCTCTACAATCTTTTTCATGTTGGCCACAGCACCCACCAACGGATAGAGTCATCCACGTATGGCTTGACGCTCCAGAAACCAGCAGAAGCGCATACTGGCAGCTTTCTTCCACTGGAAGAGGCTGAGTATGTTTGCGATACACAGAAATTCAAAATTTTCCCCGAGCGGGAGAAACATCGAAAGATATACGACTTGTTCCTGATTGGCACCGAGCTTGACTGGCTGGAAATTCGTCTCAATGAACTCCATCACCAGGTAGATTATTTCGTGATTGTGGAATCGTCAAGGACGTTCACGAATCATCCAAAGCCGCTCCATTTCAAAAACAATTTTCACCGATTTGCAAAGTTCGCACCACAAATCATATACCACATGGTGGATTTTCAAGGAATGGAAGAAAACTCGACCTGGGAGAGAGAGCACTATCAAAGGAATGCCATGCTTGACATCGTCTTTCCCAGCCTTATTGGTGTTCAAGCACCAAGTCTGGGAGACGTCGTGTTGGTGTCGGACATTGATGAGATTCCTCGACCATCTACTCTGACGCTTCTTCGCAATTGTCTGTTCCCGGAGAGAACAACACTGCGCAGTCGTTTCTTCTACTATTCTTTCCAATGGGAACATGAAGGAGGAGACTGGAACCATCCGCAGGCCACATTCTACCAAGGCAGTTCCACGATCAAACCAGAGGATCTTCGCATGGGTCGAGGAGACTGGGACATCGCCAACTCATCCTGGCACTGTAGCAGCTGTTTCGAGACGGTAGCACAGATGGACAATAAAATCGGCTCATTTTCACACACCGAATATGATCAACCGGAGTTCCGAGACCCAGCAGAGATTGTGCGGCGGGTCCGCAATGGCCTTGATCTTTTCGACCGTGAAAGCGAGAAGTATACTAAGGTGGACTCACGAGTTGATCTCCCTGCATACCTGAAGGCAAATCAGAAGAAGTTCTCGTTCATGATTGACCGAGACCCGCTGAATGCAAATTTTCGGGACTACCCCTAGACAGAAGCCCAACCTGGATGGAGATCTGACCAGGCGTTCTTGAGGAAAGGGCAATTACCAACCGGCGTTGATACAGGAGTTCCTCATGCTTGAGACGGAATATCAACCTAAAGGAAATAGGTAGTGTAGTATCAGTATTTGAGACACAGGTTGAGTTAATGCCATCGTTTCTACCAATCATCCGCATGTATGAGCGACCAGCTCGGAAATGCAAGATATGGTGCCGAACTCCTGACCCCCTAAGTTCCCCTGACCCCCGGATTTGCACACCCGTTCTTCGTACACGTCACGCGTAGAAGGAAATCACCGCTTCTTTATTTACACTGCCAAGGCGTATTCACACTTGATGATATAAATATAGACGTGCAATATGACTAGCTTCGGTTAGAGGCAATGAGTGTCCCGAATCTTTTTTGGTGATGCTATCCAAGCCTTTAGAAGACGCTCAATGAAGGCATGGAAGACGTCAACACTATTAGGGGACATTTCTTTCAACACGGTATACTGCGCTTACCAAGAACTTCTATGATCTTTGGGACTGAATATTGTTCCAGCGAGTAAATGGACCGTTGGAATCCCGCTCGATTCGATCTCGAACTTTTGTTCTTGTGGGGGGCCTCAACCCCCTGACACTATACCTGACGTAGCTTCGGCCCCAACGGCCGGTTCGAGCACTAATCCGCCTCCAGCTTCCTATTGCTCAATCCAAACAAACCAGTTCAACCGAGAATTCCACAATCAAAATATCCAACAACGCGCGCTTTAAATAACTCACACTAACTTGCGAGATTCTGAAACGTTGTCAGCAGGTAAAATACCCAAAATTTGTGTCTGAGAATGGAATGACGCTTCGCTGCTGGCGGTTACTGATCCTGGTGATCCTGGCCAATTTCCTCTTTGGTCGGGTCCTTCGATCAGGGGCTCTTGGGCTAATTCAGGTAAGCAGAGAGATGGGGGAGGCATGCGACGCTTGGTCGTAATTCTGTGTAATGAACAAAGTATCACATCGAAGTCACTGGTCATGGGGACTTGATTTTTCCGGGGCCCGCCACAGCCCATTTCACACCATCGCCATTACCTTGACGCTGGACGTCTAGGTCATTCGACTAGGGAAGTTCCAAGCAGTTTAGGAGTGAAAGAGCTGCCGATCGAAATTTTGATCATTCAAAATGGCGACTTTCGATTACTCTAAAACTATGAATAGCAGTCCGAACGAGCTAGCTCTTTCAAACCATCCATGGATGAATCTTGAAAGGCACAAAGGCACACATCTGCGATCAGCTCTCGAGACGAAGAAGCATTCGCGTTACTGATGTATTGAGATCAGAACCCTAAGTCGGAAAGATAACCATTGTCTAGAAGGATTTCTTGGTCATAGATGGCAGTGGCGTGCCCACTGTTGAAGAGCAGGACTATACACAGCGTTTCGGCTACACACAAACTCAACGCGTTCGTCAACCCGAGAGGGATTACAAGGTATGCTGGAACGCACCTTCAGAGCTATGGGCTTGATTTGTCAAATCGTCAGCTTTGACGGTGGGTTTCGGGATCCAGCGCATCTAGGACGAGTTTGCAGGGGTACGCATTGTCCATCTCTCCGTTCAAAGCCCAAATCGTGAAACTTGGCTGGAGCTATTTGTCCTGGTTCTATTGGTTATATAGTTGACTATTTAGAGACGTGGTGATCTCTTTATTGAGCTCACCCCATCCGCGATCATACCGCATGCGCACAGTCAAACAAATGTACCGCCGATAAAGTACTTTGCTGAACCTCAGGCATCTCTAAATTAACCTCAGGACAAAACTCAAGCGTAAATCCCCAAGCCGTTTTTTTGTCTCATCATAAAGGCGTCTCGTGATATTCTATTTCCCATCAACATTGTCGAGTTTTCAAATAATGGCATGTGACATTTAGTGCAATATCTTTCACAATGCCATCGCTTAGTCCGGAGAAAGCTGCAGAAGCTGAGAGGTAGGCGTTGAACCTCGTCACGTAGCTTGAACCAGATTCTACTCGCAGTTAGAACAACAGTCCAAGGCATCATCACCTTGGCTGTCGTAACACAGGATGTAACTGCGCTTAATGGACATTTGGTACCACCGATAGCTCGCCTGCAAGATACAGCTTTGGGTGACATGCTTGGGGAAAAAGGAAGCCGATTAACAGATATATTAAGGCTGCCTATGATACCCGATCGTGAGAAAAAGACATGGGCGACCACACCACGGTCTATGCCGACTTTGATGACCTGGATCGGTTTCAGATTAAGATGTCTTGGATTGAGTGATTCGACTCTGCAGAAACGAAATCGGGTAAGGGTGAAGAAGATACTACACTGACTCACGCATCCACCAGGATAGAAAATCCTCGCCAATTTCCCTCAAAATCTGAGGAGTTCGAGGCGAATATCCGCAACCCATACAATTTCGACTTCAACAAATTGTGCCTTTTTCAGTGCCTCAAAAGCTGCTAGCATCTGACAACAATCATGGCTTCGGAACCATTGCACCAAACACTGATTCAGTCGGGCACTTGCCTGTCATGACACTGGAAAAATAGCTCGAGAGTGTGTAGATGTGCTGTCGGCGCAATTCACAGCTGGCTTAAGGTCCTCATTCCCGAACACCGCAGCAGTTTTTCTCCAATAACCGCAACACCATAACTTCCACCAATTACTACTTGTTGCTGGATGATCAACGCAGATGCTATGATTATGCTATCCGCTCCTCATGGGTCCAGGGTTGGGGGCGGTTAGAGGACCTTAAAACCCAGCGAAGCATTACTTATGATAATGGGTCTCTCGCACTTCGGCCAGGTCCTCATAAATCTACCAATTCATAATCCCATTTAAGGCGAGCTGCAATATGCTATACGATGTCGCAATTGTTGGTGCTGGGCCCTGTGGCTTAGCAGTGGCAGCTAGGCTGAGGGAGTCCACTCCAGCGGCACTTTTCACCGATGACGAGCACGCGAGGTATTGGAAACGCTTCAACAGGTCGGAAAGCATTGAAAATGAAAGTAAGTCCGCACGGAAAGGACAGACAAAGAGAGCCTGCAACGCAGCAGTCTCATCCCAAAGGTCAATGGTCGTCCTTGATGCCAGTTCCGGGGAGTGGATGGCAGCATGGCGTGCAAGGTTCCGACATCTCCATATTGACCATTTGAGAAGTCCGCTATTCTTTCATCCGGACCCGCGAGATCGCGACGGTTTGTTGGAGTTTTCATACTTTGTCAATCGTTCGAGTGAGCTTGAAGAAATACCCAATGTGGTTGGAAAAGAGATAAGCAAGCACAGAACGAAGAAGCAGCGCCAAAAGTAAGCAAACCACACTTAGCCGTCAGACAAACCGTGCTAACCAAGGAAGGAAAATAAGTCGTCATCTAAGGATAGATGATCGTGATAGGATAGATTACTACACGCCATCGAGTGCTTTGTTTGACGATTACTGCGACGATATCATTAGTCGCTATCATATGCAAGACCTTGTTCACTGTGGCCAAGTGGCTGATATCGAGCACGGATATGTAGATGAGTATCCAGGCACCCAAGTATTCTCTCTTACTACAAATTGTGGACTGTATATAGCAAAGACCGTTGTCCTTGCCGTGGGCGCTGGGACGAGGCCATGTATCCCCCAAGATGGTAGACTCCTGAATCCACAACAAGGGAGCGTCTGTCACTGTCTGGACACGACTGGCGGCGCACATCTTCCCGAGCATATACAGAGAAAAATTTCGACATCGGCACCGACAAATGTTGTTGTGGTCGGAGGTGGATTGACGAGTGCTCAAGTATCGGATTTGCTTATACGTCAAGGCGTAAGCAAAGTGTGGTTATTGCTCCGAGGCCGATATAAGTTGAAGCATTTTGATGTTGATCTCGAATGGGTCTCCAAAGTTCGTAACCAGGAAATGGCAGTTTTCTGGTCAGCCGACACAGATGAGGGTAAGTGAAACCGCACAAAAATGAGCACTTTTGAACCAGACCTAACTCAAATTTACCAGAGCGAATCGAATTACTAAAACAAGCTCGAAACGGAGGAAGTATCACTCCCAAATTCGACAAGATCCTGCAGCAACATGTATCAAGTGGTCGTCTGGAGATACTTTCATATACTCAGATTGTGAGTGGCAGTTGGGACCCCGTAGCTCAAACATGGGCAGTGAGGCTGTCGAAAGTAGTCTTGGGTTTTCCCAGACATATTGACGATATCAAGTACGCCACAGGCAACGCGCCAAGGGTCGAAAACGTCACATGCCTCCACGGTTTCATCAGACAGAATCCCATCGAGGCGATTGACGGTCTCGCAAGGATAACGAATGATCTCATGTGGAATGATGATATACCATTATTCTTGACCGGCGGCCTCGCCGGCCTGAGACTGGGGCCAGGTGCCGCTAATCTGGCTGGAGCGAGGCAAGGTGCCGAGCGAATTGCTTGGAAAATTGACCAGATATTGGGTAGTAGTGTGGCGAAAGAGGAAGGATTGAGAGGAAAGTATGAACGCGAAAACGACTCTACCGACAACCAGGTGCACGTTAAATCGGCTTTGCGTGAAAGCAGGAGCGAGTATACGGGAAGCTTTGCCAATCAATTTGATGCGCTAGCTATGCAACTCGAACAAGCACCATCGGCATGAAGACCAGAAAATTCTTTTCAAATGGGTGCAAGTTTGTGAATCTGGTTTACACATTGGCTGGGAATGCTATCCGTCATCAGCTTTGCACCCCGGTAATGATATGTCCGAACCTAAAAATCCCTAGACTTTCGGGTGACAGCTTGACAGGTCGAGAAAACCAATTCAATATCAGTCAATGACGTCAAGATTCCACTCGCAGAATGGTTGCAGGATAAGATTTCCGTCGTGTGGCATTTAGGCGTAGCCGGTCGAAAGAATGAGTAGAGAAACATCAATGAGTAATATTGTGCTGAGCTCGAATATCGTTTGATGCCTTGATGGGCCACTGAGACCTGTGCAGTATATGTGAGTGAAGAAGCCTAATGTGCAGCAGACATTGGGGGAAACAAGGCATCTCGATCTGCAACTAATGCTGGTACCAGGATGAATGACGTTAATATTCTGGCCTTGAGGATCGTCTACTCTTTCATCGTACCGCCAGGATCTTGAGATCTCAATCTAGACTCCACGGGACGCGGGAAGATGGCCCACCTCATCTGGGCTCTTGTGCATATACTTACCTTGTCGCCAACCCAACAATTTGTTTCATCTTCACACTTTCGTGGTGCTATCTACTGCAATCGACTTCCATCTCCAATTTGCCGCACAAGAACAAACATTAACACTAAAGATTTTTGACCTAAGAGGATTTTAAGGCCCCGATCTACCTAAAAACCGTTCACACTAATTGATATGGACATCGGGCCTCGTGATCCTCACTCAGGGTCAGATGAACATGTCGCGAGAGAATTGGACAAAAATGAAAAAGGGACTTCTCGCCGATCAATTCCAATCTACAATGATCTCGAGCTCGTTTCCGAAACCGACCTATCATTCGGGGCAATCTTGAAAGGTACTGCTGCGAAGCCTCTCACAACGTTTGAAAAAAAGGCAGCACTTGTCAATGCGTATGTATACACCAAACCAACTTCGAACGCTCTCTCACTTTACGAAAATAGCGAACTTGACAAATTTGGCCTTGGGAGATATCAGATATGCATCTGGTTTCTATGTGGCTTCGGCTATTTTCTCGACTTGGCATGGGCCCAAGGAGTCGGGCTGATCGCTTCAGCCGTCTAGTAAGTAGTCTTCGGCTTCTCGCAGAATGAAAATGGTGGCTGACTACCAATAGCCAGGAAATGGGTGTATCGGCTAGCGACACGTAAGGTTTCAGTTCATGGACGATATATCCCTAGACTTTCTAACGATTTCGGTTGCAGTGCTAATATCTGGTCATGTGCAAATGCTGGTTTGGCGTAAGTTCATGTGGAACTGTCACCGTCGAATCCAGTTGCTAAAAGATCACAGAGTCGGAGCTTTGACATTTGGTCTACTCGTTGATGTCATAGGCCGTAAGTGGGCTTTCAACCTTACGTGTTTGATTACTTCTGTGTTTGGCCTTTTATTGGTACGTATCTGTTTGACAGCCTTCATACCATTTGACTAATACTTGATGATTCTAAAGGCTGCTCCTAAATACAACTATGGAGCGATTTGTGGCATATACTTTCTGGCCTCGGTCGGTTTAGGTGGCAATATTCCCATTGACGCTACAATTGCGCTCGAATTTCTCCCGCAAAACCGGCGATTCCTCGTCTCGTTGCTCTCAATGTGGCAACCAGTTGGCGTGGTCGTTGCTTCAGCAATCGCCTACGGGACAGCTGCAAAATACCGATGCGACCCCACTCTTCCGTCATGTCGCGCCGTCGATTTGGGTGAGCCCTGTTGCACGGTATCGAGCAACATGGGCTGGCGTTATGAGGTGATAACCCTCGGGCTTATGACATTACTGGTGTTCTTCCTCCGCTATTTCGTGTTTCACTTTCATGAATCCCCGAAGTTTCTTATCAGCCGGGGGAAAGAGGCCGAGGCTATCGACGTGCTGCACAAGATTGCCAAGTTCAACAAAGCACCACCGCCGATCTTGACAGTCGAAGACTTCCAGGCCATCGACCGTGCAGAGGGACCTATCGCGCCTAAAGCGACCACAAAGAATGTCTTGAAGAATTTCTTCAACAGTTTCAAGCATCTAAAGGGGCTGTTCAACAGCAAACTACAGAGTTTCATTTTCGTCTTACTGGCGATTGCATACATGGTAAGCCCGATGTTTCACAGAAACACCTCAACATGACTTATTCTTAAATCTAGGGTGATTACTGGTCATTCAACTTGGCAGGTCAATATTTACCAATCGTCCTTCTTAATTATAACGTGTCCAATGGCCAAACCAATGTCACGGAGACTTATCGACAGTATATTTATATTTATCTGCCAGGTATCATCGGCGCTGTCCTTGCTCTGGCATCCGTGCAATTACCCCTTGTTGGAAGAAAGTGGTCACTCGTATTCTCCGCAATTTGCCAAGGTCTCTCTATGGCTATGTACACACAAGTACGAAGCACTGCCGGCTTTGTGGGGTTGAATGCTCTCGAATATGTTATGCAGACTGTGAGTTTACCTTTTCGCTCTGGAGGTAATTTTCTGACTCATTTTGATTATAGTATTTCAATGCCGTCTTGTACGCTTCAGCCCCTGAGCTCTTTGATACGACATATCGTGGTAGTGCCAGTGGCATGTTGTCCTGTCTTGGCCGCATCGCTGGAATTGTTGCTCCATTTGCAGGCAAGTACTACTATTTGCCATGGATCATTGCCCATGTTAATATTTTCCTAGGAGCACATTATCTCGCCACCAGTAGTGCTGGGATCTTGTGGTTAGGAGCTGGAGGCATCTGGCTTGCCGCGTTCGTAATGGTCTTCCTTCCCGTGGAAATGAAAGACAGACAGATGTTCTAAGGCGTCGTCGATCAATCATTAACGCTGCGTTGATTTATCTTTATGGGTGAAAACTATTAACACTAGTTGTACTTTAAGATATGTGGAGGATGGTTTGCACAAGAGAAGATGTAATGATGCGAGGTCTTGTAGCTAATACTCCACCTTACAATTGTTGAGCACAGCGGGCGACATGGCTAAAAGACGCTTTGTACAAAAGTCTAGGACAAATCTTCTGGCAAGGTCACCTCCCTGAAGACAATCTGGGAGCTGTAAATCAATGCATCGATGTTGAATCGATCGGGATACTTGCTCGTCATAGCCGTAGTAAGCTCGGCTGCTGTCTTGACCTTGCCCGTTTCAATGAGAGAACTGAAGGTCTCAATGTAGTCCTTGTTTTGCTGAAGATGCCAAAGGCTCGCGACTTCTCCCATCTTCGAATGACCACAGACAATACTAGTAGGGCCCAGTATTCTATCTTCTCAATACTGGTTATCCAAGCCTGCCTCAAAATCTTTGTATGGCAGTTTGCGAGCATCAGATGGCCAGAACCATAGACTACAGCACCGCACACCGCCAATCGGAGACTAGGTACCCATATTATTGTTGAGTCTGCCACTGCTGCTTGGCCGACATGAATTGCTTTTAACTTATAGCCGTCTAGATCCAGTTCATTGCTCGTGGGAATAGCCTCAGCGACGTTCTCTGGTGATGGCTGGTCATCGATCTGTCCTGGAAATTGTGAAGAGAAAGCCTTGAAAGCTTGAGGTTCAACACTAGCTTTCATCGCCTTCAAGGTTGTTTGGGTACAATATGTCTTGACATCTGGAAATCGCTTGCGAAGGGTAGGTAGCCCGGAAAAGAAATCACCAAGCCCATGAGAAACATATATAGCGACCAGCATCTTTTGACCGAGTATTTCAGGCGCCCAGTCTGCCAATGCAATCGTGTTGGCTATCGTGAAAGGTGTGTTGATGAGTATGGCAGACCTAGGCCCGATGACAAGTGTACAGGCAATAGGGGGCCATGTTCCGGCATTTTGGCCGTCCGGTGCTTTCATGAGAGTTGGAGGCGCAACGAATACATTAGCAGAGAGCTCAGACGCCATCTTCGAAGTTTGTCAAGAGAGACATTCACATTGCTATAATCATATGTCTTAGACACGCTCCAAGACCAATTCAATTTATAACGACAGTGCCACCTTTCGTGCCTCGGCCTTCGGTATGACCCAGCATAGGCACCTGAGTGGTAGTCCATCCCATGGACTTCCTGGCTTCTCCCTGGTCCGTCTTTTATCTGTCTACCATGCCAGGATCGTGCATCAACTATTTTCCAGGTAAGAGTGGCACGTAATCAGCGAGCCCCTGGAATTATGATGACTGAGTCGGTCATATACGGGTCTTTCGTGTTCAGACAGGGAGTCATCTTTATTATAACTGGAACTACCTTATATGAACATTCAATCGGCCTTACCAGCCAATGCGAGTGCAAAGATCCTGAGTTAAGCACTTAGACCTTGGAAAAGAGACATGACATGCATTCTCTTCTATACAATTCTTTGACTCTATATCGATTATAGGCCGTTACCAGAGCTTAAACCGAAACTCTAGGCTCGTCCGGAAAGATGCTCCTGTTCCACAGGAACCAATATTTTGTGCTAAGCTCACTTCGTAAACCTTGGTCCAATTTCAATTCGTCTCTTTATCGAAGAGTGATCCTCACCTGCCTGAATCCTCTTCACAAGATCTTCTGCATCAAAATCCGTTCCAATCGGATTTTGTGCAAATTCCTTCGATGTGAGAAACTTCTCAACCTCCTCATTTGAGCTGAAATTATCGATTTGCGTCTCCAACTGGTTACCATCGGGATCTTGGTAGTAGATCGAAGTAGTAGGACCGTGATTGATACACCAAACGGGCAAAATCCCATTCGCCTTCCGCTGTCGGTATGATAAAGCTAAGTCTTCGAGATTGTTGAATGTGAAAGCAATATGCTCAAGTCCACAGGACTCCTGTTGTTTAGGGGCTGTCCCAGGTGCCTGAAGAATAGCGATTCGGTGATGCTCCTCATCATAAGTCAAGAAAGACAAGAAATCGTTCTCGAACGACGCATGCGCTCCAAGGAATGTCTTGTAGAATTGAGCCATGGGCTTTAGATTACTGGTCCGTAGGACTACATGAGCAAGGTAGGATGGGCTTTTGACACTTGTGCCAGCATTGTCATAATCAATTGCCATGGTAAAATATTCTGCTTCGAGTTCAATATTTGATTGACTTGGAGTGAATGCGTGAGATTATGTTGAGGCAACCCAAGTAGGCTGTTGTCCATTCTTTATGAACACTATGCCACTATAGCACACGATCCCATATTTCAGTCGTTTGTCCTGCCTCGGCCACACCCTGAGCGGGGCCCCACGTCGCCCAGGATTGACTTCGGTTGCCTTCCCCGGAACAGCCAAGCCCGTGGTGGCTAACGTCCATGGGATTTTTATAACTCGGTTATTTGCAGCGGCTTGGATATCATGTTAAGAGTACTTGGGCATCATATAGCGTAAAAATCAGGCGATTCAAGTGTAATCGAAGTCTCATAACACAACACCAGCCAATGGTGGCTTTGAGTGTGGGGCAGCTGGAAAGTGGACTGGCTATGTTGCACATATCGTGGATATTCGCTATGGTGACAAGTTATTATTCGCTCTCTAGCAAGCCAGGTCTCCAGGGACATATGTGAGCATCCATAAAGCGGAGTAAGTAACAGTCTTTAGGCAACATAACCTCTTCAGCGAGTAATGCTTTATTGAAGTGACTGGCGCAAACGCATTGCTATTTATTCCCGGTTCACGTTGAATTGACTCTTCTCCTTCAGGACTTCATCAGTCAACAGTCACTTATAAGCATTATCTATGGTTCTTCAAGAGAGTCTTGGTGATAAGTCCCCACTCATGTGCGCAGGATCACCGCGGAGCTTTGGTCATGACGGCCTCCCCGAAAGCACCACGGCTCTGATCGTTGGTGGAGGACCAGTTGGGATAACTACTGCCATAGCGCTTGCACGCTATGGAATCCAATCGGTCATCCTTGAAAGACATGCTACAAGAATGGGACAACCCAAGGCTCATGTCATCAACAATCGATCCGTCGAAATCCTCCGGCAATATGGCGTGGATTTGACCCCCATGAGAAAAGTTGGTCTTTCCGACGAGGAGGCAGGGCAAGTGATTTTTGCGTCGTCCATGAATGGCCTAGAATATGGAGTCTTGAATTCTTCGGTAGCAAGCTCTACAGCAAGAGACGCCTCTCCAGAGACGATGTTCAATGTTGCGCAGCCACTGTTGGAGGAATACCTTTTGCAAGTAGCCTTAGAAACTGGGAAGGTTAAGCACCTTCGAATGCACGAATGGCAAAATTGCACAGAAGACCCAACGACAAAGGAAATTACATCGACCGTCCTCCTTCGAGAAAGCGATGTTACAAAGCTTGTGACCAGCAAATACCTGATTGCTTGTGACGGTGCCAATTCAAAATCGAGGGATGTCCTGCAAATTCCTTTCTTATCTCCTAATGGAAGCCCGGAAGTCATCTTGAATTATGCTTCAATCCATTTCAGCGCTGATTTATCTCATTTTAAACCGGGATTGTTGTGGTTTATTTTGAATCCAAGTGGCATGGGCGTCTTCATTGCCTACAATCGGAAGAACAGTTGGGTATTCACCATACAATATGACCCCTCCACAACTCCATCAGAGACTTTCACGTCAGATTTTCTTCAAACACAAGTATTTAAGGTTAGGCGAAGAGTATGTTTATCGTCGTGGTGACTGCTAACTGAAAATAGGGAATAGGAATGGTGCCTAACGACTATAAAGAACTCGGAGTGACACTGTGGAAGACATCACCGAAGATTGCAGCAAACTATCGGTCTAAAAGTATACCTCACGCATTCTTGGCAGGAGATGCGGCACACTCATTTCCACCGACAGGCGGCCTGGGTATGAATACAGGCATTGGCGATATTCAGAACTTGGTCTGGAAGATCCATGCTCTCGAGAAGGGATGGACGGGAGATTCATTTCTTGACACGATCACCCTAGAGCGGTGGGCCGTGGCAAATGAGAACTCGAAGCAGAGCAAAGTGAACGAAGACAACATTTTTCGCCTGGTTAGCGCCATATTCAAGCCTGCAATGACTCCGGAGAATTTATGGGCTGACCAAGCTTCGAGGAAAGAAATACAGAGTGCTCTCCAATACCAGCACGATCATTTTGACTCGCTCAATCTTGTCTTGGGCTACGCATATGGCCGAGACCATCTTCGCGGGCCCTCAGATTATCGAAAAGAGAATGTTCCGGGAGTTCGCCTCCCCCATGAATGGGTAAAGACTGCTGCAGGCGACCGAGTGTCGACTCTTGATTTGATAGATGGATACACCTTCGTCCTGCTGACGTCTGCTGGGCTTACAATGAAGAAACAAATTGACTTACAGGAAGTCCCAATCTCCGTGATGCAGTTGGAAAGGGATTTCTTTGACGAATCTGGAAATTGGACTGCAGTGCTTGGCCTGAATGGGGACGCAGCTGTTCTTGTCCGCCCAGACCAACATATAGTGGGAACTGTGACAAGTATGGAAAAGGTCCCAAGTCTACTGGCAGCATACTGGAACCCGCAACACATGTCCGATGGACCTGATAGCTTGGTGGAGACCACCAGCATTAGTTTTGAGATCTAGAAAGTTTTGCAGAATTTCAGATCTCATTACAATTCCTCTGTTCTCTCACTTTACACTGGCTCATTCGACGAAGGATTCGTTCTCCACAAATATAGGTACCTAGTTACGAGCATTCATCAGGCGTGGTTCAAAACCCACAACTAGTGGGAATAAATTTACATTTATCTTGGCTGTCGTACGAAACGACTTCGCTGTCTCCAGAAAGGTATAGATACCATCGGTTTTGTTTTAGTTCAGTACTAAATGTTCTGCAACATGTATCATTGTAGCCATTGTGCTGTGCAACGTGGAACTCCATTCTCCGGAAAATGAATCTCGCTCGAGGTGTAACTTCACAGCGCGAAGATGTTCCAAATCAGCCTTTGCCGCCATTTTGTTCGGGCTTTCGCAGATTGCTTGGTAAAGAACGGCTGAAACAGCCACATTGTGGTCGTTATGTAAGCTGTAGGTGAGGTCAAAAATTTGTAATCAAGCAGAAAGTTGAGTACATACGCGATGGGAAAAAGACTTCTGCCAGTCCCACCGTCTGCAACGCTGAGAACATTAGCCTATTTCAAAACGCGTTGAGATACAAAACAAACCTGTTCAGAGTCTGCACGAACGAGCGTGCCGCCCATAAGCATCTCATGTTACTTGCTTGGTGTAAGTGTCTGTATCGGTCATCTGTTGCGTCCAGGCTAGTTCTAATTGCCATAATGCAAGCCCAGTGAATCGCTCTTACGAGGTTAAAATACTCAAGATGGAGCGGAGCAACAAGTATAAAGGAGGTCCAGTCGGTTACTACATCTTGCCCGGGTTGATTTGCCACAGGGATTTGATCTCTCCAACGCAGTAATGATTCATCAAGATCGATTAAGGCGTTTATCCTTGCATCTGTACTCACACACAAGCTGGTGATGGTGATGAAGCGGTTGCAATGTTCGGTCAGCTTAGCAGTCCACTTATGGACTTCACACGCAATGTTGATGATACTTGGACCTATGTGGTTGTCTGAGGAAAGTGGAAGAATGTCGGTATCATAGGTTGACTCCCGAACCGCTGAGGGTCGGCCTTCGCACATAGCGATAGAGCTGGTATGGATAGTCAACCGACGACAACTCGTGCCTCTGAACCTTTTGGGGAACTTACGTCTCTAGGCGAAATGCTGTCCACCATAGTTGAGACCTGTACCTAATCTCATCGAGGTCGAGATCGAAGTCAAGTGGACTTTGTCTGTGTAGCCCAAGGGTCTGGCACATGCGGATACTACTCCCACACAAGACCGATGCCAGGCTGTACTGACCATTGAGCTCCAAGAACATAACCTGGTCTAAGTCAGCATAGGTTAGTGATAATGGCGATCGAAACCCACAAGAAGTAGAATTACTTGCAAAGCTACAAGGGAAGATTCGGTCAAAGAAGTGTACACCAGGGCGCAAGCTTTTTGAAACAGATCGCGGGAGAATTGGTCGAGTGGCGATGCAGCCGTAGAGTTCCCTCGGTCACTAGCAGCCCCAATCGTAAGGATCAAACAGAACAAAATGTAGTCTGATACATGATGTGACTTCTGAACGGGGTCATAGAATGCCTCCCAGCTCGACTGAAAAGTTTGTCCCCGAACTATGGGGTAATAAACATGGACATTGTTAAAGTATGCTTGTTGGTCCGTATCAGTTGAGTCGTCATCCCAGGTGAATAGGACGGGGAAAACCCACATGCGATACAAATGGCTGCCAGAGACTTTGGTGGCAGTTGTGCAGCAGAAAGCTCAATGGTTTCAATCACATCCATCTTGGAAACGTGCTTCGCTGCCTGCACGAGCCATTCGAAGTTTAGCCTGGAGGATAAATGAGGGTATTTGCTCAACGATTGGCGAATAGAGCTTGCGAGGGTAGCTCCAGTGGAATTTGATGATAATATTTTCATTAGCTGGCATAGCAGAACGGTTATAGCACAACACTACCGAGAAAACCGCTCTTGAACTCGCTTAGAGCTATGAAAAGACCGGGTGTAATTCCACTATCTGCTACCCTTTGTCCAGACTGGGATTTCAAGGACTCCAATCCGGATATCTTTTCTCCTGGTTGGCCATGGGTTGAAATAGGGGTCTGCATATAAAATGGAGATTCAATTTGCTCGTGCAAGCCATCCATATGCTGCGGCTCCGTAGAACCACCTGGTAAGCTTCCACTGACAGTCGCGTTGCTGTTGGTCACCAGGTCACCAAGGAAAGAGAAATCGTGGAAGGGAACATTCATTCTTAACATTTCGGTCTCAAAAAAGTGGTCGAATTGGCCATTTTGCTGAATGGGGTCGTCTGCTTCAATTAGTTGTCAGGCAATTGGAGTTGATGGTCAGCATGGAGCGTACAGCTTGAAGACCCGATATTTGCCTCACGGCTGCCAATGAAGTTGCGATCCCCTTGCCCATCGGGAGTTGTATTTTTTGCATTCAATAAATATGTGCTATCACTGGCAGATGTGATGGTGCTTGATGTTGCATTCTGGCTTGGTTCCATAGGTTGTGCCATCTCAAGGGCAGAATCGACCACCAGTTGTTTTGATGGAGTACTTGATTTTCGACCTCCTGTTTGTGTACATTCCTTTTGGTACAATTTACAGTTCATACAAGGTCGCTCGTTGTATGTGCACTTGAGCTGCCAATATGAGTAGGTACTTCAGCGGTTGGAAGCATGTACAACATACTCTTTTTGTGCGACAATTATCACACGCAAACAAAGTCGCCTTCTGTCGGAATGGCTTTCGAACACTAGCAGCCGAAGCTGCTGGACTTGCTCTTGGCATTGATGAGAAAATTCCCTTTCACAGTCGGTGTGACTGATGTTTGGATACATGCAATGTAGATGCGTACATGTGTCTTGATATGCAAAGGGTATGACTGAATTTAGCTGTTCAGGTGTTCTCGCAATCTCTTGCGGAGTTTACAATTGCCCCTCCCACCACCCTTGGCATTGCACCTAATAGGAGCGCAGCTCAGCCACCACCCGGCTTTACCAGGCCGTTCGGAAGGGTCAAATAATGAAATTCATTCAAAACAATATCCAACTTAGTCTCTCTGAGAACCATCCAAGCCAGATACCGAGTGAATTTCTGGGTTAGGCAGGGTTCAAGGGCACTTTTCACAAGTAGTTGGCCGTAAGCAGAGGTACAAAGATCGTTTGAAGAGTCTGTAAAGTTGTCACTGATGTAACAGCATAGGTGTACCCAATGCCGTCTCAAAAAGAGCAAGCGAAGGCCGAGGATGTATGTAGTAAGGTTCCTCCAGATGCACTCGTAGTGGCGTACGATCTATACCATCGCTGTTGAGGACTTCGTGATTTTTTCCTCTGAGAACTAATCATGGCTCTCATTCCAGTGGCCAAATAGCAATTCGTTACAATCTTACCTCGCACACTGATGCTTGGGTTAGTGAATCAAGGGGTGGAAGTATCTCGGTTTCCGGGGAAGTTTTCGCCAAGGGCTGGGTTCTCCGTGGAACCCACGAAAGCAATCTCCGGGGTGAACAAGATAGGCCATGAGGGAGCCTCTGGAGCCTCGGTGAGAAACCGAGTGAGAGCGACTGCCTGGAGTGAGTTAAGTGTCGATCTGACATCACGGCCAGACCTTTATGATACAAGAAGTACAACTTTTCAGGGGTGCAGTTGCTGGCATACAATGCGCTAAATAGCACTCTTTCAAGGCGCAATTGCAATTCCACAGCTAATGAACTCCATGATTTGCTAGTCTGTTAACAAGCTCTCGCATCGATTAAGTCTACGAGCTGGAAACATGGACCTGGCTGTACCTTACTTCTTATACGAGCTACATATCAAGTATTCTCGTTCCAGCATCTTCGCTATCCGTACAGAGGCTGCATTCACACGGGCTAGGAGTTATTTGTTGTCGAGCTTTCACCTTCGCATTGCCTGAAATCCGTGTATGGATCGGTACCATTCACTTTGTCTCGATGGTCTCAAATGAATTCTGAAATCGTTGGGCAGAAGGCTACTCTTGCCAGTGGTCTTCTTCAGCTTCTGCCCTGCATGCCAAAAGTACCTCGGCACCAACACTTGTCGTGTAACGGACAAGCATGTGAAATTGAGAAGAGACAAGAAAGATTCGCTCTAGATCAAGCCAATAGTCGAATTGGAGGATGATCCCCGAAGTTGGGCACATTTATTTCGACATATTTTGCGGGGCTGGATCCCCAGAGTCCTCCCGCAGTGGTGGGGTTAGAGCCCTTCTGTGAGCAGGGCTATTGTGGTTGATAGCGAACTAGAAGATAGAGAGAACATAACATTATAACTTCATCATGAAGGCTTTGAAACCCTTTGTGATACAGGAACAATCGATTTCCAAGACCGTGGAAGCAATTCGGACGGCTGGTGGGTGACCGAGCTACCAGAGTGAGTCGAGATGGCCTAAGAATCAAGATATAGCAGTCCCAGCTCACCGCACTCCGCTATTTAGCATAACGCCTTCCCACGAGTGGAATCAGGGATCATGGTAGCAGGTCCACTAGATAATTCACTGAGCTGCCAGGGATATATGACGCCTCCTGAGATTTTTTGGCTCCCAAGTTAACAGATTGCGCGTCGTCTGAAGTCCTCAATTCGCAGAAGGCGGTTAAGAAAAGTTAGATGCGATCAGCCCTCTCCCAGTCCACAGCTAGTGGGCGTGTTGCGGACGCAGAATTCCATTCTACCTATTGCTTTGCTCGACATTTCGATATCGCACATGAACACCCATTTCTCATCCATGAGCTTCTATCATAGGACACGGGGCAAAGAGTTCCCACGGATGATCTTGAGCAGCTGGGTATGGCTGAACTCCCAAATCCCCGTAAAACCCCCGCAATTAAAGAATCACTTTAGCGACATTCCCCACAGAGCTTAGCGATATACAGCATGAAATCTACCCATTTATAAAGAGCCCAAGTTCGGAGACATTCCAAAACAGCAATTTAGTGTGTCCGACCAAGAATCATGTTTTCATCTGTGTGGGCGGTGCTTGCCTCGATCGCTTGCCTGGGTGTGGCGGCCCCGACCCCTTCGAAGCGACCCAACATTGTCTTTATCATCACTGATGATCAAGATTTACACTTATCCTCGCTCGACTATATGCCAATTACGATGAAGCAGGTGAGAGACGCGGGAACAACTTTCAAGAAACACTATTGTACCATCGCATTATGTTGCCCTTCGCGAGTTAGTCTCCTCACAGGTAAAGCGGCCCATAATACCAACGTGACGGACGTATCGCCACCATTTGGTACGTGATTTTTTACTCCTTTTTGGCTTCTTGGGTCGCGCTGAAGTCTGAAACTTCTGTATCAGGGGGTTATCCAAAATTTATCCAGCAAGGTCACAACAAGAATTATCTTCCTGTCTGGCTCCAGGCTGGAGGTTACGACACCTACTACACAGGGAAGCTCATGAATGCGCATTCAATTATGACGTGGAATAACCCTTACCCAGCTGGATGGAATCATACGAATTGTAAGGCCTGTGCTTGTGACGTTATGTGCTTTATTGATATTTCCTTCTAGATTTGGTAGATCCTGGCACGTACGTCTACAACAATGCCTGCTGGCAAGCAGATACTACTCCTCCCATATTTCGGCCAGGCCAATATTCAACTGATGTTATTGCGAGTACCGCAGAAAAATGGATAGAAGAAGCAACCTTGAAGACAGATCGACCATTTTTCATGGGGATTGCACCGATTGCACCTCATACCGAAACGGATTTCTTTAGCCCAGGGGTTTTTGCATTCGTACCCCCCGTACCCGCAAAGCGTCATGAGGGCCTGTTCCCGAACGCGACAATCCCCCGTGGGCCAAGTTTCAATCCAAGTAAGGTACGATAGCACTGGTGTCTTCTACAGATCAATGTCGTAATGGCTCGGGCTGACCTTGCGAATCCGTGCCCAGCCGCAAGGGGTTAGCTGGGTTGGAAAGCTAGCCCAAGCAAATGATACAGTGATCAAGGCAAACGATGAGTTCTATCGCAAGCGACTACAGGCTCTTCAATCTGTCGATGAATTAGTTGGGGCAGTAATCGACAAGCTTGACGAACAGGGAATCCTTAACGATACTTATATCATCTATACTACGGACAACGGGTTTCACATGGGTCAGCATCGACTCCCGCCCGGGAAAACCTGTGCCTTTGAGGAAGATGTCAATATACCCTTTTTAATACGCGGACCAGGTATCCCGATCAACCACACTGTGAATTTCGCTACATCGCATACCGATCTTGCACCTACGATCCTGCAACTCGCTGGCATCCCTTTACGCGACGACTTTGATGGTACTCCAATGCCACTTTCTTTGGTTGCAATGAAGAATGCTACAGATTCGCCAATGCATGATCACGTTACAATAGAATTCTGGGGTGATTCCGGCGGCGAGAGACTCTTCCAGATGGGTGGACCTCTTGGGACTCCCAGTAAGCCTTTCGCTGTTAGCGATATACATTCGCTAAGGCCCTGAATATCTCAATTTCGTCATTGAAGCTAAGATTATATCAGCACGTTATCATAAGAACACGTACAAAGCCATGCGGATAGTGAGCAAGGATTATGATCTATTGTACACCGTTTGGTGCACTAACGAACATGAATTGTACAATATGAAGGTAAGTAACGTTTCTGGCAGAGCGTTTCAAAACACTGGACATCTTGATAGTGGCTGAGAATCCGTCACCAAACAGGTCGATCCTTATCAAATTAACAATATATATGCTTCTTCCGACCAGGTAAATGGACAGTCACTCAAAGCCCTTCTCCCCCGACTGGATGCTGTATTGATGGTCCTCAAGTCCTGCAAAGGTGAGCAATGCTTAAAGCCGTGGAAAACCCTGCATCCCGATGGGAGTGTGTACACACTAAGCCAGGCATTGGCACCCGAATATGACGAATTTTACGCAACGCAGCCTAAAGTTGCGTTCACAGCATGCGAAATAGGTTATATAGTTCGTTCTGAGGGTCCTCAGAAGATTCTCCCGTTTCACATTGGTGATTGAGAGCATCAAGAACGTAAATGGCGCAGACCTGCCGGATTTACGACTAGTTTCACGGTCAAGCATTGTCTTAAAAGGTACTTAGCGCACGTATGATTGATCTGGTGTGTGGACAGCTTCTTCCTCGAACTTTCTGGTCTCATGGCAAGGCGATTGGACAGTTTCAGCCGTTGCACGAGGAATAGGTACACGCACTGCGGAAGCTATCGAGACGCAGGCCATTGGCCTATGCTACGGGAGGATGTGTCTCGAAGTACAACTTAGAGTTCAAGCAGCTTCTAGCATCGCGATTGGCCCTAGAGCTAATATCCCGGCTGTAGTGATCAAGTGTCTCCATCCCAACCTTTTCATAGGTGTTAAGTGTGAGTCTAACCACTGAACAGCCGTGTGGGCGAACCTTGGGTTATTAGGTCGAACTGGTATGTCCAAGTCTCGCCCATATGGCCTACAATGAGGTTTGATCGAGGCATCTAGTCCAATAAACCGGCGGCAAACAGCTTCATTTGTGATACATATTTTGAGCCAAATTGGATGCCCAAGAGTTCCCTATGATCTTGGGGGCGAGGGCGATTCCGGGTTATCTTGGTTCTCGCTCGGGAGCATATAGTAGATATACAGGATTTCTGTTTTCTATACACGGCATGTTAGGTCGTAATGGATGGCTTAGCTTCATTGTTGACTGGATTACGATTGTCCACCCGCTGCAGATATCCGGGCTGCCACAAGTCCCTTGCTTCCAAGCCATAAGGAATCCGAGTGAACTCGGCATCAGGCCACTGAGCGTCGACGTACTGTTTGCCTTCCACCAGGCGTAGGATGTTCATAGCAGTGCTGTAGACAATGTCGAAAGAGAAAGCGTCATGCCATTTGTTGTCTTTATTTCTGATATCCGAGTCTCGAGAGCTTGGACCTGCAGGTCGATGGCTGGCGAATAATGGCGGATAAGGTGCATAGCACTTGAATGGCTTGACCGACCGCTCACGACATAATGCGCTCATACCAACATCAACGGGCATATTCTGAGATTGAACTGACAATGCAGCCAAGATCTTCCTTGCACCACGTTGGCTGATGGCATATCCATACATACACATTCCACCATGAGTCTTGAGGACGACTCGAGTGCCATTTCTCTGCACTGGTTCTGGCAACCAGTCATTTCGCCAATTAGCATGGCGGTGATTTGTGGTTGGTACGGTGAGATCATCATCTATGACCCACATATCCTGTTCGTCCTCCCAAGCTGATCCAGCTCGACAGTGTCCGACCCACAGAACATCCCAATCATCACCGTATGGAGAGATTGGACTCAAAGGCGAATTATGACCTTGAAGAGCTTTGGAACCTTTTGCAAACTCCACGAGTTGCTCCTTAATATTCACATCCCAGTCAGCATCATCTTCTAGTATCAAAGCAGTCTGGATATTCTCTGCAACGACTCTGGTTCCAGTTTCGGTTGTCAGCATACTAGCCTCATCTGTACGACCCTGCTAGCCATGGCCTGCTATTACTCACTTCGCAACAACATCCATGTGTGCTCTCCAGCAACCCAACGACCCAGATGACTGTTCTTCAGTGTCCCATGTCTAGACGACATTAGATTTTTCCAAGCTCATTGAGTGGTTCGTAGGGCACTTACCGGGGGTACTGCCTTTTCCGGGATATCTGCAGAAGATACACCTGGAAGCCACTCAATAGCGAAGCCAGTTAGGGCTGAGGCAAGTTTTCTCGCATCCCGTTTATCAGTGCGGCCTTCGAAACCGATGGCAAACAATCTTTCAAACTATTATCAGTAGAACATCAGCCATCTAAACATAGCGGTAGCTTTATGAAAATCATACATACTCCAAGAGTTCCATTATATATGTCTGCTGTCGAGTTGTGTCGAAAAGCATGCGGCAAAGCCTCATGGGCTCGAAACATTGAACCAACAACTATGATACAAATTATCATCCATGCAATCCGTTTTCGTGCCACATGGAGGATGCCGAGATATATAGGGCCCTTGGATGACGGTTGGGTAGTCGGCCATTGTGGTAGCTTGTGGTCAGACATTTTAAGAATGCGGAGAAGGATCAGAAAATTGTTTGTAGATAACAGAATCAGACTGCTTCCCCGAGTGATGGGTTGAAGGTGACTACTAGTCTGGCGCCTCCCGATAGATATCGAGCTGCTGCCTCAAGAACTTGCGAGCTGGTACGAAGAAGTAGCATTACAACAGGTCGAGCCCCCCCCTGAGGACTTTTTGTCTTGCTGTTCGCAAGGAGATCTCATGCCCCTGAGTGCTCCAGATCAGCCAGCTTACTCCGGGCGTTGCGTACAAGACTTGTCAGTTGCAAGCCACGAGATAGAGAATTCATACCCTGCACGCTCCGAGAAATCCATACTGGAGACCAATACAAAGCGGGTTTGTACCGATGAGGTGCCTGCTGATGAAGAGTCTTGCAGTTCAAATTTCCTCAAACGCGAACTAGTGGAAGCCACGGGTGAAGGTACGAATCTTGAAATACTAAGTACTCATGGGTATGAAAGTCAACGCGGAACGGCATGAAGATGGATACCGCTCACATGAAACTAAACTCCGATTATTCGCTTAGGAACTTGTACCGGCGATCAGTCACAAGGTGGTCCACAAGATTGTCGGTTGATGTAGGAGTGGTTCGGATCGATATCGGACTTTAAGGTTTCGCGTCATTCGGTTTGGGTTTCGGGCGTGCATAGTGGCGTTTCTTGAAGCCGGTGGGAAAAGCCAGTGCGGAGTATCCTTTCCGTATAAGAGAATGGCTTCAACCCGCATACTCGAACCCTGGCCAAATGCACATGAAAGTAGCCCAGGGCCTCAGCTCTGCACATCTTGGCTACATGATGTACCTTCCTGACTTGACCCACCGCTTTGACCCACAGTGTTCAGGGAGAGCTAATTTCTGGCCGAGCCTGGTATCCATGTACCGGCTTCAGCAATTGACGCACAGGTTGCACCACAGTATTCATGAAGGACTCAGGAGTAGGAGAGACTGAGATGTTGAGGATCTATCGTAACAGTGTGCATGTGAATAGCAACAACTCCGTCAGAATGACCGTAGTCCTCCATATGTCTCTAACCTTCTTAGTCGTTTATACTTCAGGATTGCCTCACTTGCCGGATTCTGTACACCTCTTGAAAACATGTTAGAAATTCAGTCTATCAATGTTGATCAGAGCTTCGATCGACACGAAGACGGTAGAGTACAAGGTCAAGCTCCGGAACTCTTGTTTGTATGGATACAATTCTCAAGACGCCCAACTCAACAGGATGCTGACAAACATTTTAGAGCGAGTACACGACTATTTATGAGAAACATCGCTTCAACATTCTTATCAACATGCGGACTATGCGATCTTTTTTGATGATCTTATCGGCCGGCCTTGTGCTTTGGACTCTAACGTTCACCTTTCGCATACAAAGTGAACGTCGCTTCTCAATTTCGTCTCACTCACCAGCACCTGGAGATGGTTCTGTCACCCTTGGTGCATATGTGCCTCCATTCTCCGGCGCCTTTGCTACGATTCCAAGAGTTTCAGAACTTTCACCTGCGCAAAAAAGGCTGACCGTCATTGTCGCATGGAATGCAGATCAGGCTCCATCATATCTGCGGCATTTCTTCTACACTATTCAGCTCAACTCAGATGTCATTGATTTACTATTCATCAATCGCGTGCAAAAGGAGGATGACCCTTGCCTCGATTTCGAGAAAGCTGGAATAAACGTCACTTGGGGTGGCAACGTCAAGATTCATTGCTTGAACGACAAGGAGTGGAAACGGCGCCACGTAGATTTCCTCTGCTCATCGGGACATGGATGGAATTGCACCCCTACTGAGTACGATGAAGTAGCCCAGGAGTTTGAGACGAGAGAGGATAAAAAGAACTTCAATTGGAGACCGTTACGTGGAAATGTGTTCAACGACCTTCTCCCACAGCCTACAAACTCCTTCTGGGCCTGGATGGACCTTGACACTTTTGCGGGCGATTTCAGACGTTATCCTTTCAATATCCTCTCCCGGCTGTCCTTACTCACATCAACAGGGGAATTCCCTCTGATTTATCTTGGAGGCCAGTTGACAGCTTTCAATCTCGAAGATGAGGATCTCGCCGCCGCCTGGAAAAACTTCCCAGAAATGAAAAGTCCGGAACATTTCACGAAGTATTTGAAGGGCAAGATGCCTGAATCTTCTGAAGAGCGTTATTGGAGTTACGGCTATCTAAGATCGGACGAAAATCTTCCCGGATCCCGACTGTCTTATGGCGTGTACTATGATCTTCATGGGGATGATTTTTTCGATGGTCAGTGGTTCAAGAAGAACGCGAGTGAGACATATGTTATATCAGGGAGAGATATCTTATTAGTTTCAACGAATTATACTCGGAAGGAGATTGAAGGCCTTGTTCAGTTGGAAAGAAATGAGCCCCTGGATGATCTTGGGGGCTTGGGATGGACTGGTGGCTTAGAAGGCTCCTCCTATCTTGTCAAAAATCCAGACATCAACGGTGCCGAAGCCAAACGTCTCGCGCTGTCAAACACCACAACGCTTAATACAATGAACAATGTTCATCGAGGCTTTATCGAAGACCAACTACTGAGGGTTGAAAATTGTTCGGCGTCACCACATTGGAGAGTGTGTTTTGAGCCTCATTCTCTCACAACAGCAGGTATTCCAGCTCTGCGAACGACTCTGGTGCACTTCAAAAACCAAGAGCCTGACCATGTTTTGGTACGACTGGAAAAAGATCAAAGACCAAGAGGCTATGAAAGGAAACTGCTTAAGCATCATCTCCGATCAAAAGCACAAAAGTGGTACGCTTTCCCACCATTTGACATTACAGAGGACTTGGTACTTAGGATGAACTTCGACTCCGTTGAGGTGTTTAGAATGGGTGAAGATCGGGACGAAACTCTGTTCTTCCGCAAACAAGGAAGGCCCAGCATTGGATAGGAAAATGGGGCAGGATTATTCAAGTTATTTTTTCATTATGCTGTCCTCACTCGTAGGGACAATATTTGACCCATTTTTCGGATACAACAAACGGCCTACCCCGTATGCTACCCACTGGTGGGTGTCAATCCTGCAGGAGGCGCCCAGCCAGCCCTGCGGCTCAGCCTGCTCAGCCACAGTCGAAGGCGTGAGACTCACAAGTTACCCCTGCATTCTGGCATGCTTTCAGCATCCGTACCTATGGCTCAACGCCCGAGAGAATCCCAGTCATCGCAATGACTCTACCAGAGCCCAGGTTCTTTATTATCGGACCGGCCAAAATTGGCCCACTGGGGGACTCGCGTCTGAGTCCAGCCGCACGTCACGCATATTCACCCGCGAGGACTTAAATATGCTCAATGTCAAATTTCGACGGCTGTCAACTTGTGTCAATTATTTATTTCGAGATGAAAGCTCCACATATTCTACCTAGGCCATGGTCGAATCTACCGCAATTTTCTGTGTCGGATCTCAAGCAGAATGATAGTCAAAGACCTCTAAGGTAAGGCAACACTGTACATCGAGAGCAAAGCACATATTGTTGAAACCGATGAATGTTCAATTGCATAGGAACCATTGCAAATGCAACTAGTGTATCTAACTAAATGACAAGTCTGTGATGCCACTTATTTGAAGAGCATCAGGGTTCGGCTTGGCAGAGCTCTCTTCTCATCTTCCGTTACTAAGTTAGACCTCACGTCCACGGGGTCTTATGTGCGGATCCTCAATTCCACGCAATTGCTGCCAATACGATGCAAACTGCAATATGCATCGCATAAGGCATACTGGCTCAGTTGCTGCTTCTTGTAAGCGTAAAATCCCGCCTACTATCATTGACCCTTTCTCTAGCGTAGTCGTAATTGGCACGCTGTCGATGCAGATTGTCCTTGACTTTGAAAGTCGATCCAGCGCGCAATAACTTCTGTTGTAGGACAGGGCACTTAGCCACCTGATTCATTTCCAATAAACAGGTTGGGTGATACAGCCTTTGTCGACAAAATGTCATTCTCAGTGGAACAAATATAGTCCGATGCCACACTATTTTCGCAGCCAAGAATATACCGCAGCCCCACTCAAGGCTAGAACAACGCCCATAATGTCCATGTATGAGGGGACCTGATCAACACTATACCACCCAAGCACAATGATGATGACATTCTTAGCGTTGGAAACAACATTGAAAGTGACGGCGGACGTGCGTCCGATAATCAAGAACTGACTTAGATTCAGACCTGCGGCCAGAATACCCGAGAAAATGAAAGCTGCCAATATGCTTGGTTCGACGACCCGGAAATCTGGAATCTTGTCTGTGAAGGGCAGCAAAAGCAGTAGCATGATGGTCGATACTGGGGCTTGGTTGAAGAGTAGTTGTGGTGCACTGACTTCGAGTTCTTCGACCTTCTTGCCAATCCAAATCTGGTAGAACGCTGTTATCACGAATGCTGCAATGGCGACAATGGCGCCAAAAGGATTGGATGTGACCATTTCCACATTAGTCAGTGCGACACCGAGGCATGAGACAAGAATGGTAGATAGGCATGCGCTCGAAATCCGCCTTCGGAAGAGGATGAAATTAAGGCCGACAACTGTTGGTGTGGTCATGATCTTAGCAAGTTGGTAGAAGGAAACGTCGTTCAGAGCGAGCGATAGGTTACCAAGGATGAGAAACCCGACAAAGAGTACTGAACTCGGCAATATTTCTTTCAGCGGTATTCTTATGGGCGCGAAAATGTCGAATTGCTTGAATGACGCCAGAAAGAGCAAAGCAGTTGTTGCTATGAAATGCCAGGCAGCGGTGCCGACCTGAAATTTGCGGAACTGGGGGTCTTGAAAAATGCTAATCATCAACGTAATGAGCTTATGACTGTCATGAAGAAATTATCGCTAAGGATGGATCATACATTTTGTTGATGAAGACGATGCAGACCGTTGAGGTCGTGTTAAGCAAGACACAAAGGAAATTGACGACATTTTTCTTGCTTGTGCCTGCGAGCCAGTTATTTGATGTGCCCGTACTCCAGTCAGCAATTCCCAGATCTGTGCTGTCATGACCAAGCAGAGTCTGCTTTTCTAGGTCATGCTGAGGAGTAGATTCGTCAACTAAGTTAAACATTCGTCAGCTCATGACACGTTGGAAAGTTTGAAGTTTGTACATACTAGAGTCGCTAGAGCTTCGAATTCCCTCATCTTCATCCAAAGCCATTTTTACCTCAATACTCATCATGGTGGAGAGATTGTGCGAGGTCCAGAGGCTCACAATATCGAGGAAGGAGACTCACGGAAGCTCAGTTGACTCGGCAGATTTCTTGTAGTACACGGCCAAGGGCGGAGGATATGAGAGAACATCTACCGCTCATTGCGTGAGCGCCACAGGAGAGACGCTCTTTGGTGATTCCGGTAACCAAGGTAGAAGCGTCCCATCACTGCATGCATGCTCATCGTAAGTTTGATGGCTGCATTGCCTCTGCAATATGTCTCAAAAACTCAAGACTAATCCAATGGACCGTTTTCGGCTTGAGCAGCCAAAACAATAAGACGCAGGCATAGCACAGCTTCAGCCAAGCCCTTTTTGTGGCTGAAATGAGCGGCTCTGATGCTTCATACTAACCGATTGTCCGTATCATCCGCTCAGCTGCAGTTGGTTGAATACGCTTACTCGGCCTCCGATCTCGACAAAGTCTTTCGCAACGGATTTGATTGTTCGTTACTGTGGGCTGGCGTGGATCGCGGGGGAAAGAGATGAGATCCCTTGGCACCCCTTATTCCTTGGTACGAGTATCGAGTCGTTACCTGACTTGGATTGTCCGCCCCCTGTAAACTTCGGAAGGGCTAAGCGTTGCAGGGGCCGAGGGGGCCACCCTTAAAGTGACGTAGACCATTGAATCCACCAAGGCGACAGGGCTTCGACTTCATGCACTCCGTTCCCGGTACAGAGGAATTCAACTCTCAGGGAAACGTTGGTGTAGACTGTAGACAATAGCCATCTACGGGCCATTTACAATTCGGACTAATAACGAGTGTTTTGACACATGTCAGAGCCCCTCTCTGTCAAGTCTATCTCCACATGCAAAATGGAGTTTACTCTGCAATCTCCTTTGTTGGGTGAGTGTGGGATATCATCAGTTTCATTTGCACCCGTCTATGGACTTGTGGCTTGGTATTCACACAAGCTGCTCAGCATCTTCATTGCCGTGTGGAGGTCGCCCTCTCAGTACCATAGATACAGGTCCCGCCATTGCCTCTGGCCATTGACTTCTGATGGTTGGCTGCTCGCTTGCTTGCTTCCACACAGACCCCAGTATAGTAGCTGGCAGATGCTCTAGATCCTGTACTTGGGTCAAGTAGTAGATCCTGAGGAAATCTAAGAGCATCTCCCACATCTACGTGGCGCATGTTCCATATGGTCATGTTGAAACTGCTTATGGCTTTCCGTTCCTTCAATTGAGCAGTGGACCTCTTAGTGAACTCCACTAGCCCGAAGATTCCGAATGTCCAAGCCAATACCTATCCTAGACCAGGTGCTGACGAGTGTTCGTTACATGCTGCGAGCCCCTTCGCAGCTCACATTTCCGTTAGTCTAAGGTTCTTTCAACAACTGTGGGGTTTATGGTATAGCAAGTGAAGGCCTAGGTCCCATGAACAAACATTTCGGACGAGGATTTTTTGCATCGATGGACCTCACATGGTTGAGTTCCCCATTCGCAGATGAAGGGGCAGTTTCGAATAGGTAACGTGCAAGGCTGCACCTATACGTCGGTCAGTCAGTACCTGCAGAAATGTGATGCCGAGCATGTTTACGAGGGTTGTATGCCAGTTCCGGTCTTGACAGAGGAATTATCTTTTTTCGTGATTTAAGATCATCAATTGGCATTGTATCTTTGGCAAGAAGGTCTTCAGCACTCTTGTCATCGAAATTTATTTTCTGAACCGGAGTGTTCATCGGCATTATGTTTGACCTTGTACCTAGCTGACCAAGCGGCTAGTGTGGGTCGGCAGATACGCGCTCACACCATCCTGTCCATGACGTCGCGTCGCTCACGACTGCTCCTAAACAAAACTCAAAGCAACAAAAAGTTACGCTGCTTATGTCTGGACAATCCAATTCGAGATTGCGAGCAGTCCGAAACCGAGGTGGGCCATGGAAGAAGTGTTCCGAAACCGAGGTGTGAATATCGGAAGAATTCCGAAGTGTTGAACCCTCGAGTTTGATATCAATCTCACTCTCATATAGGGTGAGGCCGCCGTTGTGTTCAATCTTCCAATTGAGACTATCTTGCTCGCTGAGTGCTTTGCAGTATGGCGAAAGAGATTGAAGGCTACGAAGGTTATGTGAACACGGTTCTCCCTTTCAAAACAGTTGGGGATCTTGTGCTGAGTGCAGACGTGCTGTACCCCAGACAAAAGCCAAGTTCCCCTGCTCCCGTTCTGATACATTACCATGGTGGATTCCTGGTAAGATTTAGTCGAAGCTTTGTGAAACCACATATTCATCTTATATTAGGTTTTTGGGGAGCGTTATACGTTTCTTCCAGAGTGGCTAGCTCAGGCATCTGTCAACCGAGGTTGGATTTTTGTCACCCCAGACTACAGACTAATTCCGGAGACGACGGCTCATGACTCAGTCGAAGATGCTGTAGATCTCTACCATTGGGTGTCGGAGTCTCTCTCAAGTCTCATCGACAGGGAACTTGGATCAGTTGTTGTTGCAGGCTCTAGCGCTGGTGGATTTCTAGCATTGACAACTTCAGTGGTTGTCAAAGCAAAACCGGCTGTGGCGTTCCTAATTTATGGAATGCTTGACATGATCAACGTACACTACCTCACAAAAGGGAGCAATATCTTTGGTCAGCCTGTATTCGACACCACCGAAACTAGAGAATACCTCAAGAACATCAAAGACAAACCTGTCCTTACGGGTTATGCTTTTCCTGCGGATCCGACACAAGATCCTCGGCTTAAGATTGTCTCTACTCTTCATATCGATGCTACCTTCCCTGATTATATGACAGGTGTTCCAGGCCTAAGTGACAAAGTTGTGCAGAATGGAGTAGAAGCGATTCCTGCCGAACACCGGAAGCTTTACCCTTTGACCTTTGGTCGCTTGGATGATCTCCCGCCCGTCCTAATTGTACATGGTCAAAATGACACAGCTGTACCGGTGACCTTGAGTGAGGTCGCTGTGCAGAAGCTCCAAGCAGCTGGAGTATCAGTACATGCAGAATTCCCAGATAATGCTCAGCACGGATATGATGCAGCGGCTGGAAGAAGGCTAGAGTCAGAACTGGGAGGAGACCTCAGTGGTTCTGGGTTTGACAGCTTGAGGAAATCACTAAAGGTTCTGGATCAGATCATAGGATGACTTTGCATTTCTTGCCAAATAGAACTGCAGGCCTATGGTGTAAAGTGGTTTTGACCAAAATCTTAATGATCATCAACCGAGACGGTGGTTCAATATTCCAAGGCACTAATCTCAATTCGGAACACACACCCTCACAGTTAGTGGCTGGAGGAAATTGTAGATTGAACATCATTCATAATATGGGCGCATGCTTAAGAGCAAACCGGACTGTAGCATGCAGAGCAATGTGGTCATATCGTAGAAGTTCGAAGGACAAGTTGGGTTGAATTCTAGAGGGCAGATTCTCAGAGCGTATACCTGAAGCCCTTGTTGTCAAGTTCGGTGATATCATGCATGCCACTTTCAATCGCGGCTTTCTCGATTTCTGCCTCAACTGTGCCTGCTGCTGCAGCCTCGCGATCTCGCTTTTTGTTGACCAGATACATGTAGATGTAGAGAACAATGATGGCAAGCAGTTTGATGATGTAGCCCACCATCTACGAGCATAAAAATATCAGCCTTCAAATCACACTAAGCAACTTTAGGGTTGGAGCAAATGCGACATACCATGGCCACATAGGCAGAGTGATATCCTGGTTTCTCACTATCCTTGAAGGTTTGAGGTCCTGAGTAATTGGTAGGTCAGCAAATCCGCCGCCACACCAGGATTCCTGCTTACCAATAATGTTTCCAACACAATATCCAGTGAAGAGAATAGCACCGGTCAGCTGCTTCTTCGTGTAGCCAGCTATGTTAGAACTGACCATAGTCAGGCTCATACTGAAACCTAAACCTTGAAAGTAGCACAGCCATAGGCCAACTAAACGACCCCATTTGTTACTGTTTGGTAGTCCTACAAGGAGGCCAGAGCCGATAATGCAGATTGTGTTTGCTGTGATCATCGCAATGCAGCGGGTGTTGGGATACTTGGAGCAAATAAATCCACCTCCTAGAAGAGCGAGGAATTGCACAGCACCTCCGGGAATTTGAAGATACTGAGTCCCCAAAGTGTCCACGTTGAAAGACTTGATGACGATAGATGTAAATTGCGTGAGTGCAGAGTTTGGAACTTGAGCACCAACTGCCATCACGAACAATATCCATGTTTTGGGGTCTCTAACTGTCTGCCACATCTGGTATTTCTTGAAGTGTCGATTCTTGATACCTTGTCGGTTCGCCGAAACTCTTTTCGCGGCGATGACTTTCTCGGGATCGCTCAAAAATCTTGCCGTAGATGGAAGATCCGGAAGGAATAACAAAGCCACGATGCCCAAGGCGATACTGATTGAGCCGAAGATCAGAAAAACGTACATCCAGCGTGGAAGTCCTGTGGTGATGTGGCCAACGGCGTAGCCGATGAGTCTGGGCTAGTTAGCTAAGCCCAAAGGAGTAGATGAGATGGCATACCCTCCAAACATGGTCGCGACACCGTTAGTGCAGTAGTAAGATTCCAATCTCAAGGGTTGTTCCGCAGCAGTGTACCAGATGCTCATAATGAGCACAAACCCTGGATTGACCACTGCTTCGAACGAACCCAAAAGGAATCGATTCACAGCAATTCCTGCGAAACTTTTGCAAGCCGGAGTTGTGATGAGAATGATGCCCCATGCTATGGTCGTGGCACCAATCACCTTGCCAATCCGGAATCTCTGTAGAAAATAACCTGCCGGATATTGTGCCCATAAATAACCTTGCAGGTCAGCATACTTCCAGAAATTGATACTGGGCATACACCCGTACCGAAATAGAATATGGATCCGAGCCATGAGTAGTCTTGCCCTTGGAGATGGGTGCCCTTCTGCAAACCATAAACACTAGCATAATTGATACCATTCTTGTCCAAATATTGCATCATATAGATGAGAGTGAGAATTGGTATGACACGGCGGTCTATCTTGCGCAGGACCTTTTTGGCCTCGACATGGTCGGTATCTTCTACATCACTCCGCTTGTAGAGTTGATATTCATCATCCAGACTGGCAGAATCCGCAGAAGAGCTGTTGAGATATTCTGGGCTAGCTGGAGCGGGTGCGATCTTGTCTTCGAGAGAAGCTTCATTGGCACCCATTTTGACTTTCGTGGCGTTACGATTGAGTCGACCTATACGTGCATGGTGCAGGTAATACTGGTTTATAAAAGCACAAGCATAACGAAGAAATTTGCTGGTATTAAGCCAAGCTTCCCATCATGACGCCACATACGAAGAGATAAGGATTTTGAAGAACACACCATGCTGGAAGAGCTAGCCGTTCTCGAAAAATCATGGGCATTAACGAGTATGATTGTCCACAGTAGGTAGAATCCTGTGGTGCCGTTGGCCGAGTATGCTCATGATGCCATACACGTGATAAATCACGACATTTGCTATCGATAAATTGGGAAAATGATACCCAGTGTCGTTCATCTTCCGCCAATCATTTTATCCACGGGTGACTTCGTTTACCACGCGACATCCGCAGCTTGCGAACAGCATTGTCAGAAACACCAAATACGGAAGGTAGATAGCTCAGTAGTGTTCTAACTATGAGACTGGAAGGCAACTTGAGATGTCGCGTACGGGGCGAACCCGTCCTCGGCAAACATGCCTTTCTTAGATAACCTTAGGCTGTGTATTCACCGTGAACGCCATGTTGTCCTCAGGAAAAGGCATAGAATCAGCCATGAAAATTCATTGACAGTCTCTCCTTGGCGGTTTCTGAGATGCAACCAGATGCTGATGTGATTTCAGCCTGAGCAAGGATGCGAGATCTTCAACGCGCGACCTGGCAATGTTGGCTCAAGGCATGACGGAGACATGTTGTTCAGGCTCAGCGACGCGGATGCCTCCTAGAAGGAAAACCACGTACCCAAGGAGATGCACAGACGGTGATGAGTTCAACACATGGATCGCTCGACCATGGCAACCTCTGTGGCGGACGTCGGGTCGATACTGCTCGTAAGACTTTCGGTACGACAATTGGACGAAATCGTGGAAGATCGAGCCTCTGAAGCAGAAATGGCTAACAGGAATGTCAGAGAATGCATCGCAAGCCGTGAAATTAGTGTTCCAGAACTGAATTGTAGCATGTCCTTCAATCTATCAGGCGGCGGGCTGACGGTGAAGCTGAAGAAGGCGCATCAATGATAGTTTCCTGGGGCGAACCTCATTTACTGCTCCTGACGAACACAGCTCTCGTGTTCAAGCGAAGCATTTCCAGAAACCTCGGTCCATCGTTGGGAGTTGACTGGGTCGGCCGACAAGATGCACAGAACAAATGAGCATCATAGACCAGCACTGATACAAGAGTATTGACGGCCATGGTGAACGAAGAGGACGCGACGTGAATAGGATCAGTAACTAACTGATTTTCCACTGCCACACGCTCCATTCACAAAGACCTTCGTCGTCCCAATGGTCGTCTTTGGCTTGTTCCCTGCCTTCCAAGATGCATTCCAACCCTCCAACCTCAAGAATTGCCCATATTTCTCGAATCTGGTCGAGGTAAGCGACACGCATAGGCCAAGTCATGATCACGCGAGCGGATGGATCGGGCGATAGCCATTTGAATATGGCTTTCGATAATAGTTCAGGATGTTCCTCTGAATACATGGTGTCGGCCGCAAGAATCACTTGAGCTTTGTCCGTGTGGGCCGAGATTGTCTGCCCATCTTCGTCAAGCAGAAAGTCAGGTTCACTCCAGTCAAGAGATCCGCATCTAACGAGGTCGTTGACAGTCGCCGTATTCAATGCAATATTGGAAGACAAGGCAGGCACGATAGGGCAGAGATCTGTTAGATAGACAGGCTTCTTCCATAAGGATGCGGCAGTCAAACCAACGAGGCCGGTTCCCGCTCCAAGTTCTAGGACTGGAACTTTAGATTTTGATGAGATGTTGACTTCAAGCTTGTGGAGCAGACTGGCAAGAATGAAGCTTGATGTCCAGGTGATGAGACCTAAGTTCTGCGCACGAACTGCAGGCTCCGTAATGTGCACCTGGATCTCTGATCCATCACCAGATGGCATCAAGAAAGATCGAACCATGACGCCGCAAATCAACTAAGGTACCTACCCGATATCTCATGTAGCACGAACACGAACACGAAAACGAAAACGAAAGCAATGTCGATGCAAGAGACTCGCGACTTGTCCAAATTGGACTCGAAGCAAAACTGACGTCTGTGCAAATAAAGAAGCTTGGCGCCAAGGCCAATTCTTGCAGTTCAAAAATTCATGAGCTGCAGTTGAACACCGTCGAGTTCTGAACACAGTACTTCAATATCCGTTGGTAGCCGTCTTTCACTTGATTCGAGCGAGGAAGACCTACGATTCAAAGTGGCAAAATAGCTGCTTCTCCTTTTCCAAGTTTCAATTTGTACACCGAACTCTGAAGAGCACATGTGATCCAGTCTTCCTCAATGTCAGTACTGGGCCTCGGCTGGCAAGCTCTCTGCCGAATGCTGTTGCGCTAGGCAATTCGGATCCTGGAATCCCTTCATAGGCAGCAGAATGGACCAGGACCCAGACGACGGGTCGCATTAGACTTTTTCGTTACCCCAGAATTCTCAGTTTGAACGGCAATGGAACTGTGGGAGAGCTTTTGACTTTGTGGGCGATGTTCCATACATTCTAATTAAAAAGTCAAACCCGGTCTCCAGATAGTGGATAGAACAATGCCGGCGTAACCAGAAAAGTCGATTGATAATGCAAACAACAGTAAGTTCTAACAGCTGTTTCAGAACCTGAATCTCAGCCGAAGATCCTGGAGCGCCCTGAGGAACGTTGCTCATTCTCTTGCCCTCCCTAAGCACAAACTCTTTTTGGCAGAGGATGGCGCACATGGCTCGGAGGTGTGCTTCCTGATTTAGCTCAACGACCGGCCTAGTCTCCACAATTGATTTGTTGCTTCGAAGATGCCCTGACAAAATTAACGTTACTTTGGTGAGATTCAGGGCAAACTCAACGTCACCGTCGATCCCTGGACGCATCTTTCAGCAGCGATGCCACACCGAAAAGCACTTCGGGTTAATTCTTCGAGGGAGGAGAAGGTATTGCATCGTTCGAAAAGCGGTACATTATTGGGGTTGCGCAGGAAATGGGTAAGGCTGAACCTTCGCGACGTGCCGGACGATTAGCAGGAATCCACAGTGCAATTACCATGGCTGGACACCTCGCCAAAGCGGAAACTAATGATCTCGTGCTCCGAGCGTGCAGGCGTCCACCCTTGCACTATCGCAAGATGATGCAGACTTGATTGTCTGGGCCTTCACTTAAATCTAAAACTGAGGGGATGAGAGCATATGCCTCCACAGGCACGGGAACGAAAAAGCAGGGGAAGTGTTCCTTACAGGAGTTGAGCAGGTACATGCTTGCGGGGGAGGATGGACGGAAACTAATTATATCTGGTTCTCTCGTACTTCATCCTGGTTTTCTTATCTTTACTTTCTATCGAATCTTCTCGGTACCTTGCGTTTCATGGGATACCCATCATCATGTCGGTAGCTGTGGAGCCTTCCGCATGGCCAACAGGCTGGCCTGCTCCCAATTACGAGAACCCAGAGACACGTGGTCACCCATCTATCTTCATTGCTACCTCGGTAATCACGACGATAGTGGTCGCTCTCAGACTATATTCCCGTCACTACCTCCTCAAGTCGGTCGGACTCGACGATGGACTGCTTCTTGCGGGATATGTATGTCCAGACCCGGTTCGTGGTTTACAGGATTGACCTTGCTCCCAGGTGTTTTCAATTGGCCAGACCTATGCCCAGTACAGAGCTCTTACTACATGGGGCTGGAACAAGCACCTTTGGGATATTCCACCCGATCGTTTGAAATTTGTTCGCCTTGCAGCATGGCTCATCGAAATTTTCTTTCTATGGGGAACTGCTTGCACCAAAATCTCCATCCTCATGGTATATCGAAAAATATCTTCTGGCAGTCGTACCTTTTGGTTCATTAGATTGACTTGGGCGGCGATTACTTTTACGCTTCTCTACACGGCTGCTCTCACCTTGGAGCTTATGCTGGTGTGTCGACCGCTACCGGCATATTGGAACTCCTATAACCCGAAATATACAAGGAGCTACCAGTGCGGCAATGAACGTTTTCCTATTGTCTTTAGCGCAGCAGCTTCGGTTTTTTCCGATATCTATTCCTCGGTATTGCCCATGTTGTTGACTGCAAGACTATCCCTCACCACTCGCCAGCGTATCGGCTTATGCGTCCTATTCTCTGCGGGCCTCATAACTGCTGGGGTCGGTTGTGCACGATTGTATTTTCTGCTTAAGGTTACCATGAATTATCAGCCTGGTCCGAGAACCCATGATATCACTTGGGAGGGGTGGCCAACTTTCGTAAGCCCTCCTCCATCCTATGAAAGCTCACACTGATTTTGACTAGGCTCTTACTGATATGGAAGCTCATCTTGCAATCATCTGTGCTTCAGTTCCTGCACTAAAGGTGCTATTCAAACGACAAGTTTCTCAGCAGCTCTCCAACGCCCATGCGTCAATTCGTTCAAACTCATTCCGACGCGCACCATCACGTTCATATCGACATAGTGGTCATCACATCGCACCCAAGGCTCGGCCACCGGCACGCCTTTCACGGACATCCTTTGATTCTGAGTCACCTGCTAGTCATGAGCATGAACAAGATGTTGAAAGTGTTTCACTCCAAAGCTACAATCACGACAAGCCGCTGGCGTCTCGGGCTGTACACATAGCGGAGTTGCATCGCCGCTCCTGATCATAAATCAAGGTCTTGGCAGACGTGAGACGGCTGTCGGGCTATAACCGCAGCTCATACAGGTTGGAATGAAGGCAAAACGACGATTTCTTTATATTGAAAGCCTACCGAGCATACGCAAGCTGGTTTCACCACCTTTGATCCACCATTACCGATGTGAATTTGGTATATTGTACGAACATCATCGCAGCCTGAAGTTTTCATGATCGCAGCACCAAGACATATATTTATCCTTCATTTCAATCTAGTTAGATCAAGCATCTGCCTTACGTGATTATCGCCTACCATGAGTACCTTCTGTGTTTGTAATTGATGTCTGCCAATTGCCTCTGCCAGGCTTTGTATACATGTGTTGCTTAATCAGCCACAGGCTTGCAGCAGACCCTATGGTCGTTGTCAAGGTTTTGACAGGCACGGGCCACCATCAAAAATCAAGCCTTCTGAGCTCGGCTCATCAATGGTGCCCGGACCATTACATTATCGTGGCAACCACCAATGAACAGGAAGCCTTGACAGTTGTTGCCAACTCGTTTGTGGTTCGCTCAGGTCAACCATTGAGATGGCCATGCTAATGTAAGTGAAAAGCGCTGCCTGCATGCACCTCTTTGATCCGTGCACAATCGTTCTTCCACCATAAAGCATGGGAAAATTGAAAGCTTGGACACTCCCCGACTTCACCAGAAAAGCTATTCCGGGTAACATGTGCGTTATGCCAGTGTTTATGTACCTTCTACCACCCAATCGATCTCTCAACATGCCCTCTCAATCATTGTTGAACCGAACACTGGGAGATGATGAATACTGCGTTTCTGACTGCAGCTGGCCTCGCCATCTTTATCAGCACCTGCATCGCGCAATCAGTGACCAAATGTGGGAATTCAGGTCCTGATAGCTACTATAACTCGACTACACTACCTTATGTTTGTATGTTTATACTCTGCTCCTGTTAACAAGCCGTAACGTCTAAGTTAGTTTACAACAACCCTTGGGGCAATGACGATTCCGGATTCACTTGTATGACAGTAGGTAAGCCACACAGCATGTGCAGGGGAATGAGTTGACATGTTGTGATAGGTGAAGAACAATGGCACAGCCTTCGACGCGACATGGAGATGGCTGAACAACTCGGACAAAGTGCACGCATACCCACACTTCAAACTCGACTCCCCGTTATACCCCTTATCTCTCACGCAGCTATCAGCGGTCGCATTCGCGGGCGACTGGGGCATCAATGTGACATCTGCTCTGCAGGCAGATACTCAGGCGCGAGAGCAAGCCTTGAACGACAATGACGTACAATACAACGTCGCTTTGGACATGTTCCTCGACGCAAACGAGACACAGGCGCAGGCAGACCTTCCACATTACGAGATCATGGTTTGGCTTTCGTACTCGTACAATGTGTATCCGGTCGGGATTGATACCTCAAGTCCAGACAAAGACCAGTTTGTCATCAACGGGACCAGATTGTAAGCATTTCTTGTCGCAGTCCAATAACAGCGATGTCTCTTCTTCGAACCCCTTGCTAACATAAATACTTCACAAAGCTTCCTCTACCACGGAAACAACACGCAAGGGCAGACAGTATTCTCTTGGCTGCCAGAACACAATCTGACGCACGCGTCTGGCGATTTCTCTCCTCTCGTCCACTACCTATGGCAGTTCAATTTCATGCCGCAGGAGGTCTATCTAGGAACCATACAGTTCGGCACCGAGACTTTCCATGCAACCAGCGAGGTTCTGTTCTCTGCTGGGAACTATAGTTTGAGCGCAAGTCAGGACGATAACCTGCAGGTGCCGAAGCTTGATGCGCCCAAGCCGATCACTGTTCCGAGTCAGGTGCCGACTATGGCAAGATTTGAGAGCGGGACCAGTGCTTTTGGGGGATATGGATCTATTTCGCTGATGGCCTTGAGTTTGTTGGTGTTGCTTATATTGCAACATTGAGTATTCTGACCAAGGCATACTTATTGTCATGTAAATTCCAAGCGACATTAGAATCCAATGACTGGGTGTGATATCTGACAATCTGGCCTTTGGTCATTATTTCTAAACTGGCCTTCTAGGTCTTCTTAAGCGTACAACTCAACGTCATGCACATGCTTGCTTCAGACTACTTCTATTCTTCACGGTCCAGGACTCAAGGGCTCCTCGAACAAAATCACAGCCCTTCACCGTGATTGACACCTAAAATCTCCGTTTGCTCTCCATTTATGATCTGGCTGGGTAGATCAGAACCGATTCGTGATCCTGTCAGCAATGCTGCTGCGACGTCGGCCCTGAACGGCCTCGCTCTGGCGGCGAATTGTCTCGACAAATTCCTTGTCATTGTCGACATGGCCATCGAAAGACCACAAAGAAGGGCATGGGCCAATCTTGCGACGCAAGACTTGTGATTTGATCCACCATGGAAGGACTGTGCCTACTTGGTGGCGCATGAATGTTCGAGTTGGGATAGCGAAGATGTAGTCGAGCTCCTCCTATACTAATGATTAACACGGAACGATTTTAATTCCGTCGACTAACGACTTACCAAAGTGCGTTGCTTGGTCTCTGGCAGGAACAAGAAGATCATGATCAGTGCAATTATATTCAGACCTGCATAGAATCCAAAAGCTCCAGTTGGAGTCATGGCTGAAATCATACGTGGGAAGGTAATGGACAAAACAGCTGCCCAGAATAAGCAAGTTGCAACTGCCCACGCCATTCCGACCTCGCGATGTGACAGTGGAAAAACTTCAGCGGAGTAGGTGAATGGGACAGGACCTTCACCAGGGGAGTAAAACGCGGCGAACTAACGGGATTAGCGAATGTCGGCTTTGAGATTCTGACTAGGACTTACCAGATAGATGAATAGAGCCACGAGGCCGAGATGTGCTGAACTTGTATCCGGGATAAGATAGCAAAGGCCGGCTGCAAGAAGCGTCCACGCCATCTGTGGAAACGTGAACAAGAGCAGCGACCGTCGACCAAAAGTATCGATAGTCCAGATCGCAGGCCAAGCAAAAACGAAGTTGACGAGCCCGAATCCCCATGATGCAAGCAGCGATTCGGTGACCGATGCACCAGCCTGTTCAAACACCGTAGAACTGTAAAAGGCGATAATGTTGACTAGAAAACATCAGTACATGTGCCATGGTTTTCATCGTTGTAAGGGGCTCATACTTCCGCACATCTGCTGCGCAATCATGACAGTGAATGAGGCCAATGTTGCCCGACGGACACGGGGAATAGTAAAGAGCTGAATAAAACGAGTGACATAAGTGGTTTGTCCTGGAACCAAGTTTGCTTCCATCTGAAGTTGAGAGTAAATATAATATAAGTCGCGAGCGGCTTGGAGTTCAGTGTTACGGAGACGTTTCAGGGACTGGTATGCTTTGCGATAAGATCCCTTCTTGATGTACCAACGAGGAGATTCTTCAATATGGTTCAGTAAGAGACAACATGTTTGGATGGACGGATGGAGAACTCCCTGTGCTTACCAGGACAAAAGTAGATTCCAATGAGGAGTGGTAAGGCTGGAAGAAGAGCAGATCCAAATTGGAGTCGCCAGGAGATAGCTCCGGTGTCTTTGACCGCCAGATTGGCGCAGGTACCCAAGAAAATACCGAATGCAGTCCACATTTGCCAACTCATAACTAATCCTCCACGTACGGCTGCTGGGGCATTCTCGGCACTGAATATGGGTACTGTTGAACCTTTGCAGCCCATGCCGATGCCGAGTAGGAGACGAGTAACCAAAAGTTGCTCCCATGCTTGACATTCGATCAGATATAAGGAACGAATCAAGGGGAACAAACTTACTCTGGGCAACAGCGCTGCCAATAGGAGCCAGGAGACAAAAGACAGCAGAAACAAAAATAGTGCCGCGACGACCGAAGTAGTTGTTCAAAGGGTCGGAGCACCAGCATCCACTGTGGAATATCAACTCATGGTCTTCACAACACCAGACTGGGAGACTTACAGGAATGCCGAGGCAATATATGGTGCAGCATTGATCAAGCCCTGGTACCACTGATTTCGAGCAGCGTTGGGGTTTGGCACCCCGTCAATCTCATCGCGAACCGGGATACCGAGCGCATCAGGAAATGACAGGTTAGCACCGTTGGAGCCAGTCTGATCCCAACCTTGAACAGCGGCGCCGATTGAGCAAAGAATGATAGTGAAGTAGAGTGACCTTGGCTGGCGCCATTTGTGCAAGACTTCATTTCGAATGGCCTCTTTCTCGTCTTCAGTGAGTCCAGGTACGGACTCGAAAGCTGGTGGATCTTTGGCAACAAGCGCGCCTTTCACTAGAAGAGGTGCCATATCGTTAAAGTCGTTATTCTTCGCAAAGTCTTCCACATTTCTTATCACCTCCTCATTAGATAGGTGAGCGAGAGGATTCTTGATCCTGAATTATTGTTAGTCGTCTGCCCATTACCACTATCAGTGACCTACTTTGCTGCGGTACTGTTCTCCAGATTAATATGAGTGATGCCCTCCTTCTCTCCAACATATTTTTCGTCGTCGCTACAAACTGTCAGAATTGCTCCCCAACTTGTTAGTGTCTGGACGTACTGGACGGGCGCCTCTGGGCTGATATTTTGCTCTTTGGAGGCCATGGCAGGATACTCGTCGAGAATTGAATCAGATTATGATGAGGAGATGAGGCAGGACGAAAAGTGCGAATATTTGCGATTTAAAAATTCCGCTCAACCTCAACCCCAGGCGGGGAAACATGTGAGATGTTGATGAATGCGACTGTGGGGATTCCATTCTCATCATCGATCATCCTTGATCAGGCTATCAACCTCGAAGTTCCATGACGCAGCGAGAGAGCTCACGCCTCTAGTCACGCATTCATAATCCTATCCCTCGAGGATAATGCTCATACTGAGGGTTTGAATACCGCGGATTGGCGCACATCCCTGGCTCCCCAGTTTATCAAAACATTCTGTTGGTGGACAAGGCCTAGAGTCGGTCTCCATTTCCCTTGGCTAGAGGTTGAACGGGGAAGATGTCTTGGTGATCAACGGGTCGCCTCCGGATCGACGTTGCAATGAAGGGCTTGTGGAGCGACCAAGGCTGCTTGGCCGAAAGGCTTGACATCCTTGCCAGTTCTTGTTGTTGTGCCAATAGTAGGTAAGCATATCAACGTTAGTGCTTGACGAGGCACCCTCAGGCCCAGAATGACGATCTGCCTTAGACAAAGCTTCAGCCCGTAAAGCTTGCGGCACGGCTACTGCGGCAATGAAAATGTCAATCCCGGTATTCGGCATACCCGCTTCGAGTAGTCCGAGCCTGGAGAAAGATGTTCAAGCAACGATCCTGGAAGTACGAGCATGCAGGCAATCACCGAATGTGATGTCACTACTCCAAATTGACTATATCTCATCCACTAGCACTCGAATGCGAACCTCTTGTAGGTCGCTCTTCCTAGAATTCTGTGGATGCTGCGAAGAATGAATAACCAGACAGACATTGGAAGGGGGGCCTGGTGGAGTTTGCCTTGATATTCCCGCCTCTGCTTAACTCGTTGTGTACTAATGAAACAATGGCGGTTCTAGTCCAGCGCATTCTGTCCACCGGATCTCGACTTCATATTGATGGGCGACGTCGGCTATAATATCCCTAGCCAGAGAACAATCCCTCCTCCCTTAGATTGCGCATTCGCGGGACTTCTTAGACAGGGGATTGTTGACCTTAGTCTTGAGGATGGCATCTTCCCCGAATATTTCCCTTCGCCTGAGCTACCACTCATCGCGTGACTCATCCCAAGAAGATAATTGTACGCACGGTAGTAATATTCCTCGGTCGGTCTTGTCGGTCGTCAGAGCAAAAGAAGTGTCCATTACTCTGCATACCACCAGAAGCAGGATATGAAGGCCAATGATCTCATATTTATGCTTGTAGCACGTGGCTCAACATTCGTTGTGACCAGGCCATCATGGAATGAAATTGGTGATTGAGTGACAATAGACAGTACACTGCAAACCATTCCTGCCAGTTATGCATCCAGCAACTTTCGTATACAACGAGTCAGCCTCGAGACCTTGTGCCATCAACGATTCCCCTCCTGTAAATTTTCGTGCACAATATGCCCGTCGCAGACTCGCAAGAAGGGCATCAGTTAGGGTCCGGTTAGTGTTGCTTAGATGCGGTCAAGGCTCACTTAAACTCGCTGGTATGCAAAGCACCAAAACGAAGGAGTGGTGGTAATCAGTTCCATGCATTGCGAGCCGCTAGTGCTTCCACCATCCCTTGGAGCTTTTCGTATTCGTTTGGACAGTACCTTCTCGGAATGATCTGATCTGATCAAATCGTGGGGAGTTCTTGAAAGGCCATTCTCGAAACCCGCAATTATTGATTGGAGTAGCAGCTCAAAAAAGAGTGGTCCAGCACGCTCTGGATGGGCCTGCCCAAAAAGCCTTTACCTGTACTCCCCAGCCCACATCACGACCATCATTGCCATGAATCACCCTGAAACCACTGACCGAAGATACTCACAAAGAATAGCGTCAGGACAACCTGTGCAGCCTGAATGATTGGAACTTGAGTAAATTATCTCGACAATTCAAGTTCGAAGAAAGTTCAACTTTTAGCAGGCACAGAGACCTTACAATGACAGCGCACAATCACTGACAGTGTGAAGTCTGTTCTGGGTTCTGGAATTCCAGGTGGACACGGAAAGATATAGAGTGTGGGAAACTTAAACAGCTCCACGATTTGCCAGGAGGAATCGGGGCTTCAAAACCGAAAGATCTCTGATCTCCAAACTCCAAGTCAGAAACAATGACAATGGTGAGAAGCACAAAGTCAAAGCTTCAAGTGCATCTCAAACATTTACTCTGTAGGCACTGCGCAGTCACCGACTTGTCTGGGTGTTGCTTAAGAGAACAGAATACCGGTACCCAGGTCATATTGAGGTGGTAAGGACTCCCCGGGGCAACGTAGCCCGATAGGGAGGCAGTCAAGGCCTCGGGCACGTGTAGGCCGAGCCAAACGGGAGTCTTAGGAGCGCCATTGTATCCCTGGAAGGTGGCACCGGGGCTTCGACACTCCGAGCCGATGACGCGCCCGATACCGCAGAACCAACCATTCTGCTATCTGAACAAAGAATTTAATATCGATCAACCATGATGTTGGAAGAGATTCCAGATTTCGGATGGTGAAAGAGCAGAGTCATCATGAAGTTCAGCAGCCATATCGCCCAAAATTGCAGGCGTCTCAAGTCCCGCCAATGCAAGAATGTCTACAACATTGCCAGATCTAGCACAAGCTACAGCCTAAGGAGTAAACAGTCGACGCTATCACGTTCGCTTCCACGGGGCACCTGGGACAGCCACATGCATGTGGTCGATCCCCAGAATTTCCCACTCGATGTCGACGCGCAGTATACGCCTCATCCCCATACATTGGTGGATGCAAAGGCGTTTTATTCTGCGTTGGGCATCAAGAACATGGTGTTTGTGCAACCATCAATCTACGGCAATGATAATTCGTGTATGCTAGAGGCGTTGAAAGAAGTCGGGCCCAGCCGCGGCCGTGCGATCGTCGGCATTGATCCTAAGACAACCAGCATCGAAACGTTGCAAGAATGGCACGGACTGGGCGTGCGTGGCGCGCGACTGAATTTCGTCTCCGTAGGTCGAGAACTCTCAGAGATCGAGCTTCACAGGGAAATCGAAAGCTATGTCGCGCTTCTAGAGCCGCTGGATTGGGTGCTCGAACTCTTCATCCCAATGAAGCAGCTTGTTGCGCTGGAAAAGATCCTTCCGAGTTTGGATGATCCTTTTGTCTGCATCGACCACTTCGGTTGGCCGAATCTACCAGCATATGACCCGTCTCGTCCGCTCGATCCATATTCGTTGGACGGATTTGAATCTCTCACTCGCCTCTTGCAGAGAAATGCTTGGGTTAAGCTTTCAGCTCCGTACCGACTCTCGAAGGACCCCGAAATACGTGACCTTGGTGTTATTGCACGAGAACTGATCAAGGACCACCGAGAGCGTGTCATCTATGCTACCGATTGGCCACATACGAGATTTGACAATATCGATCCTGTACCTTTCATCGAAAAGTGCTTTGAATGGTGTGCGGATGATGAGAGGCGCGTCGAAAAGTTATTCCGAGAGAATGCGCTAGAGCTTTGGGGCGCGCATGTTGTGGACGAAGATCCGCGCCCGCCGGAGAAGAATCGTTGAGATACGTTCTGGGACTAGTAGACTACGTTCATGACGGGTGTTGGAATTATGGAAGCCTGGGCATTCTTTGGTGTCTAGATGTTTGGTTCATATGGCCTACGTAAGTATGGAGATTGTACAAAAATGTATCATAGCTGGTACCTCATCTCTGTTATTGGCATTGCTGACATGATTGAACCTTGCTTGGTGTGCATATTGACCGCCTGCCCGATTCCAATAAGTAGGTTGAATATATCTGCGAAATATCTCAGCGCTTCGGTCGCAGTGCTAAAAATCTCAAAGAATCCATATTTGGTGATGCCAGCATTCCTCATAGAGTTCTGGCGCACCCAGCCAGTGGTAGATGCGTTGGGGGTTTTCATTATATCAAATCGGCCTGCCTGGAACAGCGGCAGGAGTTGCGGCCGATCCATCTACGACTTCAATGTTGGTATAAAATGGAGCACTATAGTCTCTTCACTCAGCAATGGCCATCTCCCCAGATCACTACGGCCCCTCCACCATCTCAACCCAAATCTCCCACATCTCGTTTTCGTCTGGGTACTTCTCGAAATGCGATGCCCCACTTCCTAGCTGCTTCATATTCTGATCTGTAGGTGGCACTCCCCTCCTTCGAACGAATTTCATCCACCGGCGTGTTTTTGCACCCACTGGAATTTCCGGCACAGAGCCTCCGTCTTCAAGCCACTCCTCAATCCAGCAGATATAAACGCGTTTGCGATCCTCGATATCACTTGGAGTCAATATCTCACTGGGGGATAGTATAGGCTTGAAGGGCCTCCGACCTTCCTCAATCTCCACCAGTCGTACAGCAACTCGGGCTTCGAAGTCGCCATGAAAGGGACCCTCGATACCTGCATGGCGGAGGAGGTGGATCGCTCGGCGGCGAGCAACGGAGTCGCGGTATTTCCGGGCGGTGAAATATAGAGGGTGAATGATTCCCGGGACAGGGGAAAACCGGGGTAGAGGGTGATTTAAGGTGTCGGGAGTGTTTGATCTGTCTGGAATCAGGGCATATTCGGCACAGCGGAGGATCTCTTCGAACTGTGGTGCATAGGCATCGTAGGTTACTTGAGTAGGCGGCTTAACGTTGGCGACAGCAATGAACATGGCGAGTGTTTGGGCTTTTAAGATCCTGAAGTTCGCTGTCTGAGAAAGAGACTTTTGTGAGCTCATCTGAGTCTCGAACACCAATGTATAGGTACGTAGCCAACGCTTCAGCCACGCAACCATATAACGTTGCTGCACCACCAGCGATGAGGGGAAGTCAATCTGTTCTGCCCATTTTGGTGACAATGCCTCGGCGATGAAATGCAGACTCCATTGCTGGAGAGTACCATGCCCCGAGATAAGATCTTCGACCGAGGTAGGGTACAGCATCTGGTTGCTGACTGGTAAGTGGGAGAATCGAAGCGGTCTTCCCCATGCGAACATAGAAATATGATAGTCGAGATTGTGGAAAAACTCCTGAACGGGGCCGAGGCCTTCAACCGGGCCTCTTGGGGCCAGTGGCCCTATCATTATCTCATGTTCTAACTTGGGAGAACCTGGACTTTCAAAATTGAACATACTAAATGCCCCAAGAAGGTGGCATAATGCATCCCTTCGCTTGTGCTGGACGATTTCGGCGGCAGCGAGGAGAATGACAGCTAGAAGCAAAGGGACTACCTCGGGGTCTGGCCGTTGAAGCTCAAGCTGCACTTGACGGAGGGCGCTTACAGAAAGTTTCGCGATCAGTTGGTTGTCTTGGGGTCCACCTCGGCGTAGAATGCACTTATCGTAAGCAGCCCCCAGAACTGCCGCTGCAGCATTCACCTGGGGTGTGGTGGTGATTTGAGGGAGGAGAACATATGAAAGTTCTACACTGGTTTTGCCTGGGCATTGGTGAGGGTCGAAGGCAAAAAGGGCTAGGGTCAGGTGGACCATTGATTGCTGTTCTGGTTGATACCAGGGGGGACTCCCGACCGCCTCAAAGAGGGTCAAGGGCTGCTGGTCGCGGGCCCGCTGCTGTTTCTGGTCCTGAGGGCTGGAATGCTTGCTACGCGAAGTCCGGTTGTAGCCTGCACAAACTCGACCCGACCTGGAGCACCTGAGGCACGCAGGAAAGGTCTCATCGCACTTGATCTTGCGCAGCCTTGTCTGGAGTTAAAATAGTAGAAACTATTGGAGCCTGCTTTACACTTACTTGCACGTTCGACAGCCATATTTGGACTGTTTTTGATCAAGAATCCGGACGCGCTTGAAGGTGGTACTTCCGACATCTTCACTCATCGCGACAGCGGTCGACATTCTGAATAGTCGAAGTCTATCTGCAATGACCGACGCAATACCTCGCATCCAGGCGTGCTTAACAAGTGAGCGTTCGTTTGGGTGGTGCACACAAGAGTTGAGATGACCAAGAATTTCATAGGGTGGCATGAGATATTAGAAATGAGGGATCGGAGATATGCCTGCCGGCCCGGGGGAGCCTCATGATGCAAGTTCGAGTCTTGCTCTTTCCAGCATAACTTGTGCTATCTTCAGCAAGGGAGCATTGATGCATTTGACAGTCCCTCAGGTACCTGAGGGATAAAGAACTTGGTGTAGAAACTCCTCCTAACCTGTTCACGATGTGATTGATGCTCAGACCGTAGTACGAATTAAGTGGCGGTACACTAACCAATCTCAGTAAGCGCCATCTCTTAGTCTCGGTGTTTCTCTTGGCGCTCTCCGCTGCTTCAAGTGCTTCTACGAAGTAGTCCTTCAAATGTTGTCCTGATCCTCTTGAACTCTGCTCAACCATCTCATCTCCACTCTCACAAGCCAATTTTTCTACTCTCCGTGATTGTCCCTTTTAGCCGTCTTGTATTTCATTATCTCCAGTGCGGAGCTCACAAGTACAGCACGGCCATCATTGCTCCCCGTCCCGCTGGCGCGCGCACAGATTGTGCGTTTGAAGCCCTACTAACCACGTGTGTGGGACACCGCAAGGCTACTTAGGTATGTAGCGGCAGAGCGCCCAACCGGGGTTCTGGTTCGTCAATAGCCTTGTCTCCTTCTCGGTCTTTTGCTTCAGACTTTGCTCGCATATCGGTCTTCTGATAGGCTCATCGACGTATTCCCGCCAATTGGATCAATTCTAGCTTCGGATCCCCCCCGGCGCAAACCCGTTGTTGGCATGCTTTCGGGGCGCACGTACTCGTATATAAGTATATTTACAGAGTTGCCTGATACCTGAATTTCCTATTCATATACCGGCGTCTCTCCAAGTGTTCCCCCCCTCTTACACGTCTTCCTCATTTCGTACTTGACAATTTCGTGTTCTTGTTTAGTTTTCCTTAGCAGCATTCGATCTTCCGTCATGTCCACCAGAATTTATTCGATACCCGATAACTGTGCACAATATCACGAGTGCATAGTAGCTTGGGGCTACCTCAATTACCTGCCAAATGTCGCAGCCAACGCTCTATTCGTCGCTCTCTTCTTCATCGGCCTTGTCGCCCAGGCATTCCTCGGTTGGCGCCACCGCACTTGGGGATTTTCTACAGCATTGGTGCTGGGAATTATCCTTGAAGTAGTTGGTTATGGCGGTCGCATCGGATTACACTACAACGTCTTCACTCAGACGTGGTTTATCATGTATCTCTGCTGTTTGACCTTAGCTCCCGCGTTTTTCAGCGCCGCCGTGTACCTTTCCCTGTCTCGCCTCCTCGCCATCTACGGAGAGGGTCTGTGCTACTTCAAAGGCCGGACGATCACGCTTACGTTCATCTTATGCGACTTTGTCTCCTTGGTATTACAAGCCGCTGGAGGTGCGATCGCCTCAACAGCCCAAACGCACGAAAGGCGTAATATGGGCGTTAATATCATGATTGCTGGCCTGAGTTCTCAAGTGGCTGCCACAACGGCATTCTCTCTGCTCTGCCTGCACATTATGTGGAACCTTCGTAAAAATCCCTCGAAAATCAACCCCGCAACCGAAGACTTTAGACGAGGGAAAGCTATCCGCATGTTCATCTGGGGTGGGTCATTTCCTTCATCTATCTTCAATCGACTTTTGTTTCTCTGCTAACACAGCATTCCTCAACCAGCAATCGTCATCGCTACAGCCACCATCTTAGCGCGTTGCTCTTTCCGTGTCGCCGAGTTGAGTGAAGGCTTCAAAGGTGCCCTGGCCAATGACGAAGTGCTCTACATGATCTTCGAGGCTGTCATGATGGTCATCTGTGTCTTTGTCCTCACGGTGGGACATCCTGGGCTGACACTGGGCAATTATTGGAACATAGGAGAGTTCCACTGGCGCCAAGGCCGAAATCGGGAGATCGAGAAGCAACACCACCAAACCCATGGGCATGCGGTGACCAGTGAGGTCGTCGAAGCAGAAAGCTACACACCGTCGAGCGGAGACTCTTCGGAGCACAAGACGAACTAAAGCACCAAGGAGAAGGTCGTGGAGGAAGATCCATTGGCTTAGCTGGGGGATTAACCGAGCAGATTACATACGTCGGGTCGCGGTAACCAAGAGATAGTTAGCTGTAGATAGCAAGTGACAATTTGCGATATAGAACAGGCGTCCGACTCGTGTAAAAAGGTCGAGGATTTCGTAATAGCAATTCCACATTGAAGAGTGTCAATTCTAGCGATGATCACTATTCTTTACCATCGCATAGCCAACGCAACGCGGTATTTCCACGCTAGATGCTGCGCCCGCATTGTATGCATCCTTAGACAATGAACTCGTAGTCCCGAAAACAAAAATTCTCTACGTATGAAGCATTTTCGTGCCGCAGTTGCACAAGAATGTAACGCAAAGTGACTCAAAAGATACGCATGAGTCATGTGGCGCGAGGCTGAGAAATAGAAAGTTTATTGGCCCCTACAGCCCACCAACTGCCACACGAGATGTATATTTAAACATAATTGAGCCACGCCGCTTGAGGGAAGCTCTCGAAAAAAATTTACGGCATGAATAATCAACGAAACTTATGATGCCAAGATGATATCTACAGGCGGGACGAGCGACAAGGACGACCAACGGATTGAGATCTCAACACCGCGACTTCTCCTCTGTGCAGCAAGGGAAGAGCATGCGCAAGGTCTACATGAGGCGTTCCGCGATGCCGAAGTGATGCGATACTGGTAACACGCACAAAATGCAAAGCGAAGCACGACTAAATAGGGTATGTCACACTTACACGAATCTAGGAGTACACCCCCGCACACGTCGATCGCGCAGACGGAAGAATGGGTCAATAAGATGGTGAGCGACGCACAGAATGGCGTGACGGATTTTGTGATCTGCCTGAAGCCAGAGATGGTTGCCATTGGGAAGTGCGGGATCTGGCAGGACACGGAAATCGGATTCATGTTGGCGAGGGAATACTGGCGGAAGGGTCTGGCGGAGGAGGCGTTGCGCGCTGTGTTGGCGTATTTCTTCGAGGAGAGGAGGCTACTGGAGGTTGTGGCCGATGTTGATCCCAGGAATGGGTCGTCTAAGGCATTGCTGGGGAAGTTGGGTTTTGTGGTTTACGATTTCAAGGAAAAGACGTTTGAGATAGGTGGTGAATGGGTTGATAGTGAGTATTTGAAGTTGACGAGGGAAAGATGGGAGGAAGTTGGTAGGAAGTGATGGGTCTATGCTCTTCATGGTTCATCATATCTGCTAGAAGAGAATTTATGACGATAATGAGTCTTATACAACTCTTTCTTCATTTCATTCCTTAGATCAAAGCAGTGTGACCTGCTAGTTGGGCCTGATTCCAGCTGGATCTCTCCTTTCCAGTCATTCAGCCCACCGGATTGGAAGGGCGTCTTCAGCTATCAGAGAAACAAACTGGTATAATTACTACATTGTCGTACTATTCATCATAAGAAAAGTATAGCCGAAGCTTAGAATCAATTCGGAGGTGAGAATTGCCTTCCTCCTCATAGGCTGGGGGTCTCAATGCCAAGCCTTTGCTGCACTCTCGGATAAAATACGTCACCGTAGGATCCGGGCGAGCTTTGAGAAGCTTCGTCCTCGACTTCAACAGGATTTCCCTGACTGCAACTTTGTAGCAACCGAGCACATATACAGAGTCCACCCCACGATGCCCTCGCAAGAAGGATTTCAGACCTCGGGCCGCACGCCTCTGCGCGTCTACGGACCCCAACCAACATACCAGACCTACATCTCACCCTATGGACCCAAGTACGATTTGAACTCCCATCCCGAGCTTCCCCATCCTTTACTTCACCACACCCATAAGAACGAAACCTATGAGAAGAAGAAGAGGAGAAGAAATGATGAACTAACTAATACCTCCAATCTCTAGAACAAAACACATCCCCAACCTGATGGGCATGTCAGTGGGCAAAGCTGTACGATATGGCTCCATTGCATCGGGCTTCGGTGTCGCCGCAGGCGTGTTTGCCTTGTTCTTCTTCAGCGACATTCCCAAGGTGCGGACCGATATTCTACAAAAGATCCCGGTCATTGGAGACTACTGGATTAGGGAGATCCCACCGGAGGATAATCCTTTTTAAATGTTTTGGAGTGGGAGAGGGAGGTCGAAGGTCGGAGGTGGAAGTCAGGCGACGGTGTTGCTTGGGTGTGCCGATGTATATATTATCCCTGCGAGGTGACGATGGGAGATGGAGAAGTCGATGCAGAGTCGATGCACTGTCTCTAGAGAAAGGCACAGGTCGAATGGAATAAGTGAGAGGAAGAAGACGATAAACCTTTGGTACAAAACGCATGAAGATTTCTTTCCGTCGAACACCAGGACATGGCTGAATAAAAATCCACGGGACGAGATCCGTTTCAAAGGATTCCAGTGATACCGTGTGCTGACATCTCCTCGCTCTGCAATTGTAACAACTGCCGTCCCATTCAGCGGGCAAACTTAGCATAGAAACCACATCACATTGGGAACTGATCGCTTGGTCACATGTATTGTTCTTTACTGGTATCATATATACAAAGAACACCAAGCCAGAAATGGCCCGGTGCCCCGAGCTTCTCAAGCCATCTAGACACGATCACCACGCTCAAAATACTCCCATTGACCCGAGGGTATCTGTTCCTCGAGGTCTTCCCATCTGTGGGACTGAGTTAGCATTTCCTTAGTGCACCAATTGGAGTTGCGTATGGCGGGAATGGATACATACACCTGATATTTCAGCATTTCATCCACGAGCAGCAACTCGCCCTCGGCAACTTGTATGACCTCTTCGATCAGACCAGCACCGATTTGTTGTTCAATCTCGTCGATCCTAGAGGGTGAAGAAAAAACATATCAGCATTGAACCTCCACATGTGTCACAGCTCATGTTGCAAACAATGATAAACATACTGCACTCTCGTCAAAGGTGGTTCCTTTTCCAGATCATCCACCTTGGGTGCCACACCCGAGACCGCCTCCTTGTCTACCCGTTCAGCATCTTCCTTGACAGCCTGTGCCTTGGCCTCGGCTTGTTTCAACGTGTTGGCGCCCTCTTGGAACGAGTCTTTCTTGGAGACTTTCCCATCCCAGACATCGACCGCCTCGACGAACGCACGCTCGTTCTGCAGACTACCGTCGCTGACCTTGAACTGGCTGTACGCTTCAGGGTTCGCTTCGATGGCTTTGCGCACTCGGCCAAGCCATGCTTCGTAGCCTTCTGGTTTTGTCGCTTCGATGACCGCTAGACGCTTCTTTGTCAGTGCTTCTACTGACTGGCGGTATACAGAGCTTGAGGGGAGTCGGTTGAGCTTGGCGAGTGTCTGTTTGTAGGTGTATATGAGGGCGGGTCGGGGTGATGGATGGGTTGAGAGTCCTGTTAGTCCGGTCGGGGTGTTGGGTTCGAGGTATTTGGATGCCGATTTCACGGTCGCTAGGAGCCGTGTTGTCGAACGCATCTTGATCTGTCGTGAGTTTGCAAGATGCAAGCTTTGATGGGATCCTCCTGGTGAATGTCCTTCCTGCGGCCTTTCGTGACGTTGAAGCTACAGATCTTGGCAGCTATTAGTGCACTGTACTTCACCGTATCTTTCAGCCTTGCGCTTGTGCCTTCGCGAGGCTGCGCCCAGACAGATAGACAATCATGGTTGGTCTCTACACGTTTAACGAAAATAGATCGGAAAGATGCTGCTGATCTATGCAATAACGAGAATATCGTATCCCCAATACACACAACATTGTCCACTTGCAAATGCTGAGGTCTAGAGTATAGCATTATAGGTGGACACAAGCATTGGTCGAGGCATATCATGGCAAGACGTACAATCGACAGACAGCGCCAACATCGACAACTAAAAAGTTGTTGAAGTAGGTTACTGGAAGCGAGACGTTCCTGGCCTTTGCTATCTCGGGTCAATGTAACCCATGTGGCCTTCGTCTGCAGTGCGGCTAAAAGATCAGCCAGTAGTCATGGTAGACCGGAGCGATGTTTGTACTGTGAGTATGTCAAACTTCCACCGAGTGGGCGAGCAGAGCCTCGAGAGCGTCAACTTCGCCGTAATATGTTCAATGCCATGCAAGTTCAATCGATCACCAGTTGGGAGGAATGTTGACAGCAGTCGCCTCCTACTTTCCGGCGGCCGTCATAAGAGGGTACAGTTCGACGCAGGCGTCTTTAATCATATTCAGTTGACAGTAGAACTACTCTCCGAATAACCTCCTCACTCGTCGTAACACACTGTCTTTCTCTGGGTCATAAGGGTGGTCTTTGCTGGGAATCTCAAGGACAGCTGGAAATGCCTCTTGAAATCTATCGACAGTATCCCGTATCTGTTCCGCAACCTGTTCTGAATCAGCGTTCTGCTCGGTGGGGTTTGAATGGTCGATTGTTTGACGAACATGTTGGTTGATGAGGACAATGCCAATATCGCTACGCTCTTTTGTAAATCGATTGAACGTAGACTCTATCAAAGATCTCTCAGTCTTTCCATCAACGACAAGGAAGTTCTTCTGAGCGTCGGGAGGATCTGTGATGTGGCCAACACCTGCAAGGAGGAGACCGGTCACCGAGCTGGTGAACCATTGTTAGATGTCGGATCTGGATACCATAGTATTAGGAGTACTCACTCTTCATCACCTATCACTGCAATGAACTGTCGGTCCTATGAAGGTATTAGCAATGGCTCCCCGCTATGAGGGAACACTGTTACCTTGTAGGCGGAAGCTGGCGCAGCCATGGTTGACGTGAGAGGCTTGCTAGTGAGAGGTAGAGCCCAAGGGAGCCAGAACCAGAACCAGAATCACAAACAGAGCGAGGACGCTTGAGACTGGACCGCCAATACTCCCTCAATATATAGTGCTCGACGGTGACAAGACAATAGCTGGAGGATGAGGATGGGGAAGTTGAAAGGCACGCTCGGCGTACCTGCCAGGTACCCAGCTTCTTATCTTATCGGCAGCCACTAATCCAAAATAGGATTATTGTTGATCCATCGCCAAACCTGCTCTTTGGAGGGGGTCATATTTGCCCGCAGTTTGAATGTCATCCGCGGCCTGCTCTTGTGCAATTGACAACAGATTCTCTCATCCCTTTGTAACAGTTTTGAGTCATTCCTTTTCCAGACCTGTACTTTGCAGGGCATATTCTCTTCATATTGCGAAGGGTCATGTCTGCCGCAGCAGTTTGCGGTTGATTGTCATTCCGTCCTCATCATGCCGAAATACGTGAGGCGCCAACCACTGCTTGAACGCATCAAAGCCTATCTCAATCCTTACGACTTCCTCTTGTGGCTGTCAGAAGAAATCGAATCCAATGGATGGGATCAATTAGAAAAAGAATGGGCTATTCCCATCGGATTTAGTCTCAATCTCATCTTCCTCATCGCCCGGGCCAACTCCAACTCATCTCCAGTCTACGATGATGTCTTTGGAGATGTCCCAGGTGTCGCATGGACATCATGGCTGGTAAGAATCTCATCGCATCTCACTAGATTTTACTGCTCACCACTGAGCTAGGCCAGTTTTACCGTCCACTTCCTCTCCCTCCTCTCACTTGTGAATGCTTTCTACACATTCTTTCGGAAAAAACACTACCGACTGTTCGAAAGTTCCGTTGATGTTGTGCCGAGCACTCCTTCTGCCAAACGCGTTCGGGTCGACTCATCGCCTGTCTCGTCCTCACCTCTTCAATTCCTCTCAAATCTCCTCGGAACAGAATCAGCCCAGTCCAGAGCCCACCCTGATGCAGTCAGAGATGTCTGGGAGGTGGCCGTCTGGGACCCTCTCCCTGTCTCTCTTCGTTTGTTCTGTTATTTCAGTCCGGGCCATGTCTTCATTTACTGCCTTTTCTTGCCCACCTCTCAATCAGATCCTCGTCCAAGTGTTACAATCTTCAAGACGATTCTATTAATCTTAGTCGCTACTCTACAACTTTCAATGCTGCAGTCCAACTATTCCGCTCAAATCAAGGATACAGCCTACATCTCCAAGGAAGTCCTCCATGAATATGATACAAAATTTGTCAGACCAAGGACACAGCCACTATACAGAGATGTGGGTACGCAGTTCTCTGAGCAGGCATCATACAGCGCTCCACGCGATATTCAGTACAATACTGTCGACACATATACTCCAATGTTCGTCATAAACCGTGGCTTCAAAACCAATTCAAATCCCAGTTATTCTCAGCATACAGATCCAGATGGGCTAGCTCAAGACTCCAATCTTCGCCAACGTCTTACAACTCCAGACTTCCGATCTCCAGCCCAACGTTCTGAGATAGGCTCCAGCATGCGACCACTGGGTAACATTCGTCAACCAAATTTTCGGCCCACTTCCTCGGGTGGTGAAGGTGGCAGTCTCGGTGTTTACTCACACGCCGCATCTCCTCTTCGGAAGAGCGCTTCAACCAACTTTACTTCCAGAAACCCAAATGCTCAACTGAGGGAACGCACTACCATGAGTCCTGAAAAGCGGTCAGTCAGTCCGGAAAAGCGAATGAGTGTACCGACCGGGGGAATGAACAATCTCGCTGCATCGCAAAGATGGGGGCATCTTCAGCCAGATAGGCAGAGGAGGGAGAGTGGTCGATTCTAGGTCTGGAGCAGCTGGCTCTTGCTGCAGTACGTACTTGCGCTACAGAAGATTTTTGGTGCCTTGGTCGGACCTGGTTTGTAAAGGGTGCAGACTACCGACCTATCACTTGCCCAAAATTACAATGTTCGGCAATCAGGGAAACCGCCATGTGAACATTCCATCCTTCGTGGGGCGTCGTCCTCAGCAGCGAGCCTCCGCACAGACCATCTTCTGCCACCTCTTCCGTGTGCATCTCATAGCAACCATAGCGCTTATACAATGGCATCCAGGTCTCCAAGGTCTTCTTCTTTTGCATACCACTCTTCAATCAACCTCCCTCCTATTACTTCTTCTCCTCAGAGTATCCCAGTTGAAACCCTAGCTGGACCTGTCAATGATCATCGTTCACATCGCATACCCAGTGGTGCCACATCCCAAATTCATTCACTGATAAATTCCAGAAGAAGAGTGTCTACAAACTCCAGGGAATCAAGCACTCCTGCAACAGAACACCGCCATTATTCACAGAGTAACAACTCCCAGATCTCCAAGCAGTTAGGCCAAGCATCATCCATCTCGAAAGGTGAGAGTCAACCGGGGGTGGGCTTCCCGTCCATCCCCTTGACTGATTCCAGTCGAAGAACCACCATCTTCATCAGTCAACAACAGGAACCAGTGAATTCTCGGCTCGCGGATCCCTCCCATCTCACTATCCGAGAATCGACAACTGGGTATTCTGCAGAAGTCGATCGTCACCCATCAAGGGGCTTCGAAATGCAGCATCTGGTCAACAAAGACGATTATCTGCTTGCCCGCGGCGCAAATCCGAGAACGGGCGTGATCACACCCGGTTTGCATAGTGCAAGCAGCTCGATTGACCAGCAACATGCGAGACATGGCCAAACTGCACCCCTACCTAGTCGATGGCGACAAAAGGGCGATCAATGGGTCAGTTTTGATCATGGAGAACCGTCTCCAACCAAGACTCCTCCTGTTGGCGAACTTGATGGATATCAGCGACATGACCACTCTGCTCCCCAAACTTTCGGCCATGACTCTGATGAAGTGAAGTCGTCTCCTGGTGACCACCAGACTACTTCTTATCATCCGGTTCAAGCCTTGCATCCACGACCCAATGACAGTGTGGCTACTTTCCAGCTCAGGCCCACTCCTGGGGCCGTTGGCATGTTTCCCAACACTTCAGAAACGTCCAATGGACATTTAGAACCACCTTTGGGTGGGAACAACGGCCCCCAAGTGAGAAGAAAGCCCGTCGGAAGCAGTCCAGCAACCCGATCAATTGATGAAAATCGTTCTCAAAATGACAGTGGTGGAAGTACAGGTACTGTTGTGAGAAGGTTGCATTTCTCAAACGACATCCGCTCCTCTTCCGCACCAGAGCAGCCTAGTATGCGCAACTTCACTCCAGCTGATGTTGGCAAAGACCTGCCATCTTTACCTCAAGAGCGACCATCATTCGAACATTTACAGGAACCGAAACAGTCAACACCCAGTCCTTTTTTAGGCCCACGAGCAACAAACCTGGACTCACGCGTCCCGTCTTCAAAAATCTCAAACATCTCTGGCCATCCTCTAGCAGAAAAAGATCTACCATGTCTGCCGATGAACAATGGCCAATCGTTGTTGATTCAAGAGATGAACCAGGGCTCGTCCTGCCTGCAGAAAGAAATCCACAGACCTCTGGTAAATCAGCCGCTTCCCAAACAACAAAAGCTTCAAGGCCCTCGCGGCGGCGATCAAGCATATCCATTCGTCCGCACACCTCGGCCAATCCACCAGCAACTCGAACATCAGGATCAAAGACAAGTAAGGCCATTAGGAGGGAGGGAAATGCCGGTGCCTATCTACGACAATCCTCCAGTCCAAGCAGCTCCTCCTATGGTCGGAACAGAACCTGGAACACGAGGTCCGAGAGCAATGCCTACGTGGAATTCGAAAGTGAGACAACCCGTTCAGCGGATAGATCCATTCAGCCAGCTATTCAATACCACTATCACACACACGAACATGTCTATGAACCGGGAACTACCCGTCCGCAATGGTATCAGACCAAGCCCTCCACCACCTCTTCATAGGGTGATGAACCACGAGCGCTTTGGTTCCCTCCCGACACATCCATTAGTGCGCCCATACGACACGTCCATGAACACTGGCACGAGTACAGGTTCTATGACATCAATCCCATTGCAAAGAACTCGACCAAGAGCCATGACTCGCCCTCAGATGCCAATCAGGGCCGAAGGGATGTACGAGGTACCGCAAGTGGGCCCAATCTGTCGTCAGCAATACCCAACAAGTCAGGAGGGTTCAACACATCGAGACCTGGGCCGTACAGACAGCCAGATGTGGACCGCAGCATACCGAGAAGAGGCACACCTTATCCCACAACCGTTGAAGCCCCGACTGACGATGAGTCATGGCCAGAACATCTCGCAGAACCAACATTCAACAAGGGAGAACGAACGGACTTTGGGCGGCCTCGGACTGACGAGGAAATGCAGTCGTTGCCAACACGGCCTCGTGGATATCAATCCCGGTACCGCTAGTGTCATCCCTACATACGATCTCCAGAACCGAGGCACCTCAAAAGAAGAAAACGCTAAACCATCACACCCGACCGGGAGGGGCCTGCCAAATGTACCAGAAGAAAGAAGGAATGAGACGAGTTGGAAACAATCTTCCAGCTCAATGGTTACCCATGATGAAAGAGACCACTCGATATGTTGTCCAGATTGCTGCAAAGAACGAGACTGTCACGAGGGCTGTCTTGGTCATCCGAGCCTACATTCGACGCCGAGCACAAGTCCAACGAAGAGCATCTGGTCGGAAGCAGCTTCTCCAAGCAGCAGTAGTGAGATTGAAGAATCTGAACATGAACATGATAAAGACAGTCTCACATCTGAAAAGTTCACTGTTGGTCGATTGGCTATCGTCAAGTCGGCATTTAAGCGCTCACCAAAACCACCACCTCTCAAATCCATCAACAGCAGTCCTAGATATCAACATACAAACACTTCCGTCATGAATTCGCCAGCCGAGTCACCTCTGCCTCTTGGCAGTCCAGCTGGAAGTTCTAGTGGCGCATCTGATGGAAGTGGTACTGATGGCTTGAATGCAGCAATGAGTGCGGCTGGTAGTTCGCGAGGGAAGGCCTCGAACTATACTCTACAAAACCGACAGCGAAGCTCTAGCTCGCCAATGATTGGCGCTGAAGAATTTTCTCGCAAGACCAGCATCTCCAACAGTCAGCGGTCTGTGAGCGGACCACGGTTGAGGGTCCTAACACCTCGGGGACTCGCAATTACATGCTCTGGGATGAAGACCCGGAATGTTAGTGGTAGCAGCATCTCCACTTTGGAACTGCAGGTACCCGGTCTAGGAACACTCGGTCTCGGTGTTATGGGAGAGATGATCATCGTGCCCTTTAATGCCACAAAGATGTGGATCCGGAACCATCCACAAGTCATGAAGTTAGGTTGGGAAATTCTAGAACGAGCATGGCAAATGAGTCAAGTGATTGCCACGACCGCATGGAGACTCTGGGCGCTGATATTCGTCTATTCGAAGACTGGAAAGCTCAAGCTTAATGTGGCGAAGAAGGAAACCACAGGTGGATTTCTGCTTGACTGTGTCAGGAGTAGTGTTTACCTCTTGATGTTCTTTGCTGTGGGCGTTTTTGCGATGAGGGTCTTGAACATCTTCATTGGCGCGCTGGGCTTGATTGGATGGCTGTTCAGAGCGTTCTTCTGGGTCGCGAGGCAGATATTGGGGTTTGGGTTGGTAAGATGAGGGATGCCCTTGTCCTGGGAATGGATTGTACGAAAGAACAATATAATTAGATATTATTAGGTAGAACCGAGTGAGTACCAGGCCTGGTAAGGACAAGCATGGAATTTAGTTCTGGTAGCTTCGCTTTCTGAGGTGACACCGCAGCATAATTATCTCAATGATTCCTCTCTCGAACATACCGATGGGCTCCAGTGAGTTCGTGATCAAGCTCATTCAGCAATATCTATTTTATGTATTTATGCTTACTAGGTAGGTATGTATGGGGACGAACAATCAGGCGGCGAAACCTCGGCAGATGTGCTCCAAAGATATTGTGATCATCCAGCAGTCCGAAGCAACTCTTTGGAGCAACCAACCAGCCAGCCAGCCATAGGATCGGTCTCGATGTTTATTCCTGGCACTCGACTTCGAGGCTGATCATCAAAGGCCGGACGGACATACAGTCGATAAAGCGGGGTTTATTCTACATATTGCGGTGGTCCTCTGGCTATCGGCATCCGCGTATCCGCCCTGCCACCCTATCGGAAGGCCTTGAACAACATCACTGTCTGGCGAATTCTGCACATCATCGATACAGATATATATTAAGGACTCTCTCTGGCACTGGAGGAACTGAAGCATCTAGGGCACTGAGACTTTCGTTGTTATCAACCAGAACTACGCAATTTCCGTGCGACAATCGCGTCACAGAAGCCGAGTCGCAGATATCCGGTCCCTCACCCGGCGAGAAGCACTGGGTAGGTACCAAGGTCCGTTGGGTCTTTCATTGCCTTCTCGATTGGAGCTGGACGGTATTTCATGTCTAGTGGATTAATTCAAGCTGGTCTCCCGGCTGTCTGAAAAGTCGCTTTTCGGGAAAACAGCCGGGACTTCTAGATGTTGCAAACCTGGTTTCAAGAGAGCAGTATTTTGACCGGGTACCAAGAAAGGCACATACAGCGCTTTGATAGACGCAATCATGGCAACTATTGGGCTTCTCACGATACCGGTCGAAGTGCGCCTTGCCATCCACAGATACATCTTCCAGGACGTAAAGGTGTCGATCCTCTACGATCCCACTTTCGCTCAAGCGGTCGAAGGGGATAACGAAGATGAAAATAAAGATGAAAACGGCGCTCTTGAGCCCGAATCTGAAGTCGCCAGGGGTGATGCATATTATTCCCGGCATCTGAACCGAGGTGTTGGTATAGGGTCCGTGACAGCACCAGGGTTCCAATCGAACCAGCATGTGTCCATCCTTCTGGTGTGTCGCCAGCTGTACGACGAGGCTGTGAGTGTGTTTTTCCAGACCGTGACATTCCAACTGCAGAGCTTGTCCGTGGAGCAGGAAAGATTTGTTCGACACTTGGGTGCGCTTCCCACGGCGGTATTGTCAGCAACGACAATGGATCCATCACCAGAAACAGAGACACATTCGCCGCCACCATCTCCTTCATTGTCACCCGTACCATCGCTGGCACCAATCACTACTCACCCATCAACCACACCAGTACCAGAGCCGATACCATATCACCTCACATACCACCCCACAGCACATATCCAAATCTTAACCATCACACACTCGCTCCTCCCGACCCTGCCCCCAGAGAAACTGCACAACCTATTCCCCAGTCTCACGAGCTTGACGATTCAGAACATCACTATCCCGCTCGCACACCAAACGCTTTCCGCACTAACGCCACACCTGTACACACTGCATCACTCGAGTTCGCTCTCCGAGGAGGACAATGGTCCCATTTCGGTCTCGGAATCGCAGCCCCAGCCCCAGCCCCAGCCGCAATCGCAATCGCAATCACCGGGCATTCTCGTGCTCCAAACCCTCCTGTGCTCCATCGATGAAGAAGCACAGATGGAGGCGATCATGGCGCATGCGAGCTATGCGAGTCGTACTAGTCCTGCGAGTGGACAGACGATGCATACGAGCCGTCCAGTAACGAAAAGGGGTAAGTACGCGCTAGAACTGCAGTTTGTGCTGCGTTGTCGACATGTTGGGATGCTCGTCGTGCCCGGCATGTTCCCAATGGCGAACGCTCCGCATCGTCATCCTGAGAGGGTGGTTACTTATAGTTTTAACGCTGCCCGGGCTGGGGCTGGTACTGGAGGTTTGATGTGAGACGGGCCACGTCAGGGCTTACGTGCTGGTATATTGAGAAGGGGTGGAGCGAGAGAAGGTGAAGGCGGACAGAGTACGTAGATAATGGACGATTTTCTGCCTTTATTTTTAAGAACGCCATTCTAAGGGCACCATGAAACATTACATATAGCTGCAATAGCGAGAAGAAGAAGAATTTAACGATAGCCAGGGAGGTCATTATTATATTCGGAGAGAGTAGTAATCCTTTCCTTTTCAATCTGAGTCGTAACATTTTTGATTAAAATATTCAGAGTAAGCTAAAGAATATTTATTGAACCCAGCTCGAGAATGAGGTTGAAGAGGATCCGACTTTGTTTCCAATCGAAATTAACGGCCACCAGGATCTGGGAGAGAAGGAAATGAAGGTATCTCTCACTTACGCTAATTACGATTTTTTCCAGATAACACTCGCATGTTGTGCATCCATGACAAAGCCGCCATGCCACCTCAGAGGGAGAGTAGTAGTATGTGAGTGGTTAAGTGGGTTCTGTTCCAGCAAAAACCGACCAGATCATGTTGGCACAAGAAACCTGGTGGCTATCTACGTGAGACACCGTTAAGTGGGGAGAGCCTGCTCATGGTTTGGCCGCCCAATAATGGTTGTCAGGCCATCTCGGTCCGAGATAACATTGGCCTCGGACCGAAGCACGCTGATTGGTGTACTCGCAGTGTAGACTGGGGCCACAGTGACATATTGTGCCATCGATTCCCATCGCTCGAACGTTGTCCACGGACCTATGCCAACGGACAGTGCCGAGCAGTTCACCACAGTCGTAAGTTTCGTAAGAGCAGACTAGGTAGATGCATTAGCATGCTGACTTTGTGAGCCAAGCATGTCAAACGAGGAGAGTAGATTCCAGGCGCTTGAATCCAAGTCCCCCAAATTGTTCAACTATTAGCGGGGCTCGTCAGCAAATCCATAAGCGGGGAATCATGGTTCAAGCTCTTCAGAACGGAACATACCTCATTTAAGTCCATAGCGTCCTGCTCAAGACTGCCAAACCCAGCGCCGCCCATGTCTGCAGGCTCAAGTTGATAGGGGTGCCCAGAATGAATCTGCACTGTCGCGCCTGCTGCGGGCGTGCGCTCTGATCCAACAGTTTTCGCCACCCGAACGACTCTTGACGCGACGCTCGCAGCGTCCCGTGGTAAAGACATAGAAACCCGGGATGAGGTTAGAAATTCGATAAACCCGAAATGTCCAGCGCACACATCGAGCAACCCAAGGTCTGACTTGGCGGACGGCGAGGAGGGATTCTTCACAAGGAAGATGAATAAGTTGATGGCTGCATAGGTGGGATAGTAGAATGTCAACCAAGAAGGCGTGGTAATGTTTGAGTCGGCCAGTCGAAGAGCAAGAATAATCTTGCGCGCTGCATCGGCCACTGTTGAAGCCGAGGAGGCTAATTGCACCTCTAGAGCATCATCCTGAATATCCGTACTATGTCTAGAGACCATCCAGGGGTAGAAGAAGTGGGCATGAAGCGCCATTAAGCTCCCATAGATGGAGAAATGTAGATACAAAAGCTGGATCAATATGCGATTAGAATATGGGGGCCTAGCCAAGGTTCCAATCCGGAAAGCCGTGGGCATCTCGTCCAGAAGCTGGGTGAGCTGATCATGATATTGATTGACAGCAGTTATCAGATCCTTAGTGGACATCGATAGAGCCTTGAATGAAAGAAGGTGACGAGATATCCGAGAGTGCAGCTTTGCATGCTTTGCTGCAATACTGAGGCTTTGCAGATCGGCATTGCTCCCTCGGGGCATCGCCCAGGGAATTTGAGCACTGACGTTGTCATCATCAATAACAGATGGTCGACCACTGCATAGGGAAAGGTGCTTTTCAAGGCAATAGATTGTCCACCAGAGCCAGTTTCTCTTCAAGGTCTCATTTTCAGAATTACCCCAAGACTTATCTGGCTGTCGGTATAACCCTTTACACTGCGCGATGTGAACAGCATTGGCACACAAACTATGTTTGAGAGCAGGGCTGCCAATTCCTTCGACGTAGCAAGCCTATGACAGAACAACAGTCAGTGTGAACGCTGTACTATGTCGCTTTAATGGGGTGCGTACCATCAAGGTTAATGCTCTGACCGCTATCAAAGTCGAGGGCGGCAATATAAGCCTAGTAAACATGGATAACGCGTTATTGAAGTAGAATCCGGCCTTTGCCTGCGCATCAGCGAAGGAAACGGCAGGCGTAGTAGCTAGGAGGCTTCGGTATCCAGCCGCAAAGACAATATTTCGCAGAGCAAACCAGGCAGGATCCTTCGGGGAGCCTCGATTGTCGAAGTGTGCTTGAAGGTGAGCTTGAAGATCAGTTCGGTCCAGAATACCAAGATCAGCCTCCCAACAGTTCTCATAGAACGCTGCCACCGTCTTTGTTAGCATGGATACTGTTCATTTGACTGAAGTGTACTCACCATTCACATATTCCCAAGCAACCGTCTCTTCAGGCTCGGTGTAATCGGGGATTAATGTCAGGTATCTGTCCTCCGAGCTCATTGGATTTAATTGTTCCTTGAATAATCTGACGCTGCGGACAAAGTCATGACTCCCTGTTAATCTTTGCATCCATTGCAACCCAGTGTCTGAACAAATAGCCCGCCATGACCAGGGCTCGTAATACTCCCAACTAGATTCTTCTATGCAAGGGGCATCTGCTTCCTCAGCGAGGGCTGCACCCAGATAATCGGCGCGAGAGTCTGGAGTTGGAGCTCTTGTTGGACGTGTCGATTGGAGAGGGGATCGAATTACCCGGATGTCCTGATTCCTTTGAGGGTCGCCTTCGTTTGTTGAGGATCTAAATTTCTGAGCGGCGTCTAGAAGATGGCTGCCAGACAAGACATGCCAGGGATTTTGAACCTCTAGAATCTCGTTCTCTTTATCCAAACCTCCTAAGTTTCTGTCGTGGGCGCTCTCCTCGATGGAAGCAGGAACGCTCCAAGTTGGCTGGGCGCCTCTGGCCTGCTGTCTACCCTCTCTGTCTCGAGCTTTCCTCTTCCTCTTCTGAATGGGAGGGTAAACACATTCCTTACTCAGCCTGAGACAGTCTTTGCACGGATCACCTCCACTGCCTGTAGCAGATTATCTGTTAGCCCAGCCACTGTCAAAGGTCGCAGTGGAACTTGTACATCTAACTTTCCTCCCTCGACAATTTTGACAGGCTATTGCGCGTCTCTCACCCTTGAGATTTAGAGACTGGGAAGACATTTTAAGGATAATGGGTGCTGGACACGAGCTTTGTCTCCTTGTCACGGATCGAGAACAGAGACCACATAGAAACGCCCATTAGAGAAATATTGGGCAATCTCGATGGGTGCTTGCAGTCTCGAGAATTGAAAAAGCGCACACCATAGCAGCCTCGGTGGCCAAGTAAATGGCGCAAAGCTCAGTCCTTGGTCTGGGTCTCGAGGCAGCCAATGTCATCAACCTCAAGGTGCTTCGGGCCTCTCCTCCCCCGAAAGGGCTGCAATCGAGCCCACTAAATAAAACTCTTGACTTAGGCGCTCTGACATTAGTTAATTAGCTACCACGCTTGAGCATCCCCAGGATGCCCACTCCACTGACCCGCCCTGAAACCCCGCCTTTTTTTGCTATCACTGTCACCTACTGCAGGCCGAGTTCGTGAGGTTGAAGACTGTCTGCCTGCACTTTGATCTTCTTCGAAACCGTCTTAGATTTCTCAGAAACTACCCACGAAAGAGCATTTGACGTACCACTGTGCAGAGATTGCTCAACCATCCTTTCAGATCGTACACGAGACACGCGCAGTGCACTACTAGCAAGCAGTCGCCCCATTTCAAGGCACACCCGATTCTTCCCAGTTGCGCATCGAGCGCTGCTTTGAGGCTTCCTGCTTTGCGTTTAGCCCAGACTACCATGGAAGAGCTGTTGTCTTTTAATCCCCTCGATAGCCCATTTGCCATTCAGTCTCCTGTTGGCAAACTGTATGATTTTTTGGACGATCCGGAGTCTTTTCCGCTCGATGAAAGTGCAAGTATCTGGGGCTTCGATCCAGCATCACTTGATCTGACGAACTACTTAACTTCACCTTCCCCGGAGTGTGTCGAGTATGGCAGCCCAAGTGAATCACAGAGTGTAAGAGCTCAAACCCTTTAGGTTCTCTGGAATGCGTGATTGAATTCCTACAGATAATTCCGGAACACTTTGGTTGGTCAGCCATTGAGGGTTCGAGTTCAACAACTAAACAGTATTAGGACCTGGTTGCTGGCTGTCGTTATGCTCCTCTTCTGGTCTTGCCTGGGTGCAGCAGGCGCATGGCACAGGTGATTTCGCAACTATCGCCGGAGATCTAACTGCAGCTTGGGCAAAGCAGCTAAGACTTGAGAGGAACGAACCAACCATACGAAGTGCAGAACCAGAACAAAGACTTGCCCTGGAATATGTTGACGGTGAGTTGTTCGAATTGGCAATGAAATAACTCCGCTAATATCCATGTATGCAGCTTACTTCAAGCGTTCTGTGGATTCCTTATTTGAAGCCATTCATCAATTAGATTTCCAGCAACAACTGCGAAGTCATTTTGAAAACCCAAATCCAAACGAGGATCCGGTGTCTTATGCTATCCGGAACACAGTCTACGCTTCTGGCTGTCGTCTGCATAGTTCTGCCAATTACGCCGCAAGTTTTGACGCTATTCAAAAGGAGGCATGGGGCTATTTTTCAAACGCCTTGTCGGTTCACAGCGAACTACTACTGAGGAGCCCTTCCATTGGAGCTGTCCGAGCGTTATTGGCAATGGTTGGTTTCACTATCCTTATTGTTACTCCCAAGACCTAAATTTGGCTCTCATAGGCACTCTTTGCGGAAGGGCTCGGCAGTCCAGCCCTTGGATCTGGGCTTATTGCAAATGCTGCACTTGTGGCACAGGCTCTGGGACTTCATAAAAGGGTTACCTGCGTCGAAGCGACCTCAAAAGGTGACGGCTTGAAAAACACATGGCTTTTTTGGGCTGTATACTGTTGTGAAAAGAATATCTCACGAAGGATTGGTCGCTCGTCGGTAAGTTTCTCTGCTCTGGCTATGGGCAATCAAATCTGTTGCTCGCTTGGCTCAAGTATTCGCAGGTAATCGTCGACGACGATGTGACCTGTGAGATCCCCATAATGGCTCATCCAAATAGCGCGCTCGACCCTATTTTCTTGACAAGCATAATCCAGAATTGTCAAATCTCGAGTGGAATTTGCAAGGCACTCTCAGCCAGAGGCCTGCACGACCAACCTGCCAGATTGCTAGAAATCGTAAGGAAGTACAATCAGGAGCTGTTGTCCTGGGAAACTTCTCTAGCCGCAGAAATGCGACCGAGGACTTGCTACAAGTACAACGACGACGTTCAACTCTCAAGGACCCTGGCAATCATCTTGCTACATTGCTCCTTTTGCGATCTCTTGATGATACTAAACGCCCCCTTTGCCTACCCATGGATAAACAGTGGTTTCCGCAAAGACTCAAATGGTGAGACGAAGATTGCTGCACAAATCAGTGAAAGCTCGGCGACGATAGTTGAGTCTGCGAGAAAGATCATAGTTATGACCAGACACTTTGATCTAAACGGAGCAAATACGCATTCGTACGAAATTTGACCCAATTATGGCTCTGCTAGTGCTAATTAATCGAACAGTTTCATGTTGCATTACCCAATGCACGCTTTCATAAATTTATTCATTCATGTCCTGAAAAGTCCAGCATCTGCTTCCGTTCGATCGGACATGGCACTATTGGATGTTGCTGTCGGCTACTTCGGACAGCTGGATTTCCTCACTGGATCAAAACTAGAATTCCCATTTGCGCGAGACATCGCGGTATTTGCCCGGCGAACTGTCGACAACTATCCAGGTCATCCATCCCAGAGTACGGGAATCAGAGGAAGTGGCAAACAATGAAGTGGCAAACCATTCGACGGGTCATGTGGAGGATATTAGGAGGCACGTACGCTCAACAGCTTGACAATGTATGATATGCGAAGTTCAGAAGCAATCTTCAACCGCAGTTTTCAAGTCTTGATTCTAAACCGCTCAGGTATGAACGTGATGCCCATCCTGGCAAATAACACCACCTTCGGCAAATGTGAATGTCGAGATATCATGTAGTTCTGAGGAGGTTTCTTGCTATCCTGTGCCTCCAGCGGTCGACTCACTCCACCACCTGCACTGCGTTTGGCACCTCAACAACTGTCTGGCCATCCATCTTTTGAAGGCCAACTTTGAACATAGGACTCTCCTTTAAGTCTGAAACAAGTAGCCGCTGCGCCGTCTCCAGAGAAAGCGCAACGTCTCTGGCTCCGCGCGGACGCATGCCATCTTCGTACGTAGATATGGCATCCTTCAAAGTGCATACTCCGGAAACTGCGGATTTAACAGCATCCACAACCTCTGCAGCATCTTGCATTGCATTGTTCAAGCCCTGTCCACGATCTTTTTATTGTCAGCACCATACATATCTTTTGTCTTATGTCACTTACTAGGAAGCATAGAGTGAGCAGCATCCCCTGCAATAGTAACAGTTCCCTCATGGTTATCCCAGGAAACCGGTGACCATTGTTGACCAGCGTCAGCTGGCAGTATAGAGTCCACAGGAAGGGCGGCCGCCGCAGTTGCAAATGGCTCACAGATTTGTGAGCTGCGGTCCTTGAAGAACTGTAGGCGAGCTTCTGGGTCGCTCAGATCCTTGACACCAGGTTCTCCCCACCAGGCATGATGGATCTGAAAGCTCCAGGTCTCTGGTTTGTTCTCATTAGAAGCATCCAGAACTATCAAGGTCAGTGTTTCGATTCCAGCAGTATCATCGAAGCCATCAGCTAAGTCATACCTGTTAGCAGAAATATGCCATCAATCTTCGGATCATAGAAGCAAGTTGCCACAGGATGATATTTCCGCATTAGAAGAGCTTGCTCAGCTGTGTAGCCAGTGAAAGCATGATTGATGATCGTCATCCCAGTATCGAACGGTTTGGTCGCTTCTGATCCCACCAAATATTCTCGGACTTTCGATCGCGAGCCATCGCAGCCAACGATGAGATGGCCCCTTTCGGTTGAGCCATCTTCAAATCCTGCAGTGATATCTGACCCGTTCGACTCCACTGAAACCAACTTCTTGCCGAACTGGTATTTATTAGCTTCGTAGTGACACAAGTCAACGATTCTAGGACTGACCGACATATTGAGATCTCTCTTCGATGTTAACCAATTTCGGAGCTTCTTCCTTGAAACTCGTACTAGTGCTGGCATTGCTATTCGCGCCATTACCTCTCCAGTTTTCCCATTGACATGAGGAATCGGGACATCTTCCATCCCATTATATCTTGGATCGACAAGAGTTTCCTCGAATCTGATTTGTAGGTCCTCAGGTAGAGTTCTCATCAAGAATTCTTTTCCCCAGTGCAACAACATGCCTGATATTTTTAGTCTCATGTTATCAACATGACAGAAACGACAAACCCCAGTCTCGAGTCTTGTTCCAATAATCTTCCTCAGAGTCTCGCTCGAAAATCGTGTATGATATCCCTTCCTGATAGGTCTCAGCTGCGCGGCAAAGGCACGAAGCCGGATGTAGCTCTCTCGCTTATAAGGCTCTCATACCTTTTGCAAACCATGTGCGATGGCCAATCCGCAAGTACCACCTCCGACTATCAGTACATGGAACTTTTTCTGGGACTCCATGGTAAAGGATGGTTTTGGAACGAAGTGCATGCAAGCGTGGCGGACCTGCTCTTCTCCTTGTTGGATCAACGTGAACACAGTGGATAGCCACGCATACTATGCTGTATTCAGGACGTACACTTATACAAACTTTGCCTTATTGTTCCGATCTCTGTTTTTCCCGACTATGGGAGCCGTAATGGACCTTCTGGATCCCTTTTTGATCCCACCTTGACCGGGCCGAGACCACTGAACGACCGTACGTCTCGGACTTTTCGAGCTCGGGTCTTGTGGCTTACACTACCGAGGACTCGTTTCCCAGAAAATCTAGTCCAGTCGCCGAACTTATAGAGCATGCAGAAACTCTAGGGCAGAGCGATGCGGCTGGTTTGATTATATTGCTCTTGAACATTGGCTTAGGCGTCGCTCGTTTTCGAGTCCAACACCATCGACGAATGTCAAAATGTCAGCCAAATTCACAAGACTCGTTCGATTTGAAGACAGCAGTGGAACTGTCCATTATGGAGAGGCCGGTTCAGACTGGAAGAAGAGCCTTGTTGGCCAGAAAGTTCCCATATATAGCATCACTGACGTGTATGGGCACGAGTTCCCATTAACTGGAAGCACCGTTGAGATTGCAAAGGCACGGTTTTCTAATCGAGCCACTGCTCCATCATAGCATCAGGCTAACAAAACAAATAGGTCCTTTGCCCTCTCGTTTCAATCCCAATTATGATTGGCATAGGGTTGAATTACAAAGTTCATGCTGAGGAAGCCAATGTTCGATATCTGTTATTGTCTAGCACAACGCAGTCTGACAAATAACTACAGCTACCGATACCTGACTATCCAGTGGTATTCACAAAATTTGCTGGTACTTTACATTTTGTCATTCAAGCACTGTCATCAGCTCACGAGACTAGACACTCTGGCTGGACCGTATCAGGACATCCATGTCGATGCCATAGCCAAAGAGCTGGATTATGAAGGAGAGTTGACTGTTATCATTGGGAAAGATGTCAAGAACTTAGGCCCGGACGAAAACCCTCTTGACTACGTGCTCGGCTACACAGTCGGCAACGATGTTTCTGCCCGCTACTGGCAATGGCCCAAGATGTCAGGCTCACAGCACGGCTACGCCAAGTCGTTCGACAATTTCGGCCCTATCGGCCCTGTCATAGCCTCGCGTGCTGCCATTCACAACCCAGAAGCCCTAAGTTTGAGGACGTGGGTGAACGGCGATCTTCGGCAAGACTGCAAGACCGATGACCTGATATTTGGTATTGCCAGCATTATACGACACTTGAGTCAAGGAATGACTCTGAGGAAGGGAACAGTCATCATGACCGGCACTCCAAAGTAAGAATTCAGACCTCATAAATGTGGGACTAATCACTGACCCTTTTACAGCGGAGTCGCCGCCTTCCTGCAGCCACGAAACTGGCTGAAGAATGATGACGTTGTCAAAATTGAGATTGAAGGAATTGGTATCATTGAGAATAAGATGGTAGTCGCATCTGAGTGAGGAAACTTTACATATGCGGCAGAACAGCAAAAAATCCCCTACTTATTGTCGATATATGAAACCCAAGCAGGCTACTGTCGTTAAACCATTACTCGTTCTAAAGTCAACCATGGAGCTGGCTGAATCTATCAGACTTCAATATGCCTGTTCTTCGTGATATTTCCTGTACTACGATCTGTCTGATGGAAGCATGGCATGTATTTTCTTCTGAACAGTAGCTTACATGAAAATATTTCTTTTGTACGGTCAACCACTGGCTGTGATTGTTTAGACTTAATACTTGACAAGTGAAATTCTTGTTTAGATCGGTATTTGACGGCGACCAACCTCAGGTTACGCCGCGAGTGCTATCGCAGGTATCTCATGTCTGGGGCCGATCTCTTTTCTTGCCTTGATATCTCTCATTTCTTCTTCAGACAATCCTTCCTCCCCATTGGGCTTCATCTTGCTCAAGATGCGCTCCGCCCATGAAGGAGGATCGATGTCTGTGCCTACTGGATTCGCGGTAAACAAGGGGCCCCTCACAAAAGCATCCGCCTCCTCCGGCGTGTCGAAGTTCTCAATCTGTATTTCCACCTTATTGCGTTCCGGATCTCGATAGTACATGCTACTGGTCATACCATGGTTGACTGCCCAATATGGCTTCACGCCCCTGTCTTTGAGGTGCTGATAAATGCGTGCCATGTCGGTAAGTGTAGCAAATGTGAATGAGACATGTTCAAGTCCCGCAACATCACCCTTCCTGGGTTGTGTGTTGGGAGTCATTAAAATTCCGACTCGATGATGCTCATAGTCGTAACGGAGAAAGGCGAACGTCTTTTCTTCGAGAACGATTTCCCCATTTAGAAGCTCCTTGTAAAACCAGACCATCTTCTGGTACTGTTCTGGCGTTGATCGAAGAACGACATGTGCAAGGCCAATTGGACTCGGCCGTCGAGTGAGTTTCGCATCTTTCGTGGCAGCCCCACCACCTGTATCGCCATTCGATGCCATGATGCTCATAAACGTACCAAAAGACTTTTTTATCCCCCACAAGGTCGATTTACTTGCCCTTTGATGGAACTATGCAGAGGGTATTGGGTGGTATTTAGGTCCTCGAGGGCCCTGGTAAGCCCATGATGGTAATCAAACATCGTACACTACTCCGTTGACTTGCTTCATTCTTCGGACCATTGTTGGTGGTTGTTACTTCGGAATAGAAACTGCACGCTCGGACCGAAAGCACCTACAGCTCTGTGACGTTGCTCAACACCTTCTTCGCCCCGGCGCGGGAAGTCGGGGGCTCCAACATCTTGCACGGGTTTGCTAGCCCATTATTGAGTATTCAGCGTGATCTCATGATCATTTAATGCAACTATTAATCAAGTTCCAAGCAACACTCAATCCTGGTATTTTTCATGGTCTGAGAAGTTAGTGACAGACAGGGTCCTTGCTTGAAGCGATTGCCGACGTAGGTCACAATTCGCCATCAACAACTTCTACCAGCATTTTGGAAGGGGTCTAGCTGGTTCACATTTGAATTAGAACATTGTACGAGCTCACGATGACTTCATTCATCATAAAGGATGTTCGTCTCTTTGATGGGGAAAAAGTCATTGACAACGCGAGCGTACTCGTGGAAGACGGCATAATCAAGGTCGTTGCTGAAGAACATGAGAACACCGATCTTCCAATATTCTCCAAGCCAGGCCATACATTACTCCCAGGTCTCATCGATGCCCACAGTCATCCTTACGGGGAAGCCAGTCTATCAGAGCAGTCCTTTCGATTTGGCATCACCACTTTGATGGACATGCATAACTTGCATGCAAATGCCGTACAGCAGAAACAGTGGGCGAAAGAACGAAAAGATTTCCCGGACATCAAGAGTTGTCATTTTGCAGCGACGATAAATAACGGTTGGCCTGCGTGGGTTGAGAAAAAACTGAGTAACAATAAGGTTTGTTAACACGACAGAATGTGCCGGGTAGACCCTTGGTAGTTGTACTGACTCTTCCAGAATGCGACCTACGACGATTGGCCAGATGTGGCAAACGTGGAAGATGCCGAGCCGTTCATTGAAAGGGCCATTCGAGATGGTTCTGACTATATCAAACTCATGCATGAAAGTGGGAGGGCCGTGGGATTCGATGGGCCAACACTGAACCAGCCAGGAGAAGCCGTGCAGAAGGCTGTAGTCGATGCTGCACATAAGCGTGGACTAAAAGTAGTTGCGCACGCACTGTCCCTGGCAGACACAATCGAAGTTTTGCGTGCGGGAGTAGACGGGCTAGCACACACATTCTTTGACCAGCCCATTACACCCGAGGTCATCGAACTCTACAAACGAAACAATGCCTGGGTGAACCCAACTCTGGTCGCTGCGGGATCCTTGACGGGTGAGTCGGAGGAGATTAGCAAGTCATTTGCCAGCGACTCCAGAGTCAGATGCAGAATATCCGAAGCGCAGGCAGCGTTGATGCATCAGTGTTTACACATGAAAGCGCCGAATGCAAAGTGGGAGTACGCCATTGACAGTGTTCGCCAATTAAAAAGAGCTGGAATCAACATCGTCTGGTAAGAATTCCTTCTCTACAGAATATGACGACAAACTAATGTTGAACAGTGGCTCGGATGCTGCCGCAGGGGCCCCGGGTCTCGCATTTGGGACAAACCTACATATCGAGATGTACCTTCTAGTGACCAAGGCAGGATTATCACCACTAGAGGTACTGCAAGCTACAACAAGTGTGACGGCTGATCTCTTTGGATGGTCAGATAGGGGAAGAATAGCACCAGGGTTGAAGGCGGACTTGTTGCTGGTTGAAGGGGATCCGTTCAGTGACATAAAGGACCTTCTGAATATTAGGGGAATTTGGAGAGATGGTGTGAAATTTGAAGGGCATCCGGGGTTTCCGCTTGAATAGGGAACGATGAGCTTCTTTTGTACCGTCAAAATGCCACCTTCCATACCGGCTGTGGAGAAGCCATCTTGGGTATCATAGTCGTTATACATCTAAGGGCGCTGGATCTTTCCGAATTGCCTCACAACTTGGAATACTTAGAGATATGTACTGGAGCGATCGAAACCTCAGCAGTTCTTAACGACCTTCTTCCAAAGACTCAACTATGACTCACTACGACCGTTAACTATAATGTTATAGTTTCATAGTACAATTTTGTTAGAGAAGTATCTGAAACACCTTCCGAGGCAATAGGTTAAGTTTCCTGGCGCCGATCCTATATCAAATAGCGGATAAGATGGTCGTTCGATGACTAAGTCCAACATACGAAAGCTGATAGACTAATAAGTATCCTATGTTGTGATCCAATTGGTACTCATTAATGTTGTACTGCTGTGTCCACCTATTGACCATCTTTCTTCGCGTAGGTGCGTACAGGTTGCTGCATTAAGGCAGAAGTCGAGACATACACTTCGACCGTTGCACCGATTGCAACTGCAGGCATTTGTTGGACAACGCGTACTGCTTTGTAACGAAGAGACAATCTCGGCCCGAGAGCAAAACCCGCCATGCAAACTGTTGTAAATGAATATACTCTGCATTGGACGAGGACCCTGCATAGCGCCTTGCAATATTCGCCAATATGCCCGCACCTTTGTATCCTAGAGTTGAATAAATATGCTTCCTGTTGCATCAGGTAAATTTTAAAAGGAGCCGCACACGGTATTCTGATTCCCAAGTACTCCAGGAACGAGTCAAAATCGGTTGATGCCAAAGTTCCGGTCACTGCTCACCACCTCCTAATGTCGATCAAGCGCTTTCACATTGAAATCTCTCAGGGGGACATAAAACGCTTGAAAGAGAAGCTTGCACTCGCAAACTATCCTATCCAGGATGGTAGAAGTTGCTGGCGTTCTGGTGCACCAATATCTGATATCCAAAACCTGGGATTACATTGGCTCAACAATTTTGACCTACAGGCAGCGATATCTCGTCTGAACCAGTATCCTCAATATCTTGCACCGGTAGATATTGACGGATTCGGAGTGCACAACATCCATTTCATTCATCAGAAGCATCAAAATCCGCGCGCTATACCGTTGCTCTTTCTTCACGGCTGGCCAGGCTGCTTCCTGGAAGGCACCCGAATACTTCCGCTCCTCTCAAGCGTTGATGGCCATGATTCACCCTCCTTTCATGTGGTTGTTCCGAGTTTGATTAACTTCGGCTTCTCGTCCGGTAACAACAGTGTCTGTATTCTAGCTGAAATGGAATGCACAAAAGCTAATCTAATCTCCAGCCCGAGTTCGGTGTCAGCCAGCACGCCGAGGCTTACCACAAGCTCATGCTGATACTAGGCTATGATGAATACGGTAGTGCAGTTTTCTCTCTTTCCACGAATGGTAGCTAACAGATAGCAAGTGGTTCAAAGTGGCGATGTGGGACATCTCATTACAAGATTCATGGCGATGAAATATGGCCCGGCCTCGTGCAAAGCATATCACACGAACACAGCATGGCCTGGGCAACCTACAGCAGACAGTCGCCCCGATATATTGGCCAAAATTGAAGCTGCTCCCTTAACCGAGGCTGACGTTGCCGGTCTGCAGCGAGCGGGCGAGTTTATGACTGAAGGCATGGGCTACTACAAGCAGCTATCTACAAAGCCTCGTACTATAGGGTTCAGTCTGTGCGATAGCCCAGTCGGTCTTCTCGCCTGGATTTATGAGAAGTTGCACGATTGGAGCGACGACTATCCCTGGACTGACGACGAGATATTGACTTGGGTGACCATTTACTACTTTTCTAAGGCCGGACCAGATGCCGCGGGGTATATTTACTATGCCATGGAACATGGACAACCACGAGCACTTGCAACTGCTCAGTCGTATATTGACGTTCCTCTTGGCATCACGCGATTTTGCCACGATAACATTACGCTCCCAAAGGCATGGAATCAATCGTTAGGACCTGTTGTGTTTGAAAGCAGTCATGAGAAGGGTGGACATTTCGCTGCTTGGGAACAGCCAGATGCAATAGTAAGCGATCTCATTGCCATGTTCGGACGAGGTGGTCCCGTGTACGGGTGTGTGAAAGGCAAAGATGGATATGCAGAGTGATACCTGAGATTCAAAAGATATGACCCAAGCTAAGCGCACTTCCACCTGAGTGCGCAAGGTGTCCTAAACTTGACGAGCTCCTACATGCGAGGCAGGCTTGTCTCGTGGGCGCTGTTCCAACAACTGCCGAGCAGCGGTCGATACACCCGTTCTCCCAGCTATTCGGATCACATTCACAACTTGGTGTGCAGCAGAAGTAGACACGAAAGAAATAGGCAGAGGTCACCATTGAGTTGTTCAAATCCTCTCGCATTCGGAATGACACATGTAGCAAGATACGGAGGAATAGATCTGACACGATCAGACAAGACTCTCCTAGCACGCATAATTGAAGACCGACCAGACGCCCAGGTCAGCAAAATGCTCTTGAGATCGAGTATGGACTAAAACCTATCTTGTTGTCCGTGCTACTTTTGTAGGTACAGAGTACTTGTAGAACACTCACGTGTCTTCATTTGAAGGAAACATTACGTGCACCAGGGAAGCTCATGGATCTATTCATAATTGTCCGTTACTGTCTTGTGTGAAAATTAAGCTGCACTACTAGCACGCAAATCGTACCCCAGAACTCCTTAATCCACAATCGACTTTACAATAACAAAGTCTTGCTGCAGCTGTAAACAGTGGGGGTGCTTAGCTTCCGCGGATATGCCTGGCCAGATCTGAGGATGAATTTGAGTTTATCAATCCCAAGATGACCTGGCAGGCTGAATGATACTGGTCAATCCACCGAAACCGCACATTCTTCCATCCTTGCTCATGAACCAGCCGTCCATGGTGACAGTATCACCATCCTCAACCCACGACATTGGCTTGCCACCTACCTCAGGAAGTCGATGCCTCTGTGCGAAAGCCTCTAACAGACAGCCATATGTGCCCAAACCGGTCTTATTTTCCGGCGCCGGTGAAGCAATAGTGCCACTCGCAACGAGATCGCCAGTGTTCAGACCATGTCCAGCCGAAGACTGGTATGCGATCATCTGTGGGACGCTCCAGTACGAGTCCGCAAAATTAGCACGGACGATCTTCACAGGTTTGTCGCCATTACCTATTTCGGGGTCAGAGTACATTCGTAGGGAACGCTGATTACACGTACGAGCAATCGATATATGGAGCTCTATGTCGTACACACCGTGATCCTTCTCATCGGCGACAAGTGAGGGATGGATTTGCGTCTCGTTCGAAAGTGGTGGCTTTGTTTTACTGTCCTCCAATGCATCCACTGTCACAATCCACGGGGATATTGTGGTGATAAAGCCCTTTGAATGCATCGGCCCTAGAGGGGGCATCTCATACTTCTGAATATCTCGGGCCGACCAATCATTGTGCAGCACGTATCCGAAGATATGTTTCGCGGCCGTTTTGGCATTCTTTGACCTGCCGAACTCTATAGGGTTGGAAATGAAAGCTCCAAGCTCTATCTCGAAATCCAGCTGCTTGGTGGGTTGAAATGTCGGTCTGGTATCGCCAGCGTTGACGTAGAATCCATTTGGTCGAACAACGTCAATACCCGAAACGCGAATGGAAGACAGACGCCCATTGTATCCCATCGGATACTCGGTGAAAGCTGGGGGAAGCTCAAGGCCAAGCGGATGCATCGACTGATAGTGTCAGTACAAACTTGTCGTGAACAAGGATGCAATCTCCCACGGACATTCTGAGCATGAATCAACGACGAGAAAGAGTCTGTGTAGTCAGTTATCTGCATTGGGATGCGCATTTGCACGTCGTTAATTGAGAGAAAGGCTCTGTTGTTCAACTCTAAGTCCTGGAAAAGCGGTGATTTGGCACTCGATAGAGCTTCGATGAGGATATTTCTAACCCATCTCCTCTGGTCTGGTCGTAGAGCAGCAAAATTATTCAGGACGGGCTGTGCGTCATTAGTGATTGCAAGCCCACTCGTGCTACATCATCGCAAAATACCTCAAGGAAAATATGCTTTAGCACCACGGCGAGGGTTGGTTCGCCATCAAATACTCCGTGCTTAGCCAATTCGAACAAGTCGAGCACGAATGTGCCAATGGCAACTCCGGCCCGTGGTTTTCTCTGAAGCACGTCGAGCAGAATTAGCTGAATGCTTTCATGAGACGAAGCAAATGCCCACCCCTTCCCCGATTTCAGCTGATGTGCTGAAAATCCCAAATGGAAGATTGTAGAGTCCAAAGGGACTACCTTCAGGGATAGATATCGGAAAGGTCACAGCCATAGTATCGAGCGCTGTACGCGAAACTGAAATGCTTTGGAGACAGAGCAGTTCAGAAAGTTGAAAAGCTTTTTCAGCATACTAACCTCGATTGCTTCGGACCGAAATATTGACAGCTGGCTCGGCTTATAGTGGTGATGATGCGCGGCATATCAAGGCGTAGGCTACATATAGTTGTGAAGATCCTTTTCGTTTGCCACAATTCTCGACTCAAAAATCAGAAAAACTGTGTTCAGGCTAGACCATAGATCAATAGCTGCGACAAATTGTAGCTCTTGTCCACATGCACATTTGGCACTTCATCATCAACATCAATAGGCTTCGATCTCCTTGTAGCGTTTGGGAGAGAAATCAAGGTAATCCTGCGCACCATGTCAGGAGCGATGTGTGATACATCATCGAGATTAGACGAAGTATGACTCTGTGCCTTGAGCTACACCAAATTGTTAACCAATCTGAATGTTCCAAAATAATTGGGCTGATAGACCAAGCCATTGACTCCTGTCAAAAACAGCGCTAGTTGAGCAATCCTTCAAAGAAGAGCTCACACACCGCTTCCCTTATTGGCATAATATCCATGTTCAGATCTTAACTAGCGGTGTTGCTTCGCACGTGTTCTGTGAAATAATAAGGAGGACACGAGCATGCCTCGAAGCTGCTTGGCCATTCGATGAAAGGATTTCTGCGTAATTATTTGGAGACGGAGGAGGGGTAGGCGAAAAAAACCTCGAGTCGAAGGACGTCTTTCGAGAATACATAGCCTTCTTAACATATCTCAATCTATTTTCGCCTCGCTAAATGACATTCATAAAGTACTTGAGATTCTCCCTCCGTTATTTAAAGCTTTTGGTTTCGGCTGCTCTCTCCGGTGCGACGATTCTTGTCTAGCTGAATACAGGCTGTGATATCCAGATTAGAGGGTCTACTCAGGGGAAGTTCTGCTACAGAACGAGTATAAAGGTTGTTTTTGATTCAACCTTGAAATGACCTCTAGCATCTAGCTCTTGGAAAAGACTGGTCACTAAACACGACGAAGTGTGGCAAGATAATATAGCTAGTAATCCCTCTTTGACCCCGGCTGATCTATGACAACTAGGGGATCAATAGATTTCAAGATATGCCAAGCCCAAGGAGTGGGATACTCATTAGCTGCAGAAGCGCATGAGTCTGTCGACAGGCGATTCAGCAAAGTGTTGGAGTGTTAGAGCATCCCGCCACCTAAGGTACAGAGAGCCCTGAACGATTTCATTCACTCGTACCTTGTCTCTTACAAAGCAGTCTAAACCCTTGGCCGAATGATCCATGTACCGATTGTTAAAACAACTTAGGCGTGCAACACGGAACAGGTCACAGGTTTTACTCTCGAATCTAACAAGTACTCGCTATTATCAGAGAATTCTATGGCTGACATTGAAGAAGGGACTTCGCTTTGTATCGACGTTCGGTAGTGGGAGGACCGTCCTTGGATTCAGTCCAGAGGACACTCACTCCTCGGCCCGAGATCAGCAAACCGTGAATCAACGCAACATACCAGGTGACAGCAACGATGTTGAGCCGCTGGGGCGTGGTGAGTCCGGTACGGGTTCAATGTAACTTTACTCAGTGTGTTTAGAGTCCCGATGGTTCATCTAAACCTAAGGTCTAATCCATTCCTCATCGCTCGTAATAATACCTCCCATTCTCGTTGGTCGTGTCGAATATCTGCTTGAAACTGCTGTTATGAACCATTTGATCTGCATCTGATAATCAAGCTTGGAAAAATCGGAAACCTCTTAGTCAAGATCAATCCAATTTGTCAAATGGCTCTCTTTCACTTATTCAACCTAGCAATCGCCGGGCTTACTCTGATGCTGATCTTGGGTTTGCAGAAGGTCGGAGACTCTGAATTTATGCTACTGCAAACCAATTAACAATCTATACTAGATAGCCTATGCAATATACGTTTCGCCATTGCGGAAAATTCCTGGCCCATTTCTTGCCAGATTGACTCCGTTGTGGTTAAGATGGATGGACCTCAAAGGCAAGCGAACGTTGACTATTCACCGACTGCATCAAGAATACGGCTCCACAGTATTGGTTGGGCCAAACGAGATATCCTGTTCGGATGTCTCAAATGTTCGAGATCTCTATGGTCAGCAAACGAGCTTCCTGAAGGCTCCGATTTATGAATCGATGAGCCTGCCGCCAAGTGGAATCTTCAGCATGAGAGATAAAGTGCAACACAGTAGGAGAAGGAAACTCCTGAGCCATGCATTTTCCCAGTCCAACTTATACGAATGCGAGCCACTTATTCACAAGCAAATTGAGAAGCTTGTGACAGTGCTCCAGGGCCAGATTGGAAAACCGATGGATATGCTCAACTGGTTCAGACTCACCGCATTTGATGTCGTTGGTATGGGTGCTGGAGCCCCTTTAGTGTCTGAGACTGACGACTCTGTAGGAGAACTCTTTCTTGGTCAACCATTTGGTGGCCTTGAATCTGGGGAAACACCTCAGTTTCTCAGCGACATTGAGTTGTTTTTCATCCTTGGCGACATACAGTGGAACTATCCTTGGCTTGCAGCCGCTCTTTCATGGGTACCATTGGATTCAGTCCAGTATTTCCTGGGAGCGATGCAAAGACTTGCAGATGTAAGTTATCACATTGGCTTTCATGAAAATACCGATTCTACCGGTGTCTGACTTTGAGACTAGTACGGTGCAAAATCATATCACAGCTATGTCGCACAATATGGTCGAGAGTCTGGGCGCAAAGACCTTTTGACGAAAATCCTATCAGTGAAACCAGAGACAGGGGAAACCCAACTCAGCGACAGAGAAACATCCATCGAAATCGGGAATCTTGTCTTCGCGGGCACAGGTATACCTCTCAGCCGTCACATACTCGATTGACGGAACTAACAGCAGCAGACACTACCAGCACTACTCTGACTTTCTTGTTCTGGGAGCTAGCAAAACACCAGACATGGCAAGCTAGGCTTCGGAAAGAAGTTCAAGCTCATTGCAGTAGCTCTCCAACTTTCCAAGAAGTTCAAGATCTGCCAATACTAGAGGCAGTTATTGATGAAGCTCTAAGGTTACACCCGGCAGCTCCAGCAAGTCTTCCCAGAGAAACACCCATTGGTGGTCGAGAACTCAATGGGTTCTTTATTCCTGAAAAGGTGCGATTTATTCCTCTCGCATGTACTGTCCTAACATGCCCAGACAATTGCGTCTATGCAGTGCTACACGACACAAAGAGACCCTAATGCCTTTCCTAATCCTGAAGCTTTCCAACCTGACAGGTGGATGGAATTGAAGGGCGTTACAAACGAGATGAAAGAGCTTTTTATGCCATTCTCCAAAGGGTCGAGAGCATGTATAGGCAAGAATCTGGCGATGATGGAGTTGAAGCTGATTACTGCTCGGCTAATCAAGCAGTTCAAGTTCACGGTAGCACCTGCCACTACTGAGCACTCAATGGCAACTATGGACCACTTTCTGCTGATACCTGTTGGCGGGAAATGCGAGCTGATATTTGAAGTTGTCTCATAGGCAGGCACCTTTGTTTGGGATGCTATTTCAAGACTTAATGGACAGCTTTAGTAATCCACAGTGGTGCGACGTTTTCGTGACATTAAGAAAAGGCTCTATTCAGGAACTCAAATAGCGAGGCTTTATCCAGCAGAGTCCTTGTTTCTCCATAGCCTAAGCTAGCGTAAGGCGACAAATCCTAGAGATATTGACCAATAACACGACAGTCATACCTTCTATTCTTCCTGTGCCAGCAGCTGTCTGCTCTGTCTGCCAGTCAACAAGTGAAGCAATAGCATGAACTTCACTTCGGCCGTTGCTGCCTACCACACCAATATCAACTTCGGCCCGAGATGGAAAATGATCACCCCCGTCCGGAGAAAAATTCGGCTCGACACCTTCTGAGCATGGAGAGCGAGTGCTCGGAACTACACACAAATGAGACTTTGACGGTGACCAAGGTTCTGGGTGCCTCCACAGAACTCGTTTGTTACTGGAGTTGATCAGGAGTCTGGGGTGAATCTGGGGCTTGTCCCGGGACCGGGCTGGAGAGCATGGCTACCTCGGTTATCTAGCGACCATGCCATCGCATACAGAGCACAGTCCAGGGGAAATATCATAGCGTTGATGAAAGCTCCTCGAACATTTGAAGCACTTGAATCCTTGAGAATTTTTTCTTCTCTCTGCATACCAAATCAACCTGCTCCACTAATATATCAATATGGGAGAGGTCATCGCTACACACGTCGAGGCTACTAGCAACCCCCAGCATGGACACACCTATTGGAACCACTTGAAGACGTCCGTTCTCGTGTTGGTATGATGGAGACTTCTCATGTCCTTCGTATGTTGTACTGACGGATCTCAAGGCCATTGCTGGTACATACTTTGGGCAGCTTGTTCTACTTGTCGGCGGAGGTCTGCTGTCCCACAGCATTGCTGCTGTCGTCGGAGGAGCATCACTCACAGCATGGCCGACCGCCGTCCTCGGGATCTTGGTCGCAGCACTTGGCCCTCCGGTATCCCAAGCCGCAGATTTCTGGGGTAGAAAGTGGTTCCTTGTCATCCTCACAGCCTCAGGTTGTGTTGGGTCCATCATTGTCTCCAGATCGAGCTCAATGGGAATGGCCATAGCTGGTTTCACCATCGCAGGTCTCTCATGCGTTTCGCAGCCACTCCTTCACGCGGTAGTGTCAGAAGTCCTCCCGAGAAAATATCGATCATGGGCCCAAGCAAGCGTTAACGTGTCGGTGTGCTTCGGTGCCATCTTCGGCCTCCTCGTCGGAGGGGCCTTAGTTCAAAACGATAACAATGCGTTCCGCATCTACTTTTACATATCCGCTGGGGTGTTCGCTCTCTCGGCCGCAGCTTGTACATTTCTTTACAATCCACCGATCCGAGAAACACAGAAGGGAAGCATCTGGAGAAAACTTCAACACCTTGACTGGGTTGGTTTTGCCATGGTTGGCTCAGGCGTCACTTTGCTCTGCGTAGGATTATCTTTCGCACAGAACCCGTATGGTTGGGCCAGTGCACATGTGCTGGCTCCGTTCCTTACAGGTATCATTGTCCTCCTTGGACTTGTCGCATATGAGTGGAAAGTCAAAAAAGACGGCCTCTTTCACCACAGTTTATTTCAGCATCGGAACTTCGCGCTCGCCCTTGGATGCATCTATGTCGAAGGGCATTGTGCTTTTGCTGCAAATTACTTTGTGCCGTTCCAACTCACCACATTATACCCGTCGATGGGCTTCTTTCGGGTTGGTGTCTGCTATAGCATCTCCTACTTCGCTTTCACTTTCTTTGCACTGGCAACAGGCCTCTACATTTGGAAGTCAAAAACAGTACGAGTTCCGACAATAGCTGGATTTGTAGCATTTATCCTGTTCTTTATCCTTGCCGCTACAGCAAAGGAAAACACCCCACAGGCCAACTTCTGGGGCTACATGATATTCCTGGGTGCCGGTCTTGGGCTGTTGTTAACGACTCTTGTCGTTGCGGCCCAACTGTCGACACCTCCAGAGCTTATCGCAATGGCTTCGGGGTTAGTGCTTTCTATCAGGAGTTTGGGAGCTTCAACAGGGCTAGTCATATACCAAGCAGTCTTCAGTCATGGGATCTCCAAAAATTTGTTTCCCAAGGTAGCTGGTGTGACTATTCCCCTTGGTCTATCCGAAGAATCACTAGGACCGTTGCTGGGAGCTATCGCCTCCGGCGATATGGATGAGTTATCGAATGTGCCCGGAGCGACCCAAGAAATTATAGAAGCTGCAACTCTCGCTGTCAATGAAACATACAGGCTTGCTTTCAGTTACGTATGGGCCACTGCGGCAGCGTTCACGACAATTGCGTTGATTGGTAAGTTTGAAAGCCCTCAGCCGATGCTCCTTGTCCGAAAAGCTAACAAAGGGAAGCTGCAATGTTCTTACGCGACCCTAGCAACGAGTTCACTCGAGAGATTGACGCACCTCTCGATATTACCGAAGCGGCTGGCATGCAGGAATTTCGAGAGAAGTCTGCCGCGGAATAGTCGGACGTATATGCACCAGAGACTTATAGGTCATTTAAAGCCTGACCATCCTTGACAGACATCTCAATTTAAACATCTACTAACTGTGGTGAAGTTGAATATTATGTCAAACAATATTTGGATCCCTTTTCTTAATGAGAAATCTATCTTTTAGTATGAATCGGATCACAAGAAGAATTCGTAGAAAGACTCGATGACGGTTTTCTGAATGGGGGTTTAAAAACATGTAATACCCGATTGGGGAAGAAATCGGATTAACTATTCTTCTCTAGGAACCTAGCCCAACCCATTGCGAAGCCTAATTCTAGGTATAAACCCCTCGCAGAGCAGAATAGCCCGGTTACGTGATGCGGTGTCGTTCTCCATCAGCCAATTTCCTTCCTTGCCTAGACCTTTCGCCCTTAGTGACCTTCAAGTGCGCGAAGTTGCAACATGGTATTGAATAGCTAAGGCGATGTGCGATGTGCGATGTGCCGTTGTGTTCTTGCTTGCCTACACTCTTGAGGGACGAAACAGGCAGGAAGATTTAATAATTTCAGTCATAGTAAATTGTCCAGTATATTGCATCTACGTTCAGTCAAATAGTTGTTGTGTCACAGCGTCCCTGGAAGGGTAAGGCAGTAGGGAGACATGTAATCCTCGGGGTCTCAATGCCGATGGCGGGATATCTCGACGGCGGAGTCACAGGTACTCTACAACGGAAAGGGAAAAATGGCAATCAAGCTTCGTCCAAAAGGACTAGGCGACACCTTGGTTTTGATCAATTGTCTTCTTTTGGTGGTATCTTAGCAGAATTCAGCTGTTCTGAGACGCCGATATTCTGATTCTCTAGGGAGGAGCAGTTGTTGATTCATGTTGGTTGCATCAACTTTTTGATTGCACCATATGGCGGAGGAATCGAGAGACACCATCGCAGAAATGTATGGTAGCCTCCAAGCCGGTCCCTTTGCGATCGGCTATCGGCGTGCTGGATGTGAACTCGACAAGAACAGGCGAGTGAGTTCATTTCTGTGTGGATTTGAGGTGTGGATAGAGAGATTTACTCGCGACGGCCGGGTCTATCGGTGCCGAAAACTCTGCGACCGCCTCTCTCTTGAGGAGCCTGCTGGGCAATAGGAACAACATTGACGGCAATCGAGTCGAAGCCCATGCTCTTGAGCAAGTCCTTGGTGTCGGCATCAACATCCAATTGTCCGCTCTCGGTGTTCTGGGTGAAGTCCAAAGCGGAGATTTCGGGAACGTATTGATCCTTGCGTTCACGTTCTTCTTCTTGCAACTTGAAGGAGATACCGCGGACGGGTCCTCGTTGAATTCGCTTCATCAAGTGGGTGGTGTAGCCAGCGATCTAAAGGGTGGGCATGTTAGTTATTTTTTTGTTTCGCCTCGTCAGAATAGACGCACCTTGTTGCGAAGACGCTTGGAGGCGATGATGGCGATTTCATCGCATATTCTCTTGTTGGTCTCGAAGTCGAGAGTGAGTTTGGGATAGTATCGCTCAATGATGACTTTGGCGGACTTCTTGACGGTCTAGTCGCAGCTTCATGTCAGTGACTTTGATGCAAAAAGAGCTATAGCCCTCAACTCGAGGCTTGGTCTTCATTCTTGACTGACCTTAGTTCTAACGCGACCCATCTTGACGGTTGGCTGTTGCTTGACGAGAGAATGGTTTGAAGTTCGTTCGCAGTTTGAGATTCAAGGGAAAATTGATTTGCATGTTCGCGAAACTCTTGGCGGGAATACTGTGTGCCAAGATATCACCCAGATAAGATAAGACTTTGTCACGTGATCCTCCTTTGGTGGCAGGCTTCTTGAGCGGGTGAGGGAGCAACCAGTAACGAGACTGTGGTTAGAGTGAGTGAGATACACCTTGTAGTCTATCCTTATTTACACAACTATCTAGTATACACAAGTCTAGACACGACCAGTAAGGTTGGAGCTCTGCGACGCAGAACGATTCAGACGGTCCATCTCCTCCACCAGATCCATATCGATATTGACACGCGTTCCTGGACTTCTCCGCAGTGACGGTGTCCGCAGCGATCTTGACCTTGCAGCGGCCGGAAGTTGTTCTCCGGAAGACTTCTTCTCCGAATCTGGGGTTGGCACATTGTCCTTCAAATGCCAATTCGTCTTGACGCTGGCTTGGATTTCAAGCTTGCCTGATTGCCCAACAAGGGCGGCGGTAGGGCTGACCACACACCTTGGTCCCCCAGGTACAGGGTCCCACTTGACATTGCCAATTTCCTGCTTATTTGGGTTGCTGGCGACAAAGCCTGCGACACCCAATAGAGGCCTGGCCTGTGTTTCATTTAGGGCGGATGACTGCAGAATGCGACCGGCGGCTGGCTGTCGGCCTTCAATCGGACCAATCTTGACATCATTCAGGACATATCTGCCAGAATATTGGTATGATAAACCTGCTGAAGGATGTGTTGTAGGAGGCCCTGTCTGCCTATATCGAAGTGCTGTGATCGTGTCTCGTCCGTACGACCAAGGGTCGCTGCCAGAAAGTTCTTGCTGTGGTCCATCTGCGAGATCAAAGAAAGTGGCAATCAAAGGACCGAATTGACCAGGCTCTGATCTCAGATATCGGAGATGTTCTGTGACTTCTTCTTCGGTCACGGTAATGGCGCTTTGGGTAGCTGATTCCTCCGAAAGGCCCTCATCCAATGCCTTTGAACGCCGCTCCGTGGTTCGCTGTGAGATCAGATGTTGCTTAACCTTATCTCGAAAAGCACCCCTCTCTTTTGCTGTAATTTTGCTCAAGAACTTATCAAACTCGTACTGTGTGATTCCTGCCAGGTATGGACCAGTATAGCGCCATCGTCGTTTTTCGGACTTGGTTGAACTCGGAGCTGCAGTGGCTTCAATTCCTGCGGCTGGGCTCTCATCAGATTCTGCCTCCACAGCCATGTCTTCCTTGAATTGCTCAAGAGTGATCTTGAGGTGTTCGGGTAGTTTAGACACCCGCTGTGTCTCGGAAGCCTTAAGCCAGGCAGTCGGCTCATCTTGCTGGACAATCACGGGAACAGTGTCTACCGTAGTATTATCGAGATCTGGAGCAAAGGGACTGAGGTTGTCACGTTTCACTCTTCCTTTCTCATCTGGAAGTGTGATGCGCAAGTCCAGCTCTTGGAACTTCTTGAGGTTTATGACATGATCGGCAGCTGATTCGAAATCCGCCGTGTGCTGTGGTGTGTCAATACCTCCTCTTATCCTGAAAGTTGGTGTGCCAGTTTTTGTGGTGGTTTTGATCGGTAAAGCTCGCTTCAGTCCCCAGTCACCTCTTTTCAATGATGTTTTTGGGGTTTCTAGTGCGGCTCTTATGGGATAGATTGTGGTGGCTGTGTCGGAGCTGCGTGTCTCTGTATAAGTTGGAGCGACGGGTAGGGGTAGGGCTGATGGTATGGCGAACAGCCTCGAGTTTCGTAGCAGATTTGCCGATGGCGATAGCCGTGCAGCACTCATCGCTACGACAGCCAACCCGATTGGTAAGTCAGATTCCTCGAAGCTCAGAAGTCGTGAGCATTTCTCGAACGAGTCCTGCGCAAACAGTTCGTACCAAAGTTTCGATGCGCGAACGTTACGGTCGATCATGGCTAGACAGTATGCAGTAGCGAGTCAACAGTGTCACGTGTCAGCGCTCGCTTGACTCGCTGAGAAAATGCCGGGCGCGCCTTGGTTTGAAAAGGTGCTTTATTAACTAAAGATGTGTACGAGCAATATGCGCTCATTGCATTGTTTTGTAACAAACACAATTCTCCATAGCTACTTAGTTGTCAACGTGGAAGTTGGTGCCAGTACCCTTCCCATATCCGCCACCATATCCGGGATGGTCCCTGGCATCACTCATCATCAATTTTCAAGGCACGGATCCTGGGGTTCCCTTTCAGAGGGTCTGGATCGAATCGGCTGACATATGACTGGTATCTCGACGGACTGCACCGCCCTTTGCCTCGCGAAGGCAACTAAAGACAGATGCCTTAGGTGTCGCCTCGTAAAACCAAGGACAATATCATGCGCCATTCTGTTGGCCTGACCGTCGAGCAGCTCATTGAATAAATACCAAGACGGATGAATGCCGGATGAAATCGTAAGAGCGGATAGGAGAGTTTTGGAGCTGCAGTTCGAGACGTCGATGCAGAAGAAAGCAGTGCAGCTCTTGGATAGAAGGCATTCTTTCGTGGCGAGCCCCATTCGACCCTTCTTCTTATGCATGGTGTGTGCACGATGCGAAGAAGTGCGAACGCTCTTTGGGTCATCTGGCTTCGTTAGATTCGTCGTGCTGCACATTTAGCGCAGGTCACATCCTTGACGCAAGGTCGGCATGGTGCAGGCCCAGAAGGACAGGTAAAATGTCCCAACTGTGGATAAACCCAAGTCTTTTTATATTACGCATGACACTGGAGTTTGATTCAGTCATAGCGAGCGTTGGCGGGGATAGAAAAACCTCTAGTCATGAAGTCACCTTTTCTGTTATCAGTCCCGGTGGTCTTTTTAGTGTAAAGAGAGTTGATATTGTCGTTATCTTGGCGCCTTTTCTTCCGGACTTCTCCCTCTTGCAAAACTCGAGAGGTTAAATCTGCGGTCGCTGTGTCCCTAATGCCATTCGAGGGCTTGGGGGTGGATGTTCCAGACTGTGGTGTTCCAGATCGAGCAATCCCATTAGTTGGGACTTTTAATTTCCTGCCAGGATCATTGTCCCGGATTTCAGAAGACTTTGCATCGGTTGCCTTGCTGTCGGCTGCCTTCCTTTTCTTGCTACCACTGGCCTTCTTCAATGCGTGGGTCAGACCCAAAGATTTCAAGATGTCAAGTCGTTCCAAAACATGTGCTTTATCCTTCTCGGTGCTTGGCAATATCGGGATAATGTCGCGTTCTTCGTAATTTGTGCCGCACTGAACACATTTACCATCGCTCTGCATCTCCTTGATTGCCTCCTGCGAGAACGCGTGGCCACACGGAACGATGTAGACAGCCTTCACGCTCGGGCCCAACCGCTTGGAGGTAATTGGGCATACCCAGCGGGTATCCTTGCTCTCCTCGTCTTGCTCGACCTCGAATTGAACTTCAACAACATCTTTCAGGCTCTTGACCCTGCCTTGAATGAACTTTTCGTACTCGCCCTTGTCGACCGAACTGACTTCGACAGGAAGTAGGAATTGGATGATGGCATCTTTATTGTAGAGGTTCCCTGAGTGATCTGACACAATTGGCTTGACAAGAGGCTGATTTGAAATGGGACAGATAGACCATCTATGGGCTAGATGCTCCTTTTGTTTGTCCTTTAACTCGGTCGAAGTGGGATTTCGGGCCGCTTCTTTGACGAGTTCTCGACGAGTCGGAATGCTAGAGACTTGTCAACATATGCAATGTGAGACGTGCGACAGTGACTCACCTTCCGCCATCATTTCCCATGTCGACAGAGTCTATAACATGGGTTTTGGGTACACGAAGTTGATGAAGGACCTAGGTATGAAGGCAGCGGAGACGGCAAGTGGCTCATCCATTATTGCCAGCCTTGCGAGTGCATGCCAAGCCTCAGCCTTGTCTGCCCCGCAGCTTGCCCTGACTTCCACCTTCTACAGTGTCTGGTTCAGCATCCTAACAACCAGCCATCAAGTGATCCTACGCACATTTCTTCCATTCTTATGGACGATGCTGGTTTATGGTCGAGCGTGCTCGGTATATTCTCTAGTCTAGTGACACTTAACTAGGGATCATCAACCACCAAAAGAACAAGGGATGCTCATTTCATTCACCACCGGATTTCTACTAAACCAGACATATGTTCCCGGTCATGGCACTTAGTATACTGATCGAGATACACAACCACTCTCCTCTCAGAGAGTCGCAGGTTAGATCAATACTCAGCACGAGCTTTCGAACAATTATCAGATTCAAGAAAATCCTCACGTCGCTCATTGGTTGAAGATTACCATCGGATCGCGCCATGTTCGGCAATCGTGACGTTCTACTGCGTAATGACACGGCACGGCTAAACGGCCTTCACTCCCACACGAAGTGTTCTCCCCTACTCGGGCTGGTGATATATCAAGTAGGTTTCTTATTTGTAATTCAAAATATTCAACAGCAGCAGTATATGTACCCCCTCAATCCCTCTTGATTGGCAATTCAATTCAAGTCCTTGAGCTATCAACCGTCAATATCCGATAACATGGTTAAAGTCCTCCTCACAGGCGGATCCGGCTTTATCGCCGCACATGCCGTTGATATCTTGCTTCAGAGAAATCACGATGTGGTTTTTACCGTGCGGTCAGATGAAAAAGGTCAGAAAATCTTGAGCAATCATCCTGGCACACCGTCATCTAAATTGAGTTACGTAATTGTCGAGGATATCGCCCAGGAGGGAGCGTTTGATGAGGCCGTCAAGTCGGATCCTCCCTTTGAGGCAGTGCTTCACACGGCATCACCATTTCATTTCAAAGTCACGGATGTCAAAAAGGATCTCCTCGACCCTGCCATCATTGGCACGACGACTCTACTGAAAGCTGTCAAGAAGAATGCACCGTCTGTGAAGCGCGTAGCCATCACATCGTCGTTCGCTGCCATCATCAACCCTAATGGCCACCCTAAAGTCTATTCAGAGTCAAACTGGAATCCTATCACTCAGGAAGAGGCAGTAGCAAATCCTCAGAATGGATACCGAGCAAGTAAGACTTTCGCAGAAAAGGCTGCATGGGACTTCGTTGAGAAAGAGAAGCCTAACTTCGATGTTGCAACCATCAACCCACCGCTCGTTCTCGGTCCAGTGGTTCACTACTTGAATTCAATAGACAACATCAACACTTCAAATGAGCGTGTCGCCAACTTGATTCAAGGCAAATGGAAGGACGGATTACCGTCTTCCGGCATCTGGATCTGGGTGGATGTACGCGACGTGGCGCTGGCACATGTCAAAGCGATAGAAGTTCCAGAGGCAGGAGGTAAACGATTCCTTCTGACTGCCGGCTATTACTCGAACGGAGAAATTGCAAGCGCTATTAAGAGCAACTTTCCGGATCTGGCAGATAAACTCCCTCAGGATCTGAAGAGTGACAAGCCAGACGATGTATACGGAATTGATAATTCACGCAGCAAAGATGTCCTGGGGATCAAATATCGAAATCTCGAAGAGAGCGTGATTGACACAACCAAATCACTGCTTGCAATTGGCGCTTAAGGGTGAGCAACAGAATCGTAATCCTTCCGGGGCGGTGAGGGCCATATTAAGATCCTGGGTACATCTGGTGATATCATTTAGAGTTCGATAGAATATACCTGATTGTCTCTGCAACATGCACACAAAAGACAGACAAACAAAGATAGACTGTTACTAAAAGGACAAAAGGCCGTGCTAGTTGAATGGCTCCTAACTAGATAGTTAGACTCGGATACCAAAGTCATAAGACTCATCCCCCCTCGGCACAGTGTTGAACCGGCCGGGGTGGCCAGCACATGAGCCTTGGCGGCCAGCTCGAAATAAGAGTAGTATTTAATTTCCACTCCCTAAAAGTACTTTGTAAGTACTTTATTCCTGCTCCAAGTACTTTACCTCCACCCAAGTCACCCACAACCAACGGTAAAAATTGCTTGCACTACGAAAATACATGAGAATGAGAGCATTTCGACTCATGAAAATTGATCATGAAGAGGAATAGGGCGATAGGTGCAATCTGCTCAGTCTGCTTAGACGTAAATTTCTAAGTCGTCTTGGTCTACCGCAGGTCCGAGGGTGGATGAGTTAGCAAAGGGTTCGCAAATAGGTGAGCTTGATGCGATACCTTGGTCATCTTGCAGAAACGGCAGAGAAACATGAGCTTTCACCTTGTCATTCTGAGATGTGATTAATGGCAGTGAATGATGAAGCGATGCCTTGAGCCGATAATTTGGCTTCACCACCGAACGTTGCTTTGCCACCCAAGGACAACGCACTCAAAGTGTCGCGACTAGGACTCCTTCGAATTTTCTTGTGAGATTGTACATCGATGTCCTCATCAATGGCAGTGTTGTCTTCAATCTTGCCGCCTGGAGAGCTGGCAGAGCTTGTCGACGAATTTTTCAGAGCTCTTTGTTTGACAGATTTCTTGACGGTTGGCTTCCTGCGACTGCGATAGCTTCGCTCAGAAGGAAGATTCGCAAGTCGGCCTTTCTGAGCACTGCTAGGCAGAAGGTGGCTGTCTCGGAGACAAAAGGTGAGGTGTTGGAAAAGATTCTTCTTCTGAGCTGGGGTGAAGCCGCACCACGCGCATTGGAGCTCGAAGGGACAAACGAGGTAAACTTCCGGGAAAGTTGCGGCACCAGCTCGACGCTTTGTTGGAGGTCGCCAATTTGGATCGGAACGGCCGCAGTTGCAGCCAGGACGTGAGCAGACTATACTGTGTCGCTTGAACGGATGGTGATGAGGTACTTTCTTACAAAATTTTACAACATGAGTTGCGTTGGGATGGGATTTTAATCATCAGGAAGCAAAGACAAGCTCCTTCGGCCAACTTGCTTCATTTACCTGAAATCTCTATTGTCATGCTCACCCAGAAGTTCTGGGAACATTGCAGTTCTGGAAAAGACTGTTGGAAAGGACTTGGGAACCTCGACCTCCGAATACCCAATCCTCGACACTTTACCGTGAGTATCAAGCCTTATAAACATTCATCCCAATGCACGCTTTCAGAACTACATATTGATTTTCCCCGTCTTCATTTCCTAAACCAGCTCGGTCAATGATTGGATTGATGCGAAAAGAATGTTAGTGTGGGATGGGAGAAATAAGCACCTGACTGTTTATAAGTCATTGAAATCAATTACCAGGCAACTTATCCAGTACAAGCATTAAAGACCTGTGACACGGCGATACTAGATCCTATTAATACAGACCCATCTAGGTAAGTACCTAAAGATGTGACAATTCCGCCAAATGGGTAGTATGCCCAAAAAACAAATTTCCTGTCGAGTCCAGCAGGTATCACCAGGTCTATCGACTGTCTTTCATCCGTAAACAATTATCAGCAAAGCAGGCTGCCATTTTTGGAAATAGTCGACTACAATCCAGCCTGCACAATCTTCATGAACTGTATAATGTGGCATAAGTCGAACAAGGTCCGTTCGTCACAAGAAACTGGAGAGTATCAGGAGACCGGACCCGGAGAGTTTGGTCTTACTCCTGCCGTGTGGTGGGGACTAATGGGACAGGGTTCACGACTCACAATTTTGCCCTTAAGGCCCCCTGCCACTGCGGGAGGGCTACAATGCCTTAGGACTAGCCCTTGGGTCTGTGCTGGGATTTCACTTGAGCAGGGTACGGACCCGGAGTTTAACAAGCACCTCAGGACATCTGATCGGAATGCATCAAACGTCACAACCTTGACTATCTCTCATTCGAAATGCCTTTTATATCAGAGCCGGAATGGTGCCTGCTCCGTACATGCCTCTCTCATGCTTGCAAACGCATCTTAGACGCCAATTTCCTTTGAGGTGAGCACCGTATCTCAAGCGGACTGAAAGTGATTTGCCCTACTGGTCATCTTGAGAAGGTACGATCTATCGGATGGAGAGCACTCCGGGTCCTACTACCACTGCTGGCATACGCCCACATCGCGCTTGCCGGCATTGTGTTCAGATAAAGGCAAAATGCATTCCTTTGGCAGACTCTTCTACGTCCATTTGTCAGCGGTAAGCCTTGGTTCTGGTGCCCAGACTTGGAGGATTGAAACTCACATTGGACTAGATGCAACCGCTTGGGAAAAGAATGCACAACCCCCGAGCCAGTCCCCCGAAAACGCCACCGGATGAAATCAGCGTAGGTTTCTGGTTCAGCCATGTTGTGCTCGAGAAGTCATATTGTTCACGCTGACTGGGAGTAGGAAAGTTTCCCAATTGGAGGAACGTATCGAGACTTTAACAAAACTGATCACCTCTTGCAAGACCGTGTTCCCTACACCCAACGCTGGGAGCACACCTGAATCATCAACGTTACCCACTCCTCCAGTGTCGACCACACAAGAGAGCAATGGTCAGGGTGAACTGGGTGCCGTTCTAGAATGTGGGTATTGGGTACCAAATCTAAACCATGGGATACGTGCTCCTCTCGAACGAGATGGAGACGGAATGTTCAGCTTTTACCTCCCAGAAGCATACCAGGAAAAGCTGTTGAATTTCTTTCGTGCTGAGATGAACCACCACTTCCCCTTTGTGATAGTACCTTCCATACTCACTGCCGGACTGTTTCGTAAAGATCACCCTTTTCTGTTCAGAGCTTGTATTGCCGCTGCTGCCCACTGCGACCCGCCAAATCAGAAGCGGTTGGGTGAAGACTTATTGAAGACGATAGGGGAACGTATGCTTGTGCGTTCCGAAAAGTCGCTGGATCTACTCCAAGGATTGCTGGTTCTCATTGCATGGTAAGTTCGAGCCAGTGAGCCTCCTATACGGCTGTCTTCTGCGCAGAAAGTTCGCATTGCCAAATACTCATTCAAGCTTGTCTTTATCTTGACGGTCACTAACTCTCCTCAGGTATCAATTTTACAACCACTTCAACCCTCAAATAATGAATCTCCTCCACCTGTGCATGGCGTTAACAGTTGATCTCGGCTTGAACCGACCACAGCCTACTGGAGCACAGTCGCAGCTTCGCGTAGTGATCGACACCGCCTCTTTGTTGCATGGAAAAGGGTGTACACAAGGCTTGAGGACTGCCGATGAACGTCGTGCTCTGTTAGGATGCTACTGGCTTTCCGCCAAGATGTCTTATTCTTTCAAACGAGTTGATGCCATGCGTTTCACCGCACATTTGGAGGACTGCTGTCAAGTATTACTTGCAGAAGCCGAGTACCCTTCGGATATTGCTCTTGTCCAACACGTTCGCCTTCAGCGTGTCGTTGAAAGATACATACCCCAAGCATTGGGCCAGCCATGCCTACCAGTTCCTGTCAGGAGTTTTGTGAAGTGTTTCGAAGAGGACATCCAAAAGTTCAGGCAAAGTATCCCAAGGGATCTTTTGAAAGACGGTATGTTCTAACCACTTTTTGGGGTGTTGTTGGTAATCTGCTAATGCAACCAAAGCTCATCTTGAAATACATATACTAGGAGCTCAGATTGGAATGTATGAGATCATTCAAATGACCGACTGCGACCTGCCTATCCATAGGATAGAAGCATGGTCCGCGTGTTTGAATCGTGTTGGCGAGTTTTGGGACTGCTTCCTGTCCCAGCCTAACGAACAGCTTCCGAACTTGACATTCATGTCATGGCTGCATACCGTCCACATCCTACTTGTCGTTGCAAAATTATCCTTCATACCAGCGGAAGGGTGGGACTTGGATTATGTTCGCACCAAATGTTCCTTTGCCACCTTGACTGATCGGCTCATTGAGAAGCTTTCAGCAGTAGCCAAATTGGAAACTGGCTTTCCGTCACCACGACCTCTCGCCATACGATTCAATATGTACTGTGAGAAGATGCGGATGTGTAAGAGATGGTATGAAGCGAAGATCAACGCAGAGGAAGCTGTGAAGGCATCCGAACAGGCAGCCGTATTTGCAGGAAGATCAGCAATTCCTGGTCCTGCTTCCCCAGATCTAGATTGTCCGGGACTATTTGACACCTTTGACGACACTGTTTGGCAGGATTTTATGTATGATTGGGCGGCTCCTATGCAATTTTGAACATTGTAACATAAAGATTGTTTTCAAGCCCGTTTAAGCATGCGTATACCCCGTTTCCGTAAAGGCGATTCTCTACTCGTAGCAGGTATGAGTGATATTCAGCAACCACGGAGATCAAAGATTTCGACTAGACTCGTTTGCTTGACAGCAGCACAACGCCAGACAATCGTTCTTAAGTCCGTTCCAGTGTGCATTAGTCTTAAAACTCGCTTAAAATAAGGAAATGGATCATGAGTCAAGGTTCACTTGCCCCTATTTACCAGTGGCCAGCAGTGTGTCCGCATCCGCCCGGTTGCTTCACTTCACTCCGACTCCGGGTCCTGATCTGCCAAGTCAGTATATAAACAAGAGAAGGCAGTCACTGGGAAAACAACATTAAGACCTGGCAACAAAACAGTGCTACTACAACGTCATTTTTATCATCCATAGCGCTCACCGGAATAATGGGCCGGGGACATCAATGGTTCAAGCTACGCAACATGGAGAAACGCAAGGAAATCATTTCCAACGAAGACCTCTCTGACGATCAGAATGCACCGGCAGCCTTGCCGCCTCCTCCAGCAATCCCCACGGTCGTACCCGGCACGACTGCAGCCACAGGAGACGAAGCACCCATTGCGCAACAGGACGAAGAAGAACCCGAATATCTAGGCCCCAAAGCACTCTACATACTGATCTCGTCGCTGATGCTCGTGGTTATCATCCTTACACTGGACCAGTCAATCCTCGCCACGGCCGTTCCATATGTCACTAACGAATTCCACACGATCGCTGATATAGGCTGGTATGCTTCTGCGTATCTGCTGAGTACAGCCGCGTTGCAGGTGAGTGAAGTCCCGTTCCGTGATGGTTCCTGATCAGTCACTAACAATACCACTTACAGCCCTTGAGCGGCAAGGTGTACACATATTTCCCGCTCAAGATATCTTTCCTCGCGTTCTTAGTCGGGTTCGAGGTCGGCTCATTGATCTGCGCTCTGGCCAATTCTTCCGCCATGCTCGTGGTCGGCCGGGCGGTTGCTGGTATAGGTGGTTCGGGAATCATCAATGGCTCACTTACAATCATTGCTGTTGCTGCCCATCCCTCTAAGCGTCCTGCCATCCTGGCAACAGTTATGGCCATGGCTGGCGCGGGCCAGTTGTTGGGTCCTCTCATTGGTGGTAAGTGTCGATATACGTGAGATGGCGTTCTTGATTCAAAATTGCTAACGGTGACAAAGGTGCATTGACACAGCACGTCTCATGGCGATGGTGTTTCTGGATCAATCTTCCCATTGGTGGCGTGACGGTCGTGGTGATGGCCTTGATTCAGTTCCCCGCCTACAAGGCGCGAAAAGCCACTTGGACAATTCGCGATTTCGTCAGAGATTTCGATCTCATCGGTTTCAGTATCTTTGCACCTGCCTCTATCATGATCTTATTGGCACTTCAGTGGGGTGGATCGGAATATGCATGGTCATCGGCCATGGTGATCGGACTGATCTGTGGTTCGGTTGGTGCTTTTTGCGTTTTCGCGGCATGGGAATACCGCCATGGTGAACACGCGATGATACCCTATTCACTTGTGCGTCAGAGAGTGGTGTATAGCTCCTTGGTGACCACGGTATGCCAGTTTGGAGGAATAATGCTTCAGGCGTATTACTTGCCTCTCTGGTTTCAGACTGTGAAGGGCAACTCCCCAACCATGAGCGCCGTACACACCTTGCCGAGCTTCTTGACGCAGATGCTTTTTGCTATCACATCTGGCGCCATCACTCCACGGATTGGCTACCTCCTTCCCTTTGGACTGTTCGGAAACACCTTTGCGTCCATAGGCGCGGGATTGATGACTACTCTGCGACCTGATACTGAAGTTGGCAAATGGATCGGATACCAGATCGTCGGGGGAGTTGGCCGTGGCGTGTCAACTCAACAGCCGCTCATGGCAGTGCAGAGTGTGGTGAAGGCAGACATGATCCCGATAGCAACGGCGACGCTCATGTGGGCTCAGATGTTCGGTGGAGCCATCTTCTTAGGGATCGGTCAAACAGCCTTTATCAACCTTCTCCGAAGCGCACTGCAATCATATGCTCCAGGCCTCAACCCCGAGGATGTGATTGCTGCTGGGGCGACTGATTTCATTCAAAAACTCGAAGCTGAAGGCGATATCGTCACGGGCCAACAAGTCGTGCGAGCATACAACAATGCAATCGTCAAAATTTTCTACATTGGGATGGGATTGGCGATCTTCGCGTTCTTCACTAGCTTCGGGCTTGGAAAGACAAAAGTCGTCCAGAAAAAGCCAACGAACAAGAAGGTTGATGAAGAGAAGGGAGCAACAGTGGTGCCTAGAGGAAGCGAAGACAGCGAGGGGAAGAACTCTACAATCGTCCCTTCTACTCATTCTGCAGAGGGAGAACGGAGCGTGGCTCTACCAATTGTACAATCCAAGTAGTGAGAGAGGGGTTTAAGTGGTTCTGCAACATACATCGGCAGGGTCTTGGTGCTTTAACGGGCGGCGTTGATATAGATTACCATCGAGCCGATTTTCTCTCGTGTTAACAAATAATCACATAGATTCGATAGATAGATGTGTAGTGGGTGTCAAGATTCTGAACCCATAGTGGCACTTCAAGACATTCTCTCGAGACAAAAATGAAGCCCAGTTAACCCGTGAACTATATGCGCTTACAGTCCACCGTAGCATGCGCCTTCGGATATGTGATCCACCAGAAAGTTATCTTGGCAAGTTTGGCGAAAGCAGCAACCCCGACTTGAAGCTGCAATGAAATGTTTTAGCGATTAAAGGTCATCGATCTTTCGAACCTCATACCAGACTTACAGATTGCCAGGTGCGGGTCAACACAATGGCTTCATCCTTCCGAGGGTCTCCGTCGCTATGTGGTTCATTGTTCAATGCAGCAGCACCGCGTTACGTCTGCCGCAGTTGTCGGAAAAGTCTCCTGATACCTCAAGCGCGACAGATGCGAGAAGCCTCAACACTGCTGTCGTCGAGTCAGAGATTTCGAGGCACTCAAAAAACTTCAGAGGCCCAAACACCCCCGCGAGCATTCTACGCCTCTAAAACCCCCCTTGACTACATCAGCCCCAAGACTGAGCAACTCAAACAAGCCCATCTCGAGGAAGAAAATGGGGATGAGGGATGGTTAGATCTTGAACCCTACCAAGAGGCAACAACCTGGGTAGGCCTAGAAAGTGTTGGTCAGGAGGGCCGATTCGACCAGCCCCCGCAACCCGAAGATGAATTTGAGCCGTGAGTGAATATCAGCAACCTTTCTCGCCGTTCGTCGCATAAAATACTGACAATCGGGAATAGCTTTATCACACCCTCTTCCACAGAGAAGATCGACCGTGATTACTTTTTGGTTTACCTTCACAATGCAATTATGGATGTTCTGGTATACAAGACATTGGGACAGAGCTTGACCGATTTGTATACGGAAGGACGCCACCCCCATGGCAGAAGAGCGGCAACCTCAATTGGACTTGCAGTTTCCCAGTGCGGCGCAATTACCGGTCTACAGGGAGATGTAAACACACTGCAAGCAGCTCTAAGCGACAGCACAAGAAGAGCAAGCATGTCAGCAGTCGAGATGGCAGAGCTTCTATCCACTCTGAAATTCAATTTCTCAGATCCAATCACATTCGAGGTATACTTTGAGCTCGAGTTTCTACACTACGCTTGTGCCGTTCAGCTAACTTGTTGATAGATACTCAAGTATTTCTCATTTATCTCCGGCCATCGTGTGCCAGATCCGGTTCTTAGCAACGTCTGGAACAACGACAAACCACTCTCTGTCTTTATTGACCTCTTGACCCGACACTACGTGCAGACGAAGCCCAAGACCGTTGTCTCGACCCTGAAAGCGCGACAGGAAAAGGCTCTGCGCATGGCTGCGGAGCCCATCGACTCAGTCAGTTTGGACCGTACAACACAAGCAAAGTCGAGAAGGAAACCCCAACCCTTGGGACCCAATGTCATGGTGTTGCCCCGACGGGAGACACCCGTAGACAAGGAGAAGGAAGTGGGTCGATGGAAGCTCATTGAGAAAGAGTTGATCGAGAGAGGATTACCGGTGCTCGGCAAATATGCTCAACAGTCTACGGAAGATGCATTGTCACCTACGGAGAGGTACTAATCGAACGGCCTCCATGTGGGGGAGCGACTATGGGAAGAGAGTGGTTTTCGACGTGTACGAAGAATTGCCATCCAAACCAGGCTATAATTGGCTACCGCGATGGACCTGCAGACCCTACCACTACTCAAATCTTGAGCTAGTATCAAGCAATGGGTGTACATCGAGAAATGATCCTGTTCGCTCCCGGGAGCACTGGTTGTCTAAGTGGAACCCTTGACAAAGTCAATAGTATCACCTTGTACCATACTGAAAGTTCCTCACGAATAGTTGACTGGGGGATGTCCTTTACAAAATATACCTTGATTGTACAACTACCAAAACCTGCTCCGATTGATCACTGTTGTCCTCAAGATTCCCGTACTGCGATAATGTGGTCTTGGTGTCGGCACCCATGGCCACCCGATCTATGATCACAGAATCCCTGCATGAAAGAAAGTGATACGGATGCAGGATCTCTTGAACGTTTGGCCTGACTGTCGGCTCCCGTTTCTGTCACAAATAGCAATCACGCGCTACATCGGGGCACTGCTAAGACAAGCAAACAAGACAGACAGGGCCCTTGTCAATGCTTTCAGCTTGATTGGAATGATATCCTTGCCTGGTCTCTGTCTGTGCACCTATCCTGGCACTGACTGATTTCGAGTTAACAGCTATCATTGCTACTTGTTAATGGTACACTTTGGTCGCACCGAGACATCCATTTGGTGAGTGGTATTGAGCACACATAACAAGGCCACTAAAGCTTGTTCATTCCTTGCCCCTCAACCATACTTTTAGATCTACCAAAGATTTAGGGGGGCATACCATTATCGATTCCCATCTTCCATCTAAACCCCCCCATAGCCGCTCATCATACCAACAGTCAACCAGCAAGGTCAGCGTACCAGTTTTCATGTGACTTTCTGAGCAACCACTGGCCAGCAATTGAAGACGCTCGGCTAACTCTTGCTGTTGCCATAGCGGGAGCAGTCGGCCGAGGCGAAGAGAAAGAACAGCCATGGAAGAAGTTTCATGCGGCTCGGGATGTTGAAAACAGCATCGAAATACTTGAAACTCCCATTCGTCTGATTGTGACAGATTTTCCGGAACGGTATTGCCTGCGGACGATCCACCCCCACTTATCGCGAACCAACCTGCTCGGCACTCACTGTTTATTCTGCTCTCACTTTTCTGCCTATTTTCGGGGGCAATTGAGTACGAATACAACAGAAACTTAGGCGGACGCTATTGTCCTTCGTCTCCAGAGTGCACGCTTTCATTGGGTGTTCGTGAGCGACATTGAGGATGCCGGGACGTGCGAGCGGTCTTTCTTCATTCGAATGGACAACGAGCTGCTTTGTCGTTATGATCAAAATTGTATCCGGAGACAGCAGAGACCACAGCTGCTCGGCAGCTGCTAGAGATCGTTTCATCGACATCATCGTCTTAGACCGTAACCAGTGTCTGCAGATCTCCAGAGATCAGTGTCGGAAACGAATGATGATATCGATGGGAGATGGTGGGATCACACGATTTAAACAAGGGGCTATGGATTGTTGCTGCTGCTCCTGCCTATTGCCATCGATCCTATTGCCAACGATGCTACGCGAGTCAAGTCCCCATGATGGTCACTACCGTTTGTGATTCTCTCCTCCTCTTCTTATTAGATCGCTATATCTGAGTGATCGGTGCTACCTCGATGCTCTCCGTGGCCACGCAGCTTGGAATGTGTTCCTTGGACATGTTTATAAGCAGTATACTTCTGATACATACGCCAACCGTTTCTTTCAGTGCTGATGGCCTGTGATGCCATGGTAGCGCTGTTTTCGTCATCTCCAGCCATGTGTTGAGTTATCGCCTACTTATCTATGTACGTGGCCGGTCTGGTAAGAAGCAGTTGACTAGCCTAGTGAGCAGTAATTTTTATCGTAGTATACGCTTATACGCTTCGACAATTATGGCGTTGTTCGCGGCGCTGATTCTAGCTCCCCTCGGCCTATGTAATGGGCATTCGGGCGGTTAATATTGTTTATTCGTTAAATCCTTTTGGGCACAACTGTGTGACTGGCTCTAGATGCTCTTTCATTTCCATAACCGATTTGCTAACGAAATCTATGGCTATTACAATGATCAGGGCCTGCAGAACAAATGCCTAACCCCCATATAGACCATTCCGGCCGAGTTACGTGGCAGCATGATATGATAGTTTTCATCTACGTTGCAGCAACCTGCAAGCTGCATGTCTACGCACGTGTAGCGATGACCTGTTGCCTTGTAATCGCTCGCTATCTACAGGTCTTTGTCTTCGTTGTAGAATTATTTGATTGGTCTGCTCATCGCTAAGATCGCGCTGCTGCGCTCTGCACGCCGCAGCTGCAGTACAAGGAGTGCTTTATACATCGCTGTCCATATCTCCACGCTCGGACCCGAGCATGTCGACGCTTCACGAATCACTTACGGGTTCCCTCCGTACACTCACTGACCGGATGCGTCCACAAGTGATTCGCATCATCTCGCTTGTATGAGGACTCGTCCGGCACGGCCATCAACTGTGTTGTCGTGCGTCACTGTCATATGATGGCCCTCATCTCGGTTGGGGATCGTCCACGTCTGGCTGTTGCGCTCCCATGTACAGACCCTGGTCTGCTCCAGTCCACAGCCTCGGTCAGACATAAGGAAATCACTAGATCGGGATACTCAGCTCGACTGATCCTACCGCCGAAATCCCCTGTCTTGGAAATAGCTTGGTGCACAGGTATTGTCGAACCCTGATTACTACCATCCACAATCCTGACCACTGATAATGACCCAGATAAGCACCCCAGCCTGACCTGTATGACCTCGTGGGGTTATTTTCTGAGAGATGGAGCCTCTACCAACCTTGAATGAGCAGAAAAGCATAGCCATCCATACCAACCGAAATCCAGTGTCGGCCTGCGCTTGGGAATGGCGTTCACAATAGCGCATCTTATCACACACAAACTTATACACCAATGCTTCCTGTCCTTCGAAGTTTTCGGAAGTAATGTCTTGTTCGCATCCTCGCACTGTAACCCGACTCATACCAATCGATCTGAAGCGTTAGCAAACCCCAAATCTGGTTCGCGAAAGGTGTAATTGCACGTGGCATGGGTTTGCGGAGAAGATTTTAGGCTGAGCTCATCGAGCCTCCGGGATTCACCGTGCACAATGTACCAATGAAAATCCTAGTATGATATATCCTCCGGCCAAATCTTAGGGTTCCGTCCTCGTTTCTAAGAGATGAGGCCAATATTATCTCGATGATGCACCATACAGGTAGAAAGGTTTCGTCAAGACTCAGACCAGTTTCCTCGTATTCTTCGATCCCGGAAAACAGACTACTCATGTGGACGCGGCTCAACCTCGGTCTTTGACACCCATCTCTCCTACCTGCCGCAGTTACTGTATGTCCATAGGGTACAGCAGTTCAACGCGATTTGAGAAAGGCAGAATGGCTGGGGAGGGGAAAATTGGGAAGATTCATCGCTCCATTGCGCTCGTCGAAGCTGGAGGAGAGATCGGCCAGAGTTCGCGGTCGGTGGATAGCCATCAAGGTACCGTAATTATAATACCCAATGCGACAGAAGTCTTCTTGCGATTAGTTTCATTACATTGCTAATAAAGCGTGATTTCCTCAAACTTATCATGGTCAAGTATTCCCTCTCCATACATAACACCATGTACATAACAGGCTCCGACGACAATCCACCCCCCCAACTCCTGCCGCCTAAGAACTAGTGGCATGTCACATCCGACTAGAATCGCAATTGAATCTCCCAATCTTGCCCCTGCAGGAGCTAATCCCATTCTTCCTGTCTTCGTGGACAGCAATCGTCTCCAGGCAGCCACGTTTACCGCCCAGGAGATCGCCTCCTTCCAAACCCGCTCCATTTTCAAGAAGTTCTTCCAGTCATTCCACTCCTGACCTCTCTCACCTCTAGAGGGGAGAATTAACTGGTCAAGTGTGTATCCAGAGAGAACCAACCCACGATTTCGGAACAGAATACTCCGAAAAGAAAATCCATGAGCATATGTTCGTTGCAAGCCGCCACGCCACATATGACCGTTAAGGAGGATCTCCATGTTATTTGCGGTATCGACAATCCCTTGTGCGGTTGTATCGGCCGTCATTGTTCTGGAAAGTGCTGTTCTCGCACCTTCAAGGTCTCCGTATGCATTCAGCTGAGGGCCGCCGGGAGGAGTTGTTGGGTAGGATTCGTCCACCTCGTCCTTATGGGAGGCTCCCAATGAAGTTATCACATCCAACAATATGCCTTGAACTAGGAGACCATTATTTGGCACAGTCTTCACCAGTGTAGGGGTGGACCTGGACCCTCCTGCTCGGTACGGACCTCTAAGTCGTGCTGTTGGAATTGGCCGACAGATCATGCATATCGTCCAGCTTGGTAGACTGTGTGCGCAGACAGTTCCAACAGTACGATGTCCTTGACCAGTTTTCAGATGGTCGTTCGTAATATAAAGCGATATTTTCCATAAATCAGATATAGCCACACCGGAACTTTCGTTGATTGTTGCTTTCTGGTGTTTGTAGATCTCCACGCCGTGCCTTGAAACCAACTGTAGTGTGTTTAGATCTCCTTCTAACAGGAGCTGCAAGCTAAAATTTTTATAAATCTCCTGTAAAGAACTTCCGTAGATTGGTGTTATGGCGGCCCTGTCCATAATAGCTTTCAAGCCGAGTAGCCCGTATATTCGATCCTCTGCAAGCTCCGATTGCGCCTCTAATCCGAGCAATAGTGGTCGGATCACGTCAGTAGCACCAGTATTGTTTGGAATGGCCCTCTGGTCTTGTTGCAGGTTCGTTAACTCAAGTACAAGTCCCCACATGCGTTCAGAAGTCCAGTGTCTCTCCCAGGGCACCCTATCCTGCCCAGCCTCAAACCGCCCGAAAGTCTGCGAGTCTGAACGCAGTCTTGAAATAATATCGCGCCCGAATCTCATCTCGTCTTGCGCGATGAAGGTACAGGCGGTCCGTAGGATGTCCCATGTCAACCAACAGTTTCCACAAGCGATCGGCCCATCTGCTCGTGCGATTGCCACTTCCTGTAGAATCCACAGGCGTTGCCAATATTGTCTCAAGAAAAAGGTGGCAAGTGCTTGGTACACACGGTCGCGTAGCGGCGGGCTCCGCCAGATTCGCAGCCCAAACAGCCAGGCCGAATGCACATCCTCATGATAGAAGCTGTTCGTGTGACCAAACGGCCGATTGCGTGCTGCGATCCACTGCAAAGCCGCCACTGCCAAGTCACTGTCACCCCGGGCTGGCCCAAGCCAAGCCACGACCTGCCACGCCGATGCGTAAATATCACGCATCCGCGACACTTGCTGATTGCGTTCAGCCATGTCAGCCTGATTGATGCATATAGAGTCGACCCAGATCTTGAATCCCTGGCGTATCCGTGCGCATGAACGAAGGAGGACCAGTGCATCATGGAGATTTGGTCTGATTTGAAATGGTTCGCCATTTAGAATGATGGATGACTTTGGCATTTCTGGACCCCAGGAGTACGACAGTGCAACGTAATCGCCCCATACACGACGCCAGGGAACCCCATTCTCGCTTTCAACTAGTTCTGCGGAACTCTGCGATGATATGGGCAATTGCAACGGGAGGCGCCTTCTTCTTGACTTCCACGGCTTGAACAGGGGTCGAAAGTCGTGAGGCATAAGAACTTCGGGCCAGACATGATTACTTCCTTTGCATGCCTGCGTCTCGCGGTTAAGAGCGGTGCCCTGAGCCAGGTCAACATGCTCAAGTGTGCAAATTATCGATGACGAACTATCGGCATCTTTTGCGATAGGATGAAGTGTCAGCAGTCGAATGTCGTTGACACCGAGCGGCTGATAGTAATATGGCATTGCAGAGTGAACTCAACTTGCCAATCGTGCTTCACGGAAGGAGTTATTGTATAGTGCCTTAAGGAAGTGGTTGCAAGTGAAGGGAAAACAGAGGTCGAAGAGCACTGCATACCATATGCGTCGGGCATGCCGCCTGGATCCCTGTTTCGCTAGGAGGCTGTGAAGTGCCGTTCGCCTTGTGGATGTGGTAGGCTTTTCACCATTTTAGGCTAGCGGTTGGGGGCCTAACCTAATTAGTCACTGGCACTCGGCCCCACCCCGAGACGCTAGGCATTCAGCCTTGCGAGAATGGGGCAGCCGGCATTCAGCTAAGCATCTAAGTTCGGTTGTCTGGTATTCAACGCCGATATTATACTTGGTCTTAGCACTTAGATCCCAGACCGGCCCTTCTTGCTTTACCCAGGCTTTGGGTGCCCTGGCTGAAGTTTGCCGCAGGTCGGCGTCGGCGAGATTTGGAGTTGTGTCTCTCCGCGGAAGCGCAACTTTACACCAGTAGTCTACGAGGATGCACTTTTGCAAACCTGATTTCGGAATTGGAACTGTTACCACTGTGGATTCGGTTCTTACTCATCTGACCGCTTTGATATCATCTACGATTAATCATAGGCAGCGTTGATTTCAATCATGAAGACGCTCTCTTTAGAACGGATTTTTAGGAAACACTTGCAAATGGTATCATCGTCATGCACGATCTCAATACTCGCCAGCCGTCGCCCTTCAAGGTAGGTTGAAGGGATGCCCCCTTTGTGTCAGCTCCCCGAGCGAGTTGATATTTCATCCATGGCGTAATTAGCAGTGTCTTCTGCAAGTCTTCCTGAGGGTTTGTCCCATTATTGCTCCCCAACTGCCGACGCACCCTACGCTTTTCAAAATGGCCACCTCCTTTTTTCCACTAGTGTAATATCATGAACCCCCAGGGAGTTTTTACAGAGTCATTTATCGACTGAGACCTGGCATCAGCTGTCCTCTTCTGCTGCCGAAGAATGCGTCAGTGGGGGGCTCCAGTCGAGGATGATCGGCCAAGTTGGCTTCCTCTTGGTCTGGGCTTTGCTCTTCCAGTTTTTGTAGCACTTGGCTCCAGACAACTGCATCTTCCTGATCGTGCAAGGCATTGGCCATGCTTTCCTGACACTGACATATTTCTATCCAGATCGAGGCTGATGACGCTGTGTCAACCCCGAAATATTTGAGTGCAGCGTTGAGACTCCGACGGGCATCCACATAACGACCCTTGGATTGTTGCTGTCGGCCGAGTCGGCGGTAGGCCAACCCGACACGCCATGAGTCTACACTCCCTTCTTCCATTCTTGTAAGCCTCTCTTGTACTTTCCAGCAGACCAAGTCAGCTTCGGAGTACAATTCTTGGGCGGCAAGTCTATACGCTTGAAGCAGAAGGAAGTAGACCGAGTATGGACTGTTCGGCCCACAAGCTCGGTCGATCTCGACAATGGGAGGGAGCCATTCCGTCAAGTCTGAGCCTGGATCATACCACAGCATGTCAAGAGCCCTGTTCAGGCGCACCTCATACAGCAGCGGCTTGTTCTTTTCTAACCGAGACTCGAGGCCTTTGTACATGCATTGAGCGGCGCGTGCGTACAGTTCTTTAAGCTGGGCCACGTCAAGATCGCCGAAGACGCTGAAAAGGGCATACCGAGAATCATTCTCATCCAGGAAGGTAGTTGCAAAATCCTTGATGGATCGTAGCAAAATTGCCGCAAGCTGGGGATGCCCGTTTTGTGCTACCCGACTAGCTTCGAAAAGAAGGCGGATGGGGGTTTCGTGGTACCACGTCTTGAAAAGCTCTGGGCTGTTGATTCTTGCGATTGCACGATTCCAGTAAGTCCAGGCAAGCTGCAGCTTCCCTTTGTCATAAAGATTTGATCCTGCCGTAAGGTCGGAGGATAGTAACCGGGAAACCTGGCGGCCGCCGTGGTACTGAGTCGACAGCTTCGGCTCCAAATGACCCAAAAACAACGCATCGTGCGTCCACGCACGAAGACGGAACAGGAACTCTTGTTGGACTTCAATGAGTCTGAAACCTTGCAGCATTGGTTCGAGTTCAGGCGATGGTGTCCAGGGAACCAAGGTGTCCGTGATTGGCGAGGGGAGTGGCAAAGAAGCTGATTGTGATGGTTTTGTAGGTGAGCGGTGTCTCTGTGTTCGTTTACGGGCCAGCTTTCGTTTTACAGCTCGGACAGCACGCTTAATCACCTCCTCTGGCTCCCCGGTAGCGGCTAGGACGTGGGCAACTTCATTTGGTGGCAGCTTGCCGTCCACCACTTGTTTAGCCACATCTTCTTTGAGATACTTGAGCAACTTCCACGCCTTGATTTTGGTCTTGTACATCTTCTCACTAGAAATGGTCAGGACTGGCCAGGCGCCGACGGCGTCGCATTTACCTTGCTTTGACTTGATGCTGTTCCTCCATGATCTTCATGACTTGAGGAAGCGGACGGTTTTCTTTGATGTACAAGCGTACGAGCAGTGGACGCAGCTGCTCCCAATCGCCTCTGGACAGCGGTCGTAAGTAAGTGGTGGTGGGTTTCATGGTTCAGAGCTTGTGAATTCCCGGATTAGAGGAGGTGTCTAGGCCTGCAGGCTCGAACAAGAGATGATGTGGGGAAGTAAGGATTATATCCATGGGAGCCGGGCACTGCCGACCATGGGGGCTTTGGCACTGACCAGACAGGGGTATTTTGCGACGCTAACGCTGAATTCTAACTCAATTTGAAGTACTCTACCCCAGTTCCACCCTAATGCAGAACACAAGATATACCTTAGCTACCGTAAAAGCGCCCGGACGTGAGTACCTAAATCCCGAATTAGTTCCTTCCAACGGTATCTGCCTCGTTTCCTCGTTGCGTTCGCTCTATGTGTCCTATGCAAGATGGGTTTTGACTTCCTCGTTAGCCATCCTGGACATTACCTTTGTTAACCACACGACGCATCGCAAGCCGACTACGAAGACGACCAAATAGAGACGGCAAAATCGCGAACTTGGTTACAAATTTATGAATAACTCCCGATATCTTATGACATCTGAATTGTTGATGCCTACTTAGACCTGGTTCCACCAAAAACGCCACATGAAGAGTGTTTTGGACTATGTCCAAGTAGTCTATTTCCAGATCGCTTCTCAACGCCATATGTTGAATTTTCCCGTCAATACTGCCGAGGCCGTAGTGGGAACAAACAGTACGTGCTCCGGGGCTTAGCAATGAATGACTGCGTTCGTTGTTGGAAGAGCAGATGGCGTCGTCAGCTGAACCGTCAGTCCTCTAGCTTATTTGGACAACCCGGGATATCTCGTAAGCATGAATGTATTAATCGCAGGCGGTAGTGATTTGTATTCAACAGGAAGGCCTGTGTTCTACTGGATACGATGCTTCAAGCTCAGGGCCGAGAAAGTTAATTTATTGTGATCGCGATGATTCGCTGGCTTCTTCTGCGTGTCACAAATAATACTTTGTGAGCAACGTATTTTCAATACCGGACCACCTGGCATACCATGCTCCGACCTTTGCAAAAGTGTTCGCTATGGAGCCCGACCAACCTGTCAAATGAAGGTCCCCCAACTGCGCGAGCACACAGAGATGAAAGATGTTCTTCGGTGTACCATCCGGGTGAGTGAGCCCGTCATTTGCCAAACCATACGAGATATAAATGCACTTCTCAAATCCTTCATGACCCGGCACAAGCCTGATACTAAATTGTACAGGGTCCGTCGTAGAAATATTGAAAAACTTGTGAGTTATGCCAATAGGCGCTGTTGTACTTTCACCCGGTTCCAAGGAGACGGTTTTTTGACCTAATTGCACACCAAGGGTGCCTGAGGTACAAGTAAATGTCTCCTCAAAGACTGTGTGATAATGAAGGGGGTTCGAGCCGCCAGCTTGAACGGTAACAGCGCATCTATTGGAAGGAGAGTACGGGGTTCCGGTTAGGATATATCAATTGGCTAGTGGGGAACCAGCAAACGAATGGGCGTGCGACGCACTCTGTATATTGACCGTCTGTTTCACAACTGTACTTCAAAAACGTGCCCTGGTCTTGAAACTTATCATTTGTGATAAGGCGTCGGCAGGGATCTCTAAGGCCGGGTGGGATACTATCAGCTTGTGAAGCCATGACAGCGTCCTTTCAGGATCTTAATTCCTCGTCTAGACTAGATTTATGAGCAGAAGAAGTGTGCGTGTTAAATATCTATTCGAAAGACTATATTGGGAAGAACTTATCAACACTTAGCTTCAGATGCCATCTAGGATACTAATAACTAGCGGGACGCTAAAGTCCGATTGGCTAGCGATCGCTGGGCTACACGTGGCCATACCGGGTGTTGATCTAGGCCGAACAACCTAAGCTCGTGATGGAAGGGTTGCCTCGGTTGCCTAAATGCAAGTCGAAGGCTTTCCGTACTCGTAGTTGGACCAAGGCGGCTGCATGTCTCGGCGAGTTTGTTCGATCCTCGTGACTCGGCGATAAGGCATTGGGCTTCAGATATTATCCCACAACAGTCGCAAACAGCCTCAATGTGTTCGCCGGCTGGGAGTTCCCTGGTAAATCCCAATTCAATGATGACTGTGTGAACACGAAGTAGATTACATTCAGAGACGGGTTGCAGCCCCATGTTTTCTTGTCAAGATGGAGCCAGTGCGTGTTCTGCGACGGAGTAACCGTCATGCGCCGAAGGTCCGCTCAGGTTGTGTTACTTGCAAGTGTGTCATATGACTTTTATTTTGACCTTGATAGCATCGAATGCTAACTCAACAACAAGAAGCCGTCGAGTGAAGTGCGACGAACAAAGACCTACGTGTCAACGGTACGTCGAATGATGTTGTTGGGCTCCCGTTACTGAAGCCCCTACAGCTGCAAGACCAGCCGCACTCAGTGCGAGGGGTATGCACCCCCGAAAACATGGACTTTCGAGCCCACACGGCAACCCTCGAGAGCCGTCTCGAGCCTTCAGCGTCCAGTTGCCGACGTTCTCGGCGAACGGAGTCCCGGAATTAGGCTGTACCCCTCCAAAGACTTGCACTATCATGGAACCTTTGCTGGACACCATGGCGAATGGATGGCCTACGAGTACTTTGCTAAGATGACTGCACCTGTCGCGGGAACATGGGCAGCCCCAGAACTATGGCAGGGGCTCCTGTTGCGGGCCGCTTGGGTGGACGCTGCCATAAAGGACTGTATTGTGTCCCTCGCGATCACCTCTATAGAAGAAGGACACCCCGAATTCAAGACGCCTACACTAAAGACTCTACGCTCACGGGACTATTATTATTTTCGGGCTGTTAGTCTGCTTAGTAGGCAGCACAACAAGCCTATGGAACTGTGTCTTATCGCCAGTGTCACTTTCTGGCACTTTGACCTGTTCAATCGCCGTCCTCTGCGAGCGATGTTACACTTACATGCCACAACAAGCCTGCTGCGGTCCATGCGGCGGAGCCCACCATTTTCGACAGCCCTGACCGCGGATATCGAGAAATTGTTGTGCTCACTGGCTGGCATAGAATGTCTCCATGAAAGCAGCAACGTCTCTCACATGCTTCCGCCTTCCGAGGGCCTCTCGATCAACACACAATCGGCAAAGATCCACGGCTTTCTATCACTCAATGCAGCTCGCGCCAGCCTTTCACGGTGTCTCTGGGCTGCAGTATTGGCATACGATCCGTCGCCACCCGCCCATCTGCTGCGTGACCTGGCCGATCTTGAGTACATTGTCTTTGAGAAGGAAGTGGACGGACTTCTGGACTTTTCGGACCTGCCGTTCTGTACTCTCAACGATTGCCTGAACCTTCTTAACTCCTGGCAACGGTGGATGTGGCTGACCCCAAACACTATAATCCCATTCATAGGGAGACAATCTCTACTACTCCATGCGCAGTTGCTCCAATCGATCATCCAAAGAGATGTGAACAATGGCAAAGAGGAAACTCATGGTCTTGAATTGAACGATGAATTCTTGTTTGTCCGAGTTCTTGATGCTGTCGCCGATATTGTCAGGGAGACAAGACATCGCAAACGAAGCTATCTAGAAACTAGTAATACCAAGCCCACAAGCCTTCGGGCGCTTGTACTCTTCATCCTACAGCGCACGAGCCTGCAAGATACGTTTGTGAGGGCAACCCAACTTATGCAAGACGTTGAAATCATGGAGAAAGGCACGGACACTGTCCTGTTAATGTGGATGGGTTTTACATATGAGAGCACCAAAGCAGCCGGCCCGCCAATAGGCTGAATTTGCGGCATCATTGCGTCGGAGTACTAGAGTCTTCCACCACTTTTTCTGGTCCTTCAAATTAGTTGTCGCGATAAAGTTCAAGGTTGAGACAAGATCCAGAAATAGCCATGTACGAAAGATTCATCATTTCCCACTTACCTAGTTATTATTATGATTCATGAAAATTTTCGCCCCTTAATACGCCGTGCTTGATGATCACATAACGTGGGAAAGTCAACAAGTAAAATAAGTTGATTACCCTGATTACTATGGTCGAGGCGCTATTATGCGAGGTTTGGGCTTCTTGTACTATATTATAGATAGCCGATATAGCTCAGAAAAGAATGAAGCTTGCAGCAATATCAAAGTGGTACAGGGTAGAGCATCTGGCGAAATGTGTAGTTTAGTTCCAGTAGTTATGACATTAGTGAGGTACTGTCGGACAGACTGCCATATTATCAACTCGAGCATTGATGAACTAGAAGGATAAAAGGTTAAAACTTTGCCAGAATAGGATCATCTCTCCTACGTTCCCACGTTCATGTCAAGAAGCGAAACGGTGGTTGCATTAATCTTCGTTTTTTCATTAGTGCGCAATATCTAAATATTACATCATGTGTCCTGAACTACTTTCAAGGCTCCCTATCGTGCCAACAAAATACCAATACTCTGCCTCGTTTCCTCGAGATATCCCATCTTCCGTCCGGTGACCCAGAGCTGGACATACGAATGCTTGTGCGTCGCCTCCGGCGTATAAGTCAGGTTTTGGCCTTGCGATACCTCGAAAGGCTCGCATGCTGGTTTGCCGTTGATCACCCACTGCGCCTCGAGTATGACTCCGGGATCCCAGCGTCCGACAGAGGCGTCGAACTCGGAACCAGCTCCAGCCGTGATAGCCGGGGGAGCCTGGCGTGCCACTGCAGCTTCTCTGCCTCCGTACGCAAGGACTTCGGCGAAGGTGTTTCCTCTCGACGATGCCGTGGTGGCGGAGCTGGGGAGTGGCGTCGGGCCATCCGGTGCATGATCCTGAATCCAGGAGTATACAAGCTCGAGGTAGTCCCAGATCTCGCGCGACTGGTAGTTTCCTCCATGTGGCTTCTCCGGCATGATCGTGATATTCATCCAGTATTCGTCAGATCCGGCCACCGTGTTGATGGTCTTCTGGAATTCCTCGACGCCTTCGTTCAGGAAATAGTCGTCCCAGGTACCGACATAGATGAACAATCGCTCGCGCAGGACCGATCCCAAATTGCGCTCGTTGTCCCAGTTGGTTACAATGTAGTTAGCCAGGTCCATGTGTTTCCAGTATTCGACAGCCTCGGGGTAAATTTCGCCCGTGACTTTATTCCATGGTTCGAGAGGATAGTTATTGTATCCCTGGACGCCAAAGACGGCGTTCCAGACATCCCATTGAAGGGAGGAGCGTGATGACGTTCCAAACGTGAGTTCCCAGTGGTTTTCCTGTGCAGTTGTAGCGAGTATCACTTGGGTCCCGTTTTCGAAGTCGCGAATCGAAGGGGTGGCGCTACCGTCACCTTTCACATAAGCGTTTGTAGCTGTATATAATGAGATGTCCTGGTGCTTGTGGAAATCCAGGGAGTCAGGATAGTTCGAGAAGCAAGCACCAAACAGATCAGGTCGGAAGATGACACTGGCGGCTGAAATCCACCCTCCCGTCGAACCCCCAAGCTGAATACGAGCATATGGCTCGGCAATAGTGTTGAAAACAGAATCGAGATACGGAATCAGCTCATCGTTAATGGCGTCACCATAAGGTCCAATGTTTGCTGTGTTGACGGCATAGGAATCATCATAAAAGGGAGACTCGTGTCGGAAAGTCACCATGATCATTTTTGGAGTCGGTCGGTCTGGTTGACCACTTGCACCGGGTATGGTTCCATTGTCCCATGCTTCTGAGAAGTTGGCGGTTGGATAGCGGAAAGCGCCAGCATCCGCAGGCCAGTGGCCTTGTGAATAGATGACTGGATAGCGCGTGCTGGTGTCGTTCTCGTCGTAGCCACTTGGGAGCAAGACGTTGGCACCCACATACATGTCACGGCCCCAGAAATCGCTGAGAGCCTCGCTGCGGATCTTCACATACTTGAGAGTGTCCGTATCCTCGTAATTACCCTGGGAGCATCCACCAATCTCCTCGCCTGTGAAATCTTCCACAGCAGTCACGTTGTTGAGGACGAGCTCAACAATCTGCCCTGCCTCCTCCACATCGATATCAACTATCGACGTGTAGAGACTGCCGACTCCGGCAATATTGGGTGCACCATCGCCACAAGGGAAATGAACGCTGACAACCGAGCCATCGCTGCGAGATACCGTCTCGTATGGGGTCAAGAAAGCTTGCACGGAATAGTTGCCAGCCGAGACATCCTCCAAGCTCACGTTAGGCCAGCCGTATACGCCTGTTCTGGTGTTCAAACCGCTGCCACCAGAAAGAGTGATTGTATCAGACGAACTTAATCCGTATACGTTCATACCGTAGATCAAATCGGGACTCGATGTTACTTCTGTGTCCTCGAGAGGATCTACACCACTCGGTGCGAACAAAACCACGACTCGGCCATCCATTGTCCCATTGAATAGTCCATCTTCAATTGCTATCTTGACTAGGAGCCAAGGCGTATTGTTGGTGGATTGGGCACAAGCTTTCAAGGGATACAAACCAGTGATCGCAAGAGTCAATATCGACACGACACCATAGCCTTTGGACAGGCTACTGAGGAAGTACATTTTGCTTGGGTTAGACACGCGGAATCACAAAGGGAGAACATGGAAACCTGGAGAGGGCAGCGTGGCCTACCTTTTAAGCTCAGATCAAGAACTTGTACCTGCATATGTGAACGATGAACACCATGAGCAGTGAAGCCTCTCGCCACCACAGCGATAAGGACGGGTCTCGCCTGGGGAGCTTGCAGTTTGCGACGTCATTATCTTCTGTAGGAAGTAGTGTCAATGCGCTAGTTCTTAGCAGAGTGGCATTCAGTGAAAGCGTATCCATGTCGACGACGATAAAGACCCCAAGGAGGAAGGTCGAGGGGCTTTCGGCAACACTAGAAAGAAGGCAGCCGAGAATAGCCTCCTTGGCATGGAATCGCTCCTTGGCGTAGGCACCCTTGAGGTACTTCGTAGTACGGATACTTCGGAGTCTGTACCGGGTACTCGTATCTCGTTGCAGTATTTGTGAGCAGAGCTATCTGTTTGTGAGGTCGCTAGTCGTCAATCTGATCTGGTAGTCAGTAATTCCTGAACAGCCGACTACAGTCCCACGTGGTACAACAACTACCAAGAACCAAGATTCCGAGCTGCCGAGTGACTCATTCTCGAGCCTTTCCAAGCTAACGCCATTGGATTTGCTCCGATGAGCATGAGGAGAGCCTGTTCATGGCAAGCACTTCTCGAGAAAGCTTAACTAGTCTCAACTACCCACCCAGCAAGCTGATAAACCAAGATCAGAAGCATTTATCTGGACCCGCACTTTGCCGCCACTTGAAGACCGAGAGTTGAACGACGATACGCTCAGCCGCACCAAGAAGTGCAACGTGCATATCTCGAAAAACTTTTTTGACCTCGTTCAGGACCTTGTCATACATGTTCAATGAAGAGCAAACCTCCCCATCGTTGGTCTTGGCTACTAACCACCAAATCATGAGACCATGGGGGCTAATGGGCACCACACTCTAAACATGCAGTTGTCGAGCATGTCCATTTATTCATCAATGTTGGAGGTATATTGTCAGTCTCGATTCGTTGAAGCGTACTCATTCAGACGTGCGCAAATACTCACACACGATCTCATGATCCAAATGGTTGGCATTATTTTGCACCTCGCTATGGGTTTGATTCCTAGTGTTACGGGTAAACCGTACTAGGAAATAGGGCCGCAATGGCAGTGCTCAAATTGCGTCCTATGGAATACGGCTCAATCGTTCGTGGATTGTATTCCTCCAGATTTATCTCGACTGGGCTGAGCGGATGGTCGCATCTTTCGAGTGAAGCTGGTCACGCTTCTGGGCACTGACTCGGGCTATCGTGGTGGCTTTGGCTTTACCTCGGAAGAAGATTCGTCCTGCATCTACCCCATACTATTCCGTCATAGACCCCTCAGGTTCTCGGATATACTCTGTTGGTATCCTCATTCCCAATGTCTACTTATGAGTCGCATCGATTGGAAATATTGACTAATCTGCGTGGAACTTCTGATTACTGAAGATTTGTACAGCAGGGTGATCGTGTAGTAGCTTTTATTTGCTTCCACGGTAAACGAGAAACACTGGTTTCAGACTTGCCAGTTTATAAAGAGTAAATATACTTGCGATAGCTTGACCTGGCTGCAGCAACCTCTTAATCTTCTGTCCTCACTGCAAACTCTTTCGACATTTTTCCTTAATCCAGAACAATGTCGTTCGACCCGACCTACGGAGTGAGCTTTACGTCCACAACTCACTCAAAGGCCGAAGGGCCTACACTTCCTGAGAACAACACATCCAGCAATTTCGTTGTCGTCGTCACCGGCGCTGGGAAAGGGCTTGGCTACAACATCTCTCTCGCATATGCCAGGGCAGGGATCTCAGGCATTGCCATTTCGAGCCGCACACAGGCGGATCTAGATAACCTATCCGAAGAACTGAGGCAGGTGAACCCCAAGCTGGAGATATTGAGTTCGATAACCGACACGACGAAGCCCGAGGATGTGAAGAAGCTGGCAGCGAGTGTGAAAGAGAAGTGGAATGGGAGATTGGACGTCGTGGTTGCGAACGCCGGAATCATCAGCAAGTATATCTACGACAGGGATGAGAAGACTGGAGAAAAGAAAAACCGTCGCCTTCCCATCGGTATCGTCGAAGATGATGATGCTGGTCGGGTTCTCGACATCAATCTCAAGGGGACTTGGAACACAGCACAAGAGTTCACTCCACTACTCACTGCAAAGGAGAATCAGTCGAGTGTCAGAGCCTTCGTCGTGATCACGAGTCTGGCGAGTCATTTCGCCCATAGCGAGTTGACGACGGTATCATATAACGTCAGTAAGATCGCAGTGAATCGGCTGGTCGAACACCTATGGAATGATCACGGGAAGGAGAACCAATATGGACTACAAAGTTTTTCGATCCATCCCGGTGCTGTGCTAACACCACAGACGGAGGGACATAATAGGTTCGAGGGAGACGTTTGGGATGAATGTAAGTCATCTGATGTTGAGAATCCACGCGAATGGTCAGTCTGAGAAGTAAATACGCTCGGAATTACTAATTTCATTTTTGTATACCAGTTTTGAGCGACGATCCTGGCCTCTGCGGTGGTTTTTTGACGTGGCTGACAAAGGAAAGGAGAGAATGGCTGAGCGGGAGATATCTTGCGGCCGCATGGGACGTAGATGAATTGCAGAGCATTAAGGAGGACATAGTGAATCAAGACAAGCTCAAGTTCAGGATGGTGGTTTAGTGGTGGCCAGGCTTCGAGTCGGCACAAATGCGATGATATATTTGGAAATCTCAACTATCAACAGATCTATCGGTGATACAATATACCTTGCTACCAGTAAATAACCGCAGATGTACACGACCGTGACGAGACATACTGATATGTTCTCCAGTATCATACCCCCGGAACATGGAGACTCCTTGTCACGATTCGAAGAAGACAAGCGACCAAATGCCTACTCGCCTCGTAACCACACTGTTATTCATTAGCGATGTCTATCTTGCATCCAATTAACGTGATCTAGTATTTTAAACGTTGAGTTCGAATCGATAACCGTTGGTGTCCTTTCCCTAAAACGTGAACAGCAGCGCCAGCTCTACTGTGTCACTGTTGGCTGAGAGAACTCCAAGTGATTTCTCTCGAACTTAACATCGCTAAGAGCAACACCATGATCCGTAGCAACGTGATCTCCGAACAGTTTTCCAATTTCTTCAATGGGAATCTGCTTTGTCTCGGGAATGTACAAGTATACAACGATAAGAGATAGGGTGGATAGTGCACAATAGATGAGATACATATGCCAGCCACTGGAATATGCATTTTAGTCAAGACTTTCCTTGTCAGATAGGGAGAACATACATGGATTTGAACGCGACCCCGGCCGGTACAGCAAATGCCAGGGTCCCGGCAAAGAAAGCTGACACGGCGAGGCTCATGCCCTTTGCTCGAAGAATCGTAGGGAATACTTCTGCAGACCAGATAAGAGAAGGAGCATCAACACACTTCCCGGAAGTTAGTAAGATCGAGGAGACAAAATGATATTCACAAACCTGGAAGAATGCGATGAACAGGAAAATAAAGAGAACGCAGGCTGAATTTCTGGCGCGGCTGGTAGTCCCTATATATTTTCGCTGCAAGAGGGTTTCTGCTAGGCCAATCATTGCACACGCGGCAAAACCGACAACTGCCGGAGCCTTGTCAGTGTTTCAGAGATGGTCGAGGAAGCGCTTGATACTTACGGAAGAGTGTGCGCCGACCGAATCTGTCGACCAAGAGGAGACTCACAGCCACAAAAACTGTTCCGCAGGTCGTGTGCACGGCTTCGATGAATTAGTTCTTGACCAATCGATAAATAGTACCATGAACCAGGTTTTACCGTAAAGGATCAAAGACATGCCGGGGCTCATTCCCAGAGAAGCAAAGATGACAGGGAGGTAGTTTGTGATACCATTGACCTGGAAATGGTAGAGAAGTCAGCTTCAGGGGTGCCAAATTGGCTCTCTACGTACTCCTGTGGATTGCATTGCGAGCCTATCAGGGTTAGTCAATTCGAGAATTTGGAAGTAAGGTATGGGGAGATCTCACAAGAGGAAGATCACGAGGATGCATCGCCGCCTCCATGATGGCCTTTTGAGCATTTCGATGAATGTAGCATTCTCTCGCTTCTCGTCTTCAAGTTGTGCCACAATGGCATTGAACTCACTACGGGCGTCATCCTCATTCAAAGTTGTGGGATCATGATGTAGTCGTTTCAATATTTTCCACGCTTCGTCAAGCCTGTCACGCCAAGTGAGGAATCTAGGTGACTCTAAGAAAAGTCAAGTTACTCCATGCACGGCAATATTCGATTCAGAGAGAGTTACCAGGGACGGAAAAGAGACCGCAAAGCAGTAATAGTGGTGGAAGGCAAGCCAGTGAAAGTGGAAGTCGCCAGCTTAGGGTGATATTCTTCGCATGAAAGCAGCCAACAGCAATCCATGCACACCTATGTGCTCATTGTCAGCATATGTCGCGATAAGAATTGTAATGGTGAAGCGCACACAACGAAGCCTCCGCCGAAGGATAGGGTCGTGAGTCCGGTCAAGAGTCCTCTTGTTCGGGGCGGCGCAACTTCTGAAAGATAGATTGGTACAAGGGCTAGGAGTGCACCCAGCCCACACCCTTGCACAAAACGAGAAGTGATCATCATGCTTATAGTGACAGATGCTGCGACTAAGACATTGCCAACAAGAGCAACGACGGCTGCGATTGCTAGAGCTCTCTTACGCCCCAGTTTGTCGGCAACTCCACTCTGACCCACCGAGCCGACGCAGCCTCCGGCGCAGAAGAGACAATTAAGAGCGACGAGCACATTAGCCGTGTCTACTCAGATGGTAGAATTAGCCCTCTAGCTCTTTTCCTAAGTTTGCGAGTGAGTACGTACATGTCGAAGTCGGGTCCAAAGCAAAGAAAAGATAGAAGCCGGGTTGTCCAATACTGGTAATGAATGAAGAACTACCAAAACCGAAGCTGAACCCACCAAGAGCAACGACAAGTGCTATGCCGATGTTATAATTCGTTAGTTTGGCCATGCTAGTGGACTAACTGTAAAGACAAAGTCGATTTTGCGATTTTAGTACTGAACGCTCAAGGGGTGAACCACACTTTATATTGTTGGGGCCCAGAGGTTGGAAGGAATCTCCACTTACCCTATGTTTTGCTACTACCCCACGGGGCAAGAAAGACTTCAAATCGTGGAAGCCAATATATTACAGCCATACTGTGGAACAGCGCGCTAGATTTCAAGCTGTGTGCTCCGCTTCAGTCCAAAATGGTCCATTGATCATCAGCGTGAGCCAATCTAGCCCGATGGAGATACTTACCGAGCTCTGAGGATGATAGAAGCGAGCGCACCACATTTCAGCCGAGGTGGGTTCTCCTAAGACCTTTTGTTGTCGGTCCCTATAGCGCTGACTGAGTAGATTGGAAGTAAAGAAGCTTGTATGATTTCAAGAAATGATTGGCTATTACGGCGGACTATATTCCTCCGTTTGACCCGCTATCACGTAACACGACGCATCGTACCCCAGAAGGTGAATGCCGCCCGTGCTTGCCACTACAGCTCATTGGATACTTTTACCATTATTGGACCGACGCATACACATAAGGTGTCGCTCAGCCGGTCTCACCATGATATACTGAGCAGTAATTGCGATGTCCAGTCTGCTGACGAATCTTGAGGTTTGCAAACGCCCAAGGCTGTGAGATTTGTATGAATAGTTCGTCGTTTGTGAGTACCACAATTGAAATAGTGCCGGTGACAACGGTGTCGAACTCTATAATCTTGAGTGCAATTGCCAATTATTCTGACAAAAGTCTTGCGTTCGAGAACACCACGATGTCCGATATCTCGATACTTCTGGTGACAGGATCATTCGTGCCGCCCAGCGTATATGATACGGTCGTGGACGCAGTTCAAGCCAAAGGCCTTCAAGTGCGAGCCTTGCATTCGCCCACTGTTGGTTTGGCACCACGACAGGGCAGAGAAGGCGCGGCTCCTACCATGTATGACGATGCTGCCTTCATCGGGGAGGAAATCGATAAACTCGCAGATCAAGGAAAGCGTGTGATATTGATAGCGCACTCTTATGGTGGAATACCCGCGACTCAGAGCGTTCGAGGGCGGAGCCTCACAGACCGTAGACAGCAGGGCAAGAGGGGCGGGATTGCCCGACTTGCATATATGACTGCCCTTGTTCCGGAAATCGGTCATTCGGCTATCGATGTATTGGCAGATGTGCCTCCAGAGGGCCAAACACAGATGGAAACTGATGTACGCGAACCTTTTGATACTGGTGGCTGCCTTGCGCACCTTACAGGTCTTACTAGCGTCTGAAAAAAAGATACTAACAGCGGAGAATAGGAAGCTGGATGGATGTTGCACATCGATCCCGCAGCGACGGCGAAGATCTGTCTCAGTAAAGTTTCTCTAGAGATATCGGAACCGCTCATCAGAGATTTTCCGAAGCATTCGGCGATCAGCTTTATAAACAAGTTGACCTACGCGGGCTACAAGGACGTACCCGTGTCCTATCTGTTTTGTGAAGCCGACTTGTGTGTTACTCCGGCGGTACAGCAAAAGGGAATCGACATGATTGAAAGGGAAAGTGGGAGAAACGTCACTGTTACTCGGATCGATTCTGACCATGGTCCGAACCACACTGCTCCACAGGCAGTGGTGGAATGGATTCTGAGTGTCGTGGCTGAGGTGGAGAGTAGTATAATTTGATGCTTTTACACTGAACAACAATTGGAATGGGATCTCGACCGGAGCTTCAACTTACTGTGAGGACCTAGCAGCGACTCAACAAGAACGAGATGATTTCTTAGGCCATGATGGGAAACTTCGCGCAATATAGTGTATGACAGCACCCCGGGCACCCCCTTATCCCTTCACTTCACCCTCACTTGACTTGCACATATAGATTGATCCATTGGATGTCACATTAGCATCGGAAGATGACTCTTTCAGAATTTACTACATTATGGTCTAATTTGTAAAGTGGTTGGCTGGTGTGCTCCAAGGATAAGGACTAGGATGAGTAAAATAGTAGATCAGTCCTTATCCCGCCTCATCACATACGTGTCTTGCGAGATGTTAAAATGGGGCGTTTCAATATAACGGTTGGCTGCCTTTTTTTCTTATTTTGCTGGGTGTGGATTCGAATCTTGTGCGTGTTGTTTGTTTCCTCCCTTTCTTGCTTGTTCTTTCTTTGTTGTTGACCTTTCAATGTTTACGCACCGCCTGCTCCACCACGTCCAGTCCAGTCATTTTCTTCAACACACTCAGTGGAAGTGCGAAAGGTCGGATACTTGTCAACCATGCAACCCAGCCCTTTGTCCCTCTCCAGATATTGGCTGGCGGGTTCTCTTTCTTCAGTAGATCCTGCGCCACTTGTTTCGCCCACTGCTCGGCAGTCACCTCCATTGGAAACCCCTCTCCACGCATGGTTTTCTCAACGGTGTCTCTTGCAATTGAATACAAGGAGTCGGGTGGTAGCTTAGAGCCCGGACTATGGGACTGGTTGTTGAAGTTGTTTGTGGCAGCATTGGATGTTTTCAGATCCACCACTCGGATACCGAAGGGGGCGAGCTCCTGTCTCATACAGTCCGAGAACATGATCATGGCGGCTTTCGAGGCGTTGTACGCCGACTGGAAGGCAATGGCGAACAGACCCGCAGAAGAGGTTTGATTGACAACAATGCCCTTGGACTGTCGCAACAGCGGTAGGAATGCTTGTGTCATAGTCAGATACGACCAGACGTTCAGATCGAAGAGCTCCTTAGCTTTCGGTATTGACATGTCGGATATAGGCATGCTGTAGAGAGCACCGGCATTGTTGACCAAGATATCGAGTTGAGGGACTTTCGCAACCGCGGCAGAGATCGACTCCTGTGATAGAACATCTAATGTCATGGTTTCGATCCCGCAAGCTTGCACCTGAGAAAGTTTAGAGGGGTTCCGTGCCGTAGCATAGACATGCAGCCCGGCTTCGTGTAGAGCAATTGCAAGGGCAGCACCCAAACCACCATCTGAGCAGCCCGTGATAAGGACCGTCCGTTTTTGAGGTACTGGGGATTTTGGGTCGTTGTTCGCCATGACGATGCAAGAAGGAAATCAACTAGGCTTTAGTGAGAGACCTGCAAGCCGTGCGCCAACACCTCCGGACATCATGGCGCTGTTCATTCTATTATACAGTATATCATAATTTTACACTGAGGATTAGTCTAATCTGACTCTTCAGTTCACTGATAAAGTCTTGTGCACGGTCACGCCGTCTTACGAACATCAGAGGGCCGAGGCTGCGGACCCCTTACGTGATCGGAAGGATATTTACGCCGATTGCGGATAGTGACAAATTATCCCGCCCCCCGGCGTATCACGAAATCATCTTCCCAACTTCACGCAGTGCTTCGGCCATTCATCTCCGACACATGCCAGATCATCGTGGTTGCCTTGGTTATGGAAGATGCGGACCTAATATTACGTGTGAGTTTGCTCAGAGTAGCGAATTTCCTCCCCCGTGCGGCGCAGTAGTCTAACCTAGCCTCGCGTTCTTCCAGCGCCGTCGCGACAACGGAAAAGTCGCACAGCGGAATTTTCGCACAAGACAGGCCGAAAAAGCATCAGAGCTGAAGCAGAACTACGAACAGCTCAAAAGAATAGTGGAGACCATTGTGCTTGCCCATGGCGAACATGATCAGGCCAAATTGAATGATGCCATAGCCCAGGCCGGACAGGCGACTGGGCTGGAGGTGGTAGAGCGATGTGCGCTCTCTACTTCGCCTAAAGCTTCAATAGTAGTCGCCAAACGGCCAGGTCTTGTTCATGGGTCTGCAGTAGCAGCCTCAGCACAACCCACGACGAGAGATATATATCGAGAGTCGTTTTACCAACCTCGCTCCGGGCGTTTTAGCCCACGGCTTGGTTACGGCATCTGGCTGGAACCAGAGCGCTTTCTTAAGATTCTTGACCCTCCCCTCGATATCCTCCCGTACGTTGGAGCTGGTAAGTACACCGTGGCTGGCCGGATTGCCTGGGCCAGCCTCGATTATGGCTATGCTTGTCTCCAAGAGGCGATGATAGCCCGGGCAACCAATACTATTCCGAAGGACGATTGGATCGCATCATTACCTCCCGAGTCAGCAGCTCGTCGAGCATTTGATCGATCGCTCCGACACTCGAAGCCTCTTCACGATGTTGCTTACATGATGGACCTTGTGGAAGCACGAATTGAGTTTCGCGAACAGGGTTATATGCGAGGAAACACTCGCGGTGGTGACGAGGTTTCTCGACAGGTTATGCAGGGCAGTGTCGCGCACGATCTACGTGCCAGGCGAGTCAGAATGGATCAGTGGTGGACCGCGTTGGATATTGAGGCACATCTTCAGGCCGTGATGGGCGTCGACGACTTCTCTGCTCTGCAGATTGCTTTGTGCAGCCAGGAAGCAGATCAAGCTCAGATGTTTATGCCTTTAGCCCGAAGTCTGGGACATAATGGGGTTTGTTTTGGCGACGGACCTCGCTGGCATGCCCCATCTGTCAAGGCACTCGTCAGTGCATGGTTAGACCAGATCTCGGTGTTGGGTGTTTGGTAAAGCTATATCCCCGTCCACGACAGCTTTGATTTTTCGGGAGAAAGACAACTTGTGAAACTTCTTGCATCGGATTTGCTTGCTATGACCCCAGTGTCAGCACTTAATCCCCTCCCTAATTCATGGCAACCTGGGAAATCCTGGCTCCTTCAACACAAACACCTCTCTTGTTCCGAAAGCTCAAGCAGTACTGGCATCTCGACCGATGTGTTCATCGGCGTATAATATGGAGAAAAGTCCTAGCAACTGGTGTCATTCTGGGAGATTCGCCTTAAACTCCATCCGTTTAGGTCACGCATTATCGACATACAAACTAATTGTCTCTATGAACCGGACCATGGAGGGGGCTGCCCAAAGACCTTGAGGTATTAGCAACAATTATATTAAATCGTATTATTGTGTCGGATTAGAAGTCCGCCACTCGGATCCATCGTAAGGGAAGGCCACCCGTAATAATTCCCTGACCACGGGGATAATCAGGAACGAGCGGAAGGCTGAGGGGAAGGATGGCGATGTGCGTGGTTGTGGACAAGCCCGAGGGCCTTTTTCCCCACTGCCGAAGAACGCATCCGATGGTGAAAACCACCGCAAATTCGCCTCGCGTGTACATTATCCGATGGCTCTCTCCCCTGCTTGACCATTGCCCGTCAATATTGATCTTATGTAGCTTCCTCGCCGTTTGTGATTTTGAGTGACTTTTGATCGTCTATCGGAGAAGGATTTACCCTCTACCCTCGAGAAAGAAAGACCTTCATATACTTCCCGCATCGCCAGACGCACGGCGACCTGACTTCGTCTGCTCTGATACCACCCTGTCTCGCGAACTGCATCCACCACACCAGAGTATTACACAATAAAAGAGATTCAAAATGGCGAACGCCCGTGGCCTCAAGGCTGTCCTAGAGAAATCCCCCTCCGACGTCGTAATCCTGTCCTCCCTCCGAACACCCGTAACGAGATCATACAAAGGCGGCTTCCGGAACGCCTATGACCATGAGCTCCTCTCACACGTCCTACGCGCCACATTAGCCGCGAACCCGAATCTGCCAACCGAAAAGATCGGCGACGTGGCTGTCGGGGTGGTACTGGCAGAACTGGGCGGTTCAAAAGCCGCACGAATGGCGCAGTTGCATGCAGGATTCCCAGTGACTGCACCTCTCCACACGATCAACCGGGCGTGTAGTTCGGGTTTGGCGGCTGTGACGAGTATTGCAAACATGATTTCGGTGGGGCAGATTGATGTGGGTGTTGGTGCGGGAATGGAAAGCATGACGAGGAATTATGGCAGTAAAGCTATTCCCACGCAGCTATGGGAGGAATTGAAGGAGAGTAGTGTGCAAGATGCACAGGACTGCATCATGGCTATGGGTCTGACAAGTGAGAATGTCGCAAAGAGATATGGTGTTTCACGAGAAGACCAGGATGTGTTTGCGGCGGAGAGCCACCAGAAAGCGTCAAAAGCGCAAAGAGCGGGCTTATTCGATTCAGAAATCGTCCCGGTGAAGGTGAAGGTGCCTGATGCTGATAACCCAGAGGGGCCTCTGCAGGAAATACTGGTTGACAAAGACGACGGTATCAGACACGAAGTAAACGCAGAGAAGATGGCCAAGTTGAAACCAGCGTTCTCCAAGGACGGATTCTCAACGGCCGGAAACTCGTCTCAAATCTCAGATGGGGCTGCTGCAACGCTTCTGCTCCGAAGATCAACGGCGACCGAGCTAGGACTGGGCAAGAATATCATTGGCAAATGGGTCAACACGGCAACTGCTGGTTGCAAACCCGACGAGATGGGAGTTGGTCCGGCCGTGGCGATTCCCAAGGTCCTTGATCTGGCGGGCCTCACGACCGAGGATGTCAATGTCTGGGAAATCAACGAGGCATTTGCCAGTCAGGCGCTGTACTGTATCAGAAAACTCGGATTGGATATTAACAAGGTCAACCCTAGGGGTGGTGCTATCGCTCTTGGCCATCCTTTGGGTATGACCGGAACGAGACAATTGGCCACGCTTCTTCCTCAGCTGGAAGCCGGTCAGGTCGGTGTCGTGAGCATGTGCATTGGTACTGGTATGGGAATGGCAGGCGTCTTTGTCCGAGAATAGTCTAGTCGAAGGAAAAGTTATAAATAAAAGCTCTGTGAGAAGGGGAAGGCCAGTCCAGCAATTCAAATTCGATTGCTTGACGTTGTGCATTTAGTCAATATACTTGACAAGATATCTCAGCCTTATCACTTGACCTCATGATATCGGATATTACTTCACACTCCGCTCGTTATCCCACAAAGATCATACAACCGTGTTTGGGTCTGTCGTTTCCGGCTTTCTTCTTCTCCACACACCTGTTCGTTTGGCTGCAGTCTCGGGTCTGCTGCTAGAACCCCTTGTTTGCTTCTTTTGTGGTTCTGAGGAGGAAGCACCCAACTTCGGGTGGTTATTGCTGCGGCTGGCGGTTGGCTTTCGATAATTTGCATACCACCATAAAGTCCCAATTGTCAGGGCATATGTTCCCAGGGCGACTGGTACTAGCATAATCGCGAATGGTGTCAAAGACAAGAGCAGGCTTGTCTTGTCAAGGTTGTTCATCCCGAAAAATCCCTGCGTAGAGCGTTCATTGTCAGTATTCTGGATGCGATGCAAACAACTGTCCATAACGTACCGTGACAAAGGTCAGCGGTAGATATATAACTGTCACCACAGTGAAAACAAACACGTAACGATTGAGTAGTGTTCCTTGTCTAGCCTCGCGGATGGCTGTAGCCGTAAAAAGCTGTGGTCCGTTAGCCATCTGCGTCCACAAAATCTGCGAGAAACAAACTCACTCCTTCTCTAAGTACCACTATATCCTCCTCCTTCTGCTTGATACGTTGCAAAACATGGTCGAGTTTCACCTTCATGGTATCTACTCTCTTCTGCCAATCCTGTGAGAGCTCGTTTCTTTGTGAATCAGTCACTTTCCATGGAGAATTCCACTCGACGCAGATCCTCTGTATACGCTCCAGAGTCATCTGGTTCCACACTTCAAGATCCCGTCGCGTGTTCTGGGCCCATTGTCGATATATGCGAAGGTGTTGAAGCAAGGTGAAGTAAGATTTGCTCCTTGAAAGGTTTAAGTCGTCATACATAAGATCATTCAATGCTTGATCATTTGACACTTCCACGATCTGCCAAACATCAATCGCGTAATCCTAAAGGCAGCGAGGGTGAACAAACATTGGTACCAAACCTCTCGTCTATCTCGTCCATCAAGGCAATCCAATTCCTCACGCACTGACCTACTATGTCTTGAGCAATACCCATGAGCACTCCCGCGAATGGCGGTACTAGACTGACTGCGATTCCCTCCATGGGCAAGGGGTCATCATTCAAGCGTAGGATTGTGGAAAATGGACCAGCTGAGTATACCACCATCAAAAAGCAGTCTCGAGTTTCAACGACATTGGGCTGCTGGCCTTCGCCTTGCGGCCATTGGATATTTACTTGTTGTCCTGGTTGTCGTTGTAGCTGCATTCCAAGAATGCTTGATTCGGGATGGAGGGAGTTATAGTCATGCACCTTTCGTAAGAGTCTAAAACCGCGCACGCTAAAGCCGAAGGTAACGTAGCTCGGGAGACCTTTCAGCAGCCAAAACCATGAGGTCGCGGTGCGGAAGTGCCACTCGTGTGTCGCATTTAAAAAGTAGCTTCTCAGCAGTCCCATGACATAAATGATGGGAGGCTGGCCACCATCTTCGATTGCTGGGCCAAACAGGCGCAAAAACATACAGGTGATCAGACCGACATTCAAGGAATCATAAGGATGTAGAGGATGGAAAAATCTGGAAGATTAGTTAACGGCCGACAAAACTAAAGGAGTGCACCTACGTAACGAGGCCTTGGAATGATGAGAGTATTTCTGGAGTCATGTCCTACTATGATCAGTACAAGAACGTGCCGGCACTGTTTTCGGGACTTGCTCACATTGGAAAATAAGACAGAAAGTTCATCACTTCCGTCGTCACTCCGCCTAAACCAACGTTCTCTGAATCTTACCGCCCACAAGTCTCTGCAAGTTGCGAAACCCGGCCATGCTGAGCGAAGACGGGCTTGTCTTCCGGCGAGATCATCAGGAAGTTCAATTGACAGACAAGATCCCAAACGCAAACCCGAGCGTAATCCTGAGATGAGTCTATCACGGAGGTGATCGAATTCTTCCTGCGTTGAGTGGGTCAAACGCCATGCAACGGTACTCTCCAGAAGCTGCTCACTACCACCATCAGTCAGTCATTTCGTGGGTTGCGGCGTATCGGAAGATCGACTTACGGTTCACTACGAGATACCCCAGAGTTGTTGGCGCGGTCTATATCTTCTCCATCAGCAGGTCGCTCACCTTGATTTTGTGAAACGTGCTCTGAGATATGATCGATCTGTGGCGGCTCATGCCCAGGATCTACCGGTTTCGAACTCCTACAAAAAATTAGCTCTCTGACATTCTTCTAGTACCTGGTTTGGATATTCAGCATACTCAGCAGACGCGGTTAAATTGGGTACGACAGTGCCAGTATTGGGCTCGGGTATTGGCTGTCCGGCGTGCTCGTTATCAAGTACTTGTGCTATTCTCTCAAGGTTATCATTTAACTTCTGGAATTCCTTTAGTAAAGACGAAAGAAGAGCTTTGTTATCTTCGAGCACGCTGGAGAGAGACGACTTCATGACCCACGTGTCGACGGGCGCTGCACAAGTAGAAGACAGCACTGATTGCTGCACAGGATGCTCCTCAGAACAGAGTTGAGGTTCTGCAGAGCTCGCAGTGGCGTTCGTCTTGATGACAACGATGTCTTGAGTCGGTTCATGAGGTTGGTCCTCTCTGTGTGACGACACTGTAGCGTTGCGCGATTCAATATTGGGACCTGTCAGCTCAGAAGGAGTCCGGAAATCCATATCCGAGGATTCTCAATATCTGCGCGTGGACATGCGAAAGAGTCTGAAGTCAAATATTGATTGTAGATAGGCAGGAAAGAGGATGGTGTAAAGCAAAAACGAGGCTGAAAACAAGCACCCTTTTGACGGGTTGAGGTTCAAGAACAACACATGGCAACATGAGCATCGTATTCCTGCCCGAGCCCGAGCCATTGATGCAGAAAGCCTAGCTGTTGATGGCGCTCAGCAGCCACCGCACGATGTCCACGAATCATGATCGGCGGGCATCGTATCAACAACCAAATGGCTGAGCGTTCGACCGGGGGGGCAAGGTGCAAGCTGAAGAAGACCCAGCAGCACCAGGCTGGACACAGCCTTATTGAGATTCATCACATCGAGAGTGGCAGATAACGTCACCATTAAGCACAATATGACAGACGTTCGAATCAAGTTTTCGACGTTTGCGAGAATCGAGAATCGCAGTTGTTGTTCTCCTCTGACTTTGAGGCAGGCGGCCCGCGTTGGCACCTGCCTTCCTCTACGTCCCGCCCCGGCTGGACATGGAAGCTGAGGCTCCGTGTACCTACATCAATAGGTATCTATCTATGTACGAGGTAGTTATAGCTGCTACTACAACACTCTAACGAACTGAATTCATGAACACAGACTCAAGTTCAAAGACAACATAGTACTCCAGTGGATTCCCGCCTAGGTAGCTATGGAGAGGACATCACTTTCACGCACGCACGCTCACACGCTCGCTCAGTAGGTGAAGTAGGTAATGTACAAACGTGCAAACACATAGACATGATTACACTCGTTGGTAGGTACACTGGAGTCTGTACTCTGTACACCACCCAGTCTGTTCTCCAAGGCAGAAATGCAACATTGCCCCAAAACTCAATTAAACACCGATTGATGCCCCAAACAACCCCATGGCTTCCACCCTCAAAACTCATCCAATCCATTAAGGCCCCCTATTAACAAGCGAATCTCCCCGGTGCACTGGCCTGGCTGATCTCTCTCCGAGCACCATCCCTCTGTCTTGCAAAGATGCCTGACGCCCCCGTAATACCATTGACGGCACGTGGCTTGGTTGGGCTTTTCGCCGTAGCACCTGCCGTCACTCCACCAGCGAGTGAGCCTGTCGAGCGCTTGAGGTTCACACTGCGTGCTCGGTCCCGGCGAGCGCGAATCTGTGCGAGTGCCGCCTCGCGGGAGATGGGCGTGCCAGGGACGTTGGTGAGCATCGCTGCCGAGTCTGGGTTCTCGTGGGAAGTTGTAGCGGCGTGGTGGGCGAACGTGTGCGTTGAGGTTGCTTCTGTTGTTCGGATGATTTCGGTATGAGCGTGGTCGTTGGCATCGCGAACAGGACTGAATACATCATCTGCGTCCTCAAAGCCTCGAAGCGGGACTCGTGTGGTTCTCGTGGTTGTCGTTGCGATTGTCTGAGGGGCATGGCGCTCTTCCGTGTACGCATATTGCTTCGTGTGTTGCGTTGACCTCGATTGCTTATCGAGCGGAGTCACTGGAAATACCGTGCTTGCTGCAGGTGACGCTGATATCTCTTTCACATAGCCTCCGTGCATGGTCGCTGGATTGCTCTGTGACATCATGGATGAGACAAGAGGAGAGTGACTTCTAATATTAGGTTTTGACTGCGCTCTTCTATGCAGGCTCCGTGGTGGCGAATCTTTCAAGGCAATCTTGGTGGTGGTCGTTGACTCTGCGAACACTTGATGTTGCTCATACGTGGGAGTGGTCGATCGGATATACTCATCATGGGCCGTTCTAACGGATCGCGGCGAATCTGGTACCAGCCGGACTGGTGAGTCCACGGTCAGGATGCCCATAGCTGTGGAAGGTCGACGTGGTGGAGCTTGCTTCGGAGGAGAGAGGTCAAACAGATCCTGCTCAAGGACTGCAGAAGCACTTTCTGTATGACGCAGAAGTGGTGTTGCAGACCTTGCGCCAGCATTGCTTGTTGTGGAAGTCGAAAAGGAAAAGGGCTTGGTGGATGTACCAGGTTCCACGAGGACTTGAGTAATCTCCTCGAGTTGAGCCGTAGCTTCTGGTGTGGTGCTGTTGGAGTCCAATTCCATGGGCTGTGGTTCTGGCAATGGAATCTCAAGAGCATCTTCGTAATGTGATGGTACTTCTGATGCTCTATCCAACTCCTTCGCACGGGGCTCAGGAGGAAATGAGAGGGGTTCCTCGACCTGAGAGGGCTGTCTCACAGGCTTCGGGGTCTTCTGTGGCGCCAGCTCCGAATCTCTGATCTCAGGTTGTTGCACATCAGACGCTTCCACCGATATTTTCCGCTTCTTCGACGCTCGCTGCTGCTGAAGTTGTGCATCGTACACCTGATCATGAACAAATCTGTCGCCATTGGACTCTGCAATCCGACATGGGCAGGCCTGGAATTGGCACTGCATGTGCATGAAATGAATTAGATCTTCATCCTCTTTGTGCTGTCTCTCCGCCCACTTCAATTCCTGTTTGAGGAACTCGATTTCTTCCTCGGCTGTGGTTTCCTCTCCTTCCATCTGCTTGTCGTAGAAATCAAGACGGAGTTTGATCGATTCGAAAGTTGGATTGAGTGCAGTGAACGATTGTAGTTGTTGATTGGGCCTGGACTCCTCGAAGATGATGGCTGGATCAGCAACGGACCGGCCCTCATAGTCACCCAACCATTTCGACGAACGGTCAGGTTGTTCATTTAGTGCAGCAGTCAACTCTTGGGACCGAGCACTTTCGAGCGCCGTCTTCTCAGCTTGTGCCGAACGAGCTTCCTCCACAGCCGCATCTCTCTCCTTCTCGGTCGCCTTGAGCCGATCTTTGACCTGCTCCATTTCCTCCAAGACTCCGGCCAGAGCATATGCCCTCTCAAAGGCTTCCTGGCGACTCTTATCCTTTTCATGCTTCTCATGCTGAACTTCTCCATTTGACTTCTTCAACTCACTTCTCACCTCCTTCAACTCCTCTCGCAACTCAACTAGAGCCAATTCAGCACGATACGTCTCTTTGCGACAGCGCTTGATCTCCTTTGTGTATGACTCCTGATCGCGTGCACGCTTGTCTTTGTCGGCTTGGAGTTCCTCGAGAAGCATCTCGACTCGCTGAGCGATGACCCTCTCACGCTTCTTCCGCGAGGCGAGCTCTTCCTTACAGCGATCTAGCTCCGCACTGAGTGTTGCCAGGCTGGCTTGTGCTTCTTCGTAGCCCATGACGGCCCTCTGGAGGGCGCCGTTGGAGTTGCCATTATGATTACTATTATTGTTGTTGGTACTGGTGTTTGGCCATGCATTTCCATGCACACCGGACGTGAGAGCGGCAGCTGGGATCAACACTGGCGGTTTCTCTCCGCGAGGCGCCCGTGTTGGAGAAGACTGCGTACTCAGACTATTCAAGAAGGCGACTTTGGATTGTACTTCGGAAGTCATGGAGTCGCGCGTTCGAGGTCTGTCGTTCTCGACGAGATAGCTGTGTAGGGAGGGTGATTGAGGGATACGCTGTTGGTTCATGCGCTCTGGTGAGAGTTGATTGAGAGGTGCTGGAGGGCATCTCAGCGGATTGTTGTTTGGACTGCTGAGGGGATTTTCGTTCTCCATGATTGACGTGGTTTCTGTTGCCATAAGGACCGAAATTTCCTGTTATTGTGGTGTAGTGTTCATATTCAAGAAGCGTGTAGTACAGCAGGATGTGTTAAGCAGGCAATGGTGAGGACAAGAACAAACTTGAACGTGAATGAACGGACCAGTCGCTGTGGAAGCTTTTGTTTACATCCCGATTTGGACATTTTGTATGGGGAACATTATATCTTCCGGCTTGGCAGACTAGCAGGACACGTGATCGGTAGAATCGCACGTGACACAGCCATTGAGGGGGAAAGTTGAGAGATGAATCATTGCATGCGAAGAAAGCGGTGAACGTGGGTTATGATTGTCTCGTCTTTTCTCTTTTCTCTTTAACTTAATACTTGCTTTTGAGTTTATTATCTAGCTATTCTTTGGTTCTCTGACCAAAAATGCAAACGGGCAACGCGCATTTCAGTTGCATAATTCCATGATCTGTATCTCGCAGATGTAAGTCCGCCCTTGACATCTCGTTCGTCCCGTTGATCAGTAACACAAAATGGTCTCATCTGTGGACCACTGCATGCAGTTCCATGCAAACCTTGTATACAATGCTTTCGATTCCCAAAAGCCATAAAAACACGATATCGTACAAAACACAATTCACATCACGGAAATGGCCAAGGGTTTTCTCAACCAGCCACGATCCATGTGCGAGCACTCGTTCTCACTTTCCATGATCAATCCGAGCGTCGTCTCCTTCCCAGGTCGTTCCGCATATGATCAAATGACCGAGGGTTCGCGTTTATCTGCTCTCTGGCAGATGCAAGAGCAATCATAAATCAATGCATATAATAAGACAAAGTACCCCCAATCCATTGAGGTCCATTCAGGAGCAATCCATCTCGACATCCTCACGTCGGGACAAGAAAGGTGCATCTCCAAAATCCATGGCTTCCATACCGCAGCTGGTCATTCTCTTGTGTCCAAAGGCATGATCAAATTGAGGTTGAAGTGGCTGTTGGGGAGCGGCGAAATTGGCGAAGGGATTAAAAGCAGGTGTTTGTTGTTCAAACTGGTGAACTGGTCGAGTTCGTGATTTGGGCATGATTGTTCGACGACCATGGAATCCTGGTCGAGCACGGTCACCAACCTGGGTGAATGGGCTGACATCGCTCATGGAATCGGTTCCAATGTTGAAATAATCCACAGGCATGTCCATTGCCGCATCCCCAACCAAGGTTGGTGTTTGAGGTTGCCAGTCTTGGCTCTCATCACTGTCTGAATCAACCTCATATCCACGCTTGTGGCTGGTGGAGTATGACCACAAGCTCTGGCCAGAAATATCGGCGCTCGAGTTGTCGTCACTATAATGAGACATGAAGGCTAAGCTAATACCACAATAGGTCGCAGTGCTCAGTGGTTGAGTTTGGGAGACGGCATATGGCAGCAATTCGTTGGTGGTACCAGTATTGCTTTGAACAAGCGCGGCTTGAGTCTCTGGTGACAATCGGTTGACGTTGAAGAAGGGACGAGGGGTGAATTTCTTCTGTGTCTTGTACCCTTCGGCGACCGACTTGCGGACACGCATGCCGACTTGAAGGAGGCCAGCGTCGATCTCGTCCTGATCGGGAGCTTGCTCACAGAGTTGCAACAGCAATGGCGAGTCGAAGGTATGGCGCTCAATATCGGAGTTGTCTGAGACAGGGATGATAGGAGGAAGAGTCATGGGCGTGAAGCGACGACGCTTGGAAAGAGGAGAAGTGGAATCATTTGTGGCAGCTGGGGCCATGAAGTCTGTTGGAATACCCATGATGAAAGGTGAGAAGAATTGCTGAAGAGCTTGGGAGTATTGATAGAAAAGATGATGTTGATGAACGATTGAAGTCTGAGTGTCAAGGCTCAGAAGTGGGTGAGGAAGCTGAGCTGGGCTGAGCTGAGCTGTGAAGGAGGGGAGCGAGCTTGAAATATTGAAGTATGAGGGTATCAGGTGGAGATGGAAGGCTGAGAATCCTACTAAGCTAATAGCAAGACCACGGAGCCTCTGGATTGAGGTTGACTAAGAGGAGACAGGATAATAATGGAAATACGGACAGATGTGATACTGTGTGAGAGTAGAGAGTGAGCAGTGAGAAGAGGAAAGAGGTAAAGGTTAAGGTAAAGGAAGAAAAAGTGAGACACAGGGAATGCGCCGCGACTTGAGAAAAGGGTCTCAAGTCCGGCGAACAAGCCGTGGGTTAGGTTCCTGGATAGAGATCAACGGATGGTGGTACAAGACTCTCTGGCCAGAGTCAGTCAGTGTCCGGATAGTACAGTAAGCACTGAGAGTCTGAGACCACCACTGGCATTCCATCCACGCCTTCTCCTCAATTCGTCTCTCTCTCGCAATCTATTATCTTATCCTCACAATTCATGCCAATCTCTAGGACAACGGGGGCGTGAAGCGAGCAGAAATGGGCACCTTGGGTCCTGGGGGCGCTCAGGCTTGTCAGGGAGTGGCCTGAGGGCAGATGTTGGTTGGATGAACCCCCTTAGAAGCGGGTGCTGGGTGCCCACTGCCCACAGACTTCACAGCCTCACCTAAAAACTGATGAGCCCCAGCCATCCCCTAAACCCAGGCGGGCTCTAGTGCCACACGCCCAACCTGCAGCAGTGGATATTAATAGTGGCTCGCTTCCGCCGCTAATGCTGTCCTGTTCCGGCATTAGCCTTCGGACTTCCAGGTGATCCTTCGGGTGGTCTGGGTGGTCTGGGTGGTCTGCCGCCCCCTAAAACTTGCGATAGCGAACCAAAAACCCCGGGGGCTGGGAGGGGGGGCTCCATTGCGACACCTGGAGATCATCCCATTCGCTCAATCAGAGTATCTGTACTATCTGGGACTACCAGAGGGTGACACGAACATGACGCGACAGGAAGCACTCGTTTTTGGTACGCGTTTGATTGATATGGTCCACTCTCGATGGCCCAGAAAGCGCCACGCTTGAGATTGCACAAACACCTTTTTCTCTCGCTTTCCCTCGTGGGAGTCTTGCAATATGCACGAGTCATTCGCCATTCGCAGATTACTGGTCTTGACACCAAAACAAAATCTCAATATCTATGAGAAGATCAATAATTGCCTCTCTTACCTCCCCTCTTCCCTCGATCCGCGTGAGCCTTGAGGATTTTCTTATGCTCAACCAAACTCCTTTTTCCCTTGGCCCTGGCCTTGCCCAATGTCATCAAGAAATTCTTCTTCCGCGCCTTTTCCTTGTTGGTCGTACTTTTACCCTCGGTTTCCTTCCGTTCCTTCTTTCTCGCTGCTTTGGATTTATGCTCCTCACGGTCCGCTCTGTGGTCTGCGAGCATTTCTAGCTTTTGTGCCCGAGTAGCTTTACCCTTTGACAGTGACGCGAGACCCTCAATCTCCGCAGCTGTCAACGGATCATCCATGTGTCGTTGGGAATGTGTTTGTTGTGTTTGAGATGCATGGTGTGATTTGTGATTCTTCATCAGTCCAGATACCGATGCGGCAGTGCGCAACTCTTGTAGCTTGGCCAGATCTGCGGGCGTCAAGATCCGAGTCGACGCAAGGTTGGATTTTGTCTCTTTGGTCTCTTCTTTGGCGACGTTCTCCTTGTCATCGCTAGCAGGCACTGGAACTTCAAATTTCACCTTCTTCGTGGACGGTTTCTCATCATCGCTGTCGCTAATGTTGATTTCATCGTCACTCTCAACATTGATCCAACCACCAGAATCATCACTATCCTCTTCCTGAACATCCCATGCATTCCAGTCCTCTTCGTCTTCATCATCTTCGTCATCAGTTCCATCCGCTGGGAGCCCTTTTTCGATCCGCTTTCGCTGCTTTTCTTCTTCTTTCCATTTTTCCAGGAGGTCAAGTCCCTCAATCTCACCCACTGCCTCTTCCCCAAATCTTGCTTGCTGTTGTTCACCAGACCGTAGACTAAGCGTTGCATCTTTACCACGATCTCTCTTGTGGAGCATCTCCGCCCCAACTTGTCGGTAGAGACTTAGAAGACCCTTTGAGGCCATCATCACACCTTTGTCTTTGCTCTTCTTGTACATAACCAGATCTTGCAGTAATGTGTCGTTCATTGCCAATGGCTGTCGTACACAAATTTCGCGAATAGCATTCAATCCCGCAGCAGCCACCTCTCCAGCAGATGCCTCAGAGACGAATTCATTTGCAATCTTCTGCACCAAAGGCTCCAGGATATCCGGTGGCACCAAATTATGGGTGGCCTGCGCAAGCGATGCAAGAAACGACGTCACCGACGGCTGTCGTGGCGTAAGATATTTCAGGAAATATGAGTAAAAGCTGATAACGGTCAACTTATGGAGACCAATCAACCTCGACACAAGTTGCAGCACAAGCAACTTCTGTTCGAGATTCAACTTGGACTTTGTGTTCTGTAAATGTTTCGAGAATAGATTTTCCGCAAAGCCTTGAGGATCGTGCAACAGGTGTAGGGCCGAAAAGTTCAATGGATGCGGTTGGCCCTTCTTCTTCTCCTTCCGTCGAACTGTCGCTGCGGCTTTTTCGAGTTTGCGCTCCGACTTTCGGCTCTTTTTGTTGATGCCCATCGTGTGTTTCAACTTGCCCATGTCGATTGTCTCTTCGTCTGAGCTTTCATCCTCGAGTTCCTCCCTTTCTTTATCGCCTCCCAAGAAAAAGCGCACACCACCGACAATGCATTTCTCGTTGTCAGCCAGTGCTGCTTCCTTCATGATTTCCACAGCTTTTGCGTCGGTCCATATCTGTCTCTTCCACATTTCTCGGGTAATCTTGACTGCCCATAATGCCTTGGGTGAGGTACGGTCTTCAGTGACCAGGTTGTGTAGCGTTGTTTGAACACTTTTGTTAAGCTTATGGTTTATCGTTTTTGAGTTGGAGGAACGTAGATCGCTGAGGATTTTTTGAAAGAGGAGAGCTCGGAGGGACTTGGTGGGAGTGGAGGTCAGGATTGGGAAGAAACATTGTAGTAAAGTAGTCGAATCAATGATCTCCTTCTTCCTCAACAGAACCAGACTACCAACAATTTTCTCCCTCAATTCCGGCTCCAGCGTCGCATGATGTGCTGAAAGGATCTCAATCAATTGTTCGGGGAAATCTTTGGTCTCTTCTTTATAGCAGTCCGAGACATGTGCGATGAATTCAATCAGATCTCGGAATGATATGATCCCACTATCCGTCGTTGACGTCGGAGCCTGCATGAATATCTGTCGCTGATTGTCATATTGGATATATTGGTACAGAAAGTCGGTATGGTAGGATTTGGGATCTCGTTTAATTTTGTTCTGTAAATTCGGTAGGTCTGCGTCGACCTTTTCCAAGGCACCTAGCTTGCGTTTGACCATTATGTCTGCTGATGGCGCCGCAACATGAATAGTCACAAATTCTTGGACGTTGGTTGCTCGAAGTGGCAGGTATCTTTGGCCTGCAACTTTTTTTCGCAATTGCGGGCAGGATTGGAAGCGGCAATCTAATCTAATCTAAGCTCCGCCTGCCACGTGACAGTCAAAGGTCACATGACATTGGTTTGAGATCTCCCCGGCTAAACTCTTACGCACCGCATCTCTCTCCCACCCCTTGGTCTCCTCCACCACGTCAATTTATCCTCATCCATACAATGTAAGAAGCAACTTTAAGGTCATCTTATCAGTTGTTGTCGATACTGTCCTGCAAGTTGTGTTTGAGAGGGACGATGGATATGACACTCCATATCTCGAAGTCCTCCTCTCGCTGTCCCTCTAGGTGCTTGAATACTAACCACGACTTTAGACTTTCTTGACGACTATTGTGAAACACATCTCGAAATCCATTCCTGGAGCACAGTGCCTTCAGCCTCTCCCGCGGAAAATCACAATTGCAGGGGTAACAGCAAATTGAGCGGATTATCATCGTTCATTGATCAGCGGTGCCGCCATGTGGAACCCGAAGCAATGCTCCAACAACTCGCTCGCGCTGCCTGAAGCAGTACACCTTTGGAAGCCAGCTCCGGCCAAAGAGACTTAGAATGTCAGCTGTGAATCTTCTGCGGCTCAAAAGAAGAAGCCGTACGGCTGTGGGGTAGCTCGGCCGGGCTCCAAGAAACAGGATGCACGACAAGCCGAGTTACTCAAGGACAAAACAATAACAGCTCTTCAAAACCGATATGGGATGACTGACATAGAGGCGACAGTTGTGAAAGCTTTTCTCAGGGGCTCGAAGGCGAGCCGCGAGCAATGGATCGCGACCTAGGAGGAAAGGATCGTAAACCGTCACCATTTGCGAGAAACCCGTCGAAAAGAATGGGTGTTATCAAGATTGGTAGAAGAGGCCAGAGCCCGAGAAATGGCTCGCAAATGGCTATCAAAATACGAACATCCGCAGCCGCGTCGTCCATTCCTCTTCCACGACAGCAAGATTCTGGATCCAAGGACTATGCATTAGCCTAGCTCTTCTACCGTGTCCGAGGGATTCTCGCGTATTCACGAACTCTGAAACTGTTAGGCCCCAGGTTATAATAGAGCATTGTTGAAAAGAGTCAAATTGTCCCTACATCTTTCTCATTATACATGTTGCTTTTCGCGAGGCTCTGTTATCCCAGTTCTGATGCCCAAGCGACAACGAACATAGCTCCACCCAGAAGATGCAAATCATCCATAAACCCCAACGCCTAACAGTGTTCAATATGCTCAGAAGGAAATCGCGTTCAGTCGTGTCTGAATAGTACTTCGGGTTTGCCCTCCATATTGCTTCGTCACCTTCTTTCCTTTGCAGCCAGTACATTCACACTCCAGGTCATCCTCCTCTATCGATTCGGTCGATTCGGTCCGGATGAACAGCTGCTGTGCCTGTCTCTGCTTGATCCGCTGCAGATTCCTCCCAATGTCGACTACCTCCTTCTGACGCAGAGATCTCGCGGTTCGAACCCTTGGTCTCTCCACCATTTGCGTGCTCGTTGGCATTGGTGCGTCGTCTCGGCTGGGGACTTCGCTGAGGGAGTCGGTCGAATCGGTCGAATCAGTGGAATCGTTCCTTTGCTTGTCGTCTACCGAAGTTGATCGCGCTCGAGCAACTACCTCCATTCCTTCCATTTGGTTCGGATTGTTCTGTCTAGCTTTGTCACTAGAAGTAACTCGCTGCTTCGGTGAGTCGAGAAGGTAATTGTCGTCGAGCAACTCGGCCCACACAGAGGTGTTGTTTGACCAGAATGAAGGATCAGACATGGACCACGCCCAGTGTGATTCGGCAGCATAACCACTTGGGAGTTTCATGGTGATAGATAGCTTGGGAGATAAGTTGGCCTGTGCGATGGAAATTTGTTGCCTGATCCTCAGAAGAACTTTGGCGACCTTGACCCAGCTCACCTCAAGGGCAGCCTGGTCGACTTAAATGCCCAGCTCGCGTCGATGAGGTTCTGGAAAGGAGCTCGATCTGGCGCAAGGCCACAGCGTCGATCGAGATCGTGAAGACACGCAGTACGTCGACGATGGAGACAAGTCCACTCGCGTTGATACGTTGGTTCAAAAATCCCTCCTCGCCAGTGGTCTGCGCGTCGGATACCGCCGTTTGAAGATACGACGTGGCTAACGACAGTCTGTTGTGCTCAGCAGGATTTGCGGAGAGCCTCGCGGAGTCGTCCTTAGGCTAATTGGAAAAGGAGATCGAAGTGAGGAAAATCTTGTGGTGCTACGATGGCAAAATGGCTGCTCTTGTCGCTGGGAAGAATAATAAATGGGTCACAGATGTTACGGAGGGGCTCTGTAAAGGCTAGGGATTATACCTTTCGAGTCCAGTCCTATACGACATGCAACATGCCGGCCTCAACCGATACAACTCAGGGTGTGTGAAGGAACCGACGAGCCGCGTCAACAGACTCCTTCACCAATGACAAAAGAGATTGACAAAAAGAAGCATGCTGACTCACACCTCATTCCCCGTTCCTGGATTCAACGGAGAAAAAAGCATTGATTGGTCCAACGGCCATGATTTTCCAAACATGTCCATCCCGCGCTGACAAGGCTCTATGATCCGGAAGGGATCTTCGATTTTTCTCAAATTCGACAACTTAATTGACAGGGTCGGTTTCCTGAAGAGGAATCAAGATTCGACCATGGCTGTTGGAGGTCAAAATCTTGAATCAATGGTTGGCTGTGGTGTTGTGTGGGTCGGTGTACAGTCAGCCTCGGCCTTTCCTGACTGTTGACTAAGTTCCTAGGTAGGGAGTGCTTCACCGTCAACTCTTTGGAAGTCCTACGACATAGGGACATTCAAGGACAACAACGACTATGATTTTCAACTTGAATCAAGCATCAGGCTGTGATCGGAAAATCCCCACAATGCTGAGATGTGAGGGATGTACTTCCGCTCGGAACAAAAGATTTGAGATTTATATTCCCCAAGGACCGAGTGCCCATGAGCTCCATTTGGCGCGCGTGAAGTGAGCTTGGACTTGTTCGATTTTCTAGCATTGAGGTCATGTGTGCCACACCTCTGCAGCCTGACTGATATGTGCTTGGGGAGGTGATCCTAACGCGCAGTTCTTTTAGCGACCAACATCCTAAATACTTCTAATGCATTTATCGCCTTTTCGCCCGCCGTCCTCAAGCTATTCGGGCATCATAAGAGCACCTCCGCTCTCACTACCTAGCACGTGTTTCGTCATTGCGAGACTTTGCTCACCTATGGAGGATCACCTTATTTCATGGCCGAGTCAAGGCTGAAGAAGAATTGGTATGTATCTGCGTATTGCGGCCATTGGTCCTCGGCTTGCTATGGCGCTTCATCCTTGCCCTCCAATAGCACGGCTGTCTGCCTTACCACTGATGCCCCTCAACTTTCAAGTCCCCGTAATGAGTGACTCCGCAACTTCATCAAATACCAGCCTGACAGCCGCAGCTATGGCCTACCGGTCATTTGGCCGTAGCAATGACTATTTATCTTGAGCGCTACTTTTGCTGTCGTTGTCCAGCATGCCTTGGGCTCACCGTGACTACACGGTCGCCTGGATCTGCCCCATGGGCCTCGAGCTGGCCCCCGTCAAGGCCATGCTGGATCATGTCCACCCGAACCTACCTACGCAGCGCGATCATAACATCTACACCTTGGGTGACATGGAAGGCCACAATGTGGTCATAGCCGTGCTACCGGAGACTGGGACGAACGCGGCTGCCGTAGTGGCGATGCAGTTGTTGAACGATTTCCCTGCCATTCGATTTGGCCTGCTTGTTGGCATTGGCGGCGGAGTGCCGGACCAAGAAAACGAAGAGCGAGATATTCGGCTGGGAGACGTGGTGGTCAGCAAGCCGACAGACACTTTTGGTGGTGTCGTCCAATATGATTTAGGCAAAGAAACCAACTACGGATTCCAGCGAACCGGCCTGTTGAATAAACCACCTCCGATTCTGCGAGCGGCCGTCCAGCAACTCGTGGCGCAGCATGAAATGGAAGAAAGTCAGATTGTCGATCACCTGGAGACAATGATGGAAAAATGGCCGAAAATGAAACACAAATATACTTACCCGGGAGCGCATCAGGATCAATTATATCAATCGGACTATCACCACCAGGGCGGAACCACTTGCAACGTGTGTGACGAAAGGCACATGATTATACGAGATGAGCGTCCTCACAGCCGTCCGTACATCCACTACGGAACTATCGCATCAGCCAATAAGGTCGTGAAGAATGCCAGCGAGCAGCAAAGGCTAAAGACAGACATGGATGTTCTCTGCGTGGAGATGGAGGCGGCCGGTCTGATGAACTCGTTTCCGTGTCTAGTGATCCGTGGGATCTGTGACTATGCCGATTCACACAAAAACAAGAAGTGGCAACCCTACGCGGCAGCTACGGCGGCAGGGTACATGAAGGAGTTATTGTCCGTCATCCCATCACAGGATGTGGCTCGAGTAACGCCGGCGACTGCGGCAATGAAAGCGTCTTCCATGATTCCTCCACAGCCAGTGTCACGAGTGACATCGGCGACTGCGACAATGAAAGCGTCTTCCATAAATCCTCCACAGCCAGTGGCTCGAGTGACATCGATGGAGGTGGTCGAGATGTCGAGTAAGTACAATCCGCTTTCTTCTGCACCCTCCGACATGACTTGGTGATCACGTCGTGCAGTATGGCCTACCCACGAGACATGATATAACCACAACATAGCTAATCATGAATTAGGCGAGAGAAATCAACAATCACTCCAAAGACAGACTTCGAACACCATCAAACCCAACTTGGCTTCTCCCCGCTCGCCAGCCCCGACGGTGCCAAGTAAACACATATCAGCCTTACACAAACCCTTGTACAGAGCAATCCAACAACCTTCACTTTCCCAGGTATTAGATTTTCTGAGAAATGGACTGTCAGCTAGAATCCTCAACTCTGCACTACTGTACGCATGCCACGTGGGCAATGTGGAAATTGTGCGCCAATTCCTCGAGCATGGCGCACATGTCGAGTCATATTCGGAGCAATACCCGGAGGGTGTTGGGACAAGCGGATCAGCGCTGATTGTAGCTGCATTGTGGCACCACTCCGAAGTCGTCGAAATCCTTCTAGACAAGGGCGCCAAGGTCAATGAAACACATACAGGCCTTAGCGGCCGTAGTGCACTAATGGAAGCCATATATTGGCATCGCATCTCTCCCTTGTCTGCTGTCCGCTTCCTTGAAACAATAGCTATATTGCTGGAAAGAGGGGCTGATCCAAATAGTAGTGATGTGGGGGGCCACACGGCCCTCTGGTATTGTGTATCAAATGAGGAGATGCCGTTGAGAGTGCTGGATCTACTGCTTGAGTCTGGAGCAGACGTACGTGAGTGGGCCGTTCTGCGCGAAGCTTGTAGTCTTTTCACCACGACCAAATATCTCGAGTGGCTGGAGAAGCAGGGTGTTCTGTTGGGTAACACAAGCGACGATTCCGAGCCACCGTTCATGTGGGCGATCAAGAACGGTAGCGAGGAGAAGCTGAAATTTTTCCTCGATCGCGACGTTGTGGATCTCGAGTGGACAAACGATGCCGGCCAAGATGTCGTGGGCATGCTTGCTGCTGGAATCCTCAGTATTGACTCAACAACTGCACAAGTGCTTCAACTTATCGTTGACAGTCGGCAGGGAAAGGCTTTGGATCTGACAAGCTGGAGTGAAGCACTCGCCACTGCTGAAGCACGAGAGTCTGCTAGCGCTACCCAGCTTAATAGACCCATGCGCAGAACGCGAACTCTTGGGATACTCCGGCAAGGGCGAGATCAAGCCAGGTCGCCTTATGACCAGACACAGAAACTAACTAACTGGGAGAGTCGGCATTTGATCGCATGATGGCGTTTCGTGTTTCGCTGACCTTAGGCGCTTCTTCACGCTTTATCATGGATTATGCATGGAATGGCGACATGGCCGTTGGACATGTTCATTCGAGGTTGTGTTCATACAATTCTAGTATCCTACATAGTTCTATACTATACATGTGTATTTCCAGACAGTTTTTGACTTTCCTAGATGAGTGCCCAATCACTCCGCTCCTGACTGTAATCCCTGCCGCTCCGGGCCCGATTGTCTGGGGAATATCATGAACCCAGAAATCTCATCCCCCATGAGACCTTTACATCCCGTAGATGAACCCGCGCTCGCTATGCAGATCAAATGTAACCACCCACTATCCAATGCATGACACTACTTCCGGCCTGGCTACCTATGCAATTCCGTTTGGATGTCTCTTGCTCGCTATCCTTCCATGTTTTCCCTCCCCATTTCAAAGCATCAATAGTACCGCGCCGCAAAGCCACCATTCCCCAACGGCACCGTCTGCGCACAAGTCGTTGTTGACGCAGCAGTACCACTACTAGCAAGCAAGCCCTTCAACTGCCTGACCTCGAGCTGCAGGCGTTGGACCTCGTCCTTGCGTTTCTGGCGGAAGATGAACTGGGCTTTGCGGTTCTGTTCGCGGCGGCGGTTGCGACGCCGGGATTCCTCGGTCGGGATCAGGGTTGTTGTTATGTATGGTATTGAGGTTGGGATTGTGCTGTTTAGTAGGGGTGTGGATTGGTATGAGGTGGTTGAGGTTGAGGATTGGGGAAAGGGATGTTGTTTGTGGGCCTGCAGGTTGGGAGATGGATATCTTGAGGCTGAGACGAACGTTGATGCTAGTACCGAAGGCGAGGCGGAGGGTGATGGAGTTGGGGATGATGTTAGTGAGAGGGTGGTTGTTGTGGATGGAGTTGGGGAACTGGGTAGTGGTATCTTGGACGGGGTGGGTTGTCTGCTTGGTATTGAGGAAGGGGATTGGTAGTAGGAGGGTGAGAGGGATGACGAGTTGTATATTTGCTGCTGTTGGGGTAGTGAAAGTTGTTGTTGTAGGTTGTAACCCTCGTTGTTGAATGGTGTGGAGAGGATGTATTCCTGGCTGTAGGGGTTTTGATCGATATTGCCCAGGAATGTGGCTTCGTTGGTGTAAGTGCCTTCTTGGATTTCTGAATAGTCCTCATAAGACGACAAATATGAAGGCTCATTGGCATATGGTGGGATGTTCGAAGCCATACTACTATAAGCCCAGTTCTGAGATAGGTCATCTTGCGACTCAAGCTCATACGAGTATGTTGTTGGATCGAATTGGTCGGAAGGAGCCATGCTGTTATTGCCACTGTATGACATGTTGGTTGATGAGGCTGACTTGAAGGTCATTGTGTAGGGATTGAGTGACGTGTCCAAGGAGGCAAATGTGTATGCAATGTGGTATATAACGTTATCTTTGTTGTTATTAAGGCTGGAGATCGACAAGCTTAAAAGGCCAACAGGTCTTTTCTTCCCAGACAGAGTTTACCAATATCAATTGAGGCTTTTACAGCCTTGTGTGGCTTATTTGGAACAGCAATGCCTTTGAACCACTCCGCACTTACTAGCCTTGCCGTGAATTGTTTCCCGGTTACGGGATGACTGGCTAGCGAAAGAACGAAAGCAGCTCGAGATGAGGCATTAGTCATGGTTGTAACGAATCATATGGTCGACTTGAATGGCGCTTTGCTCGTTGTAGCAGCTACAGCGGAATGCCCCGCGATTGGAAAGAGGATTAGTTGACTGGGGCAGAAGGGGGCATTTCCGAGCATCACCCAAAAGGACCTCAAACCCCAGAACTCAAGATTCAATTGCCGTCAAAAGCAGCTTGATAACGTTCCAAATGATTACGAGAGGTTTCCAACGGCTTGAGACTTGATTTCGGTGTTGCCCGTGTGTTGGTCGTGATAGTATTCGTGTGTCTTGCTGCGACTTACCTCTTGGACACTTCGAGAAATGTGGTTATGTAAATAATTAGGAGTCACCAATGCCGGAGAAAGCCATCACTGGTCTTCGCTTCGAGTCGTTCAAGATTCTTCAATGCTCTCCTTACCTGATTGATGGATGGGAATTGGAATACGCCAGCAATCTTGACGGAAAGACCGAGTCTCATGACCCTGGATGGAACAATAGCGTAAGCACACGCATGAATGAGAGAAAGATTGTGACTGTGGTCGTGGTCGTGGCCGTGGCCGTGGTCAGTATTCTGTGCCTCATCAATTCACTCTCACGACCAGTATGGGCATTCAGGAAGTGACGTTATTCCAACTTACGGAATAGTAGAGAGATTGAGATCAATAAGCGGCGAAAGGGGCAGCGGAAGAAAGTGGTCTGATAAAAGTTGCACTTGAAGACACTCTACTCCGGCGGATCATCATCCCGTGCCGATGGCCGTGGCTGCGGAAAAGAAAGAATCATGATACATCGAATTTCAAGTTCGTAGCTCAGGGAATTCCTTGACGACAGCGAGCAATTCTATTCTTTCAACCACCACCTCTGTTGCCTTTCCTTCGACTTCGCTCCGCTATCGACCTGCTGCGGAGCTTGTTCTCTCTTCCGGGCTTTTATCTCGTCTTCCATTCCCTGTACATTATTGATTCCCTCACCCCATCCGGACAGCTCCTCATGACCACGGTTTAAACAACAGCGATCGTTGAAACACCACATCTCGAGGTGAGGAGTACAAAACATAAAAACCACTCGAACCCCTACCAGAGGGCTCCCTCATCACAATAATGGCCTCCCGGCACGCCCCCTCCGACACATTCACGCGCTTCACCTCGACACAACCACACGCCATGACCCGACCAACAGCAAGCACGACGTCGTTCAACGCCTCGCGACTGACGACCGACCCACGCCCACCCCCATCCAGCACCGCCGGCCCCGCAGGCGAAACGCCCTCAGAGAAAGTCGCCCGACTACGCGCAGCGAACCGCCTGGCCAAAGAACGGGGCAACGCCTCTGGGGTGGACAGACTCCTGCACCACGGCCGACGGTGGGCGGATAACATGCACCGATTCACGACGTACGCACTCATCGCATTCACGGGTGTGTCGACCGTGGTGGCGGTGTACGGGGTGACGAGTCTGGTCGCACACAACCGGCGGCAGAAGCGGGCATGGATCGAGCGCGAGATGAATCGGCTGGGCGAGGCGCAGGCGGCGTTCCTGCGGGGCGAGGCGACGGCGGAACAACTGCATCTGCTCGAGCAGGAGCGCGCCGGCGAGGAGATGGCGCTGCAGCACAAGCGGGCCGTCGAGGCCAAGAAGGCCGAGAGTTACTGGAGCCGCATGAAGGGCATTCTGGGCCAGACCGCCGCCAAGGGCGAGATGGGCACCGAGACCGAGTCGCAGCGCGTTGCGCGAGAGGCCAGGCTGCAGGCCAAGGCCCGGCAGAGCGCCGTCGCCGACGGGAGTTATGTCGAGGGCGAGGTCGTGCCGGTGTCGGCGGCGGTGGCGAGGCCCGTAGCGTCGAGTGGGATCAAAGGCGTGGGTGTCGATTCCAAGGGCCGGCCGGTGCCGCAGGACCGCGTCGAGTATCTGTCGAGTCAGGTCGAGCAGGAGACGAGGTCGGGCGAGAAGGAGGTTGTCGCGCGGACGGGTGTCACCGGTGGTCAGTTGGATGTCTTGGCGGGGAATGTCGTCGAGGCCGCCAAAGGGGGTGAGAAGGGTTGGTGGAGTTGGGCGACCGGTCGGTAGGCAGCTGGGTCTTTCAATCATCATGTGTTCAACACGGCAGCATCGCGGGAGAAAGGCTATATCACTCATGTGCAACAAAGGAGCAGGCGTCCATAGAAAGAGAGACTGAGGGAGAGAGATGTGTATATATTTTACAGCTCTGTTTTGAGCCCGAGTGATCACCCCAGCTGTGTGTCGGCCTACCGAGCCACAATCTACTCTTTGTACAACTCAAGTCATCATAAGTACCTTCCCAGTCATGGAAGAGCGTGACAAAAAAGACCCATACACGTGATCGTTATCGATCCCAACGCCCTCTACCATAATAATGCCAATGCTCAATTCTAAAACATGATTTCGTGATCTCATCAAAGAGTGGCAGGTTCACTCTAGTAGGGATGTTGCGGGTCATGATCGTAAAATGTGGCTGTAATGTCCAGGAACCTTTTGGATGCATTTTTCGCAGCCATTCAGGTATCCCATGTGCAGCCGAGCAGTTCTCCCTCTTCCTGGACTCGAGTTTCCATCCGTGGGTGTCCAGTAGACAGGTGAGGATGCGGTCGAGTCGGCGGTTTCATTGGCACCACTCACGCGTAGTCCACTCATGGAATCATTCGTTTCGTCAATCATCATTGCGTTGTCCATGTCTTGGTCCTCGATAGGACTGGGTAGTCCATCTCGAGTGATCCAGGACTCTTGTTCAAACATGGGACTGAGATTAGTACGCAACGGTGGAAACTGATGGCGTGGAGCGTTGGGCAAGTCAGATACCCGATTGTCGAAATGACTGCTGATTGGAGTGGGAACTCTATCCCGTAGCAGAGAGTCCATCACGCCGAGGAAGTTGGAATCGCGATGCGGAGGGACAATGTCATTCGAACGTGCTCGGCGTATCACTGGCTTTGTCGGGGAAGATAGTTCCATCTCCATGTCATCGGAATCCCGGGAGAATGCAGGAGCAGAAGAAATGTCATCGTTCTGGCTTGGAAGAGAGACATTGGAATCGTTCTGTTTCATGGGCCATTGAGAATCATGGCGCGGGAAACCTGGACTTTCGTCTTCGGAGGTGTCGACAGGTGTTGGAGGTTGTTGATAGACCGAGGTAAAGAGTGAATAGACGGGAGGAATGGCAATCTGAGGTCTTGGAGGTGAAGTTCGGATTGGCAAAGAGTGAAAAGATCGTCGTTTGATATCGCGATTGGAGAAAGAGTCGTCGGAATCATCCAGAAACCTTTTTCGCTTGTGGGTGGCACCAACATCGTGGCGATGCTGAAAAGCAGTATAAACGTCGACCATGTCTGAATTAGGGTGGGAATCAGTCGATTGACTTGGAGCGGACATGAGACCAAACGAGTTGTGGAATGAATGATGGTGTGATTAAAGGGAGATTTATCAATTCCAACAGAGTTCAGAGACCACTGGCACTGGCATGGCTTTGATCCGAGTCCAGAGTCCTGAAAGAGTGAAAGGGGACCGAAGGGAGTAGATCAAACGTGGCAGTGTCGCGGGTTGACAAGAAAGGCTGATGAAACACGGTCCAATTTTTGGGAGGACCAACCAGATGGCGCGTATTGAGTAGGCGAATGGGAGGCGGATGACGCGATGCTCGGAAAGTCAGTGAGCCGTCTCGATTGAGAGTTAAGAGACGACGGGAAGAGGCTGAGTGGACGATCAAACCGAGTATTCCAGATAGTGATTGATGAAGTTGTTGATGAAATGGGCGGTAAGTAAGTATAGGTGTCGATGTAAGTATGTAGAAGTGGTCAGGCCGGCTGTCAACTACCGGCTGTGCTGCACCTCGTAGCGTAGTATCTACGATGCAAGATTTCGAAGGATGGAAACTACATCATCTTGCATCTTGGATCTTTCATTCAGACATCAACATCGGAGATTCAAGCGGAAAAGGGAGGAGGAAAGTCCCAGGTCTGGATTGCCACTGGACTGCCTGTATGAGGGGCACTTTCTTGGAGGCCTTTGGGCTCAGGTTGGCAGGGGTTAGGGAGGTTAGGGGCGGCCGAGGGGCGTGAAGTTGAAGGGGAAGGGGGACCCCTCTTGCCTAGAATTGGAAGGGAGAGGAAGAAGCAACTCTGCCGCAGCCATGGCAGTGACCTCCGAATCGATGACGTAGCATCGGCCAGACCTCGGAAAAGCTACGACTCTCACGTGACCGGATGGCTTCCACGTGACCATAAGGAACAACATTCTTCCCCTTCCGCCGACTTCCCTCCTTCCTTCACCGCCTTCTCTCCGTTTTGCTGCTCCTGTTGCCCGCGGTTTCTCAGACTTTTGAGTCATGTCAATATTGTTACTGTTTCCCTCGGATTTTCTGCCCCTCCACCCTCCGCCCTCCGCCATCTAGACTTTTTTTTTGCTATTATGAGTATGACTGTCCCCATTGACCGACCCAACAGCTGCTTCTCTTTTACCCTCATACCACCTTCCCACGTCTTCCTCTGTGTTCCAAAGCTCTAATCCTTGCCGTTTGACCTTTTGTGACTCTTATTCCCTCCTTACTTCTTAACACCCTCTTCCTCTCCACTACTCCTCTCTCTCTCTTCGCCGCACTTTTCCTTCCACCCTCCTCATCATGCCTGCAGTTGACTCACAACCCCCCATTGAGCTGTCCGAGGACGTTCGAGTACTCGGATACGACCCTTTGATCCCTCCTGCCCTCCTCCAAACTGAGATTCCTCAATCACAAGAGTCCATCTATACCGTTGCAAGAGGTCGACAAGAAGCCAAAGAAATCATTCACCAACGGGATGATCGTCTACTTGTCATGGTTGGTCCATGCTCCATTCATGATCCTGCCACCGCTCTAGAATATGCTGCTCGTCTAAAAGAGCTATCCACCAAACTGTCCAAAGATCTGTGTATCATAATGCGTGCCTACCTCGAGAAGCCAAGAACGACCGTGGGTTGGAAAGGTCTGATCAACGATCCTGACATCGATGAATCCTACAAGATCAACAAAGGCCTCCGTGTCTCAAGACAACTCTATGCCGATTTGACTGGTATGGGCATGCCAATTGCCAGTGAAATGCTAGATACCATCTCCCCACAGTTTCTTGCAGATCTCATCTCTTTAGGTGCAATTGGTGCTCGCACTACCGAGTCTCAACTACACCGTGAATTGGCATCCGGTCTATCTTTCCCAATGGGCTTCAAAAATGGTACAGATGGTTCCTTGAGCGTAGCAATCGATGCTGTTGGTGCTGCCGCTGCGAAACATTACTTTATGGGTGTCACCAAGAATGGTCTTGCTGCCATCACAAGAACAAGTGGTAACGAAGATGGTTTCGTCATTCTACGCGGTGGCTCCAGCGGTACCAACTTCGACTCTGAGAGTGTCAAAGCTGCTCGAGAAGCCTTGAGAAAGAAGGGTCAAAGGGAAGTCATGATGATCGATTGCTCCCACGGAAATTCCAAGAAGGATCACAAAAACCAGCCAGGTGTTGCACAGACCATTGGAGATCAGCTTAGACAGGGAGAGGATGCCATCGTGGCTGTCATGATCGAATCAAACATCAACGAGGGTAACCAGAAGCTTCCTGCCGAGGGTGGTCTTGCGAGTTTGAAGAAGGGTGTCAGTATCACCGATGCATGCATTCACTGGGAATCGACTGTTGAAGTTTTAGAGCAGCTCGCTGATGCTGTCAGAGTCAGGAGAGAAGTCAAGGCCAAGGCACAGAATGGAAACACCAATGGCATCAACGGACAGCATTGAGATTGGCAACATACAAAACAAAAAACACATCAAACCACATACAGAAATCTTCAACCATACACCTGCCACTAATATCGAGTCTTTGTACCGTGACAGCAAAAGATGAAAACGGATGTACAATCCACCTTCACTGCTGGCTGAGCAGCATCGGACAAAATTTTGACTGGGGAGTACAAGCCCTCACGGCTAGGTCAAGTGACACAAAAAGAAATGAATGCATATTGGACTTGAAAAGGATGATATCCCTCGAGGTTGGTTTTGCTGGACATGAAAGGAAGGGTAGTTCCCATATTCATTCGGGCGGGTGGAGAGCGGCGACTCTGGTGGAAATTGGTAAAAATAATCACATCTCAAGACAGAACTCTTCTCGCTTATTCATGACCGTCCACCCACCTTTCTCCTGTAACTAGCCCTGGACACACTGACCACCGCGAATAATGTTCCAACTCGAATCGAGTTATTTCGAATAGATGAAACAAGCATCTTATTTGACATTGATTTACTATACCATGTCTCTTCTCCGCACAACGAGGGTCTGTTCGCGAACAACCACAAACCCAAACTCACAGACACACCATTTGGTAATCGCTCGCTGCGCACGGGAGAAATCGTCTAGGTCAAAATCGCCTCCTCGACCAAGCTGGATATAATAATCACGTTGACAAACACCCCATCGAGAAGATAAGATAGCGCAGCTTTCATTGTGGGTTCATGGTGAGTGCTCCGTAAGTTCGATACTTAACTTGAACACTGCGCTGTTTTCTTGTGATGGGCTCTACTATACCTATACAGTGATTCATATTCACGTAGATAGTTAGGTACATATTGGCCCAGTACTAATACCAACTGTGGTTCCATCCATGCCCGATGCGATTTCGATCAGGTATGTATCTAGCCTAGGCTTAGCCAGCGAACTACTTGAGGCCTGAGATAGAGTCACTCCGTCCCGTTGATTCTGATCGCGACGCTGCTGTCAATAGGGAGATCAGGTGCTTGATTGCCCATGAGAATCCCTAAGCCTGATATTCCCGTACTTAGCACCGAGCACCTGGCACCTGGCACCTAGCACCCAGTTGTGACAATCAACCGTGCTGTTCATTCCATCCCATGCTGTCCGTCCATACCGTCCTTATTCCATACCATGCCGTGCCATTCCATGCTATTCAATACCAGTCCATCGCTCTATAAAGCCCACCATGAATACTTTATCTTACAGTGGAAGACATCATCACATCACCAGTTGAGAAGAATTCACCCGCCCCCTTCTTTATCCTATCCCCTTCCTTTGCCACAAATGCAACCCCAACCTCGACATCACCAGAACGAACACCAACCAATATAGTGTTGACAGAGATTCTCAACGTTGATAGCCTCGAGAATTAAGCGATCGACTTGCTCTGCGACCCCAAGGCCACCAATGCCAGCTAGCATTGTTTCGGGGGCGCTGCCAGGTACCGAGGTTGATTTGGACGGGAGGCCTCCATCCTCTCCGACACCATTGAACGTTCCTCCATTTCCGTTCCTGCCACTAACCTGCTGCTGCAACGACAAATTGTTGTGACCATTAATCTTCGATCCGGATTCCATATGACCCAGGCCGATTCCAAGGCCGAGCCCATTAAGGTCGGCGCGGAGGTTGGCGGTCACGGCTGCGCTGGCGGATCCAGGACTCGAGGGCTTGAAGTCGCGGCCAGTCAACTTCTCCTTGATGCGTGCGAGGACTTGGAGGGCACGTGCGTTTTGGACTTCTTTTGCTTCTTGAGCTGCTGTGTTTTGCTCGCCACCTTTCGCCGCTTCGAGGATGCTGCGTCCACCCACCATGGCTGGGTCGAGGATGCTACTTCGGCGATGACGGCGGCCAGGTGGTGCACCAACGTGGCTTTGTGCTGCAGCACCGGCTATGAGGGCTGATGGATTATTGACCTCCATTGGACTTCGATCGTAATCATCTGCTGGTGCACCAGGAACATCAATAATGCTCTGGCGGCGTTCCGAGCGGAAATGGGGTCTGGGCGGTGATTCGCGAGTATTGAGACGCCAGTTGAGAAGAGGATCATGGATGAAGGCTTCCAAGACCGCGAGAAGAGATTCTTTATTCTCGCGGATCACACGCATGGTGTTTTCGCATGTGATTCTGAAGGAGCCTTCGATGTTGCTAACTTCCATGGCGAAGGTGAGCATTCGGGTTAATCTGAATGGCACCCGTTCGGGGTATTTCTCACGGTGCATCGCAACCTCGAAACAGTCGCCAAAATCGATGTGGATGATCTTGCCCGTTATCCGATCAAGCATGAGATTTGATGGATGGCGATCACCCAAACCAAGAATGTATCCAACCATGCTCATGACAGCAAGTGATCTGGTATAGTTGGTGCGTCGATCAAGCCAGGCTTCAGAGCTCTTCGACTTGAGCCAGAGCACACGATACAGGTCTTTTCCTGTAGTATTGTCCATCGCATAGCCAAAGACCTCTACCTTTTGCATCAGTGTCAGGTTGTCATAATCAGGCGCCATTTGAAGCATAATTCTGTGCTCGATGTTGAGTAAAATGCGACGCGACTCGCGATACTCCTTCACCAAGTTATGCAACGTGTCTGAATTGGGCACCCAACCCAAGAGACCGCTATTTTGTGAAAGTGGAATCGCCGGGAATCGCTGGATGTTCAGATGACGTTTGAACGACTCGGTATCATGGGTCAGAAGAGTGTTGACCAAGCCAAATAGTTGCATGACTCGTTCATCCTGACGAATGTCTTCATGTCCCTTGAGTAGGAAATCGTAAGCTATTCCATCGGAACCTTTCAGCGTCATTTTACGAGGCCGCTGTTTCGACGGCACAACAGTAAGGACATGATTGAAGCTGATGATCTTGATGATAGGCTTTCCAGAGAAATAAGTCCCGGGGACGGCCAGATCCAGATCGTGAGCATCTTTGAGTCTTGGCGAGACATATTTCAGATCGAGACTCATCAATTGCGGTAGTTGGCGCGCAATTTTCCGGAAAACGGCATAATAAAGATCCCAAGCTTGATTCAGATCGCCAATCTCCTTGGACCGACGGAAGGTGTTGCAGAAGGCCCTAGCTTCTGCTAGATCGTGTCCAAACGCTTGTGCAAACGAGACTTCTCGTAAGGTTTCGGCACCACGGTCGAGGAGTTCATGTAGAGGTGCTAATGTAGCAAGCATGCCTTCAACGTCTTGATCACCGAAATACAAGCGTGACGCCTCTTCAAGACCCTCGTGCCATAATTCATGCCACAAAACAGCCACTCTGATCAGTTCATGGCTTACAAGATCTGCATGCTCCACTAACTTCGGACTGTGGACTCTCATGCTGTCCATGATTTGAGCCGCGGAGTTCGCACGTCTAGCAACCGATGATTTCATAGCGACAGTCAAGGGATAGACTAGAGCTTGAGGATGTGCCTTGCCAACCTCAGCTAGTAGTCGGTGTACTGCAGCTCTGACTCTCGGATTCGGTTGATTGATACGAGCAATCAATTGAGGGATGACCTCTAACCATGTATCAATGCTCACAGAGGCAAACCCTTCGATCACGGCTTGATTGACCTCACCGTGACCACCATGGGCAAACCAAAGAGTCAACAAGCGGAGAGTATCTTGCAAAGAGCTCGTTTTCGACAATGCAATGGATCTGAAAAAGCCTCCAACAGCAGGCACAACATGATTTTGAATGGCATGCTCTGGAAGAGTTCTGACCTTATCCTGGTCTGTATGGGGAGCCATCGATGTGACGACTTCAAAGTTGGCCAATGCATATGCATGCCATGCCTTGTACCAAGTTTCGTTATATTGCGTCGCTGCTTGGTATGAGTTCAAGATATCACGAACGGCGTCTTGCGCTCGTGGACTTGTCCAATCACCTCGGAGAAGATGTGATTGCCACTCTCCTTGTCTCAAGTAGCATTTGGCAAGGAGTTTAGCACACTTATCCAATTCCTCGTGCTTGCGTCGCTGTATCAATTGTTCGTGTCCATTCATCTCCACGTTGTTCGCTGAATTCATTCTTTCGTTATGGATTCCAGATGCCAAGCTAGTATTCACCTGGAAATCATCCGCAAGCCGCATCGTGAAGTCTCGCAAGAAAGAGAGTGCAGATTGCTGACTCCCAGTAGCCCAGTTGAACTTGAGCCGAGCATAAGCGACCGGTGGAGGTGCGCCGCCTGGTTCACCTGGAGAGTCGCCTGCTCCTCCAAGGGACGCCAGCGATCGTTCAGCGAGTCCTATTCGATCTGACTTCCGACATAGGTTGGCGAATTTGATCCAGATATCTGGATTGTCTGTTGGAGTCAACACGAGAGCGCGGACCTTAAGCATTCGCTGCCAGACTTCGACATTTGATTGGCAACCCAGCAATCTTTTGTTCCATAACAATTTCAAGGAGTTTTGTCTTGCAGTCATACCATCGCTCTGCTTGTAGGATATGATTTCTTCAAGCTCAGCGAGCATCTGTGTCCGGACAACCACACCGTAAGCACGGTTATAAGACTCACCAATGGTAGTCGTGATCTCAGAATTAACGCCTTCCCGCGCTCGAAGAATAAAGTGATGAGCTTCATGAAAGTTATTCCTTTGAATTGCCAAGATAGCACCAAAGAATGCTCGGTCTGGAGAACTTTCTTTCATAACACTGATGTAGTTATCCATCAGGTCCCATTCACCCCTACCCCAAGCAGCGGCAGCGGCAAGTGCAGACATGTTCTTTCGGTTGTCGGTACTGGCACTATTCCAATGCTCTTGTGCAATTTCAGACAACATTTTCCACTCACCAAGGGCGTGCAAACATCGCATCTTCCCCATGATGATGTCGAAATTGTCAGGTTCAATCTTTTCGCGTTTTTGGTACGCAGCCAACGCTTCTTCCCAGCGCTGCAGTTTCTCAAACCATGCCTCCTTTAATTCGACTTCACCAAAGAGTTGTGCTCTGCGCAGGATACCGATAGCTGCATCAGACTGCTGTAGCTGGTTGTTGATACTTATCAAAGCTTCCACACTATGGCTGTTCTGATCTTGCTCGAATTCGAGTTCTTTGTAATGAAGTGCTTTGGCAAAAGCGTGGCACTTGGCTGCGTATTTGCCCAGAGTTCTGATGTCTATGGGAAGGGATTTATCGTCATGCTCCATGAATTCTGCAAGGTTGAGAAGGGTTTGTAGAATATCTGGAGGAATGGCTGTTGAGGTGAGTGCTTTCTCTATAGAACGGATAAGTTCTTCTTGATATTGGTCATAGAGTTCCGTCCAGCATGAAACAAAAGCCGAATTGAAAAGGTCTTTCGCCAGCGGCTGATAGACACCAGCAAGGCTTGCGCACGCACGTAGCGCATGTGATGGAGATTCTTTCAATAGTTCAACACTGAATCTGCGCATCCATTCTTGCCAATCTTCCTTGGTGGATTTCTGAGAAGTATCCCATGCGTTCTTCAGGTGCTGTTGGTTGACAGGAAGTCTTTGTGATGTGATGTTGGCGTATGTGGTGTCCTCGGCTGACATTCCATATTGCTCCTCTGGGTAGAAGTCCACAGGTAACGATTTGCCAGTCTTGAAGTTTTCAACGAGTTTTTGAAACCGCTCAGAATTAATTTGTCCAGCCTTTGTTGCTCGTTCAACCAGAGGTAGATAGTGAATGAAATCTTGACCAAGGTGATAGATGAGTGCACAGACGCAATCAAGAGCAGCAGTTTTCAAAGATCGTTCCGAAGAATTGGTAGATACTTTCTCAGGACTGGACAAGATCTTCGCAAGTGGGTGAACCATTAGCGATGCAAAGTCTGTAACATTGACAGTCCTTGAAAGCTTTCCTAAAGAGTCAATTGCAGCTCTTCTTGCATTTGTGGGTGCCGCTGGATTTTCCAAGATACCAACAATCGCTGGGACAATCATATGCATGTATTCTTCCCCACTCGCACCAAAGACGAGGAAAGTATGAAGGATACGAATCGACGACTCCCTTCTAAGGTCAGTGTCGTTTTCGATAACTGCCAGCATGAGTGGCAGGAGTCCTGCAAGATATCTTCTGAATTCCCCTTCAAGTGACTTTGAAATTGCTTCCACCAAAGATAGAATGGTGGACTGTACTTGTCTCGAAACATTCCAAAACTCACGTATCACCGCGATGACTTCTGGCAGAAATGCACGGATGTGCTGGCGAACAATATTCACCAGTACAGCAAGCTGATTGAAGTATGACTCAAGCCGACTAGGATGTGAGCTGCGGATCACGCCGAGGAATCCAGGGATGATTTGACCCAGGAAGGGAACACATTTCATACCAATAGTTTTGAATATGGTCACAACGGCGTCAATGACAGCACTATGGTATTGAACCAAAGTATGATCGGCCAAAATTGTTTGCATGAGTGTGTTGATGACGACGGTCGGATAATATTCTTCATTGGAAGGGGTCAGGCCTTGCATGATCAAAGCAACATCGGATACAGGTTGAACTTCTGCCTTGCTCTGTTTTTCAGCCACTGACTCGCTCAGTTGTTGGTATTTGTAAGGATCAAGGGCTCCTAGAACGCCAACCAATTTGATAGCATCAGTTCGGAGCTCTTCGTGGGCTTCTGTCTTGATTAAATTGATCAATATGCCTAGAAGCTCGGGATAATCGATATAAGGATCAATGACGTATTGTGAGTTGACAGCAAGGGAGCTCAATGTTCTCATGGCTGATTCTCGCTTATCATGAGATGCGAGATCTTGGAGTGCATCAATAATGATGGGCATCAGTTCAGGAATATGTTGCACCATTTCTTCCCCTCCAACAGAAGTGAGGTCTCCGAGTGCTCTGATGGTCGTTGAGGCTACGCCGGGATTGGAATCGGTGGCTTTTGGTAGGAGTGCAGAGACCATAGCTTCCACGTACGTCTTGACAAGCGATGTCGCATTTGCAACAAACAAACTGATCAAACGTGCACTCTCTTCTTTCTGCTTGGCGGTGTTCGAATAACCGAGTCCTGTCAATAAGTTGACCAAAAGCTTCCGCAATGGCGGAAAGACGTATGCGGGGTTCACAGTTGTCAATCTTCCTATGATTTCGATAGCAGCCTCGCGGACAGCAAAAACCTCGTCATTCACGGCCAAGAAAAGGCAGCGGATGTTCTCTGGTCTTGCCAGATGCTTGTCGAACTTCTTGTCCAGAGCCCGGAGTACAGTCGTTCGAATGTCAGCATCTGGGTCCCCTACGGCAACAGTCAAAAGCTTGTCTACAACCTCTCCAACCACTTGGATCGCATTGTTACTGGTCTGGTGCAGGATTGGATCTTGCATAAATAGTTGGCAAGAGGTGAGAGAGGCAGCTCGGCGGATGTCTGGATTTTCATTCGTCGCGTATCGCAGGGTGACATCTCGGACGAATTCATTGAGAATATGCCCTGTAAAGTCGAATTTCCCAAGTGTCATAAGAGCGAGGGTGATCTCGGAGTCTTTGTACTCTGCTGGAAGGCCACCATAATCTTTCGCAAATGAAGGCAAAGGAGGGATTCTGTTCGGCGGACAACCAAGAGGTCGGTATGGAGAGCGAACGAGAATCAAGCTTAGGAGATCCAGTAGTTTGTCCTGTATCGTTGATCTGATAGGCGGGATGTTATGCGCCATATCTTCGAGTGCATTTTCCAATGGTTCTGTGAGCCCGCAGGCAAAGATGGGATCGAGAAGTGCTTCCATGTACTTGCTAAGTGTCTGTCCCACTGCTCCTGCAAGCATACTAATGCACCGGAACATGGGACCTTCATCCACTGCCGCCCTATTCTTCGTTTTTGCACTGAGCGATTCGCGGATGTAGAGGACAATGCCATCGAGGTACTGAGCGATGGAACTGCCAACTGCCTTTGCAATCTGTCCTATAGCAATGAAGGCTTGGTTTCGTTCTTTTTCACGTTTGAGCTGTGCCTGCAGATAAATCATAAATTTATGAAGGTAGTTGTTGATGAAGTCCAGTGGTGCATATTCGGCGAGCACGGGAATGATCTGGACAACCTGCGTTCTGATTCTCGCGTCTCTGTGGTCCTTCAAGCGGAGTACGATTTCGCAAGCATTCCGATAAAAGTCATGCATAAACATATTTCCCTGCTGAAGGAGTTCCATAAGAATGAGAAGAGATCCCAGGATTTCATCAACTGTGGTGTTGGGACGAAAGCCTTCGAGTGCTTTGGAGTAAATTTTGGCAAACCAGTGTGCCTGAAACTGAGGATCTCGTGCCACCATCACCCCAAAACAAGCACTGACAGACTGTGCCGCTATTCTCCGGATGAGGTCTTTTGGGTCTCGTAGGGCGTTCCAAATCAACTCGAAGATCTGAGGAATGAATCCGTAGACCAAGGTTGGAGAATTCTTGGCCATTTCTCGGATGAGGAGGACTGCGGCCAGTTTTCGACTCTCCTGCTTGTTCTCTGGCTGTAGCCATTCAAAGGCAGATGTCATCTCAGCTTCAACGAGCTCCGCAGTATATGCACCACCAGGTCGAGCCAGGTGGCCAAGAGCACGGCTTGCCGCATCGAGAACCACGAAGTCATTGCTTTTCAGGGCTGCTCGGAGATAGTTTGAATATTTGGAGGCTTTCTGAGCAGCATCGACGGCTTCACAGTCGATCAGACGGTCTAGGGCGAGGATACCTCCAACTTTGTCACTGGACTCGGGTGCTTGAACTATGAGGTTGCTGATTCGATTTGTGACTCTATCGTAAAATGCGCTGAAACGTTCTGGAGGCCATTCTAATTGTTGTTAGCTTTTGTCAAGTAATCTTTGCGTTGTTTAAGTACCTCGTGAAAGAAGGGTGATGAGTTCCCTCAGCTCAGTAGCAGCCTTGCTCTTGGTCTCCTCATTCTTGCTGCGCAACTCGACAAATATGCGCTCACTTGGATCTGGAGCCTGAGCTTGCAACGCCATGTTGCACCACCATTGTCCTCAGGACCGGACGGAGAAGAGGAATCAATGGAACGCGTATCGGTACAATTGAATGAGGTGTTGTGTTGATGTTTTTGTACGTGACTTTTTGTTGCCGATGCAAAGCGGAGGGAGGTGGAGGATGCGGCTCGAACTTCAGGTTGAGAGTCAGGTTCATTTGTCCGCAATGGAAGTGACGCAGGCTTGGCAGATCCACTGATCGTAGCAGCTAATTCCGCCTTGAACGGTAAAATAGCCGACATTTCTGATTCCCATATATGGCATCTTTGCCGCAGTCGCACGGTCACGTGAAATACTGCACTTGGAAGTCCAGATCCTCCGCCGTTCCACCTCACCCCTTTGACAGCCTCGTTGTCAATTTTAACCAGCAAGTCTCTGTCTATGACCACCAGTTCAACTACTTTCTTCAAGGGTAAATCATCAAAGAACCTGACCATTCAGCTCAGGCTCTAGTCTGCCTTACGATGACCATGTTTTCAGAGGTACAAAGTCTATACTTTGTCACACATCATCCGCAACCTGACTAAGGCTGCCCTCATTTTGATCCTCACGTTATCACCGGCACCAAACTGCGTGGAGTAAGACAAATCGGCAACCGGTAAGACATGATAAACTGCAACTACAGGGAGAAGTCTTTCAGCATGATACATAAGGAATCCTATTTCCACCCATGTGTCAACTTGCGATACGAAGTTATCGTGAATTGTGTACTCTGCGGACTGGCACTAACGATCTTTTCGCCACGGACACCAGCAACAACAAAGAGCCTGGAATAGTCCATACTTGATTATGGCGCTGAGAATCCCATTTGATCTGTCCTGTATGTTTAAAGCGAGCAAGCTCTCCCTATCCCGGGGTTGCTCATGACGTCCACTATCACCATGACTTTGCTCGGCTTGAAGATAAATGACTAGAGAAGCTCAGAAGCCTTTGCTGAATTCATCATGGACGATCGGGCAACAGTCGCAATTGCCATCCAGGTACTTTCCCACGTCCTTGGCCTTATTCAAGTGCAAGTCTTGTGTAAGTGATGGTCCCGGGGAGCATGAGTTTGCAAAGTCAACCCCAAAAGCAGAATACACACTCACACACCCCTTTTGATAGGTATAATCATAAAGTCGTCATTTACTGCATCCCTATCATTGCGTACACACTCTCTTAATGTAATTCAACTGGTCCACGCAGCGTCTATACCTAGAGTAACACTCTCATTGCCATGGCTGTTCTGGGTACCACTCACAACACTTGTTTTGCTGTCATTCCTGCCTGCGGCACTGTGGTCCGGCGCTATGACACCAATACTCTCTAAAAAGGTCACCCTGCAAACAATTAAAGTCCCGAGATTGCAAACCACCAATGCGTCCTCATTGTGGGAAGACAGTAGGGCAACTTTGACTTCGGGATCTGGTAGCCTTGGTCAATGGCAAACTGCAGACAGCCTGTTCTCCTTTGACCCCAGTGCCTTGTGCAGCCTTATCCTCAACTCTGCTAGTGATGCGTCAACGACCAATCTCCTAGATCATTTGCATCAAAAGCTTGACAAGACAGACTTTGCTTATCTCAACCGTAGCTACGGTGTTGGTGCCGCCACCGGACTCGTCAACGTAGCAGGGTCAAGCTCTCCACGCTGGGTTTCGTACTCTGAATCCGGCTTCTAGTCTAAGGTCTCGTGCATATATAACGCTTCGAGCACCTATAGCCTCCAGAGACTTAACGCACAGAGTGGCTGGACACTGAGCATATATCAGGCGGATGGTTTCTACCCCACAGGCGCTTCGACCGGCGGTTGGGTCTACGTGGGATATGACCTGATGGATATTTTCTCCTAGGATGCCATGTACACTAACGATACACGCAGATCATATGTCTCGCTAACGGCTGCGGTCAATGCTTCGCAAGAACAATGATCGTTCAACGCTTTGAATAACATCCAATGCCAGATCGACTTTCAAGCGAGAAACCACTCCATCATAGTCAACCACACGAACAAATTCATTTCCGTCACGAACGAAGCCGAAACATAGTGGCCCAGCCACGGGGACGCGATGATCGACAAAGTCACGAACTGGCTCTGGGCCTTCTCGTATGTCGACAGTTCGATCCGCGAAACCAGGTACATCGCGAGTACCCTGGATTTCAATGTTTTATTATGTCTCTACGCCACCCAAGCACTACGCACCAGCTGTTGGAGTGCGATGTCGCGTCTGGACTTTATGGATCTCACCAGTGTTATCGCAGTGGCGTGGAAAGGTGAAATGAACCTCGCTAACTCCGATGAGAATGTCTTCAGAGTAGCGGAGCTGGTGGAGAATCTCCAGATTACCTCGACTGAGCAGAAGAGTGATGTACCATCCAATATGCCTATCTGGACGCCTAGTCTGGAAATGAGTGGAAGAGAGAGGGCTATTAGCTAAAACCCGATGGCATCTTGGCAGTTTTTCAATAGTGGAAGATCAATTCTGTCCAAGATGGACATCTTCTAGTTTTAGCCCCTGGCCGAGGCTGAGCTCGTGTTAAGGCGTCTTGAATGAAGCTGGTGGCTGTTAGTAGGATCTGGTAGCATACCCCAACCTCAGCCTGAAACCCGGACAGCAATCTGCTTCCTCATCTCGATGTTTGACAAAATGTAATCTACAGTGCGGATACTGCTCTGGGCCGACTGATTTCCCGCTGTATAGTATGGGCCTCTTGCGCCATGAACACATAGCTTAGACTTCGTGCATATCTCTTCGCCAATCTCTGACACAGCAGCACCCAGCGGACGACATAATTCGTGGATCACCCAACTACGTCTTTTAGCTGATACCCTACCATGTAGTGGTTAAGTATGGCGGTGACAGGATATGGAACAGGGTTCGTGATTCACGAATTCTGTCATGCTTTGGGTGAGCTGTAGTCCAAAGTGAGCTGTAAGAAAAATATCATGGACCTAATTTTGAACACCACTAGCTCTTTGACATTGCGAGACTTGGGACTCAGGGCGCCGTTCTCGTAAAACTTTGAATTCTATATCCCAGGGTGTTAATATTATTGTCGTCATTGATCAAGAGCAAGAGTCTACACACCTGCATGATCGAACCTTGCGATGGAGGTACTCTTCATGTCAATCTATTTCCTATGAGCCGAGCTATCTCTCATGCTCAACCAATCCTTCATGGAACCAAAAAATCTACAGACGCCGAGGTGATCACGAGCGGGATAGCTAAACTATCCTTGAGCCTTTTGCTGCCTCCACTCCCAACCCCACCGATGAAGAACCCATAGCATCGGCACTGTCAGATAGCACATGAATCCAATGATGGTAAATGTCCAACCGACACCGATTGCATCGAAAAGAGGCTGGAGAATCGAGATCCCAACAGCCGCAACAAAACATCTGGTAATGCTTACAGCAGCGCTCGCCGTCATAGCCTCATCGGCATAGAGATCGACAATTAGTGTGTTCGTAGCATTGAAAATTCCTGTCACTGTTAACCCTGTTATCACTTGAGTTATGAGGGGAACTGCCAGATGGGTCGTCGTCTCTAGTGCCCATCCGTATCCGATTGTGGCCCCCGAAGCGAGTATAATGTACACCCATATCGTTCGGAGCCTTGCCTTCTCAATTGGAAATTTCAGAATGTCATCTCCTCTCTTCGTGTCAATGAAGAGGTTATGCGACTTTGCGGTCACCCTGTAATCATGATTTGCAATTCGCCCGACCACGTAGGAAGCAATGCTTCCAGGAACTCCGTAAGTTAGATAGCACAATCCTGACTGCAGTGTTGATAAACCATATAGTTTCTGCAGCAGGGGAGCGAGAGATGCCTGGACGCAGGAGTATTGAAGATAGAAGATGGCATTGGCAAGCAGCAAGAGAGATGTGTTCTTGTGCAATACCATTTTCAGGCACCGGAGAGGATTCGGAAATGCCAATTTTCCTCGGATAGCAGGTTTTTGGTAAAGATTCGGGGTCTTGCTTCGCTTGCGAAATATTATAATCGATTGGCTGATTCCCTTAGGAAAACGCTCACCGTTTCCAACGACTTTTCGGCTCGTCTCTGGTAAAACCAGGACAAACATCACTAAAACAATCCCTGAAAGAATTGCAAGAAATCGGAATATCCATCGCCATCCAGCGTATTGCGCGAGGATACCTCCAAGAACAGGGCCTAGACTTGGAGCGGCGTACCAACCAACATGTGCGGTCCCAACGAAACCCCCTCGCTCGTGAGGTGGAGCAATATCTGCAATGACCCCATAAGCCAGGGCAACAGTCCCTGAGGCACCGGCGCTCTGCATCATGCGAAGGACCAACAGTGGCCCATATGAGCTTTGGTAGGCAAGACCAATACTGGCCACGCAGTAGATTGTGAACACTGAGAGGTATACAATTCGGCGGCCTTGAGTATCTGAGATTTCGTCAAGGACCGAGGGTACGATGCCCTGAACGACAAGGTACGCCGTCACGGTGAGGTTCATGAGTTCCATCGACACAGATATCGTGCTTGCGATCGAGGGAAGCGCTGGAAAATAGACGAATGCTGTGAATGCTGAGAAAACGCCGGCCAAAGAAACCAGGAAAACGATAAGTCGTTTTTCTTGGGTTGAAAACACAGTGTATTGATCATCACAGTTGTGTATGTTTTCGTGCCCTGGATCGTTCTCGATATCTGCTGAGTATGTCTGCATTTTAATCGCTGCATGCCCTCCCAGTGTCTGAGGAGCGGACTCCGCTGGTTGCCGAGTCGCCATGCGGGGCTCCTGATCTGGGAGGCAATCAGCGTAGGGTTGAAGATTGTCTAACAATCAAAACAGAAACAATATGCTAGTCGCCCGCAGTCTCCAAAGTGTAGCAACAGCGTACTGTGAGTGATTAAGTGCCAGGAGGATATCACGCCAAGTTAGCCATTACAGGTATAGGCTTTGCAATCGCCCGATGGGATAATAGATTGGATAGGTTCTGCATCGAGAGAGCATTATGCAGCAAATTAGCCCCTCAGACTCAAAACGCACCCGGCCGGGAGTGAGTGCCGCCTCAGGCCCCTCGGGCCTGCCCAGCCCCCCGTGAATTAGGAGCATTAGTTAGCGACCTAGGCCCTCCTGGCCCCACTACGAGTTCGGTGCCCCGGGCACAGAGTTTTGAACAAGAGGACTGGTGAAGAGCTTTATTTCAACCTTGACACTTTGTACAGTGCTAATTGAGGATAACTCAACTGGGCATGTCCGAATTTCGACAAGCACTCCCCGATAGTTCGAGGTACACTCCATCATGAAACGCGTGATGACTCTAAGTAGATGTTCAGGCACGCTTCTAACTTTCGTCTAGCTAATCCCGAACTGCCTTGGGGTATTTGTCGATCAAATATTGCATTGAATTCGTGATTCTCACATTGGTCAGCTAAGCAGGTCAAAGAAGGCTGGCGCGTCCAACTTACATCTCTCTTTGGTCCAAACAAGAAGCAGGCCAGGCATTTGAATGCGCGATCTCATAGGTTATTGCGTAAAGTCTGTTTCGATCGTCCCACTGCTCCTTTGGCTCACTCGGAGGCATGCACCGCAAATACTGCCGAAAGTATGACTTGCTAAATCGACTGATGTCACGTCGCCACATTGCTAGATCAAGCTCATTATGTCCATAGAACGATGCAGCGTCGTAGGTGACAGGTTCGCCTGTCTCAAGGTTCGTGGAGCAATTTCCTTCCCAAAGGTCTCCATGCAGTAAGGAAGGTTTTAGCTCACGCCCTTCAGCTTGCAATGGTTCCAAGATTTGGGGGATCACATCTCTTAGTAGAAGTGCAAAAGTCTCCTGGTATTCCTTTGATGGTCCGTTATTCTCTATCTCCGTTTCAAAATACTGAGTCAACAACCGAGTATAAAAGAGACACCAGTTATCGGTCCATTGAGTGTTCTGATCGTGTGGACCTTGACATGTTATTACAGGGAATCCGAACATTCCCGTTGGTGAAACACTGTTCCGATGAAGGTCCGCAAGACGCTCACAGAAGACCGCTGGTTCTGGAAGATCGGGACTTAGTTCCAGAAATTCCATTAGCAGGAAATAAGTGTCAACACTTGTGTTCGCCGACTTTCCTATCGCATAAGGCTCCGGCACAAAAGAAGGAACCACGTCGTGCATTGCTCTGAGGGATTTCTCTTCCCCTTCCAGCATTAGCTTACCGTGATCACCCGTGGCCCGCTACAAGATTTAATCAGCGATATGTCCAATAGTCAAGCAGGGGCAGCACCTTCAAAAAGTATGAACTAGACGAACCGTCCGATAGAATGACGGACACTCGAGCAGCTTTTGTCCAAGCGGCCGTGCTGTAACTTGTTGCTTCCGAGATCGTGCAGCCTTGAGGAAGAGCTGGGTTTGCAAAAAGCCCTTATCAGCCACTCTGGCCAAATCACTGTTGGTATATGTGTGCAGACACACCTCGGATAATTGCCTCATCAAGCTCAAAGTCCCCACCAAATTCTGATTGAGCATGATCAACCATCATTGCTTTCCTGTTGGTCTTTGCTTTTGAGACTCAAATGTAGGGCCAGAAATTCTTGCAAATGCTCAGAGAGGGGCATGGCGGGAGATAGGCGATAAATATCGTTTGTGGATCACGCAACCTTGCCCAGGGCTGTTAGAAACCTGGGGACATGGATAGTCGACCTCAATCGAGACTACACTTGAAGCATGGGTTTGCCCTTCATGTATCGCTTGCTGCCTGCTAAGAGTACGTTCAACTGATCAATGCAGAAAGTAACGTCCCCACCAACGCTTTTCATCCGTACGGGAGCTGTCACGGATGCAAGACTCCTTAAGTGCAGCGGGCTGCAAAGTGGCCCGAGGGGCCCGAATGGTACAACGAAGCCCCTCAGCCGGGAAGTCTCTCGGCTACGGACCGCCGTCTGCATGAGACCAGTCATGATCCCTGGCCACCTACTTCATAGGGGACTAGTTAAACGCCTGGTGTGTTCACAGCCCCGGTTGTCTCATGAATCATGAACACAAAGCGCCTAAGCATACCAATGGAAAGATTCGTCACCAGCAATTGGCTTCATGGAGCAGGTGGTTGTTGAGCTATCACCAGCTACTAGGTAGTCAGCGTCTCGTCTTGCCCTGTCTCTCGGGACCTAGACGCAACCTTTCCTGACGAAGCTGGAGCTCACATTCGGGGCCACATTACTCCGTACTGAGATGCGAGGTAATGGGATCGCCACCTTTTCCCTCGATTCTGGCAGATCGCTCGCAACACAGGTCGACGAAGTCTGCTGCCAGAAGACTCGAGCCTATTTGCAAATCCCAAGGCTGTCCTTTCTGTTCTCGCGTGAAATGAGTGCCTGAATTGCTCGAGTTCTATTCTTTGCTGAGGCGCTGAAGACTTATTTGCGATGATGAACTGAACTTCATACGAAGTCGGGTGATGCTCGTGTACCGTACGACCACTGCTTATCCTGCTTACGACCCCAGTATCGAGAGATTACATTGGCCGTTGACTCTTTCGCCATGTTTCGGCGGGACAGGAACAATTCAGAGCGCACGCAAAAAACGCATAGGAGTGATACTGAGTGGAATGGAGAGGCCAGGTTACCAGCACAACCTGCAACATTGAACGCCTCGCACACAGGCGCAGGTACACCTCAAGAAACCAACCACCTGCGACGACTTGTCCTACGGAGGAGTGAGCAGATTAGAAAAGGAGAAGAACTAGCGCAACCTTCGAGTGATCGTCGACTTGATCCTCTGGGTTTAAAGGTACTGCACGAGCCAAACCATCCTCCTGCAGCAGATATCATTTTCGTGCATGGACTTGGAGGAACCAGCCAGCAAACGTGGTCTAAAAATCATGACCCGACCTTATTCTGGCCACTGGAATGGCTGCCTTATGAGAACTCAATATCATCCGCGAGAATATCTTCGTTCGGTTATAATGCACATTTCCTCTCAACATCATCGACTCGAAAGACGATCTTGAACATCTCTGATTTCGCCAAAGAACTTTTATTTCAACTTCTATTTGCCACTGGAAGCGGCGAACAGCCCTTACAGATTGGCAGTGTGCCTCTGATCTTCATTGCTCACTCGATGGGTGGACTAGTGGTCAAAAAAGCACTCATTCTTGGACGCAACGATTCAAATTACACTGATATTGTTGACTCTGTCTCAGCCGTGCTATTTCTATCCACTCCACATAGAGGCTCAGACCTCGCAAGCACGTTAAACAATTTACTCTCCGCATGCATTCTCACTTTCTCACCCCAGGAGTACATTGCAGAACTTAGGGCTAATTCGCAAAGCTTACTGGAGATCAATGATCAATTCAGAAATCTTGTCTCTAAAATTGAGTTATTTTCATTCTACGAAACCCGTCCAACGAAAGTCGCCGGCATCCATGTACAAATTCTACAGAGGGATTCCTCAAGCCTGGGATATCCTGGCGAAATCTGTACACCTCTGGATGCAGATCACCATGATGTGTGTAAGTTTTCGAGCCAGCAAGATCCAAACTATGCTGTTATACGCGATGTGCTCAGGTATCTCGTCGCCAAAAGGAATTTGCAAAACGGCTTGAAAGAGGAGCCTGATATTTCTGCTGATATGGATATGCTTGGGGATGTGATGAATAATCCAGAAATCCCGATCGATGATCTGGAATACTTTGCTGATAAGCGACTCTCAGGATCGTGTGCGTGGATATTGGACTCTCCAAAGTTCACCTCATTCCTTCATCAACAATCTATGTCACCATGCGTCCTCTGGCTATCAGGAAAACCTGGTTCGGGCAAATCTGTCATCTCTTCATTTCTAATTACCACACTTCAAGAAAGGCAGTTGAAGAATGCATTCTACTTTTTCCGCTTTGGAAATCAGATCAAGAACAACTTGACTTCTTTCCTTCTCTCTGTCGCATGGCAGCTTGCAGCAGAGATTCCCGAGTACCGGAGGCGACTTGTACGCCTGTTTGAGGATGGATTGAATGTACGGAAAATCGCTCCCCGTCTTATATGGCAAAGACTATATCTCGAGGCCTTATTGAGAACAAGCATACGGCATCCTTTATTCATTGTTGTTGATGGTCTGGATGAAACAGATTCGAACTCATTGCTTAAGCTATTAATCGAATTGCCACGATCACAGTCGCCGTTGCGATTTCTCCTTGTCAGCAGACCCACGCAGAATATAGCTACAGCTATTGATAGACTCGGCAAGAGGTTAAGTGTCCAATCAATGGTGGTCGACAACACAGATGACGATCTACGAATGTACGTCGAGGATGAGATGCAAGCAATGCATGGCGATGCGTCATTCAAGCAGAGTATTAGTGAACGCATTCTTGCTAAGGCAGACGGCAATTTTCTTTGGGCCCATCTTGTCGTACATGAGATTTTACAATGTCATACCGAATATGATGTAGAAGATGCCATGAGCCATGTCCCAGAGGATCTTGAACCACTTTACGAGCGCATGGACGAGTCACTTGCTAAAGCAATGAAGCCTTCCGATCTGGCATTGAGTCAAGCAATTCTGCGCTGGGCAACATGCTCTCGGTATCCATTGACTTTGGGTGAGTTGAATGATGCGTTGAAGGCAGAGTATCCAAAGATTATGAACTTGGAGCACACGATACGTACAGTTTGTGGTGACTTCGTCGTTATCGATAAACGGTCCCACCTCACCATGATACACTCTTCAGCCCGCGACTTCCTTATGACCAAGACTGAGCTACATTTCTATGTCAGTCCTCCAGAAACACACCATGCACTCTTTGCCAAGTGTATAAGTTCCTTATCAAGTTTATGGCCTCGTTCAAGTACAGAACGCCATTCAAGACCAACCCGGGAGTCTCATACCTCCGATCAAACGGAGTTTCAAAGTTCGAAGGCCTCACAGGTAGACCCAGAAACCAGGAAATTTCTGCTGTACGCTGCAACCTCATGGCCATATCATCTCGAGGCTAGCGACACCTGGGCCGATCAGGAGTCGGTCCTGCTTCTCTCAAAGTTCCTTCAAAGTCAGTGCGTCCTCCATTGGATTAACCTTCTCTCTCGAGCAAGCTTGTTGCGAGTTCTGGTACAGGCTTCGAAAACCATGATGGATTTCCTCAAGTTGTCGAACAAGCTTGATGCGGCAAGAAGTCCTTTAACTCATCGCCTGAAGGAGAAAGCTGTCCTGGCAGACTGGTCGAACGACTTGGTACGTATTGTGGGCAAGTTCGGAAGCCAACTCATACATTACCCCAAAACAATATTTGACCTCATTCCAGCATTTTGCCCGACACAGTCCATCATATACAGACAGTTTGCGCTTTCGACATCCTTCAAAGCACTCAAGATCGTTGGACTTGCAAATGCTGAGTGGGATGACTGCCTGGCTAAATTTACTGTACCTGGGTCAAGCATGCCGCTTAAGCTTGTCACTCTTGACCGATATTTCTCTATCCTGACCAGCGATGGCATCGTAAAACTTTACCACACCTCGACGTCTGAAGAGGCGAGAGTGTTCAGCCATGGTGAAAGGGTGCTCACAATGGCTTTCAGTGCGGCGGGTGATCGGCTCGCAACTTATGGGATTTTGAAGACCAAGATCTGGGATACCCGGACAGCGAGGCTACTCTTCTCTGTCCAGAATCCTCCCAGAGTAAAGGCACTTACTATCGCCTTTACTCCGAATGGCGATACAATCTTGACGTGTTCAGACGACCGCGTGGTTAGGTTCTGCGACGTTTTCGAGTGGCAGTATGGATGGGAGACCGTCCACGATGTCTTTGGTACCGAGCTGTCTGGAAACTCTCAGTATACGTCCCCACAGAAAGTCTCATTCAATACAGAGTGCACCGTTGTAGCAATCGCATTTCGTGGCCACGCGCTCATGGCATGGTCTCTTGATGAACCACGTCCGTGGCTCATTGGTCGTTGTGAAGGACAGCGTGAGCAGATCAACACAAAGCAGATGGCTCGAAGCAAAGTTCTAGGTGCTCATGCATTGTGCTGGAATTCTACGACAGGTCATGTCTTGGGAATCTCTAATGAAGGCTATATCTTCAAATGGCATCCCTTTGATCAGGATTACGCCAGCTCCGTAACCCGAGCCACTAATATTGAATGCAGTGCTGACGGTCGATACTTTGTGACCAGTAGTAGGAATGGAGTGCTTCGTGTGTGGGATTTCGAACACTTCACGCCAATTTATAAGCTGTCCTATGCAGCGTCGATACAAGACTTTGCGATCGATCGCAACGATATCCGCATTTACGACATCAGGGACAAATTCTGCAATGTCTGGGAGCCTAGTGCTATTATGCAGTTGCTAAACTCTGACGACAAGGCAAGCGAAACCACGAGCACGTACGAGTCTTCCCTCCAAACGATATCTCCCTCGGAAGCCCTGGTCGATGCCATGGAGCCGGTGACAGCGCTAGCTGTGTGCTCCAACCACGGCCTTTATGCAGTAGGCACCGATGAAGGCCGTGTTTCAGTATTTGATTTGGAGGGATGTCGTATCGCAGAACTCCCCGAGAGATTCATGACTATTGAGCAAATCTGTTTCAACCCCGAAGGCTCTATGATAGCATCTGCAGATCTCAGCCGAAGTGTCTTAGTGGAGCAATTGATTCCTAGAGAGGATCAGATGACCACGAGCACATTGCTTGTGGCCCCCCAGCCAAACATAGTGCGCCAGGTTCTCTTCAATGCAGCTGGCACCAGGCTTTTTGTCTCATCGACACCAACGAACAGAATCTACCGGATGGATCAACACGAGAGCATCCAAACATTTTCAGATCCCGAGTTTCGAAGATGGATCAACCATCCATTGAGCGATGGTTTCGTCCTTGGTTTTTCGTGCGACAACGTGAAGGTTTGTCGCTGGGATGGTATCGAACAACCCATACTGAGGAAGTTTGCGCCAAACGAGATTGGAGAATCATTCTTCGAGCTACGACCTGAATTTGTCAAGAGGAGGCCATCGGAGTCCTACCCAATGAGCCCAGCTGAGATCACGAGGCTCGTGACCAAGATCCTGGTATCGATGAATGGTCGAATTATCTTGATTGAGATTTCCGAGTCCACCACTCAGGGAAAACGACGCAAGAAACATATCATGGTCGACATAAATTCCATTCTGGACCTAGAGACCGAGAACATAGTCACGTATGCAATACCGGCAGAAGTGCAACCTCTGTTGGAAGTTTCGCTTGGCTTCCTCTCTAAGGATGTCTACCAACTCGCACAGACAAGGTTGTCAGCACAACCACACCTTTATCCTCGCCGTTCATCAGGTCAGGCGAGCCTGCAGACATTGGCAGCATCAACTATAACAGGGTCGACACTGCGATCACCATCGCCAGCTCGATCGCCGTCTCCCCTGCCATCTTCAACGTCCGCAACATCCCTCCTCGAAGAACACATCGTCGCATTCATCGACCGGGAGTTCTGGGTATGCACCGCACCGTTCACGGGAACAAATGCCGGGCACATCAGACGACATTTTTTCCTGCCTCGCGATTGGGTCAATTTGGACTGGCTGGAGCTCGCGAAGCTGTCTAGTGACGGAAAGATACTTTGTCCGCGCAACGGCGAGGTCGCTATCATTTCCAATGGCTTCAGAGAGATCTGGCGTGATTGAGAAACGAGTTTGCCTCTGTACAGCGTGCCTAGCTGCTCGAGCGGCGATGTGGGTCTACCCGAGGCAAAGTGAGAGTATGGCAGGGCAGCCCGGTAGGAAATGAAGGGGGGGTGCAATATGCTCCTCCAGGAGTTGCTGAGCAAGTTCTCAGTTATAGTACGGTCATTCAGGTGTAAATCCTCTCCACTAGAATGCATCAAGCACGCTAGTGATGAGAAAAATGTTCGAATTCAAGGACAAACAGAATGGATTGGCTGACAGGGAGCGACAGCTGCAAGAGTAGATCTCAGAAGGGATTTCCTCGAGCGACCACAGTCCGAGCTGAATCGCCGTCCCTTTGTTCGTCCTTGACCCGTTGTTATTTCTGGTTTGTCCTCTGAAAACCTCACATCGGATGACACAGTAAATGCCAGAACCAGCGCCCGAAATGAGTTACAAGTGTTGGCGGACCCACTGTTAGTGGATCGAGGATGCGCATTGGCGAACCCAATTTACCACGCACTGTAGGCACTTATGCACAAACGCATGGGACTTGAGATGTGGGATGTGGATATTTCACGGGTTCATACTTACCTGTCGCATATAGGTGGCGTTCTGATGCAAGCGCGGAATTCGAGAGGTGGAAGGGAAGAGCGGACGGTTAATAATCTGCTGGAAGTGGAAGTAGATGAGAATGGCGAAGTCACACGTGGGGAAATCCTATAGATCAGTGGTGGGCCTCTGTGAATCAGTTAGCAAGTCCGAGACAATGTAGGGATCTTGACTGGACAATATCATATTGACTTCACAATAATTCCAGTATAAGATCATGGATCGAGATAATGATTTTGAATTGCTCATCAGGTCCGGCTGATGACATGTTGAAAATTCTGACAATCAACATGCGCAAAGCTCCTGTCATGGTACAGTGGCGTAAACATCGTGCGAATAATCTGACATGGGGTATTAGTTCGATCATTAGGTCGTACTTGCAGGACGTAAACAGTTGAAAGTAGCATGAGACGATTCTGCTTGGCAGATTGTGCCTTTACAATCGATCATTTCTTCTTTCCTGCGCCAGACTTCTTGGCAGCAGCAGTCTCTCTGGCCGCGAGATCTTTCGTCATATCTTCTGGTGTCTTGTAGCCACCCAGTTCCATCGCGGCAAGTGAAGAGATTGTAGCACCAATTTGAGATGCTAAATCAGGACGTAGTATCTTTAAACGGTTGGCTCGTCGTTGAGCTTTGGTTTTCTGCTTCGTTGGGGGATCCATGGGATCAGCAGAGCGGGTATTGATGTTTGCCTAGCGACATTTAGGAGTGGGGAGAGGATATTTCTCGTCGTTCTAACATACCTTTCCATTCAACGCCCTACCGTTGATGCTGGCGAAAACGGGTTTCGGTGGTAGATTTGCTGCTGGGGGAGCCCGCGGTGGCGGTGGCGGTGGCGGCGGGACGGAAGGTAAGCTGGCGGCGGGCGGAGGTGGTGGTGGAAGACTTGAGGTAGCTTGTTCAACATATTTGCTGGCGTCATACAAATCACGCAGAATCTGTCTTTGCCGATCAAAAGAACTGAAGTCACCACCGACAATGTATTCCAGGAAACTCCTAGGCTCCTCATTCGGTCCAAGTTCTTCCACGGTACCGAGACGCTCAAGAAGACCTTTATGGGCCAATGAGAAGGCATGAAAGATTCTCTGGATGTCTCGTGTACCACCTGAGATATTGTTGTCGGGTCGATTTGGATCGATGATTGTCAAACGTCCTTTCTTGTCACCGAAGACTTGACGCATAGAAGCCTGTATGGATTAGTCAATGATACCCTGAAGCATGATCACGAATTGCCATCCTACCTTTTCGACATAGCCCGGCGGGTCGAGTCGGATAGCAACCTTTTCTTTGTCGAAGACATTACCGTAAAAATCGAAGAATTCCAGAAGTAATTCGCCCAAATTTACAACTTGTCCCGTAGTTGCGTGGAGGCGAGGATAAAGTTGCATAAAGCTTGTGACCAGGCAGATAGTAGCGAACCCACCCAAGCCACCAGTTGCTACGTCATTCAGACCTCGAATCATCAAGAATTGTTTGACTATTGACGCGAGATGAGGCATCAAAGGGTATTCTTGCTTCCACTTCTTGACCGTCTCAATGGCTGTGAAGCCCGAGTCATTGTCAACGCACAAATCAATTTTGAGACCACTGATACGATCAACAAACTTGATAATGGGTACTTTTGCAGAGAGAATGGCCACAATGGAACCCTGCTCCGCAATTTTCCGCGTCCGCAGAAACTTCTCGAACGTGCGCAGTGGGTATTTAGCGTCTCCTTTGAGTGGAATCACGCCTGGACGATGCTGCAGAGTAAGGAAGACCAGATCCATGTCACCTGTTGGCAAGTAGAGACCAGCTGCATAAGAGCCAAACGCTCTCAACTCTCCTCGCATACATTTTGAAAAGTCGTGTGAAATTCGTTGGAAGACCTCAGATCGGACTCTCTCCTCGAACTCATGGGGTTGGATCCATTCGTAGAAGTTGACGATCTCATTGTGTAGCCTGCACAGGTTGTTAGAGAATTGCAACATTCGTCCAAGGGTAAAAGCTTACATTACACCGGGGAAGATTGAGCGTTGATGGGTAGTGAACCAAGGAGCTGCATTGCCACCAACTGGAGCCATCCAGTCCTTCAGAACCCAGCGGTCCGAATATGGAGAGGGTCTCAGTGGCTTTCGTTGAGCTTGATGTCCCACTTCGTCGCCTCTCTTCCTCTTTCCCAAAGCTGCCCCTTCACTGTCGGGAGTGTGGCTGTCTGTACCGTCAACGTTGGGACGTGCACGAGAGTAGAGAGTGCCCATGTCGATCACGACTTCAGGCTTCTCGGGCTCACTGTCGATGTCAAAAGAAATGTAATCGTCCGGTTGGGAGACCATTTGGGTAGTGCTGTCAGCGTCCAGACGCGCCTTCCGAATCAAACGAAGAACATCTGTCCGCTTGGCAGATTCGCCTGTCTGTACAGGAGGAAGTGACGTGTAAGGGTCAGGGTTGGACCACTTGGGCACAGCCGCAGCGTCTGTATCTCCGTGCTGGGTACGAATGCGCTTCGCGCGACCTTGATCTTCGTCTTCAGATTGTGCCATCTCTTCTTCCTCGCTGTCTGTAAGATCGTCAACTGCGCGAAACTTGACACCTGAGCCGTTCTGAAGTAGGGAAGGGTCTTCTACTGTGTCCTGGGCCATGCGTAACAGGGGCCGCTCAGAGACCTTAGCAGGGTGAGAGGGATGGTGGGGTTTTCGAGTCTGATCCCAATCTCGATTATCTCGACGAAGAGTAGCCGGCGGTGGAAGTGGACGTCTCGATCTTGCTCTGGCAGCGGATCCTCCACGAGCATTGCGGTTGCGGTTGTGATCATCGCCTGCAGTAAAGTAAAACATGTCATCACGATTGTTGCGCGGTGGCCATGGGTCATCGTGATCGAACTGACGAGGCCGATAAGAATCGCTGCTCGGGACCCCACGTCGCCCTCGATCGCCTCGATCGAAACCGGGACGGTAAGAGTCCATGGTGGTAGGTAAGAATGACGAGTGAGACGTATGACCAGTAGCAGACGAGATGGTTGTGAGCATGCAGGTGAGAAGAAATATCTGCCTGGCAGCGATGATGAGGGCGCAATTCTGACTTGGAGTTCACAACTGGAATGAACATGAATCTGCAAAACTTTTGAGGATTGACCCACCACGCCTGTTTTGGCATAGTTGGTCTGCTAGCGTTGTGCCAAGGATCATTAGACTTTAATTGGAACTTCCTGGCACTAGTAGTTCTAGTACCACTAGTACTCCTCCCCTACTTACTAAAGGTACGATGAACCAAGTCCAAAGTTAATCGTCAACTTGTCCCAGCCGACTCACCTTGGTAGGTAGGTATCTTATATCCAAGCGCCTATGCGAGTCCTGGTAGTGTTTCACGATTTCCTTGGTGCCAGTCCACTCTGCATCTTGTTCTAGTCTCATACCTGTTTGCCGAGCCAATTCGACTTGGTGATCGACGCTCAGGGCTGTGGTAGTACATCCATCCAGAGCCAACGGTGGTTCCCTTGACACTTTGACCCTTCCCGGAAAATCTAATCAGCCTCGTTGGTGGCCAGAAAGCCTGCTTTTGATCTTTTGATCAGTATGATACCCTTGCGCCTCAAGAAATGCAAGCGGCTCAACAACGTCCAAACTGATCACACCAACACTTGACATAATTGGGACACCAAACGGGACCTTTGCCAAATATTATATGCCACATATACTCCAAGACACGTCCTGAATTGTCGTCCGAAAGCTCGGTGTCAATTAACCACTTTCGATACCGGAGATATTCCATTCTGGGCTTGATTCTCACCTGGGCTCGGGAAACGGCAAATTGTGAGCAGCACGCCGCTCCAATGGTACGAGGAACATTCGAGCCATTGCCTCCAAAGAAGTGGGTATATGCCTGGGCGAACGCCATTTCATATACCCGTTCCGAGTCATTCCGAAAAGGTTGAATCTCGTCAGGACATCCAGGAACGTGGAGACATCGCATATTAGCATAACCGTGCTTTCGGACATAGTCCAGACGAAGACTTCGTACCGAGTTCACGTTGCTGTAATCTGGGGCGTCTGTGTGCCATCCTTGTGGCCAACCATTCAGGTGAGGGTGCAAGAAGACCATGATTTCCGGTAGGATGTCGTAATGGTCGATGAGGAATGTCAGATATGCCATGGCTTCGCGACCTTTGTTGAGTGGGGGATGCAGGACCCATTTCGGATCATCCATGTGATAAATGGCGTGTTGCCAGCTACCGCCGCTTATTAACCAGAGCGACGACGGGGAGAAACTGTGCTGGGGTGTATCAGACCGTACTCACTCTGGAAGTTCTTCGCTGACCCAACTGATGTTCTCTCCTGTGACCCGTGCCATCACGATCACTTTATCCCCCGCAAGTGGACCTTTGAATATGTGCGAACTGCCATATCGGACTTGGGTCACTTGGTTTGGGCCAGCTCTCAAGGAGTCGAAAATCGAATGCGCCAACCATAGAAAGCCAACCAGAAACAAGGCTGCCGAGCTAACAGCCAAAGCCCTGCGCTTTGAACTCATGACTAAGCCAGGCATCCCACGCAAACTTTGGCATACACTACAGTAGACGCACTTGAAGGATGAGTAACTCCATGATATGTCTATACTGGGCTTTTGAATTGTGTGACAAAGACAAAACGCGTCGCTATGTTCCCAACAAGTCACATTACAGGTCATTTCTTCAGAAACATACCACAAACGGAGATGAGCCAAGCCCCCTGCAGCCTCCCTTGCAGTGAAGGGCGGCGCCCCCTAGGTACGATCAAGAGGAACGGAATCTTGCATATTCCACCACTGCTAATCCTTGGGCTCTCCATATCGCTGTTACGGTGAGTTGTTTTTGACTCGGTTACGACACTTGCCCCGAAGAGCAGAAACATTTGTCGGACAGTATTGAAATGTCTAGCACAGAGATTGGAGTTCGGCACTACATGACTGGAGAACAACAAACATTTCACACTCCAACTGTGTTTTCTCTGTCGTCCGCCATGAAAGAAGGCGTGGAGCATGAAACCAGCGACGGCATCAACTGCGACATCGAGGCTTTGGGTTCCAATGTCGACCCAAAAGGAGCAGCTTTGATCGAGCTTATCGCCCGGTAAGGGAGTCAGATCGCGGAGGTTCTGTTATGGCTCTCTGATCTTTTTATTTTTTTTCCCCTGCTGAATGCAATGTTCCTTCTCTCATCGATATTTACTCGCACGGTCAAGACCTGGAAAGTTTCTGAATTCGTCAACTCGGAATGGTGAATCAATCCTCACTCCTCTGGCTTCTGCTGGCGACAATTGCTCCGCACTCAGCTGCAGATAATTGCAACACGAAAGTTCAAACCCCTATCAGCCTGCCAGTACGGAATGTCACTCTTGCAGGGCAGAAAACCCGTCGAGGCTTGGAGATCCAACTTGGCACGCCGCCTCAGCGCTTAGCCGTCGCCGTTTCTAGGTAATTCATTCATTGCCTTCCCTACATCAAGTTTATCCTCCCATTGAAAACATCCAAATTTGGCCCGTCTGGGAATGCTGACTGTGAGGAAATAGTCGCAACAACTCCTGTTTCTACGATGAGAGCCCGCGGTGTGAGTCTGGTGGAATAGAGCAGTGCATTGCCGCTCGAGGGGGAGCCTTTGACGAATCTTCATCTTCCACGTTATCAGCGAACAGCATAGGGTTTCGAGACTTCAGCAGATTGGATCCCCAACTGGCTCTGAACGACGACGAGGTACTGGTTAACACAGACACTCTCACCATCAACACGTCTTTTGCAGTGGAGCATTATCCTTTCGGTATTCCTCGCCAGGACCTCGGAGACTATTCAAGCTTGGGCTTAGGGAGGGATTCTAGTTTGCTTACCATGCTCCGGGATGCAGGCAGCATCGCCTCTCGCAGCTATTCACTTTACTGGGGTCAAACCGGCACCGCCACTGAGCACCAGCTTGATGGCAACCTTGTTCTCGGAGGCGTGGATGTAGCCAAGATCAGTGGTCAGAACTACACCACGGGCCTCGGTGATGCAACACTATGTCCTTCGGGCCTCGTTGTTTCAGTCTCGGATATGACCATGAACTTTCCGAACGGAACATCGGCCAGCATCATGGGTGGGGTTTCTGGACAGACAGTCAACTATTGCATCAGACCAGACTTTCCGTTGATCACCGTGACGCCCGCGTTGTGGGAGCAATGGATGATTGCTCATCCACCATCATTCACGGACGGTGGCGCCCAGGACCGAGCCAGAGGGCTACCCAATCTATGGGGTCTCATCTACCCACCAAGCCTCATGTGAGTTCTGCAATTTTCCAAAGCCCGGTCAAGAAGTGTTGGCCCTAACTAGCCTTGATGTCTAGATTTCAGGGAGATCTCAAGCTCACAATCGACCAAACCATGGAGATCATCATCCCCAATCACCAGCTCGTGCAGCACTATTACACGTTCGACGACAAAGGAGACATCAGCGTCAACGACTCCGTCCTAGAGCTAATGATCAACCCGTTGCAAGATGTGAACGAGAATGACTTCCCACAGCTTGGAATGACATTTCTACAAGCGGCGTATCTGCATGTCAACTACGACGATGATATTTTGATGCTGTGGCAAGCAAAGGCCACCGAGTCTCAGTCACCCATCGGTATTGGCAAATCCGGGACGGGGTGTGCTGCATTTCCCACGGATACATCATCGGCGACTTCTGTACCACAGCCGCAGAGCAATTCGCTCACACCGGGCGCTATATCGGGCATCGTGGTTGGCGTTGTGGTTGCGATGAAATTTATCGCAGGAATGATTTTTTGGGGCATCGCTCGACGGCGTCATTCTTCAGAACTTAACGCCACACGGAAGGCTTCTGACCATTCTGGTGGGGATGGGCACACCAAATGCTCATCAATATACCGTAAACCAGAATTGGAGGCATCGGAAGTGATTGTCGACGGTGGGCAACGTCATACAATTCAGCCATGGTCGTCAGGTCAGATAGTGGTGGAACTACCTTCTGAGAGGTATGATTGATTAGTGTTGATGTACATAAATAATGACTGGCAGAGTCTCTATGTCGAGCAGCGAGATACCCGTTGCCAGCATGGTCAAGGAGGGATGGAAGCCACTTTATCACAGACCTTGGCACTGGAGATCATCACGGCAGTCGGAGCAACCAAGAGCACAAATACATATTCCGTCCACCAATCGGCGTACTTTCCTTGCCCAGCCTGTGTTTTGAGGACCATGCTCAATGATCCACGAGATGGAGCGTGAGTGAGATATTTAACTCGCAATATGCACATAGGTAGGATGACTGGAATCCGGACAACACCTGCTGGTTAGTTGCATCTCAGTCCCTCCATCGACACTCTTGGAGAATGCTCGCGACTGGGGTGCTGGGCTCATGCGAATATACCAACATAACATTTGACAAAAGGTTTGCTGAAGGTCCGTCACAACTTTAACGATAGAAATGACCATCTGGAAAGCTTGTCATTTGAGTTAGCTTTAGGGGTTTCCGTCAGTAGAGGCCAAGTTTGGCTGGACTTTGTTGATCTGACCCTCATTCTTCACCAGATTTGAGCCTTTTCAAGCCGGCCGCCAGATCTGAAATCAGTTTTTTGTCGAATGCATCTTCACAGAAGCTCACTCTGCCTGTGTACCAGTCCAACCAGTCCTCAGCTCTGGCGCCTTCGATTGCCCTCAACAAACCGACACTAACATCTATCAAACCGGGTCGTTCGTGGCAATGCCAAAAAACTGTGGCCCCACAAGTGCTACAGAATTCTCGGAAACAGTCCTTCGAGCTCTCTACTTGAGTCAGAGTACCGAAACCAAAGTCAAGAGGCTGGCCATTCGACTGAAGAATGTTGACTTTCGGGACAAAAGCCCAGCACTGAATTGGTGAGCCTGATCCAAGTCTGCAAGATCTGCAGGCGCAGGTTCCAGCCAGATATTTAGTCTCGTCCTTACGAAGCCACCACTTATGGTCGTCAGGATTTGCCGAACTAGCCGAATGGTAGGGAACGAGGAGGTCTGGCCAAGGTGATGAACATAACCTCGAGGTAGGGTTGGGACGAGTCAATCGAAAAGACACCCCTCCACAGTGGCACTTGGCTTCCAAGCCCGCCACCAGGTTTGCCGGACCTGCAGGTTGTGAGGATAACAGCTCGGGAGGATCGCCCCGTTGGCTTAGGGTGGAGGAAACGCTTTGAGAAAGTTCAAAGTTAGGGCCATCTGGGCCCTGTAAGAACAGTGAGACCGGCTGATGATTAGGGTCTGCCAGGCAAATAGCAAGCCCACCATCTATGGTATCGCCCACAAACTCATGGGCAGTCACATTTTCCAGGCTAAGGCAAGAAACTTGCTCAAGACCCACTACACGATCGATCACTCCAGAACAAACCCCCCAACTGTCATGTGCCTTGACGTGGACAAACATGTGGGATCCGCATGCTGGACAGAAGTATCTGCTCAATTTATGGGATGATCTGTACTCTCTGAGGTGTTGAGTCAGTGTTGGGGGACTGGAGAGTGGTAAGCAAGAAAGGTACAAGACGCCAGTGGAGTATCGGCAAGCATTGCAGGAACAGGCTGATTGATCAACGGGGAGATGACAATCTAGTTGCAAGACTTGGGTATGCTTGCCACAGAGACAAGTGATGTGAGCGGCAGTGGTCATGGTAGATGGCAGCGATGTGGTATATCAGTGGTTGGTATAGACTTGAACGCTGGGTGTCTCGAGACGAGCACTGGGCAGTTTGAAATGGAGTAACCAAAAACGACCATCGATGGTACAGCTCAACGTGCTGACGTTTGATGATTGGGCTCGTGACAGCATCAGAAGTGGTCGTAATGCGGACGATGTCGGTAATACCAGCCTTGAGTTGGGAGCCACGAGAAGCAGGCGAACATGCCACGTCGCAGCAGTGGTAGCGCCAAAAGCAAGCGCAACTACCTTGAGGGTTACCAAACAGAAACCAGAGAGAAGAGCCTGAAAGGATGGAGCATGTTTCTTGTCGGTGGACCACTGGAACGTGAATGGTGAGAGATGGTAAGGGTTTGGGGAGTAGAGTGGGAGGAGTTGGGAGAAGTTGGGTTAGTGTGGTCGCCGGTCGCTCTTGCCAGTCCGAGCCGTCAAGATTAAAATGGGAAAACCTGCTCACTTTCCCTGTCCACTTCTTTTCTCTTCTTCCTTTCCTCCCTCCATCCAGCAACAAGCAATCTCTCTTCAATCACTCAATTCCACACCAGTACACCTTTTCACAACTCAATTCCAGCCACAAGCAACTCGCTTATCCCCACATTCTACAAAATGGGTAAGTCACCATTCCGGATTTGTCCAACCTCACCAGGTTTGGAAGAGGTGGTGGCTGACTTGGGACACTCTACAGGTCCTTGCTCTTGCAGCTGTGGTAGCACCTGTGAGTATTCAAACTCTGATTCCTACCAGATCATCAACAATGCTAATTACAAGTCTAGGTGCTTGCCCTTCAGGACAATGCAACTGCGTATGCCTTTCCTCGATCAAGATCATTTCCCAGTTCACCCGACTAATCCTTGGATGATAGAAATAAACACACACGCGGACAACACCTCTTGAAAGTTCCCTGTACCTTACTCTACTTGCGAGGAAACAATATGTCTTAACAGCAGCTTGAAAAGAACAACTTGATGGCATGAGAAACAAATTGAGATACCCAGCGGGGGTGGGTCTACTTTTTGCTGAATCCACGAACACGATCCTTAAAGCAATTCAAACTATGGTGGTACCAGTGGCCCAGTGGTTGGTAGAGTAGACAATCACACATACTAGGTAACTTTCAAATGATCAAACACCTTTGAGAAACACATGACTGAGTCTTCATGACTTCTGTTCACGATGACTTGAACGGTGACTGCCGAAAGATGCATCTGACTGCGGGGCATCTGATCGGCGTGGCTTATCGGCTTATCGGCTTATCGATAGGCAATGCCCCTCCTCGCCCACCAATCAACGCGTGGGGATCAGCAATGTGCTGTTTCATCTCAGGTGACCTTTTGAGGGTGACGGTCACTCAGACTAGTACCTACCTAGGGACCTTAGAGGTAGCCAAGCACCCTTCTTCCTCCGAGTAAGTACATACCTATGGTACCTAGGTACCTAGGTATACTAAGGTGTATATCAACACGATCTCATCCTAAAATAGGCAGATGAGCTCCCACAGTAAGTCTTTTCCGATATCGAGTCTAGATCAATTAGGCAGCCAACTTCGAGTCATACTTGACTGAAGGATTGAGAATCTGAACAGTGCCTAGCACCGACACATACTAACCTACAATGGACAAGTATTGACCGATCGGGTTTCACAGCATTCACACTGTGTTACCTAGATTCTCTGCTTGATCATAAACATTCAAATTCCACAGGGTGACCATTGCTCCCCCTTAGAGGCAAGGTAACTCCAACATGTCGACTTCACCTCCACTCGCATCACGAATCCAAGGCGCAATCTACGGGCTCGCCACATGCGACGCCCTCGGTGGGCCAGTCGAGTTCCGCAAACGCGGTTCCTTCCCCAAGGTGATCAGCATGCAACCCAACGACAATTTCGGGCTGGTCGCGGGCTGCTTCACCGACGACACATCCATGGCGCTGTGCCTGGCTCACTCGCTCGTCGAGAACAACGGCAAAACCGACACGGCGGATCAAGTGCAGAAATACATCGCGTGGTGGCAGCGAGGCTACCAGTCCTCGACAGGGATGTGTTTTGACATCGGCATGTCGACGATGGGGACGCTGGACAGCTGGAACGATCAGCTCAATCATGCCGAATTCGACACCTTGGCACCGAACTCGGCAGCACGGGCAGCGGTGGTGACTGAGATCCAGCGACAGATCACCGCCAACTTCGGCCGACCAGTTTTCTGCGGAAACGGCAGCCTGATGCGACTGATACCCGTCTCGCTGGTTGCGCGCAGCGAGACCGAGGCCGTGGAATTGGCCAAGGCGAGTTCTCTCCCGACTCACCCTCACCCGCGCTGCTTCCAGGCTTGCGGTTTATACGCACCACTGGCATACAAGGCGCTGAATGGCACATCCAAAGATGAGCTAGCCACAAGTCTGGCGACCTCGATAGTCGCGCAATCAAATCAACTAGATCCCGTCCTCAGAGAGCGGCTACAGAACTACCACACGCGGCAAGATTGGCAGACCCAACCGTCGGAGAACATCCGCAGTTCGGGGTACGTGGTCGATAGCATAGAAGCGGCGCTCTGGGCATTCTTCAGTACCGACACGTTCGAGGAGGGCGCCATTGCGGCGGTGAATCTAGGTGATGATGCAGACACAATCGGTGCCATTTACGGAGGGTTGGCTGGTGCGTTCTACGGTATTGAAACCGTGCCGAAAGCGTGGCGGGACGCGATGCAGAGGGTGGATCTTCTGGAAGATGTTGTGAGGAAGCTGATCGCTCATCATGAGAAGACTTGATATGAATGATAGATCGGACGATGTGCGATGATCACACATAACGACGTTAAACGCCTGGCCACTAAAATATATAAGAATAATCAACGATTCTAACCCTCCCTCCTATCCCACAAAAATTCCACCCTCTAAAAAAAATACAAAAAACTGACCCCACTTACGACCTGCCCGGGGGTGAAGTAACTTAGATCCTGTGATACAGAAAACCCTAGCCCGTAGACCGAGAAATCGACGAATCGAAAATTCTCGCGCATTCTTTCACCTTCAGCCGGGGTTTGAACCATGGACTTTGGACCGTACAATAGAACAGCTAGAGACGGTGATGGCGTCGGATGGGACAAAGGCAGCTTAACCAGGCGAGGCTGATTTTGATGACAGGAAATTGGAGACTTTGAAATGATAAAGGTGAATATTTAGGGTGCGGCGGTGCCGGTGAAAGTGATGCCTGAGTGAAGTGAAGTGAGGGCTGCGGCAAGGCTACGGTTAGGGGACGAGGCTACTTATAAATGTCTGAGGAGCTTGTTGGTGCTGACTGTGCTGAGCAGTCACCCGCAGTCACCCAGCAGTGTTCGCAATTGACTATGACATCATTCTCAACATGTACTATCCACCCCACCAACATTCTAGTTCATCGACCTCATATTGTGGGAACTGTTCACGAGTTTAAACCATGATGTCTATTCGGGGTTTCTAGATTCCAGCATAATCTGTGATGTATTCGCCGATTCGCGCTCCTTTAGCTTCAGCAGCTCCTGGCAGTAAGGGCTATGCATTCTCAGCCAAGTGCCATATCTGAGAAAGACAAACGGGATGATTGCCATGGCGAGACTGAGGAAGCCCAGAAGGCTGCACGCCCATGGAATCCCAAGTCTCTCATACATCGGACCCGCAGCCAATGGAAGCAGAACCGCAAAAATGCTACGACTAAACGCCGACGATGCCAGAGCCGATGCCGCAAAAACGTCGTATGCGTCTGCGAGATAATTCAGCATGGATATGAAAACCAACTCGAGACCCATGCCGAATGGAACTCCGGCAAGCATGGGGACAATCCAGTGGATGTCTGATCGGGCCGTCCAACCCTGCAAACAGCCAAATTAGCTCCAGATCCAGATCCCGGCAGTGTGGTCGTGGAAGTTTTACCAGCCAGAATAACGATGATACATTTAACGGCCCGCTGATACACGCCAGAGGAAGTCGACGATATTCCTCACTCTTTGGCCACGAAGCATTGCGCTCTTTGGCTTGTTCGAGGAATGTATCGTACCAGATTGCTATACCACAAGCGATCACGCCGCCGACCCCGACTAGAATCTCAATGCACTGTTCAGTTGCCTTTGGATTTTTGACTCACCCGGAACCAAGGCCACACCAGCAAGTCCATCGTTGAACTTGTATATGCCTAGAGGAGTCAACATCCAAACAACACCAGTCAATCGGGAAGTTACCTTGAAACACAATGGGGTAGACTTGGAAGAAGATGTAGAATATTCCAAATTGGAGAGCCAAGTACATGCAGGTACAGATGACAATAGGTTCTTTGAACATCACCACCTAGCTGGTTAGCTGACCCTTTATAGTAGATGGACCATCACATACCGGTCTGGCGAGCTTCACCGTTACGGTGTGCTTCCATCCATTGTCCTCGAGTTCGATGGGTGCATATGTGTTCTGGGCAGGATTCGGCGATGCTGCCCTCATTCGTTTTGCACGCCGCAAAAGGATGACTGGAGGGTATGTCTCTGAAGCATATGATGTCAGGTGGATCGCATCAAAATCCATGTCAAATCTCGTACCTGGGAGAAGAAGAACAAGCGGCCAAGTTGCACCGGCAATGATCAGCCCGACCCAAAAAGTCCATCTCCACGAGACCGGTGATACGAAGCCCGAGATGATAGGTCCAATGATTGGACCCAAGGAAGTCAACTGAATCCCGTCAGCACTTCAGAAATTTCCCTCGTAATAGTCTTACTCCGATCAGGGCTTTCGCTTGACCTCTCCTCACAGGGTCATCATAGATATCGGCAAAAATGCCGCCCACAACTGTTATTGGCGCCGATGCAAAGACCCCCGAGAGAAAGCGAAAAATCAACAGGGCTGGCCACGTTGGTGCTACAGCGCAAGCCAGGGTGAAGACTGTGAAGCCGAAGAAGGTCAAAAGCATGACGATTCTTCTGCCATGCATCTCGCTGAGTGGACTGAACAGCGGCGGCCCAAAGACATATCCAATCAGGTAGACGGAGTTTGGCAATGCCAGCTGTTCGGCGCTTGATACGTTGAACTCTTTGGACAGATAGTGAGAAGCGCCGCTTGGGAGTGAGGAACCAAGTGTGCTGTTAGAAGCGAGTGCAAGTCCGATTGTCAGGACGAGGACCTTCCTGCTCTGTTGACCGTGAGAAGCTATAATATGATGGTCAACACATGAACTCTTCCACGTACCGTACTCCAATTTGCAGCGCATTCCGGGTCTTGATTGGAGAAGGCGACCGATCTCACATCCTCCATATCAGCATTGACCCGCATGTGGACAGATGCTGACAGATTTGAAGTCTCGGCGCTGAAGTACGGACTTGTTGCACGGAGTGAGAAGCATTGGGATATTGCTATGAGGAAGGCGTAAAGAGAAAGGGAAAGGAGGAGAGGAGAGAAAAAAAATGAATGGTTGATTTCAACATTTGGTCAGGCCCTCCGTGTCGATGCGTATCGAAGGGCGTATCGAGGAGCAGATCGACGGGGAGAGGGGAGAAGATTGTTTAGGAGTCTAAACACGAGGGAAAATATATACTGTATTAGATGAACGAATATAGGATATCGAGATGGATTCTGAAGTTGTTACTTTGACGGAGGATGTCTTGGTTTAGACGCATCATGGTACTGTTATCGAAGTATGCAAGTATTCAAACCTTGAGAGATATACCTAGGTACCCTGGTATTTGTTATGAAACACATAAAAGGAAGCCTTATGAATTATGAATCTACGCTACACCTGACGCTGAACCAAGGTTTAAATCCAGATAAATCCGGCCCCGAAAACAGTATCTACTGGCATTTATACTCGCTCGTCTTCTTTCCTCTTCGACATTCCTTCCAAGGTACAATTATATTATCGCATCCACCAAGCCCCAAACCCCGATATTGCTATCTAAGCACGAAAAGAAGCCACCCCAATAGCTATCTCCTATGAACCTTCGTTCTATCTGTCAAGGAACAATCTCCAAGAGCTAATTAGCACTCCACAAAAGGGAATTTCTTGGGGTAGCGAATGGCCAGAGCGAACGCAACGCCCTCCGCCCTCCGCCCGTCATTGAGACTCGAGGTTTTGCAAGGATCATTCCCGGATTCCAATGACTTCATATTATATTGATCGTCGTCTCTCGTCTCTGACCTTCCATCTCAACAAGTGATAAACCCACCCCTTGGCTTCGATCATTCGTGATATACTTGTTCCATCCGAAGACAATCAACCCACTCCTGGAGTATTTCGATATATCTGGACAGAGTATATAATTATTTAATTATTCCTCCACCCATTAAATACCAACATCACCACCACCAACCTACTCCCAAACCAGGAAACCCAACCATGTCCTCAAACTCGCACTCCAATTCCAATTCATACAGCTACACCTCCTCCAGCTCCTTTTCCTCCCATTCCCAATCCTACTCTTCTCACTCCTCCTCCTCCAATTCCCACTCCCGGTCCAACCCTCAAATCTCCTCCCAATCCCACTCAACCCACAGCACGCAGCAAGCCCACTCGTCCGACCGCGACGGCACGACCATCCGACGCACCCACGAAGAGACGGGCCAGCCACGCGTCGACGAGACGAGGTATTTCCCCACGGGCATTGGGTCTGGGTCTGGGTCTGGGTCTGCGTCTGCTCTTCATTCTTCTGGTGCTGGAGCACGGAGGATCGAGGATGTGACGGAGTCGGATGGTGATGGCGCTAATGATGGTGATGAGACGACGGGGGAGGGGGACAGTGAGCAGGCCGCCAGAGGCAGGGAGTATGAAGAGCGCATCGAGGATGAATATGCGAAGCGCGAGGGCGGCGCGTGATATTGCCATGGATCTAAGCTGGTGTCGCAGTACTGGTCGTTTGAGTGGGGTGCTTCGGCAATGGAATTGTCACATACCCCAGTTGTTATGCGCTTGTATTGGAAATATATGGGGCTTGGGCTTATTCTTCGTCATGTTTGAAATCGGATGGCAGAGCAACTGATGCGAGTCATGATCGCTAGAATCATACCATCCTTTCAGAGTCTCGACGACCTCGTTAGTCGATGCTGTGCAATGAATCTTGTACAGTTGAGTTTTCACAAAGCTAGGGTTATCAAATTCTTTGAACACGAGCCTTTTCAATTGTTTCTTTTCTAACTTCTCTTTCTAACTGTCTGGTTTGACTCTACCCCTTGCCCGGCGTGGGTACTGCCATACCACCTATACGATCGTTTCATCGGATCCGCAGATCTGTTCGTCGCCAATCCAGTCTGTGCAAGGGTCAACTCAATAGCCACCTCCCTCTGTCCGGTATCACGGTCTTTGTGTGACGTCGTAGCAGAAATAAATTTGTTGGATGAACTGGAAAGTCATTCATGATATCGAGTTGGGTTCTGCACTCTCAAAGCAGTACACATCACTTAGTAAGCCATGGCTGCAGGCGTAAGCGTCAAGTCATCCAATGACGCCGCAGTGCTTTTCCTTGATGAAGCTGGTGATGAGGATATCGACAACCTTCCTGACAATGCCGTAGGACTACCTGGGTTGGTGTGCATGACAGTCCTTTTCGTGCATATCCAAGTTGAAGCATACATATTGACACTGATAAGAATCCATTAGCATTATCGTCTGGAAGGCCTGCATTAGAAAAAAGAAGGAAGAATTCTTACCGATCGATACATTTCCCTGGATCTCGACGACCAACACATTTGGCTTCAAAGCCGTTGTTCTCGAAGATATCGGTATACCAAGGTCGAAGAGCAGCAGAACGGAAGAAGACCCGACCACCTAGTTTGAGAACTTTGTTCAATGCGAGGATTTGTTGCTGGGCAGCATCTTCGGCGGGGTTGAACCAGTCCATTGAGTCCATGAGCTGTGGGTTGATAATGCTAGTGTCAGTGGCCTGGCACAATGAAAGTGGCAAGAGACGCCCGATGGGAGCTCAAGAGCGGACTCACAATTGCAATAGTCAGTGTAGAAGGGCTGATTCGAGCAATGACCTCCATGATCTCATCTGTGTGAATGCGGAGACCATCGAATGTACCAGGTTTGGATAGCTTCGCGTGTGCTTTGGGTCCTAGATATCGAGGGTGGCATCTACTTTATGTCAGTTCGGTTCAATACTGAATCTGTCAAGTGACAACCAGTGGCTGAAGCTGCCACTGGGTTTGGGACTTACTTCCTCGAATATTTCCCTTGCAAGCATACATAATAGAAATAGTTGTCTCTGCTGACTTGTGTGGTTTCCACCACCGGATCCAGCGTATCAACAACATATTGCCAAATCGCCTCGCTGGGATTGGTCTTTCCTTTCGACGCTTTTGGTCTCTGGGTATAGTCATTCAAGATCAACGCATGTTGAGCTGGAGGTACACCGGCGGCTTTCCATGCCCACCATTCCGTCGAGACAACGGCACGATGTAAAGGCCAACTCAACAACAAGTTTCGAATGGTCGGCCAGATTTCGCGTTGTTCATTCAACGTCTCGACCTTGCAAAAAGTTTGCACTTTGGTGGTCATGCCAAATAGCTTAATCAGCCAACGAATCAGTTTGATGGCGTGCCTGGAGCCACCACTTTCATACAGTCCGCCAGTCGAGGTGAAAACGTTCGTCTTGTTCAACCAGTACTGGAAGGCTTGACTTGACATGTGAGGGCTGAGTTTTTGAAGGAGTAAACTACGGAAATCTTGATGACGGCCTTCACCGAATAATTGCCATGCGTCCGAGTGAGATAAGGCCGTGAACGCGGCGACTTTGAGTTCGAGGAGATGGTTTTGATTGGGATTGAGGTCAACGGCATGTATTCTGCGTGGCTGTTCAAGGAGATAGTCGAGGATGTTGTCACCAGCGCTGGTGATGGTGAGAATGACATCGTTCTTCGTAATTTTCAAAAGTTGTCGGTCAACCGCTGGATCTTCCCAATTGAATGCGTAGATATATTCACTCCCGAATTGCTGATGTTTCCGAAGTAGATCGTTGTAATGTATTCTCCAGTGGTGTTGTTGATAGAATGCTGCTGGAAGTGGCAAATTGGAACTGAGATTGATGATGGCTGATTCGTATAGCTTTGATCTGGGAATGTCTTGCTGTTCGTCGAGTGTTTGTTGTTCTCGATATTTCATCGGCGACAGGTAGGGCGATTCTGTGAGCGCTGCATCAATCTTTTCAATGGTATTCTGGCCATCTCCTACGAGAGTATCTGCATCTCGCCGGCATCCAACAAAGATATAGTAAGGAATGCTAAAAATTGAGTATGTAAGCAAAGAAAAACGGACGGGTGGTGCCACCCAGTAGAAAAGGGATCCACGGGTCCGGGGCAGTATGTGGAACAGGACGACTTACCCTCCGAGCAGATAGTTTCGTTCGCTTATTGACAAGACTGTACCAAACCGATACTCAAGATAGTCTCGTCGACCACCATCAAGGTTGACACGATCAGCGTCAAACCAAGTGCGCCAGAACATGCGACCGACCCAATTGACATGACGATTGAAAGTGCCTCCAATGTAATTTCTGGAAGAGACATCCACAATGCTTTGGACATAAAAATCACAAATGCCAACCAAGCCGTCTTGGGCAAGAAATCCCGTGAGCAAGTCAACCACACTGTAAAAGTCTGGAATCATGGACAAGCTATAGCTCATGGTAATGAGATCTGCGGACGCCGCTGTACAGGCGATTGAACGAGCATCCTGGCACAGTACCGTCACATTCCTCCAGCCATGTTGACGAATTCTCTCATTGGCAACCGCGCATAAAGAGGGTGACAGATCCACAAGGAAGACATGATCAAAATAGCTCTCGATACCCACGATTTTGTCCATAATCTCGATGTTGTAGCCGGTGCCACCTCCAACATCATACCAGACAGGTTTGCGATTCTCTCTAGAGGAAGCTTTAGATTGCAACTTGGCGGCTAGTATATCCAGCATATCCTCCCTCCCTTGAAGAAGCCGTTTTCTAGTTGCATCATACACGTTGGCCTGAGGCTGTCAGTTGAGGGGGGAGTTGAGAATCCTGCCCACCTACTTGAGCGGCATAGAAGCTTTCCAGTGCAGATTGTTGTCCACCATCCTTCTTCGAATCATGCGGTTTGAAAAAACTGACATAAGCAAAACGAAGATAGGGATGAATGCCGAGTTTGTCCAAAGTGAGCTGCTTTCCTAGACTGTAAAAATAATAAGATAAAATGGTCACGAGGACAAAAGCACCCATGCCTATCAGCGCGATGTCAACTTGATGGTCATGAAAGCGCTGCCATTCGACCTGTCTGAATAAGTCCATCGTGAAGTACCTTTCTATGAAGGAACAAAAGAGCAGAACGACAGAGAGCGCAGAGATGGAAAGAACGAAAGAATCGTCCTAGACATTGTACGGTTCTAAGTTATGCTGTTTATGAATCACAAATTCGATCATGAGGCTTCTGTTAATCTTAGAAGTCTGGAAAGAGTAGAGCGAAGGACTCTGACGAATCATCGACACAGTTTGGACCATATGATGAGTTGAGTGGCAATGACAACCAGGTGAAAAGCGTTCTAAGAAGGCGGCTGTTCATTGAAACCGCCATTATCGCATGTGCGGATTCCATGGTCGGCGGGACTAGTTCGTGAGGTTGAGACCATGGGCGACAGTAGCAGGTCAAAAGGGTTCAAAAGCAACGAATCAGAGTGGAGGACTGGGAGCGTGCACCGTAAGGCTTGGCCAGGGATTATCCTCAGTGGAATTCAAATCGAGGCTAGATCAAGACAGCTCGAACGAACTGATAGACTTGACACACGTGCCCACAACAGAATTGTTGCAAGCAAGCCCTAAGCAACGATCTGCTGCAAGTCATCCAAAGTCTGGTGCGAGAATTCCCATGGGGTGCAGGTGTTCGCTCCCATCGTCTCAGATTTCTATGGGCTGGAGCTGTTCGGCTGACCTTCCAATATTATGAGACGCGCTTGTGCGCGTTCACGAGATTGCTGTGCCAGGTGGAAATAATCGGGAAGATCCAGACTATTTGTATCGCTCACCTGATCTAGGGGCACAGCAAATGCATGACACGTTTCATATAGGTCAGCGAGCCATAAATCGACCATGGCTCTCAGCCGAATCAATTCCGGCTCATCCATGTAGGGAAGAGTTGTCATACACTCATCCATTCGGGTTGCAATTTGATTAGCTTGTTCAAGTTCTCTCACCTTTGCCGGAGATTGTGAATCTAGCTGATCGGAATGAGGTGAATCTGGAGTTGAATCATGCTCAGTACCCGAGACAGACACAGCGTAGATCCAAATATTGAAGAGCGCAAGGTAAAAATCAATGGCATTGACCGAGTCGGGCCATGACTTGTGGTAAGGATGTCGGATGATCAGAGTCTCGTAAAATCGTTTCGCATTCTCCAGGTTGATTGCGGAGATGGACTCGGGCGCTGAGGAAGAAGAACTGGGGTCCCGGTTTTGTCTGAGCAGGATTTCAGCAGCAATTCCCATGAAGCCTTTGTTTCTGATGGGGGCATCATTGGCAACGGTTGAGTCGCGTAGGAGTAAACCCATGGCTCTTGAAGCTCGTGCATAATCTTGTGCAACCATACTACGGTGAATGATGGTGGTCAAGACGGCCAAGTGTTGGAAGTGTAAAGACCTAGAAGTGGAAATGTGTGTAGAAATTGCATCTTGTGCAAGATGGGCTGAATGATGTTCTTTCAGAGGAGCGTGTGGAAAAGGCGGTGGTGGAACAGGCTGGTCAAAGGGCAGGCCAGCAAGTCGGTGTTGGATCCTTTCCAAAGGAGAGAGACTAGCTATGTAGTCGAGATTGGGAGCATCGTCTCGAGAAGTTGAAGACGACGAATCATCCGACCCAGAATGGTTTTCTTCCTGATGAGTTGTATTGGATCTCTTGCGCTTCTTGCTTCTTGGTCTGGAGTGTGAGCTGGGTTGTTTGGTAGTTTGTAAAGGACGGGAAGGTTTGAAGGGAGTGGTGAAGATGGCCATTGTAGAGCAGTGGAATCATTTCATTTGATTATATCATTACGGGTGGGTGGTGAGTGGTATCTTTCAGCGCCTCAGACAGATCCGAGTCTTGATAACCTGCACACGACTTGAAGTTTGCAATTGATGGAAAATGAGATCGGCCCAACTGTTATTCCGTCCCTGAGCGGCCCGAGTGTGTGATTCTTGGAAACTGCTGATGAGGCAGGCACGAACGAACGTGGAGGAAGGAAGCATGAAGGAATTATCGACTATCGACTTGGGGAAGGAACGACCTTGGCCGTGACCGAGCTGAACTTGGCTACCTCCGAGTACCCAGGTACCTAAGTAGGTAACATAGATACCTGTATCTGCCCTGATCTGCAGCTATTGATTAAATAGGCTCCTTTGGCTTCGGCTGTGGCTCCAACTGCTGCCTGCAGTTGGCCCGTAGCCGTTGAACTTCAGCCTTGGACTTGAACCTCAGGAGCCTTTCCTTGTGAGGCAGTCAAAGGCGCTCAGGCTCAGGCTCAGGCTCATGTTCAGGCTGGCTGGCTGGCTGGCCTTCCCCCCAACAACCAACACCTGCATCTGCATCTGTGCCTGCACCTCGATGCAAACCAGTTTCACCACCACCCACCACCAACACCAACACCAACACCAACACCAATATCCCACATCAAACGACTTCTCCATCCACCGATTCCCCCTTCATTTGCTCCATCTCATTCTGTATTACTTTCGCCTGCATTCATTTGCGAGGTATCTGTTCGCCTATGGAAACCTGCTTTGTTTGATCATACACCACCTTTCATAACCTCCAAATCGGCCACCGACTCCTTCACTTTCCGTCTTGATGAATTCCATCGTCATCACCTTCACCATCGCCATCGCCATCACTTCTCTGACCTGCTGACAAGCCACTCTACCACTACCGCCCCTCCGTTGTGCGTTCTATCCGCTTCACTCAACCACAACTCCTCGGACATGACACCCTAAGACCATCAGGCTTCCGCTGCGACAAGCATACCCCCATTCCACAATATGGGCAATAGCTCATCTGTTCCTCGTACGCAGGTCGACGATGAACATCTCCACCAGTTGACCCATCGCAATCATGATACTAGACCTACGGGAAGAAGTTCCCGTCTCGGCCGAAGAAATGTACAATCAATACGCGCAGCAGGTCAGCGGGCTACTACCTTGTATGGTTCTTTGCGTCGTCACCATCCATCTGATTCCATGGCAAACCCCCATATACCCACCCCATCTACGAACCCCGGAAATGAGACCGAGTATGAGCAGGAAAATAGACCATTGGTGGGAGTGCAGCCTGTTGATATGCCGGACATATCCCCATCTCATTACGCCCCTCGACGACGTTCTACCATGTCAAGACTGGGCTCCCGAGTATTGCCTGACTCGGTGGTCCGTGGCCTACTGAGTAGTGGTGAAGAGACTGCTGCCGAAGGACGTGCCTTGCGACTGGGGAGTGGTGATCCCACTTCCATGCTGTATGACCATCCACAAGAAGCAGAAAGAGATCGCCAAAGTTATGATAGCCATACCGATAACCGTTTGTCCCTGACTGAGTCCATATCCAGACTCGCCAACAACAATCTCGACACCACCACTCACGCACCTCCTCCCTTCTCCGTCACCCCAGATTTCCACTCACCTAGCCAATCGGTCTCCCCATCCGGATCCGCCACTCCTCGCATGGAAATGGATGCATCAACTCGAATTTCCTCTCCCATAATATCTTCTATCCGATTTCGAAATCGCTTTAGCAGAGTTAGAGACTCGATCTCGTTTCCTTCCCGAATCTCTAGTCTTTTTGCCCGTTCTTCTGATCAACTACAGTCCACTCAAGGTTCTCGAGAATCCGTGGCCCGGCCGCGTGTTACCTTTGCTGACGAGTCCGATCGTCTTCTTCCTTCATTACATCCCACCGATCCTCGTCATGACAACGAAGATGCTCCACATGAACTGGATGCAGTCGAACCAGAAGCCAGGACATTACTCTCGGGACCCAGGGTCACCTCGGGCATGAGTACTATTCGACGCTTCCAACCAGGATTGCGATCCCGTTCAACTCGCCTGATTCGTCGTGGTGAGCATCCGCCCTTGTCACAGGTATTACAACTGGCGGCCGCCGCAATAGCTGCTCAATTGTCAGGACATGCCAGTGGTGGCCATACTGGCGGGCGTCATTTGGGTGAAACATTTGACGGTAGCATACAGAACTTTGTACAGACACTTCAAGACGCGGCAACTGCACAAGCCGGAGAAGCCATCGACATGAATTCGAATGATGGTGATATGCCTCCGGTCAACTTTATGAGAGTCTTTCAGTTCCCCAATGACGAGAATGGGTCCCCAATCGCATCACAGGCCCAATCCCGCGATGCGAATCAGATGGATTTGGACTCAATTGCGGGCCCAGAAACCGACCGATCTGTGACCCTGGTCTTGGTGGGAGTCCGATCACTACCACACGGGCAGGATAATAACAATGGTGAAAATGGCACACTAGGCCCCAGTCTAGACACCCTGTTGAGCCTTCCTTTTCTCCCGCCCGCCAATGTGATGCGAAACGGAAGTTCGGGAGCTTTGTTTCGCCGCTCGGACGCGAGTACTCGAGTACGACCTAGCCACCGACGACATTCCATGACCAACTTTAGCTTCCCTGCTCAGTACGAAAGCCAGCGGCATCAACGGACACGAGCATCTGGTTCTCGAGCCTCCAATTCCCTCGATCCCACTTACCCTGCAACGCCCGACACCAACAGCGTTCCCACTCTTTTATCGGAGAGTCCACCAGGTCCAAATCCCCCACCATCCACTCCAGCAGATCTAAGAAGTGGCCAAGTTTCACCCATAAGAAGACCTTCCTCTGCCTCAGCCGTGCAATCACCTAATCTCCCTGATCTGGAAGAAGATCGTACTCAAGTTCCACTGGAAACTCCACCCTCCGAATCATCATTTAATATTGCTCGACAAAGAAGACGCAGTGACTCGGAATTTGCTCGTCGGCCGGAGCTTGGATCAGGAGCTGCCAGACGGAACGGAATGGTGGAACCTGACCCGCCTCCACCTGGGGTAGGCAGAAGCTGGTTGATCTATGTTGTCGGTACCAACGTCTCACCTGATCATCCAGCGTTCACTATGCCCAGCCTCTTTACCGATCATCCATCATACGAAGACATGCAGATGCTGTCCGCTCTTCTAGGTCCAGTCAAGCCTCCTGTTGCAACGCAGGACGATGTAGGAGCGTCTGGAGGGCTCTTCCGCCTAATCCTTCAAGAGGGAAACCTTGTTGGGGACTCGATGGCAACAGACGATGGCCTACCTTTGATCATCAATAGTGGTGAGCGATGTTTGATATGCTTGTCAGATTATGTCTCTTCGGAAGAAGTGCGTCGTCTTTCCAAATGCCAACATCGCTATCACCGAGAGTGTATTGATGAGGTAAGTTTGAACCATGACAGACGAAGACATGTCAGGCTAACTATGATCCGCAGTGGCTTACTACCGGCCGAAACAGTTGTCCGATGTGCCGAGGACAAGGTGTAGGAGAGACAGGAAATGAATCAGGAGCGAGTTCAGGAACACCGCCTCCTACAACGATTTGAGTGTAATATCAAAGGCGAACCCGTGAACAGGTGGAGATGTTAGATTCTCGAATTCATGTACGGAGAGTTGTGATTGAGAGAGTTTAACTACATTATGACACATAACGAATTCTCTAGTCATGGGCATCGTCTTTTTTGGGAAATGGGGATCTGCGTGGGTTGAACGGTCGGGAATGCATAGGACGACCGTGAATGGGAAACAGTTCTCGACACAGGTAAGACAGCGGCCGAATAGGATTGGAATGGTCGCTTCAGCTTGGGCGCTTTATTGGCTAGGTCTTGTTACTGCTTGCTCCCTCCTAGCTACATACCAACTCAGTTAGGGGTTCTTCGTTTTCGAGTGTGACTTAATTATTGCCGTGGAACAGACATGATCTGCCCTGCGGACTGGACAATCCAATGGGTTGTTTTCTCTTTGTGTTTTTCTCATCCTTCGTTCCTGTTCTCTATCTTATTGTCTATCCTCCAGCAATAACCCAGGTACTGATCGACGAGTACACTCGATTGACTTGCCCATCTGAGTGCTCTGCCAGCCAGGGGAAAGAGGGAAGGAGGCCACTGGTGTACACTTGTCAGGACAATGGGGAAAAGTAACAACGAGAAGCGCCCAATGAATGGAAAATGGAGAAATTCCTCTCGCAGGAGACTTGGGGGAAAGTCCATTTCATTTCGCTTCAGTCTGTCTCATCTCATCTCACCTGGTCAGGTCCTGTGCCTATTTATCCATCCTCGGCAGTCTGGAGAAAGGGTCAGTCCTATCTTTTCCCATCGACTCTTCGCTTTCCGTTTCCTGCTTCGCTTTCGAAGACCAGGAAACCCTCACAAAAAAGGCGCTAAAGAAGATCCATGCATTCATGCATACCTACCTTTTCCAATGCTCATCGTGGTCATATCGTTCTTTGTCCTTCGTCCATAGGTCGTGGCGCAGGGAGATGGATAGATCAGATGTGATGTGGTATGTATGGTGGCGGACCTTTGATCGATGTACCGGCTTGAATCCATCAGGGTAGTTCAAGTGTACAGCCCGTCATGCGCTCGACATCTTGAACAATAACCTCAACATCCTCCATGACACCACTTCCGGATGTGAGCTCAGCAAATACCATACCACGCCAACTTCCATCCATATCTACAACCCATGCGCCCGAGTCTCTACCCCGAACAAAGGACCCGCGTTGCCCGGTCTGATCAGGATCAGGGGTAATTTCCCACCCAGTGAAGATGATTTTCTGGCCCAGAGAATTAGGCAAAGCGATGTCTGTCCTGAGATGGCTGATTTTTCCCGACGTGATGCCTGTCGTGCGGCCCTTTTTCCAGACTTTTTCGCCGGACTGAGGACTTTGTGCGGAGCGGTACTTGATCTCGGATGACAATGGATGGTAAGATGCATCCATAGAGAAGGGAAGATTTTCACTCCTCGCAGGGAGGGTGTTGAGCTTTAACGCGCGATTCGATACTGCCGATAGTGACCAATCGTGCAGGCTTTGGGTCTGAAATCCAGAATAAGCCCGTAGGACCCCGGCATATGGGTCGAATGCCTCGACAATCTTCTTCTCGGCTTGATATCTTTCGACCTCGGGGACACGTATGTCGAGAGCTTTCTGCCAACGTTCCTCGCCGGTCCACTCAAGCTTCTCCTGGTATTGAACCATATCTTGAGTCGTGTCTTGAATCAACGTTTCAATCCACTTGAGCTTCTCGTCACGGTCTTGTTTGGATGGGACCACGATGTTGATATTAGAGCTCGTGTCTCGTCGAAGGCCGTTGGCTTCGCGTTCTTGACCCACGATGCTTCTGAAGGGATGAAAGACGCTCATGACCATGTCCTCGGTGTTCCCGTTCCCGTCCCGAAGTCTCACAACTCCGCCCAGAGTCGCAGTAGTAATAAGACCATCGGGTCCGAAGCTCGAGCCCGGCTCGATGTCAGACTGGAAAGCCGAGGTTGGGAGAATTCGGTCGGTGATGATATCCAAAGCAGGGGGATCATCCGAAGTAGAAGGATCCTCGAAAGCAGACAATGGATGCTTTGCCGGGATAATCGCGACCTCAACGTCGTCCAGGCCAGATTGATTGAGGATGCCTTGGATTGCGTTAATCAGTGGATCCCAAGTATGGCAAGTGATCTCAGGCGTGCCGATGACAAGTGTGACAGGGTTTTTGAGAGGGTCCAAGCGCCGTCCGAAGTGAACCACCGATAACGAGAACCAGTCCAGTTCCCAAAGCTGACTGAGGATTTGAGGCCTCAGATCCGGCCAGAGCGGCACAATGGGCTCGTGCGGGCCGATGGGTCCAGGAAATTGCGGCTTGAACATCTCAGGGTCAACGATTTCGACTGTGAAGCCAGCAAGATTTCCCATCTCGAATTGCTCCTCTATGTCTTTGAGCGCCAAATACCACGAATTTGTGTTTAGGTTTCGTCGTGTGATGATCAGGCAGGTCAAGTTCTGGTTATGTTCGGGCGCAGGGAGGCGGCCAGCCGAGGGATCAGGCAAGCGATTGACGACGGACATGGAGAATTGTCTAAACCCATGTTTTTCCATGATATCCAGCATGACCAGACGTGCGCTTTGCCAGTTGATCCTCTCGTCGGCATCTGGCCCGACGGGGTGTGTCAACAACGGCCATCGGAGGAGTGGTGCTGGAAAGCCTTGACGAAGATCGATTGTGGAGTCGATTCTTGGGCTCGTGGACTCATCGGAAGGTTGTTGTCGTTTTTTCCTTTGTTGACGACGGGAGGCTGGACTCGTGAAGGCCGTGGGAGCAGTACTGCTCCTCTCGGGAGCGCTGGGGTCCGTCGGTGTGTTCATTGTTCGAGGATGAAGAAGAGACGTCGTCTAGAACAAGGCTTTTGAGAGAAACCCCGGGAAGAAGAGAATTTGATGCAGGGTGTATGGGGAAATTCCAAGAGAAAGAGAAAGAGAAAGCCATCTGTGACAAGTTGGTCGAAGAATTAATGAATCAGAAGGGGTGACGCCTTGTACGTTGGCTCAAAGTCAGCGAAGGATGAGTTGGGCACCCAAAAGGAAAAGTATACAACACGGCGATCATCAAACTTTGGTAAATGCGGCTGTCCGCCTTGTCTGTTTGTCTGCCTTCTCTGCTTTGGTCCGCCTTTCCCAATTCTCTTCGCTGTTGACTTTGACTCTTCTGCGTGTCGGAGAACGCATCAACATCCCTCTCAGCAGATAATATTCTGCACAAAGCAAGGTTCAGCATGCACCTTGGTAGGCAAGACCCAAGTGACTTCGATCCTTCTTCCTATCTGAAGACGAGTGTGGTTACCTTTCTATAGGTACCTCACCACACCAACTAACCTTCATCGCACTTTGGGGAGTAAGACTCAAAGCACTTTGATATTTCTTCGCTACTTGAAACCCATTCGCTTACCGAGGTTGATTTCTGATGGCACAAGGGATCAAACTGGTTCACCATTGATAGAAGGAGAGCCTACTCGATGCTGAGTCCTAACTGACTTGCACTGCATCGGGAACCTGATTTCTTGGAAGTCCAAATTCGCCGTTGAAGAACTTGAAGAGCATCGCGACAAGGCCATATCCGATGTGACCGTTAAGCTTACTGCCGTCCAAATAAACAAGGTTCAGGTACCGGTACCTGACGAGTTCAAGCCAACATCTCAAGACCTCGGATCCATGGCACACTGGTTGGAAGTCCACAAATAAGTACGCAGTCAGTTCAGAGTACGAGAACTTTATACGAGGGACCTACGAATGTTCTTGCTGTGGACAGGGATCCACCAATAGGTCTATTCAGTCCAGCCTAAAGCTCCGAGTCAGTATCTCTGTACTCTGTGCCGTGGCCGTGGCCGTGGCCAATTTGGTCACCAAGGGGCTTCCAGACTTGGGTCCAGCGTTGGTCCGTTGGACGCCTGCCGCTTTCCTTCTTTTATTCCACAAACCAAGGGTAAATTGCGGTACATGAACGGAACGTCTCAACGCCAAAGGGCCTCTTCGTCCTGACTAGTGTGGGAGCTAACTGACAACGTAGTGGCCTTGTTTACCCTACCCTCGGAGAGTCCGGCTATCAGATGCTCAATCCTTGAACCCTGAGCTCCAGCCGCTTAGGGCCCGTGAGCAATCTGGAAGGCTGATATAATTAGCTCTAGTATTCTACGACCATGCCGAATACGCCTCGACCATGAGGACATTCCTCAAGGCAGAGTCCAGGTAATTCTGCTCAAAGAGTCTGGAATCTTTGGAGACCACTTTGACTGACTCGATGCTTCACGTTCAGTCTGTCCCGTCTGCTGACAACGAGCTGCTGGCGTTTATCATGTGCGGAGACATTTCATCTACTGCGTCGTATCCAGGAACAATCCCAGGAGCTCCCCTCTTGCGACGTTTCCAGCCATGGATGTCCTCATTATCTAGCTCAGCTTGATCTGAACTCAAATCTACCATGAATAGGTAGGTCGATATTCCTCTTGACCGAGCCTGTCACGGAAATCATCCACTGGTATCCTCAAGCAACGGTCCAAACTTCCACTGCCTGTCTATCATTTCCGGGGATAGATCACGAATACGAATTCTAGCTCCATCGCTGCAAGAGTAACTCCGTGTCCGCTTATGCCTACAGAGGTTCTGCTCCCTGGAACTGTGACATCACAGTAACTCGCGATTACGAGTAATTCAGGTCTGTTGCACTTTCTGCAGGACACGTAGCAGTGGCTCTTTGAAGAACAGACCTACGGTGTTCTGGAGAGAGGAGTGGCTAGTGGAATACTGCGACTCGCCTTGCCAGTTTTAGGCATATGCCCTGGAATACAGATCATTACACCAAATACGAGCACGGAATTTCCCAGCAGATCAAGCGTCACCTTCGTGGGCATCAGGTGGAGTTGTCAACTGTTGCTCTCAGGTGGAGTTGTCAACTGTTGCTCTCAGTGCGAATAACAGCCAAGTAGCAGTTCGTCACGATTCGCGATACCAAGTGCATCTCGTTTTGAACCCAGTGTATTCGGGCGTCCTGCATTCTAACAGTCCACAAATGATGGAACCACCCTCGAGAACGCCAACTGCACTGGGTGCAGCACCCCTAGAAAACCAGTCCGAATGCATACACCAGGTTCCTCTGAAATGAAATTGAGTTCTTTGCACAAAAATTGCAACCCTCGAGTTGACCAGTCTAATCCACCACTCCCCACCAGTAGGACGGTTTCGGGGGCTCGAGCGTTGAAAAGCAGGATCTGCAGCAAGGGTCACAAACCCACCATGAGGTGCGAACTAAAAACCCTCCCAAGCTTGGGAGGCCACCTCGGCCCTGCGGGAATGATCGCCATTGGGTATCTACTGCATCATCACCGAACAATATCGACGCCCCAGTGCACTAAGCAGCTGCCTACTTGATAGTTCAACTATTCTTGAAAGCCTGGGCTTGCACGTCTGTCAAAATCAAACAAGAACGAATCACTTTGACAGGGACTCACGGAACAGTACCCTAATTCGGACCCCTTGGACTTGCCTAGTACCTACACATCTTTTCCCCATCACCAAGAAAATGGCAGTGGGGGCCGGTCATCCGCCCACAAGCTCCAAGCCGGACGTTTTTCAGAGTTCTTCTACGAATATGCACACACACGGCGATGTTATCAGGTAGCGTACCCAATGATTCATGGTTGCCAACATACCGTGAGATCGGAACCCACAGTACCCATGAATCACAACGGCCGAATGAGCAAAGCCCGCCACCACCACTACGATAGGGGGAATGTTCCCTGGGAAAGCCCTAAAAGCTAGTTGTAGGAATCGAAGGGAATTGGTTCTCTATGCCAACTCGGCATGGGCTGTTGCATGGCGTCCCCAATGGTTGACTTACAACTCCCGGACAGTTGCCTCTACAGGATCAAGGGCACTGCCCTAACTGGTTATTTCAGGTGGTTCGACAGTACATCACCATTGAACATCACAACCAGTTACCACAGGGCTTGGACTTTTACCCTACTCGCTCCCTCAAGCTTTAAAGCGCACCGGTTCAGCGCCACCCACGCAACCCATGATGGAACGTGGGTGGTGAACATCAGCAACCTCGAGAGCCAGTTTTGCGGACCGAAAAAACGTGGCTTTAGCTTTGGCTGCTGATGCTCAAGCAAACCCCCGAAAATGGCCCCCCCAAGGCTTACATCGAGGAATCTGGAGAACTTCCTGGCCTCGGATTCAGCCTAGACCAAGACCTAAAAATCTATCCCGTTGCTAATTGCATCTTTTATGCTCGAGTCGGACATTCAGTAAACGATAGGTGCACCACGTCAAGAGCACCAGATACCTTACTGACAATATTGATCATCGCCAGTGACCATTACAAACAAAGCGCAGAAGGACACTGCTTGTACGTACACACAGCTCTATCACCACCCCGGGACCATCACAATTATCTGCTGGTACTCCACAATCTTTACGATCATGAATCGTTTAAAGACTGACGACTCAGTTGGTATGAGTCGGATGGTCCCCATCACCTTCAACACTAATAACAAGTACGACTACTACTATACGGCGTCAGCACGCGGCACGAGGGATCCTTCGAAACAAAATAATGACAACTTTTAGAATCCACACAGTATGGGAACCTGGGGAGCTCAAGGTTGACTGGGAAGACTCTGCTCCGTGCTTCGCACCAGTAGTAGATCATGAAGCCAATTTCCTACGTCCGGTAATTCGGGTCCCGATTAACATAGTTCTTGCATGCAACCCCTTGGAACGAACAGATTGCCAATGCTGGTTTTGTAATGAACCACTTTGGAAGATTGGGAGAATGGTCTGCTTTATCTGAAATGCCCCCCGCCCAAAAAGTTTAGCACTACCCATCAAAATTTGGTGCCGGAATTCATGATCCCAGCTATCCGTGCCGTCAAATGTCCCTTGAATATTGGAAACATACGAAACATGTAGGACAAAAACTCAAAAGGTCTTACGACTGTAGTCACCTACACCATCCGATGTTAAGACGCAAACTACCGAGTATCAGATGTGTCTGCAGCGCGGCTCAGTCACAGGCATTCACGGCAGATCGGGTCAGATCAGGTACAGATACTAGTGAGAGGACAATGCAGAGCCTCCAACATTCTGATCCTCTAGACGCCAAACGACGGGAACACTCTAGAGTGGAGTTTTGTGGAAAACTTGAGTCTGGATTTTCGAGCCCAGTCATACAGTTTCGAGCGGTTTTATTCCTACAAACAATTGGGACTGGACCAGGACGATAGTGTGTTTGGCTTAGTGCTCGCGATCCCTGGTATGCCCACTCCGATCGACGCTGGGGATCGACTTGGTGCTTGTTGACCCTAGTTCAACCGTGCCTAGGTCTGACGACACTATGAAAGTAGCTGCCAGGACCCTAGTCGTGCCCAAGGATCACCTATATGGGATAGCGTTTGAGGCAATCCACTCGTTTTTTCGGCATCGGCCCCAGGAAACCCAACAAGTCCCTCCCGTCGACTCTGGAATCTTGACCTTTTTCATACTTTGTCCCAGAACCACATTTACGAGTACTTGTGATACAATCGCAATTTGTGTCGCTGTTTGGGTGCGTGTGAGCCTTCACACTGTACCATATGCGTTCCTCTAATTTCATCGGAACCCACGCCCACGGCCGATAGCGCTTCTTTCCTTGGGTCAAGAGTCATTTTCGAGCGAAATCTCGGCAATCAACCTCATGGTTGATACTGGAAGCTGTGCTCCATTCTCTAGGCCGTTCAATCTATATCTGGCAATTTCAGATTGGATATTTACCCCTCTGGGTGTCGCATCAATATTGTCCTAATTTGCACCTCTCACTGCTTCAGCCACCTCACCAAATCAACCAGACCCTGTGTCGCCGTTGGAACTTAATTCAGCCTCGTTCGACTTATAATTCTCCCTACGTTCAACAGCCCCAGGCTTCTCGGCATACAGGCGACCAATTCTTCGCATAATTTTAGCAACTGATAGATTGGGACTCAATTTACTGGCATCATCAAAGTTGAGCTCTGGCGGGTGACGAAATCGCAATCTCAGTTCCACGACGTGCAGGTTTGCACCTGGCTGTCGAACAGACGCTGGTTCCATCAGAATCGTAATTCGATTGTCACTCATTTGTCGCCAGGGATATCGTTGGACTTAAAGTATCATTGGTTACACAACTGTGACGAGAGGATATTGTGCAGACCACTATAATCTGCCCAACCAGTTTGTCACTCTCACTACAGTGCGAAGGTACCACGAAGTACTCGACCACTACTGAACAGACAATCGCTACAAAGAGCATTTAAGATTGAACACTGTCTGACAATCCACAAAGTCAACCTGCATCCCAACACCTAGTTCCGATCTAACTCTAACTCAAACTTCTCCCGTGCAACAAAGAGTATATTAGGGGCTGCAGGCAAAGCTCGGCTTGTGACGGGATGAGTGGACTGTATAGTCATGGCATGAATATGCCAGATATGGCAGTTCCCAATATGATGGACCCCGGCTATCCTGTCTACGATACAGGATTTGGAGCACCTTATCCCAGACTGTCTGGTCCACCAACACATTTCGATGGAGTGGCATTCTGGTATAACCCAAGTAATAACGAACAGCTTTATGACCGAGATCATTTCAACGGCCGTGGTGTCCCCCTCCCCCCTTCTGCTATGGAGGCAGCTGCGATCAAGCACAGGAGAACGAGAAGTGGATGCTTTACCTGTCGAAGTAGGCGAGTGAAGGTAGGAAGCCCTTCCCACATCCTCGATGTAACCCTCTGCTAACACGGAAGGAAGTGTGACGAAACCAGGCCGATCTGCGACAGTATGTTCGCCAACGCGCTTTCCATTTGGATTTAGCTAACGTATTCACCAGGGTGCAAAAAGGGCAATCGCGAGTGCGAGTTTCCTCAAGCGTCATCTTCTTCCAAACGATCCAAACACTCTGAAAGTCGAAGTCCTAAAGAGCATGCGGCAAAAAGTGAAAACAAGAACGAAGCCGGGTCGGGCTTGCCCACGATCAAAGATGAAAGTGAAGAAGACGACGATATGGCTTCCTCTGATGATACCCCCGTTCGGCCATCCCTCGAACCACTGCGAGCAGATAGCACCCAATCTATTGGATCCATTATAGATTCAGCACAGCATATTGACCTCTCTCCACTGAGTAGAGAGCATGCTAGTCCCCAATCTACCGACTTATCAGACAATCGTTCAAGAGATGAGACACCAGCCTCGTCTCTCCGCACCGTCACAAATTCAGCTGAGATGCAAGCTATTCACGCAAAGATAAAGACCCTCAAGCCCGACCTCCAGAAATACCTACAATTCCAACAAGACTACATGACATTTTACCATTATTTCTACAAGCTCGACCCAACTGACTTTGTCCATTGCGAATTCATCAACCTCGCCCTTGGATTCGAGCCGTTACTGTACGCCGTGGTTGGTTTTGCGGCTTACCACTACGAATTGCAACAACCGAATCCCAAGTTGTCTCATTTCTTAGGCTACCATAGTCATTCGCTCTCACTACTCAGGAAATCCTTGGAAAAGAATTCCAGAGTTACTGAAGCAACAATTCTGACGGTATTGCAGCTCGCGACGTTCGAAGAATACATTGGAGATTGGGTTAATCTCGTGGGCCATCACCGTGCCGCTCACACGATGCTGAACGAACTGTACACTCCAGACAACATCAACCAGACCGATCTCGGAAGACGCATTTTCAGCTGGTATGCCCGTCTAGATGTCTTTGCCGGGCTAATGGGCGGTACTCAGACGCAGTTGGATCGATCTTGGTATGAAGCTAATGAAAAGTGGTATCGTGAACAGATGAAGCCAGCCACGGATAATGAAACGGATATCCAAGACACATTTGCATATTTCGTGGCTGCCAACCGCCTGATTGGCATGGACATGGCAACATTGTACGCCAAGTTACCAGTAGGTGCAATCAGCGTGGATGATTTCCATGCTGAAAACGCGAAGCTTGAAGCCAGGGTCAAGGACATGCAACGATTGGTCGAGTCCAAGAACAACGCCCTCTATCGGGTACATGATTACCCACAAGAGAAAATTCGCCCTCTGAATGATACCGATATCGTCAATCCTTATGTTTCTGGAGGATTGTTCACAGGTCCACTTTGGCCTCTCAATCACATGTGGCTCGACTGGTACGGTATAGAACAGATGATGAAGTACCAACTGGCATTATTGTTCCAGGAATCCATGCCTCCTGAGCTTGAACAACTGAGTCTAGAAGAATGCCGCATATTTGAAGCTCTCGACCGATGGCCAGATGCGCCAAATGGCGCCATTCTAGGTGCGCACGCCACTCTAGGCCTCTCCTTACTTTTCTTACAGAAAGACGAGCGACATACAATGTGGGCAAGAAAAAGAGTGGCCTCAGTTGAAAGACTAGGCTATATCTACCCAGTTACATTTCGCAGAAAGATGGCCGAGATGTGGGGCTTGACAACGGAACAAGTTGGAGAGGATCAGTGCGTGGAAAATTGGTGGTTGCCAAATGACGAAGGCAACATTCGCATGCTCAAAGACATGCGCAGAGTCGTTATTGAGAGACACGAGAACGACTCAATGAGCATGGAGTCACTAGTCGATGTTCGCGACTTGAAATCTATATTTGCAAAGATGGACCTTCGAACGCAGACGACGACAAGAGCAGGATCCAACACTGGTGGAATTAGCCCCCGCAGTGACGGGAGTGGACCGAACAGTGACAGAGGAAGCAATGCCAGTTTCAGCCCGACGAATGCAAGCTTTTCTGATGCCCGCAGTACCAGTACGGCAGGCTTTGGATATGAGCAAACCAAGAAATCAAAGCCGAAACGAGCGAATTCACGGCCCTGATCCACGAGTTTCACGAGCCTCACGCAATACTACTAGCCAGCCAGCTTTCTTTCTCAAGAATGTGGCTCGTCGACTTTCCTTGTCATGCAGGAAGGCCTCAAACTAGTAACGAAGATGCACCATAAACGACGTAAACGCAACAACGAAACGGGACGCTTTGGACGTGTTCCTCTATGCCTTGCAATAAACTTGCTGGCCTTACACAAAACTTGCTGAGAACGTTCGACAAATTTCACCTTACTCAACTTCTTTCCTTTCACCTTGAATTCAGAGACACAATACGTCGTCCTTCATTTCTCCCGATTTGGTGATCCATATTTTTTCTGCAATATGGGAGCCTTTCATTCGCAAAATGCTTTTCGACATCACGTTTCCCGGCCTCGACCGCGACAAAGCGAGAAACTGAGGAGAGACGATTCTTTTCTCAAAATTCTTTCTATTCCTATATCTATACGTTTCGAACGGCAGGTGGTTATCTCCCGGCCTGTTGTGAATTTCTACCTTCCGACTGTTCGGATGGAATGGTCCCCAGGAACTGCTATCCAATCATCTATTATTCTCGACTCAAGCTCACTTCCATTGATGGGATCCCGATCGTCCTTCGATGGCGAAGCGAATGGTTGATCACTCCTGAGCTACTTCCTTCTATTACCTACAATATTCTCCCTCTCATTCTCCATATTCTACTGCTATTATACCTAGCCAGAGAGACCACAGAACAGCCTTTTACCCCTTCGTGTGTGAAGGGTGTAGTGTAGTGTATTCTAGATATATATAGTCCATATGTTATTTTCCGCAGCAATACCTCACTTGTGAGGATATCTTGCTGATACCACACCACAGCTCATCTCTATACGACATTCTCGATGCTACTTCTGTGTCGTCTATCACGGCCCACGTGCTTCGTGTAGCGCGACCTCGTAGCTCCTTTTGGAATCACTTTTCTTCACACGTACCTCAATGTCTCCGTCTCGTGCAAATCCCGAGCGGGATGAGATATCTCGATTCGGACTCCTCACACGCTCGACGGGTCCATTTTCTCACTGGGACCAAGGCAGCAATGCAATGGTACGGAGATGTTTCGGGGGGCCGACAGTTCAACACTGTCATATCCAATTCTCCATAGAGAGCGAAGTGAGTCGTGCCAGTTGAGAATGGGAGGCCGGCTATTCTGGATCTCTTGACTATCGAGGCTAGCAAAGTATATTTCTGCAATCTACTTTCTTCACGGGATATATCCACATCACATCATGTTACATTCCGTAGAGCTCACTGGTCAATTTGGGTCGCACTCGTCAAGTATCCATTTGTAGCAAAGTAGCAATTGCCGTTATGGGTATTGGAGACACGTACGCGTAGAGGTAATAGTTGGAGGGAGATTTGTGTTTCAGAATTCTATAGTTGCGAAAGAAAGTTCCACAGGCGAGAAAGCCCAGTACGGCAACACGTATCAATTCAATCTGCAAGGTCCCCGACCGGCCGCCCAGCAACATGCGGCCAGCGACGATAGTTGGATCTAGGCTTGGGTGCTACCACTTCCAACCTTGTTACGAAGAACGAGGTACAGGGCTCGATATTCAAGCCCGTGCAGCCATCGAGTCAGTCAGTCAGTCAGCCATGAAGGGCCGTTAGGAAGACCAGGAAAAACGGCCCGTTAGTGAACCCGTCCAGCAAGGAGATGTGGTGCACCAGTGGTACCTAAGGTTCACGATACGGCTCCTCCCCGCGCGAATCATTGTGCTGTTGTGAAGCATGTTTGCACGATTGGTGTTTTTCGACATCAGGGATCAACCCTACGTGCGAACCCACCGGTGCACCCCACGAGTTGAGCAGGAGGCGGACCGTTTTGGGTCCACAGTGACTGGAAGGCATGTGAAGGCGATTCCCGTTGGGTCGATTGTATGTGGGACTTTGAGATCAGTTAACGTACGTCGTCCATGGCGGGATGCATGACGGCTAGCTGGCTGAGCTCTGGTCTCAATTTTTTCTTCGAGAAAGATAGTTTCGTGCGATGGTCCTTGCAGTTGCCTTTGAGGGTTTAGGTGCCGTTGAGTGGATTTGGAAATAAGATGCGGGAGCTCTAGTCAGTCATCAGCACGCTTAACCGTCAATATTGAGAATTGAGTCGTGTGAATTGCGCAAGTACTGTACATCGAGATTAGTAGTGTGAGGAGTTTTAGACTTTGATCTAGCTGAAAAGTACGAAGTACGTGGAGCGGTACCTCCACTGGTGCCCCAGACATGTAGCCAGATATCACGCCTGATCGCGAGCCTGGGCTTGCTGATGGGCCCTTCTCCCGCGTTGGTGGCGAGGGAAGGAAGGGAAACACACTGCGTATTCATAAGTACTCATACCTAACTGCATCTGGCAGGCGTGGACGATGAGCTTTTAGTGAATACCGTCTTCAGTCAGCCTTTGATTCAAAGATGATTCCAGCACATGCCCGTTTGGAGCTTCCGGTAGCCCACCTAAATGGAAGTATGACGAGTTGAGGAGCAAGTTATTGTACAGATACACGTCGTTGGAATGAGAATGAATGATTGAGTCAACGTAAGGCATTGGTGAGCCCCATCGGATAGCAGTACCACCGTGGTACTGAGTCCTTCATAAATACGAATGGATCGTTGCCTCCATCTCGAAGTACAAAAGAGACTAGCGCGCAGATACTCTGTTCTCGTAATCCTGGTCGACACTCGACGGCTAAGCCCTGGAATACCGTACACACTAGCGAGGCATACCCGGTATTAGTGGTCATCTCGAAATCAAAGCCTACCCATCTGGGTGCCATCAATGCCTTCGAGGACTGAGGCCTCCATGTCCGCGTTACTGGTGCCCGTGAGGTGTCTTTGGAGAGTGACTAGTGTAAGGCCCACCTCGGCGTGATTCATGAATATCATGTCCACCGTACCATACCGGGGTGGACAATCGAGCCTGAATTGAATCTTTCAGACGAGTATTGATCCATTAAAGATTAGAGAACAAGGTGACGGCATACGATTGGACGGGATGTGGACGGAATGCGGAGGAAACACCAGTGGGAGCTGCCATCTGCTACCTCATTGAGGGTAGTTGCGGAGACACCTCAACTTCCGAGGTCCTATATTCCTGTTTGCAAGGATACTTGGAGGGCGAAAGGCAGTCACCGAATGCTGCATGATGCTTGTATCCGCAAGGGAAATTTGAGTCGAGGGATTCCACAACAGTTAGCGCCTATCAGAAGTGCTGGGTCAATGGTAGAAAGAGTACGTAGTGCTTCGAAGGAGGTATCACTGGATGTTGTGACTTTGGCATCAGTCTTCCGTGGAAAGGACTTCGTATGTTTAGTGCTCTCAAAAGATTGGTCTGTTGATCCATTTACCCATCAGGTGCTAGACTGTAAGTGAAGTGCAGGGCCAAGATGTTGTGTCTGTTTGTAGAAACTCTAACTCTTGTCAGACCCATGCCAACGGAAGAACCTCGAGTAGCTAGTCCTTGGACGGCCATCAGGGGTGAAACCAGCGTATCAAGGCACCAAATTTTGCACACCAAGACATAAAGAGCTTCAGATCCGAAACTTGTTTCGAACAATTCAGTTTAGTCCCACGTGGGCCGGAAAAGGTGGGCTAAGAACAGCGTTCCAAGAGAAGTTCCGTCTTTTGTTAGAAGGCATTTTAAGACAAGGATGCTGCTTGTTCTCTTTCTGCAAGCTGTTGAGCCGCAATTGTTAGCCCAAGTAGCCTTCTGATAGTGTTTTCTCAGGAGATGCAGCCAATCGGGTTCGTTTACGCCCGTTGACCTTGAATTAATCAAACCTCGGAATATATTCTCTGAAGTTAAGCAGAATGTCTGAAATCAATGAGCATGAATCTTTGCCTGGTCAGGCGGGTGGGCAAGCCAAGTGACCCACATAATGGCCGTTGAATTGCTAGCTGCAGATCAGGAAGCCGGGTAACGCGCGATCGTACTCCGTTTCCCTAGGTTCCAATCCATATGGTCCATGTCTGTGATGACTTGTCCGTTCGAAAGCCACGGGAAGGTAAGTGTTCTCTGCCAAGAAGCTCATTCAGTTGAGTGCTCGTAATCGTGCTCCTATCTCCGTACACAGTCTTGATCAGGTAGGAAGCATCTCCTCAACAGTCTAATTGCATTGGTACGCTTCATGAATTCGAAGGCGCCGCAGGTCCTCCCTCCTCGCCTGGCGTGGCTGTTATTTATACACTATGCTCCAATCTGCGGTTCAAGCCTTTGTTTCGAGACTTGTGGCACAAGGCACCAACAGATGAAACACGAGGATAGAGTCTCATGCCTCCGAGTCTTTCTTAAGTGAGCAGGTAGCTGCTCGTAGATTTCATAGTTCATCTAGGCTCCATATTCCACAACATGACCTGTGAGTACACTGCAAACACGAAAGTGATTATGATCAATAATCGTTAGCTCTTTCGTGACCGGCAACATGATGCATCGGTTTAGGAAATCCTTGGTCGAGGATGAGCAAGGGTTTTCGCTAGTCGTCGGCAATGAGTCCTCTAGTTGCAGAATTGTGCACCTTGCACTCCGGACCAAATCGGTAGCCCTTCTTCTATTGGTCCAACGGGCTGATATCTCGCTAAAAGATATTGCAGACCGTGCAGTTAGTGTGTTTGGAAAATGAACATCTTCATTGATGGCGCCTAGTCCGGGGTAGGATGCTGTGTGCGCTAACCCTACCAATTGTGGTTTTTCAACGGCTTTTGCTTTGTCCAAACGCGTCCCAGAAATGACTGGCTTTAATCAGAAATGGTTCAATATGCTCATCTGTCAGTCCAAGGGCTATCATCATGATCAGATTATCCGTACACCCTCCAGTCGTATTGCTACTATCCTGATTTGGTGCGGAACCATGCACCCCATGTGTTCAAGCTATTCTTTGCCACCTTTCAAAAGTCCCACAGTTTTGATGAATCCTTGCCACTTGGCGTGCAGAACTGGCGAGACTTAGGTCGCCTTGAGCGGAAGAGCTTGGTCATTAGGGTGGAGTGTTGGAAGTTCAAGGCTGCAAAACCTGACCTTCTTACTCCTGTATTGCGTACCTCGTATTGTCCATCGGAGTTTGAGCTTGGGTTAACACCGGTGTCTTGAGAGCGAACGTGGTGGTGATCCGTGAATACTCTGTAGTCCAACTCGTCCCAATCGTTACTGTTTCGCTTGCTTTTGGAGAGGTAAACTCCAATCTACCAGGTACTCAGGGGGTATTGTTGACAGATCCCAAGTTATCGCTTGATGTGCCTGGTGCAGATCGAAACAAGACTGATATTGCACGTCTTGGAAGAGTCGAAGTGATGCATAGGCGGTGAAATACTCAATTCATGGGAGAGAAGAAGAAATTCCTGCGAGATTTGCATCGTCGTTGGATAGAAGTTCGTATTCGTTACCATCATACGTGACTTGGTGAACCTTTAGACATGAGGGCATGTGAAGAAGATGGCCCCGGCGATCGCGGACGAATTTTGCATACAGTCCTGCTGAGCAGTATACGGCTGCCAAGGATACCAATGCTGGATAACAGAATTGCTGTGGCCTTGGAAAGATGATAGTCAGAGCAAAAGCACAGAGTTCGAAAAAGTTTTGAATTGATGCTTCGAATGAAGAAAACGAGCCTCGATGTGACGGTATGACCGATTCTTGAATAATAAGTTGAGCACAGAGATCGAATGACCATAGCCCGAACCGTGAGAAGATCAAGGTAGTGACGAAAAGGGGCAGGGAGGCCTGGCCGAGACCGTGAAAGCCGGTCCATAGGACATAAACAGCCGGAGTGAGACATGCTGCCTGCCACGACAGGAACCATATACCGGCTCGTACTGGACCAATTTTTGACATGAGACTCGGTGCTGCGAAGGTGGATAACAGTTCTGCCAGTGTTGAAACCATTCGCAGCAATCCAATAGTACTCGCCGTGAAGACTGGACTCGGATTTGACAATAGGAAAGTGATCATCTGGCCCGAGAATGACAACACTGTCAAATACAGTGTTGACAAAGCCAGAGAAGGCAAGAATCCTGTTTGACCGATATAAGAGACGAGAGGTTTAGATAATAACTGGACCATGTTCTGCATGGGACCACTGCGTGATCGTGTTGATTCCGTCATCTCAGATGATATGAGATTTGCCTCCATAGCATCATTATCTTCTAGAGGATGGGCCTGCTGACCAAGAGTCGGTACCTGCCAGAAGACTTTGGCAATAAACCAATATTCGACGAGGACAGATGTAGCATTGGTAGCCAAGGTGACCCAAACAGCCAGCTTCGCTGACCAAGAATGTAGAAGTGCGATCCCCAGTGGAGAGAGCAACTTGCAGATGAGATCAATCCGTCGCATTTGAGCGTTAAGGACTTGGAGTGCACCATCATTATCGGCTGAAATGACGAGGACCCAATCCCTCTCGATTGCAACGGTATTCATGATAGCGAAGAGCTTCTCGAGACAAGCAAATATCACGAGTAAAGGGAAGATGAGAAACAGGGAATAGTCCAACATCAGTTGGTTCGATTGAAGAGCGACGGAGAACAAACCACAGGAGAAGACGACCGCAATCCGCTGTCCAACTATGGAAAGTCGAACGACATGAAGTCGGTGAGCCTTGTCGATGTAGCTACCAACTTTAGGGGAGAGGAGGATGGCAGCCAGAGCTCGAACCAAGGCATAAATTGACATGGGAAGCAACGTGCTTGGGTAGATCGTGGCTAGAAATAGGACAGCGCCAAACTCGAAGCCTCTGGAATTCCACATGGATAGGAAATGAGAGACATAGAGGTATGGAGTCGGAAGCGAGTCCGTGTTGCTCGTGGTCTGAGGGTCCATGGTCGTCGAATCAACAGAACTGGGATATCTGGTCACTCGGAATGTAAAGATGAAGAAGATACTCCCACCAAGACAGGTAGCGATACATTGATGATGGTGTAGAGTACTGGAACTCCCTACCACCCAGAGGGGTGGCTTGAGGAGAGTTCCTCCATCGAATTGATCAAAGGATGTTGCATCACGCCTATCAGATTGCAACCAAGATGAAGGAGCGGTGGACTTCAAGTTGGAGGACGTCTCAAATAGTGCTACGGGTGATTGCAAGGCGGAAAATAGATCTACCGAGGTCCGATATGGAAAATAGATAGACCGGGATCCGATCGCACTAAGCTGGAAAAGGACAGACTTGGACGCGTCGCTCACATGCAGCATCAGCCCTACAGATAATTAACTGCAGCCACAGGAGACTATTGACAGCTGTCCGAGACTCCTGGATGCGATAAAATCGTTGGACCTCTTTCTTCTACCCTGTCCTCCTCAATCGGTCTATCTCAGGCATACGACTCACTCGGTGCGCAACATTTCATCGCCGCATTCTCCAAGTCCAAGGAGATCGAGCGCATGACATTTCGCCAATAATGGCCAATACACTGTCGGGGAATCCTTATGACGATGATCATGCCGTGCTCGACGATGATTTCCTCAACGACGGTGGGTGCTGCTTGAGAAACTAGCCTCGTCGTTATGACTGACAATGAGCTAGAGGTTGAGCCGGATGAGCCTTCATACAGTACATCCGACCGGGCACCTTTAACAGGCAACATTCAATCGTCATCCTCGTCTTCACAACCACCCATCAACCAAGGTTATCTAACGTCCCGAGTGCCAGGTGAAGATAGAAGAGCTCCGCAGAACACGATTGACGAAACAGTATGGGCAACGGTCTCAAGAGATCTATGGGCGGTGTGGGAGAAGATGATGCAAGTTCTCTGGCCCAAATACCTCCTTGGAGGGCTCTTGCAGCGACAAGGGGCAGGAACAGGAGATGTGGAGAGTCAAGGATTCGGCCACGATATTCGAGGACTGGTTGGAAGATGGCCCGATGCCGATGGTATTCTTCAAGGAGGCATGAGTGATGGTCTAAGAGATTGGGATCTGTGGTGAGTGGACACTCGGAACAAGACGAGCTTCAGGACTACAACTAACAGGCCCTAGGGGACCTCTCATCTTTTGTCTACTGCTCAGCATGTTCTTATCATACCGAGCTCCCGAGAGCCAGACCGACCTGGTCTTCTCGGGAGTTTTCTCACTGGTATGGATTGGTGAAGCTGTGGTGACTCTGCAGATCAAATTGCTCGGCGGAAACATGTACGTTGGATTTGCAAAGGATGTGGCCGTTGACTTGCAGCTGACAAACATCAGATCCTTTATGCAATCAGTATCCATTATCGGGTACACATTGTTCCCACTGACGATTGCAGCCCTTCTCAGCGCTGTTGGGTTACCCATGATTGCCAGAATACCAGTGTATATTGTCCTGGTTGCCTGGTCCCTGGCGGCTGGGGTCAGTATACTTGGTGGCTCAGGAGTGGTGAAGAATCGAGTGGCATTGAGTGTGTATCCTCTGTTTGTCTTCTATCTCGGGCTGGGATGCCTATGTTTTGTCAGCTAGCCCAGACTTGAGCCTGACAGTACGGATGAGAGTGGTGATGATGACTCTCTTGGTATTCTGTAATTTAGACACGAATGTATTACCAGACTATAGCGCCAGTATCAGCATCAACCTCAGACTGAATCTATGATTTCGATGTTTGTGTAGTCCAATATTAAAAATCACTGACAAGGCTTCCACATCCGGTGGGGCAGAAGTGAAGACCTCGAATGGACGATTGAATCATTGTGCGGAACCACCACCACTACCACCAACTGCGATCTGCATCTGCGAATGGCTGAACCCGAACCGCCATCATAACGCACCATCTCATGTTCTTCATCGCTTCATCGACATCAATTGATGAACTCACAGTAACTCACGGCGATAACCAGTGTTGATACCATTGTCTAGCACTTGTACGAAACTTCAACTCATTGTTATCGCAACGATCTCACCCACTTGCTTCCCACATACAATCTTACGCTTTGTCCTCATTCCAAGATCAGGCACCGCCGTCGCCCTCTTCATCCGTTGGCTTATTGTTCAGCATACGTCTGGTCTGCCCGTCGATCGCGAGCAGTGGACAACCAGAACGACCGGAATAACTGACCCCTCAATCCAGTGAATGAAAAGCCTTCCGGCAAGAACAAACAGCAGGCTTGACACATAACTGGCAATATTGCCCCGCCGCACTTGTGCGCAGGCGCAATTTCTATCAAGAGCGAATACCAAGGGCGAACAACCATCCTACTGCCATTTCGACTGTTCGGCTCTCCACAACTCTGTCCCCGGGTGTGGGAGTCATTGGCAAGATACCTATCGAAATGTCGGCCCAAAATGGTCATGAGAAGCCTCTTGACATCTCCTCCAACCCTACCGATATCATCACACGCGATCGTTCCCCACAGGCTGGAAGCTCCGATGGCGAAGGAGGCGAACGGAGTGCACGAGAGAAATTGAAGAAGACATCGATCGCAGGCTTGGTTCAGAAAGTGAAGGAATCTCATGGGGAAGATTTCGGCGAAAATGATACACTCCTGACCGAGTCAAGCGATCTGCCAACAGAAAACGGAAGTAGAGGGCGACCGTCCAAGAAACGGTCGTTTGAAGATCTACAGAACGATGAATCTGGCTTGAGTGTTGAGAATGGTGGCCCTCCGCTTCCCAAGAAGGGTTTGCATAAGAGAATGCGATCAAGAGAACTTACTGGTGACGACAATGTCCAAACATTTGATAAAGAGGATCTTGCAAGCCCCGTCCAGGAAGAGAGTGATCTTGAAGCCGAGAACTCGCCTGGGGGTCCAGGAATTCTGGTTGCTGCACCCTCCCAAGAAGAGGTGGATAAAGCTGCAGCCAACATGGCATCATCAACATCACCCGCCATCCAAAAGGTCGACCCGCCAGCATCTAATGAGACGTCTAAGATTTCTTCGTCATCTGGGTTTGCCAATGCCTCTGCAACGTCCCCTTTCGGCAACCTGGCTTCTCCTAAATCTCCTTCTCCAACCACGCAGTCTATTTCTTCTCCCGATAAATCTACCTCAATCTCGGCATTTGCCTCCTCTGGTTTGTCGGCTTTTGCTTCATCTGAGAAGTCACCCTTTGGTATGGTTGGAACCACTGCCAAAACCTCGTCTGGAGGCTTCGGCTCGGCTACAGGAGGCTTTGGTGGCGCATCACCATTTGCTAGCAAACCCTTATCGGGGTTTGGCTCGGGTGGTGGATTTGGAAGTGGTGGAGGGTTTGGTGGTGCTGGTGGTGGTGGTTTTGGCGGCAGCACGTCAAAACCATTTGGTACCGGCGCTACATCGTTCGCTGGAGCTGCAGCAGCTGGCACATTCGGCAACGCAAAGCCATTCACATCGTCTAAGCAAGATGATGACGATACCAGTCAGCACGACGCAGATGGTGATGAGCAACATCAAACAGAAGATGACACCCAACAAGACCCCCGTTTCAAAGAACAAGAGCATAGTAAGTCTATCAAAAGTTGTGAAGATAGTATCTCCTATACTTATGCATCCGCAGTTGAGACCGGAGAGGAAGAAGAGAAGACAGTGTTCAGTTGTCGAGCCAAGCTGTATCACTTTGAGAAGGAGTGGAAAGAGCGCGGAGCAGGGGTTTTCAAGATCAATGTGCGTTACGAGGCATCATCACTGTCTGTTACAAAAGACGAAACCACCGAATCAGAGGCTGGTGAAAGCAAAGATGATTCAGAAGCTGATCTTGAAGCCGGCGATGAACTTGGGCCCCAACTCGAACGCAAGGGCCGCCTTCTCATGCGTACAGACGGTGTTCATCGTGTTGTACTCAACACACCAGTGTTCAAAGACATGAACGTGGGGACACTTGATGGAGGAGAACCATCAGGGAAGACCATGTTTTTGACAGGCTTGGAAGATGGCAAACCCATGAATCTGCAGATCAAGGTATGGTGAATTCTAAAAATGAGAGCACAGAGCAGCTAATGATTCTCTAGGTTGGCAAGGAAGACTTCCTGAAGGAAATCTACCACAAAATTAGGGAGTTACAGGAAGACCTGTGAATCTGGTGATTCCGAAGCACCGAGACGTCTTCCTAGATGAGCCTGCCGATAATTCCTGGCGGTGCAACACTTTCGACGATGGCTGTGGACATCAACATGCTCGGAGTTGATAGGGACCCTGGCAGTTTACGGGCAAGCTATGGATTGGCCAAGCTGAAACGCCACATGACACACACACACACGAGTGTTGCCTCTTGTTGTTACACTCGCTGGCCATGTGCATCAGAGTTGGGCACTTCCTTTGGTAGAAACGAAGCGACTTCCAGGAAAACCAATACTATTTTGTTGGAGTGGCATTGATTGAATGCGAAATGAGAGCCGCGATTATTACCCATAGAGTTGCCATCCTCCTGCAGTGCAGGATTACAGGTAGAACTATGAAGGGCATGGTGAGAATAGCGATGAAGGAATGCGCAGGTCAAGCGAAAAACGAGTCCCATCACCCTACACGTTCGTAAGACTAAGAAGAAATAATCAAAATCCCTTTGAGCCTACAATAACTTTATTATAGTGTCTCTGCTGCACAATCATAGTAAGGGCTTCAATGTGCAAAGGACTAGCTTCGGAAGTAACAACTTGAATGGGAGTCTAGAATGGCTACAAATGTGAACATCGATTCGATCACACCTCGGGCAGTGGCAGAAGATCCGACCACCACCATTGACCCATCGGATCATCAACTAACAACGAGTCATATCCTGCCGTACTGTCGTATGCGCTCACTTCATGGCTAGTGTGGTTGGCGGTGACGGTCACATTCCCCGGCAATCCGCGAACAGACTCACTTGAGCGCTGTGGCCAGGCGGCATAGTCAGCCTGACGATAGCTAGGCGTTGCGTCGCCAGACAGCACGTCGGTCCGATCCTGTTCCCTCCTTGCTCTGTGGATGTCGCTCTGAGCCGCCTCGAAGACAATGTACCAGTGCGAGCAAAGAGCCGGGCCAAACGGACTGAAGAGATCCTGCTGGTGTGGACTCAGGTCAATCTGTTCCGGGTGAGAGGAGGTGGTCGATACATTGCGGATGGAGTGGAGGACTCTCTCGGCGCCGAATGCAGTGGGAAACCGCTTCTTCAGCTCCAGGATCGCTTGGTCCGTGATTCGCGTTTCCTTTCCTGCGTTCGCAGCCAGCGCCGGGAATCGGTGCGCGGAAATCTGCAGCAGCGAGGCTACGAGCAGGTAGAATATCGAGGCCGGCGACACGAACCAGATGTCCGCCCAGTCGAGGTATTCCTCAAAGATGCCGGAGATGAAACTCGCGGCCAGCACTGATACTCCCGAGGGGCATTTGTCTGGTGCTTCTTGTCGGAACAAGATGATCAGCGCCACAAAATAGGGCACATGCAGCTGTCGGCTGCGGAATGAGTAGGGTTTCAAGAGATTCGTGGTGCGGTCGTGCAGGTGGAATATCTCTGGAAGAGCACCAATCCACGAAGACAGGGATGTCTCGAATTCGAGGCGCTGGTTTTCAGTCAGGTGTCCACGGAGGCAGGATTGTGTCAGGTCGCCCAAGATTCGCGTAATAGAAATGAAGTTCATGAAGAGAAGAGCATCCTCGTCGAGTACAGCGAAATCTCGAATGTTGAGCACTCGCATATTGGAATCCTGTGGATTTATGGCGCGCGGCCGGCCGTGACTCGTGGCGATTTGACTGTCTCTGGACTGTTGTTGAATAAGTCAAATCAAATTCTCTAACATCTCTGAGGATAGGTCGCACATACCACGAGCGTCCACCAAAGCTTCCTCCAAAGTTGTGCATGCTGATGGCGTTCATTGGGCTCCTTGTGCAAGCCTATTTGGTGGGCAAGGGCAACCCCTATTCGGAGCCAAAAGCTGCTGTTGTCGATCGAGATATGTTCCGGTCCAGACTGGTTCCACCACTGCAGGAATACCGTAGCAATGATCACATCAACCGTGTTGTGCTCGTCTCCAGAGTAGAACCTGGCCTTTGCACGTTGATAGCACTGCTTGCCAAACTCTGCGGCTCTTGGTGCGGTTGAGACTTTCGATCCCGCGACAAGAATTGATAGCATCAACATTGATGGTTGGTTTGCAGTACCGGAGTCGTTGAAGATGGCGTGAATTCGATCTACGTCCACTAATGGCATCCACGGCCCGCATTTCTTGATGAAACTGACGATTAGGCTTTCCCTGATTGATGAAGATACCATGCCGTCTACTGTAAAGTTTTGAACTGTCAAATGAGGCGATGGTGTTGGGGTTTTGTTGTTGGTTTGCCGATATTGAGACGCATCTTGCTCGTCAATGATGACATGAGTGTCGAGGTAATTCGACCTCCCAAGATAACTCGGCTCGACTGATGACCCGCCGCTATCTTCCACTGCAGATGTCTCTCGATTGGTATGACCACCGTAGACCTGAGTTGTCAGAGTAGTAGAAGGGGCAATACCCCTTTTGCGTTTGCGAACATGTGGCCTGTCTCGGCTATCAATTGATGCACTGAATTTGTGGCTCAGGAACCCACCTGCATTCAGTTCCAAGGTGGCGACAACTGGAGCACGATCCTTGATGGTCGAAGGATAATGCGATGTCGCAACGTATCTTTCTCGAATGGCAGTTTGCGCATGCTTGTCCCTGTTTTGTTGGCTTCGGGCCCATTTTGGGCAAATTCTGTCAAGCAATCCTACACACAAGCAAAACCACCATTGTGGCAGTGGTTGGGATATTGGCCACACAGCTGAGGAGCTAATAGACTTCTTTGATGCAAAGATATACGAACCTTCTGATGAATGTCTGATTAAGGGTAGACGTGGTTGAGGATCAGAAGATCTAGACATCAAAAAATTGAATGCGGAGCAAATAGTTTCCTTAAAGCTTAATTTGAAGTCGCCTATCTGCGGCTTAGCCTCGTCAATAACCTGGTCGCGCTCGAGATGCTGACCAGAGCTGTACTCAGACAGAGATTGCTATTCTTCACCCACGCTGCGTGGTCGATCTTCGGCTAGTACCTACGGGAGGTATATTAGCAGTCCTAGACCCGACTAGGGCTCAATCGAGGATGACTCAATTCCAGACTCCCAACGAATCCGAACTCCGAGTGATACTTCCAAGCGCCCAACAATAAGTCCAGTATCTTTCTCTGGCATCACAAGCATAGCTTCTGTGGACTGTAGGGTTCAGTCAATAAGCAAAATGCCCGTTGGAATAGATCTGTTGCAAGATGTTCGTGCAGCCCGTGATAAGGTTGTGGTTTCTAGCTGTTTATTCAGACCCTAATGACACGTTACGTACTAGCATAAGACCAGGGACTCTAGTGGTCTCTCGAGCAGAGATTGGGCCTCTCTTGGAAGCTCATAAATTTACTCCGTACTATAGGTAGATTTCTAGGCCCTTTGCGCACGGCTCAGCCGAGTACAATCACCTGCATTGTAGCTTTTGCTTAGGATTTGTTACTCCTTGTTTAGGATACGGCGGAAGATGCTCAAACGTGAGTTTAGATCGCGGAATTTCAAAGAGATCGAGATTGATTAAGTATCGTGCCATTGGTTTGCTGACTATATGCGCTGTGGTTGCGCAAAAACCGGCGTTCCTACGCCTATCACTACTTCGCTGCTTAAAATATGAAATATTGCAATCTCTGACAGCCGGCTTGCGATCTCGCGCAGGGTCGGCGAGTTAATCGCAATACTAGACTCAAACTTGAGGGAGGTCTTTTCAGACCTCCACGCCTGGGTAACCCGAACAGCTGCATCATCTGTCTTGCATGGAACCCAAAGGGCGAAAGCGCCAGCAGCATCGGCGCCGAATGCGGGCAAGTACGTCCATGTCAAAAAGCCTTTGTTGGCATAGATTCCAGGTAATTTTGGCGTCCCAAATGTGTTGAGATCATTATCGGGGACTGCCTCTAGGTCACCGAGAACCATGTTCACCAATACTTGCCCATTCGAAGAAGCCGTAGCACAAAAGCGTTTCGAGTCGTGTTGGGCGGTTAACGTGTTAAACACTGCAGGTATTCCGTAAGTCTCTCGATCCCGGATGATCCAGTCCATCTGGTCATTGAGGACTAAGGGAATATTTGTTCCACGAATAATCTCGTTCTTGGAGGTTTGATAGGCGACATCATGAATGTGGAGTCAGAACGCTTCACAACGACCACCACCAAGCCAGCCGACAGCGTCGAACGTCGTATGTGCAAGAGTGCAAGTCACTACGGTCCCTGGAGCCTCGATCGAGAAAGACGGTACTCCTAGAGGTAGGAAACTTTGGAGTAGGGTCTTCGAAGTTCTAAACTGTATTGATGCTGTAGTAAACGGCGACTGGTCTGAATGCGAAGGTTGAATGAGGATTGGGGAGAGCGTTACCGACGCTGAACGCGCTGCTTTACTGGTACGAGTCCATTTCCATTCTCTCAACTTCTGAGCCGAGTTATGAAATTCGTCATGTCCAAAGTTATACCTCCTATGCTCAATTGCTGCTGGAGTCAGTGTATCAACAAGAGAATCACCATCGCAAGAGCTTACTGTTGAGTTTCTCGTCAGGCACATCCATCCCGGCAAGGCGTGTGTTCTCTTGGATCTTGCAAGCTCGATCATATCGGATAGAGTTGTAAAGGCGCAACCGCTCTGAGACCTCTCCAGAGTTTAGCCCCCTTTCCAAGACTACACCTAGAGCTACAGCGTCTTCCATCGCCATTGCTGCTCCTTGACTCTGATGGGGCAAAAAAGGTGCGCTGCATCGCCTATCAATGCGAGTCGCGAGTTGACAAAACCAGGTAAGTTTTTCATATCCAGCAGCCTCCACAACTTCAAAGAGTCAGGATTTGCTTTCTCCAGCAACGCTTGAAACTTCGGAGCGAAGTCTCGATAAACATTGAGTAGGGTTGCTTTGCTCGTATTCGTGCTCCAGCCATCCCCAGCATCAGACTCAGACTCGGGATGTATGCAAAGTAGATTGAGCAAGGTGTTGTCTGACGTCGGATAAGCAATGATACGTCGATCCGTGCCAAGGATAACTGAGAAGATGCCAGGTTTCTCGCAGAGCGGCCTCGTCATCGGATCGTTGAACGCATCCTCTCGAGGAACCATGAATCTGAAGCCGCTCTTTCCTGAACCAAAGGTCTTCGCACTCTTTCCGCCAGGGACTACGCGACGTGATTTAGAATAAATACCATCGGCCCCAATCACAACGTCGGCATAGACTTTGTTTTCATCCCCCGGCGTTATCGATGCATTTTCCGGGTCGACATCCACAACGGAACAGGACAGATGCTGCTCACATGGTGGCCCGAATCCATCGCTGGCCAAGGCTTTCTCTTTCAGCACATCGTGTAAGCGGACCCGGTGCGCTGACATCCAATCCTAAGATTTATCAGAGCATACGCAAAGGAAGTAGTATGCACCACTTACATGTTGCCATAGTTTACTGGCTTCGCCCAGATTAATTTCACGATACAGCTCACCAGAAGCACTAAATTCGCGGACCTATGTAAGTTTTCGCTTTCAGTAAGAGCCTGCTCTGTGCCGCTGGAGTCTTACATATTCAACTTTGTTTGCCCCAATTGTGGGGTCAACTCCGAGCGCCTTCAGAATACCGTACGCATTTGGAGCTATGTGTACTGCCGCGCCTAGCTCTTGAGCAAAGCGACTCTGCTCATAAATCTTATTCACGTTATCAGCAAGCCCTAAGGAAGCCCCTTATGCAAGAACCCAAGTTTGTCACCTTGACATGATGGCCATTTCTGCGCAAGGCGATGCCGACAGTCAGCCCGGCGATACCGGCGCCAATGACAACCGCTTGGAGCGGCTTCGTCGATTCGATAGATGACTGTGCAACGAATTTTATAGGTGGACTCGACATCATTCGAACAAGGCACTCTTGCGCTGTCTGAATATGAAATCGATGACAAGGTTTGAAGCAAAGCTTTGTGATATATGCTATTATGGAAGATCACTCAGTAACACTGAAGGCTCTTCATGGCAGATTATGGTTATCATTACCAGGAACGCGCTTGACAGAGACCAGACGATAAACTGATACCAAGGCTTGTTCTGTAAATTTGTTGCGAGGATTCCCCAGCGCGTCTTCTTCATGAGTTACGTTCGCTCGGAAGAGATGGGTTTGTCACCCCAAAGGTGAAGACCCGTTGCGGAATGGGAGATTGGGAGCCTCGCGAACTGTGATTCGCGGATCACCGATTCATATTTCCCCGGAAAGAGAGGCCCCGGGAGGGGCCATCAGCGGGAGATGATGTTCGGCTCAGACTTTGTTAGTGATAGTTCGTACGCTGAGGACACGGAACCAAATGGCTGCAATAGCAAAGCACAGATCCCTGACTATCGTGATCTGTAAACTAAACCAAATAATATGCCCCCGAGGATTGCTAACTCCCTCTATTGAGAATCATTTTCGTGTTAGGCTTGGAGTATTGGATGTAAGAGACCTCGAGCTGGTCAATAAAAAAAGGCTGTGGTCAGAAATGACATTCGAGATTTGAAAGAGGTCACTTTCGATGAAGAGAACGCACTCGTTTTCGAGAAAAATGTGTCTGTGCCCCTCAAGGGCTCGGATTTGCCTGTACGAGCGAACATTTACCGTCCTCTTGATACATCACGTCAGTATCCAGTCTTAAGTAGCTATGGTCCGTATGGGAAGGACATATTTTACGGCGAGTGGGTATATGATTTGTGAGACGATGACTGGGCAGGTTGGAAAACTGGTAAGATGCCCAAGGTATCAGTTCGAGTCAGGAAGGGTGATAAAGGAGTGAATGATGCAGCCGCGGAAAGGGCGTGGTCTACTCGACCAGAGAATGAGTGGCCTATCGCCCGTACAGATTATCAGCGCTGGTATCTCACTCCCAAATACACGTTAGGAACTGACCCACCTTCAACTTCCGCAGTACTAAACTACAAGGCACTTGGAAGCCTCAAGGATCCCCAGCTCTTCCAATTTCGCAGTGCACCTTCCAAGCAGGAAACAGAGATTACCGGTCATATCACGGCACATTTGAACTTGTCCTTGACTCGGCAGCTTAATGATTTGGACGCATGGGAGCGTCCAGAACTCGATATTTTCGTGACTCTACGTCACATTGGTGTGGATAGGCAAGAGATAACTTATACAGGAGCGGCTGGAGATCCGGTTGCACTGGCCAATGGCTGGCTACGACTGAGTCTACGCAAGGTAGATGAAGATCACCCAAAGCACCGTCCATGTCTACCCAGGCGAAACTATTTGTCAACAGATGTACTCTCGGTCGAACCGGGCGAGGTATATGAAGTGGATGTAGAAGTTTGGCCAACGAACGTGGTGGTGGAAGAAGGCTGCTCGTTATTGTTCGAAATATCCTCAGGCGATACTAGAAATTCGGGTCTCTTCACACACGACAATCCGGTTGACAGACCCGCATCTCGGCTAGCTGGACTCAACTACGTCCATTTTGGTGATGGGATCCTTAATTATGTTGTTTTGCCAATCATGCCACCTGCCAATGAATCTAATCAGGTTGTAGAGCCATACTAGTAGTTGACACACCTAGTTAAGCAAGTCCAATCATATTTAATGGTGTCGACCGCAGGTTTCGAATAGTGTTTCCCCAAATCAATGCAACTTCTTAGTAGACACTCGGGGTTTGCTATTTCTCTGCAGTATCACAATGCTAAGAAAATGTCAACTAGGACAATGGGCGCAGGAAATTGCGAACCCCGGTGGCAACGATCTGATATCCTCCAAAAATTAACGCACAAAGAGTTGGAAGGACAATCACCACGCCACCCACAAGAGCACCTCGGTCAAAGAAGCCAATATCAAAGCCTGAGGATTGCTTGACCGGCTTGAAAGGGCGCACAGCATGCCCACAAAATTGCCCTGGATTTTTGTCCGACGCAAAGGATCGGATCCGCTGAGGCGCTGGTTTTGACATCTCAAGGGTATCGTAGCGTAAATGAAGATCGACAGCATGATTGGTAACTGGTAGGGGCGGACCAACTATATGATAAATCAAAGATGAGCGTCGACAGACCAGATGAAGATTCACTCACCCAACAGCGGCAACGGAATCTGGTTTAGCATGCATATATCGCTGTCGATGAACAATGAGAGGTATTTAGCCTCCCCTGCACTGGAGAAAGAGTACAAGGCCAGACAAGGCCCTCTATGGTCGAAATTTAAAGTCAGTACAACTCAAGAAGCTGTCTTAGGGACATACTGCTCTGCAGCGATTGTCATGGCATCCACAATTCCTGTCACAGTCAAAAGGTGAATAGCCTGAGTGGGAGGCTTGCCCTGAAGTTCAAATGCACTGTCTGTAATCAGTTCGCTGTTCCAAAAACTCGTGTGCTGATATACTCACTTGCGTGTGTATTCTTTTATCTGCACTCCAGATAAATCGAGCAATACGTTACCCTTCGATTTCGAATTTTTGGGGGTTTTCACCGCTTGTACCCTCTCCGAATGCTGTTGTAGTGTTGAATACTCAGTTTCAAGTATATCCTTACACTGTGTAAGAAATTCGTCCTTGACCCATTCGTTGGCAAGCACAATATCGACGCCATAAGGGGAACTTCCGCCAAATCGGCACTTGGAAGCAATTATCTCACTTGCCGCTTTTCGAACATTGGCCGTTCCATCAACAACTGCGATAGTGATTTGGTGAGGTCGATGCTGCAAAGAATCGGGGTAAATAGTTGCATTTGTGGTTTGGTCAACGACTCGACATCGAGAGAGAAACGTGGCGTCCTCGATCCTGGTCGAGGCAATGATGCAAGAAGCGCCGTCAAATATCTCGAACTCCGTTCGGAAATATTGGTCAACCGCATGCAAGCTAGGCTCCAACTAGATTTACTGCAAATTAGCCCATCTATCACGCATGCACAAGCAAAGGCAGAGCTCGTAGAAAAAAACTTCTTACCTCCAACAGAACCACATTGCCTGCCGCGAACGCTGCGGCTAATGCCGATATAATTGAAAAGAACCTTGTACGTAGTGTAGGTTTAAGAACGACAACGCCATACGGAATCCTCCTCTCCGCGTTGTTTTCATTTCTTGTAATCCGAAACTCTTCTTGAATGCTGTGATTGAAATCGATGTCTTGATAGAGCCTTCGAATTGCATTCAGCGACAGAGCAAGCTCTACTCCGACATCCGCATCTGCAGAGCATCTGTCCTGCTTGATTGCTGCCCGTATTTTCTCGAGGTCCGTTCTAAGATGACTATGCAGGAAAAATAGCTGACTCTTACGATATCGGGCATTACGGCCTCTTCCGTCGAATGCCGTGGCAAGTAATTCGTTGTAAAGCCTATCAGAAGCAGGTTTCACATTTAGTTTTGGCATCTCGTCCTTGGTCTCCTATCAGAGAAAGCTCTGCCTCGCTCAGTAAACGTGCACTTCGGAGCACTTGTTAGTAAGAGCTGGCCAGAATCATCTATCTCGTCCCATCTGCTGCTAATGATGTGAACACAAGTTCAAGTACTTGACCAGTATGCTACATGGTACATCCTTCTTCACCCGGAAAATACAGTTCCCACCTCGGTGTCGGTGTTCACTTGGTCGGACTCGGAGGGTAGAGAATGTGTGGAATGCTAACTCGACGAATCGGAAGTTGCGGGGCCGGTGGCGTAGGAGTGTGTTTCCATAGCCGTTTGCAGCTCCGCGGTCAGCTGTTGTCGAATCAAAAGCCATGGGTTATCCGCATAACGACACTGGGCATGCGGTATGCATCTTATTCATCCAACTCAACTTGACAACTTCATACGAAGCTGTCATTGCCAATGGCTACTTCGATGACCACCACGACGACCTTCCCTGCAGCGACTTTGAGACTTTCAGATCACGAGAGCAGTAGACAAATATTTTTACTCGATACAGAGGTCGATCAGACGGCTCTCCCAGCGAACCCAGAAGATTGGCCTACAGATTACAGACGCGTGCCCGAGGTACCGTCGCACAAATCAACAATTGGATGCTGCGGAAAGGCCCTATGGAGCGAACGCTCTCGAATTTGCATTTATCTCTGTCATGATGTATGGAGTTCGAATGCAATCGGTAAGCAAACCTTGGATCGAGGAAGAGGTTGCTCCATCAAGAGCTCGAATTGCTCATATGCTGTAGGCTTATACGATTATCTGGGAGACTACAGGAGGTCGGTACTGGCCCGGGTTGACCAGGTGGAGGATTGGAGGCGAATGGTGATCCGACATGAATTATTGCAGATTGTCGAACTTTGTTAAATTACTGAAGACAAGTATACCCTGCCATTCCAGCATTCTGGTATTATCGCACAGAACCTAGCCTATCCCGAAAGCTTACAGGAGGCCATTATCCTGCACTGATGTTTTCTATGTCAAGTAATGCACAATAACTCAAAATGACCAAGTGTAACGCTACTGTTGCATTCCAGGTCATACTCTCCAATTTTGACCTGACACGATAAGATGTACTAGCACTGAAGAAACTCACAACAAGAGATCTGATGGAGTGGTGGATATCTTGTGTCATGTCACTCGCCACTTTCAATGTCTGTCCCGCTTTAGCCTTTCAAGCAGAAGAGTCCCACTTTGGCTCTGTGTCCAGCAGAACAAACATCATCCGTGCCAATTCGCTTTTGCTGGCATTTTTCCATTCATGGTCTTAGCACGCTGGACGCAGCTGTCTCCTCGATGGAGCACTCGTGTCTCCCCCGAATCCAACCCAGCTATTACGGATCCCTCAATAACAACACCGTAGTCAAGACTTTTGGTTCTCTGCATCTCTGATGTGGCACCGGGAGGAAAGTCCAAGAAGCGGAAGACAGTTCCACTGTTGATGGAGATACCTGGTGCATTCTTGAAATAACCTTCGTACGTATTGATATCTTGTGCATCCTCGAGTTTGGCTGGGAATTCATTGGTAGCATATCCAAGGCCCACTTTCGCAGGAAGAGAGGTACCCTCGAGGGCAAGCTGATCAAGATCTTTCAGATGTAAGTCCTCATTGATCTGGGTGGAAAAGACTGCTTTTCCTTGTGCGTCGTGGTCTGTCACGAAGCGTTTGAGAGGCCGTAGAGCTGCCATTTGAATCAGCCTGAGAGGTTCCAATTATTTTCGAACCAAAATCTCACTCACATAGCAGAAAGCTTTTTACAGAGTGCGTTCGAACCCAGTTCAAGTATCATGCCAGATATTATGATTTCGAAATTGTACTTGCCAATGAGTAGGCCACAGCAATTGCCCTTACGACGAGCCTTATGGGACTATTTGTGGAGTGCACCCTCTGATCTAACCAACCGCCATAACAATTTGGCCGGAATTGGAGAACTTGAGGGCAAACAGCGAGTTGGATCCTACTTAGGCAGTTCCAATCCTGAATTTCCGAAGCAATGACTTCCCAATCATCTTTGACCACGGTTGGATTGAAGTTTGTGCTGATCGACAAAGGCATCCGGAACGAAGTCATGCTGCCACATCAATTGTTTTTCACGCATAATCCTAGGCCTTAGCCATCGCAAAAGGATTGACATGCTTAAAGTGATCCCACTCCCGACTTTCCATCCTGAAGCATCTCACAGCGGAACAAATGGCCGTTGCGGCTTACACCAACGCGTGTCTACCACAAACTATGTTTTGACACGAAGGAATCAACCTATATCGATCCTTGTATGCAATAATCCTCAATAATCTATGTCCCTGTCCCCAGGATTTGTTTTTCTAGTAATAGCACTGCTTGTGTGCATAGAAATATTCCATTCTAAATGGATGGTTTCAAAGCATCACGGAGTAACACCACATCATCATGATTGTTGACAATGATTCGACTGCCGTTCGAATGACCGATCAACCTATGACCCATTTGTCACTGCGATACATTTCACTTTGATGTTTTCAATGCCAATAGCAGAATCTGCTGCTATAGCGGCCTTATTCGGAATGCCTGTGTTGGCTTCGGCAAGCGAGTCGGCTTTCAAGGCTGGTCGATCTGCTTTACCAGCAGTCGTACCCCCATCAACCGGCATGATCAGACCTGTGATCCAGCGGGCTTCCTTTGAGCACAGGAACAAAATTGCTGTCCATCAATCAGTTGACTCATCATTACACATCTCACGTTTATGTGACTTACCATATCCCACGTCCCATCCTGTACCTTCAATCTTCATCAAATTCTGATTGATTCGTGCTTGCCGCATATCATCGGTCATGCCTCGCCCCCTTACCATAGGCGTGAACACCATTCCTGGGCACACACAGTTCACCCTTATGTTTTCCGGACCGTGCTGCGCGGCCATTGCGCGTGTCATCTGGATAATTGCTCCCTTGCTCGTTGGGTATAAAAGGCTTGGATTGCCGCCCAGTAGCCCAGATACCGAGGACATGTTCACTATGACCCCACGACCATTCTTCCGCATCTCTGGAATGACGTGTCGACTCATGAGCACCATGCTCGTCACATTGATGCGGAGGTCGCGTTCCCATGCTGCGATGTCCAAGTTAGTCGCGTCTCCTAACGCACCACCAACACCAACAATGTTGACCAATATGTGGATAGTTCCGAACAATTCGACAGTTTTTGTTACGGCGTTCTTGCACGATTCCTCATCGGTGACATCTGTTCGAATGACTGCTGATACGCCTCCTTCCTCAGTAATCATTCTCTGTGTCTCTTTTGCCCAATCCTCATTGAAGTCGAGGAGTGCCACTTTGGCACCTTGTCTGGCCAGTAGAATGGCTGTTGCTCTTCCATTGCCAATCTCACCTGTTTACAAGAGTCAGTGGATCTGTTGGAGACCATGTTTTACATACCCGAACTCACCATCCAATCTAGATCCGGCCCCAGTAACAACGGCAACTTCTCCGGAGAAGCTGAATGCTAATGGTGGTTGATAAGAACCCATTTTGAGTATGCTTGAGGGCCTGACTTTAATGCGGTAGTCTTGCTTTCAGAGCTAATTCTCATCATCTTATGAGAGACGTAAGTTGTAATGATGCTTATGTCGCATAGTGCGAAGTTCGTTGGCTGCTCACCGGACATGGGATCAGCGATCTCGTTTGCCACACGAAACGGTGATATTGGACTCTGATGCCGAATCTCCGTTCCCTTACGCAACCCCTCACCGGCGATACAGTCATGAAACACCGAGATGCAGAATGCCGCCGTGGTGGCTAGTCGCGGGTTCTTCAATTACTCCAAACCAGTGGGCGTAGCACAAGTAGTGGTTTTGATTTTCTGATTGGTCAGATCAAATTAGGAATATCCTGAACTAATTCCCATGTGTCTGATTATAACACAAGTTGTTAAAGGAGGGTAGTTTGGTGCTCCATAGAAAAGGGAACAGCCTTGTGAGGCGAATTTGCACTACGGCTTTTCCTTTGTCCAACTCTCACTATAACAGAGACCTAATGCATCAGTCGCCTCATCTGAAGAGAGCATGAATAAGCAAAAAATGCCAGTGCTGCCTGAAAAAAACTTGTCTAGAGTTTTGTGGGCACAGAGCGAGTTGTGATGACCTTTGTTTGCGTAATAAAAAATTTCTAAACTACACTGCTTTCCTGATAACCCTTTGGCTACTGCGCAAGCCAGAAATTGAACCATTGTATGATTCCTCTTAAACTCTCCTCCTTTACATATCCTAATTGAAGCGTTAGTCAAATCTTTACGAGATAATTGATTATACCAGTTCAAGCAAAGGGGCACCAAGGTCGAAGGATCATACTCTCATATGCATTGTTCATATTGCCACGGAGTGCAAAACCATGCTCTACCCTTGAGAATAGCTGAACTTGATAAGCTTTCTTGTCATTCCGAAGAATGTTTATTGCTTTTCGGCGAGATTCAGTGTCGAAAGTGTGATCAATTTCTGAACATGAAAGAAACAGAGGCCCTAAGGTGTCTTGTCAGTGCTGTAATTGCGAGGAGTTTAGAAAGAGAAGGATTACTCTTCAGATTCTGAAAATGATGGTCTTTCAGGAAAGCTGGATGTGCAAATGCTCCGCAAGACGAAATACCATTTGCAAGCTCATTGCACACATATGGTGCCCCGAAACAGTATCTTGTTGAGCCCAGCTGGTCAGTATCAGCTGAAGCAGTAGGAGATCACCTTTCCTCACCCTACACAGGCATATTTTGTATCAGAGTTACCAAATTTTGATTTGACCTCTGTAACCCATTTCGGCACCGCTTCATCTGCAAAGGTAATATGTTTGACCTTCCATGCCTCGTAGTCGAAATTGGGATCCGAGTTATCATTTCTGTCTTTACGATGTTTCCATACTGGATCCTAAGGCCATCAGTTTCTTTCGACTACACGTAGAGGCTTCAGATAACAAACCCCCCGAAAATAGTCAGGCCCCAGAACCTGGTAACCTGCATCCGCGAATCCATCCATGATGAGGAAGCCATTGGGGAAGAAGCCCCAAACATCTGGAAAGTATAAGACAATATTGCCATTTGCCGTTCCCTCTTTGGGGGATGTGATATAGGTGTTCATGCCAGAGACTGTCTCGAAGCGACCCCTGCCCTCCCCTTCATGAATAGAACCCTTGAGACAGCACTCGCCAGATGGCTTTGCAAGGTAGTCATCTTGGCCAGGCATAATTGTGTGAAAGGAGCGATTTCGGTAGCGATAGGATGAAACTGATGTCAGGGCGAAAGGCCTCTATGGATGCAAAACCAACCAGGTCGTCAACACGCTAAAATTGAGGACAATCATCCTGGATGATATCATCGGCTAATTGCACGCTACCCCAATCTTGAGTTCGAGTATCTCCTCGTGCGGGGACGGCGAAAGTGGCGGCGATATAGGAATATAACCGGTGAAGTTGATTTCGCCGTACTAGCTTTGGGCAGGGGCATGGTGCCGTCACCAGTTTTTCATTCAATCAATCTACTGGCAATACCTCTTTTGTGACGCCTGACTCTCTCACCTAGTTGACTTCGCCCTCATTTATGTGTTCAGGAACCGTTCCGAGTCGAGTTGGCCCCATGCGCAACCTCGGATACTTGCATTTCCCCATATATGCTACCTCAATCCGTTATTTCCCCATGGGCTCCTCGTCGTTCCATATATATCGCCGTACCGACCTTTTTCACAACACATCTGCCCCTTACTCTGTTAAAGTGACAAAAATAGACGGTATCTGGTAGCAGCAAGGACCTGACATGACTTCACACGGAATGGAGCAGCATACCAATGATACAGTCCAACAATCTGCCCTGCGTCAGACGGCTAGCAATATCGAGAAAGGATTACACAAGCATTCAGAAGTTTCTGGGCTCGACGATCCTGCCTTGGAGGTCAGTTTGCGTCAAGACCTCGTTCATTCGGCCATGAACTAACTTTGAGAACAGGGCCAAGCTGTTGGCTATAGGGAATATCGGGAAGGTCTTGACCTAGAAGTATCCCATCGAGAGGTATCTTATCCACGTACTTTTTTGCCCTAGTGCAGCAAATTAACACTACTTCCAGGAACGCAATGTCCGATGGAAGATCGATCTCATCATTTTACCCATATTTCTCGTCACGCAGTGCCTCCAATTCATGGACAAGACCGCCCTCAACTATGCCAATCTCTTCGGATACCAAAAAGCTCTAAATTTGAAGGGCACTCAATTCAACTATCTCTCAGCTATGGTGTACGCCGGGTATTTCTTCGGACAGTATCCCTGCGGCTGGTTGATCGGTCGTTATCCTGCTCAGAAAGTACTTGGAATTAGCTGTCTTCTCTGGGGACTTATGGTCATCATTCTTACTCAGTGCCATTCATACTCCTCAGCATTGGCGGTCCGATTCTTTATGGGTCTCTTCGAAGCGGCCGTGACACCTGGGCTAACTCTGATGACTGGGTTCTGGTACAAACGAAGCGAAATACCCCTCCGTCAATGTGTCTGGTACTCCTCGCTTGGCTTCGGTGGTATTATTGGGTCCTATATCTCTACTGGAGTCTCCAAACTTCCTGCAGATTTTTCACCACAACGATGGCAACTTGTTTTCTACATACTTGGTGGGGCGACCATGCTATGGGCTTTCGTACTGTACTTCTGCCTCGCGGATACGCCGTCGAACGCTAGGTTTCTCAGTGAGCGTGGGCGTCTTATCGCTGTGAAACGTGTTGCCGCCAACGAAACTGGCATCAAGAACAAAGCATTCAACAAAAAGCAGGCCATACTAGCATTTTATGACCCCAAGGCCCTGTTGATCTTCACCTCGGTTTTCGCTGCCGCGATCCCTAATGGAGTCATCAACTCCTTCTCAACAGTCATCATCCGTGACATGGGCTTCTCAACCACCAAGACAACCCAATTGAAGTCTGTAGGCGACGCCGTACAGATAATTGCCCTCATTATCGGTGGCACCATTACGCTGACTGTTCCAAACTCACGACTGCTGACCGCAACCGCAGCAAACTTGTTGTGTACCCTTGCCGCAGCGCTAATGGCTTATCTTCCACGGTCCAACACCTGGGGTCGACTGGTATGCTTCTGGCTGGTCAATTCACAGTCTGTCGGTTTTACCATCTCCCTTATAACTGTCAGTAGTAACATGGCTGGTTATACTCACCGCAGTCTTGCAAGCGCGATGGTGTTCACGGCATACTGTTGGGGCAATTTTGCAGGACCGTTCGTCGTCAAGCAAAGCGAAGCACCTACCTATCCTACGGCCACTGCGGGCCTCTTAGCAGGATATACTATCAAAACTGCGTGCCATTTGGCGCTTCTAGGTAAGTATCTGGCACAAGTATCTTCTCACACATGATTGAGAGGCTAATGCTCACTTTGGTAATTATAGCATACATGTTTTTCGTCAATAAACGACGTGATAAGACATACGGAACTGCCAACAAGGAGGCCAGTAATGAAGCTGGAATGCAAGACAAGACCGAGTTCGAAAATAAAGACTTCCGTTATGTTCTTTGAGGGCGAAAACTCGGAGCCCGCTGAAAAGTAGACTTTGTAGACGACAGATCAGTATGATTGATTAAATTGAAGGTCAGTTTGGTGAGGGCAGGAATAAGAAATGTCAATGAATGACAAATGAGAATGAAAAAGCCTATTGGAGACATCAGAAGCTGACAAGATGAACTATTAGGCGATAGTCTTGCTCTTCGCATCATTTACTGCACTCGAGCCATGCTGTACGCCCTGACGGACATTAGTCTTCGCCTCTCGACCTACTCTCCATTTGGCCACAATAATACTGTCATTAGCTTCTTGTTTCCGCCCCAGTGTATTCGAAACCTCTGCCATACCTCGCAGGGAGCAGACATAAATTCTCTCTTCCATCCTTGAAAGTGATTCTGCTCGTTCAAGAGCAGTTGGAAAGCCTGTAGCCAATTCCCTTATACTGCTGTATATGAAATAGGCTGCAGAAGTAGATCTCAAAGCGTGCAGCGCCTCATAACATTGTTTGCTCATCGTGGTCTCACAGGCATCAACCACCTGCTGGGACCGAACGGCTGCTTCCGTATACCATTTCCTGTTCATCAGACCTGTGGCAAGAGTCTGAAGCAAACAGGGTGGAAGTATCCTAGGAAATCTTGGAAAAATTTCCAATAGCCGTGGCAACCGAGACTCTGCTAGTCATGCTCGAGATATGGTCACTTGGTTCATGTAGGTGGCCACAAGATAAATCGGATGATGGTCTGACTCAAATTTGTTGATGCAGAAAGGTCTACAGAACACAGAATTGAAGCGTTAACTGTTTGACTACATAATGTTGTCAAGCATCAATTGTCTGCTTTGAATTCCGTAAAGCAACCAACTCTGGTTTCCTCAGTCAGTACGGAGCAGCGATCGCAGGCCAATCCACAGGTTCCTCAAGGGGTTACACCAAGTGTCATGCCACCATCTACCGCATAGATCTGGCCGGTAAGCCACGCGGACTGCCTACCACACAAGAAGACCACGATACCTGTGATGTCTCCGACTGTCCCTAGCCGAGGCCAGGGTGTCGCCTTTTGCATGTGTTTGATGATTTGATCATCCTCGAAGTTTTTGCGAGCCATACCCGTTGCCACGACGCCGGGCGCTACACAGTTGATGTTTATCCAATCCTGAGCGTGATCCAACGCGCCTGCACGGGTCATATGATTGATGGCCGCCTTGGTCGCTGAATAGGCCACCTCATGCGGGAAGGCAATGTTGGCTGCGCACGACGAGATATTTATAATCCTGCCACGGCTGCCCCAAGCCGTGTCGACCTCCTGTCTTAAGAATTGCTGGATTGCTAAACGGTTACACTTTGCCGTACCGAGCACATTGACGGCGGACATCTTCTGCCATAGATCATCGTCCTCGGCGGCGAATTTTCGAAAAGGTGCCCAGTATCCTGCACAGTTAACAGCAATATCTAGGCGACCAAATTTCTGCACTTCAATCAGAATTTTCCATCATATGTTCAATATGGCCTTGAACGTCAACACACCACGATACCTTCTCCAAACGCGTGCTCAATCTCCGCTACTTGTGAGATATCAACCTTGAAAAACACTGCTTGGCCTCCTCGCTTGTTGATCAGGTCGACAGTAGTTGTGTCCAAATCATTTTCGAATCCGGCAGGATTGGCTTCCGATTTAAGATCGCAGCAGATAATGCTGGCACCTTGCTTTGCCAGCGCAATGGATATATCTCGGCCCATACCACTGCTAGAACCCGTAACCAAGGCCACTTTTCCATCTAAAGTTTTCTCGGCCATCGCGAAAGACTATGTCAACTGATTGTGGACCAGTCAGCGCTGTATGTTTCGTATGCCTTCAAAATGTCTGAGGTCAGCTAGAGGAAAGCAGGACTTCGCAAATGGGCACGAGCAGCAGTCAAATATTCGGGGCTTGATCGAAGCTCAAAGTGTAGCAAATACGAATGGAAGCGAGAAGTTCGCGGACTCTATTCATAATGCTAAAAAGGTAGCACAAGCAGGAGTTAGCCGGTTCAATCCCGCAATTGGGACCGTGCAGAGTTTGAAATTGTTCCGGACATACACGGGTGGTCTCTCACTAAAAAATGAGTGGTCTGCACAGCATTCAAGCGATTCACTTCACGCTATCGATTGTCCCTCCGGGGTTTGGCTCGGAACATCTCTTGAGTCTTCTCTAGTTCGGAAGCTCTCGAAACATGACCATGGAGGCATTTCTCGAATAAGACAATCAACTACCCACTACCTATGATATATCTTAGTTCATTTGATCACTCTTTTCGAGCAGACGCAAGCCGAAGGCTCTGAATCTCCCATCTTTACCAAAATAACATTGATCATTGATTTTCTGGCTCCTTTCACAACGACGAGAGCCCCAAGACGATGCGAGGCAAGGTATTTGCCGTGACTGGTGCTGGATCAGGAATTGGAAGAGCCACAGCAGTGAGACTCGCAGAGCTTGGCGCCCGGGGGATTGCAATCAGTGACATTGACGAGCTCGCGCTGGAAGAGACAAAAGTGCAATGTCTGCATGGGAGTCAGTCTTGGTGCTTAGCTGGAGTGTCTGAAGCTTACCAACGTTAGGCATTCAGGCCGTAGTGAAAGTCACGGTGAAAAAAGTTGACGTGGCCAAGATTGAAGAGGTCAATTCATGGATCAACGAGGTCATGCAGGACCACGGCAAGCTTGACGGTGCCGCAAATGTTGCTGGGCTCGCTGGTGGCAGTGGCCAAGAGACGGAGGATATCGTAAGAGCTGAAAACACCTTCATCTACTTGATTACTCCTTCATCGATCTGATGCTGCATCCGCTAGGTCCAACAAGACTGGGACAGAATGATCTCCGTCAATCTTACAGGGGTAATGAATTGCATGCGAGCTCAGCTGAAGCAGATCTCACGACCTGGAGGCTCCATCGTGAATGTGTCCAGTACATCGGGTCTTCGTGGACTAGCAAAGAACGCAGGCTACGCCTCTAGTAAATTCGGTGTCATCGGATTGACAGAGTCAGCCGCTCATGAATATGGCAGACACGGCATCAGAGTTAATGCGCTTCTGCCGTAAGTTGGTTTTTCCAAATGATTGAAGATCCGCGGAGTATTGCTGAATAGTCTGACCAGAGGTCCGATTGATACCAAGATCTTCCGGGATGGCGAAGCGAAAGGGCTCTTCGACGCTAAGATAATAAGCGCAGGCACTTTGATGGGTCGTATGGGTACAGCTGATGAAGTGGCGAAGGTATTGGTGTTTCTGCTGAGTGATGATGCATCATTTGTGACAGGAGGTGAGTCGAACTGCAGCCATTCCACACTATGGCTAAAACTTACAAACACAATCAAGCACGGTGGACTGTGGATGGAGGCTACTCTGCCTGTGGCTTCTATAGTGCTGGATAAATGCCTCATTATCTTGCATTTGAAGACTCCGACCTTAGATTATAAGATGAAGATCATTCTGCACCTGGCTTGCGTCTCCCGCGACGCTGGGCACTTCTCCTGCTTTGTGAATCAAGTAAATGAGTTGGGAATGTAGTCCCGATATTATGGAATCGCTCGTCATTCCGTCACTGTGGTTGAGCGGGTGATATCTACACGGATCAAATCGGTGAGTGTGTAATAGTCTGGCCCTACCAGCAGTCTTCCAGATATATTAATATATTAACTGCTACGTATCTTTAACCCAACCCTAGCTTGTCCCGGCACATATCGAAATCCAATAATATATGTGGTGACAGTCAGTCCAAAACTTTTGACTTCCGGTTCTGAGCTGGCTCAACATGATGATCGCGATAAGGTGCACAGGGATATAATGGAGCAAATATACTATTTTTATTGATGCGCAGTTTGCACCCGATAGACATCACTTCATACAGCGGAGTCTACTACTCGAAATAGAAATGGGGTGGGAGACTGCTGGACATTTAAATTTATCATCCGTATCCAAGAAACAAGTTGATGCTAAGCAAAGGATGTGGCTACAGGCCCATATATCCACAGCTCAGCACACACATCATACTTGGAGGAATGAAGATTTGCGTTGACGCATGCTTGCTACACCATTATCCTGCCTATGGATTGCTCAAACACGACTCCTGGTCAATGTGACCGATGAATGCCTGGGATCTGTGTGTCGCTGTGTTTACGGTGATTGTGCTGACATATTCTAGGGCCTCCTTGTAAAGTTTGTGAGCTTCGAACTCTTCCCATGCCTCCTGTGACCGTGCTCTGTATCAACTGTCAGTGTTTCACTCGCGACGTTGAATCTGCAATGTGGTATGGTTGGCGCACCTGATGTAAACACTGACGAGATCTAGGTCGTTGATTTCCTTCAGCACTGCAAAACTCTGGACTGCAGAAGGGGGACCTGTTTGTGTCGTCTGAACCTGGTCGGCGCAATCCGACAGAATTCCCAACAACTGCTTGCGTCTGCCTTGAGAGGCTGAGAAATGCACGACGACTACGAAGCTATTTTCCGCATCTCGGTCCTTGTCACTCTTTCGTGTAAGAAATCCACTGAAAAAATCATAATGGTGAAGATCGTAATCCGGACTAGCGAGTCCCTGAGAATTTCGTAGCAATTTCTCTTCATCGACCTTACGCATTTCCTCCTTGAAAGTATTGGTCGAAATATGGTTCATGAAAAACCCTACAGGATGATAATAACCTTCCAGACCCCATAAAGTATCCGGCGCACCATCAACATCATATCCCCAGTAGTAGGAATTCGAATATGGCTCTGTCTTGGATACCTTGCAAAGTCCATGTAGGACCTCTCGCCACTGGTGATCAGAAAATCAGAATCTTCAGCCCATCATGTCCGTTTGTAACGTGCAGGGACTCAAACAGGGTCCTAGTCTTCGCCGAAGGAGCGTACCTTTTCTAAAGCACCATCTCTACTTACAACCCGCGCGATTACGAAAAATAGAGGCGTACTCATTTCTGCAGTGGAGGCTCTGGTGCCAAAACTTTGCTCACAAGGTCGCAGTCGGATTCGTTGTCGAGCTATAAATTCGGCCAGCAAGGACAACTGTTTGACCTTCTTGATTTTGTGCGGCGATAACTTGAAGTGCAAGCTGTGAGGATTCAGGTGCGGTGACCGCGCATTGGTGATGCCTTGCTCGGCGTCGTGGCTACGCACCGTGGGTACCTAGACATGAACCGCAATCACACTGCTGCATGCAGATGATATCATTTTGCCACAGGCTAGCTGTATGTTCTCTGGAGTGTGGAGGATCCGTAAATGCCATGGAGGAGGAGCTCGGATGGATTCCACACCTCCGCCTTCGAGCCTTCAGAGAATTAGCCCGAGCCATTCAAAAATAGTCCGGGGTTGTTGACTAGTTCGTAAGCTCTTGGTGGCGCTTTGGAGCACCGGGGGTAAATCCGGGGGGACCGATGCCCCTCGGGCGCAGGGTGAGTACCTAAAAACCTACCCAAGGAGCACGGAATAGAGGCTAAGGGTTATGGATTAGGTACCTCATACCTTGTACCTCGTATGCTGGGGAACTGGGGTTCGAGGGGTGAGGGGTTGGCGCCAAGTACTCCCCAGTGACTCGGAGACTGGACCACTGGCACTCCACTGCACTTTTTGTTCTACAACACCTCGTCCGCTGCTTACCGTTGATACTCGACACTACACTCTGCATCGCCAACTTCCCCATGGCCGCCATTGATACAGGAAGCGCCCTCACTGCAAGGTCGAAGCTGGCATGTGGTTCATGCAAAAGGTAAGTCAACTTGAAGTCCATCCAATTCCAGTCCCTGCGCGACCATGCTAGGCTGGGAGCGCGAGAAAAATGCACCGAACACAAGTCTCATCAAAGATGACCCGGTTTGCTGCCTCCGTCTTCCGATCAATCGTCTGCTAATGACAAACGACTGACCCATCTTGCAGGAAGAAGTCCAGATGGTGAGCATCATGTTGCCATACATCGAACTGCCCGTGGACGTGGTCACTGGTGGCTGACTGTTCTTGCAGCGACCGGCAGATACCATCTTGCTCCTTCTGCCGACGGGCTGCCACTTGCTGTACTTACCCTACGGCCCGCTTGAAACCAGGGCCGAAACTTGGTGGGTTGAACGCCATCGCTGGAAACCAATCATCTCACGACTTTTGATAGGTTCGACCCATCGCCATGCTAGACTGAGGTCTCCGACTCAAGGAAAACCTCCCGACGAGCCTCGTTCAATTACATCCCCTAGCCTTGCCCTCCTGGATAGATCTGGTCGTGATCCCACGACCATCGCAAGTCAAGGTGATGGGATCCTCGCGTCGCCAGAAAATCTGCCTTCAGAACCATCTTCACCCAACAAGCTAGGCTCCAATGTGGGAGCCCTGAATTTGGCCAGAGCGATCAGCCTTTCCCGAATCTTGCATCCATCACACGAACCATCTCCTGGTTCTAGAATGGTGCAGAAGGAACCCCCTCAACCGGGCTTCTTGCTCGTCCTTGCAGGTGCCCAGGAAAATTTGACCAAAGCTTGTGAGGCCCTCCGCATGTCAATTCTCCAAGCTCAGTCCATGTAAGCTGACCCTACTGCCAAAATGATCTCAGCTCAACATATTTTGTTCCAATGGCTGACCTGACGCAATCGCGCTGATTGTAGGTTTGATCTCTTCTTCGAGCTGGTAGCAGGATTAAATTCTCTGTCCCTCTTCCACCAGCCTTCCTTTCCAGACAAAGTGCGTTCTATACAGGATCACCAGCATCTTATTGCCCTATTTGGCGCCATGTTTTCCCTCTCGTCAAGATTCTCCGCCGATGACTCATTTCTCCCAGGTAACGGCTCCGCCAGACCATCTCATGAAGAACTCCATACCATCTCCCTCCAATACATAAATTCCTCTTTGGAGGCTTGCTCGAGCAACGCTCCGCCCCTTTGCCTACTACAAGCCATCACTTTGGCGGGCTTCTACAAGCTAGTGAATGGAGTCTATGGACCAGCTTGGAGGCTAGTGGGTACCGGCGTTCGGATCGCGTATGAGCTACGACTTGACCTGATCGATTCCAAGGAATATGTTAGAGTACCGACCTGCGACAGTGAGCTTATGGCTTGGACCGTCGACGAAGAGCGACGCCGTTGTTGGTGGGCATTGTGGGAAATGGACATCTTTTGCTCAACGATACAGCGCACACCCACTGCCATCAACTGGAGTATGAACGAGACGTTCCTTCCAGTCTCTGATGAATACTGGTTCACAAATACGTACCAAGCCTCCTGCCTGCTCCATGGAACCCCCGAAGAACGGTGGAAACGCCTCAAACAGGCCGGCAACGAGAGCTCTGTTGCATGGGCCAACCTCTTTGCCTCGTTGATGCACGACGGACGAATCTTGTGTCAAGAAAGCATGAAGGGTATTGTTGCAAATGCCGACCATCAAAACGATGCCTCAAAACTCGCCCAGTATTACAGCAACCGTTACCGGCAGAAAACCCAAGAGTCGTCCGTTAGACTCTCCGAACTTGTTAGGGCATACCAACAAACTGTGAAGAATCTTCCCGCGTCTCTTTCTTACCATGGCGAATCTTTGTCCTTTGATGTGGTTGATGGAGAAGATCCCTTCTTGGTGCGTCGGACAAGTTCAGCCAAATATAGCGTTCATATGATGAGCGCTTCCGCATGTTACATGATTTATCAGAATTCTGTCTTCGCCGACGTCGTCGAAGGATTGATCCTGATGTCGTTTTCTGCAGACGGCCACGAGGCTTTCAGACCCGACACAGCGTCAAACGAAGAACCCATGATTCGCAATGGCTTCAGGAATTATCTAGCAGCAAGTGATATGGTGCTACGGCTGGTGGCACATTGTCCTGAGGATCATGCACGTTATGTCAACCCGTACTATGCGAGCACCATATGGATAGCAGCTGCGATATTGGTTTTCAAAAGGATGGCTCTGCGGGACAATGCCTCTGATCTTTCACAACGCCAGTATGACCTTCTGCGCCGATCATATCTCCAATTCAGTAGGACCTGGGAAACACCGACCGCCTTGCTGCAGAACCTGGACTCTCTCGAAGCGAGGCTCGAGACTCGGCAAAAGGAATTCGAACTATCGGAGACCAGGGCCTGGAACATTGACATCGATGATCAGCGGAGCAACGGTGAGGCGCAATCTTCCATGACGACGGAGTCGACAATGCGTCCGGCGTATCAGGATCGACCTTTCCACGACTGTGTGGGGTTGAGGGATAATCAAGGCAATACATCTCAGCCACCGATCGGGGACTCAAACGAAAGCTATTCTACTCTACTGGTAGATGATGTAGAGTGGCTGTCAACGACAGGGTCAGTGTTTGATCCCGTGATCAGCCAAGCTGTCTTTCCAGGACAAGGCGACATCACCTGGCCCAATGAGCTGTTCATGGACAATCTGGCTTGGTATTCGTCCGATGTTATGGCAGGCCTGGTTCATGGGTACACCAGCTGATGGGGTTGCATCACTGCTCGCACGCTACAGTCTGAGTGGCCCTCTATGCATGAACATGAAAATCCACCCAAGTGTCAACCAGCACGACACAGATGACGAAAAAAGAATTGGCAACAGTAATTGATCCTGGACGGTATCAGGCTGTCTGGTCGAATATTTTCTGCTTGTATACACCCAACAACATATGATCTACCTCTATGCCGTTATTGGCAACGGCTTATCGCCGGCTGCAAGAATCATCTACCGCTGCGACCAAGAATTGAACCTAGCACGTCTGTGAGCTTTGCCTCGCACGCTTCTTGACTTTCCAAGACTTCTGGTGCTCTCCAGCCGATGAATCGGTCTGGCCGAACCAAGACTGCTCCAGATTCTTCCACGCCACGTACTTGCTCCCAATCATAGTAAACGTCCTCCCATTGCTGTCGGAACCCGATCGAATGCACGGAGATGGGTATGCCGAAGCTAGCAGAGACCCGTTCCGCCGCCGCGTGCCAGTGTCCACCTCCTATGCCCGTGAAAATGGTAAATGCGCCGTGCCCTGCCAGATCGATAGTCGACTTCGGTTCAGTGGGAATGGCCTTGTTGAGCCAGACGTGTGGAAGGCGAGTTCCGGGATACGTGCGTCTTTCGTGATAGAGAATCGGATCTTGTGCGGCACGCCCGGTGTGCTTGTACGGTTCAGGCTCGTCAGCGTCGTAAATACCAGAACTGCAGTACCTCTGGTTCATTTCGACACCAAGTCCGTGAAACTCGTGGGATGTTTCCGTGATGGCTGTCTGGAGTGCACGTCGTCGTTCAGTGCCGGCAGCTGTAGGAGCACTCAGCTCGCTATGTATTGCTTTACGGGTTTCCAAATCCGGAGGAAGGGCACCAAGCGCGTCCCAAATCGCAAAATGGTCTCGGAATCCGTCATTTGCTCGGGTGATGATTTGATGACCGACAGGTTGGCGCTCAGTGCTGTAGGTCGAGAGCAGTGAAGGATCGGCCAGTCCGCGATGGACGTAGGCCAACTTCCAGGCCAAGTTGAAGGCATCTTGAATGCACGTGTTGGATCCTAGACCATTGAACGGCGGGTGACGGTGCACGGCGTCACCGAGACAGAAGCTGTGATTGACGTCAACGACTGTTGTGCAACACGGTTGAGAGTTTCCAAAGCAAGATTTCAGACTTACACGTTTCCTTGAGAGTATTCCTCTGCAACAATCTCATTGATGAACCACTTGGAGATATCAATGATCTCGGCGGGCGTGTCGTCACCAATAAAATGTCGAACTGTTTGGAGATATTCCTCCCTCGAGGGAGAAATTTCTGGGTCGCAGTCTCGAGTCGGTAGCAAGATGAACATCCATTCATGCCACGGCTTGACCATGCGAACAATGCCCATCTGGGCGAATTTGGGATGCTCTTTGTCAGGCTGCATAACCCAGTGCAGATTGCCCCGTCGGTGTTCGACCAGATGGGACAGATCAGCCTTGACCAGCACGTTGATGGCCATTCCTTGACCTGGCTTGACTGCGAGCGGGAGGCCGAGTTGTTTCACGACTTGACTCCGGGCGCCATCGGCCCCCAAGAGATACTTGGTTCGGATTTTGTATTCTGAGTTGGTGAGCTTATCACGTAGATTGGCCGTGATCAAGCCGGTTTCGGGATCCGTTTCGAAGTTCAGCAGTGTCGTGTCGAATCTTGTTTTAAATCCATTCACGGTGGCATGGCGAACAAGGACGGGCTCGAGTAGAGTCTGTGGTAAATCGGCCGGTGCACATGGGCTAGCCATTTCATAGTCGCCCTAAACTCCTAGTGTTAAAAAGCTGCCAGACTTCTGGACACCTTGCATCTCGACTGACCTTTCTGTCCGGTGCATTGCCCCACGAATAAATCCGGCCGTACTCTTCCCCAGCCATACTGTGGCACCATCGGGTATGAATCATGCAATGGCCTTTGGACGATAAATCTTCGAGATCTTTGTCCAACCCAATGTCTCTCAGGCATTCTTATTGTATGTTAGCTGTTACACTGTCGCCATAAATTTGATACGCAGTGCGTACCCAAGGCTGCCATGTTTGTGATGTGCGCGCGTGGAGTGTTGGCCGTGCCAGGAGCACTGCTTATCATGACGCCCTTGAGACCTAGATCGGTCAGATGTTGGATTGGCCGTAGTTGAAAGGGAGTATTCTACCATAGCTTGTCAGAAAACACGCCAGTGATGCTCCTGCTGGACCGGCTCCAACAATCAGGAACTCAGTCTCAAGCGATGGATTTTCAGATGTCTGCGCTGAAGAGTACATGCGACGCATGGTGCCGTTCCCCAGTCTGCTGACACCAAGGGTTGTGCATACCCTCGGCCGAAATCGGTTGCTCCTAGTGGTTGCACTGCGGCCGATCAAACCTCCTTCGACACTTCCATGGGAGGAATTAAAAGAACGAAAGAGAGATTTTGGGCGTTGGAGCTCGCAGCGTTTGAAAAGAAGTGATGAGATCGTATTCCTCGTGCGAGAACACCCCCCGAGACGACAGGAAGGCAGGCTTGCCATGTTTGAAAATCTTGGCCTTCGCCCTCAACCCTCAGCTCGGTGGAGATCAACGATGGGCTTCCCGCAGTTATTTAGCCCATGTCGCGCCAAGGGCCTTCTTATCACAAGCTCATGCAATGTTGGTTCACCAGGAGAAGAATAACTCCGAATCCAGAACACAGGCTTTTGCCGTAGCACCTGTCGGAGTGTCTCAACTAGAAATATGCCGTCCGGTAGAGTGCTCTGACAGCTGGGCCCGTAGTGGTGCGAAGCCGTCGACGGGGGTCATCCCGAAATCAGGGACGCAGGAGGTGGATTCGCTTACGTGGACGTTCACTGGCCCAAAATTCATGCGAAACGCAATCTACCCCAGCCAGGGTTCGCAGGAAAAGATATGTGTGAGTTGTCAATTGAAGGAAGTGGCCTTGTGCCAGAGAATGCCCGATAAAGGGACGCGAAGAGCATTGTTCTCTGATCCACCATCGGACATCTCTTAGTTACAAAAATTCTGGTCCATAGCAATACAGACCGCGCAACGAACTCAATATTCTACATACTTAGAGACGAAAGCCTCACTTCTAATGATGTACTGCTAAAGCATCAAGAGCTAAGTTCGGCCAGTTTCCTTCCCGCCCGATACCCGAATGTCATTCCAGGCCCAATGCTCGAACCGCCTCCTGGATACGCTCCTTTGAATACATTGTTCTGGTCACAGCCAACCGCATAGAGCCCTGCTACCACCACACCCTTCTGGTCAAGCACTTGTGCATCTTTATTAGTGATGAGCCCATACACAGTGCTGACGTTGCCAGGATAGATTGGAAGTGCATAGAATGGACCAGTGGCGCACGGCTGCAGATTTTGGTTGGGTTGAACCTGGGGATCGCCGTAGAAGCTGTCATACTCATTTTCACCTCGATGATATTGCGTGTCGACGCCTGTTTTCGCAAACGAGTTGTGATCTGAAACTGTCTGTTCCAAATTTGTGACTGGAACTCCAATCTTCTCGGCCAGTGCGGCAATGGTGGGCGCAGAAATGAGATACCCCTGTCGCAGCAATCTCCAGATCGGATATGGCCAGGGCAATGCCATGCCCATACCGTATTTACGGAGATGCGTACGGTCGCCGATGTAGTATGCCTTCTTGATGCCCTTCTTGTGCATAGTACCCACAAATTCCTGGTAGGGCTCCGACTCGTTCGCAAACCTTCGACCATCGGGCCCAACAATGATGGAACCTGGTTTAGACCGGTCAATTGCGAAGTGCGGAAAGCGACGAACGGGGCCTTTGGAAGTACTCAGAAGAGATATGGGCGCGAATATGGCGTTCGAAGGATTTTTGGGCGGTAAAGCACCACCACATTCCACTCCAATCCGTTTGCCATCACCAGTATTGCCTCGAGGGCTTGCGCACCATTCGTGAGGCACAAACTGGTTTGCCTCTTCCGACCTGCCAAACCCACCACTCGCAAGCACCACTCCTCTGCGAGCGTAAACCATGGTCTCCTTGCCGCCGCGAACGACATGAAGACCTACAACACGACCATGGTCCAAGATCGGTTTCGTGGCTGCAGAGCTATTCCACAACTCTACGCCTTGTTGCTGGGCAGAAAATAGTAGTCTGCCCACAAGAGCATTGCCGTTTGCCATATCCGTTCCTTTACCATACCGTATCAGGTCCAGGGCGTAGCGAAGGACCTTCTTCGTCGCGAGAGTTAAGTTGGTGATACTGCCAAATGGATTGGTCAGAAGCGACAATTCGGCGGGATCTGCTTGCATCGAACCAAATGCAGAGTAGCCTTGTATTGGATAGCGAACGTTCTGGATCAAAGGCCCAAGTCTGCGGCCGTCGAACTTTTCGGTCAAAATCGTGCGCCCCCTTGAGGCGCCTTTCTTCGCGACGTGGTAGTCTGGTAGAGGAACAGGTTTAAATCGCACGGTAGAATTGTCCTCCATCCATTTCACCATTTCAGGCCCCGTTTCCAGGAAGGCCGGGACCTTTTTTGTGTCATAGAGATCACCCAAGACTGCATGGAGATAGATATCGGCCTGGTCTATTGAATCCTGTACACCTATTGAAGGTTGGTGTTTGTTCACTGGGATCCATGCCCCTCCACCCGAGTAAGCGGTGGTGCCGCCAAAATACTGTGTTTTTTCAACGACGAGTACCTTTAGGCTGTGCTTGGCCGCAACAACAGCGGATGTCAGGCCAGAACAACCCGAGCCAACAACCACGACGTCGTAGGTGATGTCGGTATGAAGAGCTGGGCCGGGGTGATTAGTGGAGCGTGGAAAATTGTGGGACGTGTTCTGGACATACCTCGGCATGCGTGCTGGATACTGAAATTGCGCCGCGTCAAGGATGTCGTGACCTTCGACAGTCTCAACAGGCGAAGAGCGTCAGATGATGCAGCCATGTTCGTGCGTTAATATCGTGGCGTGAACTCAAGGCAAAGACCTGGTGATACATACGGCTTACATAGGAAGCCAGTGACCAACATTCATAAATACCCCGGACTTGCAAGCGAGGACTATTGAGGCCCTAGGACGAATTATTGGAAACCAGGGCCACTGGCTGGAGACGACGGACAAACCCCCCGGCCCCACACTAAGGGGGAGGAGGCCTTGCACTTTTCGATCTTCGTCACAGGAAATGAATTTGATCTTCGAGTTCAGGAAAAGGTCGGGCAGTCAAGCACAGGAACTAAATTATTGGCTCATCGAGTGACAATGCTGAATTCCGCAATATCCTCCATCTCCACACCATAAGCTTGTCGTATAGTATATTTCACGTGATCAAGCGTATTTTCAGCCAGGTAGGGCTCTTCACCCCGTCCCATAACTTTATCCCAGTCCTTGAGAAAACCCTCGGTCGTTTCTGACTTTGTACCGGGGAATGTTGCAAATGTCTCCCTCGCTGCCCTGTTTGCACTCGCGGTAAACACCTCGCCTGAGGAAGGGCATTCTTCAGAGCAGAGACTAATTACAAAAGGAACCACGCCCTATAACAAGCTTGGTCAATATCTGCTCTCTGTCTGCGTGGAACAGGACCTCCCCATGTCCACTGCTTACCTCTGGTTGGAAATAAGTCCGAGTGACTTTCTTCGTGCCCTCGGAAAGATCCCCCATTCTCGAGGCGGCTGACGGCATGACACAGTTGATTTTGATGCCATCGTTCGGTGCCCAACGACCTAATTCTCGTGTGATTGCAACCACAGCACCTTTGGAAGCACTATAGGCACAGTCACCTCCGGCACCAAATCCGTAGATTGCGTTTGATGATGTATTGATAATACGGCCGTACTTCTGTTTCGCCATCAAAGAGTAGCAGGCACTTGTCATCAAGGTTGTTCCCAGCGCCGCAATCTCAAACACCCTCATGAAAGCTTCTGCATCCACATTATCATGGGGTGCCATTTTGCCGCTAATACCAGCATTGTTCACAAGGATGTCGACAGTCCCGAATTCCTTGACAGTGTCAGCAACTATCGCCTTTGCATCAGCCGGAGCAGAAATGTCGCGGGAATCCGCCAGTGCAATGCCACCGAGGGCCATGATTTCGTCAACCACACCCTGTGCACGAGCACTCGTGCCACGCTGTCCCTCTAAAGTACCACCGTAGTCATTAACGACGACCTTGGCGCCTCTCTTTGCTAGTTCCAAAGCATAAAGTCGCCCAAGACCTCCACCGGCACCGGTCACGATGGCAACTCTTCCTTTGACTGACATGATTGTCTCCACCTTGATGACTCTGGGGTAGTCAGCAACGAATCTAGCCTGGATTGAGTGATAAGATGAGTACCTGATGTGCGAGTGGCTCGTTTTGCTTACGAGACGAGGATAGAGGCCGACTTCGTTGTTCGAAATAGTGAGTAACTCAATATTAGAGAATCTGCGGGTGAGAGTCGATATCAAGGTTAGCAGAGCACACCAATCGTAAGAATTACTCGATACCCTTGTCGATGGCCCAAAACTTAATTCATTTTGAAGGCTGCAGCATCAGGATAAGAACAGAAGTGAGATAATGTCGTTATTTTGGCTCCCATTGCCGGATCTACTCTCGAGATGTTGAGTTTCATGCACCACCAGCCGATCTATATGGTATTGGGGGCTTAGCAGCCAAGTCACGGGGATGGGATCTAGTGGGTATGCCTCTGGATTAAATGACGGATTAAATTTCGAGATATTAACTCGTCTCTCTAGCTGCTCTAGCAAAATTAACCCGAGGTCAGTACTATCCTAGAAAGTAAGTCAGCTAGTTTTATTCCCGCGACTCCGGATTCAGAAGACATCGGACTTGAGTTCTCTATACCCTTTACAATTTGGGCATTCTGAACGGGAATTAAATCATTTTGTCACTTGCTATCCTTAACAGACTGCCTTTCACGGACTCTCATGAGAATAATGTCTTTCCTTGAAGGCCGTAGACTTTGAATTTGATATACTCGCAGACTTGCCGGTCCACTGCCTTGTTTGAGGTTGTGACGATATTGGAATCTAGTTCCACTGCGACATAAATTCCATTGCACTCGATAGTTCTCGCTGGATACAAGCAAGATGTTCCGGGCTTCTCGGGACCACATCGATCTTATATGGCAACGGGCACATCAGGATAGCTGACGTGTATGCATTTTCATCGAGGTGAATAACTTTTCCGGTGACAGGATCTTGTGGTTCAGAAATATCGAATGCCCATAATAACTTAGAGACAATCCGCCACATGTTCCGTTCTGCTAAATGGAGACCTGGGCACATTCTTCGACCTGCACCATAGCCGTAGTGATGTGCAACTTTGTGTTAGTTTTATCATATATAGTTACTAGTGATAGTACTTATCTCTATTGCTATAATCCGGGCTGACTGCATACTCGTTAGCCAACTTCGGATGGCTCAAGTAGCGGTCAGGGTTGAATCTATCGTGCTCTGGGTATTCCGACTCGCTGTGGTGCATGGCCCATATTCCGATAAACACCATAGAACCCTTAGGAATAAACAATCCCTCGTACTCGTCGTCTAGAATTTATTAACCCGGTGCTCCTAGAGGTAGAAGTGGACTGACCTTGAGTGACCATATGAGGTAAGCCAGCAGGTGCCCTAGATTCATCAGAGTGAGCCCAACCCATGGCATTTTCCAAGTATATCCCTTACGTTGGTCGCCATCTCATGCCTTCCTTAACGATACAATTCACATAAGGAAGTTGTTCGAAATCTGAAAACAATGGAGCCCGCTCGGTGCCGCAAACAGCGTCAATTTCGGATCTTGCCTTTTCTTGTATATGGGGATATTTAGCTATTGCCAGGATAAGAGTCAGTATATGATTCGCAGTCGTATCCGCACCGGCCTCAAGGAGCTCTCCGAATAGGTTATTGAAAGCGTGAGTCGACAAAGGCCAGCCCTTTGCATTATAGTCGTCGATTTTGGCGTCAATGAAGCAATCTCTCTTGTCGCCCCGCGCTCTCCGCTCGTCGACGATCGCTCGAGCCTCATCCCACATGGTGTCCATCATCTCACGACACTTCTTGGACCTCCCCTTCCAGCTCCCCGGAAGATATTTCAGAAACGGGAACTCATCAATCGGAGGGTTGGCGCCTGGTTCTTGAACTTTGAGCCACTAAATCTCGGGTTAGAGGTAGATAGATGAAAGATAACGGCTCAGTAGATGTTACCAGATCCATTAGGTCATAGAATCGCGTATACCAGAAAGAGTTCAGGTCAGCGGCTCTATGTCCCCAGATCAGAGACCCTGCCACAGAGACAGTATATAACCGTGCATAGTCGAATATCTTAGAAGGGTCCTTGAGAATGTTGTTCATGAAAATAACAGCCCTGGAAGTTGTTAACTCGGCACCAGATCTGAAAAAGGGTATGAAATTACTCTGCTTCTTGTATCTTAAAGTGTTTCTCATCCAGCGTCTTCGGGTTCAAATTTCGCGTCACAACCATCCGCTTCTCCCTCCATGAAGCTCCTTGGGGTTCCAGGGTCAAATGATCGCCGTGAGTCACAAAATTTGAAACGTAGTTAAATGGCCTGTCCGAATAGATACTACCCTTTTTCTCTAAAAGATTGTTGATAGATCGTCGATCACACAAAACAACCACGTTAGTAGGCCCAATGGTCAAAGAAAAGATGGGCCCATAGGCGTCAGCCCATTCCTTGAACCTGGAGATGTCAGTTTGTTGAAGACTTTGACATCATGGTTGTGGTAATCTTACTTTCTGCCCAGCCCTGTGATCGGAATCTGGTGAGCGTTACCAAGGATCGGAATGGTCGGTGGCCCCGGAGGCATACGAGGATGTCGACGGCCAATACGTAGCAACCTATACACCGGGTAGGCAAACACCGCCGTAAGGGCAAGAATGATAGTGAAGGTGCCCATGATTTCCAGCTTTAACGATTGTTGGGGTCTTCGAGCTACAGACACGATGCCTTCCGCAAAGAAGCGCAGATTTCTTACAAGCTCTTAGCACGAGGGGTGTGCGCACGATTCTTATCACAATCACAGCTGGTATGTTGAACCATTATTTTCCCCCTGGCTTTGTGCTAGGCCAGCAATCAGCAGCGAGTATGAATCTGAAGTTCAAGCATCCTGCAACAATGACAGAGACATCATGTTTCCACCTATAGCAAGTAGGTTCATGTACAGGGTCGTGATCCAAGCCTATCTACAAAGTTTGGGGACGGAGTATCATGCGGGATTTCCTGGGGATTTGCGGTGAGATTTTCTTCATACCGAACTTCGCAAGGGTCCCTAGCCCAACCCAAACCATCCAATCGGATTATGTCCGCATAGAGAAATCTCAAGTCAAATCTGGGGTAGACTTTTACGGCCTATCTAGAGTTACTGCCAATCATAATTAGCCCTATAGTTGACCCGGGCACGTACTCGGAATGGTCACCAACACATTCTCTTGTGGCGCAAGATTATTGGAAATGCTCCCACTGGGTCACAGGGCATCCTCCAGAACTTGGCTTCCGTTAGCTGGCCTAGATGCCAAATCAAGGGGCAAAGAAACGAAGCCGAGTCTACATGTGGCTGGCCATTGGAGAGGACTATTCTAAAAACACCCCTGTCAAAGGACCATTCGGAGTTTTTACCTTTACCTGAATAGTTGAATCGTCAACTTCCCCAACTTGACAGAAGCGAGCCCCGTAAGTAGGTCGATACCTCCTAGGATCCTGGGGGTGTCCAGCGTGAAATTTGAAAGTTCTTGGGGACATTTCCGAACCCAGCAATCTATGCACATCTCCACGTTATTGGAATCTAAGGGCGTCTCCCCGTTATTAGTAGCGTACCATACCCTCGGAAATCGTTCTTCAGGACAATAAGCATCCTTCTCAAGTCTTTATTCCTTGTATCCATCTTCTTCTGTCAAGCTCCATCTGTGACTCACCAGTAAAGCCAACCAATGGCTCCCGACGCTGAGGTTGCGGGCACCCATGGCCCAGTCAAGGCACATACAACTTGGGTCAATATTCTCACGATCCTCGCAGCAGCAACCGCCAGTTTCAATTTTGGCTATTCCAACAATGCTATCGCTGGAACTCTGGCGCAAACCTCCTTTGGCGCATACTTCTTGACCGTCGATCCTACATCTCGTGTAGGAGGGATGCTAGGAGCGTGAGCATCTACTCCGCTGGCTTTTGAAAGGTTCCTAACTGACGGATTGGCCAGGTTTTTCGGCGGAGGCTTCATTGGCTGCATCCTCCAAAGCCCGCTTTCTTCTCGTCTTGGTAGACGACCATGTAACATGACGGCGGCTGTGATTATCATGATAGCCGCAGCCCTCCAAGCCGGCAGTGTTCACCTCGCAATGTTCCTCGTGGCACGTTTCTTGAACGGCATCGGAGCTGGTATGATCATCGCCAATACCCCTGTCTACATGAGCGAAATTTCACCAGCCCACACGCGAGGTGTCCTGGTCAGCTTCCAGGGCATTGCCATCACTGGGGCGTACATTGTGTCATCTCTCTTTGCGTTTGGGTTCCACTTTGTTGACCACGCCTATCAATGGCGCCTGCAATATGTGATTCTGACTGCTTTCGCGGTGCTCTTGGTGGTAACCATGTACTTTATTCCTGAAAGCCCTAGATGGCTCATGGTAAGCACCGTTGAAGCTCACAAAAACATGAGCTTGGCGCTAACATCATTTTCAGGACAATGGGAGAGCCGACGAGGCTTGGGCAGTTCTCCGAAAGCTGCATAGGTCGAAGAGCGATCCCGAGGCGCGACTTGCACGTCTGGAGTATATTCAGATCAAGGCACAGATTGAAGAGGAGAAGGTAAACAGATTTCCTGGCTCAAGATAGTTGAGACTGTGCTAACATCGATAGTCCCTGCCATCTGGCTATTGGCACATTTTGTCCAATGCTTCCACCCGGAAACGGGCGATCTGTGGGGCGATGGTCTGGTTGATGGGGCAGTCGACCGGTATTGTCGTGATTGCAAACTTTGCACCCCAACTCTTCGCAGGACTCGGCTTCAGCAACGAACTTCAACTCGGACTTTCAGTGGTCTGGGTCACAGTATGCGCCGTCGGAACATGGCTTAGTGGTCTGCTCATTGAGCGCATCGGTCGAGTGAAGCAACTTGGTCAGTGTGATTTGATATCCGAATACGGGCTCATCTAACATCATCACAGCTCTGGGTGGCTACTTGTGCTCCGCGTGCCTCGTCGTTGAAGCCGTTCTCCAGAAATACTACATTGGAACGGCCAATGGAGCCGGTCTCCGAGCAGCTACTGCGATGTATTTTGTTTTCGTCTTCCTCTTCGGACTCTTGATTGAATGCCCTGGCTACACCTACATCGTTGAGATTTGGCCAACACATCTCCGGAGTGAGGGCGCCACAATCGGCTTCATGTCTTTCTTCCTGACGACGATTGCATATAACAGCCCAGCGGCGGAGGCGTTTGCAACGATTGGGTGGAGATATTACTTTGTGATGATCTCGGTTTGTCTTGTGTCTAACACATTTCTTCTCTGGTACTGCCCCGAGGTAAGCTTGTTGAGGTTCATCCCATGTGTTGTCAGGCTTACTGAGTTTTCGTAGACTGCCGGTTTGACTCTCGAAGAAATTGCAGCCAAATTCGGGGACCATGTTGCCATAGAGATCAAGAACATTGATGTTGATCTGGTCGACATGGAGAAATCTAAGAATAAGCACGTGGAAACTACAGGGCTATAGAAACAATCAAGGGAATCGCTGCTGTGGATAGTGCAGTGCATGAGCTGGTGGTTGGCATGGCGCACTGCCGAGTCGGAAGCTTGAAGGGGGAGGTGCCAGTGAATATCTTCCAGCTAGATGTGGAAGTTCGTTTGTTCCCAAGAATGCCGCTCATAGTCCCATTGCGACTTGAAATGAAAAGGAACAGCAACTTTTAGAATGAGCCCGTTCCTTGCCTGCCATCAACAGGTTCTAAGCTTGCCAGAACAGTGCCTCCTCCCTTGCGAATTTGAAGCCGAAAATTGACGGGATTTCCCCACGCTCCACCACGTCTTCGCACCGGGACTCGTCTAGCATCCCGGTGCGAGTGGGGCGGACCAATTTCAGGAGATTTAGAGACTTTGTAGCGGTCGAAATGTGGAGGGTGCTCAACCACTTCAATTGGTAAATTCCAAACTTACGAGGATATCGTTCCTTGAGAGCTTTCATGTCATCTGTACTTTAACGAGCTATTCCTACAAAGCGGGGACAGTTCGACCAGAGCTCTTATGTCAGGCACTGTTGAAGTACAATGGCAGGCGAATCGCGAGTCATACAACTAGTGCTGGTCCCTCACCGACCAGTCCATACCGATAATGAGATCAATAAAGACCTGGCTCCGGCATTTGGTATAATACAAAGGTCTGCACTGAACTGATGAGAGGCTCCGACGAGACCGCTGATACATCAAGAACAGGGCAAAGGGACTACAAGGAGTGTGGAGAGGGAGGAAGCATGAAGACCGCCACACCCAAGTTGCTCTATTCTTATGGGAGAATTTGGACGCCAGCCATGCGTTCTTTACCAGCTCTGATTATACCGAGTTTCACAAAGTTATCCAACCCGCGATGAACGGAAGGAAGATTCATTGGCAGAACCATGCATCAATCAAGTCGCTGGGGCTTAACGACAAGGCACACTTGTCAAAGATACTGGAATCACCTGCGATCGAGGTCGCGCTAACAAAGGTCGTTGAAGGTGGTGTGAACGGATACTATTCGCAATTCCAGAAAATTGTGACTCCCATCCTAGACAACGACCCTGGCTGCGATGGGCACTTTATCGGCCCGCTCCTAGAAAATCCTCAAGATCAGCTACTTTTCATCAACTGGAAGTCGGTAGATGTATGTATGACCATTCGTTGATTATGACTAACTAACGACCTGCAGGCTCATCACGAGGACTTTGAGAAAGAACCGACATTTAACGCCTGTATTGATGCCCTCAAGGACTATTATGCCGAGTTTGTCATTCCATGGCATATAACGGGGCTCAAGCTGGTCCAAGGGGGCCTCTAAATAACAAGAAACGCTTGTATGACATTCGCATGTAGGGGCGGCAAAAGTAGCAAAAACACTACTAGCCAAACAACGAAATCAATCTAGCCATCGTTGCATCTGCTCACACTACCGTTTGCTCACGAGAACTGTTGATAATAAGATTGAATCTGAAGGCGGGAGTAATAAAATCAGCGCTGCCCAGAGGGAGTACCAGGTTGTTGACCCTGAGCAGGTCAGCAGCTTGTTTTGGAAGTAGCACGGGCGAATACCTTGCCCTCCCCATAAGTGAAGTATGCCTATACTAGTAACGATGACTGAGATCATATTCTCTGGAGTGCATTATACAATTCTCAAATGCAAGGCTGACAATGAGTTGAATGAGTGCATTTTACAATTCTCTATCGCTGACCAATATCTTCGCTACTGCATCTAGCTCCTGGTCTGAGCAATATTGGATGAACATATAGATCCCCCCCCCACCATCCTCTCACACTTGCACTCGCACTCGCACTCGCGTATTGCTTTTATATCTGCCACTGGTCCTTTCGGTCCCTTGAGGGTTTCGCTATTCAGTGTGTCCTGGCCACCAGTTTCGTACATCGCGGTGCTAACCACTTTTCAGTTTTCAGTGAGGCGGCGCCTTCAATCTTTATCCCGGCAACCTTCTGCTTGAATTCGGCCTATAGAGTCCACCTCAACGAGGCCGTTTCCATCTTGCGCAAAGTGAGTGACAACCTCATCTCCAACAAGCTTACCCATCTCCTCCAACGTGAGGCCACTGGTCTCCGGCATCCACATTTACAACACGGTAGATGTAACGAAGACACAAGCAATAAATACGAGATAGAACACCCAACCAATGCTTGCGAAGGCTCTGGGTACCGGAGCTGTGTAAGGACAGTTCAAATAAAGTAGGTGAAGAAGGCAATAGTAGGACCTTTGGCTCTGATCGTGGATGGAAAGACGTCTGAGCACCACTAACCATCCCCGTCAACGGAAGCATTCCTTTCAATGAAAGAAACCAACTTCCCACGAACTGCGTGGCATCGAGAAAGAGGCCCAGTCCAAGACCAAACATTGATGAAGAAGAATATTGTTACAGAATTGCCGGCCTTATTGGGGGTGCCGGCGTACTTCGAACTCTGCAGAGCGCTAGCAAGGAGGCATAATCCAGGCCCCACGTTGGCCGATGACTGTTCTTTGCCGACTGATTAGCCTGCTATTGCGGGACGAGCTGGATTCAAAAGTCCAGGGATGCTGGACTTCGCCTTGAAAGTTTAGTATGCGACATATGTCAAAGATCACAAGGATATAAACAGACAGCAAATGTGGCCGGTATTTGAATAATCTACCACTCGTCGCGCCAAGTAGTACATGTCACACAAGCTCGGCCTCTAGAAATTTTTGCGCCTGACTAAAGTGTACGATGACTCGATAGAAGCAGAACTAGCTTATACTATCCATCCTGGCTCAATCCTTACAAATATGTGGACATAAATCGTTCAGTTATATTGTTTCAAGAAGTCCATTGCATCTGACATCTCTTGGTCAATGCGCCGAACATGCTCCTTGCTCCGGGGCTTTATAGCAATCTTGAAAGGCAACGGGGCTTGGAGAATGCCTGGGTTATATGCGTTAGGATCTAAAGGGCTCTTGATCCCAGTTTTGGAGTCCACATATTCCGAGAATTCAAAGGCCCAGAGCAATTTTGCAGCAATACGCCACATATTCCGCTCCGCAAGATGCATGCCTGGGCAAACACGCCGACCCGCACCATAATTGTAATGATGTAAAGACGAAGTTAGTGTACATATCGCCTTTCTAGGTAAAAAGTAGAAACTTATCTCGCTTCGCCCAATCAGGGCTTCCAGCATAATCACTCGCTAGTCTGTGATGATCAAGGTATCGGTCCGGATTAAAGTTTTCTGGATCAGGGTAGATATCTGCGGAATGATGGATTGCCCATGTGGGTAAAAAGACGGTTGTGTTCTTGGGGATAAAGAAACCTTCGTAGAAATTATCTGTAAACTTTTCAGCTCTGGGAACATTGTTTAGAGGATACTTCGTTGTTCACTGACCTTCTCGTGCTCGATGCGGCAGTGCAGTAACAGCCCTTTAGAGATACGATAGTCAGCTCATATCATCTTGAAGCACATTCAGAAGACTTACACTGGGCGCCACCTCATACCCTCCTTTATAATTGAATTAATGTACGGCAAGTTTTCAAAGTCAGACCATAGAGGAGCTCTTTGAGTGCCACAAACAGCGTCGATCTCGGCATGGGCCTTTTTCTGAACTTCCGGGTAGAGGCCAAAAGCGAGAATCAATGTGAGAAGCTGGGCTGCGGTTGTATCTGCACCTCCTTCCACCACCTCCCCCATTAAATTGTCAAACCCGTGCTTCGAGAACGGCATTCCTTTTTTATCATACTCATCGAGAAGATTGTCAATGATGCAATTTCGTCGTTCGCCTTTAGCACGTCTCTCGTCGATCCTACGGCGTGCCTCACCCCAAACACTGTCCATGACTGAGCCGGCATCAATCGCCCGACGTTTCCAGAATGCTAGAGAGGCTGGTGCCCATTGAAGAAACCTGAACTCGTCGACTGGTGGATTCGCTCCCGGCTCCATGGCCGCGGTCCACTGCTCAAATTTAGCGATTTGGGACATTCAGCCGAGAATCTCTGTTTACCTTGTCCATAACATCATAAACGCCCTGTAGGATTAATCTCAATATCTAAAGCCAAGCGTAGAACAAATTACCTACCTGAGCCCAGAAAGAGTCTGGAGTAGAGCCACGATAACCGTAAGTAATCGAGCTCGCTACAGACGCTGTGTAGCGTCTGATCTGGCGGTAGAAGTCCTCGGAATTCGTCAAGAGGTTGTTCATCAGAACTGTGGCTCTAAGGAGAATAGTTCTAGTTTGGGACTTATTTCCAGGTTGAATGAGTTCCTCACTCTGCTTCCTGAACCCGGAAATGTTTCTCATCGAGCGATTTCGGGGAAAAATTATGCGCAATGACTTTTCTTTTTTCTCTCCAAAGAGGGTCCATTTGAGAGATCGCCAGATGATCACCCTTTGTCAGCAAGTGCCCGACATAGGTCTCTGGGCGATCGGAGTATATTGCGCCCTTTTCGACCAGGAGTTTGTGAATGGCCTTTCGGTCGCATAGAACCACGATGTTGGATGGTCCAAGTTTGAGACTAAAGACAGGACCGTATTCTTTGGCCCATTCTCGAAATCTTAAGTGCGCAGGCTGGTCAACAACACTGGTTTATGCTTCAGGAGGGAAGATGCCATCACGTACTGTTTGTAGAGGCCGGTACGGGGGATTTGATGAGCGTTTCCGAGGACGGGGATGGTGGGTGGGCCTGGTGGCATGCGAGGATCACGTTTGCCGACCTGCAATACACGGTACACGAGAAAAGCAACAAAGGCGACCAATGCCCAGAGGTAGGGCTTCGACAAGATTGCTGTGCCGGCCATTGTGAGGTTCCCCAGGGGCTTTTCAGAATTGTGTTGAGCAAGAAAATCGTTCGTCAATAAGACAGAGGACGTCAATGGCGAATCTCTGGAAGTAATAATGAAGCTTGTGGGCTAACGTCTTCAAGATCTGGGGACAATAAGGGGGATATGTCGTGTGTCCTTGTTCCCCACTGCCGGCCGGGAAATTCGTGTAGGTCTTTCTCGGGCAGTTTTCTGGCGTCACAAAAATAGTTACCCCGGCAGGGGACCGGGCTGATTTTCGGTTCCATGGTGATGCCACCAGTCGTCTATCCGAATGCAGGTCAGTCAGCCAGTAGCAAGATATTCAAATCACTCTGTGTTGAGCATGAAAACATTGGCGGCAAACTTCGAATTGTCGAGACAATCGCGTGGAGTGATCATAAATCTTTTCCACGGGAACAAATTTAGAGGCTATACGCAAGGTCGGATATTACAGCGCCGGCCGCTCGTCGCCAAAAATATGCTTCAAGATCTACGGGATCAAGCGTTCGTGGCTTGCTGCAATTCTTCATGCCATCCCATCTACCTGCTCACCACTCCTGATGTCGACCTTAAAATGAGAACTTTGCTGTTGTTTAGAGTTTCGGTTGAGCCTAGCATCTCCAAGACAGCGACTTCCAGACTTCCAATGTCTGTGAGTGACAAGCAAGCACCTCGAGCATAGATAAGTTTCGCATTTGCTAGGCTCATTCCAGAGGCGGCGCCTGTAACGACAAAAACGTTGCCTGTAAAAAGTGCCATAGTCACTTTGGGAGTGAATCAGTTGGTCGCATTCTAGTTTTGGACGTGGCAGTTTATTCCAATTTCTCACATTTGCACCGCCGACTCAATTCTAGCGAAAAAGACTGTCACTTCGGTCTCTCACGGGCAGATCGCCTTCGGAAGATCTGATGCGAGTCTAACCGATCTGCCAGGTAGAACCCTTGGCCGACGCTATCGGTAGTCCGACACGTGAATGCTGCGATATGTCACGATAATTGATAAGAGGAGTTGAGAGATAGATAGTACGCGATATGCCAAAGCCTAAAGCTATGGTCATGGGACTACCTTCATCTCCTATTCAGCACGAATTTACTTTGATCGGGAGAACTGTGAATCAGTACCAAGAGAATGCATGGCCCTAAATGTTCAAAATCGTTTTGGAGGCTAGAACACGATTATATAGAAGAGGTTGAACGACTTGCATGAGGCTCTTTGAGGGGAGAGCCACTTTATATATAACTAAGCTATATGGCCGCATGCCGAAAGAGAGGTGCTGGGCAGCCCTAAAAGGGTGGCTAACTAGTACTCTTATATCTATACCCCAATACAGCGCGGGTAATGCGAACTAGGGCTTGGTGCCGAACATTTCGCTGCAAGTAGAGTTATATCAGCCACGCATAAAATAGTAGTATGGACATCAGACGGTGTCATGAATCTGAACTTAAGCAGAAGTATATAAATTTTGGTGTCATCGTATTCTTTCTGTCCACTGGGTGGCAATACATTTAAAAAGTAAGCTGGAGGATCCGGTTCATGGACTTTTCACTGTGCACTGTATCCTCCATCTACCTAAACTGAGGATCAGCATCGGCTCGAGGGCTCCTGAGTGTCAGACTTACCGACAGCACTGAGCCCGTGATATAGCTAGCCCTGTCACTTGCCAAATAGACCACGGCGTCAGCGATCTCTTCCGGGTTCGCCAATCGGCCCATTGGAGTCCTGTCAATTTGTGGACCGAGTAGTGTTCGTATCACGGGTGTGACCAATGGGGTATCGATAAAGCTGGAATATGGAAATTGGTCAGGAAGAACTCTCGCAAAGTGAGGCTTATATCACGGAGATATGGATTGCAACTTGCCCTGGACACACAGCATTGATTCGAATGCCTTTCGTTGCATAGTCGAGGGCATCAGTCCTCACCATACCAATGATACCTAATAAAGCACGATCAGCTGTTGCTGAACGGATCGCGTGCAGTGCGACCCAACAAAAGAACTAACCGTGCTTGGAGATGGTGTAGAGCCCATCAAGAGGTATGGCTCGGATGCCGAGAAGAGACGAGACGACCACGATAGAACCTCTGGCAGGTACTCTGCCTTTCCTGAAGATAAGTAAGCTTGGCGTTTGGACAATCCAAAAGCAGTGACTGCCCTGCGTGTAATGATCTTGCTTGATGATGAACAGGGGGCTGTGACTTACAGCGCCTCCAGGGGTTCTTGGTTCACCATTTGTTTCAGCGCTTCCCTTTCACAGAGCCACGTTCCCCTGAGATTGACTCTCTGGACCCTTTCAAAGTCCGCAATCGTTGTCTCGCCTGTTGGTAGGAAGGGAGCAGCAATTGCCGCATTGTTGATCGCGTAGTCGATCCTCCCAAACTTACTCACGGTCGACCCAAAAGCACGAATGACCTGCTCCTCATCGCCTATGTCGACCGATATCGGCAAAAATTCCACGTTTGGGACTTCAGATTTCAAGGCCTCAGCCGTTTCCGTCAATCCTTTATCTGAAAGATCCAAAGCAGCGATACGTCGCACACCATCGCGCGCAAATTGCAGAGTAATTGCCCGACCGAGAGCACCACCTGCTCCGGTGATAAGAGCAGCCCTTCCAATGGTTAGGCTACGAATGAATCAAGATCTCCAATATTCTGCTCACCCGCGTAGTCCGAGTCCTGCCATTATCGTTACTTGACTTGATTTGGTTATGCAGAGAGGGTGCGAAGAGAAGAGTTGTATGAAGCCTGCACGATTAGGGAAATGGTGGTCTAATGTTTTGCAAAAAAAGATAATGCGACCAACTATTCCGTTCTTTGGCTGTGCGGGACTTCTTCGTTCGGAACAATTTATCTTGTGAGCCAACTAACTTTCCACCATCTAAGTGCTCCACAAATGGAGTCATTACACGATGCACATCGTTGCTGCAGATATTGCAGGCGAGTCTTTATCAGGGCTCTACGCACAAGTAGACCTATTTATTTACCATGTAACTAAGTTATCCTACAATGTAGATTTTGTCGGGAATGCTGCCCACTACAACGGGATGCCAATTGTGAAGCCGCCGTCTACTGCCAGGTTCTGGCCGGTGATCCACTGCGCGTCATCGCTGCAAAAGAATACCACCGCTTTGGCAATGTCCGACGGCTCTCCCAGTCTCGGCCACGGTGTGCCCTTCTGCATCTCAGCGATGATAGCGGGGTTCTGAAAGTTGATACTGGCGGCACCACTCCTGACGACACCTGGACACACTCCATTGACGTTGATACAGTCCTTGGCGTGGTCTATTCCGACGTTCTGGACCAGCATTGCTACCGCTGCTTTACTCGCAGCATATGTCGCCTCCCGACGGATGGCCGTGATGCCGCCAGCAGCAGAGGAGATGTTGACGATCCGGCCTCTCGACCCGGAAACCTCGTCAATAGGCTGCTTGAGAAACTGCTTGATGGCGGCACGCATCGCGGTCGCCGTGCCTTTAGCATTGATGGCAAACATGGCGTCCCACTGCTCCTCGGTCTCTTCCACAAAATCCCGTAAGGGCATCCACAAGCCTGCGTTGTTGACGAGGATGTCAAGTTTGTTGAACATCTAGCATTGTTTGTTAATTTGACTGAAGCTGCGATCAAAAGTGCCACATCAGAGGGCTGACCATACCTTGACCGCAGCCTCGATGAGGGCCCCAATTTCTGCCACGATCAGTAGATCGCATATTTGAAAAACGGCTTTACCACCGTTGTTGTTAATGACCTCGTGCGTAGGAATGTGCTTGTCCTCTTCGAACCCATCCTGACGTGCTTCGGCAACACGATCTGAGCAGACCACGACTGCGCCTTCACGGGCAAGTGCCAGTGCAATTCCACGCCCTAGACCAGAGGACGAGCCGGTAACAATGGCGACCCGCTGGTGCAAGCGCCCACTGCCATCATTTTTGTAGACGGTAGCAGCACTCATATTTTTTGAAGTAGTTCTCACTTTTCACTTTTCACTTTTCACTTTCCACTTTCCACTTTGCTTTCTTAGATCCTTAACTCGAGGAGTTTCTGAAAAGTGGGTTAGACGATCGCTTCCAAAGTATTGGTGTTTAAGCAACAAAGATACACCGGCAACCGGCTTATAAAATGCAGGGATAATTCACCTAAGCGTGTGTGTGTCTCGAGGGAAATACCCCACGGTTGTCACCGGAGAACGACTAGGGGCTTCGCGACCCCGTAAAATTGTCCTATTGATCCACGCGACTATTCATATCTGCGAGCCAAGGGATGGGTTAGTGAGGTTTGGGAGAAAGTTCATAGTTGCGCAGGACATCTCTCGGATTGTTAATGCGTCCCGGTCCCTCACACTACAGCTTCATATATTGTAGTAATTGCAGCTAAAGGCGTCATCAAGGTTGGACAGAATGGCCATGTAGTCGTGGAGTCACGGTGCATCTTCCTGGTATGTAGTCTTATGATCGATACTACGGACTTGAAATACCAAACGTCGAAGCGCTTGACAATCTACTACCCAGTAATCGAAGTCAAGCCAATCCTGCATAACACGTCTACCACCTCTGCCGGTAGAGTTGCTTCCCCAGGTCATCACGATCCCCCATCGACTCACTCTCACCCTGGGAGAAGTGGACGCTGACCTTGTACCAGCCGTATCAACTCTAGTCAGTGCTTTTGACCTCAATGCAAATCCGGGTCATCGGTGGATGTGAACCAGTCACCTCATTGGGAGCCCTCAGAGCAACAGCTGGTGTTTGCCCATTGAAAGAGTCTCGGACGTGAACTTCTAAGCGTTATGACTTCATTCTTCAAAGGTCGCAACTGTCCCGGCCAGGGCTTGGTCAATGACCAACAATTCCTCGTAGGCACATCATCCAGAGTTTGAAGATGACGACGTATCTACAGTGGATGGACACCTTGGAAGATTATTCACCGTGAGTTTGTGGTGGCTACTAAGGACTCATATTGTCAGACTTCGACCGACTGCAGACTGTGAGAGAGAACGGAAGAGGACGCGAGGTACGATGATGGATCAGGTCGATCGATGGAGAGAGATCGATTTAAGCCATAAACCCAGTCTTTCTGTGAGGGGTTCCCTGACCAACCATAATTCGACCGATTATCTCTCCACAACTCTAAGCGGGCGAATTTCGACTCTCAGTCGGGCATACTGGGGCTGGCCAGGAACCGTACGTCAACTTGAAGCCGTACCGAGCACAGTTTTGCCTACGAGGTACCAGCACTAACAAACGCTTGGGTCACGATCATTTCTGCGGATGGTGACAATCGCTCGCAACTGGATGTCCGAACGGTGCAGCAAACGGACATGCCGATCGTGGGGAAGATGACTACTTTCCAGCCAGGGGCTTCACTAAAAGTGATTATGAACGATAAATGTTACAAGTTCGATTGGGCAAAAGTCCCCCATCTACAACGGGTAGTGCTCTCCCGCCGCTCAACCTGACCCACAACAGCCACAGCTGCCACAAGTACAACAAGCCACAGCACTTGTCTGGGCCGCGAGGCTACGAAATTACAGCCTTGCAGAGGTTGCTCGGCATGGCCGGATAGACGATCTGTACATTATGCATCACAACCAAGTGTACGATGTCACTTTGTTCATCCAAGAACATCCGTAAGACTTCTCTTGGGTTCAGACCTTAAGCTGTCACTGGGAAAGCATACATGACCAAGATGGACGTGGACAGCACTGTAACTGTCCGCAAAATGATCCAAAAGTCACTAATTCTGCCTTGGGCGCTCTTGTTCAGGGAGCCTATAGTCCTGCTTCTAACGGTAGGTTCTTCCTTCGGATCGGTAAGCTCATTTTGCAGACCTCTAAAGTAGATATACACATCCGTTGCCTACGGGAGCTTGTACGTCTGCTTCGCTTCATACCCGATTCTGTTCCAACAAGGTCACAGCTGGAACGCAGAGTTTGCTGACGTGGCATTCCTTAGACTGCTGGTCGGTATGTTTATTGGCGTCATGATCATCATCTTTGACAACAGGCGCTATTCTCGTATTCATAAAGAGACTGGAGGCTTTTCACCGCCAGAGACGCTCAGCTCCCGACAGCCATATCTGGGGAAATTGTCGGAGTTATTGGTCTTGCATGGTTCGCCGCCATCACGACCCCACTATACACTGCATCGTTCCTATACTTGGCAGGGAGTTGCCTCCGGAATAGGTTTTCTGCTCATCGTCATGTCTTGTGTGAATTATGTGTTAGTATTCGGAAGTCTCAACGATAGAAGACAATCTCCGATCACTAACGACTAACGATGGCTTACAATCGACTCATACGTAATGTACGCTGCCTCTGTCATGGCAGCGAACACGATCACGATGATGCGGTCTACCTTCGGTATCGTCGTCCCACTCTTCCCAATCCAAATGTGTGGTAAGCTTGGAACTCGGTGGACTTCGTCGCTGCCTTGTTTCATCGCTTTAGCATGCGTCCCTTTTCCCATCTTTTCCTACAAATATGGACCGATGATCAGACGAAAGTATAGATACTCGGCCCAGGCTGCGAGGTACTTGGACAGCCTGAAGAGCGATTTGGAAAGGTAGAGATCCGGAGCTGAAGGCAATGAACGAGAGGCATTGAGGACCGCAGAGACTGTGAATTCTGCCTAGTGGTATTAGACGATTCATTTGAGGTAACACGGGGCGGGACGTAGAATGCAGCTTTAGGAATGGTAGATAGACAATAGCAGCGCGATATAGATTCATAGACCAAATCTAATAATCGTAAAGGAATACGCGTTTTGAAAGTACTTTCGCAATCAACACGAAGCATTGATAGTATGAAGATTAAACTAGGAGTGCTGGGCTCGGTCTTCAGTGATGCCCTTTTCTCACCCAAGGAATATGCTCTACGTATATACTGGATCAATTCATTGCCCTAAGCTCACATCAATGCCGCCCGACCTAGGCCACCATTCATAGGGCCTGGTTTCCCGTACAGTGCTTGTGTATGGCGGTGATATATCCTGCACGTGATCTTTAATGCAGCAGCGTGATTTCGTTATGCAAAGCAGCGCGGTTAGCAGTCTCAATCAGGTTTTGAGTTTCAATGTGATGCCAAGATGGATGAGCTTCATCATGTTCTTGAGCCATGTCCGCCACTCTGTCACTCCATGAGTACTAATTCATTCGTTGATCTCCTCTAACCAGGAAGTTTGTGCATTAATCTAGGAAGTGAATGTGATCCATGAAACTACAACCGGCGATAATCAGAGCAGGCTCTTTCTCCATCGGCCACGACTAAGAACAAATTGTACCACGAAATGGCCATGCTAGTTTGGCGGCTGTATTCTTAGAGATTGGGCATTGACTTGCGACTTAATTTCAGGATCATGGTTTTCAGCGATACGGATCGTATCACATGTTGTCCATCTCTTTCATTTGAGTTCTTGTTTCTCACGTGATCAAATCATGGCAAATGGACCATCCGAAGTCAAGAAGACGAAGAAGAGTGCGTTCTCGTGCGAGGCCTGCAGGAGACGCAAGGTGAAATGCGCGGGGGAGAAGCCAAAATGTGGTCGGTGTATTGCTCGCAATGAACCTTGCATATATCATTTGCCACCTACCATATCTTATACCCAAAAACTAGAAGCACGCATTCAGGAGCTCGAAAAGGCGTTGGCAGGATCACAGTCAACTCAATCTCCGTCGACGTTGTCCAGATCGGAAACTTCACCCTGGGTTCCATCACTGGATGGGGCCAGGCCAACTTCGAGGGACACTATTGCATATCAAAGTTCGACGAGTTTCTTTGAGCTCGTTACTGGCCATGATTCGGCTGCATTCCCAAAATCGCAAGCCTCAACTCAGGTTGACAGTCGTAGAGAACGACTGGTTGAAAATGCAGAAAAGCAAAGGTCAATGGAATTACTTGCTGCAACACCTGAACCTTTCAAATCCCTACTCGACAACCATTGGTGTTGGATACAGCCACTATTCAATTTCATTTACCGTCCGGCTTTCACTCGAGACATGCAGGTCTTGGGTCCATATTATTCACACACTTTGTTGAATGCAATACTTGCACACTCCACACGTTGGTGTCAACGAGATCCTGCCATCGCCCCCCTTCTCGAGCCTTATGATCAAGGTCGATTATTCTCCAGGCATGCACGAACTCTTTTGTTTGAGGAGTTAAAAGCAGGAAAAGGTACTGTTCCACTCGTCCAAACTCTGCTCGTTCTGAGCGCCCAAGAATGTGGTGCTGGGAACGCTACTCAGGCATGGCTGTATAGTGGAATGGCTTTTAGATATATTCAGGATATGGGGTAAGACTGACCTTTGTACACAATCCACACCACCTTCCACTATTTATCCTCAGTCATACGAGATATCATCTCCGTCACTCAAGTCATTCAAGTTTGGCCGGTAAGCTAACTCTTTCAGTATATGCGTTGACAACGAGATCTACACTACCCAAACTCATTTGACAGAAGAAGATTTGGAAATCAGGAATCGACTCTTTTGGAGTTGTTACTTTTGGGACAAAATGTAGGTCGTTTCTAAAGATGATGACTGACTCAAATATGGTCCCGTTTTCCGTCCACCAACTAACCAACCGCCTCAGTATAAGCCTCTACCTAGGCCGGTCACCCTCCTTACGACACACCAAAATCTCACCACCGCAAAAACTCCTCGACGACTCGTCGGAAGACGAAATTTGGATTCCCCATGGATTGTCCTACCCCGCTGGACAAGGCTATCCGCCCACGAAATCACATGCGACATCATGTTTCACGCAGATGTGCAGATTATCCGTCATTTTTCACCAAATCCTCCTACACATGTATGATCGCGAACAAGACCATATCGACACCGAGCGACAACAATGCGTTGAGGATCAAGGACATGCACTCAGTGTCTGGTGGCAGGATCTACCCGAACATCTGAGGATCGATCCTGTTTCCCTACCGCCCTTTGCTCCTCCAAGTCACATCAATACCATGAATTGCCTCTTCCACACTTTCTCGATTCTGCTTTATCGTCCTATGGTCTTTGGCTCCACTTCGGTCCAAGTAGGTTACGGGTTGGAGGCGGACTATCTGAGAAAATGCATTGCATCAGCGAATGCTATTGTATTTATTGTAAGTCGTTCGTGATCTAGTGAGTGTTGCTATGGATTAACAAGTTAACCACGGACTGGAACAGTACGACTTGTTCTGCCGCACATTCGGCGAAAGCCGAGTCATCCTGTCTCTCTTGTACAGCGTGTATACGGCAGCCTCAATTTTCCTCCTGCAGATTCAAGCCTCTGGCGAATCCAACGCACAAGTCTCAAAGAGACTGCACTACTGCGTTGGCGCGCTGGAACGAGCCAAAGAACAGGCTCCGGTCCTCCAACAAGCGCTTGCACTTCTCAAGAAGGAATTGTCGAAATTAGAGCTCAAGGCCCACCCCGCTGGGCCGAAATACCCTAACCATGAAATCCAGGGGACGAGTGTCCCGGCCGATTATGTCCAAGATCAAAGCGCATTTCTCGCTGGCCCTGCCTTTCAAACGAGTCCGTCCGCGGCGTCGTACGGACTGCCAGAGTTTGACTTCTCGGATGTTCAGGTCGATCCAAGCATTTTTGAAGCATTTTCGACGTTGGAGCCGATCAGCGTTCAAGTTGGCGCGTTGGAGGAAAACTGGTGATCTGAAGAAGGGGCATGCAACTGGTCCGTCCTTATAGTTGTGACATATGCTCCGATGGGGTATTGTCTTTTCGTCCTAACATTCTCTACCGCATTTCTGTTGCGCATGTCATTTGAATGATGGAGGAGCTTTGTTGGCAATCGATTCTTCTCACATTGTCGATGCTCCAGAGAAGAACTGTCGGCGGAAAAATCCTGAATGTTTTGTTGAACGATGTCTTTTTTTTGATATTTGGGTAGCTCAGGGCCCTTTAGGCGGCAACCGATTTGACTCTTTCTGCATTACCGGAACATTCGAATGAAGGGGCTTCAGGTTGCAAAACTATGACTCACTAGCTAGGAGTGTCAATCCCTAGATGTATGTCAACATCCAGGCAGGCATTGTTTCACGCTTGACCGCCCTACATGATTGTGTGGACATGAGACCTGGTGATGTACGGGAAGATTTGTATATATCACGCCTGTTCCAGCAGAACGATGATTAAGAAGTATTGTATTTGATCAACTCGGGGTGGTATAGTAATTCGAATGGCGACAAGTAACATTCAGCTTCCTTTTCGACTTACTATCTACGCCTTCTCAACTTGACGGACATCAACACCCTCAACCTTGGCCATGACCTCCACGTCATGCGCACCATGAGGATATTTTCGATCCAAGCGCTCCCTTGCCCGCCAGCCCATGAACCACCTCCCGGAGAACAACTCCTCCATCATCTCCATCGGAATACCTTTTGTCTCGGGCGCCCACAATCCCAAGATCACAAAGCCGACGGCACACACCATGGCCCAGAATATATAAGCGCCGTAGATATCCAGACTGACGAACATGTTTGGTGTGACGCGCACGACGGCGAATTGGAAGAACCAGTGCAGCGACATGTTGGTTGCGTAGCAGACACTCCTGATCCGCGTTGGGTAGATCTCCGTGCTGTACAGGTACTGCACGGTGCACAGGCCGATGGACCAGCCGACGGCGTAGATGAAGACCGAGGCGATGGCCGCGTCTGAGGCGGATTTGTTGTCGCTGCCTTTCCACAGTGCCATGTAGATCGACATGTAGATGTGTGTGATGCATTGGAGGAACAGGCCGGTCAGCATACACCGCCGTCGCCCGATTTTATCGACTAGGCCCCACGTGAATACCATAGTGAAGACGAGCTTGACAATACCGTAGGCGCCGGAGGTGATCAGACTCGTGTTAGAGCCTTTGACACCCGCGTATTCGAAGATCTGGGGTTTAGACATCAGTTATGAATTTTTGGCCATCCCTGTGGGATTAAAGTGTGTATGATTTCGAGTCTGATGAAAGAACAGAAGAGGACAGTGACAACACATGGGAACAGATCAGTGACATACCTGCGGGATGTAGTAGGTGATTCCATTCCCACCAGACCACTGGGCGATGGTCTGCATGATAGCGCCAAGGAAGAAACGCTCACGATAGGAAGGATTTCGTGCGATATCCTTTACGATGGTCCAGAAGGAAGAGCCCTTGAGCTGCTGCTCCTTGGCTTGACACTGGTTTAAGATCTCGGCGTACTCGAGGCGGATCTCTCGGGTCTTTTCGTTGTCGTCTTTAGCCGGATCGGCCTCGTGACTGCGACCACGGAGCTTGGTCAGGGCTTGCATGGCTTCTTCGGCACGGTCCTCAGATGCAAGCCACCGTGGAGTGTCGACGAGGAAGAAGGATCCGATAAATGCGAGGCCGCATGGGATTAGTGGGATCGCTTGCACGAGGCGGTATTGCATTCGGGTTGGAGCCATATGAAGGTTGGCGGCGTAGTTTATGAAGAAGCCTGGATGACATGTTAGTCGTTGCTTGCTAGATTTAATAGCCAAGAAATGGTTCCAACAAGTATGACACGTACCGAGAGTCAATATCGAAAGTAAGATGACCATGTAAATACTGACGACCATTCCACGACTCTTAGCCGGGGCGATCTCTGAGAGGTAAAGCGGAGCGACGACGGTTAAGCCGCCAGCACCAAAACCACTAAAGAGTCTCGCGAAGAGGATGAATCCGTAGATTCCAGTAGAGAAGACCTGCATCAACAAGCCACAAGCCCAGATTGAGATGAACATCTGCCAGCATCGCAATCGGCCAAGTCTATCGGTCAGAACATTGCAGAACATTGCTCCGAAAGCTGCGCCTAGGACGCCAAATGACGAGATATTGGCCTTTCGGTTTGCCAGACCTTGAGGGTCATTCTTCCATTTGGCTGGATTTATATTGTAGTCGTTCTGGAAAGACTTCAGTCCTACGGATGCGCTGAAGCCGCCTTCGTCATAGCCTAAAATGATTAAAAGACACGAGTTAGACTGTAGTGGTATCAATAAGACAGCGGAATAGAAGGAAGAGGGGATCATGGCGATCTTGGGAAATCAAATGGAATGGGTTATCATCGTTGTTCAAGATGTACGAACCTTTTGGGATACTACCGCACGCAATGACAATGATGGCGAAAATGTAGTAGGCGTTGAAGCGAGACATTATGAAGAGCCACAGGCTTCAAGGGTAAGGATTTGATGGTGTCGAATTGGTCCTGGCGATCAACCGCTCCAGGAGGATTCATGTCCCAATATATATTTCCCCATAATACACGGAGCAAAGTAGGTAGGAAAATGCAGAGAAATCATCACTCCATGTGGGGAGCGTACTGGGGAATGATTTTCTCGTGACGAGGGTAAACTCAAAACCGAGAAAAGCGTTGGACATAGGAGATCAGATCAGTTGAATCCTACCCTGCTTGCTACGGCCACAGGAAAGAGATTCCTCACGGAAGTTGACCGAGCTGAGCAAACATCGGCATCTGAATGCCGACCGGGACTGAACCTTGTCTGCACTTCCACACGTGAGAAAACAACAGACTTGCGTTTTCTCTTCAGCATATCTAGCAACACCTGGAAACATACAGCCTTGCGAGATATTCCTCGCGACTCCATCGCTTTTCGGAGCGATGCGCTATTGATGGCCAAGACGGCGGATTGGCTGGACATTTCGGCCAACTTCCGTGAGCCAGATGGGTTTGATGGCCAAAGTGGTAGTAAATGGCAGTCTCGGTAAACTTCCGAGGGGGAGATTCTCCATGGCTAAAGAGGTGGATAAGTATTTACCGACCAAGAGGAAAACTCCCGCATATGATCTCTCCCCCACACAGCAATTCTGGAGCTCTTGCCGTGGGGATAAGACAGCTTGAGTGTCCACTCAATGGTCTCTCTGATGGGGCGAATTCTGCAGCCGGAAAGGTACTTAGGTACGAGGTTGTCGATAGGAATACTGCCTACTTAGAGAGGATATATATGGACTTCGGCCCGAGTCCGCTGGATCTCTCAAGATACAAATGCCCATGAAGACCAAGATTGCCTGACAGATCGACCCAAGACATTGGTGACGAGGCTTCATTGGATTCGGACTTCACCTAGCATCAGTATTTCACGCCGGCGCGAAGAACATCGATATCACTCAATATCCTCTTGCATCCTCCAAAGATACGTTTCAACATGGATGTTGAAAGGGGTAGTATAACAGAGACACCAACATGGAGCAAGAGCAAGACATGCACATTCCCCCAAATACCCAAAGGGTCATGGGACAGCCATATGCACATCATCGACGCAGAGCGATATCCTTTTGTGGCAGACGCCCGATATATACCACCGTCGCATCTCCTCCCGCAAGCCTTGGAGCGTGAAGCAGAGCTAGGAATCGACAAAATCGTCCTTGTTCAACCGTCAGTCTATGGAAACGACAACTCGTGTCTGCTCGACGCACTACGTGCACGCGGACCAGACAATGCACGGGGGGTCGTGGCCTTTGATCCGCTGACGACAAACCTCTCGACGCTGCGGAAATGGCATCATCTTGGTGTGCGGGGTGTGCGTGTGAATTTCCAATCGGTGGAGAAGAAGATCAACAGCGAACGAGAGCTGGAACTGTTGCTGAGACGATACGCGCATCTCATCCGGCCGCTGGATTGGGTCTTACAACTGTACATCTCCCTTTCGTGTGTGGGTATGCTGGAGAGGATTCTACCACCGCTGCGGATCAAGGTCTGCTTAGACCATTTCGGCTGCCCTTCGCTCCCACCGACTCTATACGCAAACGAAGAGGATGAACAAGAACGGTATGCTCGCATACTCGCCGACATATCCTCATTGGCACGGCTGCTTGAATATAGCAGGACATACGTCAAGATATCAGCTCACTACCGACTCTGCGAGGATGTCTCGCAGTTAGAGCCCATCGCGAGAATGCTGCTCACGGTTGCAAACGGCGAGAAAGTCGTCTTTGGGACTGACTGGCCGCATACACGATACTCAGGCGTCAACATTGAACCATTTGTACAAGTCGTCTTGGACTGGTGCAATGCCGACCAAGGATTGATCAACAGAGTCTTTCGCGACAATGCTGCCACACTTTGGGATGCCCGCACTTCTGATTGTCAAGGTCGGTTATAGGAGCCTCGGTATGACAAATAGCCATAAGCGGAAATTGCCATGCAGACCAGCATAGTAAGTAAGGGCATTTGTTTAACCTTGATGCCATCGGCGGTGGTGGTTTCATGGAATATGGTCTGTCACGAACATTTCGTTTCAACATGTATATACTTTATGAATGATTAAAGATACCCGCCTCCAACATAGACATACTCGCTTTTCTTCAGCTGCTCACCTTCGGCTAAACGACGATGGAAACCCCATGATATTCGCCTCGTAGAGCACTCCCGTCCTTCCTTGTGAGTAGTTAGCCCTCCGTGTATATTTTGACGTCATCGAAGATCAGCCCTATCGAATACTTCGCTACAGAATGAACAAAGAAACCGTGGACGCCAAATAAATTTTAGACGAATTACTGAACCAACATGGCTTCGACAGAGGAGGACGTCGCCTCACGCCTCGACGCCGAGCTCTCGCTCCTCGACGCCATGTACCCATCCAGCGTGACCTGGATGTGCCAGAGCCGCGAAGTACGCTTCAAAACCTCAACCTCAGCCTCGTCGGGAGAACTACAACTCCGGCTCCCGGACACGTATCCCGGCAGCGGGCTTCCAAGCGTAATCTCCGCGTGTGATGGCACGAGGAACGATGTGCGCGAACGGATGAGGTGTGCGATGCGTGAGTTGGGGCTGGTGGAGGGCGAGGAATGTCTCGATCGGGTTGTTGGTGCGTTTGAGGGCGTCGTTCGTGTTCGTGTGCCCCTGATCCGCTGGTCGTTTCTTTACTTCTACGTGATGCTTGCGAAGTTACAATGAGTCTAATGCTGAGATCTACGGTGGGCAGGAGCATGGATTGAGGACTCCTACTGGATCCGAGACCGGGATTGACAGCACCACCTCTGGGACAAACATGCAACTCGAAACCCAAGATCCACCATCATCATCGAAAACAGTAATCATCTGGCTGCACCATCTTCTCGCGACGTCGAAGCGGAAACTCGCCATCAACCCAACGCTGCACGGATCTGCCAACCCATCACTATCACTATCAACATCAACACCCAACACGCACCAATCGATCTCCGGCATCACGAAACCGGGGTATCCGGGCATCCTGATCTTCAGCGGTGCGTCGCGCCTGGTCGACGCGCACGTGCGCGAGCTGAAGGACTTGAACTGGCAGGCCTTTCAGGTGAGATATGATTCGACTGATGACGGAGCAGACCGTCGGTGCAGATGGGGGTTCGTGCATGAGGAGTCGGAGAACGGAAGGGGTAGGATCGTCGAGGTCGAGACCATGGCGGAGGTTGTCAAGGGGATTGTTGGGGAGAGGGAACGGGGTGTTTTCTTGAGGTGTGTGGGTGTTAAGTAGGTAGGTTCTGCAGGAGGACCATCTAGGTGTCTCTAATATCGTGGGTGGTCATTCATGTATCTATCTAAATCTCTAGATGTATTTCATCTCCATGTTCCCGCAAGCGCGGGACATACTTCTTTCTGGCACTTCAAACTATACGCTTAGATCCGTAGGCTGATCGCGAAAGTATTGACAGTCATTGTTTCCCTCTCCTATCTGATAATCATCAGACATCTCACAAACTATCCTCTCTCCAGCGGCTCCTGACGCGCTGCCAAGAATCCCGCTCCCCGAGCCCGCCCTTCTTCTCCAACCCCAGCCCTCTCTCCACCCACTCTTGACTCCCCATCTCCGTAAGGCGGGACAAGGCTCGTGCAAAGGCAAAGCGCTCCTCATCGCCGGAGAACAAACTACTCTGCTTGAGCATACTCATGCTCATACCCAGGTCGTCCATGAGATTCCGCATGACATCGTCGACATCATGGCCCTCACCCTCCTGGGTATCGCTCTCACTCTGCTTCGATTCGGCGGCGACTTTCTTCTCATCGGAGCTTGCAGACTCTGGATTCGTTTTGACTTTTCGATTTACGCTCTCAAGGCTTTCGTCAAGCTCGGTGCGCGAAAGGAAGAGTTGCGACAGTGGGACCGCCGTCGTCAGTACAAGTTTCGCCTGTGATTCATAAACCGCGTCGATGAAGGTTATGAAGCGCCGAGCCCAGTCGCGCTCGCGGTGTGTCATGCCAGGGACGTCCGTGACGATGAAGGCGTCGAAACTCCGCATCATCTCGATGTAGTCGGCGGCTCCTGTGGCTCGTCCGATGAGTTCGTTGAAGGTGAATCGTGCAGCACGCCCGGAAACCAGTGGGATGGAGACGTCGCGGCCCCATACCGTGATAGTTGTGGGGTGCGGCGGATCCTTTTCGGGGTCGCCAAGGAAGGAGAACCATTTGTTGGCGTGGGAGACAGCGGCGCGGTCGAGAGGGTGGTGGTATACGCCTGACGGAGGGCGGGGCAATTTTCTATAATCGGTGGAGGAGTCGAGGTTTATAACACGTAATTGTTTCTTGAGGAGGTTGATGCAGGGAATGAAGGATTGGCGTTGGATGCCGTTCTTGTAAAGGTCATCCGGGTGTCGGTTGGAGGTGGTGACCAGGACGACGCCGTGGGACATGAGGGATTCGAGGAGGCGGCGTAGAATCATGGCGTCCGCGACGTCTGTACATTGAAATTCGTCGAAGCACAGGATCTGGGAAGTTTCGGCAATGTCGGCTGCGACAAAGGGGACGGCATCGAACTCGCTGCCGTGTTGCATGCGAATCTTATGAAGTCGTTTGTGGACATCTTGCATGAAGTTGTGGAAGTGAATGCGGGTTTTGGAGGTCTGGTTTGGAGGGAGGGTGTCGTAGAATAAATCCATCAACATGGTCTTGCCGGATCCCACATCTCCATACATGTAGAGACCTTTGGGTAGTTCAGCCGGGATCTCATTGATGACCTTCTTTTTCTTGTTGGCACTGAACAGAGAGCCAAAGAGGGATTTCTTTTGGGGCTGGAGGTCGTCGATGCTAGGATGGACGACTTTGGGGGGTTGGTAGTCTATTAAGCTGTCGTGGAGATCTTGAAGGTGTTCGACCAGAGCTGCAGAAGGATTAGCTGGGGACGAGCGACCGAGGCAACCGACTCACTTCTCTGATGCTCATCGTCGCGCAGTTTCCTCGAATGGACGCGGTCGTCGTATTCTTCCAAAGGGCCGTGTTTGGCCAAGTTGGCGACGGCAGCAAGCTGTCTCTTCTGGTGTTGGTGTTGCAGTCGGTGACCCCGCGCGGGCAGCTGCAAGCTGGGGGCGCGGGACACATTAGTGCTGTAGGAGCGATGTAGCAGTTTCCGACGAGAAGAATTGAGATTGTGAGAGAATCTTCGTTGCCTCGTCAAGCAATTGGAACAGATTGAACGGCCTAGTGGTCGCACCGTAGCGTGGTCGAAAACGAAGGTTCTCAGGTAGGTTTGGAAAGCGTTCGGAATTGGGCCTACCGAGGCCTTCATTTTGGCAAGTTCCAGAGGGGAGAAAAGGAGGGAGGAGGAAGTCAGGAAGCCCAAGCTCTGTCACAGTGACTGCATGAGAACAACCGACGTGAAAAGAAATCAAAGAAATATGAAAATGTTAGCGACTAGGATAAACGATGAGCTACTATGGTGGTTCATCGAAAAAGCGTCGAAAGTCGTTGGAACTCGGAAGCGAGCGTATTTCTTACTTTGCTGGACGCGCCTTGCCGGATTTATTAAAATTACCGAGGTGGATTGAGAATCTAACTAGAATCCATGGCAAAATAATGCTGCTTTATGTTCAGTCCGGTTTAGGCCTAGTGCTGGCCTTGGCGAATGTCACAGACTCGAAGCCCCGGGGGTGTTTTGTCGTTGCAAGGCTTCTGGACCGCGAACATTAGGCCATATAAGCTCGTAACTTGTAGCTTGAGTCCATCAGGGTAGTTCCAGCGTACACCCCGTCATGTGCTCGATATCCTGGATGATAACCTCAACGTCCTCCATGACACCGCTCCCGGACGGGAGCACAGCAAACAACATTCCGACGTCCACTTGGGTGATATACAATACAAGGTTTCGCAGTCGACATAGCTAACAGTATCCTTGGACAACTGTCCGCCTTCCCTGCCTTGATCCACTTTTCCACTTTTCCAGATGCCATCTATCTTTCCTGGTCTGTCCGCTGTAGCCTGCGCAGGTCAGTTTATCAACAGAATGACCTGCCATAGAAATTTTATGGAGTGGCTCTAATGCTTCTAGACACTCACAACGACGCATTTGACTGGAATGCAGGTATATAGAGATTGCCTTTTCCGGGGTATTCACTTCACCTGTTGAGATTGAATCTGGATTTGAATTTGAATTTGGATTTGGATTTCCGAAGTTGAACCTGAATGTGTGAATCGGGAGCCCAAAGGCAGTAGGCCGAATCTGAAGGTCACTTGAGCCCTGTATGATGACTCCGGGACCATAGTATGATATAGCAAAGTATACCCACAAGCCCACGAGCTGAGTACCTGCCGTGCCGTGCCGTGCCCTGCCTTTCCGTGTCTCATCTCCCCGTCATATCCTACGTACGCCAAACGTGAACACATGAATAAAAACATGGCCTCATCCTATACGCGATCACATACGATTTCGCATAGCCGTTCCCATCAGGTCGCCCTGCTTGGTATCTTCCCCTTTCCCGGTTTGTATAAAGAGACTTTTTGCTTCGCTTGGTCGAATAACACCTGACTGCACCTGCGCCACTAGTAGTATCGAGTTAACGTATGCCCAGGTCTTCCCCCTTTTCCCTGTACCGTCTCCGAACCGCCGTTCACCCTGTGTTGAAAGCCACATACAGCGTCAGCTTTGGATTCCGCTGCAGCGCCACGTCCAGATTGTCGTCGTTTTCAAGGTCGATATAGCTATTTGTCGACTCATCTTTATACTGTACCAGGATATTCTCATTGACCTTGAGCCGTTCCATTAGTCTCTCCTTCAGCGCGCCAAAGGAGATCTCTGTTGGGACGCGGATCGCGATGATATCATCTTGAAAGAAAACCTTGACTTTCATTCCGCCACTGCCGGCGTTATTAGCCTTCATGCTTGATGACGTCGAGGCCTGGGTTAGGTTGCTTGCTTGTGAGTGGAGGAAGGGAGGTCGATCCATGCCCATTCCTGCTGACATGGGCATTTGTCGTTGTTGCTGAGACATGCGTCCCGACGGTGGTGGCATTCCACCATAGGCACTTCCTGGTATTTGATTGGACGTGACTCGAGAGACGGGTTGCATGGACTGTGATTGTTGTGATCCGCCCGATAATCGGTAGTCCTCTCCCAACGCGCTGGGGTCTATTTCAAAGTCCTGACCAGGTTTGGGTTTGAAGAGATTTCTTACCAACATACTCTTGGAGATGTGTGGTGGCATCCCTACAATATTCTTCATATACTCATCCAGATTCTGGCGTCGCCCATTCGAGATAGCATCCGTGACGTGGGCTACAGGACCTGGCATGAACGGTAGAGTTCGAGGTTTTCCCTTGACATTGCCAGCTTCCTCGGGGAATTGTTCGAGCAGGGCAATCTGAAAGTCATAAAAGTCGGCATAATATCGTGATAATTCCCACCATCGCCCATCCTCCATCTGACACTCGATGATATACCAATACATATCGTTGTCAAAGCAATATCGAGGAACATGCGCACTGATCGGTGCCAAGGGCATGCCTGATTGTTGCTGAGACTGTCGCATTGATTGGGACTGTTCCTGTCCAGCGAGTTAGTCTTGATTTCTGCAGAGGGAGAGGGAGATCCAAAGTTCAAGAACTTCGGATTCACTTACATAATTGTTACTCGCCAGAGACGCTTCCGATCCACCATTCTGTAAACTCATCCGCGCCATCTCCAAGGTCATCTGATTCGCTGGTTGTCCATTATCAAATTTGCCCAAGCTGATACTGCTGTTTTTATATTCGGCCGCGAACTTCTTCCACTCCTCCACTCGGGGCACGCCAGCCTTGCGCACCGCTTCCAATGGATCTGGGACTGATTGCATTGTAGCCGTATCCTTAATATCGACAAAAGACACCGGGATCAATCCAGGTCCTCCTAACCGTCCAATCGGTTTGGCCACAAACCATTCCGGGTTGGACTGCGCGACCACGATAATTGCCTCTCCAGCCTTTGCCTCTAGTTCGTCCGCTCTCTCCGCGTTGAAATCATATTGTACAACGCCGTAAACCATGGCGCCAGTGGTTCTTCCCGCCATGCTCTGGCCTCGGGTATGTGTTGGTGGTCGGGTGGTAGCTGTGGACTCGGATCTGGTATGTGTGGAATTACTCGAGCCTTTTTCCGAAAAGCCGGAATCATGACCGTCGGGTTTCTCTCCCGGAGACGATAAGGAATTCCCACTTTGTCTTTGTTGTTTGCCGACAGTTTCGAAAAAAGCGACGGGTACAAGACCTCGGGCAGTTGGAATCAAGGGGTTGCACGCTTCGTACCATTCGGTATCGTCCTCGCGACTTAAGACGTGGAAGAAATCACCCTTAAGAAAAGCCAGCTCTTGTCCATTTTTGTTCTGTGGCTCGTAGTCGTAAAGGGCCTTGATGACTTTCTTGGGTGGTAAGGCTTGAATGGTTTTAGGAGCGATGGAGAGAGTTGAGGGTTTGGCTGCCGCGGCTGCTTCCTTTTGTTTCTCGCCCCCCCTTATAGAGGTACGAAAGTTCTGTGTTAAAGAACACGAAAGATGTCAGTAAACTTTTCAGAGGATGCTGCGCGCGTGATGACCACTTGGAAAGACAATGTAGGTGTGTTGGAGTGCGGACGAACCCTCATAGTCGCATGAACGACGTGGCGACCGTCTGAAGCCCCGCAGTTGGCGTCGGTGTTGGCGCTGGTAGACGTGTGGCCTGAGACTTGAACGGCGACGGCGGCGACGGGGTGTATGAAAAGAGGGTTTTGGATGTTCTAGATCAAGGCTATCCTCCCCATATGGGCGTCTGCAGGAACGGTGGATTTCCAAATGCGATGAAACTTGAAGGAAAAGGTGTTTCAGGTGAACTTGGGTGGGATGGGATGTGGATGTGGATGTGATTGTGGACATGGGGGGTTTGCGACGTTGGTGGATGGATGGATGGTGTGTGTGTACAGTCCGTGCAGCTGGTCAGTGCGCGTGAACTTGATCAGCAAAGGCCGGGGAAGTGTTGTAGGCATAGGGTACCGAAGATTTAGTGGCCAAGTGCCCCGAGGGAGTTACTCCTTAGGCAGCTGCCCGGGGGCTTCCGGCATCGATGTGTCTCTGGACCAAAACCCGAGGGCTCCGTACCCTTGGTACTTTAGGTACCTGCCTAGGGAAGTACCTACTTTGTATAAACAAGGGCAAGTTTTTTCACGGGCCTACGACGCTATCTTAACGGCTGAGGCCCTACCCGAAATTGACGTTGACAGGGTTCACCATTGTTGATTCAACACGAATTGATCGCGAACCACGCACGAGATTAAGATTAAATCATCACATCGTCCTTGCTTTGTTTCATTCATCATTGACACTGACTGTCTACTCCGTAAGTAGTGACGACGACTATTCTGATGCATGAGGGTTTTGGCGTTGTCTATGCTTTCAGATGTGCTGTAGGAGTAGTTTTTGTGCTATCAACTTTCAGGTGTCCCCATCACCTAGCCGACCTGCAGTAGAAAATCTTTCATCACCAAACAAATGTACCTGTTAGCCACTAGGTGAGCCTAGAGAGACCCCTAGCCTAGCCTACCATGCACCTAGACACGTGGAAAACTCTGCCTGTCTTTGGAACGGACTTCGAAACCTTGTTTTTCCACCGTCGGCTGCCGAGAATAGGAAGAGTCAAGTCGGAATGCCTCCTTGCACAGACTCTTACCGAGGATTCGTACATTGACATCCCCTCCCTAGTGCACAGCCAAAGCACCTCATCACTGGACGGAAGATACAATGAGACTGATTTACATTGTGCTACAGGCATCTGTCTACAGTGATTCATAGAACAGGAACCACGTGTGAAATGACCTCTTGCGTTCTTTGTACACACCTGACCAATGCTGCAATGACAACCCTCTTCTCGGACTATTGGGGCAGTGAGTCAGGTGTCAACAGGAAGACGTTGGACGATTCATCGCAATCACAATTGATGACCTCTTCGTTCCCACACTGCTTTTGCTGGTAGAACGCCAACGCCGGGTATCTGGGAAATGGCAAACATCGCCTGCTGAGGAAGAAAACCCATTTCCTTGAAACATGCAACAAAGTAAATATGAGGACATTTCATATTTGTCCCTTGATGTCGATCTGTCCAAACGCTTGGGTCTTTGCATTTTGAAAGATGGACCCCACCTTGCCAGTCAGAAAACGCACATCACCATCGCGTTCTTCCAACAAGCTAGGTGATTCATCGGGGACGTGCTCTAAAATGAATTGGCACGCTTCTTCATCCGAATCAAATCCAAGCTCTTCAGTTACCAAGCGTAGGCGCACGTCTGGTTTATACCTTTTCCAATGTTAGTCGTTGACTCTCAATGCCTCAAGAGGGGAGAACTCACGATTTGCACATGCAAGCAAGTGCCGCAATACGTTCCCGTGCTACGAACATGTCCATCAAGTAACCCCCCATATCGGGAACACTATGGTACAGTTTGAATAACTTGTGGTAGTTGCCCAATGCCAGAGCCGATCGCACTTCGAGTGCATGCTTGATTGATGGTTCCGTTTTGTCTGCTTCGGTTAGATCGGAAAGTACATCATTCATGTCAGTCCGGTTGCACGTATGGATAAAGTAGAGAATACGATATGCTGTGAATTCCACAGGGTGACCGCCAAGATTCTGTTTGTACAGACCTTTCAGTTGCGTTTGACACTGGTTATACTCACCCAGGTCACCCTTCTCCAGCGCAATTCGGGCGTGATACTCGTACACGTTCGTCGTAAAATCATTCTTGATGTGTTGCACGGTCAGATCTTGTCGGAGGGATTTGAACTGGTCGCAGATATAAACATAGTTGGGAGCAAGACGCCATTTTTGCTTGAGAAGTTCGAGTGTCTTCCTTAACACCTCCAGTGGTCGGACATCGTCAGGATTGGGGGCTGATGTTAGCCGGAAATAATTCTTTTCCAACTTCTGGGATCGCCCGATAATGGGTCCAATGGGTTCCGGCGAAGCACCTCGTGATGACTCTTGGGTGCGTGGAGAATTCGATCCTCCCAAGGAGTCTTCAAATCTTTTCTTCCGGGACTCTAGATTCGCATTCGATTTACTTACGGATTTGCTCATATCAAGCTTTGGCCGTTTCTCATTGGGGGCAAAAGAGATTCGATCTGCCAGTGATCCAACGGGTTGGGTATTTGCCCTCCAAGGAGGAATCGCAGTCACTTCGTCCATTTCGGTCGACTTCCGTTTACGAGGTCCGTCAGTGCGAGATTGTTGGTAATAAGACATGACCGCACCGTCCATGTTTGCTGGTGGGGGAACGTAAGATGGGGACATGGGGGCAAGCAGGGCACGTGTTCGCTCCTCCTGAAGCATCTGTTGTGGTAGGGGTAATTCTACCCAATTGGTAGTCTCGAGTTTCCCATGCTGGGTTGCCTCGGTTATTACTTCTTTCAATCTCGATTCAATTTGCTCCTTGGTAATACCGACAATGGAGTTTTCTTGAGCAAACGAGCGATTGACATAATCACGGACTGCTGGGGACCAAGTTATTTTCTTCTTTGGTGGCGCTGAAGGAGTTGTGGACGTGGTGGACAGACTAGCCGCCGGTGGTGGAAGGTATTGATGGGAATTCGAATTCAAAGGAGGTGGAACATAGAATGGTGGAGGAGGAAGATTAGATTGATGACCAAAAGTCTGCCGAGCAGGAACTGGGATGTAAGCATTTTGGCTGTTCATCGTCGCGTAAGAATTTGAAGACTGCCAGGGCGCGTGTCCTGACGCAGAAGAGTACATGACTGGAATTTTGAGAAAGCAAAAGAGGAAGAAAGAGAAAGGGTCGAAGCGCGCGCAGATGAGCTGAGGGTGAGGGTAGCAGTGAAAGAGTACAGAGATTCTTTCACCGAACGCCGTGCCAATGACTATGATCGAGATGAGAACAACGGCACGTCTACGCTCGTATGTGACTGAGTATGAAGCAGAAGAGAGTCGGTGTCAAATGGTAGTGGCAGGAGTTTGAGGTGAAGTTGACGTCCAAGAAAACGAGTCCTAGAGAATCTTGGCACTGTAACCAAAATAGGGATAGTTTACTCTTTGGTATCACGTGGCTGGAAATATCGTGATGCCTTCGATGAGGATCGGATTGCGACTGGTTCCAACTTCGGCTATCGACCTCGTGAGGATTCCTCTTCATAAACGATCATGGCCATTCTTCGTAAATGATGGAAATGGTTGACAGCTAAACGAATATGGCTAAAGATGAAATCAATAAATCATAACCATAAGCCGGATGTTCCTCAAAAAGCCAGAGCTCACAGCTGGCTCTCGACCAACCCTATTTCAAGATGAGGCACTGCTCTCTGTTCAAGATGGGGTTGGACTTTACGAAGGGTATGTTTATTTCTCGAATGCACCCAAGTAGGCGCATTGTTGATACAGGGATAGAAAATATAAAATAGACACTTGCCAGAAAGGCCATGCCTATCTCACATCACATCGATTGTGTTATGTCGATGATGCCGATCCAAGAGCAAATTCATGGGCGGTAGATTTAAAGGACGTTGAAAGGCATGAATTTCAGGTACGTTCCATCATGTTCCACATTGGCAGCCTTATCAAATGAGAAAACCTTGCAGGCTAGCTTTCTTAAGTCTTCTGCAAAAATTACTCTTCACCCTAAACCGCTGAAACGTGGTTTTGGGAGTGGTTTGAAAGGTGTCGGTGCACAATCTCCAGCCTTCCAAAGAGTCGCATCCGCATCTTCACCAAACTCAAGGTCTCCTAGTCCTTTCCGTCCAACAGCATCCTTGCCGGTGGTTGTGGGTACTTGGGTCTGTCCAATATGTTCATTCTCGAATCCAGTTCCATCCAATCTTGATCCGACTATTGCCACAGAATCATTTCCACTACCGCCATGTCTTGCTTGTGGAATCAAGCCACCATTTCCACTTGTTTTGAAGGCGGCGATTGCGGCCAATGCAAATCGTGTTCCCGATACAAGCCAACAATTTGATCTACCCAATACGGTAGGTTCCAGGCAATCATATCACGAGGAGATCAGTTCGTCGGGAGAGAATACGTGTCCTCGTTGTACCTTCCATAACGCTCCTGGGATGAGCATATGTGAACTGTGTTCTGCACCTCTACCAAGCACGAGTTCAATGCATAAGCTTCCATTTCAAAATCCCAATGCACGGTCTGGTTCCCCAGGTCCGGAAATCTCAGGTCTCTCTTTGGAGGAAGAGCATGAACCACAAATGGTCAAGTTTTCGTTTCGATCTGGGGGCGATCGTGTCTTCTATGACAGGCTGAAGAATGCAATGATTCAGCGGAAATGGTTATTACAACAAGCTCCACCAATTCCACAAGCAGATGAAACCCGTTCTTCCACTCCTTCAAGCACGACGGAAGCCATGGGTATATCGGGAACTCGGGTCGCTGCTGCCGGAATTGCAGGGCTCGAACAGCGAGGATTACGAACTCGTAAGAACAACGAGGCAGTCCTCGGTAGTGCTTTTGAAGACCTTGAGGCACTGATGGCCTCCGCAAAAGACATAGTGGCACTGGCTGAACGCTTTGCAGTGGAATCGGGATCTAACAAAGACTTACTCAGCCAATCCTCTGATCCAGTACTATCACAATCAGCGGTGGCATTGGGAATGATTACTACAAAGGATGTTCTTGGTGACAGTTCGAACACGCTCTATATCAATGAGCTTGCCCGTAACTTGGCAGAATATGCAACGGACGACAGAAGGGGAGTTCTTCGACATCAAGGAGGCACCATGAGCCTGGTTGATCTGTGGGCCGTTTTCAACAAAAGTCAAAATGGTGTCGAACTTGTCAGTCCAGCAGATTTTCACAAGGCTGCTGAAGCCTGGGAGAGACTGGGCCTCCCAATCAAATTACGGCGATATCGAAGTGGGTTACTTGTTGTCCAACGTCGGGATGCCAGTGATGAGAAGACAATTAAACAACTACAGGATTGGTTGAATTCGATGAAGACAACACAATCTGAGCAGAACGTGTTGTGGGATCAGGAGAGCTTTGGCTTTGGAGTCACTGCGCAGCAAGCAGCTGCGAAGTTTGGCTGGAGTTTGGGGGTTGCCAGTGAGGAGTTGGAAATGGCGGAAGAAACTGGCGCCCTCTGTCGAGAAGAGGGTGTGGAAGGACTTAAGTTCTGGCTCAATATTTTGAGAGAAGATGATTAACGAAAGTACAGGATGGATCATTGGTATAGACTATAAGACTGAGCTGTTGATTTAGAACAACCATCAGACATCAACCCATTGGGCATTGAGATAGGCATCTGAAAGCAGGCTCAATTTACCCCTGACACGTGATCCAGCGAATTCCAATGTGGCATTAGTGCTCACTAGATCGGATTGGTCCTAGTTCTTCTCTAAGGTCCTCTCGGATCCGGAACACTTTCCTCTCTGGTAAATTTTGGGTTCCAGGGACATTGAACCTCCACCTCCTCATAGACTGCGCTCAATCAATGTGGAAGCCTAAGGGGATTCATGGTAAGTTGTAAATTACCAATGAACCATGATCTCTTCTCACTCTAGTCATTCCTTCCGTCGTTAAACCCTTTGGCCTCAAGAATGGCACGACTTGGCCGTGCGGGCTTCCTTGCCCTGGCGGTCGTCTTTCATCTCATCTACATCTTGTCCATCTTCGATATCTACTTTGTCAGTCCCATTGTCCATGGTATGAGGGCATATGCGCCTGCACGAGATCATCCTCCTGCCAAAAGACTTGTCTTATTTGTTGGTGATGGACTACGAGCAGACAAAGCCTTCCAATCTTTCCCAGATCCTTCACCTTCTGACCCCGCCAATGTCGACCTGACCCCTCGACCACTCGCACCGTTCCTTCGTTCCCGCGTTCTCGAACATGGTACTTTTGGTGTATCTCACACACGAGTTCCCACAGAATCAAGGCCTGGACATGTTGCCCTCATCGCAGGACTCTATGAAGATGTCTCGGCAGTTACTACTGGTTGGAAACTCAATCCGGTGGACTTTGACAGTGTCTTCAACCGGAGTCGGCATACTTGGAGTTGGGGAAGTCCCGATATTCTTGCCATGTTCAAGGAAGGCTCAGTCCCAGGTCGAGTAGACGCGGATCAATATGGTGAAGAGTTTGAAGATTTCACTTCGGACTCGACCATGTTGGATATCTGGGTGTTTGACAAGGTCAAGGAGCTATTCAAATCGGCAAGCACAAATTCTACTCTGAATAGTGCTTTAAGGCAAGATAAACTGGTGTTCTTCTTGCATTTATTGGGCTTGGATACTGCTGGTCATGGATACCGTCCTTATTCCAAAGAATATCTCCACAACATCAAGATCGTGGATCAAGGAGTCGAGGAAATCACAAATTTGATCAATGATTTTTACGATGATGGCGAGACTGCTTACATCTTTACCGCCGATCATGGCATGAGTGATTGGGGTAGCCATGGAGATGGGCATCCAGATAACACAAGGACACCCCTAATTGCATGGGGTGCAGGTGTTGCCAAACCTCAACTACATCCTAATGGTGTCGCCCCAGGCCATGAAGATGGCTTCTCCTCTGACTGGGGGTTGGAACATGTCCACAGACACGACGTCGGTCAAGCTGATGTCGCTCCTTTAATGGCATACCTGGCTGGGTTGGAATATCCTGTCAACTCGGTCGGAGAGTTACCATTGTCTTACCTCTCAGCCACTCCTAAGGAAAAGGCCAACGCTGCTCTCACCAATTCAAAGCAGGTTCTGGAAATCTATAGAGTCAAGGAGCAACAGAAGAAGGCCACCGCGTTGAAATTTCAGTCTTATCCACCCTTCTCAAGGGCAAATTCCTCCATCACAGACCGAGTATCGGCCATTGAGTCTGCCATATCTAGGGAGCACTATGATATAGCTATTGAGATTTCAGCCGACCTTTTACATCATGCCATCCAAGGATTGCGTTATTTGCAAACTTATGACTGGCTTTTCCTGCGAGCCTTGATCACTTTGGGCTATTTCGGCTGGATCACCTACGCTATCACGACCGTTATCGATTTACATGTTCTCCATGGCGCAGTATCGGAGGAGCGAACTCTTGCTTCGACAATCACGTTCTCATCCATCCTTGTTCTCCTGTATTCATCTTTTGTTATTGATCGATCACCAATCACATACTACGCATATGCCATATTCCCAGTCTTCTTCTGGGAAGAAATATTTGCCAGGAGAAAGGCATTGGTTTCGGGCTTCAAGATTCTCTTTGGCCATGTTGAAGGAATTTCTGGCCATTCGGCTCTTGCCTTCCAAGTTGTGCTCTACATTGTCGCACTAGAAGCATTCGTAAGTTTCTTGACTTCCAACATACGATTCATTGCTCTAACGCGAAACAGGTACAATCATATTTCCACCGTGCAATTTTGACTGTCTGTTATATTATTGGCGCTGTCTATCCCATTGCCTATGGAAAGAATTTTGTGCGGAAGAACTTTGTTCTTGTACTTGCATGGGCAGCTGGCTGCTCAATTCTAAGCACATTCACATTGTTACCGGCCAACAAAACTGAAAATTCGAACACCATCACTGCCGGAGGGCTTCTCATGGTTGGAGCTGGTCTTTTTTATCTCATCTTCGAGCATCAAATCACTACCCGATCCAAATCCTACCAGGAAACGATATCTCAACCTAACCATGTTTCAAGGCTTCTCATGGGACTTCAGATTGGAGTCCTTGTATTAACAATAATCGTCACGCGTTCAAGCGCTGCATCACTCCAAGCGAGGAAAGGCCTGCCATTTGGAAATCAGGTCGTTGGATGGTTGGTGTTGGTTTTGTCGTTGATCCTACCATTTGTACACCGAATATCCCCTAACAAGCATTACCTCCATCGACTCGTCATCATCTTTCTCTCATTCTCACCAACTTTCGTCCTACTAACAATCTCATATGAAGGACTATTCTTCTTCACATTTTGTTCTACCTTACTGACATGGGTACGACTCGAGCATGTCATTCAATTGCACGACACGGAAACGACTGCATCTCCAGCAACTCCGCCATCTGATAAGGCGTCAAATGGTGTTACAATCACCTCCGTGTCCAAACAGCCGGCGAATCTCAAATCAGACACGACTTTCCGCACCTTGGCCCTTGCAGATCTCCGTCGAGCTCTATTCTTCCTCTTCTTTCTACAATCTGGGTTCTTCTCGACTGGAAACATCGCATCAGTCTCCAGCTTCAGTCTCGAAGCAGTCTATCGCCTGATTCCAATCTTTGATCCCTTCTCACAAGCTGCTCTACTTCTTTTCAAGATTATGGTTCCGTTCGCAATAATCTCCGCAGCATTAGGCATCCTGAACCGTCGCCTGGGTCTACAATCATCAGCGTTGTTCATGGTCGTCATGGCAGTGAGCGATGTCATGACATTGAATTTTTTCTGGATGGTCAAGGACGAAGGTAGCTGGTTGGATATTGGAACCACTATCAGCCACTTTGTCATTGGAAGTGGTTTGGCCATTTTCGTCGCTGGGCTGGAAGGCCTCAGTGAAGTCCTCATTAGTGGTGTCGAGGTCGAATCGTATGAAGACAAGGCCAACGCTGCGGGTATGGATACTATCAATGGGGGAAAGAGTTTAAGCGACCACACACATGCTAACGGAAAGGCAAATGGTGCTGCTGTTAATGAGCGACCTGTGATTGAGTGATTAGGTGATAGCTCGAGTCCGACCAAAGTACAGAGAACAGCCAGCACCCCATATCGCATGAGCTTGCGCCAATGGTCAAAGCTTTTCCATGAATACATATCCTATACCCCGGGTTGTACTGTTCTGTTCCTCCACGTCCTGGCAGCCTATGATCCACAGCATCGTGATACTGTGCTTCCGCAAGCGTCTGCCTCGCACCACCCAGGAAATTCTTCGCACTATTTCTTGACTGATTCGTCTTCTGCGGATCTACCTTCTGGCTCTTGCTTCTCACTCGCCTCTTGTCTTCCATGACTCCTGTTAGAGGGTTCTACATCCGACTGGAGCAACTGGACGCTTACGGTCGGCTCGCAGGAGCTGACAGATTGACCGACACCTCTGGCTAACACGGATGGCTAGGTTCGTGTCGGGCGGTTTTCTGATATTGGATTCATTGAAAGCCAGTGTGGTATATCGGGCCAGTATGCTATTGGTTCTGGCCACAGCTGCGGATCTGTTGCTGATTCTCGGAGGACCAAAACCGGCGGGCATATGTCAAATTTCGGTGGTGGGAAGTTGGAGTAACCGAAGCCGATCTTCGATTTGGTGACACAATTTCGAGGAAGGCCCCTGGACAGCTGCGAATCCATTCAATGCTTGAGTATACATCTTCTTCGCCAGATCCTTACGATCTGTTTGCGCGTAGACATCACCGAAGCCGATCATCGTTTCCAACGCTGGCAGGTATGACAGCGTAGCTTCGGCACCAAGTGCCTTCTCGAAGCCTCGCAGTGCCCGGACATACAACTCCTCTGCCTCCGCCAGTTTACCTTGGTCACTATAGAGAAAACCTAGGTTATTGACAGTCTGGAGTGTCGAGATGTTGTCGGGTCCTAGTATCTTTTCCTCGTGCTTTATCACTCGGGTATACATTGCCTCCGCCTCGATTACCCTGTCTTGATCAGCGTAGAGGCAAGCAAGGTTGTTAACCATCCCAAGCGTCGAGCTGTGGTTGGGCCCGACTGTCTTCTCCAGATCTTGCAGCGCTTGTACGTACATATTTTCCGCCTTGGCCAGCTTGCCTTGGTCCACATAGGTGGCACATAGCCTGTTGATCGTCTCAATTGTTGATAGGTGCTCCGATCCCAGTTTTTTCTCCTTGCCTTCTAGTGCTCGAATAAAATGCGATTCTGCCTCCTCCAGCTTGCCTTGCCGAAAGTAGAGCCATCCTAAACTATGAAGAGTATTGAATACTGACTCAGAATCCAATTTCGCCTCAAAGCCTTGTAGCACTCGAAAATACATCTTCTCCGCAGAGACTAACTTACTCCCACCTTGGCCAGTATATAGATTAGCTAGTGATCTAACCACGAGGAGTGTGGACGAGTGGTCCGGGCCGACTACATCCTCGTAGCATTCTAGGGCCCGAAGGTACATCTGCTCTGCACTGTCATACAGTACTTGGTCCCTAAGAAGCTCTGCCAGTGCCATTACTGACGACAACCTGATGGTTACGGATTCGGTTTGATTTGCTACTGCCTGGAAGCGATCGTGCAACAGTCGCACAGCATGGCCAGTGTAGCGCCGATAACGTAACTCGGAAAATTGATTCCAATCCGCTTCAACCACGTTACTAGCGATGCAGTCAAACGCGAGCCAGTATTGTCTCTTGTCGATCTGTTCATTCAATCCGTCGAGCGTCCAGTCGTGCACACATGTATGGAGGCTGTATGAGCCGGTTTGATGATGCGCTTCAACGAGACAGTATCGTGTGAGTACGCGCATCGTGTCCTCGAAAGTAAACTCGTCACGGGTAAATTCTGTGAACCACGATGGAGGGTCTACCTGCCCTTTACTGAAGAGATGGAACCAGATTTCCCGGTAATCCAGATATGCCAGAAATCGGAGAACATGTGCCGCGCGCAGACTTTGTTGCTTGATTCGGGTGAATGATATATTCCATGTCGTATAAAGCGTACGTGTAGCGTAATCAGTTAACCCCCCCATTGAGGCAATCACTTTCCATCGCCCATTGTATAGTTGAAGATAGTGGCCAAAACTGAGTGTAGACTGACTCAGAAAAGCTCCTGCCGTGGCAAGAGCTAAGGGATACCCGTCTAGTCGCAGGGCTAGACGTAGAGCACCCGGGTCTATGAACATTTAGATATAAAGGCCTCGTAGGGGCTGAACCTGCCATACCTGTTTCTACATTCTCGCGTCCTGACCGGGTGGCAAGGATGCGAAGGCCGTCCCCCTCCTCACGCATCGATAGCACGCGCAACCTCTCTCCGTTGACAGCGTCGGGCTGTCGCGTGGTGATAATAACTGAGCCATGTGCGACAAATGGGAGATAATTCATCAGTGAGTACTCATCCGGATTATCGTAATTGTCGAATATAACCAACCATTGAGCGTTGTCGTGTTCCGACAGCCAATTCGAGACGCGGATATAAATCTGCTCATCGTCTAGCTTTCTAGCTACTTCTGGTGGTAACAGTCGATAGGCCACCTTCCGCATACTCATCTTGAGGCTGACCTCAGATGTAGCATTCAGCCAGAAGACAGACGAATATTCGGTTCGATGTTGTTTGGCAAAGAAAATTGCTAGCTGCGTCTTCCCAATGCCGCCCATGCCGCCGAGAACAAGTACCTTTCTACTAGATCCAACCTTGTCAGACTGAGGCTGCAAGATTGATTCCATCCGTCGGATTTCGGGCTGTCTTCCAACGAAGAGATTGTCGACCAACTCAGGGGCATCAAAGAGATTTAGACCAAGCTTATATTTTGCTGATCTGTCTAGAGACGATTAGAGTCAACATAAATTGTTTAGACAGGATCTCTCTAATGCCGAACAATTGAACAGCTCGACTTAGCTCAAGAATAGTTGATGGACTCACTCAGCACCTCGGTGGCATGCTTAGCAGAATGCACTTCGGCCGGCTTGACGATTGATAACAACTCCTTTGCAAAGGCAGCAGCAGTGATTGCCGCATATTCTTGCCAAACATCATTCTTGTGAGAATCAGCATAATCACAGATTCCCCGTATCACGATACAAGGGAATTCATTCATCAATCCTGCAGCTTCCATTTCCACACATTTAGCCCCATACTCCCGGCCCAGCTGATCGCGAGCACTAGCATTCTTGATCAACTGATTTCCAGAGGCAATGACCCCGTAGTGGACCTCGGGATCCTGCTCTTCGCGCGGTTGTCGATAGATGACCCCGTCCTGACATTGAGGATAGTGGTTACAGTCTTGTTCGCCCTGAATATTACCACAGAATAATATATCTTTCTCGAGACCGGGGTGTACAAATCCTCTCTTAAATAGTCGTGGATACTGTACGGCTACTGTTGAAAGAGTCTTCATAATCTGATTGCCACGCAATCCGTGGCGGGCTTCGAGCATAGCTAGCGCAATCAACAGCAGAGTCGGAGGTGGCTGCAAAATGCCCCTCTGTGTGAATAGTCCGTTTCCCAGGTTGTTTCGCAGGTCATATTGCACCACGCCCCCGTTCGTCCCTTCAGGCCGACTGACGACCACATCGCCCAGGCGGATATCTACGCCATCTTGAAGACGGGGTATTCCCCCTCCAATTCCCACTAAAAGAGCGATGCGAATACCAGGGAAGGTTCTCAACATGTTGTTGCCCACGGTTGCCGCTGACACGTTGCCGATTACTCCCGATGGGAGGCACGCCATCACCACGTTATGGCCATGGATGCAACCCAATACATAACTGTTGTTATCGTTCGGCAGTGCACTCTCGAATGGTTCATGTTCTTCATCCAGCATCGCCTGCGCGGCCATCAACTCTTTAGGGAGAGCACACACCCAGCCCACCTGGTATTCTTCGATCAGTCGGCTAGGCATCGTTGAAAGGGCTCGTTGTATATGAGCGTGACGGCGCTGTGAAAGAGATCAGTGAAGGCAGGAGGGGTATAATCTCCCGCCGGAAAGGTGAGGACTGCGAGGATCTCAGGCTCTCGAGGGCCTGGTGTCATAGGAAGAGCTCGACATGACTGAGAGCGCAACGTAGCTTGGAAGACGCAGTCAGGCTGAATATTGAATTGAGCTGGCACGCAGCCGGGTCCACAGATGGCCAAAACATGCATCGTTTGGACACTGCCCGCACATGACGACGATGTACGAGGCTGTACAGCGCTTGAAGCTCAAAGCGACACAAGACCTGGATCTGCCTGCCGATTTTAGCGGTGGTTGTTTCAGAATCCCTGCTGGCGGCTGCCTACTCAAGCGCCGACCAACACATCGACCACCTATGCCTTTTCTTGCCTACGTGTGAAGTAGCAAGATATAACTCAACCATTTCGTGTGTTCAATACGAAATAGAGTATGTTGAAGCCATAATTCAAGATGCTTGGAAGCCGAAGTTCAAAAGAAGTTGAAGGAACAGCACATCCGATCCCGGTCTTCATTGGCCAGGAGAAGACTACCGCCCCTTAGACATGATATCAGCTTCGGGACAAAACCACCGGCTCACCAAGCATTTCTTTTCCTCCTACGACTTGGTGCCTGTCGATCGATTGCTCATTCTTCCCCGTAATATAATGGAACCGTCTTCCCATCAAGGGAAATCAAATGCCAGAAGATGAGATCACTGTTTCTCCAGCATGACGTCAAACGCCGCCAGTGGACGACAGATGATGAACACATATGTAGAGATTTTAATATAGGTGGAAATAAATATCTGAAATACATCTCTTCTATGAGCGAAGCACAAATCATTTCATACCGGTGTCCAGAACAACTGTCCCAGAACATACGATTTTAGCGACACAAAAAGCTCGAGACACAGCATCATACTACCTCAGCCTGACTGATTTGATAGCCTACCAGACTCCAAATAACCATTCCAAGATGGCCGCCAGAAACGCCGACTCCATGACTAACGCCCAAGGCGAATTCCACCCTCGGAAGCCTAGAGACGAGCCTATGCAGACTTCTGGTGTAAGTACACGCATGCTTTCTCCTGTTGTCTTTAGCCCCAAAGCAGCCGCCATCCCTACACTTGAAGATGGACGGGTAGCTGACGCAGAAAACAGCATCAAATCGGCCAAAAAGTAAGCGAAGCCGATCACGCGCCCGAGTTTTCCGCGCAGACGCTCCCACCCGGCACGGCGCCCAAAGACTCAACGTTCACACCGAATCCGGTGAACGAAACCCCAGGGCAGGCGAACAACCCGGATGTGCAGCGCAGCCACGGAAAGGAAGGCGTCGCCACCGACGCACTCTCGACGCTGCCGGGCGCGACGTCCAAGGACGTCCATACCGGTCTCGGACATCCGGGGCAGGGCCAGACGTCGCGAGAGGTGCGCCAGGCCACTAAGGCGACTGGCGCTGGGGGTACCGGGTTGAATGAAGGCGGGTCTGGCGCCGGTAAAGACGGCTTGAACCCCGAGTTCAGGAATCTGCAGCGTGAGGACCAGGATGGTGACACGAGCGGAAATCCAGATGGTCCGAAGTCGGCTCAGGTGCATAATGTTAGTCTTGATGGGGCGGAGAGTAAAGTGCCTGTTGGCGCGGAGGAGGTCGCGAGCGAGGGTTCGAGGGTCAAGGCGTTGAACGAAACGAATCGCTCCAAGGACGCTACCGGTGTCCCTGATAGAGGGGCTGCGAACCCGAGGTCCTAGTTGATGGACCTATCGGCCCTGAGCAGGGTGACAATTGAGGAAATTGTAAATAGCTGCAATGAGCACGACAACATCTTATATCAGCTCTTCCGCAATAACGGATTTATCCACAGTCCAGGCAAGACTTGAATATCCTTAGATAGTAGGTCTCATTCGCTGTGACAGAATTTCTGATCAGATTTCTAGACCCAGGCCTTCCGATCGAGGATGCGCATGGATCACTCTAGGCCTGAGACTCGCGCCTCGGCAAGCGCCTTTCTGGCGCGTAATTTGGCCATAATATCATCGTGGAGAGGGGTCGCAATAACAGTCGCAACAGTATAATCGCCATCGTGACTGATACTCAACTGGGCGACCTGCTCCGTGACTTTGTCGCTGATAACGGACGAGGACTCGATCGAGTCATGGCCACCAACATCACAGACCATTAGCACGGCACCGCCGCTCTCAGGCTCGACCTTGAGCTCTTTGAAGCTCAAGAGCGTCGCGCCCCAAGCCTTCTTGGCGGCTTCTTTGGCGGCCCAACGACCTGCTAGCCAGCCGGATAACTGGCGGATCTGGAGTCCAGTCAGTGAGGCTGAAGATGCCCAGGACGGGAATCTTTGGTTCAGGATATGAATTTCACTTGGATGGAGATAGCGTTTTGTTAGTTGGAGAAGTCGCTTTTGGTCGGGCTTGATCGGGCACAAGATGCGGTTGGTGGCGATGATATCTGTGCCGACGCGCAGATTGAGAGGGAATGGTAGGCGCATCAAATTGAGCCCTCGATGTTATGATTACGAGGAGATGATTGAATGCGAGGGAAGGATTTGAATTAGAAACACGTCTGTTAAAGCTGTTGAAACACGAAGCGGAGAAAATTATATTCGAAAGTTGGAGAATCATTCGCCTCGGCCTCAATGAACACTTCAGCAACCACTAAGAGCCACCCAGGAGTCTTGTGTAATGAGTGCGCTCAAGTCCGTGAGAATGACTATCGTTCACTCATCCTACTTCGTGAAGAGTGAAGGATGCTTTCCCATGTATTCATCTTATCAAAAAGAGCGAACATTGTAAACTATACCATTAAATTGATTTGAGGCAAAATATTCAAGATGAAGCACATTCGCTGTTCCGGGACACCATATGAGGTTAACATCTCCCTCCGTCAATTCACTTCTAAAACATACTAATATCATAGCAGATTGGTCAGCAACATGGTCGCGAGGCCAAGGACGAAATCAGCGGCAGTATCGCCTTCTACTCGGCATTTTTCAAGTCACGAACAAAGCTGTCATGGCCGGAAGTGCGTGATGTAGGACGAGGCTTTCTGCCGTTCCTGGAATCGTCCTATCCCGAATATGTCGAGGAGATGCAAGGAGTGGCCGATGGGTCTGGAAAGGATCTCGAGTCCATCATCGCCTTGAACGTTCGCACGGAGATCGCTTATGGGATGCTGAGTGATGGATGTACAGCCTTGTCCTGGAAGACTTCTGACTCGAGTTTCCTGGCACAGAATTGGGACTGGAATTTCGAGCAGACTCCTAATATCATCAGTTTGCATATTGACCAGGGAGGATCCAAGCCGACCATTCACATGATGACAGAGGCAGGTCTGATCGGGAAAATTGGATTGAATTCGGCTGGAGTGGGTGTTACTCTCAATGCGATTCAAGCACCGGGAGTATCATACAGCAAGATCCCATGTCATCTTGCACTCCGCACAGTGTTGAACAGTTCTTCCAGAGCAGAGGCTGAAAACGCTTTGCGAAAGTTTGGGGTGGCATCAGCTTGTCATATCACTATTGCAGATGGCACCACTGGGGCCAATGGTTTTGAATGCACGGCTTTCGATATCGTGGAGATGCCACAGAACTCAGATGGAATTTGCACACACACGAATCATTTGGTGGAATCACATAAAGTGGAAGGTACCCTGTTCTTGAACGACTCGCCGGTCCGACTGGATCGAATCCGAGAATTGATCAAACGCATGGACAAGCCGACAGCTCAAAACATCGGGGAAGCTTTGAAGGACGAGCAGAATTTCCCAGTGGCAATCAATCGAGCGGTAGGAGAGAAGAGTACCAGCCAGACATTGTTTTCTATCGTTATGGATCTTCAAGCAGGCTCCGCGAAAGTCAAGATGGGTCGACCCACGGAGGCCGGAGAAGTCTTTGAATTGAAGCCATGAGGACAATCGTCCCGTCGAGGCTCTCGGAACACAGTGCAATGGTCTCTTTATCAGAGGAGATTTCCAGGGCAAACTCGATTGGCATTTTCCATCCATCTAACTTATATACAATGCATTCGTAGTTTTTGATTTCTTGAGGACGGCCGATTGGAGGAAGTGAATCTGTTCCATCACGTCTAGCGCGCCAGACTCAGTCGAAGAGAATTATTTGGCCTTTTCTCCCTTTTCGAATTCCTGTAAAAATTCTCTATAATCATGAGGTTAGGAAGCTGATGCTGGTAATGATCCGTTGAACCTGGGAAAATTGCTCACTCGATAAATTTGGCTTCGTCCTTGCTTCCAGCATTGATGGGAGGTGCTGCCTGGGGCGTGGGTTTGCCACCACGTGTCATGAGGTAAGGGACAGCGAAAGTCGTGCCTAGAGTGGCCATGGCCAGCTGGAAAATGTTAGATGTGAGGTTCTGGATGTGTTTGTATATTTTCGTCCAAGGGGTGCCGATCTCGTTGTCGGGGTACGTACCCAGTGGGAGCCAATCTGGCGGCCGAAGACATTATACATAACAACCATCTTGACGGAGAAAGGGGGGTATTCGAGGTAGAGACGTGTGGTTTGAGGATGGAGTGGTGGTTGAATCAATACAAGATCAAACTGCGGCCATCCAGACCCTATGAATGCGGATAGCTTCAAAGCTCAGTTGCACATGTACGGGACACCATAAGGACCGCCAGACGCGGCGGATACGGAGCAACATATCACCGACGAAGCGTTGTGCGCCACAACCGTAGCCACATATCTACAGCCACAATCTTGGGCCCCAAATTAACTCCCGAGCTGTTCGTCATTGCCTGCAACTTGCCCGTTGCTCCCCGGGATTGATCCCCAGTTCCTCTTGCAGAGCACATGCACACCTCAAATAAATCGCCACAACCTTGAATACAAATGTGAGCAGGCTACCTTTTTATTTCCCGCAGCCAGCTGAGACCTGAGCTTCTCCCACCTCGACATCAGTGTCTCTCCCCTAAAGTTCAACAATGGCAGGCGGAAAAGATGGAAGCTCGCATACCGGAACCCCGGGCAATTCTGCCTTCCCACGAGAGAATTTGAATAAAGACTTGCAAAAGCTGGTCGACCGTGAAGATGACTGGATGGATAATCTCTATGAGGGACTGGGACCCGACACAACTGAGACAACCGCTCGATATGCAGCATATGCGAACCGATTACGGACTATTATGCTGAGCGCACATCGCTATGTTGCCTATACATCCGATATTGGTGAATCATTTCGACCTGTGGCACATCCGTGGCTAGTTAGAGGCGCATACGGCGTGTCCTGGGCATACATCCTTGGCGATGTCAGTCACGAAGGATGGAAAGCATATAAGCGAAACCAGAGACTACTATATCCTTACGGTGACGAGCACAAAGATGCTTCGGCGGCAACAGCACCCATGCCAGCTACGAAAGCGGAGCCACAACCCGTTCCTGTGCATATACCTGCAATTGAGGACTACCGGAGCGTCATGGCACAGAGAGCAGTGTTTCAGAGTGTTGCCTCAATGGGTTTACCGGCCTTCACGATCCATAGTATTGTCAAATACTCTGGCAAAGCGTTGAAGAATTCCGCCAACACGACAATCAGGACATGGGGCCCCATAGGAGTAAGTCATTCGTGCTTGGGCGGATGATGACCCGATATACTAATACATGCACAGCTCGGTCTCGCCGCAGTTCCCGCTTTACCATACATGTTCGATGAACCGGTAGAAGAGATCGTTGAATGGACATTCTACCAGGCATTCCGAGCTATTGGTGGTGAGAAGGCAGTTGGAGAGAGACATGCGACTGGTAGGAAACATGATCTGCAAGAAGAGGTGAAGATTGCGAGAGCAAAGAAAGACCTGTGAATGAGTATATGTGGAGTGGAAAGGGAAAGGGAAATAAAACTCGCAGCTTCTTCGTTGGGATGTATCTCATGCTGGAGAAATCCTTGTAAATATATCTAAGTCGACAAGACGGCTACATCTATAGACGTGTATCCCTATCACACGTTGGACGACTCAATCTACATCAATACAATTATCACCCATATGGAGAGCATCGGGATTGACCTCGAAAACACGAAAACTACATGGCTGACGAGTGTATTCATCGGACGCTCCTTCCGAGAAGTATACTCGTACATATATGTGTTTTCGGCTATGGCCATGCCAGTGGCTCCTTCCTCCGGCTATCACCGGTTCGGCGACTGATGCCCCGAACTTTAATTAATCGTAATCTTCCGTTTCCGCGACTCCAATTATTTTTCAAAGGGCGTGCCTTCCCCAGATCGCCGTCTCTCGACTCCAGAACATCTCTCCTGGTCGATTAGAATGGGACTGAGGGAGATATCGTTGCCGTTAGGATTTTTTATGAAACCCTGGACTCATTGAAAACGCACTCTTCTACTCTCAAACACCAGCCCTCCAACACGAGATTCAGATCTCTTATCTCCAATGCACTGCTCTTCTGAGCCAGTCCTCCGCCATCATGCCCTCCTTGACAATGACTCAAGATAACAATACCTCTCAACAAGTCTCTGCAAGTCCAGTCACTGGTACATCCGCCAGTCCATCCTCTGGCCCTCAGATACCTGTACCATCAGTCAAGAATGGTCGCATTGAAACAGGAAAAGTGCTCCAATGGAATACGTCCAACCTTGGCCTCAGGTTCGCTGCCGATCTCACTTCTGCCGCGACTGCTTCAGCCTTGATAGCCCCTATCATCTCAGTAATCGATCGGTTTGTCTCATACCACTTCCACAGTGACCTCTGTAACTGACACCCTTGAGATCTATCGTTGAGAAGGCCGCAACCGGCTCCCCCTTTTCATCATGCCTACGTCGAGCATTATACCCTGCTCTCACGCGACCACATGCATACCTCGTTTCCAAGCCATTCCTCCTTATATTTGCCCTCTATTTCTCCACATATGCCACTGCAAATACCGTCGACACGATATCGTCCACAGTCTCGTCTAAGAATGCATCGGCTGTCACTTCTGGAAGCACAAAATTCATCGCAACATCTTCGGTCAACATGAGTATCTGCGTGTACAAGGACTCACAATTTGCAAAGATGTTCGGTGCTCCTTCTTCATCTCCAGCCGCCACAATTCCGAGGCTGTCGTACGCTTTGTTCGCCATTCGAGATTCTTTGACCATCTTTGCATCTTTCAATCTACCACCCTTGATTGCGCCACAACTTGTTAATCTTCCGCCGAGTGTCAAGTCAAAGTTTTCCAAAATTCTAAGTACCGAGTCAGGCCGGGCAAACACTGCTCAATTTCTCGCTCCAGCGGCCATTCAATTAATTTCCACACCAATTCACCTTCACGGTTTAGATCTGTACAATAGACAGGGGCGTTTGGGCTTCAATGAGCGATTTTCGAGAATTCTGAGAGATTGGGGCGTTAGTGCTTTTGCTAGAATGGGAAGAATAATAGTAAGTTTTGATCGAATGGCGCAGCTCCAGGATGAACATTGCTAACTTGCTTTTCAGCCTGCTTTCGGAGTTGGCGGCGTGGTGAATGCTAACATGAGGAAGAATTTCATGAATAAAATAGAGGCTCAATGATTCTTCTGTTCGAATTGATTATAGATTCTGGTTGTTCGAGCGAGTGAGCGTGCTGATACATAGATAGACAGCGAGGTTGCTTTCAAGCCCTACGACAAATACTTCTGGAGTATGAGAGGAAGATCTTGATGGGCTGGAGCTGAGATCTAATGAGGAGCGATTGGTAGACAATTGATCGCTACGTCGACCCTGTTGCGATACGCTTCCCATTCTTGGCTCTCCTGTTGAGCCATCTTCAAAATGGACCGTGATTTTTTTCCTTCATTACGGCGGGGATTTTGCTTTCCCATCCCAGGAATGGGGATGGGCACCCCGGGGATCCTCAATGCAATGAACACCCATAGAAAGAATAGTGCTATCATGAGCAGAAAGGTACCGACAATCGAAACCACAACTACTCCCCCAATCGCGCCATTGCTCATTGATGAATTGTTGCTTGAGTCAGTACTTGTACCACCTGCGGCGCTTGTACTGCCTCCACTTGTACCAACAAACACAACGAGAACAGCCGTGTATGCTGCGGTGGCTGCAACGACATCTTTTGGATCTGCGTCTGTCATCAAGGTCGAAAGGATGACACCAACCACCAGAACAAAGACGGAAGTTGTGACTAAGGCGGTGATGATCCCCGGATGCAACACCATGATCAACGTCGGTATCAACAGCGTGAGGCCACTGAATGATGCCAAACTCATCTTCCAAACAAGCAATTTCCGTTCTTCCCTAATCTTATCACGTGTCTGTTCATGTCTCTTGTCAATTTTCATCGAAGCTATCCTAGATACCGATTCAGACATAGTCTTCTTAACCATCGTGGCCAAATCTTTGTTCGTCTCCTTCAGGAATTCTACAAATTCGATCGCCTCAGCGTCGCGATCTTCGCGATGGATCTCTTGTCCGGCTTCGAGTCGCTTGATCATTTCCGCCAGCGGGCTGTTTGCAATTTCCTTTCGGTACTGCTCGATTGAGAACTTCCGAAGAGCAATATCACGGAAATTCGACGAAAAAGATCCTTCTAACGCCTTCATGCGCGAAGGGAAGTCAATATCCAAAAACTCTGTGATGGCTTTGTAATTCGCCAAGGCATTTGCTTTCGGGAAAAGAACATCAGCATGCGCCTCGAACCAAGACGAATAATTGGATGCCAATAACTTACAGTATTTCGCGAGATCATTCTCAGCTTCTCGAAAATCCACGTCGATTCCAACAAGTCCTGCACCACCCCGATTCTCGTTGTATTCGGCCTGGATGTCGTGACCAATCAATGCTAGCCTTGCGAGAATGAGGGCTGTACAATATACAGGCTCTATGGCATGGTGTGGAATCGTCCAGGTTCCCGCCGCTGGCTTGATCTCATCATAGAGCTTACGATAAGTTGGGTTCGGCCGTTCCTGTTCTGCCACGATAGGTCCCATAAGTGTTTCAAGCCGGTAGAAACGGACAGAGAGAGAATTGTGACGGGGCTGCGGTTATGCCTTTGGTCCAACAAGGTGTTTGCGGTCTTCAAGATAGCATCCTGCCACAAATTCGAAGCTGAAATGCCGTCGGCAAATTGCCACATGGTTAGTGAGTGGTTGGGATAAGAGGCGCCCAACCAGAGATCGCCTTCTGCAAGCCACAAAAGGGGCCTATCTGTACCGCAGCGGTCGAATGACATAACAGTGTTGAGGAGCAACAATCCTCAATTGCGTAACACACAGACGATGAATCCTGAAAATAAAGGTCCTCGTACTCCATAGCGACGACGACGACGTTCAGATGAAAGTAACAGCAACTCTCAGAGCCGCTCTGAGCCGCTAACAGTCAAGCATGAAGATGGCTTGGCAAGCATAGAGCCGCTCTCTCGCCCCCATCTCCACTCCTGAGCCTTCCCGATCTCTACTCGTTTACTATGTCGGACTTTATGTCGTCCATTCCAGTGCGCGATAGCTATTCAATGCTACCCTACGGTCATAATATCTCAGCTCTACGAGGCATTTAATCTCGGGATTCGGAATTTTGTGCTAGCTTATGACGAAAGGCACGGGTCGACGGCTGCCGCGCACAGCGTTGTCGGTGCTAAGCTCTCAGGCACCACAGTCTAAAGCTTAGAGCCGCAATGCCCACTATCCAAGGAAGCCTGATGTGTCCTAGTGACGCGGTTTGCATGCAGAAGTCTCCACGAACTGGCTTGTGTTTTACTGGACAAACTATTTTAAACGTATGCCTTGCCTAGTTGAAGGTACGTAGGGACAAGCATACCTGATGAAATATGAAGGCGGGCATGCATTGACTCTCCACGGGAGGCAATCGGAGCGTGGATGTATATAAAGAATGGCCGATCGCATGTTACGATTGAGAACGACATTATCCAATCATCCAGCAAGGACCTCTACCCAAAGTCTTACTAGAGAAACCATCTATCTCTAGTCGTCTAGCAACTAACTAGCAACTAAATCAACGACCAGAACAAACCAGTTCTCATTTACTCCCACGGCCAACAACATGGTCGCCATCACCTCCATCGCCAGTTACTGCAGCGTCGTTGCCCTGCTGATCATACAAGGGACGCAAGGCTGCATCATCCACGCACGACAAGACTCCAGCTCGGGCAACGGCACTGCGCTCCCACCCGCCGACTTCATGACCATTGGGACCGACGGGCTCGCCCCGCCAGAAACCCTCGGTTACGCCATCAACCACTTTTCGCTGATCGTGTCCAACCTGACCGCCAGCAAAGAGTTCTACGGCAACGTGCTGGGTATGCGCCATATGTTCACGGCGCAGCTGTCGCCGCACTACAGCGTGACATACATGGGCCACGCGCACGGCGGACGCAACGGGACGGGCTATCAGACAGGGGCGGAACTCCTGCGCGAGAAGAACAACGCCAACGGGATGATCGAGTTCCAGTATTTCGCGGGCTCGGCGGACGTCAACATCACGGCGACCACCAGACGCCCCAACACATTCAGTCACATCGGGTTGATCGTCCCGAGTCTGGCAGACGCGGAGAAACGCATGCTGCAGTATGGGGTCACGATCTCGAAGAGAATCGGGCTTGGTGCGCAGGGCATTGAGAGCGTGGAGAATGCTTTTGGATTCGGGCCGTATGTCACGACCAACGAGACGGAGAGGGAGTTGTTGATTCAGGGCCAGGAGTGGGTCGGGTTTTCCCAGCTGTTGGGCATCGAGGATCCAGATGGGAATTTCATCGAGGTCCAGCAGTTGGTCCCACCCCCTGGTGTCGCGTAGGGAGGCTCATGGGGCTCTAGATGTGGATCATGCTGATCCATGGAATATATGTGCTAGATGGACGTCACGTGTAGGCATAGAGGCATGGCGATACAGAATTCGGGTTGCGTGAGATTGTGTTACGTCAGCGACGAGGTTATGACTCTGCTTAAGAGTAACGTGTCTAGGTGCTCCTGCGCGTATAATGCCAGGGCGTGCACCTCGGTGCCATTATAGCCATTTAGACCTGGCGCTGAGGGATCTTTGACTGGAGAGTAATGGCCTTGTAGGTAAGGAGGGCGGCGCCCGAGGGCTTTAATAGCCACTCTCTGGTTGCGCGTCAGGCGTTTGGTGCCCTAATACTAATAGCCACTCCTCTTAAGCTTCAGGAGATACTGTAAGAAAATTGTCACGCCAATGAACCCCCCAGTTAACGGGCACTGGAAAAATTTATCCAGAATTCTGAATGGATGGAAACGTTAATGAAGACTTAGGCACCGGACTCATATGATTTTCGTACACATTGCAGCATTATACTCAGCCTCGTCACCTCTCTGAGAACTTAATTGAAATTGGCCCATGGCTGATAGTCTGGGCTAGCTAGGAGTCTCTGGAACTGGCGTCGCCTAATACCAATGTTGCCTCCGTCGAACAACGAAAAGACGGCCGCATCGTTCAACAGTCGGGGAAAGATAGAGCCATTGCCGTATGAGCTCCTGTTTTCAAAATTAGTGGAGGAAACTAGCCCGAACTTGCCAACGTGCCCGAATCAGGTAGAATTAAGGGAGAGGCCAAGAGACTCACATTCCAACGGCTTGCATGCATTCCCACACGCAGGCAACTGAGGCATCACTGGGATATATTTTCGCCTCGAGACAGGTTTCGAAGCGTTCCTGGGCGTTGCCGGGTCCATTCTCCAGGGCGTCCACGGCTTTCCAGACGATCATACGGGAGGTATCAATCTTGATCTTGGCATTGATCAGTAAATCTGCGGGACTTTGTCTCTGGATGATCGGCACCGATCCGCCACGATTGTCCCGCCTGGCAAAGTCCAAGGCAGTTTCGAAAGCAACGCGCATAGTCCCAAGAGCCATAGCGCCGACCAATGCAGCAGTGACGCCAAAGGATTGTTCGATGACAGCCGTGGCTTTGCCCGGTGGAAACAGACACGCGTCGACGGGTACCCTGAAGTTGGTGTACCTCGTATGCGGACCGCTCGCACCTGTGTGGCCCATCAAGTTTGGCTCGGAAAGGACTTTAAATGCTTCCGGATCATTTTGCGCCACGACGTCTCGAGTAATGGCGACAATCATGACATTGTCTGCTGGGTCATTTTCAGGCTTCTCTGGACCAGTGTCCTCAGCGTAACGGACACAGAGATTGGTCAAATCGGCCCCTTTCTCGTCCCAGCCTGCGATGTTGGTTGTCCATAACTATTTCATAGTATTAGCATATAGAAATCTCGCGCAAAGCCACTCGGATACCACACCTTTTCGCCATTGATGATATAAAAGTCGCCGTCCTTTTGAGCTGTGACGCCAAACCCCTTCCCACCCTTTTCCAAAAAGTTTGCCGTCCCCTGGGGCTCTGAATGAGCAAGGCTGGCAAGGGGAGTACCTTCGCCACTGATGAATGGCTGGAAATACTTTTTCTGTTGCTCGGGAGTTCCGGCTATGACCAGTGGCAGTAGGCCAAGGGCAGTGCCGACGGCATGCACCACGATACTGGAATCGACACCATGCAGCTCCTCCAAGATTATCGCAGTGTCCAGGAATGACTCCGACCTACCCCCAACTGCTTTGGGGATGAGTAACTGCAGCAGACCAGCCTTGATCGCCTTCTCGTAAAATGGACGTGTGGCTTTGAATCGGTCGGCTTGATCAAGGTGCCTTGAGTAGACAGCATGCGCACCGCTGAGAGCATCCTTGGCTATTCCGCGAACCTCAGCCACGAGGGCCTTTTGCCTGTCGTCCAGCGTGAAGGAAACCATAGTCAATTGTCGAAAAGCCGTTCTTTCTTCCTAGATGAGTTCGATAGCTTGTTACGGCGTGAGTCGGTTTGCTGGTTGGAAAATAAATTGAAAGCTCAATCAACGTCCAAAGTTCGCGGACATACATATGTTGTATCGTTTCAATGTCTCATTGCAGGGGCTGCTCAACCCGCTAATCCATACCCCTCCGTGTAACTAGTCTTATCTCGTCCAATATAAGGATTGGAAAGCAGACCAGCCCGCACGTCGAGAGCAGTGGAGAAATCCCGGATACTTGATATCCGCAGTGACATCCCGAACTTCTGGCTAGATACTAAGTAGGGACTATCCCGTCCGACCGTGTCAAGATTGTCGTGTATCTCGTAATTCCAAAAGCATAAATTGTGGCGCTCCAACGGGCGTCGATGATTTCGAGTCAGCTACAAAGTATTCAAAGCTTATCAAGGGTAGAATTACTCGGTTACAAGAGTTTCGTTGCTCCAAACGAGGTCGACCAAATCGTGTCTCGCGTCTCGTGTCTCGTGTGTCGTCTACCGTTCTCCGCGGTCAATCTGTGGAGCCTACCTCTTGTCAGGTCGTCAATAGTAGTGAAAGTTAATTCATTTTCCGAACCACTTCGTAATTCAAATTCAACTGGTTGGCGGACCCCCAGATTTGAGCTTTCGAGTGTCCAACTTCGCCCCTAACGTCTAAACACCATTAGTCCATGACTACGAACAACGATCGCTTAGCTCTGAAGGGGGGGCATCCAAAGGAGGAGTACTTTTCACGTATTGACATGTCGAACGGTCTCATGATCATGTTGAAGACCTGTCACTTGGCAACGATTGCGCTCCGAACCGAATTCTGGGGGTTCATGCGGACTAAACCGTCCGTGAAGAACAGTCGTCCATAGCACTATTACACGATGTGATACCCAGAGCGGAAATTCACGCGATCATCAGGAGATGCAATACTAAGTAGTCTTCGTCGACGCTTGAGCGGCCTGTCAGGAAGGCTGGTAAGTGATCCAGCTTGCAGGCTCACCAAGATAAGAAATATGGACCAGGTCGACGTGACGTCCATTGAGCCAACTGGGATCATACTGGCAGGGTGCATTGATTGGGCGGGAAACCCCTGACACCTATACGCCGCACACTCTACATTGCGAGGAAGTGAAGTGTGTGTATGATTTATAGTCAAGGTATTAATCTTGCCCTGTATATGTACCGTACTATGTATTTGTACTGCGGAACAGCCTGTGAAAGCCGCCCCAGTCAAAGACAGATCAAAGCACAAGACTCAGGCACCACCAATAACTTCCAATTGCAGATCAAATGGCTCGAAGCCTATATGTGCGAATAAACGAGCTATCTCACGAAACTACCGGGCGGTGACAGTAGATCTTCTGTCATATCAGAAGGACTAAATCCCCCAGGTAATACAACCCGCCTTTAGAAGTAAACTAGATCCTACATTATCCCATTTTGGATTAGATACTAGTGATCTGTGGATTTCGCAAGTGAGCTCACGGTCGTAAGCCGCTCTTTAGGGTACTCTGCTGTTGTTTTCTCCAGGCCGGAAGTCGACTGCTCCATAGCAATGCCTTCTTCTACCACGGAGTCGCCAAAGAGAGCCTGAACATCCTCTAGAGATAGCATGCGTGTCTTTGAGCGTATTAGTAATTCTTGTCAAACGCAGTAGCCGTGGAGTCAAACATACCTCTGGAAACCAGAAATACACGACGGCGATCGTGATGGTTGTTAAGATGACAAAGACAAGGTAGTACTTCCAGCCAATCTTTGCAAAAGCGGTTGGGGCTGCGGTCGTGAAGATGATGGTGGCGAAGAATAGTCCAGAGCATGAGATGGCCAGACCTTTGGCTCGGAGTGGAGTTGGAAAGATTTCCGCCGCGTAGATGTAGGTAGTGGCATCGACACAAAGCACAAACACGACGATGTGGGCGAATAAGAAAAACACTGCCCCTGAAGCGGCACCACGACTGCCAGTGTTCTGGAAGATCGAAACCGTAATACATTCACCGACCAATGCCAGCATACAACCAGTGAAGCCAATTACTGACACGCATCAGTATATCGTTGCTCATTTGCATGCAGACAAGGGAAAGGATGACTTACATAGTAGTCTAACACGACCAACTCGGTCCACGATCATGGCATTGATGAGATTGCCAAAAGGCGCAGTGGAGACCCAGCCAGCTTGAATGCCGAGCTGTGCAACGGTGCCGAAGCCTAGGCTGCCGTACAGCATAGGACCGAAGTCTATGGGGTGTGTTAGAAGAAAACTCCTCCTTTATCTGGGGTAAGGTGCTGGTTACGTACTGTTGATAACGATGGTTGCCGTACATTGTGCACCAAACATGGTGAGGAAACCGATGATACATCTCTTCCTCAGACTTTTCTGGACAAGGAACCGTTTGAAGGGAACCACATGTTGAAGTTCGTGCATGGTCTGTCGGTGGAGATGCTCAAAGTCTTGTCGGAGACCTTCCTCGTCACTGAGCAGCACGTCCGAGGTTTCCGCGCGCGTGGCCTTGAAAGCCTCGAGTGCCTCGTCCACACGGTTTCTCATGATGACTGGTAATGGAAATTGTCAATGATCAGGACTATCACACAGTGTTTGGAACATCACTCACGCCATCTGGGCGTCTCCGGGAGCATCATAATGCCACAAGCGAGGAGTACCGGTGGCACACACTGAATGGCCAAAGGAATACGCCATTGCGCACCAGAAGCATTGACAAAATAAAATCCTAGGCCGACATAGCAAGCGACAGCATAGCCAGTCCCAATCATCGTCCCGTGCATACCGACCAGAAGGCCACGGATTTTTGGTGGAGAGATTTCGCTCTGGTACAGAGGAACCAACGTCACCAAGGCCCCTGTTCGCAAAATTGTTTAGTTAGGTGCTACGACACGGAAAATTCAATGGAGTAACCATACCGATCCCCATGCCGGTAATGGCTCGCATGGCAATATACATGCCGATGTTGACACTTCCTGCCTGGAGGGCACCTCCAAGGATTGTGCAGATAGCCGCTGCAAGCAGGGCCTTGCGGCGACCAAGCCAGTCGGCAGTGCCCAGGCAACTCAGGGTTCCGATGAAGCCACCGGCCTGGAAGACGCCATTGATGGTCCCAAGCAAATCACTTGCATTGGCTCGTTTGTCCAATTCAAAGTACGTGATGAAGGATGGCTGGCCGAGTGTGACCGAAATAATACTCGAGCAGTACCCGTAGGTCAAACTACCCAGTGCCACAAAGAGCACGATCTGCTCGAGCTGTTAGGAGGGCAGCTTGCGTTGGAGTAATGCAGGGTTCTTACCAGCAATCGTGTTACTGAAGGTGAGAAAGCCATGGACACGCAATGATGTGACAATGAGACTGTCTTGACCAAATAATGATTTCGAAGTTGATATCCACTGACCGCGTTCCAAGTACCTCTGGCAGGTTTGGGTCCATTTATGGAATCATATCTATGTTTGAGGCCTCTTTCGAATCATCTACTGCAAGTGCTCGAGGCCCTGATGTGGACCCACTCTTATCTTTCCCCAAATGAACCACATCGTGTTCCATCACACAACAATAGACGAAAGCCGACAGACGACCCATGATAGACGATAGACGACAATCAACCCACAACAAACAACAGCAACAACCGGTGATGGACCAAAGACAAACGTTGTCTGCCATCGGTCACACAGCTGATGATTTTTGAAGCTGCGTAGAATCTTTCGTAAATGATGGAGGATCGTCACTCTGATTACACGATGGTAAATATCTCGTGACCACTTGTCGTTGGGCAGCCGAGGCTAGTGGATTTTGACGCGCCTGGGGGTCTCCTGCTTTCTGTGATGTAAACTCTCTGTGATGGCGCATCAAACATTGAGAGTCGAGATTCGAGATTCAAGACTCGATCCTACGAACACAGACTCGTCGTCATCATCATGGGCCACGATAATCTTCCAATCTACCCAGACCTTTGTGGCAAGGTTGCTCTGATCACGGGCATCGGACAAGTCGGGCCTATCGAAACGTCAGATCTCTGGGGCAACGGGGCCGCGATAGCCCTCATTCTGGCAAGAAACGGCGTCAAGATATTCGGCTGTGACATCAATATCAAAGCGGGCATTCAGACCAAGTCTCGCATTCAGTCCGAGTTGTCTGATGCTGTTGTCGACGTGGTGGCGACCGATGTCACGTCGTCCTCTGCCGTCGAAAGCCTCGTGCAAGCATGTCTACAACTACACGGCCGTATTGACATCTTGATCAACAACGTCGGTCGCAATGAACCTGGGGGACCCGCTGAAATGTCGGAAGAAACTTGGGATGATCAAATTGATGTGAATTTGAAAAGTGTATACCTCACATGCCATTTTGTCCTGCCCATCATGGAAGCTCAAGGGACGGGATCAGTGGTCAATCTTAGCAGCATTGCCGCCGAAAGGTATCTGGGGAAAGCGGAGGTAGCATACTCAGCGGCAAAGGCTGCCGTCACACAGTTCACCAATCATACTGCTTTGCTGTATGCGAAGAAGGGTATTCGATTGAACACGGTCCTACCAGGGCTGATGTTTACGCCGCTCGTTTATGCGATCGCGCACAAGTTCAGCAATGGTGATGCTCAAAGCTTCGTGGATACAAGAAACGGCCAAGTGCCTACGGGGAAAATGGGAAGTTCTTTGGATGTGGCAAATGCAGTGGCGTTTCTCTCTAGCACTGCTGCCGCCGGTTTTATCACCGGCCAACAGCTTGTTGTTGACGGTGGAATGATCTCTAGTACAGGCAGGGCGTGATGTGATGTGGTAGCCAGGACAATATGAATCAACAAGCATGACAACATTCATATGTTCTCCAGCAGCGAAATTGAAATGGTGGTGCGAGACTTTGATGCTGAGCTCTTGCTGGTGGCCCGAATAGCAGGGGTGGATACAATTCTTATCTAGCCTTTTTGATATAGCAATGTAACTCAGCCCATCAATTTGATAGAAATGCAATCGTTCATATGAGGCGTGAGCAGTGCTTCTTGTAGGAGTTTGGTAAAGCGATGACTAGGATACTGGACGAGGTGGCTACCAGAAAAATAACCCGTATCTGCACAAACCTTTATCATCGAAGGTTTAGCGCTACACCTAGGAGTTGGTCGCTCCCCAGTTTCCATTGTCAACCCGTTTGACCCGCAACTGTGGGACTCGACTCGCGCCCACCTCAGCTGGTTATCACTTGGAATTGATACTTAATCTTGGTGACTAGCATGTCGCTCGTCGTTCTTATCACCCCGGCGTCCAGCAGGGTTCTAACAAAACGATCTGCGATGTCCCAATATCCTTTTGATTCCAGTCACAATGGCAGGCATTCAATCGCAGCCGATTGAGCAGGAAAGTCCCGCACTGTTGGGAGCTGGTCAACCTGGCAGGAGCGCGTTTGTGAAGGGGAACCACACAGTCAATAATGGTGGAACTCGGTTTGTAGGATTCAGGCGATCGGGACCACGATCCCGAGGTGGGTGTGTAACTTGCAAGCAACGTCGGGTTCGATGTGATGAGATTCACCCAATTTGTGGCCACTGTGTCCGCTTGCAACTCAACTGTCACTATCGACCTCAGGCAAAGAAATCGCTAGAATCAGGGTCGAGAGCAGGTTTGAGGAATGCCGATGCTCGGAATGACTCACTCTACCCTGTTGATGTGCAAGTGGTCCCAACCAGTCTGCAGAACACAACAAGTAGCACATTAAGCCCGTTTCCGCACTCACATCCGGCAAACACTGGCGATGGAGCCGCGTTGGCGGACCTATCAAACCTGGAAATGTGGTCCTACGAAAGAAATTTTGACTATATCGACCTGGCAGAGGACTTATCCACCTCGTGGGCTGGCGAGTTTTCTTGTCTCTTTCCTGACGGCTCTAGTATGGCAGGCTCCACGTTAGCTGTGGAGAGACATGAGAGTGCTCGCCTGGCTGCCTTGGACGAACCCATCAGTGTGGTTCCTGATGAAGGGAACCACAAGGCTCCAAAAACACGAAAGGTTACTCCCAGTGTGGATATCGTTATGCCGAGTATATCTGGTCTGTCGGCACCTCTACCCCAAGAAGGACAGCCCGCGGGACTCGGTGCCTCGCCTCAGGGATATCATCCAGCTATGGTCCGCGAGGATAGTCCGTCTGAACGAAGTCACCACTATGAGCAGCTCATCAGGCGCTTCTTAAGGATTGCACAACCTCCCGCAGCTATTCTGATTGGCGGGTCCAAGCGTTGGCGGTGTCTGCAAGAATATTTATGTAAGACTAGCCAACAAAGTCGTCCGGTGGAAAGCGCCTTGCTGTGTATAGTTGGACTACTGACGATCGACGAAACATGTAAGGAGCTGGCAATTGAGCGTGAGCAATGCATGATCCAGATTCATGCGCATCATACACGGGCTTGCGAGGACATCAGAACCAAATTGGCAAGAAATCTGGAAAGGGGGTCCAAATGGACTGAGCAACTGCTGGCCGCGATCTTCTTACTCGCGTGGTTTGAAGTGATTCATGATCAGGATGCCAGACAGAGCCAGTTTCCACGCGAGCTTGCCGATTCCATCATCTTGAGCAAGTCGACCTGGAGCAGGAGCTCACAAGAACTTCTCTCGTGGATGAACACCTTGGACAGTAAAGCGACACACCTTGGAGGCGAACACTTGCTCTCTGAACAGACTGTCGAAGCCATCAGCCGTTACCAGACGGAGATCACATCGACCAGCAGGCTGGAAGGTGAGGCTAGCAGGAGTGGAATCCTCTCGGATGGCTCCGATGGAACACCCACCAACTCAACACCTGGGAGTGCTGGGTCATTAAACTTGGCACCGACGCGGCTGCAGGCAATGGGTAGTCTGATAACGCAGCGAGGACAAGTCAAACAGGCGGTACTCAATGCCGTCATTCAACCAGCATTGCAATGGTATTTGACGTCGCAGTCTTACTGTCGGCGCATCAGCGCGCACGACAAATACCACCGGCGTCGGGTGACCTCGGACGACGAGTATGAAGTCATCACAGCATGCAAGCAACTGGAATCGGAGTTGTCAGAACTTTGGAATTTCCGGCCCACGGTGATGTCCTTGACCGCTGAGCAGTTGAGAGAAGTGGTGTCGACGGATCTCGCGACGCGACTCGAGGAGGTTTTTAGTGTCTACCTGGCCAGCTTTTGGATTTTGTTCGTTTACCTACATCGGGTGAGCTGGTGGCATCTGCCACATTCGGAGCTCGTGGAGCGGGCGCTTTCGGAGGTGTGGCGGAACATGCAACGAGCGTACGGAGAGGTGATCGACGGGACCAGCAAGAGGGTGGTACACCCTTCTTTGCTCTGGCCACTCTTCCTGTTTGGGTCGGAATGCATAGACCGCCGGCAAAGAGAATGGGCGATCCAACAGCTTGAGGATCTTGGAGCGGTCAAACCTGTGCTCGAGGACGAAGAGGTGGATAGCGAAATGCTTCCCCCGTTTCGACTGAGTTCTGGTGCGACCAGAAATGCCAAGAGGGCAGCGGTTTTACTCACCAGGCTGACAGAGGAACAAGATAAAAAGAAGCGCCGAGTGGATGATCGAGAGCTTTCGATGAAACTGTTCGGGTGCCACTTTTCTATAGTATAGTCCCGAGAGGACTGTAGAATCATATACCGATATCTGTGGGTCAGAGGATGATCTGCTGTACTACTCAGATTTAGCTCTGAGGCTGAAGCCAGAGCTGAAAGATCCAAGAAAGTGAAACTAAGCCTGATGTGATGATGATTACTCCGTACCGAGATTGAAATACCGGGACCAGCTATGCAATTTGGGGTGGAAAGGCTGAAACCCGGAAGCAGGGATTGGATGATATTGGATTGGGCACATGTGCAAGAAGCTGACTGCACAAGTGTTCAAAGGTGAGACGAATTGCCTCGTACGAGAGGATCAGATATGATTGTACGGAGCCTGTAGCTGAATGGATGGGCATGAACAAAGTCTTGGAAAGAGGGGCGGGAAAGTCTTGCGGGTTAAAATGACAGACCGCTGGAAGATAGAGGGAAGAGGTTACTGGTGAAAGAGGGGCATGGGACGCCTATACGATACATACCTAGGTCGCCCGGAGAAAGAAATCGTCCCAAAATGGGGGTGACGTTGCGGGTAGTGGGGAGCCTGTCAGCCCTATGAAACGATAAGATTGGATGAGGGGCGGAAGTGGTTGAGAGTCTGGTCAGTCTTGAGGAAGAGCAGAACTGATGGAGAGTCAGAGTATCAGGAATGGAATTATCAAGAATAAAAGACTTCTATCTAATAGTGGCTGCCCAGGTGATTCCGCCCCCAAGGTTCCAGGTTGTTAGCAGTGAGACAAGACCTGACGGATGATTATTACACCAGATCCGTATCGGCATCGGTCTGGCACAGAGGAAAGCACGCGTCGACGACGAGGGTGCCCAGCCCAGGTCGCTCCTTCCCACATAACCTGATCGCGTAACCGTACTCGGTACAGGAACTGTAATTGCACTTCCACTCAGCCATTACACGATCGTGCAATTATTACAATGATTAAAAACTACTGCTCCCTCCACCAATTCATTCAGCCTTCCAAGGTCATCAAAGAACTCTAGCCTGGTATGCTGGTACGTGCTCTAACTCTGACTCTGCCCCTCACCGTCTTGACTTTCACTAATTCTTAGCAATGGCAGCCTTAGCCCTGACTCTGGGCATTCCTGGTAATCACACCAGTTCTCCTCTCCCTACCAAGTCTTCATCATCTCCATTCTTGTGCTTTTCAATCTGATTCTGGGGGCTATTTTCAGACTCGGGATTGCAGTAGTTCAAGACTACCATCCCACTAGTCTCCCCTACCACTTGCAAATCTCAGCCCTTCCATCTCTCTCCTCAGGTCCCTCCCGACTGCGTACTCTCAGCCACAATCTCGACTTCTTTAATTCTTTCGAGTACCTCGTACACCTACACCCGCGCCCAATCCCTCCACCGGCCACATCCACCTACCTCCTCGTAACCTCCCCATTCGTACACGAGACGGACACACTTGCACACTCCAACGCACACACAACCAAACAACCACCTTCCCTCTTTGCTCTCCCACCTCCCACCTCCCGCCCTCAGGCTCACTCACGCTCGAAACCCTCTTTGCATTTCTGACACTCTTCCTCCCTCGTAACTTAGCTGCGCTCTCCCCCTTCCACTCTTCTCCCCCCCACCAGGCCTCTGATTCCGACTCAGCTTGCCGATGTCATGAGCTCTCGCTTCAAGAGTCTAGGCTTTGGTTCCAAACGAAAGAGTAGCGCCAACATCCAGAATAACTCCGCCGCCTCTCCCAACGGTTCCACTTCCACCGCTGGCACTCCCCCTCCTCCAAACTCTTCTCAGACCAGCTTGCAACAGCCTCCCATGAACCAGCCTGGTGCTCCTGGTCGTCCTCCAAGCTACTCGTACAATAACGTCGCTGGCCGCCCTCAAAGTCCTATGCCCCCGCCTGGCCAAAATCAAATGGCTCATCATCCTCCCCCCATCGATACCTCTCGAGGTTATGGTGCACCCGCCCAGCAGCTTGGTCCTCCTCAACCTCCTGGTTACGGCGGTGCTTATGGTCAACAGCCCATGGCGCCCCAGCCAGGTATGCAGCACATGGCAAACCAGTATGGTCCTGCCCGCCCTGCTGAAGTCGAAGGAGGTGGTCGCAGCAAGGCTCAGCTGATCGTCGGTATTGATTTTGTAAGCATCCATGGTCCAATCCACACCCAAACATCTCACTAACTCCCTCCAGGGCACCACCTTTTCTGGCGTCGCCTTTGCCTTTGCGACAAACACCGAAGCAAAAGAGGACATCATTACAGAATGGCCCGGTGCAGGAAATCAAACAAAACAAAAGGTATCATGGCCACCAACGCCGATCTCCATCCGCTCATAACTAACAACTCGTTCGCTCGCAGATTCCCACCGTCCTCTACTATGATCAATACCAGAAAGTCGTCGGCTGGGGCCCGGACATTGCTGATGCTCTCGCCCCCACTGGCTACCCGAAGCCAGGTGTTCAGAAGGTTGAATGGTTCAAGCTCCAGCTCATGCTTTCCGGGAACACTTATATAGACCCCATCAATTTGCCCCCGCTTCCCCCTGGAAAGTCCGAGATCGATGTTGCGGCAGATTATCTCTTCAAGCTGAGACAGGCCATGAGGGTTCAGTTACAAAAGACTCTGGGTGAAGTGTTCAATCGAGAAGAACGAAATATTCGATACTTCTTGACCGTCCCTGCCATCTGGAATGATGCTGGAAAGGCGGCTACAAGAGCTGCCGCAATTCAAGCTGGCTTCATCCGAGACGAAAATGACAACCGATTGACTCTCATCACCGAACCCGAAGCCGCTGCCATGTTTTGCTCAAAGACCGGCCTCCTCAACCTCAAAATCCACGATGCCGTACTTATTGTCGATTGTGGTGGTGGTACTGTCGATTTGATCGCATATGAAGTCGAAGAAGAAACTCCATTTACTGTGGCCGAATGCACTGCAGGTAGTGGTGATTCTTGTGGTTCGACTGCTCTGAACCGAAACTTCTCAAACATCCTTCGAGCAAAGATCAGAAAGATGAAGCTCCCTGATGGCTCCAAGACCGCCGGCAGAGTGTACGCCAAATGTATCATGGATTTCGAGAACAGGATAAAGGCCGATTTCCGCAACAACGGTCAGAAATGGGCTGTCGATGTTGGTATCGAAGCTGAATTCCCCGAAGCCGGTATTGAAGAAGGTTATATGACGTTCACCAACGAAGAAATCCTGCAATGTTTCGAACCTGTCGTCAATCGGATTCTGGAACTGGTGCGAAATCAAATCATCGCCATCCAAGCCCAGAACAGAGCGTTGCAGAACGTCTTGGTTGTGGGTGGTTTTGGTGCTTCCGAGTATCTCTTCCAACAAATCAAGCTGCACGTCCCCCCTCAATTCCAATCCAAGGTGGTCCGACCTATGGATTCCGTCGCTGCAATCGTGAAAGGCGCCGTGACCGCCGGTATCACCGAAAAAGTCATCACTTCTCGTGTCGCACGCAGACACTACCTCATGGCAACCTTACAACCATTCAAGGAGGGTCATCATCCAGAACAATATCGTGTACCCAGTTTGGATGGAAAAGACAGATGCAAGTACACTCGACAAATTTTCGTCCAAAAAGGTGAACGAGTCAAGATTGGCGAACCCGTCAAGGTTTCCTTCTTCAGACAGGTTGCTCCTGGTGCTACGCTCATGTATGAGGATATTTTATACGCCTGTGACGAAGACGTCTGGTAAGTCGAAAGATCAATTCCTTGTTCTATGAATATCTACTAACCACATTTGTCAGCCCTGAATATACGAAAGATCCTCGGATCAAGGAGGTCGTTACCCTAACCTCAGATCTGTCAAGAAAAAATCTGGAAAAAGACTTCGAGCGCATGGATACACCGCAGGGAACCTTCTATCGTGTCTACTTCGACATCTATCTGACACTTGATGGATCTGAATTCAACGCTGAACTGGTCTGTCAAGGCGAAGTCATGGGCAGATGTAGTGCCAGGTTCAGATAGTCGCCCCGTGTTCGTTGTTCGAGCCTACTGTGTCAGTTGAAGATGGATTAAACAACCAGCCTGTACGCACCAGGGGAATCGACCCATCCCGAGGCCAGCAGCACAGCCTATATTACAGGACTGTTTGGATTACCTTACTGTCAAAGCAGCAAACGTGCCAATTTTTGTTTGTTTAAAAGGCGATCCAGCACCACTTGAAGTTGCGCGTGGAGCAACAAGGAGCACTTTTGATGGAGAGCCCGGACGAATATGGAGAAGAACTTGCGTTGCGTTGCTTGAGCTTCAATCGGGGTCATGATAATTGGAAGACAGAAAAATAGCGCATTAATGCAGCAACGAGGGACTGAAAGGTGGATACGTGGTTTAGAAGGACGAATCAATCATGAGACATGATGGCAGTTATATCCCCTCGCGACAGAAGAATCCCCGGTAGTCGAGTCAGGTCGACCCTTCCCTTGCACACAGCTAAACGCCTGGCGAGCAGGATCTACCTTTGAGAGATTAAGAACAGGAATGAAATGGCATGGTGATTGATTACCCAACTAGAGATATCTACGTACTCGTCGGGCCAGGCGAATCGGCCAACTTTAACCCCAAAAAAGAATTCTGATACCAATACCCTTGTTCCACCCTTTCGATTTCGAAGTGACGTGTATACAATGTGCTGGGAAACACAGCGAGAGCGTGAGCGAGAGCGAGAATGAGAATGAGAATCAGCAAGCCAGCAAAGCAAGCCAAGACTAATTGTCTGAATAATGCTTGCCTGGATCGATTGTTGTAGCCCTTCCATTGCAACAATCTGGCTGACGGAGTTTCAAGCGCGGAACGTACGGTGTGGTGTGTATTTTATCTAGGTGAATTTTTTACACGATAGAAAAAAAAGAAGATGATCCATTTGAACTCCGTGCAAGTGAGCTAAGTGCTTCTTCTTCGACTTTAATGAAGCATGTAGTTGCCCTACCGGAAGCATCCCTCCCTCCCTCCCTTGCTACATAGACATTGTTTCTGTGTCATACATAGGACACGATCGGCGTGCTCCTGCCACGTCTCATTTTCAGTCACATCGGCTGAACAGCGGAACTTTTGACGAGGCACCCATACTCGTACTCGTCCTTTTCTCCCTAACTACTACCATCACTCTCCATCTTCGTCGTCGTCCTCCTCATCATCATCCTCATCCATGCCCTCCGCGACATCCACAGCGAACGCCATGCTCTGGTCGACGCCCACATACGAGTCGGCCATGAGGAACAGCGTGAGGTCTTTCTTGCCGGGCGTGGGCACGACGTATTCGAGCTTGACGTCGAGTTTCTTGACGATGGTGACGCGTTTGATCGCCAGGAGCGATTTGGTCTTCTCCTCGGCCACCACCAGCCACCAGTTCTGGATCTTCTTGCCGGGGTAGAAGGGCGCGTGAACCGACAGGTCGACCTCGGTGTCTGCGTCCTCGTCTTCTTCGTCGTCGTCATCTAGAACCCGCGATACCCGCACCTGCAGGTAGCTGGGCTGGCCGGCGGTGATGTCTTCTTTGTCGAGGGCCTCGAATTCGAGCTCGAGATTGGGATATTTCGTGTTGGTGAAGTTGGCCGCTTCGACTAGTTGGCGGTTGCTCAGGCCCATTGCCGCGACGAGTTTGGCTTGGTTCGGGTTTTCACTTGGGTCCATGGCCGTCATGAAGTCATCGATGTCCTTGACGTCTTGCTTGGCGAGGATGTCGACGATTTTGCTGTCAAAGTGTGGGATCTGCAGGAGTGGGCTGTCACGATCCCACATGGCTTGAACTGTCATTTGAGAAAGTTCCATTGCGTTCATGGCGTTGAGATGTCCTTCGGAGGAGAGGACGTCCACGCACGCAGAGAGGAGGCTGAGGACTTTTGAGACGATGACTTCTTGATCTTTGGACAGGTCAATGGGAAGTTGCATGCGCGAGAAATGTGCCTGGAGGAGAACTAGTGCTTTGAAGTGAGGAGAGTCGAATGCTGGTTCCGACATCTTCACGGGCACGCGATCGTAGATGCGCTGAAGAATATGAGCCTCGTTTCGGCGTATTTGCACCGATTCGAACTCTGTAGCAGAAGTGACAATTTCCAAAATACCCTTCAGCTTCGTGCGGCCAGTTAGGGACAAGAGGAAGGTCTGCATGGTAATGAAGGAGATGTTATAGTAGGCTGCGATCATTGCTGGGTTCAGTGGAGTGACTGAATCATCCTCCTCATCAAGATCAATAATCTTAGCTTCGGAGAGCTCCTTCAAGGTGTTCTCAACAAGTTCGGAAAGATGTGTGCTCAAGCCATCATGTGATGTGTCGTTCAATCCATAGAAACTTGGGTTTGCCAGGAGACGGCGATAGAAATAAGAGTAAGTCGTCCAATCCACGGCATCTTGAGTAGAGGTGATTGTCTTGGTGCTGATCTCGGTGACGAACGCGTCGTGGAGAGACAAGGGAAGATGGCTCTCAATGGGCAAGGCTTCGTTCAGGAATTTCTTATAGTATTCTCTTCTGACTGCAGGTACCATCAAGACGCCTTTTCCAATCTTGTCTTCGCCAGGTCTACAAGCACGGCCAAACATTTGGAGAATTTCGCTGATTTGATAATCAACGTACCGATGTTCGCGTCCTTGGAAATACTGCGTGCCCATGATGACCACGAGGTGAGCAGTACATGGTAGTTCCCAGCACACATCGCGAGAGGCTAGCATTACTTGGATGGCACCGATTTTGAAGAGATGTGACACAATACGCTTGTCACTGGTTGAGAGAGCCTCATGGTAATATCCGATACCATGTGTCAATGATTCCGCGAGTGCCTTCTCATTGATTCTCTCCAGGAATGGTTGCAACTCCTCGACATTGGTATGAAGAAATCTCTCATCATCGTCATCCATAATGCATGCTGAGAGAATATCGAGCGCGGTGGTTCGAACTTGCTTCCGTCCGGGTACAAACACGATTGCTGGCTTATCAGGAGACAGCTGAAGGATTGATTGATATGTTGGTCGAGCCATCGCCATCATCAATGATGGGAAATGTGGTATCGTGAACGATTGAATGTGTAACTCCAATCCAACAGGACGCACCATGGGGCTGAAATTGAAGATCGTATGCTTACTCGCTCCGATCCACTCTCCCACATCTCTTGCATTCGAAAGTGGTACACTCAAACCGATGATTCGTAGATTATTCTCGAGCTGAATGTGGATGTACTGCATTCTAGAAACGACAACTTCATATACCGAACCATTTTCGCCTCCGAGCATATGAAGCTCATCCGCAATAAAGAGTTCGACGCTCTGCACATTCTTTCGACGTTGCCATTGGCGGGATAACACATCCCATTGACTTGGAGTAGCAAGCACTAGATCTGACCGGTCTAATATCCGCAAGTCTGCTGTGATCTCGCCCGTCAAGGTTGAGATTGTCTTACCCAGGTGCTGACCCAGACGTTCCTGCCAATCACCAAGACGTTGCTCGACTAGTTCAGCGAAAGGCGCAATATAGACTGCTTTACTGGCCTCGGGGTTCTTCCAGTGGCGGAGAAGGGCAAACTCTGCACAGACAGTTTTTCCACTGCCAGTGGGGGCTCCGACAAAGACATTGTCATCACTGTCATACATCGACTTGAACACTTGGGTTTGAATCTTGTTGAAGCGGTCCCAATTGGGATACAGAGACACGAATTCCTTGACTTTGAGTGCTTGGACTGGAACAGGCTGCAGGTCAAGCAATTGAGTATGAGGTGGGAACCGCTCTGGCAGAATCAATTTCTGGAAAGAGACCGGAACCTTTGTCTCCGCGTGCATCCAACGATCCGACAAAAGGGTTATGAAGTAGTTTGGCGGCATTGGCTCGGTAATCGCAACTGTGAAGTCAACAAGATGCTCGGTCAATTCACCAGTAGCAAATTCTCGACGAAGGATGAATTGATCATGAAACAAGATCTCTTCTCCATCGCAATCTTCAACTAGAATCCAGAATGTCTCTGCTGTTCCATGAATTGCGTCGTCCCATACAAAGTTTGGAGTTATGCTTAACTCCACATGCAGCATGGATCTCGTGATGGGCTGAACCTGTGCTTGAACTTCCAAACGAGGAAATTTCGAAACAAGATCACACACATTGCGACCAGCCTTCGGAAGTCCGAGTAGTTCTCCCATTCTCGGTGGATCCAAGTCAAAATATGCAGACCAGGGAACTTCCATTCTTTCGGCTTTCTGTACATACTCTCTCGGACACATGGGAAATTGTCTGAGAGGAGACATCGTGGGCCACATTCGCTTCTCGGCCATCTTGCAAAGATCAAGAGCAATCTTGGCGACAGAGGCCCACCCCTTCTTGAGACAAATCTCGAATAGGGCTCTCAAGATGCGTCCAGCTGACTGTGTGACGTACACCAGATCGGCCATCAGCGCAAGGCCTTCGAGTTTTAAACGAGAAATGAATGCCTGAAGCAGAACATTGATCTTGGCCTGGGGTTCCTCCATGCCCTCTTTGACTGGAATCGGTACTCTGCCCAGGAGTTTCGCTAGTTCCAACTTCTCGTCTTGTCTCACTGGGATATACTTGAATTCATCGCTGAGAGCAAAGAGTCGGAAGAGCTCGATGGTGGTTATCGATGGTTGTAAATTCGTATTATAAGTGAGCATAGAATTGTGCGTGATGTAGTAATGTGAGGAGATGCGGCCAAGATCTGTAGCTTGTAGCTTGCCGGATTTCTTTTCATACTTCACTAGACCGGCTCTCTCAAGAACAATAGCTGCCGAGTGGATCAAGTCAACGCGCTTTTGTTCGAGGGTCTCGTCGTCACCGTAGTCTGCACCAACGCTGTACAGACCAGGAGACCGGATCATGCGGACAAAAAGGTAAGTATATCCAAGCCATTCCACACCATCGTCTCTAGTACGAATGTTGCCAAGTACAATTTCAGCGTTGAGATTATCCGCAAGTTTGCCCATCAATTGACTTTCAATCGGAAGTTGCTGATTCATGAGTGACAGATAGTACTGAACCTCAGATTGTGATGTAATGATAATCCCTTCTCCATAAGAATCAAATTGCGGTCGACCAGCTCGGCCCAGCATTTGTAAGACATCTTGAGGACTTAACTCAACCCAGCTTCCTTTCTCTGGAGAATATACTTGAGTGCCCTTGATGATGACAGTATGGGCTGGTAGATTCACACCCCAGGCCAAGGTCGCTGTGCACACTAGAACTCGTAGATAGCCATCTGCGAATAGGTCTTGGACCGAGGTACGATCGGCAACACCCATACCTGCATGATGTATACCAAATCCGTAGGGTAACAAGTCTTTCAGATTGGCATCGTTCACTGCTTCAGCTTCTTCTTGCAAAACAGATCTACTTGCCGCATCACTCCGCATAATTTGACCGATGGTCTCCAGTTCGACAGCTTTGTCACGAATGTATTTCGCAGTCTTTGCAGTTTCTTTTCGAGAGTGGACGAAAATAAGCATTTGCTGTTGATTTGTACCAACGTGTTCAATGACTTTGGCATAACAGACATCGTTCATGGTTTTGAGCATCTTGATAGCTTTCTTGTCCGTCACACCAATGAACTCTTGTCGAAGAGGGCAAGGCCTGAAGGAGCCATCAAAATGGAAGAGTCCCTTTGCAGGATCAACACGCAAAAATGTTGCTACATCACGATAGTTCGGTAGGGTGGCACTTAAACCGACTATTCGGACGGGATCACCTGTCTGCTCGATCTTGCGAATAGTTCGGCTGACAATGCTTTCCAAAACTGGACCACGGTCATCATGAAGCAGGTGAATCTCGTCAATGATGATCAGTCGAACCAGTCGCGTATAACTCATGTCAGTCGCTTTTCGGGTGATAACATCCCACTTCTCTGGAGTCGTGACAATGACTTGTGTGTCTGCGATTTGTTGTTTCGTTAACTGCCGATCACCTGTAAGTTCGGAAACTCGGATGCCATAAACTTCGAGACGCTTTCCAAAATTTCCAACCTGCTCCTGAACAAGAGCTTTCAAGGGGGCAATGTAAACAATCTTAAAATCATCGAGCATGATTTCTCCTGTCTCCGGATTACGGTGTTTGCCGATCTCTCTCAAGATGGTAAGCATGGCAACGTTGGTCTTGCCTGAGCCGGTTGGGGCACAGATCAACATGTTACCATCATCCTGAAAAGCCGATGGATAACATTTGGATTGGATGCGGTTGAGTTCCTTTGCATTTCCAAACCCTTGTCGTGCCCAATCGGGTAGATCACTCGTCGGAATGTTCTTCTCTCCAGGGTCTCGTTTAGGCTTGGGCGCAGGGACATGAATTTCCTCATAGCCCTTGAAAGTTCTCTTTGTGGATCCTTGTGGAAGGACGACTTTCGGATTGGTCATGAGATGGTTACCCTGTTCAAAAACAAGATTGTCCAGGTTGATCAGCCGCTGTGGTTGCAATCCACCTGCAAGGACGCCTTCTTTCTTCTCAACCTGTCCTTGGTCGGCTTCACCTTTTGGAATATCCAGGTCCATCAGGTCCAGCTTCATCTTCTTTGCGGGTCGTTGACCTTCTGTAGTCTGATCTGATTTTCCAAGTAGCTCGTCAAGGATACTTCTGTGACCCGCTTCGACCATCTCGCTCTCCACAAGATTACGAGCGTCATCATCTTCTGCAGCCCTCCGCCATCTGGTGGCCCAGACAATTCTCTCACGATTTGAGACGAACTTGCTGACGATTGTTGGTTGTTCATAGTCAAACAAATCCATCAGGTCGTTTTCGATATCTCGAAGAGAAATATCTTCGCCCTCCAGCGACTTCCCTGAGAGAATCTGAAGAGCATCTTTCGTTTTCTGTTGTTGCAAATGGGCATCGGAATAGAGAGCACCGATCTGTCTCTGCAACCAGTAGGCATCAATCTCATGAATGGGAACGACATCGACATCATTTCTCTTTCTTCGACTGGAGTCCTCAATACCACCATCGAGAACCATACCACTCTCCTCTGTCTCTTCTGTTTCTGGGAGCCCAGCGCCCCCAGCAGCGGCAGCTTCTTCAAGGCTGGGATCATCTTGTACGTCGTCCTCTTCATCTGAAGAGCCTTCGCCTTCATCTCGAACTTCATAAGTGCGTTGGACACCGTCCTCATCAGCATCTTCGTCAGATTCGTCGAAGACAACTGCAACACCCTGTCTGTCGTCGAGCTCGGCTTCGTCTGCACCGTCGCCATCGGCCATCTCTTCATCACCATCTTGATTGCCATAATCTGTTATTTTCTTGCCGAGGTTGACCAGTTCATTGAATTCCTTTGGTGTCATGGTGATTCCAACAAGATCGTCGATCTCTTTTTTCTTATCCAGATCCTTCATGTTCTCATCTTTCAGATACTCAAGGACAGCATCGGCAGCACTTCGCACCGTCTCTTGGGAAACATCTCCCAAAGCATTTGAAGTGACATGGAGTAGTAGATCATATGTAGCACGAGTAGCAGGAGTCCTGGGTCGATACTTTAGTCCTTCTATCAGCGCATCACCCGCAGACAGAATACCAGCTCCTCGAGTTTGTGCAGGCTCGCCCCTCTTTCTCTTCTTGCGCTCTCTCTCGAGTACGTCTTCGCCTTCTCGTATTGAGGTTCGTTCCACGCCTTTTAAGCCCGAAGCTAACTTTTTCTGTTTTGGTGCTTCAGGTCGACCAACTCGCGATCCCATATCTCGAATGTTTAGTCTCCCAGCTAAAGACTCTGGGTCGCCGGTATTCTCGTCCGTTCTCCGAGAGACAAATCGACGGTCGGCCTGGAGGACCAGGTTCGACATGGCCGAGTACTTGTACTGGGCGACATTGTTTGGGTCGGCCATGTTTGCATTTATTTGACGAGATATAGGCGATGAAGAGTGGAAGGCCTTCGACAATGGGTGTTTCAAGGACAGAAAGGGAATGTCGAATGACTTCACCACTCGCTCTCCCAGAGAGACGACTGCAGGCAGAGCAGGGAATGGTGCCAATACCCGTCAGTATTTCTACATGGACCGAGTGATTGAAAAGGAAATGCGGCGGTTGGAGCCTGACGGCGAAATATCTGAAAGATTTGGCATCTCGTGCCTGTTCTCGTCGCCGCAATCCCAAAAATTGAAGATTCTCCAATTTTCTTGGCAAAGTAGCCCAGCTCCCCTCGTCTTACGATAAAGGAATCAATCCCTGCCGCTTTAGATACTATACCGTGCTAACCGAGATTGAAGGTATCTTGCGCCGCTATTAATCTCCGCATCTTCCTTCCACTTTACGCGTTTCCACTGTAGGCGCGTTGCTCCTAGATCTGAGATATTAGGAATGCCCATTTGCTCTCACACTTGGACCAGAGGAGCTCCTCATGCTTTCCATAGCCAGAGTACTGCGGAAGAGCAACCTCTGGCTTTGCGAAAAGAGACCTGGTCAACTTGCATGCTACCTCTCCGTCATCACACCAGTACAAACATTAAGACCAAAATCTCCAAAATGTCAGCCTTTCTATCGTCAGCAGAGGGGTGCAAAGACCGTTTCCAAGAGAAAGGTCAAAGATTTACATCAAGGGGCAATTGTTGCCGATCCCCTGCCTGATCTACCCGCTGATGATGAGCCTCAATATCCCACTCTTCTCCAGGAGGTGAGGAACAACATGGCAAAGTTTGACAACTGTGTGCTACTCACAAAAGTTGGCAACTTTTATGAGCTTTACTTTGAGCAAGCTGAGCAGTATGGTCCGCTGATGAACCTCAAGGTGTCTTCGCGGAAGACCAAGCTCGGACCCGTCTCCATGGCCGGATTCCCAATCTTTCAGCTAGATCGCTTTCTCAAGATCTTGGTGCAAGATCTCAACAAGTACGTGGCAATCTGCGAAGAGTTTCTGATTCCCGTCTCGAGCAAGGTCAAGTCTGGTGGCTTACTATATGATCGGCATGTTACAAGGGTTGTAACACCCGGAACCCTGATTGACGAGAAATTCCTTGATCCATATGAGTATAACTTTCTACTCTCCGTGCATCCAGAAACTCCAACACGACAAGATGAAGATGGAATAGAAAAGAGCAACGTTCAGGGCTCAGCTGAACAAAGACTTGGTCTTGCGTGGTTGGACCTTTCAACCGGTGACTTTTTTACTCAATCTACAGACCGCAGTTCATTGTCATCCGCAATCACACGAATTTCCCCCCGAGAAATCATCCTACCCAGTTCTGTAGCAGACGAGATTGAGTCAGAAGTCAAGCAAGTAGTGGGTCACGACCATCGATTGCTCACGTATCACGATTCGCGATTCGAATTTTCTTCTATGTCGGAGTGGACTTCTATGCTGGAAACTCCCATGGCCGCAAGAGCCGAGGAGAACTTCAGTCATGGCGAAAAGCTTGCTGGACATCGCTTACTTGACTATGTAAAACATCGTCTTCAAGGCTTACAGCTTCGACTACAGCCACCACGTCAGAGAGAACTACGTGAGATTTTGGGTATCGATCGAAACAGCTTGAGAGGTTTAGAACTCTTGGAAACTTCAAGGGATGGACTCGGCAAGGGTAGCCTGTTCAATGCGGTCAGGAAGACTGTAACGAAGAGCGGATCACGACTTCTTCGTGATCGACTCACATCGCCATCCGCTTCATTAACGGAGATCAATGGCCGACTTGACCTGGTATCAATATTTATGCAATCCGAAGAATTGACCGATGCTTTAGTCTTTCGACTGGGTCGAACGTACGATGTTCAGCGTTTGGTGCAAAAGTTTGCATTGAACAAAGGAGACGCTGATGATATGTTGTCATTGGGACGAGCCATCGCTGAAACAGCAGCTGCTCATGATATCCTGAGATCAGCTATCAAGCCTCAGATCGACATCAATACAAGCGAGCTGGCTTCAACTGCTGAGGGGTCTCATCCTCTCATAATTCTTCTTAGTCGCTTCAATCTTGAAGGACCAGCAAGACTTGAGGAGCGGATTTCTCATTCGATCGATGAAGAAGGACTCCAAAGACAGCATCGGCTTGAAGAGGAAGAAGCAGCCACTGTAGCAGCTCTCGCTCAAGAAGTGGTAATGACAACTGCCCCTGAAGAACTCGGATCACTACCTAAAGCTATTCGCTCACGTAATAAACCTAGTGAGGAGATAGACGGCGAAACCAAACTGGAAGAACCTTGGATGATGCGTCGAGATGCGACAGAGACTCTGTTACGCCTACACGAAACACTGAAAAGCCTGGAATCCAATAAGGTGGAGCTTACTCAGAAGCTTAGGGAGGAGCTCAGTGCCCCGACTTTGCAGCTGAAGTCTACTCCTGGTATGGGTCACATATGCCATGTTCGTAGTGCGGCAGGCTTTGATCAGGCCAAGTTCGACTCGTTGCATGCAAAGATGGTTTCATCCACCAAGACCACTCGATCCTTCTACGTGACACATTGGACAAAACTGGGGCGCAATATCGATCAGGCAGTTCTCCACATTCGAAGTGAAGAAAAGAGGATTTTTGCAGAACTACGAGAACTTGTGATCAAAAATTTGATAACTCTTCGACGGAACGCCGCCGTGATGGACGAGCTTGATGTATCGACATCTTTCGCAACATTGGCCAAGGAACAATCTTGGACACGACCGATTCTGAACCTTGGGACGGAACACAAAATTTTGGGAGGTCGCCATCCTACAGTGAAGCTTGGGTTGGAGGAACAGGGTCGATCATTTGTGAGTAATGATCTTGTACTCAACCATAAAGAACGTATTTGGCTGGTGACGGGTCCAAACATGGGAGGCAAGAGCACCTTTCTGCGACAGAATGCTTTACTCACCATTCTGGCACAATCAGGGTCATATGTACCCGCCACACATGCTGCGATCGGCATCGTGGATCAAGTATTCAGCCGAATTGGAGCGGCAGATGATTTGTTTCGAGACCAGTCCACCTTTATGGTTGAGATGCTAGAAACGGCGGCGATTCTCAGGCACGCAACACCCCGATCATTTGTAATCATGGACGAAGTGGGCCGAGGGACCACACCTGAAGATGGCACTGCAGTGGGTTATGCAAGCCTTCATCACCTGTACAACGTCAATAAATGTCGAACACTGTTTGCCACTCACTTCCATGCATTGGCGGACATGACTAGCGATTGGGCTAAGCTAGGACGCTACTGTACAGACGTGCTTGAGGACACCAATGGATCCTTCACTTTCGTCCACCGGTTGAAGAAAGGAGTCAATCGACATTCCCATGCATTGAAAGTGGCCAAGCTCGCCGGTTTACCTCCAGCAGCATTACAGGTCGCAGAAAGTGTTCTGCACCAACTCCTCGAAGAGAAGCATGCTGTACAGGCGGGAATATGTCCAAGTGGAGAACCGGCCGAAGCACTTTCAATCAGTGCCGCTGCTGCAGCAGGATGAAAGAGATCAATTGGGACATTCAATCAGTCCTCTGGAAACCTCGGAGGCTGTTGAATCTCACCAGGACCTGGCTTAGAGGTCGCTACAGTCCCGCAATTCTTACACGTCCTGGCCTCTATGTTGTTCTCAAAGGCAAGGACACCCTCCTTTATTTGAGTTCCCAAGTCCGTCAAGTGGAAACTTGCCTCGTGAACTATCTGCTGGCAGCTCTTGCAGTACCACCTCATGATATCCACGGAGTCTTTAGGACGCGGCTGTTCAAGTACGATCCCGACGGTATCTGCGAAGCGCACCGGATTATGTGGTGTATTTGCAGGGAGCAAAAACAGTGAGTTTTCGTGAATGGGAACGTCGACCGGAGTGTGCGGCTCCGTGGTTGTGTCCATGGTCTTTAGCAGCATCGAGCCTTTGTGCTGATAGAAGAATTCTGGGGTGGTGTTGATGTGGTAGTCGGTTCGAGCGTTGGGACCACCGACCACCATGACCGTCAGGCCACTCGTGGAGGGGGAAGACGGGTGATAGACGCAATAATTGTTCACTGGAGGTTGGAGGAGGTGCGCGTTGTCCTTGAGCCTGTACAATAGTGTATTAGTGATACCACTTTGCTATAAAGAGTCGAAATATGGGAATAGAATGAAATACCATTTGGGCAGATTTAGAGCCATGCTTGCGGTGGGTTCTTCACAAGCTTGCAGGGTTGGTTGCTTGCTTTCTGAGTCAAAGGGAGATGGTTCTATGGTGACGATGGAGAGAAAGTCAGGAAGGGGGAATATGTAATCACACCGATCGATACTCCAGCACTGCTGGCGGCGGCTATGTCCCAGTATTATACCTCTGATACCTCGAGGTATTGCAGAACTGACAAATCCAATTCTCCAGACCAGAATGTTTGTGCCTCAGCCGATGACGGTACGAGCAGGCAAAAAAGTCGGGTGCGGGCAACTTGAGGTGGGGTGTCATGTTAGCGCGTCCCCACGCGTAAAGTGCCCGGAAGACAGGTCTGGGATGATGTCCACTTACCAGAGCTCTTCAAAGTACGGAGCCTTTCTGCATCATGTTGACGGCGATATCGCGGCTGTTATTTACTTGACCATAAGAGATACGAAGATAGACAACCTGGTTGCCGTCATTATGATTGGGAACCGGTTGGATGACAAGGCTGAGCACGTGGTATGTGCGCCTCGGCACTCAATACTTCACCGGCGAGGCTGCACTTCGACTGCGGGGAATCCAGGCCGCAGAAAATAAAAAAGAATTTCTCCAACGACCAGATTCGAGGCCCATGACAGTGATCTAAGGATCGAAACACCACCCATACGATGATCTTCATACGACCATGAAAGCACAGTAACGTCGTCCTTCAACATGTCGACCTCTCAGCCTCCCTTGCGCTTCCATTCCCACGAGTCCCTCACCTCCCGCCTTGTCCTCTCAACCCTCCTGGGCCGCGCCGTACGCATCGATCAAATCCGACCCAAATCCCCCATCAACCCCGGTCTCGCACCCCATGAGATCTCCTTCCTTCGCTTACTCGAGGCCGTCACCAATGGCTCGCACATCGAGATCTCCTATACCGGCACCGTGCTGCTCTACAAGCCGGGCCTAGTCACTGGCTCCGCCAGCGGCAGCGGTGCAACATCCGCAGGCGTGCTGCGACACGAGGTGCCTGCGAACAATACTAGGGGCTTGAGCTATTTCTTACTTCCGATATGTCTACTGGCTCCATTCAGTAAATCCAAATTCAATATTCTCTTTACAGGACCGGGCGTCATCACCAGCTCCACGGAGCGATGGGGTGACATGAGTGTTGACAACGTGCGCACTGCGATTCTGCCCCTGTATGCACGGTTCGGTATCGAGCGAGACATCGAGCTGCGGATCCTCAAGCGCTCAAACCCGGGGTCTCGCGGTGTCGGTGGTGCAGGCGAAGTTCAACTGACGTTTGGCCATCAAGTGCGCCTGCCCAAAACCCTGCATCAGTTGAATCCGGGGCGGGTCAAGAGCATTCGTGGCGTAGCCTACTCTACGGGCGTTTCCGGCAGCAACAATGCGCGGATGATCGAGGCTGCGAGAGGGTTGCTGAACCAGTTCGCCAGCGATATATATATCTTCTCGGATGTGGGCAGTGCCAGCCTGGTAGATGCCCATGAGAAGAACAATCCCAATGCGAAGAAGAAGGTTGGCCTGGGCTTCGGGCTGTCCCTGGTAGCGGAAAGCTCAAGTGGTGCCCTCTATTCTGCAGACTCGTCCAGTCCGCCTGAGGGTGGTCAAGCCGCAGAAGAGATTGGCAAAGCCTGTGCTCTACAGTTGTTGGAGAGTGTGCAGCGAGGTGGCTGCGTTAGTCTAGAGGCAGTCTCTACCGTCATTACACTTATGGCCATGGGATCGGAAGATGTGGGGCGCGTCCAACTTGGCCGAGATGTGTTGGCTCACGAGTCCACGGTGCAACTGGCCCGTGACCTGAATGCGTTTGGGTCCGCGGGCTGGGGTATCAGAGATTCCGACGGTGAGAAAGGGCAAGGCCAATTGATCGTCAGCGTTGTGGGGAGAGGAGTTGGTAACGTGGGTCGCAAAGTTGGCTGAGTGGCTACTCCATCAGCGAGACAACTCTCTACGATGGTTTTGATGAGAATTTCACTTGTTTTGGTGTCGTGGGCAAGGCTTTTGCTCAGGACCTTCAATCCTGGGCACAACACTACTCTCCAGCCAGGACTAGGAGACTCAAAAATTGACGTCACCACGCTCATTCGATCTCCGACAGAGCCTGGCCAGAGTACAGTCAAGACATCAATGTGACAAGCTGAATGGGGGTCGGGGTGATTTGTCGTCCACTTATGGTGAAGTGCCCTGGAATTTCTTCCTCCGCCGGCTTCCCGGAAACATAAAGTCCGAGGATGCAATGAGGAACGAACAACAATCAGTCATCAAAAGAGGCTTATGTGCATAACATCAAGAGCTGAACGGCCAATGGGCAGTTGACAAGGCTGCAAGCCACATTCAAGGCCGGAAGTCAGCGGAACTTATCAGAGTGACTACAGTGTGATCCCGGCCATTCGCTTGCTTGATCGGCAAATTTGGGCACGCGACCAGCACACACGATCGCTGGCGCAAATACCCATGCTTTGGTGTAAGAGTCGTCAGAAAAGTACTAGTGATCTTTCTTCGAAGTGAACCAGAAATTTATGACAGACAGTGATCTATCCATCAATGTTGAGAATAGTCAATAGAGTGGGCGGGAGTGTCGGAAGAAGTTGAATCATAGCGGCGGGAGGAGAGTGAGAGACCTCAGAGAGAGAGAGTTCCAGTGCCTACTCGTACTAGGTATATCTGAATCAAGCCTAGCATGAAATTAAACGATAAGCTAGCTCATTTCCAGGAACAGTTCGCCCGCCCAAGTTGAAGTTCTCTGTCTGACTTCATCCTCAAGCCGCGCTGGCTAATCGTTCCAGTGCCTCAACATCTACAAATGGCAAAGGTCGAGAAACTCCTCTATCCTGTGTAACGTGTTGTTGGCACTACATGCAGATGCAGAGCCCATATCAACCTCCAGCTGCTAACGAGCCCCACTGCTCCGATGGATGCGCGATTTGCCCGCCGCCTCATCCGATGCTATTCGCACAATGCCTGTCATCAATGGTGGTTCACCGACCTGCCACGGCTCTGCTAATCCAAAATTCATGTTTCCCGTACCAGCCTTTCGGGATCGCGACGGCCTTGTATTACTCATGCTGGTCCAAATCAGAAGCCGCTTCCCTAATGCCGGATAGTATGATCTGCTGGAAGGCTTGCAGCGGGGGAGCTACTTCCCTCCATCGACTGGTCAGGTAATGCAGTGATGCGCATCTCTCATAACTGGTCGATAGCCTCTGCTGTTGGTCTTCGTTCGAGATCTCTCCTCATCTGTACTATAACACTTGATACCGACGGTCCCAGCCAGAAACTGATTATTCTGATTTTTCTGCATACCTAGGTATAATAAGCGAGAACGACAAGGCTAAGAGGTGAACCATGGGCGTGGGCGGGTTTCTGGAGCCACTGGTCGTAATCGTCCTACTGTTTGGCGGTGCATGGATCAATCGTGCCACCGACTTCCCTTCCTCCTCTGCGGGATCGAGAGCCGGTAATCCGTTATTACCTGAGGCTCACGCGGTAGAGACTGGCGATGATCTGAATATCGCAGAAGCACAGCTCACACAATCTAAGAGATCTTTGTCACCCTCTTTACTACCTTCACAGGAGACACGATGGCGCCAACGTGAGGTACGGGTTATGGGATACAAGACAGTGGTCGAGACACCGAATACAGCAGTCTTCAGAAATCGCCTGCTGAGTCGTTTGCTGCATAAATTCCCTTTCCTTGTTGAAGCCTGGTACTGGGCATTGATATACTGGGTAAGTTTCAGATCAGAGAGGACCAACATCGAGTGACGAGAGCCTTCATCTAACAGATTTAGGTGTATCAACTCGGTCGCGCATTCACTGCTCTCACGCTTGTTGAGGGTACCGTCCACGTCGCTCGTCGACATGCCTTACAGGTGATCGAAATTGAAAAGAGACTGCATATTTTCTGGGAGTTGCCAATTCAAGAGTTCTTCATGAGCTTTCCTCGCCTGATGACCTATATCAATTGGCTGTATTCCTTCATTCACATACCCGGCACCATTGCATTCCTCGTTGGATTATACTACTATACTATCACGAGTAATCGTCCGCTTCTCAGACGACAAGCATCTGGGCAAATAAATCGATGTGGGGTTTCTGCAGCCGGACCTGCATTATACGAAGCCAGACGACGCACTATGGCGGTATGTAACCTGCTTGCATTTGTGGTCTTTACAGTCTGGCCCTGTATGCCACCTAGACTGTTGAGCGATCCCAAATACACCGGTCCTGGTGCCGAAGAAGCCAAGAGCTATGGTTTTGTGGATACCGTGCACGGAAAGGACGGTGCAAGCAGTGTTTGGACGCAGAATAAATTCTGCAATCAATATGGTAAGGATCCGTATGCCCCTGGCCCATGAAATAAGACTGACATATACTCAGCCGCAATGCCATCCCTCCACTTTGGCTACTCTCTTCTTGTCGGCTTAACAATCATGACAATTCCGCTAGCACCTGAACATCGTCGCAGCAGGTCCATACACCTGCCTTTATTCAACAATTCCCACCCGGAGCTTGCCCCTCGCATAAGATTACCTAGCACAAGACGGCTATTGTGTCTAGTCCTCGGCTTTTCTTATCCTTTTGCGATTCTGGTCGCGATCGTAAGCACGGCCAATCATTTCATCCTGGACGCCGTTGCAGGCGCTTTGATTTGCGCGATTGGATGGAAAGGCAATATGATACTCTTGAACCTATTGCCACTCGAAGACTGGTTCCTTTGGGCGGTCAGAATCCATAAACCTGTGCACGCGTCGATGGAGGAGAAAGGGTTTGGGAATCCATTTGGGTCGAGTTCTAAGGGAGGCTGGAGCCCGGCACACCCTACTGGTGCTTAATGAATGAGTATTGCCGTCATGTAATAACGACTCAACGGACGGTAGAGGAAATGTTGATTTTCAGGGTGAGGGTTAGGATTCCACGAAGATAATCATCCATTGCTCTTCGTGCTTACCATTTATGGTGAATGTTCAGTTGTGCGAGGTAATATTGTTCGTGAGCAGCTTTGGAGATAAGTCGGGCGTTCTAGTTGAGTTGTTCTATGCAGTCTTGGGTCCAATGTCGATATCGACCGCCATGTGCAAGGACCGATGTCGTTTGATGAATGTGGCTGTGTGGTGAGGCTCAATCCCAGAGATTTACGTGACATCACTCGAGGTTTCGAGACAGGATCCTTACCGGATACTTGCAGGGCCAAGGAGAATCGGCCCTCGAGCCACAATCTACCTCGTATCTTTGAGAATTCCACCATACTCATCTGCGATTCTTCTATCATGGGTCCGACGCAATGGCTAAGACGTTGAGTACCTGCACCGAGTACTGATATTTGAATTTTACACCTCCTGCAGACGACGCTGGGTACAAATTGATGCTCCGTATACTCTCGATCTATCCTGCTTAGGAAGTAAGATTAGGCGAACCTTCCAACCTCCACCAGAGATGATCGATTCGTCGCTGCCTGGAAATGATCCGCAAGTTTGAAACATCAGGGGTTTGACGGGTTGCTAGAGCTACCTACCGAGTACCTAGCTCCCTAGCCCGCACCTATAAGGTTGAAACTTGTGATTATCCTGCTGCTAATTACCTGCCTAGGTAGGTAACGGGCTAGATTTGTCCATCATTCCGGCGTGCGGATAGTCAGGACACTATCCATTAGTACGCATAGCAATCCGTGTACACTTTTCGTTCCAATTTATCTGGTGAAGATACACTCTCGATCTTGATATAAACCACTGTATCATCTTGGCGTACGGAAGTCGACCGCCGCTGAGGACGATGCAGTTCTGAACGCCTCGAAAGCGCAAAAGGCATATGACTTTCGAAACACGTTCCTCGACGCGCGTCACAAATAACTGGGTGAATCAACAGTCACAGCTCGAACGACCGTGGAAATCAACATGAAATGGTCTCATACAAACCACAAGTCAAGCAGTTCTTATCTTCAAGTCAATTCTGAGTCAGACTTACACCTTGGAGACGTCGTGGGAAAAGAAGCACTTTCTTCGACAGCTACCTTTGACTCTGTCGAATCTAAGGCCCCCCGTCAGTTATGTTCACCCAAAAGTCGCCGCACGACATTAGGTATTTACAAAGATAAATGGCGACTCGGCGCATCGGTGGCAGCTCTGGTAGCTATTTTGACGGCATTGATCAATCTCAGCGTTGGGGCATGGGCGACATCTCGCATGGGCGACGGCAATCCCATGTCGAAGGGTATCCTGGTGGAGATATTTCATGGCGACTGCAAAAAGGCATCAACGATGAACACCTGGGCACATCTAGCAATCAACGTTGTTAGCACATGTTTGTTGGCAGGCAGTAACTACTGTATGCAATGTCTGGTTGCTCCCACCAGAGTTGATATCGATCAAGCCCACCGAAAATTCAAGTGGCTTGATATCGGCCTCCCATCCATACGCAATCTCAGATATATCGAAGCTCGACGCAGGTGGCTTTGGATACTTCTGGCGGCATCCTCATTGCCATTGCATCTTCTGTAAGTCTGCTTGAGAAGCCCGTTGAGAGTATGCATAAACTGACCAGCATTTTACAGATTCAATTCGTCGTTCTTCTCATCCATCGCGTCTATGAATTACAGTTCAGTACTCGCAACGCCAGGCTTTCTACAAGGTGACCGCTTTGATTTGAATTCCACCAAATATGTTACTGGCTCCTATGGTTCATCTGCCTACACAGAGCAAGCCCTCACCCGACTCCAAGAGGAAGTCATGACGAATCGTACTCAATTCGAGCGGCTTGAAAACGCAGCATGTATCCTAGCGTACGCCAATGATCTGATCACCAATCGCAGATCAGTCATCATGGTGACCAGTGATGATTCCCCGCGTGCAAACGGCTCTGTTCTGTCATTCACGACCGGTGTTACTGCCATGCCTCAGTCCTATAGCTACGACTGGATTTGTCCACTACCACCTGCTCCTTATTACACTTGGCAGTCTCCATACTATAGCTGCCCCGAACAAATCACCAGAGGTCTAATCGATCCCGAACACTGGACTCCCTTCAACGTAACCGTGCAGTATTGCCTTAGCCAAAAAGTCGAGGAGCAATGTGGCTTTCACGCCAACATAGCTATCATTTGGACTGTTGTCATCTGCAATATCGTCAAGGTTTTGATTATGGTCTTCTTGGCCTACTCTCGTGGTCTTGAGACACCACTCTTGACGGTCGGAGATTCTGTGGCATCATTCATGACCAAACCTGATCCAACCACCGAAGATTCGGGACCGACAACCATTCGCGCAGTTAAAGCTCTGAAGACTAAAAAGGGATCTGATCCATCGAAGATTTGGAGCTCAGACAAACTTGCTGGTTGGCAGCCTTCGAATCGACTCAGATGGTTTCATGCCGTGTCGATTCCACGTTGGTGTTTTACCCTGACCTAGTAAGTCCGACTTGGTGGTAGAGCTAAACCTTACTGACATCTGAATAGTCTTACTGCTTGTCTCTGCACTGTTGGAGGCTTGCTTGGGCCTGCAGTGGCTCAAGTGGCTGAATCCACAGGTGATAAATCCCTTGGAGCTCTTTTCGCAACGGGTCTTGGTAAAGTTCGGCTTGAATCTACTCTCACAAGTTGGAACATAACCTACATGGGCGTGCAACAAGCTATCGTGTCCTCTGTATTGGTTGCGAACTCGCCCCAGTTGGCACTGTCAATCCTTTACTTTGCTATAAATACTGTTCTCACGTCAATGAGTTCGGCAAGCGAGTGGTCACACTTTTCCGTGCGATACGCCGAGAAGCACAAACCGAAACCCCTCAGAACATCCAATCCTGTTGGGAAACAGAGAGGAACCCATTTCCTACAATTGCCTTTCAAATTCGCCATCCCGTTAGGCATCGTGGCGACCCTCCTGCATTGGCTGATCTCACAATCGATCTTCCTGGTCGCCATTTCCGTATACAATCCCGACGGTACACTTGCCAACCCTTTCCAGTTGGCGACTTGTGGATTCAGCCCGATTGGCATGATTTTTGTCATTATCTGCGGTATTGTGATGTTGATCTGTCTACTTTGTATAGGCTTGATCAAGCTCGACGGCACCATGCCCATCGTCAGTAGTTGCTCTGCGGCTATTTCGGCGGCCTGCCATTTGAGATACCCTCCCGGAGGCGGCGCTCGGCAGACCTATCTTCTCGAGGCAAGGGAAGATGCGAGACTCCAACTGGCTCAGGAGCCTGTGGTCTGGGGCAAGTTGGTACAAGATGAGCAAACCTTCCAGTGGAGCAATGAGATATCCCTTGAAGAGCGGAAGCAGTACAGTTTTGTGAGTGGTCAGGGACTAGGGTGGCGGGAAAAAGTGACGACGCCCCTACCAGAGAACAAAAACTTGGATTTTTTATAGACTTTAGTTGTTAGATGTAACACGATCTCATGAGAGCAATCAACCCACAGCATCATCTTTTGACTCTAGTAGAGACAAGGCTGTATCCCACGTGATAAGGCTGTGGTCTCGAGACTATGCTTTGATTGGCCATTCTTTGCCAAGATCTGTCTCCACTTGCACCTTCCCGCAAATCCTGTAGTTTCTCCAAAAATTTTGTAGCCAACGGCGCAAACTGCGGTTTTTGCAGCTTCATCTTTTTGTGCATAGCCACAGCTATTCTGTGGTCAACCCATCTGATACCAATCCACAGTCGGACCCAACTAGTATCCCTCCTACTGTATCGCAGTACCTCCAGCGACGATGGCTGAAGCAAACTACCTCCTGCACGAGGGCCCGATGGGCTACTCAGTTTTCAAAGTCGTGCATCAAGCCGATACTGTTGCCAATCGACTGCGAGAAGTCCAAGAGAGCGTGCAGGACCTCAGCAAATTCGGAAAGATGGTCTCCCTCGTCAGTTTCCTGCCCTTCGAGAGCGGCAAGCAAGCTCTCGAGGAGCTCCACGACATCTCCGAGGGCATCGCTTCCGACTTTTTGAAATCCTTCCTCGAGCTGAACCTCCCCAAGTCCGGGAAGAAAAGTAAGGTCATCTTGGGTGTTTCCGACAAGATTCTTGCCGGCAGTATCAAGAGTGCGTTCCCTACAATTGAGTGTGAGACGGGAGATACAAGTGAGGTGGTGCAGGACATGCTTAGGGGCATCCGACTTCACAATGAGAAACTGCTTAAGCAGTTGCGCGGTGGTGACACCAATACTGCGCAACTCGGTTTGGGCCACGCCTACTCGAGAGCCAAGGTCAAGTTCTCCGTCCAGAAAAACGACAACCATATCATACAAGCTATCGCTATTCTTGACCAGCTGGACAAGGCAGTCAATACTTTCTCCATGCGTGTCCGCGAATGGTATTCATGGCATTTCCCCGAGCTCGTCAAGATTGTCTCGGAGAACCACAAATATGCCAAGGTTGCGTTGTTCGTAAAGGACAAGAAGACCCTTTCAGAGGACAGTTTGCATGATCTTGCTGCGGTGGTTGATGATGATGAAGATATTGCAAAGAGCATCATTGATGCGGCCAAGACGAGTATGGGTCAAGAAATTTCAAAGTCAGACATGGAGAATGTCACACTTTTCGCACAAAGAGTTGTCAGTCTTGCAAACTATCGAAAGACACTTCACACCTACCTTGTTTCTAAGATGGGCGTGGTAGCACCCAATCTAGCAGCTCTTATTGGGGAAATTGTTGGAGCCCGTCTCATCTCCCATGCCGGCAGCCTCACCAACTTGTCAAAATACCCTGCCTCGACTGTACAAATTCTCGGGGCAGAAAAGGCTTTGTTCAGAGCGTTGAAGACCAAAGGCAACACTCCCAAATATGGTCTGTTGTATCACTCATCCTTTATTGGACGTGCTGGTCAAAAGAACAAGGGAAGAATATCCAGATTCCTCGCCAACAAATGCTCTATCGCATCAAGAATCGACAATTTCTCCGAGAACCCATCAACAGTGTTCGGCTTGGCTTTGAAGAAGCAGGTTGAAGAACGATTGGATTTCTACGCCTCGGGAACACAGCCCACGAAGAACGAGGTTGCCATGGTATGTCCAAAATTCCCCCAAGTATTGTAAGCCCCAACTCTAACAAGGTGTGTAGAAAACCGCAATGGACAAAGTCCTCGAAGATTTGGACATTGACCAACCAGTCGACAAAGCAGCCGCCGATGAAGAAACGTTCGACGTCGAACCCACGGCCGTGCAAAAACAGGAGAAGCGAAAGAAGGACAAGTCTGAGAAGAAAGACAAGAAGCGAAAGTCGACTGGTGGTGACGAAGTTGCGGCAGACGAAGACGTGAAGGACAAGAAGAAAAAGCGGAAGTCTCTCGAGGGCGGTGAGGCTGAGGGCAAGAAAAAGAAGAAGGTCAAGGTTTGATCTCTCTTTCGCACTTCAGGGGCAGATGAAAAGGACTTTCATCTGTGATGTTTAAATTACGTGCATGGCGTTGGTTGGCGGTTCGCTGGGTGGTACGGTCACGTCAGGTTGCTGGTTGCTGGTTGCTGGTTTCCAATGAGAAAAGAAAATGATCGCTGTATTGTTGACAGATGTGTACTTGTGAGTTGTTCACCCTCAGCAGACCTGGCCAGGTACCTACCTAGTAGTAGGTGGCTTGGTCAGGATACTATAGCTTCACCTGAAACTCCAGGGCTATGTTCATACATACGAGTAGCTGGACAGCACGAATATCATTGTCACACATCCAATGTTTTGGCCGACACCAGGACCCGACGTTCTGCTCCCGTTCTACGCACGATCCGAATACGTTATCAGGCGGCAGTCAGCGTATTGTGTGTCCAGGATTGCATTAGCTACCTACTCGAAGACAAACACACCGATTATCTATTTTAGACTTTGATCGACGTTCTACTGAGTGTTTAAGTTGTAGGTATGACAACGCCGTAGCCGTGTGTACGAGTATATTTATTCTAGCTAGATCTAGTGTATGATATTAATGGAAAATCCACGCCTTTTCTTTCGCGTTTTATCCGGTCGAGCCGGTAGGCAGGTCGGGTCAGGTCCACTTGCTTGTGATCGCGCCGCCGAGGGAAGACTGGCACGTATGTAAGTAGAGAGCCATGCAAGGATTTCACGCCAATTGTGGTGGAAAACAACACCCATGTATTTCTGTGATTTATTTCTGCTGAACATTTAATGGTACCTGCCCGGGTCTTCAGGCATATATGTAACGATCATGAACGAGATGAAACCACGCGCACAATATCAGACGTTTTAACTAGAAACCGAAGTAATCAGATCCCTCGTTTTCCTTTTCCCCGAACCAGTTTCTCCTGGGGGGAAAAATAGACGAAAGATTCGCTCTCGCTCTCGCTCGCGCCATAGATGCATGGATACAATATATTTCATGCAAACAACCATTCCACGAATGTTTCCATCATTCGTTCGTACAACAAATCAATCAACACAGCCCTAACTCAAAGTTCAATAAGACGACCCGGACGAGAAACTATGCAGAGACTTGGCATCCGCCTCCTGCTGCTGCTCTTTCGCCGACGAGCTCTTGCTGCTGCCCTTGTTGAATTTCGAGGACCACCAACTCGTTTTGTTGTTTTGCTGTTGCTCGTGTTGTGTTGTTGTTGTTGAAGGCTGCGACTGCGATTGCGATGATGACAGTGAAGATTTCTGTTGCTGGATCCGCTTGCTCTCCGGGTTCTCGACGCTCAGCGTGCGGCCTTCGGCGGCGGCGCGGGCGCGCATGGCGTCGCGGTGCTGTGTTGCGTAGCCTTCGAGGAAGTAGTTTGTTGCGAGGGCGCCGGACATGATGGCTGGTGGGCTCGTTGTTGGGATTGGGTTGGCTATGAGGTGGATTTGGATGGGTGGTTGGGTCGAGAGAGCGAGGAGGTTGTCGGTGCTCGTGGTGGTCCCGGGATCAGTGATGGATCAGGTATGTATGTGAGACGTCACGGAAATATAGCGGCGCTGTTGAAGGGGGACTTGAGGATGACAGAGTCAAGGTCGATAACGTGCTGTGGTTGAGTAAGGTGATTTATGCAAGCTGACAGGGTCCCGTGTTTATTTGGTCTGACTGTATCAAGGAGGCGAGAGGTCAAGTATTCAACTTTGAGAAGACGTATTGGAATTATGATTGTGATAAGGAGACTGTCCGAAAGAAAAGGGGAGATGCGTTCCCCCGTTTATATATGCCTGATCATTGAGCCACAAAGGAGGGAGACAACCAGGGGGAGTCAGAGATGGGTTCCGCTCGTACTCGCATTTCGCTCACCTAATTCAATTACCAAGGGCAGGTAGTTACTGGTAGACAGTCCATTATGGCGTCAACTCTCAAGCTCTCATGGTTTTGCTTTCAAAGCCTTTTTTTTTCTCCCAGCGTGCTCTTTGTTCCGAACACGGCGTACGCACAATACTTGCGCAATCTACCCAAGCGCATCATACGGGTGTGAAACTCGCGAATGGCCATGGCAATAGCGTAAGGGCAGGCCAATCAGACACAATCGTTGACGAGCGGAATGAGATTGATTGATTCAACGATTGATAATGACTCCCAAAGGGCGTGTCCAGTAGTAGCTGAGCAGTAGTGAGCTCCGTCGTTCAGACCCGCATTATGCTTTTTTTCTTGGGAAGAGGGCGGACCTCAGCCTTCTGCTATTAATTGAGATGGCCTTTCGAGCTCCGACTAGTGGGATGCGCTCAACTAGCCCCGCTATGTTTAGATGGTGGCAGTGCGGGTTTGGCGGTCTGAGGCGTGACTCGTGAGAGACGAGTGGGACGTGCTCTTGAAGCGTACACCTGCATTTCCGTAATACGATAAGTCAGCAACTCCGAGCGCCGCACCTTTTCTTTCACTTGAACCCCGACGACGCTTGACATGTTGTCTTGGCTCGGCGTCAACGTGGAAGGACAAGATGACATCTTTCCCTGGAGATCTAGAGGAGACTCTCTCATGTTACAGAAAATAGGTAGATCAAATCATATCCCCCTCGCGTGATGGAGGTCTGTACGTGAAGGGGCGCTGTGCACGAGACAGAACGTACTAGGTACGAGTCAATAATGCTGAAGCTGAAGCTGAAGCTGAACTCCGTGCACGTTCTGGACTCGTTCGGTCCGTAGGGCTGAAGATGAAAACCCCGAGTCATGACAATGACAAACGCCAACGCCAACATCAGAGGTATTGCCCAGCCAAAGCACGCCCTTGGCTGTCAACTACGACCTCAAAGAGGACAAAGCACACTGGACGGGAGTCACCCCCCACGAGGGACAGACAGTTCGAGTCAGTTTAGTTCAGTACGTTTCACATCGCCTAAATTAGTTTCTTCAATTTTCTTCTCGAGTCTTCGGTAAATAAATATGTTCAAACGATGTACTTGGCAGCCTTATTTTCCATCAAAGGGCGGAACACTAGAACTACTTGCCTCTAGTTAGTCTCTCCATGCCAACGCCTCTGGATATCACCCACTGGCATTCATTTTCTTGCTTGGGGAGTCGGGAGTCATAAAGACGGGGAACGTCAAGTGACTCCGACGCCGCTGGCCAAGTACAACGACCCGCGACACAAAACATGGATTCAAGCATTTTTTGCACAGCTCTGACCTGGCACATAGAGAATCTGGTTTTCAAGAATGGCCGAGAAGCCAACTCTTTAGAGCGGTGTACCATGCAATGGTAGGAGGCAAGTAGTGTTCGATGTAGAGACAGAGATTGTTCGCTTGATTCTTTTAGCCTGTCTTGAGTAAGGTATATGCATTTCCATTTCCGCATACGCTTTTATGTCCTGTACCGTGTAAACCATCCACTCTCATCCCGCCTCAAACTCAGGCTGCTCGCTGTTGTATGATACAATGTTTCATTTTCCATTCCCATTCCCATTCCCATTCTCGATTCCTCTGCCCAGGCTAGAACACTGGCTTGACCGGTGTTGACTCGATGAATCCCGCTGTCGAACCTGTTCTGACTTGGCTCTCACCACAAACTAGCTATTACGCACCGTCGAGCCCCATCCCAGCCATCTCACCGTTGATGCCAAAGAACTGGAACCAGTCTTCGACATTAAGCGTTGTGGGCGCAATCGGCGCATTCCCAATAGAACTCGTCGACCACCCATCACTGTCATGCATCTCCATGCCGGGGCCCATAATCCCCGCCATCGTCCCTGACGCCCACACTTGATTTTGCTGTTGGCCGGATAAATCCATGTGCGGCATCTGCTGCCCACCCATCGAGTGGCCACCCGACATTTGCAGCTGCGGATCCACAGCGTGGTTCATCAGCGGGCTGGCGAAATTCGTGGCATCGCCGATGGTGCCGTCTGGGAAGAGCTGATCTGGTTGGAAGTTCTCCCAGAGTTGTTGCGAGATATTTGGTGAGTCGCGTGTTACGAGGAAAAGGTCCGGTGGTGTCGCGGGGATGGAGTAGCCATTGAACGGAGAGTTGGCGCGCGTAGGCCCTCGAGAGGGCAGGCGTGATGCGCCTCTTGATCGTGAGGCTGGTAGGTATTGCTCGTGTGGGAGGGGTGGAGAGCCTAGGTAGTTGGCATTGTGGCTCTGTGAGGCTTCTCGTGACGGCGTCACTGCAGGTGTTTGAGGTCGGGATCGTTCGTAGGACATCTGAGGCGCCGGTGGGCCCACATTGAAGCCTAAATCGATATCGTCAAATTTGCGTTTCGTCGGGTGAGGCGGTGGTGGGATTTGAGTCATCGGGACATGTGCATTGTGATTTGCACCATTGGTATTTCCGTTCGCATGTCCCTGAGCGGCAGCATTTTTAGCACGTTGTGCTTTTCGCCCCGTCGCCTTCTGTAGCCTCTCCTCCAAGACCTTGTTTCCAAGAATTGACTCAAACAGGGTATGTACCATCTTTGCGACAAGCCATACTTTGGATACTTCTTTCAAGGCACTCATACAAACATTGATCCGTTCTTGACTGGCCGACACAACTGAGGGTACTGAAGAGCGCATTTGATAGACATGCATGATCAAGGCTGAGAATAAACTGTACACGCTGTACAAACGTTAGCTACGTGAAAAAAAAGCCCTGGTGCAGTAGAAACACTTACATGAATGCTGGTTGATACTTGACTTGGTCATGAGCAAGTAAATTCTCCATGATTGAAGTTATCATACCAGCTGCCTGGAAAGCAATCGTTCTCGATGGGTATGCCATATCCACATTGTCGTAGTCGTGCGGTTTAGTCGTTGCAGGTGGCATGTGAGCTCGATGAAGGAGGCAAAGAGTGGTACTAAATTGCTTAGTTTTGGGATCGTATGGAAGGATGCAAGTCCACTCACTAATAATTCGAGTGCAACAGTGCAGACCAGAAATGATGCCGTGACCGTTCCCAGTACACTTCACGAGGACAATTCTGAAGCCAATCTGCCAAAGCCATGTCACTGTGAGTCAGGTCGATAGCATTGGTTCGTCTGGCTTTGGATGCGACCGAATATTGTTGAGATAACACCAATCCCATGATCTCGCACAGCTTCACGTACTGAAGAAAGAATTGTACGTGAACGGCCTCGTGTTGATAATCATTGGTTGGTTCTCCTTCATCCTCGATGAAATCTTCTTCTGTGATCATTTCCACATCCGAGTCATCGGTGTTGATGGAGACTGGTCGACCAAGAGCAACGGCGACTGATCGATCTCTCGTGAACAGTGACCACCATACTCGCTTCCACAAGCGTTTGTCCTGTCGGCTGAGTTGGGAGCTTTCCACACTAAGCGCAAGTTAGTACGGCTTTCTCAAGACATGTCTACCGAAAAGACTACCTTCGATGCATGCCGGCGCCTTGGGCAACCACAATGGCCACCCGGGTCCAGTAAAAGACGTTTTTAGTCACATCTGCTGCTATGTTAGACCGAGCATAGTCGGCAAACTCGATCGCTTGTTCCGTAGTCTTACCTTCAGGTCCCTCCCAGTACCAGCCCATCAATATCAGAGCCTGAACGATGGTGATGCGATCGTCTTCATAATTGGCGTCGTACAACGCCTTGGCACGTTTGTAGAAAGTCATTGCTGCAGGCGTTGTTGAACCCGTGGCATCCATGAGCTGCGGATTTGTGCAGACCCTGGAACCAGCCAGTAGGATAGCCTGAAGTAGCAGCAGTGAGGGCGGATTCTTAGTGTCTTTGTACCTCTTCATGAAGCGGGTTCTATTGATGACTGGCACAATGGGAGCGACCCAACGAAAGTAGGCATCGACAAGCTCGTCACACAATGCTCGAGGCGGTAGTAAGAATGCACCTCTCTGCTGCAATATCTCTATCTCCATCTGGTCTGGTTCCGTCAGGCGAGCACGTGCACCACGAATGTTTTCTGGTAGGGGATAATGAACAACATCGGTGGTACCATGCCGATCATGCACGAGTAACGACAGGTTTGAAGATTCGCCCAAGTAAGCGACACGGCCTGCTTCTTTGATGGGGGCTCGAGCAAATTTGGGCTTCATGAACTGAGCCATGGTACTGTTGTTGGCAGCCTGTTGGGCGGCTTGAGCCTCGGACATTTGGGTTGAAGGCATGCCATCTGGGGAATTATAACCCAATGTCTGCTTCGAACGTGGTTGTTGGGTGGCAGGAGTTTCACTTGGAGTAGCTGGCTGCTGCGAGTCTCCAGCCTCACTAGAATAAGTAGGTTAGACCGGTGGGCATGCTTGGTGAGCGGCGTTTGATAGATTCATACCTTTCCTCATCTTTTGCCCGGGAGGTGCCTGCCCTTTTTCGTTTGGGTACCGGAATTCGACATTCGATCGAAAAGGCCACGCAGTTTGTGCATGGCACTCTGACTGATTATCAGTATTGAAGATTTGGATTGTAGTACAACAACATCATTTGACTTACCCGAGGGATGCCGCATCACATCTTACCTGTGGACAGTTAGCAACAGGTCACCTGACCACACACCTTTTCAGCCGTGATGCCAGTCATGGCGACGTACTTTGCGGGCGTGACATGTTTCTATAGAAGAAAGCGGTTAGCATTCGACGTTCAAAGGAAGATGCCCTACAAATGGGATGCGAGCGCAACCGGTAACTGGGAGGCTCTCTGCAGCGGTCGGTGAAAGTGAAGATAGGCGACTGAAAGAAGGACGAGCAGGATGGACCGAGGTTCTCGGTCTGTCGCGTCCACCACAAGGAACAAAAAGTATCAACTGCGCCTGTCCACAATAGGATTCTTCTTGTGGTCGTGCGACAGAGTCACCGATATATAAAGACTGACGATTTTCCTGATGCCATTGTGTATTGTCCACGGCAATAATTCACAAAAGATGTATGCAGGCTGAAGCGAAGGAGGAGAAGCTTACCACAAGCTCGAGATGCACGTTGCCTGCCCCAGAGTCATCAGTGAAAGCTCAGAAAAGACAAGAGGGGTTTCTATATCATACCTTCGAAAACTAGGATGACCAGGCGTTTGACTGGGAGGCGCACTGTTGGTGGTGGTCCCGGTGGCAGGATTCTTCTCGGTTGAAGTAGACTGCGCAGGTGTCTGATCGGATGTAGACGGTGCCTCGGATTGAGGACTTGCGGCGCTCATGGCAGGAGGAGAGGGGTGTTTGCAGAATGATTCTTGTGACTCGGAATGGTGATATGGGCACCAAGGTGCATAGCGCGGAAGAGTAAAACAGGTAGGAGTCGTTGTCGTAGTCGTTGGCGGCGATGAGGGTTGTAGAGATGCAGAATAATGACTACGGCGTACGGTGTACGGGGTACTTGGTCTGCCTTCCTTCCTCCATGGCTGGTCCGGGCTGAGATGGGCGGTGCGAATCGGCCACGGGCATGATTTGTGGAGGGACCGCCTAGGATCCGACCCTAAGCATGCACAACCCTCCCTCAATGCTTAGGCTCCTAAGGCTCGTTAGGCAGCTTAGGCTCGGTGCGGGTAAAGAATTGTACCATGTCTCCCCCAACGTAGTGCACTAAACATCAACTAGGCTATACTCCCGCACCCGGAACGCCCGCTAGGAGATCCAAGGGGATTGTGGCTGGTCCAGGTCCTGTGGCCTGAGCAGACTCAGTCTGATCAGTCCAAATATCAGTGCAATTGTTGCATTCTAGTGCATTTACTCCTGACTTCTAACTGATTCAGGCTACTTCTCGTCCTGTCGCAATTCAAGTCTTGAAAGTGGTCGCTAGATATGCTCCCTTGACCCAATTACACCTCGCATCACACCTCCATCGCGGCCTGTCCTTCGGCTGCAAAGCAAAATGTGGGGTAGTTCTGGGGGGCATTCAAAAAACATTCCACTTTCACATGATCCCTCGGCTCAGTTGATCGTATGTCGTATTCGTGTTCTTGCTGTAGTGAATCGTGATATGTCCTCTGTACTCGGTACCTACAGACTCACTTCTATCTTCCCGTTCCATCCATGCTAAATCAAATTATGCTTCAGGAACAGATGCAAGTCCTCTTCCCACATGTCTCGAATCTCCACACCCAACGCCTTCCCCTGACTGATCATGTACACTCCTCGGTGCTGAGGAAATCTAAGTATCTATAGATGCATGTCGTCGTGATCTGGCTGGATCTATCCCGGTCGATGCAATCTGCTCGACGGCTTCTTGCATATCATCCTCCCCTGCCGATGATGACTCGGTGCTCCAGTCCTGTGACGCTTTGCCCGATTCGGTCTGTTTCGCTATCTTGTTGCCCGGTGTAGATTGGAAGAAATCCATCGTCCGAAGCCCTCGAACGTCTCCGGCCTTCATTTGTTGCATCCGCTGCCCACTCTGTCTTTGCCGCTGTATCATCTCTCGCACAGGTATCATCGCCGCATCTCGACAAGCTTCTTTGATGTCGCTGCCTGACATTCCAGTCATGACTCGGGATAGATGGGCAAGATCCATATTTTCGGAATCAATCTTCGTGTCTTTCAGCATAATCTTCAATATCTTGAGGCGTTGTGCCATGTCTGGTAGTGAGACTGGGAATTTCTTAGGCATACGCCGCAATATGGCATCGTCAATATCCTGTATCCGGTTCGTAGCGCCGAGAACCAATATTCGTTGAGGCCGACCAGTGACAGTGGCTGATGCCAAACCATCCCAGTGTGTCATGAACTCTGCCTTGACCATTCCACTTGCTTCGTGTTCACCGCTATGTCGTACACCCAGCACCGCATCGATTTCGTCAATGAAGACTATGGTGGGCTCCAACTTCCTTGCCAGGCTGAAGACTGCATTGACTAACTTATTGGAATCACCAAACCACTTCTCGGTCAAGGTAGAAATGTGTAGGTTGATGAAACATGCTCCGCTTTCATGGGCTAGTGCTTTGGCAAGCATGGTTTTTCCGCATCCTGGTTGACCATAGAGCAAAACTCCAGAAGGCGCAGACAGTAATGAGGATGTACTGGCATAGAGGTCGGGCATGGTAAGAGGGTATATAACCGTTTCTCGCAACTCTTCAATAATGTCACTGAGACCACCGATGTCGTCAAAAGAGACTGGAATGTCTTCGGCGAATACCAAATCTTGCAAAATGACCTGCTCGTATTGTGATAGACGGAGATCTTCCATTCGTGGTCGATCAAAAATCAGAGACGAGGATGGGGATCCCTGGTCATTATCGGGCGCGTCGAGTCTACGCAGGATCGCCGCGGATGCCAGTTGGGCACGCTGTTTGGAATCAGCCTCCGGATCCAGGTTGATCTGGCTCACTATGTAGCGCGCGATGAAAAAGCCACCGATGGCCTATGGTTGTCAGTCTTAGCGACTCATCCAAAAGGTACTGAGGAGCAAGTGAACGTACTATGGGTGCGGCGATGGCGTACTCTTCGAGGATTCGCTGCCACCAGAGGCGACCTCTGTCTGGAGCCATGGTGTTTAACCAAGGCAGAGAGACAGCTGTGACGCCCAGTAAAAAATCGTAGGGACTTAGGAACGACATCGATCTCAATAGAACCAGAAGGTTGAGCGCATGGTCGACCAGATTGAAGTTGAACCACCGCCCCGATAATTAGCCGAGATGCACCGCCACAGATGGAGTTGACCAGAATTGCCAAGTCAATTCGAAGTCTATCGACAGTGTCTACAAGCAAGGGAACAGACGATTTTACGAGGTTAAAGATAGTTGCTCACATTGGTGCTTCGAAAGCCTCCATAGCTGGAATTTGAGGTCCAACACTCGAAAAGGTGGCGAGATCATGTGACGCAATGGTAATGTCACGTGTTATAGGTTATAAGCTAGTCCTCCTTGGGTGAATTGTTTTGATCTCCTCTCAATTGAGCTTTCGTGCCTCTGCTGGCAAGCGCTTCTTCAATTCACCACACCACAGCGTCACCAGCTCGCCGTTCTCGTTCAACCAAACTCATACACGCATTTCATGATGAAAGGCCTCGCTGATCTTATTGACTCGGACATGGAGGACTCGACCAATTTTATTGATGAGAACTCTATTCTCTCCTCTGCCTCCGACGCGAGCGCAGCCTCCTCAGAAAATGGGAACCCAAGCAAGCGCAACAAGAAACGGCGCTCGGTGAATCTGCCCCCCAAATCGCGGTCCAAAGTTCAAAAGACTTCGACCACGACTGCAAAACAACCCACGGCAAAACAAGCGGCTGCGAGACGCAAGGCCCTCGAAGAACAGATTAACGATCATGATGATGAACTCGAAGACAATGAGGCTGTGCCAGAATTTGCTCCCCCGAAGCCGAAGAAAGCTGCTGGGGCACCCGCTAAACCCAGAGCAACCAAAAAGGCCGCCGCTCAAAAGAAGATTGAGAAAGAAGAAGATATGGAAATAGAGCAGACACCAGCAGTGGCACGCTCAAATCATGCTGGTGTTCAGACTCAGCCTGCAATTGTCAAGGTCGCCCCAAAGCAGACGGCCTCAAAGTCCAAAGCTAAACAGGAAACACACGCCATTGTCCCAGAATCACAAGGCACAGCACAAATAATGGAGGAAGAGCAGAGCGAGTTGGCGGTAGTGGAACCAGTGGTGAAAGTCAAGAATCCTGCGCGGGCAACCTCAAGATCACGACAAGAACCGCCTTTTCGAAGACGGGCTGGGAGTGCATCCGACACTGAAAGAGGTGACCCCAACCTTCGACGCAAATTGGGAGATATAACACGCAAATTTGAGAATGTAGACCTCAAATATCGGACTCTGAAGGAGGTTGGGGTCAATGAGGCCAATGCCAATATGGAAAAGCTTCGAAAACAATGTGATGCAACGGTCAAAGCATCCAATGAGTTGATAGCCTCACTCAAGAAAGAGTTGGCTGCCCAGGCTCCGCAAGCCCAGGAAGCACGAAAACTAAAAACCCAGATGCAGAGTCAAGAAAACGAGGTCAACAGGCTTCGGGAAACAGCCACCGAACTCGCAAAATCTCTCAGTGATGCGCAAAATGAGATTAAGGCGCTTCAGGCCAAGGTCGCCGCCGCTCGAGCTGCTTCGACCGAGCAAGCGGTTGTCAAACAGCCACCTGTGAGCGCCAAAAAGGCGATGATTCAGCGACCCACGGCAACAGGATCCGCAGAAGCGGCGCATGCAGCACAGGTTGCACAGATGAAAGAGGACCTGTACAGTGACTTGACAGGGCTAATCATCAGAGGTGTGAAGAAGACAGAAGAAGGGGATACGTATGACTGCATCCAAACAGGAAGAAACGGAAGTAAGTAAATCAATCGCGAGACTCACAAAAGCACGGCTAATGGAGACATAGCATTGCACTTCAAGCTATACGTGGACCAGGAAGACGCCAGAACCACCAGCTTTGAGGAAACCGAGTTTCTGTACACGCCCCTCCTTGATGCTAAACGAGATCATGAAATGATGGAATTGATGCCAAGTTATTTGACCGAGGACATTACCTTTGCCAGACAGAATGCTGCCAAGTTCTATGGCCGGGTAGTAGATACTTTAACCAAGCGACGGGCAGAGGATTGAGTTTTACGATGCTGGTCAATGAATGTGTTATGATAAGCAATGATTGATTTGGAACGGCAGAGGGGCCAAGTTGGGTATGACGGCTACCAGACCAGCGGAGTTTTGCGAGGCCTACCTTGGTATGCATTGGATTGAGACAACATCCACAAGTGTTTTGAAAAGAACTCTTGTTTGCGGATACGGTGAGTCTGTTTGAGATACCTGAAGGTCCGGGACGGAGATACCTGAGCTCCGGGCGATAAATACCTTTTTGGCTTATCGACAACCAACAATCGCGCTTACCTTATCTAATCAGTCCGAGTCTACCCCGCCTTCCGTCTGTCATCGTTGCCTTGCACTGCATTCGAAGTCCATATCATTGCTTCCTCTATCGGCAATGCGTAGAACATTCACATTTTGTTCGCGCTGTGAGCACATGTGACTGGTGCCATTCCGGTCAATTTGTGGCTCACGCATTCTCTGGCCATTTGAACAAACGTCGTTCCATAATCCATCACCTACCCTCTGTCTCGACATCGCCGACCGCCCTTCCGTTCACACTATGACTCCACGAACTATCTACCGGGGCCAATTGGGGTCCGCCTCCTTGGTCAAGACTCCCATATACCTCAGAACCAGTATCGAACGAACTGCACGTATCCATGCTGCTCAAGTCCGCATGCTATGGTGGTGGAATCGCCAACCGTCAGATTGGCAGTCTTCCTTTGATGAACACACAGAAGAACGTCTGAGAAGACATCAAAAGATAATGAGGTATAAATACTCAAAAGCTCTCAGGCGGAGAGCAATGTGGGAGCGAGACGATATTCAGCCATGGTCCTGGAAATCAGCCCGCTGGCAGATCAACCAACATTGCCATCACACTCCAGTCTCGACTACCACATCTTCTCAACCTCCAGCAAACAAGGAAAAAGAAGACTCCCATGCTCCCAGGTCGGAAACAAGCCGCTTCCATGCTTTCCGATCTTATGTTGATCAGGAGATTGCAAGAGATCCTTATGGCCTTTTGTTCGGCAAACGTCTGGAGAGTCCTCCGTCCACGAACAACTCGTCCTGGACGTCATTCTCTTGGATCTTTCAGCCTAAAGAACAGACAACAGCTCAAGGCTCTGGTCAACACAGTCAGCAGCCCTTGTCGTCCAATCCAGCATCTCCACCAAAGCAACCGTCTCCTCAATCCAAGGAGCCGTCGATTTCGTCCAGCGAACCCACGAGAAACTCAATCGCAGCCACTGAAGAGGAGTATGAGTATGATCCTATCACGATGAGAAAGGTCCTGAAGATAAAGGACAACGTGGAACCAGCCCCCGAGCAACCCTTCTTGAAGTCTCTTTTCGCAGAGCATGGTGTAGACATTCCAGTCAAGACCTACAAACCCCACAGAGTCTTTGGATATGGATCCGATGCCGCGTCTAATGTAGGTCCAAGGGTGGAAGCCACCAGTGATAAGAACTCTCACTTTGGATCTTCGAGAAGGGCAGAGTTGGCTAGTCTCATCGCTCAATCGAAGGGCAATAATATCGATACAACTGCTCAATTCACAGATATTCCGGCTCAACCCGAGGTCGAGTCAACCACATCCAAGCCAGATGCTCGGCCTCAAGCTCATGAATCTCCGGAACCGGACGATACTACCCCACTATTCTCAGGAACTACATATGAAGCAAGAAGCCCGTCATCAAACTCCCGAGCTCCGTCCTTGTCAGATTGGCTCTCAAGAGAAGGCTTTCGGCCTGCAGAAATATCATCCCTCAAGGAGAAAACACTGGAGCCTGCACTAGATCGTATGGTATCCGCAGGAGCCGGAGGCACCACAAATTCTAGTTCAACCGCTGTCGAATCTACAATTGTCCAGGATGCCGCAGGAGCTGTCAAAGCTAATCAGGGTTTGTCCAAACGAGCACGGAATAATGACATGTCACAGACCACATCCGAGGAAGACATCGACCTTCTTCGCGCAAGTGACATCCGTGCTGCGACCAAGTCTGCTCGGATTTCGAAGCAGCAATTGCAATCATCAAAGCAAAGAACTCGATCCAAACTGGAAACAAATTTCACGGCACATCAGGTGGTACAAGATCAGATACAAAATATTGCTGCAAAGAACATCCCCAAGACTGCTGGGCAGATATCGAAAAGTCTGACGAATATTTGGAAACATGTCAAAGATTACCCAAGTGGAATCGTCGCAAGAACAATGCAGTCCATGACCTCCTTCAATGATGACTACAAGAAATATGTCAGACCCAGCAACACTTCTCATCTCACGGAAAAATTGGTGTTCAAAGACAAAGACTTGAGCACAACCCCCTCCATCTATAAAGCCACCACAGTACCCAGCGTTAAACTGTCTTCTCCTTCCTCAGACTTTGAGAAAGAGATCGCGAAGCGCTTTGATAGGATGGAAAGGTTGAAGGCAGCCAATAAAGAAGCCGAAGATGCCAATAAGAAAGTGGACGCGCAATTATCGCAGTTGGCAGTAGAACTCAATGCTATCTATGAAGAAGCATATCCTTCCACATCAGAACAACTCACACATAGTCAAAGTGAGCCAGAGGCTCCCAAACAGAAGCAAGGAGAGGTACAAGACAATTCGAAGACAAAGACTGTGGAGGCGACTCGACTAGAGAAGGACATGCAAGAGCCACGACCCGAAGTTCAGAGCATTGAAACTGGCTTGCAGGTCATGAATCCTGCTCATGAGCAGTCGAGTAAGCTTAAAGTTGTGATGGATGGAACTAAAGAACTGCGAAGAGAGTTACACGAAACTGGAATGGCTATACGGGCAATTGAGAGTGGGAGACCTCAAACTGTCTGGAATACTCCAAGCCCTATTTCTACGAACTTTGGCAAGAAAAGAATGGAGCTGACGGACAGACGCCGGGAGCCCACAAAAGTTGACCAGCAGAATGTTCAACCAACTGTTTCTACCAAGAGTCATGGCAGACCTTCGGAGCCTGATGTATCCACGGTAGCAAAAGAAGTGGTACCCAAGGAAGTCCCGCCTCCTGTTTTCACTCCATCAGAGTCTCCTATTTGGAACGATGAACAGCCACCACCAATCGAGAGCCTGAGAGAACAACCACTACAATCACTCTACGCGATTCTCGTTAAAGATGGTAAAAGAATCGTATTGTCACCATCTGATACAATTCCGGCATCCTCGGACCCGCCATCCAGTGCAACTTTGATCTTGAGCAAACTGCGATACGCCGCCCACTACCTGCAGTATTTCGAACGGCTGGATAAAGACGGGTATGATCTCTATAGTGGTGCGAGGAACATGCTCATCTTCCAAAGACGGGGTGTTGCTTCGACCGCGGAGACTTCATCGCCACCGGTTGCCTCCACTGACATTTCATCAACTCCACCAACGTCGGGCAGTGTCAATCTGCCCAAGGAGATAGCAACCGTTGTTGAGGGTATGCCAAAGGATGTCGAATCATCTTCCGACACGGCGGCAACCCATCCTCTCAAGAAACTTGGGGAACTTTCATCAAAGTCAACGGTTCGTCGACAGGAAGAGGTCTTTTCTGGCACTAGACGTCCAGGGCAAGCCGCTCCGAGAGAGAATGAAGACGAGGGACGCTTTGCAGGCAATGAAAATAAAGATGGAATTTGGAAGAGACTAACACGCACCGTGAGGCGTGCGGTTCTCACTATTGTGGCTCTTGGTGGTGCAGCATACACGGTTGGATTCATTGCTGAAGGAATTGGTGCGCAGGCGCAGATTCAGAAAGGCACCGACGATGGTCATGTTCAAGGCCCCAGGAAGAGGGTTGTCATGAATGGGCAGAGAGCAGGGATCTACAGTACCGAAAGCTCGAGGTGAAGCATGCAGTACATGCAGTATGAACCATCAACATCAATCAATTATGCTTTGAAGCAAACAAGGAATTACAGTTTTTTCCGGACTATGCATTGTTCAGCCAGCCTTCTCGTGTTAGCCTTGGGTATCTGGGAAGCTGGTTTCGGCGCTGGAGGACATCAGTGATGGTTGTTTGGATTAATGGGTTCTTCGTCCACTCCCATATCGACAATATTTATTTCAGATTACATAGATATTGGACATTTGAACTCCTCTCTCCTCAGCCAACAAATGGCATTTGGTAATTCCTACCTAGGGCTTTATGTAAGAGTCCTACTTAGTAACTGTATAGTAGTGACTCGCCATAGACGACGCGTTAAATGGTTCTGTGATACGCGTTCCAACGTAATTAGCACTGCATTCACTAACGGGTGTGGATTAGTGTGGTGGTTATCTCATGCAGTCCGAGTCACTCTCACCACCAACAACCGACCAACGCCGAGTGCTCTTGCTCTTTTACAATCACACAACCTCACCAGGCATATCTACCACGTCAAAGGCATTGAATATGCGCATCACTGAACTCCATCGAATCGGAAAATCTAGCCTCCACAATTAGACTGATGAGAGCAAAATTTCCATCATGGCGGATCTGCATGGTGAAGGTGGTGCACAACCTGACATGGCGTCCAATTCCCTGTTCGATGAAGGCGGCGCTCTCAGCGACCCCCTCGAACGAATAGCCGTATTTTCTGCCCTTGATTCATTCTCGTAAGTATGAATCCCATTGAATCAGCTCGTGTTGACCCTGACAAGAAGAAATCAACTTCACATCCTTCAGAACGAAACCCGCTGACTTGACAAAGTCAGTACCGCAAGTCAACACACCATCGAACGACCCACATCCGCCGACAAAATCTCTATGCAATGCCCGCAGCTCAATGGCAAGTCCTAGCGGCACCGCCAATCTCCATTCTAGAAACCTTGTCCAATGTCGACGATGCTATCGATGTGAACGCCGATTTGGCAGATCGAATCCTCCAGCACGGCTTGGTCTCCTTCGGTTTATCGGATAGACATTCCAATAATCCGGATCTGGATTGGCAACACAAGGCCACAATTAATGATCTTCCCAAGGCCCACTCGACGATTCGACAGTTCTATCGCGATTGGTCTCGAGAAGGATACATCGCCGAAGTTGAACCTTTGGTCGACATCGTTGTCTCGGACCTTAGCACCCACTTACCACTTCCTCAGCCCCGTGAAGATATCGAGTCTCCACGCCTCCTACTCCCTGGCGCCGGATTAGGACGCGTGCTCTTTGAACTTGCTCTTCGAGGCTGGCACGCCACGGGTAACGAGATCTCCTACCATCAACTCATAGCCAGCAACTTCATCCTTAATGCAACACAACACTCGGAGCAGTACACCATCTACCCGTTTGCAACCACCTTTACCAATGTTATTTCTCGACAGAACCAACTCAAGCACTTCGCCATACCCGACAGACATCCCGGTCGTGCCTTAGAGGCACGCGATAATGCCGCTTTATTGATTGGAGAGATGCACATGACAGCGGGGGATTTCATGCTCGGATATTCAACTCCCTGTGTCGAGAACAAGTTCGATGGTGTAGTCAGTGTTTTCTTCATAGATACTGCTCCCAACTTGATTCGCTATATTCAGACGGTTCACAACTGCTTGAGAAAAGGAGGCGTATGGATCAATATTGGACCTCTCTTGTGGCATTTCGACGGGCGCGACAACCGTGATCGCAATGACGAGATCAACAGCGGAGGAGAGAAAGTTCCTGGACAGGAAGGTTCCGACTCCAACTCAGTGTGGGAAGATAAAGGTGTGAGTGAACCAGGATCTTTCGAACTCACGGATGAGGAGGTTTTGCAGCTAGTTCCACAATTCGGCTTTGAGATTGTGAAGCATGAGATTATCAATCGTCCGCATGGGAGTGATGAGGGTTTCGGATATATGCAGGACGCGTCAAGTCTGCTACAGAGTCGTTATCGCTGCAGTCATTGGGTAGCGAGAAAAATCTAGACAAAGAGAGGCTATAGTATATCACACGTGGGTGCCAGAAGTAAGGAGATCGGAGAGCAAATGGGTCTTCATTACAATGATTGTGATCCTTAGTTGCTAAGTACTTTGAGCCTACAGCGACTTATTTCGAGTATCATGTCATCCTTCATTCCGCCATCTCCCCGCTGGAAAGCACGGGCTCAACCAAGTCAGTCAATCCATCAATCAATCATCCACATCCCTGGGATCATTCGTCTTCCAGAATGCCTTATACTCTTCCCAACTCTGGGTCCTAAACTCCTCGGGCCACGTCAACGGGGCAATCGGGGACTTCTCATCGACAAACCTCTGCAACTTCTCCCTGGTGCGCTCCCGACTCTTATTGACACTATAAACGGAAATCCTATGCGCCGAGCTCGTGACATGCAAGCCCCAGTTCCACGCGGCCCGCACAGTCAACGGCTGCGTGTTGAGCGAGTTGTCCCAGCAGCGACAGACGATCTCGACCCAGCCCTCGACGTCACAGGGCAGATCGTATGTCCAGGTGCGCCACGTCCACTTATGCTTAGGCGACATGTTCTCGTTGGGCACCGCATACCAGCTGAACCCGCCGTCGGCGGACAACTCGATGCGCTCCGGCCAGCGTCCTCCGCCGCTGTACGCCCAGCCTTTGCACTGGATGCTGCCGTTGTGGATGACGACCTGCTTCGTCCACGGCGACATAATGGCCGACGACACGGGCATCTCCTGGATCTGGATCCCGTCCGTCGGTTTCTGGTTGTACTTCCCGATCTGCTGGTTGAAGTAGAGGTATTCTTTGCTCTGGACGGGCGCTAGACTCGGGCCCTCGATGGCTTTGACGCGGTATAGCCATTTGACACTGCGCGCGCCGATGTAGCCGAGTACGACGACGCGCAGCGGGAAGCCGTGGATCGCGGGTAAGGGTTCGCCGTTCATCTCCCATGCGAGCAGCACTTCGTTCGCTTTGACTTTCGACCACGGCACGCTGACCAGGTAGTTCATCGCCTCGTTGTCCTTGAAGTACGTTTCAGCGCCGTAGAACTCGAGGTGCTTCGCCCCGTTGATGAGCCCGCCGCACGCCTTGATCACCTTCTTCAGACTGATGCCCGTGTACTCGGCCGTGCCGATAGCGCCTTCCGCCCAGGGGGCCTGCGGCACTTCGTCCCCCTGCCCCGCGTACAACGAGATCTGCTCGATGCGCCGCGTGCCAGAGCATTGCATCGTGACGAGTTTCTTGACGCGCGGGTACTTGGACTCGTCCATCAGGTCCGCGAGGTTGAAGGTCCTAGGGTTAGCGACGAGGCCGTCGAGCGTCATGCTCCACTGGTCCTTGTCGATGAGCGGGATGCCGCCGTGGTTGCGCACGAAGTGCAGCGAGTTGGGCGTGATGGCCTTGTCCGTCACGAGCCGTTTCGGTGGCTCGCCGTTGTACGGGAACTGAAGCAGGTGCAGCATTTCCGGGTGCTTCTCGCGCAGCACCGTCTTCCACGAGTCCTCCGGGACGCTCATCAGCTCGCCGCCCAGTGCGTGGTGCCACATCTTCCAGTGCGTGCCTGGGAGGACGGGGTTGGTCTCCGGGATCGGCCCCATTTGGAACTCTGGGTTCGGCGGGAAGGTCTGCAGGGTTAGGATTTTGTGGGCTGCCGCTTTCTTCTCGGGGTAGGCTTCCCACTCGACGTATCTAGATGTAGGTTGGATTCGTGGTCAGATGTTTCTATGGTGAATAATGTGTGTATGTGTGCTCCGTCATGAACTTACCCCTGCCAGCCTACCAACTCCCTCTGGAACAGCTCTTCGGGATCACCGACCGCCTTGATGGCGGCCTCGTCCTTGACGATCTCCGGCCATGCTTGAGGTTCAATGATCCGTGGCTCTGGTCCGCTCTGGTCCAGGATAGGGAGCTTTGCACCGGACAAGCCTTGCTCGATCTTCCATTCATCGGGACGATTGTTTACCGGCAGCTCGACCCCAGGAAGAGGTCGAATGAATTCGCTTTTTCCTACAGCCATATTGTATGTATGTATGGAAGGCACAACGAGGTGTTACAGAGGATGACTGAACATCGAGGGCCTCCCTCTCAAGATATAAAGAGGGGTCAAATCGGCGATACGAACACCCATGAAGTTAATTTCAGCTCGCAGAGCAATTACCATTTGCCAGGCGAGGGAGCATGAATGGCTTCATTGAAGCTGTCTGCGTAAGCTCCCTGGCCGGTATCTTTCATCGCCGACAACCATCCGCGAATTGTGTATGCAGTTGGTCAAGTATCCCCTCTCGTAAGGATAATCGTAAGCCCAAACAGTGCCTCAAGATGGGTTGCGTGATGTTTGATAACGCAGCGTCGTATTGGCTGCATGGGCCAAAATAAATAAAACAATTGGCTGAACTTACCGTGACTCGGCACAGGTTCCTTTAGTAAGCGCAGCAGTCGCTGGCCTAAGATAGGGAAGCATCCTAGAGAGCATGGTGTGTGTTACTGGCCTTCTGGGACACCTACCAGGGATAAGTGTCTATTTATTCTGGTATTTTGAGGTGCGATTGGTCTTGACACAGTTCGTGCAAAGCTCGCACGGAACCTTAGGTCGCTGAAATCGATATGTTGCTTAGCAATCGATGTTGATTTACCTCTCGAATGATACCCACAGCCAGAGAGATGCTGAAAGGAGTCTATGAGATTCAAGATTAGTGATCTTGGATTTACTTTGACTGATGTTCTGGCACCGTTCTTTCTATCTCCTTGGTTTAGCAGGCGAAGTCAGGGTTGATACAGTTCAATTAGGAGGATTTGGCACAATGAGATCCGAAGAGTTTGTGCATACGGGTTGACTACCTTATGTACCTAGGCAGCTATAGGGAGCGGTCAATTAGGCGTGTAAGTCGTTAATCGAACGCATTATAACCAACGGTGGCTACCTAAAATTTAGGTACCTCCCTAGGCACCGATAGGTATCTTCGGCTACTAGAATTGGGCGCGCCAAGCCTAGAGGTTGGGGCCTCATCAGTCTCCTGCTAACTTGACGACGCCAACTTCAACGCCTTCTAATACACCCACGCACACCTGAGGATAAAAGGTATCTACAGATAAGTTAGCAAAAGAGCTCTTCCAGGCCTTCAGTGCTCCGAGTCTAATCAGACCAGTGTTCTAAGAGCGAGGGCACGAACCAAATATCACTGTCGAACGATGAATTGATACAACAATCGTCCCAACTCTTTCACCGAACCAGGTGCAAAACAAAATATCATGGATCCTTCATTCACTCCAGTGGAATTGTCTGTACCCCTACCTAGACACCCGCACCTCAATCTTCATGCTCACCTAAGCTTCTTGGGTAATTGCACCATGGTTCACTTGACCACAACCGACATTGGTGAATCCCAAAATTCATTGCCTCCACTTGGAAGTTTCGTCTATGCAATGCCCGATGTACGTAAAATTCGATAATCTCACACGAAAAATCACTAAGGACGTGCAGAGATTAGATGAACGCAATGTCATTAGCACTGCTTTATCCACGTCGGTCTCGAGCATCGACTATGCAAACAGATTGGCGAAAATCTTGGCCCGCAGAATGCAGTTGCCTGTATATGTCGGTTGTAGTATGAACTTTGCTGGGATAGCGGCCGAGGAGGAGATGGAAGGTCTCACGCTTGCCGTTCAGGAGATAATGCAATCCTGGGCCGCTCACAAATCATGACTGCAAGCATATGATCACTCGAGGTCTAGCCTACGCTGATCTTGAAACGCTGTCCCCGTGAAGTTTCTGCAAGATTTCAATCACCAGATGATTATCGCTGATGTGGATGAAGATCTCTCGGCTGGAATCCGGTGTTGACACTCGCGACAAATCGGTAGTGTTCCTGGCATTCGACACACAACCTAAGTCGGTATTTGAAAATCGGTTTGAATGTTTGCGAGATGAGCTAGAAATGCATGATTGCCCTGATGTTCCCTTTTCTGTGCTGATAGGCAAACCTTGAGGTTGAAACAAAATCTTACGGCATAGTTGGTGCCGATCGTTTCGCCAATCCTCGCCTAAAATTGAAGGGTACTCCTTCTCCGTGTGGTATCCCGTCCTCCATACGGGGCACTCGCCGTTCCTTCGTGAACGGTGGAGGAAACAAAAGAGTCCACTCGTATCATCGATTTTGATCGGCATAGACAATCCGCGGCATTGTTGGGATTTCTCCATTCCCAATGAAGTAACTAGTTTGCCTTAAAGATCGCCAAGTCGAGGTGCTCTGAACCTTACTCGGGATTTGCAAACAATGTCGAGGTTGCATGATGATGATACCCCGAGATGGAGTCCGGCTTCATTGCCGAGTATTGGCTTGAGCGAGTATACGGAGTATCCGTACCTGGTAGTCATACGAAGTAACTCTTACTAGTCCCCGTCATTTGGTAGATCCCCAAAAAAGAAAGTTTGATTTCTGTAGTCTTGGGATTGAGGCTTTGCTTCCAGTTCTCACACCTGGAAGTGGAGCCGGTACCCAATGGGGGGCTTCCGGAGCAATTTTGACACTGATGGTGATTCTTTGCACCATCGAAAAGGCCCAGAATGTGGTCATCCCCTTCATCGGATGGCGTTGAGGAACATATAGCCCAAAAAAGGCGATCTTCTCGCCGTACTTGTATCACCCAAGGTTCGGCCCTACTCCCTGCATCAGTGACAGGTTTTACAGGGACGAAAGATTCGAGAAAGCATGTTGACGTACTTCGTAGTAGGAGAGCACAATGGACTCGAGCTTAGACCGAATTCTGCGAACGTATCCTTGGCTTTAATTGCTAGTTGGTGGGAGTACGAGCTTGCTCCAACTCTTGCAGATTTACTCCGTTCTCCCTCACTTCTCAGTGGCTCAAGGTTGTCCACCCACCTAGACCGACTTTGGAACTTTTTGGTACATGGGAAACCCAGCAGCTTTCAAGCCGCCTGATGCATTCGGTGCCACTATCCCGGAGAACAACCCCGACAAGGAATGGGGCAGACGACGCCTCTATCGTTCCCAGAAACGAGACTACCAGGTATGCTCGAGGCCAAGGACAGCAAATTACCACTTCCGCATCTAGTGACTCTGATTATCTTGAAAGGAAGCAAGCTGGATACAGCATCGATGGAAAGCCACCGTGGCCACTGTCTTGCTGCGAAGAGTGTCTTTGGATCTGTCACCGACGAAAAACACCTTGTGGGCAAAGTACAGCCCTCCCTCTCGTGTCACAACTTCACCCCGTTCGAGACACGAGATACGTGACTCCGCCACATGCTCTGAACAAGATCCAGTAACGCAATGTCCCGTTTCATTGGTATTCTTTGAACCAGAGAGTATGGGTTACAGGGGGGTTTACATGGAAACAAATTCTGCTTTGAAGGGCGAAGCTGACAAGGGCATCACAGGCATCGCCTGCGGGTTGTCTGCAGGGGCCATCGAATCCCATCTGGAATTGAACTGCAAGGTCGATCCCTTGGACTTTCTGTAGATCGCGTCGAGTGTCAAGGCCCCCACTGTGGTTCAAGCCGTTGAACGCCCGACACCACAAGCCCACCTAGCCCGGTTTAGAGTGATACCTATCGGCGATCTTCCTCATTCTCGGAAAAGCTAACTTAGGGGTGCCCCCTAACCGTTAATCAGAAGGGCTCGAGATCCTCCAATTGGCTTCCAACCAGTGCTACCTGTCAACCAGGTCTTTGGGTGCAGTGGAAGCTACCTTCATTTCCAGAAAATTCTCTCCTGCTTCTCCGCTCCGGGCGCCGACGAAGCGTAATTAGGAGTTGCTGCAAATGGGAAATGCATCGAGTTTCAACTGTGAAGTCAATCAACTATTTGAGGATATATTGCCGGTTCTTGAAGAGCATCCCTGAACTCGGTCAGAATGAAATTTCCCGATATCGACCTATTCGTACGGATGAACCAAACTAATGCTCGATGACGGAAGTCAGTTGTTTAGCTGCTCATCAACCTCCTAGGGAGGGAATGGTCGCTTGGGCTCAGTCTCTCGCCTAAAAGTATACGCCTTACTTGAACTGATAGCCTGCAGCGATCGTGTGTTGACCGCCATGGGTGGTGAAAGAAGGCACTCAAATAGGCATTGAAAATCTCTCCCGTTCTATTATTGCTACAGAATCTGTCTCGGGAAGTTTGCACAGAGTTGTAGTTGGTGGAGTGCTTGAAGAAATGTTTCTCAAGTCTAGTGACAGTTGAAGCCCGCACAGCCTCAAGGATGGACAAACTTTTCTTGTCTCTTCTCCAACTGCCTAGCTTACTTCTCCAGTGACCGAGATGCTAAGTAATTGATTGACCTATTATTCGTGTGCAATTCGTAGAAAGCTTGAAATTCGGGTGTCTCCATGCCATAACCTTTCGTCAACGTTTCACGGAATTCCTCGGCAGCGGCAGTGCCACTTGGCAAGCCTCTATTCCTCGCCTGGCTACGTGATACTTTGCTACACAATCTCTGAGAACCAAGTATAATTTGCGGTCTCTTGTAAGTAGATAAGTGGGAACCAAGATTCTGATTTTCTGATTAGCGGAAACGAGTTAGCTGATGACCCTGGCAGATGTTGAAAGCACAGTCGTTGATGTGTCGTGTCTAAACCAAAGAAATGTCTGTATCTCCGCTCGAGCGAACCCCAGCAAACCAGAATATACTACGGCGACGGAATACACCCATGATCGGCCATATTTAGCTTGTGAGGAATGATTGTTTGGTAATTGATCTTCAACCCTCCGTCTTGTGGTGGGTGGGATTTCTCGAAGGCAAACCGAACTATGGGAGCTTCTGCTCTAACCTTCGAATTCCATCAGAGGTATCCATATCCATTTCATTGAGGGGTTCAATATCACGTTTGCCGCTACGACGTCCTCCCAAGTCGGCCACTACCATGTTTATCGACCAGAAAATCATCTCTGCTGATATCATACCCCGGACGATCTAAGTGGGTCATATCCTTGTGAGGTTTGCTCCCTGGCTCGAGCTTTGCTTCAGCATTTGATATCCTGCTTTGCACTACGCAGTAGTATCCGAAAGTCATTTCATATTCTGTTGTTGACCGAAATTATTCGCGGGAGGCTCATCTCCAACTTGTTCGATGGAAGCATACAGAGCAGTTGTTCGCCCCGGAAGAACAACAGGCGACTGATGTATACAACTCGATGCATCCTCAACCTAGCATCTGTAGGCACGTCGGAACGGATCCAGGGTGAAGGGGTCAACAGGGTCAAAGCGCTCTGTAGTTTACATGCTAAACAAGACAGAACTGGGCTTGAACAGCGCTGGAGGCCAGTCAAAAAGCTCAACATGGACTGCAGGTAGCCAGAAGGAGAGTGCCTGGGTCTAACAAAACCACTCAATTGACAGACAAAATCCATCAATTCCTATGGGTCCTCCCAAAGCCGCTTAGAACTGCCACCGGCTGACTCCCTGTAGCCAAGGCTCCTGATCGTCCTCGGTCCGTCCTCCACAGAGCCGCCAGAGAAAGAATGCATGGGTTCCAGGTGAGAACAACGACCGCCAGGGTATTTAGTTCAGAAACCTACGAGTGTCCACGAACTATCCGTACTTCGTACGAATAAATTGTGACAAACGGTGTGGAGTAGGGAAGTGATTGTGTCCAGATAACTACTTGGTCGTGCCAAATTCAATTACTACGTTCTCCGGGTCAGAATACGGCAACTCTAATTGCCAACCCGGTCATAAAACGTCCCAGAACCACATCCGATCGTCGGTTTAGTGCGTTCAACTGACACATTGTTATGGTGTGTAAGAAGTGCCCCAAACTCTCAAGTGGACTAATGAAGAAGCCTCAGCGTATTTCGCAGGCGTGCATATCTAGTTAGTTCGCCAACAAATTGCGGTCTCTCTGCCAGTGGAGGAATGAATCCAATATCGACGGCCCACCCAGCTAAAAGTCTCTCCATTCAGCAGGGGAACTGCTTTTGATGGGCCTGGGTGGCTCTGGCACAGACCGCTCGTTGAGGACCCATGTCCGTCATGCCTTATTCGGCTGTCACAACGTTGTGGCTAGCTTCTTTCACTTCGGCTGCCAGAACCGGGGGGCTTCAAAGGCAGGTCCTAAGTTTTCCAGGGCCGAGGGCCCGCGATCATTCCGAAGCATCTGGGATTATCCACCTGGAGGTGACTTTTAGCTTTTGACTGGTTCTGCTGGAGTATCAATTGTAGTTTTGCGGTCAATCTCATCCACCTACCTGATGGGTTTATGTTCGTTGTCTGCGGAGCCCCTCCCACGCCACGCGCAACCGGCAGTTCATCCTTTGAAACTCCAATTGATATGCTCTCAATCGACATGGGTTATCAGAGTCGTGCTACTCAGCCGGATCACATCCTCTCCTCCAACCCCAGGCCCATCCTATGTTTGACCTGGACGATCTGGGCCCATGTTTCTCTTGCTTTGATCGACGAGTCAGTCAAACAAGCATATGCTCAGTGGTCGTTACGAACTCAGTCAGTGCCTTCCAAGGTCACGCACGGCTTTGCTCACCCTTTTGGCTCTGTGCGGGTTTGCTCTATCACCACGACCTCTCGGTGACAATCTCGGCTGACTTGACCTGGCAGTGGCAACCAGTGAGAGCGAGAGCGGATCACCTGTGGTTTTTCGTCCTTGAACCACAGGGCCAAGGTCGGACATTTATTGTCACCAATCTTGCATCTCGCTTCTCTCGTTGCAGTAACTTGACGACATCGCTTGTCCATCCAGTCCATTCTTTAGATTCTCGATTCATTCTTCTCGCTATACAGGCAGACTCCCTCTCGACGATTTCCGCAGGCAAGGCCTGAGAAGCGGCGGGCATGCCTCAACAACCCAGTGTGTTATTCTCTCTTTTGGACCATTGTGGCTGGTATCAAAGCTGTGAATTCGGCTTCACTTCGTTACAGTGGGGATGCAAAACCAATCCTTCTCCGTTCGAGCATCGCCCAGTGTCGCCTCATCCGGTTCACCAATGAGTTCTCACGAACCCAATAATCATTCTCATTCTTCGCATTTGTTCACTCACCACGGTCGTCCAACTTTATCACCACCAGATTCAGCATTGATGACCACGTTTTACTCCCCTCGCGACATGGGCTCCGTTTCGCCTCAAGAAGGACCCTCTCATCTCGGAGAAAACTTGCGATCCGGTGGTGGTGGTGGTAGCGGCACGCCATCTCCTGCCCAAATATCCGCATTGATGATGCACAACCCGAAACGTGCATATCGACAACGAAGAAAGGACCCCAGTTGCGATGCATGTCGCGAACGCAAAGTCAAGGTTAATACCTAACTTCTAGCATCCGATTTGAGTAGACTGCTAACACTCCCAAGTGCGACGCCACCGAGACTACCAGCTGTACAGAATGTTCGAGTCGAAATGTTCGTTGTCAATTTACCAAGGACACAAACCGACGCATGTCCTCCATCAAGTGAGTTTCACAATCATTTGGAAAACTCTTCCTGACAAATATAGACAGGTGCAGGATTTGGAGAGGCAACTCTCAGACGCTCGGCAGCAGCTGGATCGGTTTCGTGCTGTTGAGCAGAAACATGATTTTCCCTCCGATTTGCGACCTGACTCGTCCTCTTCCGTTCTCACAGAATTTCCCACGGTTGGAAAATCACCTAGAAGAATGTTAAAAGCGAGACCGCCGCAAGACCTTACATATGCGAGATCACAACTATTTGACATTGGTCGTGGGCTTCTGAAACCACCAGTTACTGGTGCTCAACCCCGAACACATCCTCCTCAAACCCTCGTTTCAGATTTACCAGCACTCCCATCACGAACTGCAGCAGAACGACTCCTCCACTATTATCATGAGGGAATTCATCGACAATTCCCCGTGCTACACTGGCCTTCGTTCCAACACAACTTTGCGACGCTCATGGAACGTGGACTTTCGACTACTCTGCCGAAAGATTGGTTAGCGTTGCTGTACTCTGTTCTAGCCTGCGGCGCACTCGCCACCCACGACCCCGGCAGACTTCCAGAAGCACAAGATTATCTAACGAGGGCAATCGCGTCGATCAATTTCTGGGAAGATGACGTGTCTCCGAACCAGGCAACTGTGGCGTTCCTCGCCAGCATTTCGCTTGCTGAGATGAACCGAAAATCTGCGAGCTGGATCTGGCTTGGTTCAGCTGTGCGCATTATTCAAGATCTTGGATTTCATGTTCAAGGAGGCCAGTGGTCGTCCATCGAGGGAGAGACTCGAAAGCGAATGTGGTATTCGTTTTACGTTTGGGATCGGTGAGATTAATATGCAATATTTTGCGCAGGATTCTGGCTAACAGTTTCCAGGGTTCTGGCATTGGAACTTGGGAAGCCCATGTTGATCAACGATGAAGAATTTGACACCGAGTACCCTGAAATACTCGACGAAGAGCGCCTGGCAGCCGATGAAACGCAAAATCCATTACCACCTACTCTCTTACTCGCAAATATTCATATCGCCAGATTAATGGCACCGCTTTCCAAGATGTTTCGGACTCTGTGTATCACCAATGATGCACTGGCAAAATTCGAGAACTATCTAGGCGACTGCTTGCAACTTTTTCCACGACCACTGCAACTCTCATCCCCTACACCGCTTGATCCATGTATAATGGTGCCACTGATGTATTTCCAAAACACACGGATACTCCTCCACCGACATAATATATCCCCTTCATGCTCGCCAGAACAGAGATCGCAAGCGATAGAACAGTGTCTCCATGCGTCACGAGATACTGCAAGTCTTCTTGCACGTTGTATGATCCCACATATTCATTCTCATGAGTGGGAGCAACGTTTTGTGCTATCTGCGACTAGTGTCTTGTGCACACATATATGGCGCTGCATGCTTTTTCTTCTCCTTCGACAATTGTACGATAGCTTTCTGGTGCTACTGCGGGCGGCTTCCACGATTGGGGATACGAGATTGATTAACATATCGTGTGGCAGATACCTATCTTTCTTTCTACGGAGATTAATAGAGCGCCACGAGCAATCAGTGACGATTGACGTCGATCAAGACGAGGAGATTCTCGCATACCTCTCAGGCGACCTCCAAGGGACGACAAACTCCTGGGTCTGGGGAAATGCTGAGACCGGTACGCATCTCAGCAGACGACAAAAGCATGGTCGACCAAAGCACGCAAATTCCGAGCAGGAGTCGCAAGTCGCAAGTGGGCCACAGTCGCCGACTTGGGATCATATGCTGTCAGAGGAAGAGCAGCATGATTGGGGCGGATGGCAGCACCTCGACCGTTCAGTGCAGTATCTACAACAATTGACTGAAAGGTCGCGCCTGCAGCGCCAACACGACACTCATTTACCGCCTCACTTCGCCAGTTCTGACGGGACTAGCATTAATACATCAATATCTGGGCCGACATTAGCCCCGATCAATACTACAAATCAAGCAGGAGATTCGAATCGCTCACGAATGACGATCGCCAGTATAATATAGAGGGATCGCTCTCTGCACGCAAGGAATTCCACTGCTGCGTTGCGAACCCCAAGGTGTAGCCATATTTACTGAAAGGCTATGTCAACAGTGCCTAGGGACAAGATTCTCAAGTCGACATGAGCTGAGGCACATAATTAGGCAATGGAGGTGAAAACGATCCCTGTGTCCAAGATACCCATCGACCTTTTGATTTCCCACCTTTCTGGGAAAGACATGAAATGTGCAAACACGAGCTAATGTACAGGCACAACACAGCCACTCACATCACACACGAACTACCATTTGAAGACAAATATACATTAATTACTTTTCTCTGATATCATGTTACGCTGCGGCTTGACAACCGTTAGACAAACCACGAACATGGCCTGTGCGCGTTGAGGCCGTTAGACTATTCGCATCCCAAGCCGGACGGCGCTGACCTGAGTTAATCTTGGGCAAAGAACGAAATAGTGGTCGCGAGAGTACGCCGAGGGTCTGAGACTCTTGTGAAACAATAACATAACCATTTCTGCCGCTTGAGCCGTGCTCAACATCCACCTCGAACAATAATGTTTCCTACATCATACAACTTCCAGAGATTCCCCATTACGCTCCCAGTTTTCCTTCCGAACATGTACGAGATACCGTGCATAGAAACTTAAAAGGGCATGCATGGGTCAAATTCCCAAATTAGCAAGGGAGTAAGGAGTGAGTTAAAACTAGAATATTCGTTTTCCGGAATATGATTCTAGCGAGATTCCCTCACAAATGCCCAATTTCACGATCCCTGCGTCGATCGATAGTATTTGCCAGATCCCTGTACCATGGGATATAGTAGGTCCAATGGCTCTCAGACGTGACTACCACCATGTTCTCTCCATTAATTTTCCATGGAACACAACGTTGCTACATCAATAATTCAATGCCACCAAGGTAACAACGATCGCACAGTCTCCAATCCGCAATTTGAGCCTTACCGGCCAATAAATATCAAATTGCCGGTAGCGAGATTGCGTTTTGCCTCGTTGTCTCAAAATTCGCGTCTGCCGAGTGCTTAGACGAAGCAAACAGAAGTACTCAGGCGCGTAGGGGTCACGGAGGACAACACACGATCTTTCTGCTCTTACTTCCTCTCCGAGCGCGACACTTGCGTCGAAAAGAGCTAGTGGTCTGCGTCATGCGAGCGCGATCACGATTCACGATTTACTCGTGATCTCATACAGTACCTCGTATTTGCGACCAGGTGAGCTTTGATGGCCATTGGCCCACATTGATCCTGGTTAGACATCCGGAATCATGTCATGTCTCCGTGATCCTTCAGGTGGATAGCCTACCTCATATGAGGGTCTAATCGACTATACACGGCTTTTCATCTATATCTGGATCTGTCAGGATCGCCCAACGTGGTCCATATGGTGTCTCGGCCCGCGGTCGTGGAATTTTGAACCATTTTCCCTTCCTGAGCCTCCCTGCAAGTTGCCACTTTAAAGGGGGCGTAAGTCTGACATCACGGGCCTGATATCCGTGATCTGATTTTGCCGGTCAACGTTCCTTCCACCGGGACATTCAAGTGGCAAGGCTCCTAAAGTTGGATGATGAAGATTCTTTCAAATACCCACTTTAAGTCGCTGACTCGCGTGTTGATGGATGTTTTTCTACACGGGAAGGCACTGCTTGCGGAGGTATTTCCTTTCTGTGTCGCCTAGGTTTCTCACTCTACAGAAGCGGTTCCATATTTCCAGGAATGATGCTCGCCACTTTTGTCTCGGTAGTTCGCGCAACATTTGGATTTCGATGGATGGGTCCATGATTCTTCTGCTTTCTAAGCTATGGGCAAAGCAACATCCAGACTTGCATCGTTCTGTCACAGTCCACTCCTCAATGTACTCCTCTGGTCTCCGATGATTTGAGCTTGTTTCTACTAGATGTATTGCGCTTTGCCCTTTGCGAGTATCGAGTTTGTTAAATGTTCCGATTGGACAATAGTATGTTATCTGGTCATTAATATGGAAAGTCTATCAGGTGGTCTGTACGCCTTCGGACATCAGTCTATAAATCAAATCAGACAATTGGGAGACTACAAACTCACACGCACCCGGAAATCACCAGCAAGGGAATGTTGCCATACCCTTAGTCACAAAAGTCGAACTCGACCGAATGCTCAACCACCCTTGAATTCGCCAACTTATCGTTACGAGGTCAAGTTCCAGCGACTGGCATATCAAGGTCAGACATCCAATCCGACCACCACCATCTCCCAACCATATCAAGTGAGGCCGGGTCCACCACCGTGTTAAATGATGAATCAATTGTTGCATTATCAATTGGCCAACGTGAGTCGTTTAAAGTCTCCATAGTAGACAGAATTTGCTCATTCTCAACCCGGTTCGTGTACCTTATGCTCGGCTGGGTGGAAGGTAGTGATAGGGGGGTTATGGGCGGCTGGGACAACCCTGCGCTTGGAGCACTTTCAAAAATTGAGGACCATTTCCGACACAGATTTGAGCCGAAGGGCAGGAAGAGCTTTCGTTGCTGCAATGTCAAGAAGAAAGCGTCAGTGTTCTCGAAGGGTTTCGGATTTTCCGCAGAATGGCGTATAACTTGGTTGATTATTCTTTCTGCGCCAATGGCTGCTGGGAATCTAGCCTTCAACTCAATCAACGAAAGTTTGATGATTTCAATTTCAGCAGTTCGTGATACCGCGAGAAAATCAAACCGATGCGATGATACTTGTACCAGACCTCCAACTATGAGGTAGAAAATGCTTGTTGGGGGTAGAAAGTTGATGTCTTCCCAGGTGAGAAACTCCTCGAATATCCCAGAGATAAAGGAGGACGCAAGTAGGCTTGCAGCAGACGGGGCTTGATCCACGTTATTTCGTCGGAAGAGAATCACCAAGCAGGCGAAGTACGGTAGGTGTAACTGCAGAGCTTTGGCCTTGTATGGGTAAGGCTCTCCAGTGAGAGGATTGTGGAGTTTGAATGGTGCTGGAACTTCATTCACCCATCTGAGCAGAGAGTTTTCAAGATGGATTCTCTTGTTGTCCGATAAAGTCCCACGTCGATATAGTTCAGTCATGTCACCTAAGATCGAGGTGATGCGAACGAAGTGCATGAAAAGGTAAGAATCGTCATCAGGCTCTGTGAAGTCCTCAATACACAGGGGCCGAACGTCTGTGTCCTCGACGCTTAATGCTCTCGGGCGGCCATGGCTGGCAGCAATCTGATTGTCACGAGACTGTGGCAGTGTTAGCGGTTGAGTATGTTGTTTAGGAAGGAGTAAACCCTACTACTAATGTCCACCATATTCGTTTTCGAAGTCCAGCATCTTCCATCTGTGGATTTGGTTCTCGATGCAGTCCCAGTTGCTGCCCAAGTGCGACACCAATCTTGAGCCAGAAACTGCTGCTATCGATTGAGACATGTTCTGGACCACTCGGACTAAGCCATTGACAAAATATCGTGGCCATGACCACACGAATATCATTCTTCTCCGCACCAGTATAGAACAAAACTTTTGCACGGTGATAGCATCGATGGCTGATTTCGATGGCCTGCGGTGTGCTTGAAACCACACTTCCTGCGACCAGCATAGAGGTTGTCAGGAGACAGTTTACATTTTTCAGATCAAACCTCGGGAGATCGGACTCGTCGATCAAAGGCATCCAAGGGCGGCATCGCTGCATGAAATTCCGGATCAGAATTTGTCGGAACGTTCCCTGAGGAGGCTCAACTAGGGTTAAATGACCCAGAATCTGCGTCTCGAGATCTCTTACAGCCTTCGTTGTGGAGCCTGGGGTTCGGTATTGTCTGGCATCTCCTTCATCGATAGCAATATGGCCAGAGACATAGTCGGATCGACCTAAATAACTTGGCTCCTCCTCCCGATCGGGTTGGCATTCGTGGGTATTGTCTAGGTCAGATGTTGATCTCTGATGACGAGAATGAGGATGAGTAGAATTGGATTTTCGTTGCTCTACTCTTGCGGCGTGCTCCGAAACATGATCGCTTTCATCCTTCGCAAATGAAAAATGCTGAATATCTTTGGTAGATCCTGTGGGAATGCTTGACGCAGTTCCTGGGGATATGTCCTCTCCCACACTGGGGGTAAATGCCTGGTCTAACCCCGAATTTCCAACCACAATCACCGAGGTGCTATTGCCCACCTGGCCGTGCTTTCTTTTTCTAATATGTGGCCTACATTCGACACCCGCGTCTCTGCAATTTGAACACGATGTTTGTTTGTTCCCTTTGGAGAAAAGATCGCATCGAACTTTCCTCTGATGGCACGTTGCACACGCTTTCGGAGGCTTTCTTGGTGTTGAGATTCCTTGCAAATTCCCTCTCGAGGATGTCATTATTTAGGGTTAATTTGGGAAGTGCCAAACACGCTCAGCACTCTGGGATATGGTCTTCGATCGACTTCATTTAAGCTGCCCACTGGCCTTGGGATCTATAAATCGGGTTTGCCGGCAAGGAAAGCTTTCGCAAACCTTTACAACCCAAATTGTTGTGGTGGAAGAAGCTGCCAATTTTGACCTCGGCGATTTCTGCATTCCGAACACGGGCCAGCAAACCACATCCCATGGGTGCCCCTCAGATTTCATGGAGGCGACGTCATCTCTTGCGGAAGAAGTATTCGGTACACAACTAGATAGGTGTCAACTAGTTCATCTGGGCTGGCTCAGATACGCTTGAGGGCTGCTTTCGTTGCTTCCTGTGCTCTTTACAACGTGCTATCTTGAGAGCGCATCCATCACAAGGGCATATGTGTACTATAAAAAATGTAACACAGTTCGAAGGTGAAATGTCACCATGCTCGCCCCGTTGTCTCAGACTCGAATAAAACGTTGAAGGCCTATCAGTATGAGCTCTGAAGGGTGAGATTGATGAAAATCTAGATTTACGGCCCTATTGTATGCTTCCGCTTGGAAGCTCACTCGCACTCAGCCGAGGCCTGGAATGAGAGGAAGGCTGAGTTTGCACCTTTCGCGCTCCCTTCAGATTTTCTAATTGAGCGATAGGGCTCATTGGGGTAGAGAAAACCCGCCCCAGGGGCTGGTCATATTCTCCGGGCGCACGGCTGAGTGTACAGGATAGGCTTTTTAGTTGTTTAGGCTTGTGCAACAGGACTGGCTTTCAATCCCTGTCAGCCTTCCCCGCATTTTTCTTATCTTTACGTCTTTTTCAGCCACGGGTTGGCTGGGCACTTCCTTTCGACCAACCTCATAATCTTCGCAGTTCGAGGCCAAAAGATATCATCTCCTTAAAATATGACTTTCACGATCAGCTGGTAGGTTCCTAAGGAATGTTCAGGCAGAGATCTGCGCACCCTATACCTATGCATTCGCGCAAGCATCACCCTCTGATGATTTCAGTCCATAGAAGGCCGATCGGGTGTGCGACTCGAATCATCTTGTTCAGTTGCTAGCAAGCGAAAGAGCATCATGAAGCAGGGGCGAAAGGCTCCAAGATCGCGTACTGGATGCAAGCGATGCAAAGAACGAAGATTCAAATGTGATGAGGAAAAGCCTGCCTGTGGTCGATGCCAGGCTGCTGGGCTTGCCTGTCCCGGTTACAGTCAGAATCTGAAATGGTCAACCAAGCATGAGGTTTTTGACCCAACAGTCAAAAAGCGCACGCAATCTCGAAAGTCGTCATTAGCCACCGCGCATCCGCCAAATATCGATGTCACCCATAATGTTGGCGCCTTGGAGTCCAGCGGTGCGAATATCTTGGCTACTGTCCCGGTCCTCGAGATTAACAGCCCCAGATCGTTTCCAGTGTCTGTACAGCGTCCCTCGCCCGACCGAGATGATGCTACATACACAAGTGAGAGCCTGCCCGAGAACATCGTACCATTCGATTCGTTTCCACTCGAAGCTCCGGGCCTTTCAGCAACACCTTCCGGCATTGCATTCTACAGCGGCCCAGTTGACTTCGAGGAAATCTCTGAAGTCGAAGAGGTGATACCACATAATCCGTTTGTATCACCTACAACGATACAAACGAATTTTCAGCCGGAACAGGCAGTAATTCGACCACATCAGCTATCGTTATTGCCTTCACCAACTCGAGGCCCTGCGGACTTTTCATCCGCCTTGGTTGAGTATTATTTCAAGGAGACAGCGGGAGTATTCTCATGTTATGACAGCACACTCAACCCTTTTAGAACGAGAGTAGGTGAGTTCTGGACCTTGTCGCCAGCATTATATCGTACCCTCCAAAGCATGGCAGCCGCATGTTTGGTCAACGAAAATCCTTATTTCAAGCGAATAAGTCGCACCCTTCGGACCGAAGCCATGTCACTTCTATTCAACACGCCAAATGAGGACGAGATGTCTCTCCTCGCGTTGCTTATGCTTGGCCAAAGTTCAAGCTGGTTTGATCCTCAAGATTTGGGTATTCCATTATTTAAAACTTTGAAGTCGAGATTAAACGGCCAGGAAACTGCTCTTGTATCTCCGTCCATGAACATTGTGGGCGACCAAGGCTTCTTCCGTGAAGCTCTTGAGTATTGGGAGATGCTATTGTCGTTTGTCTCCAGTGAGATTACCCCGGAGCCTATGGAAGGACCATGGTCTTTAGATTTCAACAATACGGGCAAAGTTCCCCATCCTTGGACTGGTATTTGTCGCGAAACCCAGATGCTTGTCAACCAAGTCGGTCAACTCGTCCGGTCGGAGAGAATACGAGCTAGGTCGAGCAAATTTACCTGGCAGCGTTCTATTGATGAATCAGTGACATCTTTGCAACTCGCTCGATGTCTTGAATCAAGGCTCAAGTGCCTGAGCGAACCACAAGATGACGCAATTGTCAATCCCGGAGATGTTGAAACACCAGTCTGGCACCTTCAAAGAGTCGCAGAAATTTATCGGAGAACTGGGCTGTTGAATCTCTATCGAGTATTTCCAGACCTACTCTTGCAACAAATAATCCAGGACGAAACAACAAATAATATGTCATCAATGTTCTCTGGGGATACTTCGACGAGTGATGACTGGCTGGGTTTGGTCGAAGAACGCCCTTCCAACGACCATGAGTCCGATAGTATGTACACGTGGCTTACAAACTACGCGATTGAAACTGTGGAATTGTTAGAATCGATTCCTGCATCATCAAGAACCAGATGCCTTCAGCCATTCATGCTTGTCGCTTGTGGAAGCGAACTACGTGCTCCTCCAATGGAGATTGATCCTCTTCAGAGCCGTGCATCCAATAATACGCCAATGATTAACCAGAACGGTGACTTTACTTGGCCCTCTCTACAAGACTCCTTCTCTGACCCATTCGCATTCTCAACCCCGAAGTTCGATCCTCGTCCCACTGTTGAGGACTGCCTCGAGGTCGATGAGTCCTCTCTTAGACAAGCTTTCCGAGTCTTCCACGCACGCAAGTTTGTTCGTGGGAGGCTTAATCTTTTCATGAATGTGTTGCCTCCAAGGCCAACAAAAACTTGCCTGGATCTTATTGAGGCTGTCTGGAGTAGATTGGACGAGGGTGAAGAAGACGTTTACTGGGTGGACGTCATGATGGACATGGGACTACATACTACTATGGGATGACAATCTCAGAATTACACGAATAACGATGGTACCAGATATCTCTGGTCATGAAGCGATGGAAGATGCATTGCTTGCTCACAAGCTGTGTCACAAGCTTGATGCCAGCAAATCATCTCGCGAGCAGCACAAACCGGGGGCATATGCTGTATGGGTTCACTCCCACAGGAATTTATTTCTGCTTACTGTACTCTTTCTAGACATCGGAGGCTTCTTTGGTGCTGGCAGCTGGTCTGATTGTAGTTCTTTCTGCCGCGTCGGTATGTGCTTATGAACATCGTTATCTACACCAACTCCTTATGCTGCATCTGCATCTCTTTCTTCGCGATGATCATTTCGTCCTCGTTGATCATAGGAACCTCTCCCAAGATAATCTCAAACTGCGGGCCATTGTACTGGCCCTTCTTCGCGAACCAAAGCGTTGTGCAAAAGACAATGAAAATGCCCAGCACTGCCGACACGTAATTCATGTTGCTAGTAGTGACGGGTAGAAAGCCGGGGAAGCAGAAGAAAATTGAGGTGACGAAGACGAAGAGGACGGCAACCCAGTTGAGGATGTAGCCCTTCTTGTGGCCGAGGTAGAAAACAGGGCGGGATGTGCTGACGAGCTGCCTTCCCCGAATGAGCAGCAGAGCCACGGGGATCGCGTAGCTGAGATTTAGGAATATCGTGCAGCTGGCGCAGTAGGCGTTGAAAGCCACCGCTGGACCGAGATATAGCAGCCCGAAGAGCATGTTGAACACGGCGGCCGCCAGGATGGCACGGACCGGGACATTGAGGCCTGGAGTGATGTGCGAAAGGCTGTACGTCATCAGTCGTCGTTCTTGCTCGTCGCAGATCTCCCTCGCAGAATGGGCGATATTTATATCGAATGAACACTTACTACTTGGAGAACGGGCTTCCATTATCGCGAGCCATGGCCCAAAGTAATCGACTCCCCGACGTTACGCACCCGTTTGTACCGTTGACGAAGCACACGGCTAATGCACAACTGAGCACAACGGTCGCAGCCTTGCTTTTGGTCGCCTGGTAGATGAGTTCGACAACAGGAGAGTTGGTCTTGGTGGTCAAAATTGTTTCTGGGTCGACCAGACTGAAGAGCATCACAAGGATGAAAATGATGCCAGTTGTGCCTCCGATGCCTACGGCGGCGACCATGGCCTGCGGACTGTCACGTTGTGGAGTCTTCATCTCTTCTGTCAGATGGGCGACCTGCGGAGAACATAATAAATCAGCGCTGCTTTCCAATTTGTTGAGCTTTCAGGACAGCACATACCGCATCGAAGCCGATCAGAGAGAGTGCGGACTGCAGAAGTCCCAACATCCATGCCATTCCGTCACTCCAACCAGTCGAATTGCTGAAATTCGTGAAAACAAATTCGGCAGAGGTTTTTTCTCCAGTGGCCAACACTATAATGCTGACAACTAAGCACCCAATAACTGACCAGAACACTGTGACAGGCCGTTAGTGTCCTATAAGCGGCTCGAATATGAATGGTAATGTGTTCCACTCACGAGCAAACTCATTCCAGCGGTTCAAAATACGGTAGCCAAAAATGTTGAGCAGAATAGTGAAGGTCGAGACTACCAAGAAGATTAGGTATGTCTTCCAAGGTGTGATGACATAGGCCCCATCCGATCCAATGACGGCGGCTGCAGATATGAATTGGGCGCAAAAGAATGCTTCGGTCGTAATGAGTGTAAGCCAGCCAGCAATGTTGATCCACCCAACAGAAAAGCTCTAGGACAGACATCAGCAGGTAATCGAAGAGTGAAGTAATATGTCCTGTCTTACCATTAACATCTTCCAATTATCATTGCACAGGGCATACGTATAGTGATATTGACCACCTGCCGTTGGCCAAATCGAGGAAAGCTCGCCGACGCTTGCCGAGAGACATAGATTGCAGAGGACGCAGAAGATGAAGCCGTAGAAGAAGGCAACAGATCCCCCGGATGGCATGACTATTCCTAGTGAGCCTGCGAGACAAATCCAAGTGCTGCAGGCACATTGATCAGAAAATGTTGGCGCCAGAAATGCAGAGGACGAACTTCAGTATGCCAAATGTCAAGCCTATCATTGTGAGGCGAGAAAAGCGATGCTCGAGATGGCCCTCCCCTTTGCTCGGGACATTCTCCGTGGTAGGTGCCATGATAGATACTGGACAAAAAAGTGTCCACCTGTCACTGGTTCCAAGGACGGTTATAATGGAGAGGAGACTGCACAGCGAGATGGAGTATAATATTAATCCTTTCAAAGAAGGACTGACATAGTTGCCGCACAGATTCTGGGTAAGAAGGGCCAGGCCTTCCCTTGCCAGCTCCACCTCAGAGATGTATCCACTCGTGCTATGTGGAGAAGCTTTGTACTCCAGAGTTCATTGTTGAACGTTGGGGAAGACGTGGAGTTCCCCAGGTCAAAATCTGCCGATACTTCGGACTGACCATGTTGAAAAGGGTAGGTATAGACACAGTTCAAGCGATGATGATATTCATCGACTCGAGCCAGATAGTCTTTCACCTGGACCTCGAAGACACAGTCGGCTTCGAAGTTCGAACTGGACCATTATCTGAAATGTTCCACCGAGACATATATAATCATTTCTGCTTAAAGTCGTATTCACTATCGCCGTTGTAATATCGCCTGGCGGCATGGTATAGTGAACACGAAGTACCCTCAAGTGACCTGGCACTTGGGAGCCACATGGCAATCATCCCTAAACGAAATCCATGGTTAGAGGACGTTGTTTATCACGGACCGCCAATGGCAGAATGGACTTTGTTGCCAGGTTGAGTCTAGCTCAAATGTCTCCATCTTTAAACTTCACTCTGAGTTTTCGTGCCCATAAGCGATTGATTTAGTTGGTGGTTTTGGACAGCGTGTTGTCACCCCAATGTTGGTCGTTTGGCAAAAGGACCGAATCTGAATAGCCAGTGACATTTCTCGCCACGGAATGATGATGGGACTCGGTAATACTGCACTTTGAGAGGGGGATATCACCACACGTTATGGACTGACGTCACTAAATCCAGGTAAATGATGACGATGAGAGGAGGCATAGAGCTGTGCAAGCCTTTGATCAACGCTGGGAGTGCCAAGGAAATTATAACCCATGGTACTGTAGACATCACAAAGCTTTACACAGACAACAAAGCCCTAGGCCGCATTACAGGCACCATCTTTTTTCTCCTGGGCGGGAATTGGGGCCGACGATTCTGGACACTGAGAGATTAGAATCCGACGTTTCGTGACGTGGCACGATAGTCGTTTCTTTGCCGGGCTGATGGCGTAGACTTGTTCGAATGTGCCTACAAACTTCCAAGGCTGATGATGACAGGGGAACTTGGTGCAAATCTGCTCCAGTTCGGAAAGTTGGCTCAGGCGAGCGTCTTCGGCGAACTGTGGAGAACCTCGCCGATTTCGAAGGCCGACTCACACCACTTGGTCCACCAACAACCCTGTGGAAGGCTGAATGCATTTGATGCATCATGATTGATTTCAGTGCTCAAATACTCTGGTCAATCGCATCTTGCGAGGCGCGGGCCCGGCAGATTTCGCAGAGGGCGTCCACATTTACGTGGATATCATTTCTTATCGACGTGGTTGGGAGTTGAGGTTACCTCCTATAGTTCAAGTACCGGAAGTTGTTGAGACTTAGGACATACTCAAGTACTGCTTAGCCTTAGATATATCTTGCCAATCACATAGCCGAAGGAGAAGGACAGCGTAAAGCCCGATGCCAAAATTGAAGCCATACACATCAGAATCTTGGTAGGCAGGATTGTATGTCGTGGGGTTTTCGCCCCTTAGCTGTGAGGATTTGGATGGCCCAGGCGAGACTTCGGCTAGGAATCAGCAGATTACTCGGTATGGTAATTGAGCCGAATGTTGAATCCTGACCATTCAATCCAAAAATATTTGAGCTGTTCTTGTGGCCTTATCGTTCATTCATTGTCAGCCTTTTAGACTCTGAGGTTGCATGTGGAGGTCGATGTCATTATTGTCAAATCGTCTAGTTATTTGTTCTAGGCAGGCTCAAAATGCTACCCGCGAAAAAAAGTAAACCCAGCGCATCGGCATGCTTAACTTGTCGAGACCGGCATCTCAAATGTGATGGCCAAACACCAGTTTGTGCACGCTGCGCTTCATCTGGATCTCAATGTGTTTTCGTAAGGTCAAGGCGAGGTCGGCGATCAGAGATACCCAAAGATACAGCCAGAGCATCTAACACACCGTCAATCAATGTTTCGCACCATAATGGATCACAACATAACCTTCTCCATGTGCCCTCACACGGGCCAGAAGTTGAAAATCAATCTTCATCTAACGTTCACAGTGAAGAAACGACTTCTATTACTGGTACGGAGAATGATGCTACAAATGAGGAATACCTCATTGGGCTATACTATCGCTACATCCATCCTGCACATCCTTTTGCGTTGCCGGAAGATTTTTATCGGCGAAACACCGGATTGTTTCCTGCTCATTTGAGGCAGGCAATATGCTTCATTGCTAGTCATCACACAACGGACCGCAGGCCTCCATGCCCCAAGGTCGATGAAATTGTAGAAGATGCTAGCACTCCCGAAGATGCCTTTCGAGTCCAATCCCTGATTCTTATTACATTGGCATCTTACGCGCGCTTTGAAAGAGACAACGGCAATAGTGCACTTACTGCTGCCATCGCTATGGCAGGTAAGATAAATCTAGACTCTGACAATTTCGGTCATGGACACGCAGCCTTGTTTCGCGAGAGCTGGCGAAGGACCTGGTGGGAACTTTATACGATCACCGGTCTGATATCTCTGATAGGGGGAACCAATGTGCGTCTTACTCAACCGTTAGCTATGACGCTACCTTATTCCTGTGAAATCTATGGGGCCTGCCAGATAGCTCAAGCCGGCACCACGGAACAGATACAAGAGCGGTTCTACTCCGTACCAACTTTAGAGTGGTCTTCTTTTGCTTATCGCGTTGAGGCAATGCGGATAATGACGACTGTTTTGGATGGCTTCAACAACTCAACAACGTTTGATTACGACTCTATGAGCGCCTCAATTTCAAGTTACCTGTTGTCGTTGCCAGCTGCGAAGTGCGAAGGTCTCGATGCAAACGGCGATGTTGACGAGGTCATGACTTGTGGACTGATGATCATTCATTTGGCGGCAATCTGCCTAAACTTTCCAAGGTCCAAACTTGCCCAAGTTGGTGGGTTTTCAACAGTTTGCGGTACCGACCGTGGAAGGGTGGCGTCCGGAAGAGAGGACTCATATTCTGCAGCTTCGCTAAGGTCTGCCCGGGCTCTGACGAAGCTTATATCCACACATACCTCACTCAAGACACTCTCTCCTTGCTTTGCGTGCGCGGTGGCATTTTCTGCGGTCGTGCAGCTCTCTCAATACACAACAGTCGCACCGCCAAAGCCTCCATATCTGCGAGAAAATCTGCAGCTTCAGTTGAGCGCTCTCCAGTCGCTGGGCGAGGTATGGCCAATCGCACACGTGGTCCGCTCTCAGCTCGCGCAATTTCTCCGTGAAGTCATCAACAAGGCTCCTGCAAAGTCGATAGCCACCTCTGCTCCCCAATCAATGAACGATCAGCTCATGACAGAGGATCAGTGGTTGCAGGATGTCATGAATGAAGAGATGTTATTTGATGGTGGAGGCATCCCGTTTTTCGGTATGCCCTTCACTGAATAAACCCGATCCTAGCCTACCATCGAACGGACCAGCTGTCGAGTCATCAAAATTGGCCCAATATGGGTGTTTTTTCTCACCACATCTATATTTGACCTTGGAATGCGACTGAGGAGAGATCGTCTTAGTTGTATAACTCTTGATAGAGATCGTTATGGAGTTCCAGAAAGAGGAAAGTGCAGATAGTATGCCTATATCCGTGTTAACACGCCCACATTGAGGGAAGTCGCAGACCTACGGTCCAATGCGCATGAAGCTTGGGAGCCACCCTTTAACCATCCATTTGAATCCTTCTTTCCGCAAATCGTTCCTGATGTGTTGCAAGACATTTTGTGACTCCGGGCTCGACATGACACGAGTCTTAATCACATCAATAGGATTAGTGATCGTAACTGCGATTAACCCCGCCAAGAATGATGCCTCAAGTTGAGTTGGCAGACCTTCACCAAGATCCGTTCGTTCTTCTAAACACCGCTTGAGAATGTCGTAGCTTACGAGCTGGCCAACAGTCTGAGCGGCCCCACGAGTACAATTCGGACCCCAGCCTCTCGTCAAACTTCCAATACCTTCCTTGTGCGTCATCCGACTGACGCCGTGAAACACGTTCCTGTAGCCCTTCCGCTCACTCACTGGAAGTGCTGTGTCGTTTTGCATGCGCACATTGAGAATGTCCGCGAAGTTTCCGGCGAGCGATCCCAGAAAGCCAGAGCCGGCAGCAACCATGAGAAGAGTGTACCAATGCCCATCTGGACCATACCTCACTTTCAATTCTTCGTAGATGGCAAAACGAATTGTCGAGTATGTTGCCTGACGAACGAGGCTAGCCGATAAACCTCGATAGAAGCCCTTGAGACCGTTCTCTGAGTATGTTTTGCTGCAGGTTTCCACGAGGCCCCTGTGCTGGGCTTGATTTTGGGCCTGGAGCTTGACCTAGAACTTGTAAGATTCGAACATCGAGGTTATTGCCTTGGTCTGGTTACTTTGACTGTTGTCTGATTGTCAATACGTTTCTCGATCGAGACTCGATGAACCCACTCAAATCTAGCGGGTGTGTAACACAAGCTGCCATACAGCTGGCACTTCCGCCAAACCAAAATGGATTCTGGACCTTCGCGTTCCCTCCACGTGCTTCCGCCATTCCGAAGACGTGGACTCTGTGCCTCAATGGTACGTATATTTGAACTGTGAGTGTCAGGAGTGAAAGATAAATATATCATGGCGGCTTTATGACCTACTTAGAAGCTGGAGTTTCTGATCTTGAGCTACAACTTGGCGTTCGTGTAATATTTATGTGAAGTACGGTTCTGGCCCATATTTGAATTCTGCCAACATAACTTTTCCGTTCCCAGTCGTCAATGGACAGGAGGTGTATCCGTCGTACTTGTTTGATAATTCAAACCCACCAATGGCCTGCAGAAGGTTAGACACCAAGACCGGGGCCTGAGCCGTAATGGCGGCAGCTGTTTTGGATGTAGGCAATGCTGCGGCATCGCCAATTCCCCAAACGTTCTTGTAATCTTTGTGGTTGAGGGTTTCAGTATTGATATTGACGTAACCCGACTCATTGGAAAGAACACTGTCACTGACAAACTTGTGTGGACCCATTTTTGGTGCAACATGGAGGAAGTCGAATGGCCTCTCGACTAGCTCTTTTGAATGCGGACTTTTGAAGCTGGCTAGATTGCCCTTGATAGACACCAAGTCATGTTCAAACATTGCTTCGACACCTCGTTGTTCTCTTAACTTATTCAACGCCCGACTGTACTTCGGCACACCGAACATCACTGGCAGGCCAGTGGCGAAACTGATCTTTACTGGAGAATGAGCAGTTTGGCTTGATTGATAAATGCTCTGCTTTTCCCAGTGATCGAGAGCCAGCCACATGATCTTTTGTGGTGCACCTGCACATTTGATTAATCCAGCTGGCTGGGTGAATATGGCCTTGCCCTTCTTCAGTTTTTGTATGGACCGAAACACTTTGTCGCAAGTTTCGTAAGTGTAGATGCTGCAAACTAGAGATGTTGGATCCATGAGCGCATCCTGTAGGCCGTCAATGGAGTTGAGGTCGATTTTGACACCAGGCGCGATGACCAGATGATCATAACTGAGCGCGTCTCCGTTGCTCAAAGTGATCGTATTTTGTTCGGGCTGAAGGCCGGCGACTGCTTCTTGATAGAGCCTCAGATTTGGATCAACGAGAGATTCTAGTGGCCTTTGTAGTTGCTCCTTTGTTTTGAGTCCACCACCCACCAGAGTCCATCCCGGTTGATAGTGGTGGTATCCCGCCGGATCAACAATTGCTATTTCGGCAGCCGCGAATTTGCCACTTCGTAAGAGCATATGGCTGACCGAAAGTCCGGCAGCTCCTCCACCAATTACGACCACTCTATGGGCTTTTGCTGTAGGTTGCAATGGGACGTTTGGTGCCACTGTTGCCAATGATCTTGCCTGCACCGTGCTGGCTACAGTGCTGGACAACGCCCTTTGTAGAACGCGCGATGATCTCAATGGATTGTACATAACTATGCTACTAAACGTACAGAAGAAAATGCCCAAAGATGCCGAAGAGAAGAGATTAGGACGCTGAAACTAATCCGCGAGTTGACGAGATATCTATCACAAGGTCTTGGCACAAGGCTTCCGGGGATCTAACCCGGCGAATGCTCATGACAAGTGCGTGGCAGATTTCCAATGCTGGAACTTACACATGGCGGCCCGCGTTCAATTAGTACATAATGTAGTGTTTCACATGGTAATTTTCAGTCCGGGTTTTTCTGAATTGCCTGATATACCAAAAATGTTGCAGGTGGTGTGAAATTGATGATAGCCAAGTCGCCGAGGTGAGCCCCTTTCCGGGGACTTTGGTTTCATTTTCATGCGGGTCTCTATGGAGCCAACAGGCAAGACGGTGGGCAGGGGTTATACAATAAATATAGTTGACCAAACGATAGCTAGGAATTTGATGGCGTTACGTCCGCCTTGCTTCTATCACATCGGTTTCATGCTACAACCCCTTTGCAAATGGCACTGACACCCTGCCTGCGCTTCTTTTCAACAGCTCGTTCACGCACAATCTCAAAAACTTCACACATCGCGTGTGTTCGACTATCTTCAAATCTGTGTCAGCAAAATCTCCTTCTGTCAAGATTGTCAACTGGAACTGGGCAAAAAGACAGACTCAACATCCAAAAACGTGATGCGCTGCAATTGAACAAGACAAGGCCAACTTCCATGATTCTGCGAGGCTATGCGACTTTAGAAAATGTTGCCACTTCCAATCCAGGAGTCGTTGTTCATAATTTTCATGAACCTAGTACTGGTTCATGGCAATACATAGTTGCAGACGATTCGACTAAGAACGCTGTCATAATTGATCCTGTCTTGGATTACGACCCAGCTACGGCAACAATTACCACCAAGACAGCGGACTTCTTATTAGCCGTGGTAAAGGACAGAGGTTACAACATTCAGATGCTACTTGAGACGCACGCCCATGCGGATCATATCACTGCAGCTAATTACATGAAAGTGAAACTTGGTCAAATGCAGTCTATGCCGCCTGCTGTCGGTATAGGAAAGCGTATTATGGGGGTTCAGGAATACTGGGCACGCCACTTTGGCGTCGCTGAAGAAGAATACCAAGGAGTCTTTGACAAGTTACTAGAAGACGATGAAACTTTCCACATAGGCTCCGTGAAGGCGACCGCTGTTCATTTACCTGGTCACACTCCGGATCATATGGGATATTTGATTGGTGGTACGTTTCACGGGTTTTACCTACCAAACGAATGAAAACTTACAAGGATTATAGATAACATCTTCGTGGGAGATTCTATGTTCAATGCCGATCTCGGGTCTGCACGAGCCGACTTTCCTGGCGGAGATGCTAGAACATTGTTTCGATCGGGCAGAAGCTTGCTCAATCTGCCAGATGATGTGAAAATCTGGTCTGGGCATGACTACCCTCCCGAGGATAAGCAGGAGAGGGCGCCTTATATGACTGTCCGGGAGCAGCGTGAGACCAATAAGCATCTGAAGATGGATATCGACGAGGATCAGTTCGTTGCTCTACGCAAGAAACGTGATGCGACGCTTGACGAACCTCGACTACTCCATCAAGCACTTCAGATGAACATTCGCGGAGGGAGGCTCCCGCTACCTTCACCAGCGGGAGTTCGCATGCTGCAAATTCCTCTCAAACTTGATCATTGTCAATGGTAGTGGCGAGCCACGATCAGCTTCTAGCATGTGGTGTACAGTACTGATGTTGAAACTTCATCCTAACATGATCGACGTGTTTGAGCTTAAATCAGTGAACCCTCACATTTATCAGCCACGACACCACTCTTGCACCATTGGTGCTGAGTGACGGGGCACCAGACCAAGATGAGCTTGCGCACCATGCTGTTGAAAGAAGTACCCTCGATTGAGCAATTACTGACTGTCTGCCAACTAAAACGACCACTAGCCAAATTTCGTTGTCGAGATAGCATAGTACGGTTGAAAACTTGATGTTGTTCAGCATCAAATCGATTACGCAGCGAGGCTGGGCGGTTAGTTGAAATCCTTAGACTGTTCGTTGATGGGCGGCCGCCTTTCTTACCTCGCGATATCCGTGCTCCGATGCTAATATCGGCCATTTAATCCAAATGACTAGATCTCGTAGATCAACGGATGGTGTCTCGCTCAGATGGCCTTACAATAATGACATCTGTCTCATCTGATTTAGTGTGGAATGCAAAATGGGGCCCCGAGGACTGCATGGGGTTTTCTTCACCAAGCAGACATTCAAGTGGAAAAATGCTCAGCTATAGTCGGCGAACTTCTTAGTGCCTTCGGCGACTGAAACACTGGGTCGAGCGTCCGGAAAACAAAGCCCCCCGGCACAAATAAATGCTGGCTGCCACACAATTAGGCTCATGCTGTCTTATAACGAATTATGGACGCAGTTACTACACTAAAACTTCAGTCGCTAAGTAACATCAACAATGCGAGAGCTTGCGAAGGAAGCGATGTGTCCCCTCGAGAAGCAGGTTTTCCAGAATGATCAACACGTTGAGCCTATACAAAATGAACATGACAGTGGAACTCACACCTTCGTTGAGAACGAGCCAACTGTGTTGCAAACATTGAAAGAGTTAACACCTACATTGGCAAGCACATATCGATACCTACGAGCCCTTTTCCCATGCATCGGATGGATTCCGCGATACAACTTCCAATGGCTCCTTGGTGACTGTATTGCTGGCATAACGGTAGCCTTGGTTGTTGTTCCCCAAGCAATGGCATATGCGCTTTTAGCAACCCTAAGTCCTGAATTTGGATTGTACACATCATTCGCGGGCGCTGCAACTTATTGGTTGTTTGGGACATCGAAAGATATTGTGATCGGCGTGGATATATCCCTGAACCCCGTGGTTTGAAGCTCTTGAGTCCTGACATCTATTCTAGACCACAGCCGTTGGTTCCCTATTAGTTGGCGAGGTGATCAACCGTGTGCATGAGGTGCGGCCCAACGAATACACAAGTGCCGAGATTGCAAAAAACCTTTCGTTCATCACAGGCGTGATTCTTCTCTTTCTAGGACTGGTCCGACTTGGCTGGGTTGTGGAAGCAATCCCATATATTCCTGTCTCCGCATTTATCACCGCCGCTAGCATCACGATAATGTGTACACAATTCCCTGTCATGATGGGAATCCCCGGTATCAACTCTCGAGAGGTGCCCTATCAAGTCGTCATCAAAACATTGAGGAAGCTTGGTGAAACACAGCTCGACGCAGTAATAGGCCTCACATGCCTGATTCAGTTGGATTTGATACGAAGACTCTGCTCGAAGATGGAAGCACGCCAACCAAAGCTTAAGCGTCTCTGGTCAACAATTTCCTCCTTGCGCCTCACATTTGCTATGTTGTTGTATACTTTGATCAGTTGGTTGGTGAATCGAGACCTGTCCGAAAAGGAAAGTAGATTTCGACTCGTGGGACTCATCGAAAAAGGTGAGTCCCAGGAATCCCGATCGCCACATGTCACGTGTTAATATTGAGGTTAGGTTTTGTGCATGCTGGACCACCATCTATGAGTTTGGATCTTTTAGGCATCGTGCTTCCGCAAAGCCCAATTGTCATCATCGTTCTTGTGATTGAGCATATTGCAATTGCCAAGAGCTTTGGAAAGCAATTCGGCTATCGAGTGGTTCCATCCCAGGAGATCATGGCGCAGGGTACGGCTAACATGTTAGGACCCTTCCTTGGTGGATACTCATGTACTGGCTCGTTTGGCGCCTCGGCAGTCCTTTCCAAAGCTGCGGTACGGACTCCAATTGCAGGTCTGTTCAGTGCCCTGCTGCTGCTGCTCGCCCTCTACGCACTGACGGGCGTCTTTTACTTTATACCGAGGGCGGCCCTGGCAGGTTTGATCATCCACGCTGTACTGAACCTTGTGGCAAGTCCCACCACGGTCATGAACTATTGGCGTCTATCACCTTTCGAGTGCATGATCTGGATCATAGGAGTCATCACAGCCATGTTCACTGGACTTGAGACCTCTATCTATGTGACTATTGGTCTTTCTTTACTGATACTCCTAGTGCGGCTTTCACGCACCAAAGGCCAGATCCTTGGTCATGTTTCTGCTTATAGCACCCGCTTGGAAACCCCATCTCACGATTGTATCAAGGGCGAGTCACTTGTCACTTGTCCACCTTGGAGGCAAGACTTATATCTTCCTCTAGATAAGAAGGATGGCTCGAACCCTGCTATTCCTATATCTACCATCTCTCCCGGGATCTTTGTTTATCATTTTCCAGAGGGTCTTAATTACCTCAATCAAGCATTGCATTTCAAAGCACTCACAGAGTTCGTGTATGGACATACAAGTCGCACTACTGCCAGTAGCAATGTTTCGAAACAGGATATGCTGTGGTGCGATGACTCCTCATCAAATGGTCAAGACGTGAATCTTCCGAAATTAAAAGCAGTCATCATAGACTGCTCTACAATCAATAGCATTGATATCACAAGTGTTCAAGGGATGTGTGATACAAGAAACTCCTTGGACAGATGGGCAAGTCCAACGGCAGTGAATTGGCATTTTGGAGGGCTTAGGAATAGATGGTCTCGGCGAGCACTATGGACAGCTGGCTTTGGGCGACTTTCAGAGCAAGATCTCAACTCTCTAGGTAATTGGACGCCAATGTGTTCGCTGACTACCGGATTTGGAGGCGCAACTGAAGCCGATATATCGTCTGAACGAATCCGCAGAAAGCAGAGAGTTGATGAGAAGGATGAGAGTGGGGGACCTCCGAGAGACATTGTACCTGTCAAGACAGAAATCGACCAAATCAGCAGGATACAAATGAAAGGTCCGGGAGATCGTGGTACCCGAAACGATCTCTCACGAGAACTTAGAGATTGCCAGCCAATTTTTGCTATCGATCGACCGCTCTTTCATGCCACTCTCGACGAAGCAGTGGCTGCTGCGGTTTCAATACTACGTTCGCGCACCTGAGAAAAGTCATGCAGGCTGGATTGAGTAGGACATATACACAAGTCCCAAAGAAATGGTACCAATCATCGCCTCATGCAGCTCTCTGATATTCAAGTATCGTGTACATTGTAATATACTGTGAGTTATCATGAAATTCATCGTTGTCCAAAAGTTCCAGTTCCTGAGGATGGGCATTGAAGTTCGTGGGCGTAGCAGATAGCCTGTTTACTACCGACTTTTAATCACATCCATAGTCTGCAATAGAACATGAGTCCCCAACACAGCCGTTCTCAACGTAAAGTGCAGATTAGCTATTTTCAATCATCCGAGTACAATCTTAGGCAAATAACATAACTCGGGAGCCCCAATGCTGAACAAGTAACTCGATCGCCAACTCATATCAACCGCACCTTACGAAAGAGCAGCGTGCTCTCGACAACGCCAGCTATCTCCATCGACAGGAGGTCGGGTCGCAGCCAATATCTTCAAACGACCCTTTCTAATGTCTCCTTTATGCGCGCAGACAGCATTTCGGTTAGATACTCGACGTCAACGAATTCTTCCATTTGTAGGCACCGTTTACCAGGCTATACTGTGCAGTCGATGACATATGACATTAGGAGTGAGCATCTACAGGGCATACATTGATTGATGCTAGAGCTCTTTGTAAGGCTGCCTTGTCAGGGGGCTTGGCTCGGCGAGACAAGCCTAAAGAGCCATTAACCGACGGTATTAACCGAAGCTTATTTACTTCCAGAAGTCTTCCCAACACAGGATTCAACATGACTGGCAAACTTGGTATCTTGACGCCTCAGAAAATAAAATTTGTAAAAGATATTGATTTGAGCTCATCAGGTTGTTCATTCGCCCACTGCAAACATGAAACGAGGACTTGTTTCAAGTTTCCTGGGCTGAAAGGCTACCAAGTTCGTGTGTTCGTCGGCCACGGGTGATCTCCCGACCAAATTGTACGGACGTAAAACTCCGGGCAGACGGGTGAACTTTCCCCGGCACCATTGAGTCAGAAAACCTTCTCCAGACGGGGCACCCATCGCTGGGCGACCAAGTGGAAACATTAGTTGGCAACCGCAATTTGCAGTTCAGTGGAAGTTTATCCAGCGCCGTTCATCACATCAATATAAATCCATATGGCCGTATATCGGTTCAACTACTTGCGGTCGGTCTAATTTAGTAGGCAGCCAACAGCGCATCACAGCTTATTGAGTTAAGTATTGTTCCCGCCAGTTTCATGTTTAGCCTTATCTAGCAGCATATATTGATCGTTGCCCCGGCCAAGTTCTCTTACTATCTCGCATAGCATACGACGTGAATCGTTCAATTTTTACAGAATATAGCAAAATGTCCACACCTTTCCAGAAATCAGTCCTTGTCTTTGGCGCAACCGGTAAACAAGGCTCCGCAGCTATTGATGCCCTCCTTGCAGGGGCCAACAAAGACAACTTACCCCTGAACATCCTCGCCGTTACGCGCGACCGGACTTCGCGAGGTTCCCAGGCTCTAGCACAAAAGTCCAACGTGTCCATCATCGAAGGTGACCTGGCCAATGTGGAATCGATCTTTGACCAAGCGACCGCAGACGGCAGGCCAGTCTGGGGTGTTTTCGGAGTACAGGTGAATTCCCCTGATGAAGAGAAGCAGGGCAAATCCTTGGTGACAGTTTCTGCTGCGCGCGGCGTCCAGCATTTTGTCTACGCCTCAGGGGATCGGGGTGGACCGGAGAGATCTGAAGCGGACCCGACCTTCGTTAAGAACTTCGCGGCAAAATTCAGCATTGAGAAGCATCTGCAGAAGCTCGCAGCCACCAGTCGACAAGACATGACCTATACCATCCTGCGGCCAGTAACATTTTTCGAGAATATGACAGATGATATACATGGAAAGGGCTTCGCTCGAATGTGGGAGCAGATGGGTTCTAGGAAACCATTGCAACTCATCTCAACTATAGATATCGGCTTCTTCGCTGCACAGGCATTTCTCCACCCTGATGAACATCGCAATATGGCGATTACTTTGGTTGGGGACGAGCTAACCCAGCCACAAGCTGAGGTCATCTTCAAAGAGCTGGTGGGTTCCAGCATGCCGATGGTGCCGTGTACTGTCGGTTCTGCAGTGAAGTTTTTCAAAAAAGATACAGTTGGGGATATGTTTCGTTGGTTCGAAAACAATGGTTATGGAGGAGATGTGGTGGCGTGTAGAAAGATATATCCGGAGATGATGGATTACAGGACTTGGTTGGAGAACTGTAGTCCATTCATTCAGTCCAGGGCCTCTCGGTGAAGAAACGCAGGCTCGGGAGATATCTGCCAGAAATGTACGATTCTGGTCACCTCCTCGAAGTGTAGGCTTCCTGTCATGTGAGGATGTTTGCTAGGCACGGCGCCCCCCGGGGCATATCAACGCAGTTAGCACACTTAGCCTCCTAGAGTCCTCCAGCATCAATGACCCTATTGCCCCGATATAGTCCTCTCTCTTTTGTATTCTCCTTCCTTGCACCTGACAAATTGATGCTGTGATTAGCTTCCAACCTCCTCAGAGCTTTGCAAGCCTACAATGTTATGTTGGACTCAGTACGCCTTACGGGGTCGTTCAAAGGATATTGAGACATAGTGAATAAGACGTAACGTGCCTGCTAGTGAAAACCCTTGCACTAGAAAAGCACCTCGTCCACAGATGGTAGGGTTCGCCGCGTGACTGTGAAGTGCCTCAGTACAGTGCCATGTATGAACTTCTGCAAGCTAGAAAAAGGATTGCAGCAGACGTTGACGCAATGCGTGGCTAGGGTGCCAGATCCGCTCTTGGAGGCTTACTGAATATTCAGCTCAGACCCGCTAGAAAGCCACAGCATATTAGAAGTCCGCTTTTAAGCCTCCAGCAACGCAGTGCCATATTCCGTGAAATGAACGCTCGAAAGCATGGTAGAGATATTGACTAATTGAACATTGCCTTGGCCTTAGAAGGATATGGAAGCATGAGGGATTTCCTAGTAGCGATCATTGAATTGTCTACCAGCTGCGACCACTCGGTGCTGAGTACGAGGTGGTCCTGATCGCGAAAGCATAGGTTTAGAGAATCGTGATTAGCAAAGCAGGGTTCAGTCTGAAAGCGAAGGCTTTTGGGTTTAAAGCCCATTGGCCAGTGTGAGGACCCCGGCTACAACAACGTGCGTACTCGTACAATTCCCACACGCCATTTTTGGCAATTCTTAAGATCCCGGCTCTCGACCTCGTATTCAGTTTGTCATCGCAGATTAACAATACAACAACAGTATTGCGTTCCAAAGCTAGGTGAAGTTCAAACCACAAAGTTGTCCATGCAATTATTTGACCTCACTCGATAACTACATAAGGAGGTGCTGTGAGATGAGTATGGAGGGAGTTCAGCATCAAGTTCAATCTCCCAAGTCCATAGAGAAACACTACTTAGTATCTTTCCATCACTATCACACTTCCATCCACCACAAAGAGCAGTAAAAACAATGGCAGGGGAACTCGTTCTCATAACTGGTGGCAACGGGCACATTGGATTTCGAGTCGTCGCATTTGCTTTGAAGGCAGGCTACCATGTTAGGGCTGCAGTCCGAAGTCAAGAAAAAGCAGACCTGATCTTGGCAGCTCCGTCAATCAAGGAACTAAATCCAGGGAAGAGTCTTACTTTCATCTTCGTTCCAGACTTGCTTCAGCCGGGGGCATATAAAGAAGCCGTCAAGGGTGTTGATTACATTATACATGTCGCTTCCCCAATCAATAACGGCATCCCAGAAGACAAATACGAATCCCACCTAATCAGGCCTGCAATTGCTGGGACTTTGGGAATCTTGGAAGCCGCGAAGGACGAACCTAAGGTTCAACGAATCGTCATAACATCTTCGGTGGTCGCCATCGTACCCTGGTACGACTTTTTCGAAGCCGAGACCGGGAAAGTCTTCAATGAGCACAGCCGTACCAGCAATCCAACAGGACCGTACAAGAACGAATTCGAGGCATATTCGTCAGGCAAGGTGCAGGCATTAAACGCAACGTTTCAGTTTCTGGAGGAGAACAAGCCTCACTTTGACGTTGTCCACGTCGGCCCAACATTTACTATTGGCAAGGACGAGCTCGTATCAGACGTGGATGACATAACACGAGGCACCAACGGCGCAGCTTTACGCCAGATTCTTGGGGATAAGCAATCATGGGCAACACCTTCGAACACTGTTCACGTCGAGGACACTGCACTTGCCCACGTTAAAGGCCTTGAACCACATATTCCTTCTGGGTTCTTTCTATTGACCCAGTCTGCAGGCACCGAAGGCACGACCTGGGGTGATGCAATTGAAATTGTGAACCGTCGATTCCCTGGTGCTGTCAAGGCTGGAATTCTCCCCAACGACGGTTTCGCCCCTACCAAGCATACAATCTTGGACACGTCAGAGACTAAAAAGCTTTTGGGGTACGAATTCAAGACGTACGAGGAGCAAGTGGTCAGTGTTGTGGAGCACTATCTACAGCTTCGCGGATTTGAAGAGAAGTGAAAGAAGCTCCAACCAGGACACACCGACAACAATATAAGTGTACTCTAGACTGGGAGTTTGCCAAAACCAGACCTGCGAGTCAAGCGTGCTGTGAAGTCTCTGGATTCTCTGTCGTCCTTTGAGACAAGTTCGTTTCTAAATAAATTAAATCTGCGTTATAGACGATATCAAATTGCGAAAGTCAATGACCTATTCTTTTGAGGAATAATTATCGTGATAATCACATACTTTTCCTTTCGTTCTGGATTACTTATCTATTGGTAGTGGTTGACTGGCGAGGATTGGGTGCCGTGATTTCCATGAAACAAGGAGTTTAAGCACCCAATGCTTGCAAGGATTTTACTGTGTCAATGATTGTATCCTCCACAGGCCTATACTTCAGCCTTAATAACCGGATAGATTTCTTGTTGTCAATCCCGTATGGTGGTACAGCATAGCTGAGACCGGGATCCAAATTCTTGGCATAATCTGGGAACCTCTCTCTAATGATATCCCCCATTGCGCCCTCTGTGGCGAAACCTGCAGTCATGAAGAATCTCTGACCAGCAGCTTCTGGGACAGTGATGGCAAGCACATGTGCCTCCGCAAGGTCTCGAACATCAACGTGTATTGGCGATCCCACCGTGCCACGTGGTCTACCAAGTATGATGTTCAAAATACGCTTGCTGGACGTGTTAAGGTCTTCTAAAGATGACACCGCATGCCGGACTGGGCCGTAAACCATCGGCGGATTGAGCACTGTGAGAGCAAAGTTTGGAGATTCCCGTTTCACAAAGTCCCATGCAGCTTGTTCTGCAAACGTCTTGCTCGCTCTGTAAGCGGCCTGCGGATCTTTGGTAGTCAGGGCCTCGTCCATTGTCATCTGATTCCAGATCGTTTCGTCATAAACTTTGGGCGGAGAACTGGGATTTGAGATCGCAGCAAATGAGGATGTGATAACAACCCTTTTGACTGTCTTTGCTGACTTATGGATGGATTCGAGAATTCCTGTTGTTCCGGAAATAGCTGGGTCGAGCATGTCTTTCTTGTTATCTTTCACCTCATAGTGAAAAGGACTCGCCGTATGGACTACGGCATCAAATGGGGGGTCCGATTTGACAGCTTCGTCGAAAGCATGTGGCTCCGCAATATCCTTAACAATAGTGTACGAGACATTCTGACCCTTGAAAATATCCACAAGTGCTTGACCTTTCGCTGGAGATCGAACGGTTGCTACTACATCATGGCTTGGCAAAGTCAGTTGGTGAGTGGCTGGGACTGGTACTCGAGACGTTACCCGTGCTTGAGCAGAGCTTCTAGACAATGTGTTGCTATGAAGCCACTTCCTCCGGTCAACAGTACCTTCATTTTGAATGCAAAGTTGACGGAAGTCGGAAATGATAGACAGTCAGCCAAGGTCCTTGATAGACTCAGGCGGTGCTCTGATTTCTCGTTGATTTAGCCCACTGATCTTGACCGGTATCCTTTCTTTTAATAGTTGAGCATCTGGCGATTACCTGGATAAATCCGAAAACTCGACTCAGTCACCTCCGGAAAGAGCACTATCTCCTGGACTTACCGCCGCCCATCATCATCATACTTTGTAATCCAAGATATTGAGCGACTTGAGGAAGAATCGAGGGAAAATTCGCCGAAATCGCCGATGTAGATTCTACGGCGGATTCCGATTTCGTTAAGGCAGGTACAACGGTCGATCATTGTCACACTAAGCGTCAGTATCACATGACTGCGCCCATATCACCAGGCCAGATATCAATACCCGGGGACATTCTGATCGTTCTCAAAGCCATCGAATTTATCTTTACTTCAAATGCCAAAAGTTTTACCCTCGTCGCTCATGACTGGATCTTGCGATCTCGTGGGCCATGCGCAGGAGTTGTCAATGTGTGAACTCTGCAGTCCTTGACCACCTACGGGCATCCTATCGAATTCTGTGGTTTGCTCTGCTGACGGTCAGTTTGATTTCGATCGTCGGCGTGCAAGCTCAATCGCCCGCGCAGATCGCGGCGCTAAGGAAGGAAACCGAAGATCTCTTCTATCATGGATACGAAAGTTATATGACATATGCCTTCCCCGAGGACGAATTGCGCCCGATAACCTGCAAACCCTTGACACGCGACCGTGACAACCCAGCCCACATCGAAGTCAACGATCCTCTAGGGAATTATTCTTTGACACTCATCGATAGTCTATCTACGCTAGCGATCCTAGCTTCCTCCCCTTCTAATAAAAGAGACAATAAGGCTTTGCGACTGTTCCAAAATGGAGTCCAAGCGCTCATTGAACAATATGGGGATGGCTCTGTGGGGTCTTCGGGACAAGGCTTGAGAGCACGAGGTTTCGACCTCGATAGTAAAGTGCAGGTATTTGAGACTGCTATTCGAGGCCTAGGTGGGCTCCTCAGTGCACACCTCTTCGCTGTGGGCAGTTTACCTATTCGTGGGTATCATCCACCCGAAAGACAAGCAGGATATGCTCAGCAGTGGAAGAGAGGTCAGACCGAGAAGACTGCGGACGGTATCATCTGGCCCAATGGCCTACGATACGATGGCCAATTGTTGCGCCTGGCATACGATCTAGGAGGTCGTCTAATCCCGGCATTCTGGAGTCCTACTGGCATTCCCTATCCCAGGGTGAATCTTCGCCATGGCATACCTTTCTACACGAATTCTCCGCTCAACAACGGTTCGAGCGAAGGTCATTGCGATGCTCGTCAGATGGCTCCGGAGATCACGGAAACGTGCAGTGCTGGTGCTGGAAGTCTTGTTCTTGAATTTACCACGTTGAGCAGACTAACAGGGGATCCACGGTTCGAAGACCTTGCGAAACGAGCATTCTGGGCAATATGGCATCGGCGGAGTGCCATCGATCTCATCGGCGCTGGTGTTGATGCCGAGTCTGGAAATTGGGTCTCCACGTGGACTGGAATTGGCGCTGGCATCGACAGCTTCTTCGAGTATGCTCTCAAATCTTACATCCTCCTCTCGAGGGAGTCGCATCCCAACTACGAGTTGTCCGAAGCAGCTGAAGATCCAAGAATTCTTTTCGACCCCTTACCGATGGAAGAGGATACTCCTCAAGCATTTCTGAGTGCGTGGAACATTGCCCATTCGGCGATAAAGAAGCATTTATATCGCGGCCCAAATTACCAGCATCCCCATTACGTTCAAGCGGATCTTGTTACAGGTGCAGCTCGAGGGTTCTGGATCGATGCACTTTCTGCGTATTATCCCGGCGTTCTAGCCTTGGCTGGTCATGTTGAGGAAGCAGTAGAAACGCATCTACTGCACACCGCCCTATGGACAAGATTTTCTGCTTTGCCGGAGAGATGGAATCTAGTTACTGGAAGCATCGAAGGTGGCTTAGGTTGGTGGGTTGGCCGACCAGAATTTATCGAGTCCACTTACTACCTGTATCGTGCAACGGAGGACCCTTGGTATTTTCACGTTGGCGAAATGGTGCTTCGTGACATTAAACGAAGGTGCTGGGCCAAGTGTGGCTGGGCGAGTATTCAAAATGTACTTACAGGCGAACAAACCGACAGGATGGAAAGCTTCTTTCTTGGCGAGACTGCAAAGTATCTCTTCCTCCTGTTCGACCCGACACATCCTCTCAATCGTCTTGACCAGCCTTTTGTTTTCACCACAGAAGGTCACCCACTCCTTATACCCAGCACCGTTGACAATGGCAATGGCAATTCTCGGCAAAGATCGTGGAACCTCCCTGACGAAGAGGAGGAGAATTGCCCGATCAAGCCTCGCCCAGTACCGTTCAGCATCTCAAATATCGCCGCTCGAGGGGACGTATACCATGCCGCAAACTTGGCAAGGCTTCATCTTATGCCGGTACGTGACAACATCGAATCGGCGCTCGGAGAATACGCGGCAGATCATCCCAGTATAACTTTGTCAGACCTAAGCTCGCCCTCAAACTATACCTATTATCCTTGGACGCTCCCTCTCGGAATGATTCCCTATAATGCGACTAGCTCATTGATACCAACAAGACCGACTCTAGACATATCTTTCCCCACACTCAATAACCCAGGACAGCCAGCACCGCCTCTTCAGCGTGTCAGGGAAGGCATTTTGATCAACTTCATCGGTGGTTTACGCCTTGGCATGGTTCAAGATCTACCCGTCGCCGTGGACGAGGGCATTGTTGATACTTTTCGTGTTCAGACTATCAACAATATCCCACTTGGGAAGGACGAAAAGGTATTCCTGCCGCGGGACACGGGTAAGGATACACTTAGCCTCACAGATCCCAACTTTACTAGAGTCCGAGACCCCGTCATGCTGGACCTGGTTGTCGATCTCACCAAACCACTTGATCACGACGACCAAAACCCTGACATCAACGATGACATGGTGGTTTTGGAGATGCCAGATCTTGGTGCGTCGAGCGATGGTTCCGTTCGCAATGCCTGGAATGCACTATTGGCTCAACTATCAAGCCTCCTCAAAGACCGCGGACAACCACCATGGCCCTTCTCGACTAGCTTATCCTTGAATCCTCTAGCAACGCCACGAGCATCGGACTCGACTCCTGACGAATCCCCACCGCGCTACCACCTTCCGGCGGTGGTACCCACCGGCCCAGGAGCTGCACCAATACCAGACTGGCCCGAAGTCGCCACGATCACCACCGGCGGCGCAAGGGCTCCCAATCTCCAATGGACAAAGATCTACGCCACAGATGAACTATGCGACCACCGCCTCTCGCTGAACCTGGTGCGCAACATCCAGGTCCTGGTCGTCAAGCGCGGCGGCTGCAACTTCAGCACGAAACTCGCCAACATCCCGGCCTTCCGGCCTTCGCCCAGTTCGCTCCAGCTCGTCATCTTCGTCTCGTACGGCCACTCCGACTCGTCGACTTCACACGAGGATATGAGCGACGAAGACGCGGCTGACGAACTACTCAGCCGCCCACTGCTTCACGAGATGCAGCTTACACCGGCAGGACTACCGAGACATAACCCCATAGCAGCGGTGCTGGTCGCCGGTGGGAAGAAAGTCTACGATGCACTGGCCCATCGCGCCATCGGGATGGGTATCAAGAGGCGGTATCATGTGGAAACGAGGAATGTCATGATTGGGAATTTACATGTTGTATAGCGATTTTCCGAAGAATAGAATGTTCTTTATCATTAGGAATGCTGAACGATGCTGTGAGTATCCGTACATCAAATACACGCTTTCAACGAATAATGAACCGTGTAATAACACATGAAGTGATGTGCCTCCCAAATTCAACTGGACATGAACTGGAGGAGTTCCAACAGGTCAAAGTGACACAGTCAATCACCAACGACCACGCCAGCTCTTCTCCCATGCGCGATCCTCCTCCTCCGCCCTCTCAATGGCACGCCTCCACTCCCTCTCCATGCGCTGAACCAACTCGTCGGGTGCCTCGCCATCCGGCCCCGTGGCAGTCGGACTCTCACAGCCGCGAAGCCCAATGAAGCGACCCCAACGGCGGCGTTTCACTTCGAGGTCCACGTTTGCGCCGTCGGCATCCGGGTCACTGCCAGGCATCGCGGACGTCCACGCCGGCACCCATGCGGGATACATGAAGGTTTCCTCGACGGGCGGCGTCACCTGGTGGTACCACTTGGCGAGGCTGTCGAGTTGCTTGTGCGTCAGCAGGTGGTATTGCAGGAGGCTGGTGGGGAAGGACGGGTGCGGGAGCCCATTGGAGACGGAAATTAGAGGCACCAGTGGTGCGCGGAGGTGCTCGATGCTGTAGAGGTATTGTTGTGTGCGTTGTAGGGTCGTTGGGGAAGAGGGTTTGCGAGTCACCGTGACGTGGTATTGTGGTGGTGGTGGCAGACGTCGTGTGAGGTGCTTGCCGCGGAAGTGTCTGCGGATCGGGGAGCGGTGTAAGGCGGGAGAGCTCTGACGTGATGGGCGGATGAGAGTGGGTGAGGTTGGTGATTGTGTGGAGGGCCAGTCTACCAGGGTTGTTGTGTTGGACATGGAAGAGTCGATCTGTGTGTCCCGGTGCTCATTAATCGATGCCATGGGCTCCGGTGTAAACTGAGGGAACATGCTGGTGTTGACTCTCAAGGGGAGCGTCATGACACGATCGAAAGGAGGACTGCGCATCGCCATGCGGCTCTTTCTGCCGTCTTCCTTGAGAGCAGAGGATGGGCCTTGGAAGCATGCGCGGTCCGGTGTTCTCATGTTGTAGAGAGCTGGAATGACTGGAGAATTCAGGCTTGACGGCAGACGTGGGGAGCAAATTGACATGGAGTTGCTGCTGCGCCGAGCCAGGCTGGTGCTGATGAACAGAGATGGAGATGACACTTGTCGCGGTGATCCTTCTGCTGGGAAGAATGCTTTGGTGTTTTGCGCAAGGGGTGCCATCAAGGGAGACTGGCTCATATATGGAGAATGGGGTGTGAGGGGTGATGGGGGAGGAAAGGACGGCGAAGTAGGGGACGTAGGATGCATGGTGGAATTCAGTCAGAAATGGTTTGGGTGGTAAATAGTAACTCTGTTCGTTGCCTTTTATTGTAGAGATTGCTGTTGCTAACGACTATGGTCAAATAGTCCGATAGCCTGAGATAGGAAGATGAAGTAGGATGGGGAAATGGAGAGAGACGTGATTCACCGGGCTGGAGGCCCATATCAATTTGACTAACATTGATAAAGAGAGGGCCAGACCAAAGCAGATGGCGTCCTGTACAATGGACTGAAAGCTCTTGAAATAGGTAGCACAGACCAATGTTCGTATTCTTGGATCGGACTGGACCTGGTGTTTTGGAATTCATTGTCCAGTCGGTGGATTCTACCTGTGGGTCATCTTTGTGTAGAGTTTCGGATGGAAGACAAAGCCGTGGTGTCTCCTGATCCATGCACTGCTATCAGGGCAATCTCTCGGGTGTTCATAACAAAGAGATCGATTGGAATTCGTGCGGATTCCAGGGGCGCCATCCGGCAAACAGCTGCCAGGCACCCATTGGGGCAAAGCTCGCAAATAGCTGAAGTCTCGGTGGTGAGAATGATATATGGATATAGCAGAGGCAAGTACCCAGAGCATTCGTGTTTTCAGTCACTGGGTCTCTTCTAAAGCTGAGTATGAGTGCGTGCAGGTGTCTCCGGAGACAAAGGTTGCACTGAGCGTGGACCTTACCTTGCATTTCGACGAATGGCTTGTGGCTTGAATGAGACTTTACTTGCCATTTATCGGATTCGATATCCGTCATGCATGATAGCGGTCAATAGTCGATAATGGCAGGAGATATGTAGAATACTGTTGGCGGTGTCGCTTCTATTGATTTAAGAGTACGTCTTGTGTAGATGCACAACACGCCTCTATGAGCCACCCTACGACTACGGTGAACCATAATATTGATACCGTAGTGCTCAGCCTCACCGGGCAGTTGCGACCCTGATCAAGGCTGAGCCGAACTGAATCGTATACGGACGCAGTTCAATGTCCACTCCTTGACCCCCAATCCTCCCAGCTACAAATAGTATATCATCCAAAGTACCGCAGTCCAATACAAGCCACTCATTACTCTTCTTCATTTCCCAATCCATACCTATCTTTGTATCATATCTAAGCTACGAATGACTTAATATTTCTCTCATCCACCATCTGTCTTGCCTGCGCTTACGTCTCCCGCTCTGATCACCCTCTCACACCACGCCAACCATGGCTAACACAATCCTCGACCTGTTTTACTCTCTGTCCAACTGCCTCTTTTGTTTTCCGGGCACGCCGCAGTTGAAAATCAATAACCGGAGCTTTCGTATGCTAAGATTACTGGGCGAGGTGAGCAATAGAACCCTTGCGCCCTGATCCACTTCCAGAAAACTGACTCGGGTTGACAGGGCGGTTTCTCCTACGTCTATCTCGTCCAAGATACTGCCGATTCCTCCATATACGCCCTCAAGAAGATTAGATGTCCGTTTGGGCAGGAGTCTGTCTCACAGGCACTGAAAGAAGTCGAGGCATATACCCTGTTCTCACCACATCCCCATATCATTCAGAGCATCGACCATGCTGTTCAAACCGACAAAAACACTGCTGTTTCCGGGATCGGTAACGACGGAAGCGGAGGTGGCGCCAGCAAGACAGTGTACATCCTACTTCCCTACTATCGCCGAGGAAATCTCCAGGACATGATCAATGCCAATTTGGTTAACCATACCCGCTTCGGCGAGCGCAGACTGATGCAATTAATGCTGGGAGTGTGTAAAGCCCTGAAAGCTATGCACCAATACACAATTCGCAACAATCAGTCACGAAATGCTGCACAGGCTATTCGTAACGAAGCCGCCAATGAGGATGCTGATGCCGCACGCCGGAAAGCTCGTGGTCCTACTCGTGCCATGACGGCAAACCAGACACATCAGGAAGAACTAGGAGATGAGCAGGAACAGCCTCTGATGCCCGAAAATGAAGTTACTCGCGCACAGGAGGGTAAGTCCCCGGGCGACGAGCGTGCCTATGCACACCGAGACATCAAGCCGGGCAACATCATGATCGACGACGATGGACGCATGCCCATCCTCATGGACTTGGGCAGTCTGGCCCCGTCACCAATACCCATTACGAGTCGAAGTCAAGCAATCGCGGTGCAAGACACCGCTGCTGAGCACTGCACCATGCCATACCGAGCCCCGGAACTCTTCGACGTGAAAACAGGCAGTGTCATCGACACAAAGGTCGATATATGGTCCTTGGGATGTACCATGTATGCCTGCTTAGTAGGCAAATCGCCATTCGAGGCACGCTCGGATGAAACTGGTGGAAGTTTGTCCATCTGTGTTTTGGGTGGTGACTGGCGATGGCCTGGTGAAGGCAACGCGACCAAGGGCAAAGACCGAGCTCACCCACCGTCACGGTCTGGCACGCAAGTGAATGGCGACTTGAACCCCACAGGGGGAGCAACAGCAGCAAATCCTTCGGCCGAAAGGGTTTACCCTCACGCTGCCGCGAGGGAAGTCGTGCGCCGTTGCCTACAGGTCGAACCTGCCGACCGCCCCGATGTGGATGAATTAATGACCTTGATTGACACATGTTTGAGCGAACTACCAGAAGACGACGAAGGTGGACCCATCAATGACATGGTCTAGGAAACCCGAATGTCAAACACCACAGAAGACAACGTCTAGGAAGACGCAATGTCAGATGCCTCGGAGGAAACCCTCTTCTTTAATGCCCCATTATCACCACTACTCCTCAGTGACTCGGAAATCCGGTCATGGTTACAGCAGCAACAGTCGCGTCCGGCCAGAGCTGCCTAGGCTCTTGCTGCGATGAGCAATTGTAGTATAAGAGACAGCATGATTTGAATCTGCACGAGGTCTTATAACCAATTGTTCCATGGGTGCTTAGCTGTGTTCCGAGAAACCGAGACTTTTACTCATTGTGCTTCGCAGCGCCAAGTGCTTTGGCCTGATTCATGAACACCTGAACTCAAAGCTAAGGAGCTCTAGCGGAGAGTGAGGGAAAAGTACGATGCGTGGAACGGGAACTGGCGCGGATGTGCTAGAACAACGCGACATTCGATTCCGTCCGTTGTTGGTCGACTGGCTGCTTAGTTCAAGGGTTCTCAATCTGTCACCACAACACATTAAATTAGGGCTTCGTCCACTGTCTGTATGTATGTATAATCACCAATTTGGTTTCTGGATCGTATTCGAGACTCGAGTCAATTCCACGTAATCCTCACTTCTGCCATCTTTCTCGCCACGCCCTGAATGAGAGTAGCTGCTGCGAGAATCATGGCGTGTCGTAGTTGATCCACCGCTCGTGTGTCCGTGGTCTCTTTGTGTAAGTGCAATGCAATCAAGTCTAGAAGCCATTTCACAACCAGAGCAAAGATTGGTGGCCTATCCATGTGGATTCCTGGTTCATTTACTCACCCAAGTAGATATTTCGCTTGCTCGAAAAAAAGTACTTTTTAGAATGAATGGGATCTAACGGAAAAGTGAAGTAAACATATGGCAGCCGTGTGCGCCTCTAGAGTACAATGAGGTCAGGTAGGTCAAGGAGGTGTAGCCCACTCGAGTCCCAGTGGTGATCTGCGGATGCAAGTCGATTAAAAGTGTGTGCATTTTCTCCTGAAGCCTTTTCTCCGCGGATTCCCGGATGTGAGAGACTCGATGGTCTCGCGGAAATCGTAGAGCGTTGGAGGCAGGCTTGAACGACTGGATTAGAAACCAATAATCATTCCTCTCCCAGTTCGGATTCCCATTTCATATCGATCAAACCATCCTCCCATCTGGAATAGCCACCCACCTCCAAGGACTGAACCCATTCTCAATCTAAACATCCAACCTGTGTCTCCGTGATTTCATGTCATTGATTTGTCAAGGAATAGTTTCCCTGCGGTGTTTTCTTTTTGTTCACACCATTCGCGAAACTCCATCATACAACAATTTCTGCGCTAGACTCATTGTCACCTGGACAAAAGTCGTGCAAAATGAGGAATTTCCTCGCCAGCGATCATATAGCATGACAAGGTTTCCGGATATGCAGCCAGGACTTCATCGCCCCTATTCAGTCGCCTTGACAACCTCAGCAGCTTCAGCTGCCGCTGCCGCTGACTCTGGTGCCTTCTCAATTACTTCTGGGGTAGGTAAAGTAGCCTTGGGCTCTTCTGTGGTTGTGACTGGTTCGGTTTCAGCCTCAGCTGCGGCAGGTCCCTCCGAGACAGCCTTGTCAACAGGATCTGGTGAAGTTTCAGATTCATTATCGGCAGCTGACTTCTCGACCGCCTCTGTGGTCGCCTCAGCAGGAGCTGTTTCGTCATCTTTCTTTTCATCGGTTGGCTCTTCGGATTCCTTATCATGAACTCCATTGGTGGTGGGCGTAGACTTGGATTCCTTCTCTCCAGCGCCACCACTTTCATTTTCAGCGGGTTCGGACCCCAAGATCTTGTTCCATTGGCTCAACAGATCAAGCGATCGTTTTCGGAATTGAAATTCTTCGTCTCGAGGGATGGTGTTCAACTTGATCAATGCCTTCAAGACCTTGTTGATCTTGGTTGTGCGAATGATGGCAACCTCCAAATCCGCATAACCCTCGAGTTTCTTGATCAAAGATGACATCTGAGGCATATCTTCCTCCAAGGGAGCTTGATCTCGAGATAAGAAGCCCTTTTGGAGTTTGTGGCGGAGGAAAAGCACTGTAGCTGTTAGTAGTGGATACGGAAAAGGCAGGCAATATGCTAGTTACCTTCTTTCTCACGTGCTTTGCGTGCCTCAGCAGGATCCAGAGGTTTCTCCTCCGGCTCTGGTTCGGCATCGACCATTTCTTCATCGCTAACGACGGCAGCTTTGGACTTTCTCTTCTCTGCTTTGGCCTTGGTGGTCTTTTCTTTCGGCTTCTTCTCCTCGGTTTTGGGAGTTTTGTTGGTGGTCAACTTGATCTTCGTTGTTTTGGGTGTCTTTGCAGGCTAATCAGAACAAGAATCAGAATACGAGCGGTACGAAGGACCTAGAACGCAGAACATACCTTCTCAGATTCCTCGTCATCACTGTCTGCCTCCTTCTTTCTCTTCTTAGAGGACTTCTTGGGGGCGGGTTCGGTATCGGCGTCTTCCATCTCCACGTCCTCGGTTTCAACCTTGGCCTCACTCTTACGCTTCTTCTTGTTCGATTTGGCTGCCTTTTCAGCATCACGGGCTTCTTTGGCCTCTATGTCAGCTTGAAGAGCGGCGGCATGTTCGTCAAGAACCTCCTTGAAATGTTCCAGGTCGTGACCTTCTGCCGCCACTTGGAATGCGGCAATCAGTGCCTTTGATTTGCCTTTCTCTGCAACATCTTTGCAATCTGCGGGGTCCAAAGGAGTCAAATCAGTGTTGGCGATCCATGCGCTGTCATCGTTAGTGTGGGAGATTCGTTTGTGGCACGATCAACTCACAATTCATTGGTATGTAGAAACATGATGGGAAAGGTGCGATCAGCAACTTTCTTCCCGCCTTCGGCATATGCTTCGTTGTAGGTGCCATCTTCTTTCTTGGTTGTGACGGGTCTCGTATTGAGCAAGATATCCGGAAGCATTTCCTCGTCACAAATAATTGAAGGCCATGGCGGATAACTCTTCAGTCTCGCAAGAAAGTAGTCCCCAGGGACAGCGTCAAGGTGAGTGATCTTGGCAATAGACTTTTTCTTGTTAAGCTTCTTGCCTTTGTGCTCAGGAATGCCTGCGGATGACTTTCGCTTGAGAGCAACAGGTTTCTTGCCAGCAGGTGCGCCATTTGTCTCAGGAGCAGCATCTTCAGCTACTTCAGTATCTTTGGCTTCTGATTCGGTCGTGACTGGAGCTTCGGGTTCTGCCTCGGTAGTTGCTTCCTGGGGTTCCTTGGCTGGAGATGAGGTGGACTCGACGGCGCCGTTTGCGGTCACGGCATCTAGACTCTGTCAGCATTGCCATCCCACACCTGTGTATTTGCCACTTACCAGTGGTCTCGGTCGGTTTGGACTCGGAGGGTGCATCTGCTGGCAAAGCTCCTGACATTTCGGCAGCAGGACCGGAAGCAGGCTCTGCGAGGGAGGGAGGTGCTTTCTCTTCAGGTTCTGGAACGTTGACAGGTACCTTGACCTGAGGCTGCTCTGACTCGGCCATGGTAAAGTGAGAAGGAAATAGGACAGTAGTGACGCGTTGGGAGGTCGCGATAGAAGAGGTCGCGAGATCTGCTTGCAAGACGATTTAGCAATGGTTTTGGTGGATGACAGAGATTTGAGTAAGAGACAAGGATGCTCGAGTGTCTTGAGGGAAGGAAAGTTGACTGCGCGCAGCTGAATTGGATGACGCGACGGCAGAGGTCGAGCAAGTCGCAGCAGGGCAAGAGCAAAAGACAACACCGAGGATGAGAATGGGAGGGAGACTGACTTGTGACCACTCGGTGAGGGTTATAAAGGGTATGCGACAAAGATGATGATGGAGAGGTGGTGGACGAGGAAGGATATGAGAAGTGTCGCGCGATGACAAGGAAAGATTGTGAACTGCAGCAATGGAGAAAGTTGAAGCAGGAACTGGAAGAGGCAGCGTAACAGAGAGGGAAGCGCTAACCACGGAAATGGCACTGCCTCTTGTCTGACGAGGGTTTTCTCAACCGCCAAGCCCAGCAGCTTCACCACGCCCACTGCGTAACACAATGCTCCAGCAACCACAGCAAGGGCTTGCCTCTTCTTCTCCTTTTGAATGATTGGAGGATGCAAAGAAGAGTCGATGCAAGAAAGACAAACTCACTTTAGTTTTCAAGTCGGTCGTTGTTGCGCAACGAGCACAATATTGATCCTGCCAAAACTGTGATCTTTGGGAGCAGAGCGGGGATAAGTGTTTGCGTCTCCGGCAGTCCTCGTCTGACAAGGCCGAGAAATGGCAATGTCAATGACAATGGCAGTAGACCAAGCACTGCAATGCTGTGCAATTCATCTAGGTACCTAGCTGGTGACAGTCCAATGCAAGAGTGATAATCTCAGGTTGTTGATGGAGGGTACCCGACTTGACTCTATCATGGATCACCCACTTCAAGGAGTGAAGACTGCTCTCTCAGGATAGGAGATGGCTGGGATGCATGCACCCTCTGCCGTCTCCACGGGCTCACTGGCAAGCTGAGGTTGGGATGGGATGTGGCGACACCATCTCACACCGGCACATCACCCGGTTGCTATCTCTTCCCTCGAAATGCGAACTGAAATGCTTTGTGATTGTTTCCCCTTTTTTTTTCTGTTGTGCTTTTTTTCTAGATATCATTAATCCAAGAACTCGAACTTACAATTGAGACAGATAAGATTATGCCACTTGTTGGCAGGCGTGATGAAGACGGCTATGCCATGGTGCTCCGCCTCCAGCATTTCGCCCAGGAGAAATTCGGTGGAGTATATAACTTGTCACACACTTACACTTCTCACAACAATGATCAACCGTATTCTCAATATTGACAGTCACTTTGCATTTCCTCGTCACCTTCCCTCGCCATTTCTCACAAGATGCATACTTGTAGAGCTTGTTACGCTCTGTGCCTCGTACACTACCCGGCCCGTGAATTGTCTATTGTATCGTCAGCCTTTGGTTTCTTGACGTCAGGCTGATCTTTCGAATGGAAGCTACTCAGTCTCCATACCGGTGACCTACGATTCCTTCACAAAAGGTGGGAAGAATGATCCTCTTCAGGATATGGTAGTCCGACCAACAGTTCAATAACACTACACAGTAATAAAGGTTTACCTCAGTCGCCTGGTCTTGAAATTTTCGGGTCTCACTTAAAGTTCCACATTGGCCAGAGCATCCAAATCTTCCCATTATCCAATATCCAGGAACTCGTCTCGCCTCATTGCTCCTGCAAATTGATGCAATAGACTCTAGATTTTTACCCCCTACAGGACCCCATCTTGACAACTATGGTAAGCCAAAGATTCTTCTTCGTGAGTTAGTTTGTATCCTTGAAGATTGAATTCAAATCTCCGCTCGCCAGTATGAGGATGACGAGGCTCCCATCATGGCGATCTACATCCGCATACATATTACAGATTAGCCAGGTCGGGCTTATTTTGTTATGTGCATGTATTTCTTTGTGCTTGATTCAATCTTGCTCCATCAAGATTTTGCTGCATTGGAACATTGGGAAGCCCCTTCTGAGAAGCAATCCCTGCACTGGCTGAGACAATTGACTGAACAGGCTTGAGAGAGAAAATCAGGATTATTGCATCTCGACCAATTCGAGGTACAATCACTGGAATCTTCCAGTATCGTAATGGAGGCGGTTGGAACTGCAATCAACCAGACCAATCATGCCATACCGGGTTCGTTCTGTCTCTAAAGTCTCAGATTCGTCGCCTCTCGCAGGTATCGATTTTGCTCAATCTCGATATAATGAAAGCCACATCACTTTGATCTGGAGTTCTCCTCGACTTCCAAGAACACCAGAGACTACTGTTACCTGCTGATAATCTCCTCCAACTCCCATCTTCCACCTCATGATTGGAAAGGACATTTTCTGTCAAATACCACTCACCCTGCTCTTTCAACATTTGGACTTCTGCGCTCTACCAGGCTGGCCGCACAGGCACCATGCACAAGCTATTTCCGTTTCTCGCTTTGCTGTCCATTTGTGCCTCAGACAATAGCTATTTCACGGTCCCCGAAACCTGGAACTACGATACAGAAGAATTTTCGAATTATGTCTACCAGATCGGAATTGATACGGTCTTCGAATGGTATACTGATCTGGATTATGCTGCTATATGTATTACCTGCGATAATGGCAATCATTTCGATGAGATTACAGGTACATCAACGACAAATCCGCTCCGGATTGTTGCAGTAATCTGCTAAATACTCAGATAGGAACCGAACAGGGCGCATGGTCCTATCGATGGGCGGCCGAACTACCACTTATGTCTGTCGAACTCGACTCAGGAGATGTCCAATGTGTCCTTGCCATTGCAGACTACCAGACCTACAAGATCTTCAACTATTCTCAACCCTTCTTACTCAGGTCAGCTGAAGGATTTGAAAGCATTCCGAGCGTGGTCACGTCCTACATCCTAAGCACCGCCACCATGGTCTCATTCACCGCGCGCCCTACTGCCACATATTCTGATGGGGTCTCTTACTCGAGCGACTCCCCTCAATACGATCCAGCGGATGGCTCAGAGAAGGTCTCGAGCAACAATACACTGATCGGAGTTGCAGCTGGTTTGGGTGGTCTTTGGGGTTTGACGCTTTTGAGCCTGGCTGGATTTTGCTTCTACTGGACGCGGAAGCAGCGTCGCCGGGAAGGGCAGCGACAACCAGAACAAGAGGTCGTCCCTTACAATCCTATAATGGTACCATATCACGCACATACCACAGAGCCTGCTCCACCATTCACTTCAGAGATGGTCACGACGAGAGCGCCACAAGACCCCAAAGCTCCAGTCACAGGCCGCGAAACACTCACTGCACTTCCGAGCATGGGATGTCGAAGCACCACTCACAGTAGCGTGGTATCCGAATTGGCTGGATAGTGGTAGGGTTGCAGCCATTGGCTATGGTATCAATTCGATTTGTCCCAAATGCTTCTCACGAAAGTGAACCTCAAGAAAGCCATATCTATTCATCTGGCAGACAAGGAGTCGAATGCAAATGGATGCGGCACATAGTCTTATCGATCTTCTTTTGTTATGTCCAGCCTTTCAGCGCATTTTTCTTATGTAATTGGGTGTCCAAGTCAGGGGAAATATTCTAATGCAAATCCTACCACAAAAGAGATGAAATTTCCTCTGCAATCCTCGTCGTTGTGATATCACTCGCGTGTGACCTTATGGTGTAGGCGTCAGCACGAACGCCTGACAGTAATGCTGCATGGCAGGGACACCTGAAGCATCACTCCGAAATATATATTAGATTTTTGATGGTAGCATTCTCACAAGCTACGGCCACGGGAATCTCTGAGATTTCATACTTGATCACATTGCACTCAGTGCCACGATGATTCATTTGAGAAAGAAAGCTGTCTCTACCATATAGCCCGTCGTGCTTAGAAATTGCGTTGTGAGGGTTTATCAGTGGGTTGAGTATCGTCAACGTTTTACAAAAACTTGAAAAAAAAGAGGTCCTCCTGGGGCTCGAACCCAGAATCTCCTGATTCGTAGTCAGACGCCTTACCATTGGGCCAAAGGACCCGGCAATTGAAATCCACAGAGGGATGAATCACTCGTGGCCAATTCCTGATGAAATTTTTGCAGCTCAAAATTATATCTCACTCACTTTTGTGTCCTAAAATAGCTACCTCGGTATTTTACGATGCTAAGTCTGAGCGCACCTCGCTCTTTGACGCACTCATTGGCAAGTTAAATTGGTACTACGTGACTATCTAATGCCCAATCAACACGATTTTCAAGCATCATAATCATATCGCGAAATCAACCGAGAACAATACCTAGGTAGAGCAGCGGCAGTTCGTTGCCCTCATTCGGGTTAGCTTTGTGCCTTCTTGGCATCAAATTGGAGATCCCCCCTCCTGCCTGCGAAATTTAATTGAGGGTGCCGCCTGGACGATCTCGCAAGATACACGCCAATAAACTCATCAGCGATTGAGTCTTGAGATCTTCCAGTTGAGGAGGAATATCACTGTTGTATCGAATCTACGTTGTCTCTCAAAATACCAATACAACATATTGAGGCAAGCCATGTCGGGTATGTTCGCTGAACTTTCATGGCGAATCCGTCTGCTAATGTACGCTTTCAGCGACACAACTTCTCAACCCGAAAGCAGAGAGCCGGCGGCGTGGTGAAGCGCTCAAGATCAATATCAGTGCAGGTGAAGGCCTTCAAGATGTTCTCAAGTCGAATCTGGGTCCTTCCGGCACCATCAAAATGCTGGTAGATGGCTCAGGACAAATAAAACTCACAAAAGATGGCGCAGTGTTGTTGAAAGAGATGTCCATTCAAAATCCCACCGCTACTTTGATTGCAAGAGCCGCCACGGCGCAGGACGAGATCACAGGCGACGGAACCACCTCAATCATTTTGTTGATCGGAGAACTCTTGAAGCAGGCAGACAGATATATTCAAGAAGGCCTACATCCCAGAGTGATTGTCGACGGGTTCGAGATTGCAAAAACAGAGACTTTGAAATTCCTTGACACATTCAAAATCGAGAAGGAGGTGGATAGAGAACTTCTTCTGTCTGTTGCAAGAACGTCATTATCGACCAAAATCAACAAAGCCCTCGCCGAACAACTCACACCCTCAATAGTCGATGCGGTCCTTGCCATTCAAAGACCACCAAACAAGCCGGATCTCCACATGATTGAAATCATGAAACTACAGCACAAAATGGGCACCGACACGCAATTAATCCGAGGCTTGGCCTTAGACCATGGAGCACGACACCCAGACATGCCGAAACGAGTGGAGAACGCATTCATCCTCACCTTGAATGTATCCCTGGAGTATGAAAAGTCCGAAATCAATTCCGGCTTCTTCTACAACTCTGCCGAACAGCGTGATAAGCTGGTAGCCTCAGAAAGACGATTTGTCGACGATAAACTGAAGAAGATCATCGCCCTGAAGAATGAAGTCTGTGCTTCCGACCCAAAGAAGGGTTTCGTACTCATCAATCAAAAAGGAATTGATCCTCTCTCCCTTGACGTTTTAGTCAAGAACGGAATCCTCGCCCTTCGTCGTGCGAAGCGACGAAACATGGAGCGGCTCCAACTTGTCTGCGGAGGCCAAGCACAAAACAGTGTCGAAGACCTGGATCCCTCTGTCCTCGGCTGGGCAGGTCTCGTCTACGAGCAAACATTGGGAGAGGAGAAGTACACATTTGTGGAAGAAGTCAAGGACCCGAAGTCAGTGACCATCTTGATTAAAGGACCCAACCAACACACTATTGCTCAAATCACCGATGCAGTCCGAGACGGTCTACGTAGCGTCTACAACACAATCGTCGATGGATGCGTCGTACCTGGAGCGGGCTCCTTCCAGATCGCAGCGGCAGCACATCTCTCTTCAGAGGCCGTGCGCAAATCCGTCAAGGGAAAAGCCAAATGGGGCGTGGCAGCATTTGCTGATGCTCTGCTCATCATCCCCAAGACTCTGGCTGCCAACAGTGGCCATGATATTCAGGACGCCCTCGCAGCGCTACAGGATGAGCACGCTGAAGGTAATGCCGCGGGCCTGGATCTCGTTACGGGAGAGCCAATGGATCCCGTACAGGAGGGTGTCTACGACAGCTTCCGAGTGCTGCGCAACAGCATCGCGAGCAGTCAAGGAATCGCAAGCAATCTGCTTTTGTGTGACGAGTTACTGAAAGCTCGCCAGATGAGTCGACAAGCGCCGCCAGGAGGCATGGAGCAGGAGTAGAAGGTCGTTAAAGTTGCGGAACTGGTGATAACGACACCGCGGAGATCGAATACCGCGCACACTGGATTGTATGAGACAAAACAGCGATCTGTGTATGATATCAATGCAGGAGGATACCGGGACTTCCTTGAGCTATGACTACCGGGCTGATATCTGCAAAAGAGCACAGGTGCCGATAGTGTGGGCAATGATGCAAGGCGACAGCCGGAGAAGGTATCCTCACCTTGGAATGACAGCTTGATGATTTATAAATGTGTTGGGACATCGCGTGTATCACGGCCTAGCATGTTGAGAGTGTCACTCTAACACGGTCACGTCCAAGGCAAGGCCTCCGGACAAATATCCTTCGCGACCACCGTCACAACGGCCCAGAGCGAAATCTGCGTTTCATGTCAGCTGGAGGCCGAAAGTATGATGACAACGAGGCCCAGAAACGCCGAGGCTGAGCTCTTTCCATGTATTGAGATAGGACATGAGAGACGTACATTCACAGTCAGAGAGGTAGCTTCTTGCTGGCCTCGTCAAGGGTAGATAGCATAGTCGACTGCAACGTCGTATTAGGTAGGAGGGCAGCTTTCCTACCTGTGGAACGTTTCTCAAAAGAATCAACAACCTGAAAAACTTCACTGCAATTGCTCCAGATGTGTAAATCGCCTCACCAGTTGATAAATAAGTCCACAAAATAGCCATAAGTACTTCACCTCATGTCTAGTTCGGATCGTTCCATTTTGTCATTTCGATTCATTTGGTTGCACCTCAGATAAGAGTATCTAGGTCCATCTCCCGTATTCGCATTTAGCCAGACATTCATCGACCACTCTACTGCAATTCAAGGAAATACACCTATCGAGCATATATAATCTGAATTGATGTATCATTCCATGCGATCTTTGGTATCTACCCACATCAAAACCCGTCCGAACTGAGAGCTCAATTTTTCCCTAGTCGAGTTTTCTCCATCTACCGAGAGAGATAGAGAGAGCAACCAACCAACCAGCGCTTGGACACTTGGCCTGGTCCAGTAGCATCTGGGAGATTGCCATCCAAGACCGAAGCCGAGCAAGCACTAGGGTGCACAAAGGAAGGACGATGTATAACCGAGAGGGGGTGTTGCATGTCTGTTTGATTTCTTGAAACCCCAAATAGCAAGTATCAATGCTTCTTGTCCCATATGTTGCTCATCGTGTCATTGATGCGCTGTTGCTGCAGTCGGATCTGGTCGTCAGTCTGACCTCGGGCATTCCCTCGAGAGTCGATTTCCATGGCATCGACATCAGAGCTTGGTGGCTGTGCGCCCTCTGCAGGTCCATGGCCGCCGAGAGCTTCTTCTCCTTGGATCTGTTGGCCCTGGTCGTTGAGGACTTTACTGCCGTTGACCATCTCCGGCTTCGGCTTGGGATCCAGACTCATTGCACCGTCGTGGCCCGCGGCCATCAGTCCTCCGCCTTCGCGCAATTTGTTGATCGCTCGTACTGTGTCGATGGCTTTGTGTAGGGTTCTTCTGGCGTTGAAATTCTTCTTGACCGTAGGGAGGAGATCTTGGCCTTCGCCCACTTTGACTGGGCTGGTGGGGTCGTTGGATCTTATCCATGGATGCTGGAGGGCTTGGTGCGATGTCATACGTGCTCGCGGGTCGACCGTCAAGCATCGCTTAATGAAGTCTCGTGCTGGCTCTGATACGTTACGCCAATACTCAACCGGGGTGAACGAGTAATCGGCCGCTAAGATGGCCTGCATTTCTTCTAGGTTGGAATCTCGATCGAAAGGGGTGTATCCGCAAAGAAGGAAATATGTGATCACACCGATAGCCCAGATGTCACTAGATCACAATTCTGTTAGTATGCAGCAAAATACATCCCAGAGTTGATACATACACTGGCTTTCCATGGCCAGACTTCTTGAAAATTTCTGGTGCCATGTAACCAGGGGTACCACAAGTGGTAGTCAGGACATGAAACTGTTCCTCGTCCATGATTCTTGAAAGCCCAAAATCAGCGATGAGTAGATCTGCGTTATCTTCCGGTGTGCGGAAAAGTAAGTTCTCGGGCTTCAAATCTCGATGGACAATGCCATGATCGTGCAGGTAAGCAACCGCCGATAGTGTCGCTCGAATCAGGTCGGCCGCATCGGACTCGTAATATGAGCCTTTCCGACAGATACGATCGAAGAGCTCTCCTCCGAGAGCAAGGTCGGTGACAAGATATACTGAAAGGAGTTAGCCACAGGCGACAGTTTTGGAGATTTGTACGTGCGTACGGTTGTTCATGGTCTCAAAGTAATCGACCAGAGTCAGAATGTTGCGATGTCCAACAGAGACCCTTTTGAGAACAGCGATCTCATTGCGAACCTGTTGAGATCGTGTCAGGCAATATTTGCTGCTGTGTCTGATCTTTTAGACCTACCATATGCTCTCGACCAGCCATAAGGCGCTTGTTGATGACTGCGAAGCAGGGATAAATCAATATGGGTGCTCAAGATGCTCAAGGATGCACATAATGAATGGTACCTTTAGCAGCATAATATCTGCCCGTGTCGATGTGTACACATTCCTTCACCACCGAGTAGGAACCTGCGCCGAGTGTTTTTCCTGAAAGATGTAAGCCGACTGGTATGCTCTGCTAAGGTCTGCGACGCACCTGTCTTGTACCTGCAAGGCTGAATCTGGGGTTTCTGAGTGCCTGCCTGTGCCATCGCGGGAATGATTTCAGCCTTGTGAACTACTTCTTGCTGCCTAGACGGCTGTGATAGAGACGGGAGGTGTGGGATGGACGAAGAACGAGGGTGAGCGGCGCACGGTAAATACCAGTGGTGGGGGCGGAGATGGGCAGACAATGGGAGGACACTGCTGGCAAGAATGAGAAATAGAAAGCGTCGAACGAATTGTGAAGGAACTTGAGAAGTGTTGCTATCGTGGCCTGAGAAGCAGTCCAGCTGAAAGCCTCGAGTCAATCGCTGCTGATTTGATGCTTCAACAATCGTATCTGCGTCCTGGTCCCTCCAACTCCGTAGTCTCGACTCCAGTCTGCTTCCCCCTCCATGTCAGCGACTCCATTTGGCCTAGTTTTCCAATCACGTGCCATGTCTGGAGCCCTGCCAAATACAGCCTAGCCTCCAAAGATGGTAGGTTCGGATTTACGTTTCTCCCTCACTATCAATCTTTTTCCGCCTGGGCCAATCAAAACTTCTTTCAACAATTTTATCTGAGCATGAGTCAAATTTGACTTAGATAGAACTATTCTTTCAGACAACTCAGCGAGGTGTTCCTAGAGACTTGTTTGGAAAATCACGCTGGAGCTCTTGGAATATCAAAAGATGAGTCAACCAGCTAAAAATGAGAACCCAGTCCGGCTATGGGGTGGCAGGTTCACGGGCAAGACGGATCCCCTGATGGACCAGTATAACGAGAGCCTGTCAATAGATCGGGTCTTCTATGCTCAGGATATCCGGGGCTCAATAGCCTACGCAAGAGCAAACGTCAAGACGGGGATCCTCACACCAAAGGAGTTTGAAAAGCTCGAGGAAGGACTCATTGCCGTTCTCAAGGAGTGGGAAGAAGGCAAGTTCCAGGCCGCGCCTGGGGACGAAGACATCCACACTGCCAACGAGCGGCGACTAGGCGAGATCATCGGCACGAATGTCGCGGGAAAGCTGCATACTGGTCGGAGTCGCAACGATCAAGTCGCGACCGACATGCGCATGTGGCTTCGCGATGAGCTGGTTCTGATCGAGGGATACCTGGTCGATCTGCTCAAGGTCATTGCTCATCGTGCCAAGCAGGACATTGACTACATTATGCCGAGCTACACGCATCTGCAACGAGCTCAGCCTGTGCGGTGGAGCCAATGGCTGCTCAGCTACGCGACGGCGTTTCAATCTGATCTGGAGCGTCTGCGTTTTACGAAGAAGAACATCAACAAGCTTCCCCTCGGATGCGGCGCCGTGGCTGGAAATGCTTTCGGCATTGACAGAGTGCAGCTCGCAAAAGAACTGGGATTTGACGGTCTCATCATGAACAGCATGTCTGCAGTGGGAGACCGGGATTTTGTCGTTGAGGTACTCCAGTGCGCATCCACAATTGGCAGCCACTTGTCTCGATGGTCGGAAGACCTCATCATCTACAGCTCGTCCGAGTTTGGCTACGTGAAACTGGCCGACGCATACACTACGGGGAGCTCGTTGATGCCCCAGAAGAAGAACAGCGACTCGCTAGAGCTGTTACGAGGCAAATCCGGCAGGATATTTGGGTCCATGGCCGGTTTGATGATGAGTATCAAAGGAATTCCATCCACATACAACAAAGATTTACAGGAGAGCTTGCAACCCATGTTGGACACTGTCAAGACGTTGAAGGATGGTCTCCAGATTGCTGCGAGGTCGTTGGCAACTGCGACCGTCTCTCCAGATAAGATGCGCGCTGCACTGAGCCCGGACATGTTGGCGACGGATCTCGCTGAATATCTGGTCAGAAAAGGTAAGACTCGATTCCGATCATATCGCATCCTACCAGATGAACCTACCTTGCTAACATCGACGTAGGAGTACCGTTCCGCGAGACCCATCACCTGGCAGGCAGGATGGTCGCGCTCGCCGAGGACGAGAACAAAGGCATGGACGAACTCACCGTCAAGCAGTTCCAAGGTGTAGACAAGAGGTTTGGAGACGATGTACTGGACGTGTTTGATTATGAGCGCTCAGTCGAGCTCAAGAATACCACAGGGGGCACAAGTCGCCGAGCAGTCTTGGAGCAACTAGAGGCACTGACAAAGACGCTGGGGGTCTCTTGAACTCTGCTATGTTCCTCGCCACAGGAATCTGAGGATGGCAGGCCGACATTTGAACGGTATCTTCCACTTATTCCGAACTTGCTGAGGCCGAGCTCAAGAGAGGTTGCAATGGTTACCATTACGCAGTACGGATTTGAGAAGCAAGGTCGAAACATCTGCTTGTCCCGTTGTTTGGACATGTGGAGGGCAACGCATCTCAATGATACCCCTTATACCTTCCATGTGCCTGTCTTTTCTGGCTGTTACATGTCACAGAGATTTGCGTCTCTCCTGCCGGTGATTAGACCTAGGAGGTCCCAGCTCCCATTCTTCAGAAACCATGTCCAGCCGGGCAAGTCATCCACAGAGTCTGGCATCTTGTGCCAGACTTGAGTGATTCACATAGTGGGAATGGCCTCCGTTCCTCCTTTCCGCTTCGTCCCCCGTAGATCGCCATAAAAGAGATGTTGGACAAAGGTCATGCGATCGAGATACGAACCGTACCACAAATTGGCGCAAATGCCCCAATCACTTACCGCTCGCTAGTAACTCCCACGAGTGGTGAGCTGCCAGTCTCTCAGACGATGTTATCGAAGCCTGGAAAGAGAGTTCACGCCGCGCCGAACTTCTGTCTTGGCCAGAGATGGCGAGTGTTTCCGACCCATAGCCCCAAGGGCGGTATTGCGCCGGAGTGGCTACAGGAAAAGCCAAGCCCCACTTGGAAGTTATCGAAGTTTCGTCCTTGGGAAAAACGCTCGTGGAGACACAGCGGAGCCTTCACGAGCAGTCGGTGCGCATGTTTGGAGCCCGATTTCTGACCGATTATTCTCATTACCGAGTGTCGAGAAGTTTCGGTGCGGTGCTCAGATAAAAAGGTGCAGAGGCCCGGCCCGAGGCCTCACGGACCTGCGAACCTGGACTCGTCGAACAATCACTATTTCGACGTTCGTACACCCGCTGGTTTGTAGAGAATTTGAAGACCTGGCACAGATTCTGACCTTACCTGGGTACCGGGTGATGATATGTCACTGGTATGCGTGGCTTGCACGGCATGCATTTCCCTTTCCTGGCCACTTTTTGAGTGCTGCCACCGCCGGATACTCGGGTACGAACCAGTCTGGAACTGGTCGAGTACCCCACCCGTGCCACCAGTTGCATTCTAAGCTTGAGCTGTCACACTTGTCACCGCGATCTGACTTTTCGTGAGGATCATGCCTCCTCCTCAAACTATGCTTGTATTTGATCGTAACATGTGAAGCGCAGCCCACTCTGAAGGATGTAACAGACTATCTCTTCTGTACTACAGCCGCTCGGACCGTCTAACCCTGAGATGTGTTTGTTTGACACACAGAAACAAACATGTCTACAGCAGAAATTCTCACCAAGTGCACAAAGCCAAGACAAGTATGCACATAATGACCTGGATGGTTCTGCGAACCTCATCATTCGGAGGCCAATGATCGGCCCCGGCATGTTGATTTCATCTGGTGACCTCCGCCGGAACAGTTCGAAGCCCAATGGGGCGGTGTAAATGTCAATTTGGACAGATGCGTCCCAAGCACGAGGCTAGTAGTTGGGTGGAAAGACAGCGCAACTTTTACCCCTGTCCCAGGTCCTTGTGATCTCAATGCTCATCACTTCGTACTCTCCTCGATAGACAGAAGTAGTATGAGGGATTATCGGCTTGCTACGCGGCCACCATTGGAGGTGTCTGTACTGGGGAAAGCTCAAAAAGAAAGAGCTTCATATCAAGGTGATGTAGAAACAGAGCCCGGATTTGTTTTCCACATACTGCAGGAACCTGCATTGAAGCCAATGTGTCACGAATCAACCTGGAATTCCATCTGCAAGATGCATCAAGAACACACCTTCGCCCTCTACTCTCTATTAGCGTCCCAGAACTCCGGGTCTCCTAAACCCCACAACAGATGAAAGGCATGAATACGCTCTGGCTTGCAGGAACGTGCTTTCATTATTCAACAGTGGACTGTGAAACTCGTTTCCATTCATCAATCTTGGCGAACTTATGATGAACCGTAGTTCCGGTTGGGCGTTCAATGCGCCAGTCCGGACTCCGGATAGCTTGCCACCCATTTACCAGTAAATGGTTGAAGTTATGTCCGAAACCCAGTTTTGTGTTGGGGTTTGAGTTTTTCCTGGATCCCTTGAAACTCGGAAATGCCGTCATCTAGACCCACCAGGAACCACCGCCTTGGAGCGTCGTACGAAGTTCTGAGTACCTTTTCAGGTAGTTTCATGGCATAGCCAGCCTGAAATAATCTTGCGAGCGGTGTGACTGTTCTTTCCATCCAAGTTAATGAAGCTTCCATCGAAATAGTTAGACCGGCACCTACCTGAATACCCAGTAGGTTCATGTTTACAAGGTACCTCTTGATTGCTTTGAATTTGGTGAATGTATACAGGTTGCTTTGCCACTCCCACTTAGCAAGGACGGAATTGGGGGAGCAGTTTCAATTCTTTGCGGAGCAGTTCCTTCAGGAACCATGTGAGGAGGAGTAGAATTGGAGATCAAGTGGATCGTCTCACGTACTTCGTTTTTCAACGCTGGAAGGGTGTCGCGGGATGTCGATTGACTTTAGGTCCACAAACTGACAAGGATAAATCCAAACTCGTATTCCTACATACTCGTACACGACCAAATAAAATGTACTCGTAGAGGAATTCGAGTTCCGTGTCCCACAAACAATGTAAATCTTGTCCTGGGGCATGCCAGTGCAAGCCCGCGCACCCGAGGTGCTCGCTGCCTAGGTTAGTTAGGAGTTGAATTTCGCCCAACCTGGTCATAAGCGGCACGACCCGCTCGCCTGGGTCACTCGTTAGGGCCTTGAGGTTGAATCTCGGTGCTCGTACACTTGTAAGATACTGAGTACCGGGTACCTAGTGGCATTAGCTCGTGATCGCCTGAGAATGTCCTCGTGGTTCTTTCCACACCTCCGCGTTCTGAGACCCTAGATGATGCAATTTCTGTAGAGTCACGGGAAAATCAGAAGATTGCGTAACGGCAGTCGTTGCCTGACCACCTTCCACTAGTCTATTAGTGATTATTTGGCACATTGTTGGAGCTTGACTTGAGTCGGCATGATACTTTGATCATATATTGATTAGCAAAGCTTGACTGACTGGGGGTACGCTTACCAGGCTTTCGATAAGAACATAATCGATGGAATTAGGCTTTTAGCCGTAGTATTTCAAGTCATTCTGGAGTCTGGACGGATTGATGGCAGCCATGATTCTCAATTTCTCTACCTGCCGTTAGTGTTTGGGTCCTCAACCACGCTATCCAGCTGGCAATTTCTGGGCGGGCAGAACGGAATCCGCGATTTGGAGGGATGGCAACCAGCTATGACAGCATACGGATAGGCATCCCAGTGTTTTGAAAGGTTTTCTCAGCTCCCCGTTGGTGATGCCTTGTCACCGGATCCGCAACTTTGGTCCAACTTGCGCCAACCACACCATCAAATGCTGCGATATTCCTGAGAGTCTGACCCTGGCGTGTAGGCTTGTGGATCAGCACCAATAGCAGCAGGTGTTTCCAGGAGACTCAGCTAACGCCTAGGGTTCCTAGACTCATGCACAGAAGCACATTAGGATTCAAATTACGTCTTCGCACTTTCACCGTCAGCATTCACGGCCAATTCTCTTTGTTGCGTTCTCGGCACACTCCTCTTCAGTCCGAGATTGGAACGGGCATAGGAAGCCGAGTATTACATCCCAGCCACAAACATCCTCACAAAGTGAGACTGAACTTCCCTTGGCCACCACTGTATTGATGGTTGGGCCAACTATCGTCACGTGAATCTGTAGGGCTAGGTCAACAGCCGCAGGACCTGCCTCTGCTAAACTTGGAGCCTGAGCGATCCAACAAACTCAAATCAGGCTGGCGAAACCGATGTCAGAACTGCAGAGCGCGCGGGCCGGGAAGTCGTTGCTTCATCTTTGCCAGCGGTTGTTGAACCTTCCTGGTGAAACATTTGGGATCCCGAGGAGTGTGAAGAATTGTGTCCAAAGCCTAGCACTAGACAAGAATCATACTAGTTGAAGTAGATCTAAGCAAGCTTCGGGAGACAGGACTCGGATGCGCCCGGTACTGGCTGTTTGACGGTTAAAAACAGAGTCCGCTGCTACATCGTCAGAGTTGCATCAACATTCTGACGTGGAGATAGTTCACTCGTGTATCCCAGACAAGTTTTTGTGGTATCGAGATAACAAAATCCAGGCCTCGTCAAATTTGAACACATAACAGATGGTTATGGGAGAAGAATGACACTCCTGCTCGTCCAGAAGGATGTACCATGGACAACAATTAGCCTGATAGTCAATAACAAAAATAGGATTGTGTAGAAAGTCCCCCTTTCTCCTGGATTGTCCTAAACATTTAGTACAAATCATCGGCGATCCGACATGAAGTCTTTGTCGGTCTTGACCCTTTAATCCAGCACATGGGCTGCAGATGCTATTGGGTTCCGGACTGTTGGGTTTCTGCTTACACGTTCGGGTTCTTGGTGATTGAAGATTAGGAAAGTTTGTTCCAGCTGATTGCGGGCATTTGCTAATCTGTCCACTCTCGCAACGGATTGGCTGTTTCCTGCTACTTGAAGAGAAGTTCCACGTGCGAGCCACATTCATTCTTCGTGTGGAGATTTCGTTGATTGTGCTGAGAATTAGTATGCAACCTGTCTACTTGACTTTCAGAGTGGGGTCCATGTATCCGTGGCCTTGAAAGCGTCAATAGCGTGCAGCCTGCCCATTTTCCTTTAACACCTTAATTAGCGGATTGCTGAGCATACGGTATGAATATGCCACGTTTCCAGGCTATATTTTGAACAAAGCAGATTGGATGAACCGTAGGTAAAGCCCACAGAGTCAGACGTTGATCAGCGTTGGCGTTAATGTTGATTTAGAGCCTTTAATATCGACGCATGGCGCGATACCCAAGACCCAGGACTGAAATCCACGAAGGCACACCCGCAGTCCTCAACCGTTTCCAAGTACAATCGCTCTGAAGGCACTGATCGTCAACTTTCCTTGCACCTCCCCTCCTGTGGCTTGACTTTTGCGGTCCTTCTGGCATGGCCGAATCGTGAGTTTGCAGCCCTTGGCCCCTTTATGAAGCTGACCACGTCGGGCATTCCAGCCAGTCGAACAGGTATGATCGCAAGATCACATACCTTGAGCGAGAATACCAAGATTACTCCTTCAGACGTGAGATATACCTCGCACCAATTGACCTGGTCAGTTCCGAAAATTCGAACCTCGGTGTTGAAAAAGCTCACCGATTGGCGCAGGAGGAAGAGACCCGACTTCAAGATCAGCATGAGATGTTGAAACTTATATATCATGATTGGGATAACGCACTCCACCCAAATTTTATTCAGGATCCAGAGGCGATTCTTGACTGTGGATTTGGATCCGGGAACTGGGCGTATGATTTAGCAGAATACGATTCAAATTGCTCAGTAAGTTGCCCTCACACGGCGCTGCGATGAATCATATTCAAGGCTGGTCAGGTTACGGGAGTCGACATATGCCCCTTAATGGCACCAACGGATCAACTGGAGAACATGGATCTGCAAGTGAGTTCAACAATGATCGTCAGTGGCACTTGTCAATGCCCTGATTCTTTTGATTGAATAACGGTCACCAAGGGCCTTGCTAAGTAGTCGTCAAGATCGCCAATCTGAATGAGCGTTTGGATTTTGCTGAGCCAGCAACATTCGATCTAATTCACTCTCGCTTTCTCGCAAGCGGAATCGCGGTAAATAGATGGCCGAATTACATACGAGACATACACAGGTATGGTAAAGCTCCAATCTTTGATCCGTTCGCATTTGACAGGTAACACCGTGACAGGTTGCTGCGGAATGGGGGCTGGGTGCAGATAACTGAGTGGGACTTGACTTTCCGCTCGGACACAGGAAACATGGATGACCTGCAGGCACTGCAAGAATGGACAAGACTGTACATTGAAGGGCTGGGGCGGACACATCGTGCTGAGGGGAGAAAAAGTGCCAGGGTGACACATGATTGCGAGACTTGGTTGAGAACGGCCGGTTTTGTCAACGTGAGCTCCGATGTTCGAGACGTGCCGACCTGTACGTGGCAGATGGGTAGGTCTATATGAAATATTGAGAGAAGTTATGGTGAATTGCTCGGCTGACAACTATCCAGACGAGCGGCAGCGAACAATCGGCGCAGCCAATCTGTCCAACCTCAAAGACCTCATTCGATCATTAGCCCAATATCCCATCGTCAATCGAGGTGTGCGCAGCTTCGAAGAGTTTGGAGCACTGGTAGAGGCAGCTTGCAGCGAACTTGAAAATGCTGCTGCTCGCCCGTACATCAGACTGTAAGACCTCGCCATGGAGCCACGAAATGTGACTGACCACTCGGACAGACACACCATGTTTGGCATGAAAACATGAGACTCGACGCAACAAGCGAAGAAGTCGCCATTCCAACATGATATAAACTCACACGGTCGTAGAGCTATGCTGAATGTTCGTCAGAAATATACCAGTCTTGCAGATCAAGTCGCCTAGACGAGTCTCTCGTGGGAGAGCTACAGATCCTCAGTTGACAAGATCTTGCATCAGATCAAGCGCCAATAGGTGGCCCGCTCGCTCGAGGCGTTATTCCACAACTCTGCCAAAGCGGGTATCATGAGTGTGGTGCGATTCTTGAGGCCCAGGGATCACACTTTTCTTGCATTCAATTCCTCGAGGGTGCTATTAACGAGGTCCCTCGGGATATGGTTTCATGGTGCTGAGCATCGAGTTCAAAGATATGTCACAGGTTATCTTTTGCTGCGTTGAACATGTTCAGTACTGAGTATTGCTTCAAGGATGATGTTCGGTTGCGGCACCTTCATTTCGTCAAGGTCGTGCGGTCCAAAATCCCTAGGTACTAGTATGATGGTGATGCTAACACTGCAACCATGCAGTGTTGATTGAGGATAGAGACGGCATCATTGGCAACCATTATTGCTTGGTAGATGCCAACCTGACGATTTCGGAGGTATTGCTATGTCCTCCTCCTAAAGCGTTAGCGAGCAGTTACCTAAGTACCTTGAGAGAATTTGGTCCCTAAGGCGCTTGCGATCAGAAATATTCTGGTGAGGCAGTAACACAGTCTAGGAAGGTCCAATTTCGACATTGCTCAAAGGACACTTCTTTCTAATTGACAGGTGTAAACTCCTCTAAAGGGCTTCCCCTGAAGGATGGAAGCACGTGTTGCCACGTGACATTCACAAAAGTGACGTTGCACATTATGTCAGCGGTAGATGCAAATGCTTGGCATATAATTTTTGCTGGAGTTCTCCCGAAGTTTGAGCTTGACGTTGAATGGTGTCCATACACTGAACAAGTACACTGGCCACGCCCTAGGTCCGGGTGATCTATGTTGCATCTGTATTGAAGCATAGCAATGCCTTCTACGTACAAGAAAGAAAAACCGTGGGATGTTGACGGAACAGACCACTGGACGGTACGATCAAGGCATGTTCTGACTTGCGGCTTGCGACTAACTGGGACGATCCTTCTAGGTCGAAGAATTCAAACCTGAACATAATGTTGCCGGCACCTTCACCGAAGAGTCCTCCTTTGCGTGCCTGTTCCCCAAATACAGAGAAGTGTACCTCAAACAGGCTTGGCCTCTCATCACCAAGGCTCTAGAAAAGAAGGGAGTTGCTTGTACACTTGATTTAGTTGAAGGTCGTATGGAAGTTAGGACGACGAGAAAGACATTCGACCCTGCTGCTATCTTGGATGCTCGCGACCTTATAAAGCTGTTGGCTCGCAGTGTTCCCGCCCCACAGGCTATTAAGATCTTACAGGATGACACGGCATGCGACGTCATAAAGATACGAGGCCTGGTCCGAAACAAAGAACGATTTGTGAAACGAAGGCAGCGTCTGCTCGGACCCAATGGCTCTACTCTGAAAGCGCTTGAACTTCTCACCAGCACTTATATTCTGGTTCAAGGAAACACGGTCAGCGCAATGGGTGGGTATAAGGGTCTCAAGGAAGTTCGAAGAGTGGTTGAGGATTGCATGAACAATATCCATCCTATCTACCATGTCAAGGAACTTATGATTAAACGAGAACTTGCTAAAGACCCGGAGCTCAAGAACGAGAGTTGGGATAGATTTCTTCCACACTTCAAGAAAAAGACTCTTAGCAAGCGACATGTTCCTCACAGAATCACCGACAAGACCAGTAAGGTCTACACACCATTCCCTCCACCCCAAGAAAAGAGCAAAATCGATTTGCAAATCGAAAGTGGAGAATACTTCCTCGCCAAGCAGGCTAAAGATCGTGCGAAAGAGCATGAAAAGCGCGAGAAACAGAAAGTGAAGAAAGAAGAAAAGCAACGCACTCGAGCAGAGACATTTGTTGCGCCGGAAGAAGGCGTCGATAAGGGTACCGAGCTCAAAAAAAAGAAGAGAAAGAATACAGATGAGAACGACCACCCCTCGACGACCAAGAAGGCCAAACACCGGAATGGTTGAGTACGAGTGAAGACGAGTATTGAAATCATTCCACAAGGCTGGACTACTCAACCTTAATGATCAGATTGCAACCTTTCGCAAAGCGATATGATGCAGGGATGCCCTAGCTACGTGCTTGCAATTTGAGATGTGGGACCGGGAAAGCATGAGCTTCATCTGCCTTGACAGTATGTGAATCAGTCATTGACTCCATCCCGCGATGGATATCAATGCCTCCGCGTACTGTTGAGTACTGGATGGGGGTACAGATCAGGCTACGGATGCTCCTTTCGTTCTAGGAAGCGGTTCTGTGTGGGTTCAAGCCTCAACCTTTTGAGATCATGCTGCTTACCTCTGGTCTAGGCAGTGATCTCAAACCTTACTACTGCCCCATCAAAATGCTTCACTGCTACATCAGTTGGGGTGATGGTTTGGAAAACTTGGCACAGTGGTGGCCCAAAGGCACGATTTAGCCAGCGCAGGCTACTCCTGATCCACTGATGTGATCCATCGACGAGTGCTGGCGTTGCCTCGCACTAGGACTAGTTTACTCGCGCAGAGCAAACAAACAGTGCAGACCATGTGAAGATGGAGCCAATATCAACTCAAATCCCGACCGGCAACTCAAGTAACCAATGAAGACCGGGAGATACCCACTTCGGAGAATCTCTTGTTCGACATTTAATCCGACGCTCAGTCTTATCCCTTTCTGCTCTAGCATGGAATCATCTTCGTCTTCTGACGTGCTTCTAGCGCAAACTCTTTTTTCCTCCATGCAACATCAATCCTAGAGCTTATGGAGTAGAGTACCTCGTACCCACCCCACCAGATCAAGACTTTGCGTTGAATGATGCGATCAGGACGTTCACATTCAGCTCTTGTCAACGCCAGTAGACTCGTCTCACAAGCGAAGCGGCACAAAACTTTGAAATCCTTCAACTTGGCACGTTGTTTCGGCTACATTGCTCAATATCTTGGATGGACTATAATCAGTAAATGACATACTTCGAGTCATTGAAACATGAGCTACATGCTCAGCCCACGCTCGATACGAGGCTAGGAGATAGTGGACCCAACCTGGATTGATAAGGCAGCATGCAGGAACAGACTCCATCCTTGTCCTGGGAGCATAGGGGCAGCTGCTCATGCCTACCATAGCTTCAAATCCATGGCCGCATCGGTCCCTCGGCCCGTGGTTGCGACTGAGAGAATTTGAGGAAATGTACTACGGTGTTTGATCGGTGTCACGTCCAGAGCCCTGGCTGCACAGGATTTTGGATCGGAAAGACACTCCGTGCAGCCACAGGAGCGATTCAAGTGGACATTCACGCCATTCGCTTTCCAAGGTCCAGGTGCCATGATTGGTCGGCTAAGATATCCCCGTTGCAGCATTTCGACCCACCGAAATTGAGGCTAGAGTCCAGACCTCTTCCCAAGGCGGCTGGTCGCCCCCAAAGTCCCCAATGAGAGCCGAGTTGCCACAACGCACGGCCGGTGCTGACAATCATGGAAGAAAGTATCGCCGCTCCGGATCCCCGCTCTCCAAGCCTCTTCACTTGAGCTTTTCCTCAACTGTATCTTGCACACCAATCAGACACCGTCGCTCGAATTGACGCTCACTACACATCCTGGGGTTGCTCTTTGGGTTTAGTCTGGATCAATCATGCCCCATTCCTCCCCATGGGATTGACGGCGCACCCAATTAATTACTCACGTACCAGACTTTTGTTTGGGCCCTTGACAATGCTTCACGCGACCTCAATGGGCTGTCTTGTGCTCGTCGCCCAAACTCTATTCCATGGACAAGCTGGTCGCTGCACATTTTCATCATGCAAAGCTATCCACTTACCTACAGCGACAGGGATGCCCAAGAAATGAGCAGGCTAAAGCTCCACGGCCGGAGTGTGAACACGATGTTTCTCCAAGCTTCAAGGGCGAGGGGCATTAGACCATTGACGAGAGCTTTGGCAATCTTCAGTCTATATAAGTTGTAGTTCAAGTCCACTGCAAATCATCACCTCAATCATCAGCTTCTCCTCTCTTCATCAGACTCTAGCAGCATCAATTACAAAAGCAAGGACACTGCCACTCTCAAGAGTTCCTCTCGACTTCATTTATTGTCCACCTCCAACCGATTACCCAGTGCTCTGACATCCACTCATCTCCACTAGAAGGAATCTATACCAGACCTTGTCACATCCTCCACCATGTCAGGCAACGACGAGGCGATCACACAGCGTCAGCCTTCCAATGCTGACGCAATGTCCAACATTGGTCGTCGCAAGAGCACCGTGGTCAACCAGGGATTGACTGGTGCTTCCGCCTTGACCGTCAGACAGTCCATCTTCCCCATTTCTCTCGTCACCATCCTCTTCTTCCTTTGGGGCTTCGCCTATGGATTGCTCGATGTCCTCAACGCCAAGTTTCAAACCTCTCTCAACATTACCGCAGCCAAAGCTGGTGGACTGCAGGGCGCTTACTTTGGTGCCTATTTCATCGGTCCCTTAACATACTCCGGCTGGTTTGTTAGGAAGTTCGGATACCGCTGGACTTTCATCTTGGGCTTGTGCATCTATGGCGTTGGAGCTTTGATGTTCTGGCCTTCGGCAGTTTATTCCTCCTTCCCCGGATTTTGCGGCAGTCTTTTCATTGTCGGATCTGGTCTCTCAACTCTCGAGACTTCTGCCAACCCATTCATCGCCACTTGCGGGCCTCCCAGACTCTCTGAGTTCCGTCTTGAGCTTTCACAGTCATTCCAAGCCGTCGGCTCTGTGGTCGCGCCCCTCCTTGCCTCCCGTGTTTTCTTCAAGGAAGTTGGCAGCAAAGATCTCTCGCATGTCCAGTGGACCTACGTCGGCATCGCAGCTTTTGTCTTCCTGCTCGCTGTTGTCTTCTTCTTCAGCCCCCTTCCAGAAGTCACGGATGCGGATATGGCTCTTCAAGCCGAGCAATGTTCGGATCTTACTGGCTATCAAGAGAAGCCTCTTAGCAAACAATACAAGCTGTTCTTCGGTGTCGCAGCTCAATTCTGCTACGTTGGTGCTCAGGTTGCGGTGGCTTCTCAATTCATCCGGTACAGCGAGGAGTCTGCTGGCCTCACTGAAGCTCAGGCATCCGACCGATATGCCATTGGCCAATCTTTGTTCGCCATCGGTCGATTCGCTGCCGCCGGATTGTTCATGTTTGTCAAGCCTCGCCTTGTCCTCTTGGTTTTCATGACCGCCATTATGATCTTCATTGGTGCTGCCATCGGTGTCCAGGGTGAGGGAGGTGTCGCCATGCTCTCGCTTGTGCTCTTCTTCGAGTCATGCATCTTCCCTACCATCTTTACCCTTTCCATTCGTGGTCTGGGCCGACACACCAAGCGTGGTTCTTCCTGGATCGTTGCCAGTGTCTGCGGTGGTGCGCTGTTCCCAGCTCTTACCGGTCTCGCTGCCGATCACATGCACAGTTACCACAAGGCTATGTGCGTTCCCCTGGTTGGCTTCTTCGTCAGCTTCGTCTTCCCCATCTATCTCAACACTGTCTGCGCTCGCGAACTCGATGGTTTCCGTGAGACCAAGATTGGATACGTCGATGAGCGACGAGGAACCATCATTGGTGATATCAATGATGTCCAGACGTTCGAGGAGATGCATAAGAGAAGCTCTGTCAACGTCGAAAAGGTGTAAATCTACAATTTGTCTCAATCACATCTTGCCGACAATTTCATACATTACTACAAGAGTGTAGCAGATACACTGCTTCCTCACGAGTCTCAAGGGGTGTTGTGGAAAGTGGCTACTATGGATGGTGGAAGGGGGAGAATCTCGTATGATTCACGATAGTTTATGATACCAGGTTATTGAATACATTTTCCTTGTTGAACACTGAACAACCTCAATTCTGCATGACCAATCTTTCCCCATCAGTTCAAGTAGTGCACGTGCGTCTTGCGCCTTGCAACAAACAAGAAGCAATTCGCATGACTCCTTTCCACAGAGGAAAAAATGGCTGGGGGAAACACGACCTGCGTTGTTTGCGGGGTAATTCCATAGCATCGACGCGCAGACAAAGCCTCAACGTCATTCGTGCAGTAGATGATTGCAGGGACTTCCTCAGGTCGAGACCTTGGCACAGAACAGAGTTTCATGATTGAAGATCTGAGCATCATCACCGTCCAGCAATGCGTCAAGGATAGCCGACTGACCCAGAACTCTCTTTTTCGAGGGTTCTTCCCATCACCAAGTCACGCCTGCCCAGCAGACGGCCCTGACGGAGGTTTAGATCTTGTGACCGATCAACCTCTCACGGATTCCGCAAGTATAAACTATACGAGAAGCACTTCCGGACTCCGTCCATGATTCGCTGAGATAAGCTTCGCTACAATGAAGCCTATTCTACCATTCGTAGGCCCACCTTGGCATTTCGCTCCCCCCTCAGCACCTTCTCCATATTGACAGCTTTCACTCACTCCAGTGACCGAGAGGAAAGTCTTGCTCCTTGGAAGCTGCCCAAATACGATGGTCGACTAGAGTCCAAGTGCGGGGAGGAGCCGTCTCGTCGCCACCTTTGACCTGACAGACGACGGAGAAACATTTCACGATGAGAATTGACTGCCCGGACTAAGCTACCCATCAATAGTCTTTAGATTATTACTGGGAGGGAAAATCGTCCGCCTGCGTGCGGTGGGATCGACAGCAAACTTGTGGCGATGAACCAAGACATACAATTTGTTAGTCTGAGCCGTTGTATCCGTCCACCGCCCATAGCAGAGCCGTGAGATCAATATGGAGAAATCGGAGAAAGACCATCTCCTCGTCGATCAACCCTGCATGATCACGTCCACTTCACTGCCATCTCTTTCTAAGCCTGGGAAGCCGGGGCTTTCGCATCCACTGCATCTGATCGATGCTATGGAGAAAGTTACCGTTTTTTCTCTCCAATACATCGACAAGAGTGCTCGGTTGTATGAACCCAAAGGTTAATCTCAGCATCATACAAGAGATAGAGTTGAGCACTTTTATCATATGGTTGCTTGTTGATCCACAATGCGGCTCTTCGTGAGGCTAGCCTTTAATTAATCTAACGAAGATCAAGGGCTGAGGGCACCCAGGGATCCGCATCTCCGGAGCAGTCCATTCCCTGCTCGCCCAGAGATGATCACCTTCACCCCAAGGACCCCAAATAAATGACCCCTAATCCATTTCTTGCTTCTCTCCAATGTGCTATTGTTTGTGTTCCGCCCGCAAGGCTGCACCTCATAGACTACATTGTATACCGACCAACCATTGTCAAGAACTAGCGCATTCGCTTCTAATCTCTATTACACAGCAGAGATTAAGGAGGGGCTCTATTAGAATGTTCGTTCCTACGATTTAGTGGTCCTGATCAGCCCCAGGGGCAGCTGGAGCTTACATACCAAGCTGGAGGGAGCAATACGGGTCTTAATGCCCTGCCGAGTCAATTGATCTGCCACCTTGCATGCACCCAGCATGACCAAGCGAATGTATGAGGCTCAATGGCTGGACTTCATGCACGTTGAAACCAGTTGGTCCGAGCATGTGAGCATAACCACTGCGATGGGATCCTCCGCCTCTAAACTCACACCCGATGTCCTTCCGTAGCGGTGCCTCCCTAACATACTTCGTCGACATACGACAGCGTAGCGTGGGCTCCTTGGATCTCGGCGAAGGCAACATTGCCCCTGTTCATCTGCTCAGTTTGTGGCTCATATCAGTGAATTTTCCGTCGTGCACTTTGCGAAGAAACTTCTATGGCCGCTTCAGAGTTGTTCGTCTTTTATGGCGAGCAAACGAGGCAAGCGGAGATTTTCTAGATATTAGATGCATAGATAATTCACCAAAGCCTATTCCCATCAATTATTTGCCATCTTTCGAAGAACTTAGTTGTGTGTAGCATTTTTGCCTAACAGTGCAGGATCTAGGTACCGAGGTTACTTAGAAGGCTGCCAAGTGGACGATAAATAATCGACCACAATAATGATCAAGCAGTGATCGCAGGGCTCTCGGTGCATCTAACCTCCTATTATGGATATTTATATTGGTAGTATCACGCTGGGGCCCCAGGAAACAACTTTTTACCCATCTAATGGTACTCAGAATCGTGATTGTTGATGGCTACACTCTGGAACTGGGGGAAACGCCGCCCAGCTTTCGATTCGACTTTTCTCGAGGTTCGGCTATCGGGACCGCAACTCGGAGATCCGGAGAAACCCTTTAATTGCCATTTCTCAAGTCTATGTATGCAATATCGGCTCGTACAGGGTTCCTCTGGGGAAGCCGCCCTCCACTTTCGAACTGTCGGTGATAGATGGATGTAGGACCAACGGAAGCTGCGATCGGTGTTGCGACTGCAAAGTCTGGTCGGATCTCACTTAATGTCTGCGCACAGTGTAGAGCGCGAAAGGTAAGCCACGTTAACACGCCCATTGCTGCTTCCATAGGACCTGGTTGTGTGAAAGACGACTGACTAGAGCTGGCATTTGAAGGTAAAATGCGATGGTCAGCGCAATACGTGTGGTACCTGCGAACGTTTGGGTTTCCGGTGCAGCTTCTTGCCCCAGGCTGCTGACGGAGACCAAGCTGCAGCAACCTCACAAAGCGTACGCCACCGAGCCAGGCGAGCCTGCATCACTTGCCGTGCTTCAAAAACTAGATGTACCGGCGAGCAAGTTCGATGCAATAGGTGTCATAAGAAGGGGATCGAATGTATATTCCCAACGAGAAGTCGTGTTTCATCCTCATCCGTTCATCTACTCTCACCAGAGTCTTTCAGTCGCTCAGGAATAACAAGCCAAACAAGATTGCCAAGCCATACACCTGAATGTGTGGATGATTTCGAAATTGAGCACGAAGATGAGATAGCTCGCCAGCCGGCATCGCTTCAATCTAATCGGTATGTTTTATTGTCCAAGTAGGCGTCGGGAATGTTCTAATTCACTCTACCCAGCATGGGATTTCCCAGTAAAGAGACCGTGATGCAGAGTATTGAAGACTATTTCCGACACATTCACCCTATCTCATACTTTGCCTTTTTGCACAAAGCATCAGTGATCCAAGGTTATGTCAAAGGTTACGCTGATGATGCATTCATTCTCGCGCTCTGTGGTCTCACAAGTCAGATGTTGGGTTCAACACCAGAAGTTCAGCAGCAAGCCGCCAAATGGATTGAGAGAGCTCAAAATATGGTCCTGCAAAATCTGGAAAGACCTTCCATCTTCAAGATCCAGGTAATGCTGTTGATTATTGGGTACAAAGTTCATCTGCACGCTATGTCGTCCGCGTTTATGCTGCTGCCACTGGCCGCAAGGTTTGCTTTCGCAATGAGACTCAATTATGAGAACCCATCGTTGTGTTGGTTAGCTCAGGAAGCAAGAAGGCGAGTGATCTGGGCAATATTTCTTCTCGACACAAAAGCAGCAGCAGGCCTCACAGAATTTACTACCTGCGCGTTGGAAACCATCCACGTACAATTGCCATGCCGAGAAGAAGACTTCGAGCTGGACAATCCGCAAGTTACGGGCAACCTAGAATCGATTTCCTTACAGCCTCCACCATACATTGGCCTCTTTACCCAGTACATTCGTATCATGAATATTCGAGATCGTATACTTCGGTATGAAATGCTGTCAACATTTTACTGGATATGCAGGACTGACCCTCCATACAGGTTCACCAAACAAGTTGCAGGAACTGGCAAGATTGAGTCCAATCCAGAGCAAGCCGTCAGCAACTTTGAGAGCGAACTCCATTTGTTTGCAAGCACGCTTCCCCAGTCGTTGGGCTTCTCGACAAGAAACCTGATGCTACGTGCTTATTCCTCAGAATTATCTCAATTCATCATGATCCACGTCTGGTGGCACCAATGTCACTGCGATCTCTACAGGCTGCTCTTTGATGGTTTGCAAGAGGCTGTGTCAAAGCGAGTGCTGCGGGAAATTGACCCTGAGCTGATATCTTATTGTAGGGCCAGGTGTCTTGACCATGCTCGAGCTCTGTCAGCAGAAATATTTGCGACTTTGCTTGTCGCCGATATAAATATCAAAGTCATGGATAAGGACATAGCTGTTTGCGCTTATCAGAGTGCCAGGATAATATCCCATGGCTTTCGAACAACTGCTGAGCGGGACCATCCACTTATTGAGTCAGTACTGACACTGGTCAGTAACTGTTCTGCGGTCTTGAACAGGTTCTGTGCAAATTCGCCTTCGGCGCTAGACATTGTAAGTTTGAAGAGATCCTCCAACTTCCTAGTGTTGATAGTCGATCTAGGCACGAGAAATCGACAGCACACTTGCGGGTCGGATCTCAAGCCATTCATCTGCGAGTGAACCAAGTTCTCCAGCTGGTTCCGTAAATATGTCTTCCGAGTTACCGAACATACCAGCCGCGCCTCGACTGAGACAAGTCTTTTCACGCCACAGCTATTTCAGAGCGTCGGGCTTTATTGATGACAGCTCGAGGTTGGTAGCACCACTCGACAGTATGAGTACCGATCAACGAGATGCCTTGCCTACGTTCAGTCCCAGTCCCAGAGTCGTGCGAGAGGACCACGCCGATAACCCAAATACCTCCAAGGACAGCACTGGAAATGGATCGGATACGGGGACTGCACATCACAATTCAGTCTTGATAAATACCCGAATCCCCTCCCGCACCTTGGTTGCGCCATTACCAGGCCATTCAAATCATGGGTTCAGAGGCCAGCGTGAGGATATGACTGAGGTTGACTGGTCCAACGACGGCGCATACCAAATGGCATGGTCCTCGTTTGACCCTTGGATAAGTGGATCTTATGACCAAGATAACTCTCACGTGCAAGATTTCATGGCAGCGACATGGGAGCAATAGTATAAGACCAGCTTTATGATATGACGAATAACATTCCCCATGCCCGCGAACGACCCTCCCGTTGGGGCGTTTCGGATCAGAGGCCTGGTATCGGTTCAAACAGCATGATACTACTGCGAGGCTATGCAAATTCTATTGTGAATCTAAAGGAATGAAAAAAATCTCATCACTCTATGGCATGTCCGTTCACTTCTTGACCTGCTCGTTCCAGGCGTTCTAGCAACTGTTCCCTCGGAGACTTCAGCTGAACTTCAGGAAATCGTGCATCCTTTTGCCATGGTAAGAAGTCCGATCCACCAACCATCCAACGGAAGATGTCACTTTCCATGGTCCGCGCGACGCCCGCATACTCAGGGTCGTGGGCTAGATTATGCATCTCTTCTGGATCGTTGACACGGTGATACAACTCTGCCGGTTCGTAAAGTCTATAGACATATGTCCACTGTTTATCTCGTATGCTGATGGACTTACCCACTAATGCTGTATCCTGGTGTTGTAGGCCAGCTTTGATGTCATAAGGGTAAGGTGCTTGCTCCAACAGTGGCTCCTCGCTGATCAGAAAACCTCCTTCAGTGAAAGCGTACTTCTTGTGCTCCGGCTTTCCGTCGATCAGTACTGGGACTAATGATTGGCCATTGTGGGGGAAGTGCTCTCCTATCTCACACAGCTCGAAGATGGTTGGGACAAGATCAACCATTTCGGCCATGACATCCGTGACCTGGCCCTGTGGGAGCCCGCCGCCGCCGACAATGAGCGGTTCGTGAACCAAAGTTTCAGATAGCCCCGACGGCCACTTCTCAATCAAGCCATGATCTCCAAGATATTCACCGTGGTCTGTGAAGAACATGGTCACCGTTTCATCCCAAAGCCCTAGCGAATCGATTTTGTTAATGATTCTCCCGAATTGGTCATCCAATCGAGATATCATCCCGTAGTAAGTGGCCTTGATCTCGGCCCAGATTTCAGGCGTTGCGCGGTGCGTTCCATATTGTTCACGAATTACTTTCATATATCGCGGTTCGTAACCTGTCTTGGCGTCTGGGGTTGACTTCACCATGGGCATCGCCGAGCGATCGTAAAGAGAGAAGTACGGCTCCTCGACCTGGAATGGGCAATGTGGGAAGAGCAATGGCATGAAAAGGACCCAGGGTTTGTCGGTGGGTGGACAATCAAGCCAGGCCAGCGCCGATCTGACCACCGCATCATCATAGTCCGAGGCGTCAGATGCGTTCCGGAGGCCTTTGTAGAACAATCGAGACCAAATATTTTCGTTTTCTTCGTTATCAGGCACACCTCCGCCAGTAAACTTAGGCACGACCTCTGGAGTTTCGAGGAATCCATACTCCGTCACGCTTAATTCGGTGACAGTTGGCGCAAAAGTGTCGCCCCTGGGAGCAAGGCAAGCTACATGGTAGCCATTCTCTTTGAGACTTCGGAACATGTTCGGCTCCCAAGGCTTGATGAGATTCTCCAAGCTTCGGTGCCCACTCACGTGCGGATAGGTGCCCGTGAACATAGAGCATCTCGACTGTGAGCAGACCGATGCCTGAACAAAGCAATTACTGAAAAGCGTGCCCCTGCGACTGAAGGCATCGATGTTGGGCGTCTTAACAGGGCAGACTCCTTCCGTTGTGCAGCCCAAAGAATCATAGCGAAGCTGGTCTGGCATGAATATCACCAGGTTCGGCCGATGCTGGCCATGCTTGCCGGTAATTTTTAAGGGGCATGGTTTGGCAGGTAACGAGTGTGACATGTTGGTCTTCGATGCAACCGTCCAGCGTCTGCCTTGACTTAGTGGAGAAGACGGGTGGACTTCCCTTGCTTTCGTTGTACCACAAGGAGAGTAAATGGTTGAATATTTCGAGGTTCGCAAGATGAAGACTCAAAATGTTCGATAGTTTGAGAGGCAGATATCTTGCGTGATCGAAAAATCTTCAACACTGCCCACAGCTAGAAGCAATTTCATCTCTAAGACCAAAACGACCTGAAGTAATGCTTGAAAATTACCAATTGGTGAAGGAAACCATCAGGTCATCCTCACCATGGAATTGGTCGGTGCTCCGAGTGCCGCATATATCGGCTTCTCGGACCTCTTCGTCGGCACCGGAACAACACCTTCTAATTAACCGCATATCAGATCAGCGAGCATACGATCTACCAGCTTGTTCAGCATCTCCGAAAGGCCGAAATCAATTGCAATTTTTCATTACTTGCTGAGGATTCTACAATGTTGCCATTTCTTAGTGTATTGCACAATCGTCTACATTGTTTCGAATCGGGGCTTCCAGCCTGATTGAAAGAATGATGCAGGGGTGGGCACTATTGCTCGCCAGAGAATAAGTACATCGGTGTGACACGGTGCATACCCTCAGCTGCCCTCAAATCCCAATATATCAACATCAGCACCAACAAGATGGGCTTCGTACCTCAATTCCAGTATTTTAATACCAAATTAGCATTAACGTGCTCTCTTATTGCCTTTTCATCCTTCAATTATGGCTTCGACAATCAAGGATTCGCCACAAGCCAGGCCATGGACGCCTTCACCCGCAGATTTGGGGTCTTCATCGCAAAGCAGGGAAAATACGTCCTCGAGCCTTACTGGCTATCATTATTCAATAGCTTAAACTACATTGGATTCGCTGCCGGTATGATTGCAGATTGCGATAGATTTCAGATTCTAACTATGCATATAGGAGTAATTATTGGCAGCCTGATCAGCAAGCGATACGGCCGAAGGATGTGTGTGTTCTGTATGAGCTGCTACGCCTTGATCACCGCGACGATAGCGGTCACATCGGCCAACAGAGAACAAATAATGGCCGCAAGGATATTGAACTATTGTTACGTGGGCATGGAACTGGCTGTGATCCCGACATATCAGTCCGAGATCGTGCCTTCGCAGGTACGCGGTTTCATCGTAGGCACCTACCAACTAAGCCTGCTTACGGGAGGTCTTATTGTCAACTCGATTTGTCGGGGCACCAGCGAACTTAAGGACGATCGGGCGTGGAGAATTCCCTTGGGAATGTTCTACGTCGTCCCTAGCATTATCCTCAGCCTGATTTGGTTCGTCCCAGAGTCGCCACGGTGGCTATTGTTGCAGGGCCACAACGAGGATGCCAAGGCTAGTTTACAAAAACTACGTGAAGGAGCCTTTTCGCAGAATGATATCGACAGCGAGTTCGAGGAGCTGAAGTACGCCCTTGAGATGGAAGAAGAGAAGGGGAAATTCTCACAGATCTTCCGCGGCAACCACCTTAAACGGACCCTGCTTGTGATTGTGGTCAATTTCTTTCAGCAAGCTACGGGTCAAGCCTTTGCGTCTCAGTATGGCACCATCTATGTCAAATCACTTGGCACCATCAATGCTTTCAACTTCTCCCTCATCCTGGCTGCAGTGAATATAACAGCCTGCACAATGTGTCTATTCATGGTTGATCGAGTAGGCAGGAAGTATGTTGCCCTCCACGCTTGAATGATTTACCTGTACCTGCTAACCATAATACTAGGCGTCTCTTACTCATTGGCGCCGCCGTACAGTGCGCTGCTCTCATGACAATGGGTGGCCTCGGCACGCCAAAGCCTGTCACTCATTCGTACAAGATTGGCATTGTCTCCAGCCTAGCTCTCATGACGGCTGGCTTTTCTCTGGCTTGGGCGCCCTTGACCTACGTCGTGACCACAGAGCTGCCCACTCTTCGACTTCGGGATCATACTCTGCGCGTTGGGTTCGTAGTCAACGTTGTCATGAACTTTGCTGTCAACTTTTCGATCCCGTACCTCATATCTCCACAGTATGCAGGTCTCGATTCCAAAGTCGGTTTCATCTTCGGCACGATTGCTTTCCTGGCACTGATCTTCACTTGGTTGTTCGTGCCTGAGTGTAAGGGAAAGTCACTCGAGCAGGTGGATATGATGTTCAACTCAGGTGTACCGCTGAGAAACTTTGGCTCGTACCAGTTCCAGGGTCCAGTCACTGCAGGGGAGCAGAAGAACTTGAATGTGAAGCAAAATTTCCACGTGGCGGAGGCGCAGAAGAACTTTGACTCTTCTCAGCCGTAGCGCGCGGCCTGCACGAGTATGGAAGATGATGATGGAACCCGAATCCGATATCTCATTTGCAAGTATTTCAATCTTTGGCCTGCTCCAAAGTCGTTTCCTGGTCCATCCAAGTGTCTCAAGCACAGTATAGCTACCAGTCTCTAAAAAAATTCATTTTCTCCTCGCACAATTGGCCATCTTGGGACCCGTCGATACTTCTCAAAGATCCAAACTTCTGATTGGGTCAGTGAACAGACAGAAGGGCTATCAGGGCCACCCCTTGACCATCGACGACCACGAGGAGGTTGCGCTGTTGCTGAATTTGTCGTTAGCCTAAAGCTTGTGATGGAAGGGCACCAGCACCTAGGTAATTTTCCAAATCATACCGTTCACCACAAATAGATCACCGCTAGAGCAAGGCGAAAATAATCGTCACCTACCGATTGTCTTTCGTGGTATCGACTGATTTGCTCGCTGGTTGATGCGAACTTCCAAGCCAGACTGGATGACAAAGAATACGGCTTCTGCCTTGAGCTCCCGAGTCGGGTCTACCAACTCCATCTCGAACTCACGCAGAAGTTGAGGCAGAAGACGATTCATCTCAAGAAGCGCCAGATTGCGACCGAGGCAGACATGGCTACCAGCACCAAACTGTAGAAACAGATAAGCCAAATTCGAGGGGAAATGTTCGGTTATTGTGGAATAACACACCTGATAAAGGTGCTTCCGCATAAGGCGGATCCGTTCATGATCACCCTCCAGCCACCGCTCCGGACGAAAAGGACCTGCATCTTCTCCGAAGACCTCGTAGTCTCGATGGACCGCCCATGCGTTGACGGCGAAGCGCGTATGCTCAGAGAACTGTCGACCCTGTATTGTCACGCCATCGCGTGGAGCTTCTCGAGAGATGTTAACACCAACGGCTGGCCGAAGCCGCATGGTTTCGGTGAGTGCGGCTTGAAAATACCGAAGTTGCTGAGCCTCTGCGTACGTGATCAAGTCAGACGTGAGATTCCCAGAGATTTGATGATATTGGAGCTCATCTACGATACGATCATAGACACGCCGGTGTTGCAAGACCAGGTGAAAAAAGGACTGCATTGTAGATGCCGTCGAGTCTGAACCTGCGAAACTGGAGCACACCGTCAATGAAAATAGTATGACACAAGGAATTCCCTTCTTACATTGCACCAATGGCAATCGCGGAAACATCGTCTTCAGTGAAACTTGCCGCAGAGTTGAGATGGCCTGCAACAAGATGATCTAAGACATCTTTGCGTCCATTTCCTTTATCTTGGTTGAATGGCTTGCGTTGCTGCACTTCGGCCAACGCTCTGGAGGCCACTAGTAGGTCTTTCCGCTTGAATGGCAGTGCTCTCATAATCCAATTACTGAACAGAAATCTGTCCAGGAATGGTACTTGGCCGACAATACTACCGTACCGTGCAGCCCGCTTAATCGTGTTCAATGTGTCGTCGATGTCGCGTCCGGCCTCGAGAAAGCCAAAGTTTGTTGAGAAGACCGCCTCGCCGAGACTGTCGAAGGCAAAATAGTGCAACCATTCGCCCAGATCAATCACACCCTGCGATTGGGAGAGATCATGGAACTTACTTATCAGGACTTTCATCGTGCTCGTGAAAGCATCCGAGTTAGCTACTATTTTGCTCAAGCTATAGGGCACGGCGGCCACTCGCTTCTTCTTCGCATGCACATGTTCATTGGTCTCGGTGAAGATGTCTTTTGGCTCTTGCGGTGGAAAAACGCTGTAGAAGTCTGTCTTTGTGAAGCCTTTCCCTGGCGCCAATATCTCCGCTGCCGCCTGAGGACTCGAGACGGATATCTCATTGGGAGCGATGCGCACGAAAGGGCCATATTTGCGATGCAATTCTATGCTGTTGACGTTGGTTCTCGCAGTCGCAACATCAATGATCTTCCAGAGCCGTGTGATCGAGGCTAGGGGTGGCCCTGGGTATGTTCGAAGCGGCGTCAGATATCGTCGTGTTATTGCAACGCTGAGCAAGATTCCGACTGATATAAGGCCGATATGAGAACAATTTAAGCAAGCTGTCCAGTCCCTGGGAGCTTGCCACAAGTCTTGAACAATCGAGGTCATAATCGTGGGTTCAAAGCCGTTGTGGTGGAACAACTAGCGAGCCTACAAGTGACGTTCGGTGTCAGCTTTGTGTTTTTTTTCCGCCCTGCGATTGTAGGAAGAACTTCCCCTGAGCAGCTCACCGGTGCTTCAAGTTGTAACACAACCACTAACGTTTCCCGCAGTCACTTATCGTGACCATTGATGGACAGTATCCACGGAAATTACCTGGCCCCCGGACGTGTGTTCGACCATAGAACAAGGTCTCCGTCGCTACATTGTGTAGCTCCCGGGTTACTAGTTATTGGGTACATGTGATTCCTATAAACTCCGCTTTGAATCAATATTCTTGTGTACGTTGCACGTAGATGGCTTATGTACCGAACATAAAAAGAGGTCGTCAAGAAGAACTTGGTGAAGTGAAATAAACCACTGCTCAGGCGGATGTATTTAGTCACCTATCAATCCCTAGCAAAACTACTAAGGCGCCATGATCCACTCGTAGTTATGCAGTTAGTGAGTGCCCTGACTAGGCTTTCTCGGCCCCTTACCCCTTAAAGACTTCAAGGTAGGTAAATTGGAGATCTATCGACGACGTGCGGTAGCTTATTTCATTCCGGTCCGGGGAACAAGGCTAAAACATTTGGGGGGAAGCCTTTCCGGGGATGAAGATGCTGTGAACCTTAACCTCCAACCTTTACTTATCATGACACCAGTACGGGAAAATCGTCCCTCAATGACAGCTGCGAGATCTGATTCCTTCCGACGTGAAAAATCTGGTTTGGTTGCGAATTGCTGACGCGCGAATTTTGTCAGTCTCCGATGCACCACATCGCTACGTCTGTGCATGCAGTACACCTGGCTATGAGCATGGTGTGAAGTGAATGGAATCCTTAAGGGCTCCCTCTAAATTTAGAGGTGGGGAGCCCGCTATATACACCCAGCCATAGATGGCGGTGCACCGAACACCCTAACACTGTCGCATGGTACGGAGTGTGGTGACGCCCCAGTTCCGGATACCTTAATCATCACGGTGAGGTTTGGCTCCGTCTCCCAGATGCCCTAGAGTCGTAGAGCAACTTTCGATCCTTTACCCATGGTCCAGAATACGAAGATTTCGACTCACTGCTGCCAAAATAGGTATCCCACCACTTGCCAGGCATGGTTGACGTAATTCTCATTTGTTTGGCATTAAAAGTGATCAGATATTACAATCACCCTCTTCTCCCATGTGCCTCGCTACTGCAGTCTGATTAATATTGCAGCGACCGGTACATATAAGCGTCTGTTCAGAATGTTCATTGAAAGGGCAACAGGATTAATCCTTATCCTTTTGTCCCAATGTGATCTCATTTGTGTAATAGTCGCTAGATGTGATTGATTGGCCAGGGTAAATCGAAGCCAAATCTTCCGACTGGTGAACGTTGCCTTCTTGATTGGGATAGGCGACCGGATTTGATTGCTATGATGAGTAAGACAGCCTGCGAATCGGACTTGAGGCTATGTATAGTCAATCTGGGTTAGATTGGCGGACAACATCCCATACTTGCGCCCCTCAGATATCTCGCACTCGCGAGGAATGGCTACGCCTGGTTGCTGAGTGTCAGGTAACATCTCATTGAGACCGAGTGAGGGCAAACCTCCGGCTCAAGGCTCCTTCAGTGGCCAGATTCCTACCATCGACGCCTACTTGCATCAAATGGTTGACCCAGTCTCAACTAATCATCGCAGCTTGAGCATAGTAATCGATACTACATTTACTGACTTTGCTACTTCCAGAATGAAGTCTATAGGCTGCCATACGATGAATATTGTCGCTAAGATGCGTGTCGTACATCCTGCATTGATTATTAATTTCTCGTGTGCCGCTTCTGACTGAATTTCAGAGCTCGGAACGATTACTTTGAAATGGATATTACTTTCGGAGTTTGCCTATATAATCCTTGTTGCAACCACGTCTCGTCGAAGTACTAGAAGGAACCGTCGATACTCTCAATCAATTCAATATTACGTTGTCATAGTCTCGCACAGCACTATCGGCTTAGAATCAATATGTCCTTTTCTGTTCAGAGCAAAGCATGCTGTACGCGACCACCGATTGTACTAAGAGGTGGTTACGAGTATCAAGAAAAGGGGAAATTCGAAGATTTCAATGGCATGAAGACGTGTAAGCGTGGAAATGCATTGAGACAGCAGTCCATTCGAACGCTAATGAATTTTACAAGATGTAACCGGTAGCGCAACCGCGACTCGCGGTATCTTCCTCTGTTACGATGTCTTTGGCCTGTTTGTTCAAGCAATCAAGGGAGCCGACATCCTGGCATCGGATTATGAGCAAATGCCCGATAGCGCCGGTGACTTCAAGGTCTTTATGCCCGATTTCTGGGGTGACCATCCACAAGATCTAGCAAACTTTCCTCCCAAGACCCCTGTACAAAGAAAGGCAATCATGAAATTCTTCGAGGAACAAGGTGATCCTTCTAAGACCGTTCCTTTGATCGAGCCTCTGCTTCAAGCTTTCCAAGAAAAGAACCCCCAGATCACAAGTTGGGCAACCTTGGGCTTTTGTTGGGGTGTGAAAATCACCTCATTAGTGACGACAAAGGGAACGAAATTTAAGGCTGCCGCGGGAGCTCATCCCAGTTTAATGGATGTGGAGGATGCCAAACAGATTGTTGTTCCGACCTGTATTCTGCCCAGTCAGGATGAGGATCCCGACGTAAGTATCTCATTCGAAATTGCCATTCTTCTAAATTCTCTAGAAGTGATCTAACATGACAAAAATCGTACAGCTTGTTGACGCGTGGTTCGCAAACTTGAAAAAAGCTTCGCCAGATAGCTATCTCGAGACCTTCCCTGACCAGGTGCACGGGTGGATGACATCTAGGTAAGCATGCCGACATCTGTAAGTGCATCGATATTCTGACATCTTCTTCGACCAGGGCCGACTTTAACGACCTCCATGCGTTCGAAGAGTACCTACGTGGATACAGAATTATCAGGACATTCTTTGCGGCCCATTTGTAAAACTTTAAGATAGCAGTGCTCTGGTCGAACCATTCTTATCTCCCAACAATAACCCTACTTGAAGAGGAAATGGCATCCTCTCACCCGGTGAGAGAAATGTCTATCCCGGAAGGAGTTTAGTTGGTTGGGAGGATTTGTTATGATCAGACCATGCTCCGCAGCGCGCGTACAGTGGCGCGCCAATATCGATCCAAGTAGAGTGGCGTATCAATACTAAGGAATGCTGTTGCATAATTGTCTTTAAACAAGATAGAACACACGTCGTTGGTTTAGACCAATCTTCCGAACTCCACTGATTTTACGGCAACTTGTCGGCGACGCATGGTGTGTTCTCGATATAAACACAGGAAGCAGACGAAAAGAAAGAAGATCGGACAAAGCTTCCACGATCGCCCACCTCAATAGACATCGCCCGGCCACATCAATGTCGGTAGAAGTTGTAGCTTGGGCTTCATGCCCGGAAGTTCTTCTATCTCTGAGATCTGAGGAAAGGCTTCAAAGCGGAGAAAACAAACTGGGACTGTATAGGAATGCGCATCCAGTGACAGACTCCGAACCTGAAGAATACCCTTCGTTTTCACGTTGATTGAACCGGGCCAAGAACGTAGGTGCAGAAGTCGGGAAGCTCGTAATTAGGTTTAATTGGACCCCAACAAAACCTGGGGAAAGATAAGGTGCCACGCTAGACTCGTAAATATATATTATTGGATAGAAGAGCGAATTAAAGCTGAAGCTACTCTGGAGTCTGCTCAGACGGTATCAGGCTTGCTTCGATGGAGTACAACAGTGATCCTATAAGTCGCCGTCCATGCACCGTGTCGGTGTTTTACCCCATTGGGGTTTCCAATCTTCGAGATAGGACACATCTGGATTGGCAAGTGTTAGTTATATAGTACTGCATTGACCTGATTACCAGACGCGATTTTCTCCCAACCCGAAGTTTCATTCTCAATCAAGAACAGTTTCAATACCTCTTCTCATCATGACCCAAGTAACAGACAGCCATGTGGAATTTGTCCCTGGAACTGTCCACCTCGTGGATCTATTGGGCAACATGCACAGTAAACACGCCCGGGGTGCGCAGGCCGACGTCGTCCTTGTGCCCAGTCCTTCGAATGACCCTGATGATCCATTGAATTGGTCGCGATGGCGAAAGCTTCAGTCCGTGGCTTGCTTGTGCACGTAAGTTAGCAATACTAAAAACAATACCTGTTGTGAGCGGAACTGATACATCTCTGGTTATAGCTACATCATGGCCGTAGGGATTGCCTCTGCCGCCATATATTCTGTACTTGTGCCCATCGCCACCGACACGGGTCTTGGTGTCAGCACAATGGTTGAAGGGACCGGATACATGTTCCTGTTCCTAGGCTGGGGTTGTTTCGTGTGTCAACCACTTGCACAGAAATATGGCAAGAGACCAACCTATCTTATATCGCTGCTTGGAACTATGGTAAGCCTCAGTTCCAAATCAGTGAGTGTCCCATTCGAACACTCGTGGACTCACTCTCTGTAGGGGATGATGATTTGGGCGCCATATTGCAACAAGGAGGGACTTTGGATCGCCAATAAATGCATCCAGGGTCTATTCGGCGCAGCAATCGAGTCTCTTTGTGAGATATCAATCTCCGATGTGGTAGGTCTCATTTTGACTAATCCCTTTTTGACTCGCATTGATGATGCCATAACAGTTCTTTACTCACGAAAGAGGCACATACATGAGCGTCTACGCACTGTTTCTTGTTGGTAGCAACTTCTTTGCACCTGTTATCTCGGGATTCATCAACGATGGACAAGGATGGCAATGGGTTCTGGTAAGCTTTCCCAGGTACCTGGCATACTTTGTTTCAGAACAACTCGAATGGTACTCACTCCTCATGGAAGATACCTTCTCCTTATACTGCCTGCAAGTCAAATAGAAGCTGACAACATGCACAGCACTGGTGCGCAATTTTCTGTGGGGGCGCCTTCCTTATATGCTTCTTCTTCATGGAGGAGACCAATTATTTCCGTACGGCTCTTCTGTCCAGTGAACCTGATGCGCTAGTTGAAGACGACACGGAAACAGGCGCCTTGGATTACGAGGTCGCTAGTACTACCAAGGAAAATTTTCACCCTTCTGACACAAATACGGTCGTTGATAGTGTTGAAACTGCGCAAAACACGACTATTCATCGTTCGAAACGGACTTATCGCCAAAAGCTTGCGCTGTTCCGAAGTGATGACTTCCAGCGGAATATCAAGATCAAAGGACTCCTCTATCGGCCCGTCCTCCTCGCGTCGTTCCCGGTGGTCTTCTTTTCGGGATTCATGTACGGCGCGGTGGTGTGTTATTTCAATATCTTGAACGGTGTGTCTTCGGTGATTTTGGGCGGCGCTCCATACAATTTTCGGGCTAGCATGGTCGGTCTCTCATATCTGGCATGTGTTGTTGGAGTTGTAATCGGGTAAGTGGCACGTTTCCTCTTAACATCTGCAACCTGTCCCCACTAGTGTCGATATTGATGACAACATTTAGTTTCTTATTTGCTGGACCACTAGGTGACAAGTTTGTCCTCTGGAAAGCGCGCCGCAATAATGGTATTATGGAGCCAGAACACCGTCTTTGGCTTTACCTGGCTCTCTTGATTGGCATTCCAGGGGCCTTACTCTTGTGGGGCGTTGGGGCTGCTCACGAGATACACTGGTTCGGCCTGATCTTTGCTATGGGCACACTCGGATTTGCCCTGACAATCGGTTGTCAAATACCAATCAGCTACTGTATCGACTCATACAAGGACCTTGGTGCTGATGCTCTGGTCACAGTAATTGTAATGCGAAATAGTATGAGTTTCGCGGTCAGCTATGGGTAAGCGTCCACGTCTCCTTAGTTCGTTAATGCTGACGTCGTGATCAGCATCACACCATGGGTAACAGGTATGGGCCTACAGAACGCCTTCATTCTCGCAGCATTCGTCGCTATGGCACAGATTGCTACATTCTTGGTCTTCGTAAAGTGGGGGAAGTCAATGCGCAGGTCGAGTGCTCGCCGTTACCAGAAATATGTTGAACAAGTCCAACATGAAGGCTGGCAGCACTAGTAGCATATACACCAGATCGCGGGAGCATACACTGTGGGAGCAATGAAGGAGTCGTCAGTCTACGTAGATGAGGCGCACATTGCACAGACATGACACTGGTCCTCGTGTAAATTTTGAGATGCTTTGGGATTTTGGCACTGCTTTCGTTCAATATTGCTTTCAGTGATCGTACATAGCATGAGTGATTCACATTCGATTCACAAGGGTTGGGAGATTTCTACTTGTGATTACCGTATTGCTGACGCTGGAGTCAAATTGTAAGACTTGTGTCTGTCATGGGATTTATATACGGCGTGCTGACAAGCTCTTTCATGGCAACACTTGCTGTTCCGTCTTTCAAGGCTGAAGAAGCATGGCTGTACCTTCTGGTCGTCCAGATCCATGTTCGGTGGCTGTACGAACCTCTATCAGCAGTCATGATGAGGACTAAGGGGACACCTGGTCCATGGTGGTTGATGTCACCTTAACCAATTTAGCATTATTAACACCCGGTCTATCGTGGAACCTAACACATATCCAGGCTGTCTGAAGTAACCCGGAGTCATGACCGCAGCGAAATTAGCGCTTTGGGGATTTTGCCTGGAGTTCAAATCCATGTCTTTGGAAAATTTAAAACTGGAGCATTGCGTTTAGGTCAAGACTATCAAGCTGCGCAGATAGTAGATCACGATACGAAGCACTGAGATGCCGATTCTCGTAAATTAGTTTCATTGGCGGATTCCAGGTGTAGGTTTTGAGGTAGTCCTCCTAGACATCCGGATTTCTAGCTCCTGGGCTTGCTGAGGGTCTAGAGCAGGCCATCCAGGACGGCCAACTATATACTTTTGCGAGTGTTATCATTCTGCTGAGATAAACTACTCAAAAAATCCTAAAGCTGGCAGTGCGCAGGGTCGTTTTTGTGGAGAGCTTCAATCTCATCTAGGGACTATATTAAACAAATATTACGGCCACCACTGCCAATCTACCTTATACAATATTGAATTCTTTAAGCTCAATTTAGACTTTGCAGCAGTTTGGAATCTAGCATATCAATCTTTATTTTCCAGAGACATTCACATCTGCAACATGCCAGAACATCGCGAATCTTGGGAGATCAAAGCCCAGAAGTGTCGTGACATCTTATCAGCATCTCTGAAGCAGGAATGGCTATTACCCCATGACAAGTTACCATCGCCAGATGAGCTTGATGTTTCTGGATTTATAAAGAAAAGCAACGCACTCTCCGACGATGAGTTAAAGATCACGGAAAGCAGCGCTACTGAACTCATTACGCGAATGAGGACAGGGGAGTTAACGGCTCTAGCAACGGTGACAGCATTCTTGAAACGCGCACATATCGGCCACCAACTCTTGAACTTTGCGACTGAGTTCTTGACTCAAGAAGCTCTCGCCCGTGCCGCTGAGCTGGACAAAATATTCTTGTCGACAGGGAAGCTGGTCGGCCCCTTGCATGGGTTACCAATTTCCTTGAAGGAACACATTGGCCTGAAAGATCGCATCACAAATGCGACCTACGTTGCTTTGATTGACAACATCACCACCGACGATGCACTCCTTGTCAGGCTGCTCAAAACAGCCGGTGCCATTCCGATAGTCAGGACGAATGGGCCGCAAAGTCTGATGGTATGTGCTTCCTTATGGTTTGGTTTCCCGCATTGACAAAATGACAGCATGTTGATTGCCACAATCCCATCTATGGCGCAACATTGAACCCTTACCATAGACGTTTGACTCCCGGAGGCTCGAGTGGTGGGGAGGGTGCTTCGATCGGGTTTCGCTGCGCAGTCATGGGTGTTGGCACAGACATCGGAGGATCTGTCCGAGTTCCTGCCGGATTCTGCGGCGTCTACGGGCTCCGCACAACCGCCCTTCGGAACCCATATAAAGGGGTTGTGCTTCCTGGACAGGGCCAAGAAAGCATTCGTTGCGTTATTTCACCACTTGCAAACAGTATCGAGGACATCAACTTATTCCAAAGCGCCGTTCTTGATCAGGAACCCTGGGAGGAGGAGACCTCTCTAACCCCTCTCCCATGGAGAACAGTGGGCCCATATAAGCCACAAGACATTAGAGTTGGAATCATGTGGGATGATGGGTCTGTATCCGCAGTCTCTTCCAGGTGCCCTGCAGATACTAACTAATCACTGTCAGACTCACTCGACCACATCCGCCTGTCAGACGTGCTCTTCAGCATGCAGCAGGCAGACTGCAAGAAGCAGGCGTCGATGTTGTCGACTGGGAGCCATATGCACACGATCTTGGAATGGACATGATCACAGACCTGTATTTTCCTGATGCAGCACAGACCCAATTGGAGCTCCTACATGCTGGGGGCGAACCAATCGAGCCACTGACAACAAACTCATTTAGCTGGGCAAGACCAGAGGCAATCACTGTGCGCGAAAATTGGGATCTCAATGTACGACGGGATACTTATCGTGAAGAGTGAGTTCACCGTTGCACCATGAAACGGGGGCATTAATATCCAATTTGCGATGCTGACAATATACATCAGGTATCATCGCCTGATGAAGGAGCGAGGGGTTGACTTTATTCTTTGCCCAGTAAATGTTGGGGTTGCCACCGAGCTTGGAAAAGGGCGAAACATTCCATATACTGCCATTTGGAACATTCTTGATCAGCCTGCAGTCAGTATTCCCACCGGGCTCAAGCTTGATCCGGAAATCGATATGGTTGAACCCGACTATACATGTCGTTCTGCAGCTGAGGAGTATGAGTATAAGCGCTGTGAGTGAAAGCACCACCCTATGCCACTGACATCGAAAGGCTGCTGCTGACCTCAAGCTTGTACAGACGTGCCAGAACTTTTTGCAAATGCTCCCATAGGACTTCAAGTCGTGGGCAAGCATTACAGAGATGAAGAGACCGTGATGGCAGCCGCGCTGATCGCGAGCTTGGTGCAAGTTCAATCGGACTGAAAGAATGTATTGAGTGTACAGAAGCTCGGGCACTATTACAGAAGCATGTCATCGGCTTCTCGAAGCAGTTTGAGGAGCAGCCCGTATTTTGAGATAAATAGTGGGTGATCCTCTGAACAGTATGCGTAGTTGAATGTCTTGAAGGCGCGAACACCATCATGGGTCGACGCGTCATTGATAAGCCAGCGATGAAAGCAGTTCAACGACTGAGTGAGTCGATGATCAACATCCAGGTGGTTTGGGTAAGTAGGTCAACGCCCGTAAGTTAGTCTGCCTTCCCGTCCTCTGAAAGATTAATAAATGCTTGTCGTTCTCTCGCAATTATTACTGATTGAGCCATGGCGATCTGCAATGTGGGGGTTATCCGTTGGGTGCAAAGGAAGACGCTCCGTTCTGCATTTTCCATTAGTTAGACTGTGGGCTTTTACACCAGTGATATTCGACGGCAGCGAGTGGCATGATCGATACCGATAACCTATGGGTGAGCGACATAGGCGATATACGACACTGGCATCAACCGTTCTGATTACCTTAACTACCTAGGTAAGCTTTTCCCGACACTGAAAACGCGAGAGCCAAGCTACTTCTATCGTCAGCGACCGCATGAGCCGGAATACTCAGCAGTGAAGCGTCCTTAGTTCAGTAACAATAGCCCAGGTCTGAAATTACCCCCCACCGACAAGCCTCGAGCAAGGGCGCCGAGCAAGGCCCGAGGCCCCCTGGGCGCCTAATTAACTGGATAGGTATGAATCTATTCTTCCCCTCAGAGCCACGCGGGGTCGCTGGGCCTTGAGCTCCCTCTGTCACCGACATTCTCAAAGGCTCCCAGGTTCAGCCCGTGACTCCTTTCGTGCATACTTGGTTAACTTAGGACTAAAGTAGTGTCTCACAAGGGGGATGCTCGAATAGAAGCGGGGTGCCATTTGCTCCTACACTCCGGAACGTGACGGTGTTGACCGCAAACTGCTGTGACATCCACTCTCTTGGTCTCGCAAGCGGATTACATCCAGTCGCCTGAATCTAATGTCGAAAGCATTGCTGCGAACCAAAAGCGGTTGCTTGACCTGTATGCTCCATTGTCGGCCTCTTCGCACTGGACTGCTGATCAAAATTGATAGGTAGGAAGCGCAGATTGAAGTGCGATGAGAATAAACCACTATGTCGGCATTGTTCGTCTGCTCGCCGTCTATGCACGTGGCCAACGACAGCTGATCTCTCTGATGGGCGTAACCGCCGTCAGCTGCAGAGGAAAGATCTCAAGGGAACTTGTGAAGAATCCTGTGTGCCGAAAGTGGTAGAAGTCTCTGGCGACGAGTGCCTCCCCACGGCTCCTTGGTCCATTTTGTCAGCTCCAATGCCCAAGACGACAATATCTGCGAATGTCGAATTCACACTGTTGCTTCATTACCGGGATCAATTTCTCACTCACCTTCTTTTACCAACGTTGCCACCAGCCTTGCTGGACGACTACCGTTCAAATGTGATGCATGACCTTCTCTCCGCACAAGGGCTTAAATGCGCGGTCATGTCGGCTTGTGCGTCAAACCGTTACATGGCCACGAGAGAGTTGCGGTATCTAACTCTCGCTGACACCTATCATACTCAGGCATCGCAACATGTCATGAAAAGTGTAACAAGTTTGATAGGCTGCGGCGCTTGCCCAGGAGATGCTTTGATATCAAGCGTAATATTTCTTTATATCTCATCGGTACGTCATAAGTGTCCCTTGCCCTCAAGGCCCGGCTGATTCATATTCGATCAAGCTCTGGGGTCCAGGTGACTCAAGTGATGCCCTGCAGCACGTTGCAGGAGCACAACAGCTGATTAAACTACGTTACACATTTAAGAAGTCCTTGTTTTCCACGCTAAGAAACTATGACCGTATCATAATTGAAAGCGTTGTCTATCAGTCTTGCTTACTCATCATGCGAAGACCCTTCTCGCTGCAGGATCCTCTAAATCGGCGTTTCTTGGACAATACATTCGAAATCTTGAATTTTCTGGCCTCTGAACATGAGTCCGAAATATCGAGGAGTCGAGTCCTAGGAGTTCCGGCGGCACTACATTCCCTGATTCTAAGGATTGCCTGTGGGCCATACTCTGGACAAGAGCTACAGGACTCATGTTATGAGTCCAACCTAAGGGAGAGTGTGCAGCAATGGCATGAGTGTTTGACTACCATATCTGATGGTACAAACTCGTCGTCACCTTCGATGACTGATCTCTACATTCTTGCAGCTTCGCTTTTATATGACTTGCATGATCACGACCGGAGTCTTGTAGTCATGGACTACGCTAAAAGAGTGAACGTGCCGGATTTCACCAAACTGCCGCTTCGGTCTGTGGAGGAACCTTCGATAGGAACCAGATGGCAAGTAGAGTTAGCATTAGCATACCTGCGGCACCCAAATCTGCGCCAAGTTTGCGTCGTCTGTTATCTAAGTGCATGGCCTCTGTTCATCTTCGGCTCTGTTGTCGACAAACCTGAGGATATCGACTTCATAAGGCAGCTATTGAGAGATTCACAAGAGGTTACTGGTTATGGAGAGTTGGGGAGAATCGAGCACGAATTGGAACAGGGCTGGCTACGTGCCGACCCCATTTCTGCCATGTCTTCATCTACATGTGGCACCGTTGAGGGCCTACAACACTCCAGTCTTCGATATTCTGGCCTCACTTGAAAAGCACCTGCAGTCGCCTCCGGTCAGAACTGAGTGGGGCCTGCGATTGGAACCACAATGAGATCCTGAGTATGCTAAAAACATATTCACTATCCTTCGTCCCCCAGCTGCTCAGAAGCGCCAGTCAAGCTGGGTCGGAAAGTACGGGAGTGAAAGGAATTGATTTGCCTGACCTTCCGATCCTATGTCCAATACGCAGAAGTAGCTTTGTATGAAAGTCACAGCCTCCGACTGCCTGTGGACGCAAAGCTGGATATAGCGCGTCGATGCGATTTGGTCTGGATGTCATCTCGTCTCTTGCTGGCTATTGCCGCCCTGCCTCTGTACACGCTGCCATACCTGGGCGCCTCAAGAGTGATTTCTATTCAGGTTGGCATTCTGTTCATTCTTCATCCTTCATCACTTCCCCTTCGACTCAACTTCATCTCACCAAAACATTCCTTCCTCCTCAGCCGCAATTGACCAGTGATCTTTAATCAACTGAAGAAGGCTTTGCCTACGCACAAACGTCCACGATGAGTTCTTCAGAGAGCAATGATGCGGCCCATACGTGTGATGACTCCCGGCCAGTCAAACACTTTGACAAATTGTCAAATGAGTGCATTTGGCTCATCATCCAAGAAGTTAAGAAGAATGACTATGAGCATCCTCTGCGCAGATATCGTTCCCGCGGATACTATCGCAATCCCAGGAATGTGGGTCTCGTGTCGCTGTCGCTAGTCAGCAAAGACCTACGACAACTATGCCTTCCACATCTTTTCAATTTCACTGAGTTGAGCTGGATCAAAAATCAGAAGCCTATGATTGAGAATATGACCACGCTGGCCAAAGCACCTTTCGTCGCTTCCAGGCTTGAGTAAGTCTAATCAATCATAACAAAGCTCTTGTGCAACCACTGACTCAACTTAGATTACTAGATCTGTCAATCAACGATGCTGCTTACAAAGATTTCACTGTACTGAAGAATTTCGACGCTCTTTCGTTACTACCCTTAGCGCGTTGCCCAAGCTAGATTTTTTGAGACTTAATCTTGAAGAAAATGAGAACCTAACCACGAATTTAAAAATGGCATTTGAAACGTCAAAGGCAATTCTTCCTAAGGTCAAGATCCTTGAGGTCGACGGAGTTCCAGATGCAGGATTTCTCAGTCGTGCATGTCCCTCACTTGAGGCTTTCTCCACGTACATCCCATCCAAACAGTGGAAAAGAACGTTTCAAGCTATTGCTCGCATGACCACCATCCAATGGGTCCGCGTTGAAAACGAAAATGGTTGGACAGCATCGCAGGTTCGAGGTAAGATTAAACATCTTAGTCCCGGTGCGTGCGCTGACGATCCGTGACAGACTTATTGAAATACGTGCAGAAGATCCCGGAGTTGTCCTTCGTGGGTACGATGAAGTACACACTAGCGGTAAGACTCACAAGCAGTACAGGTTATGAAACCGCTGGCTCATTGGGACTTAGGACGTTACAGATCTGTTCTCCAATACTCCGAATCTGGCTAAAATCACCACCTGTATCGAACCGTGGATTAACCCCCAAAAGCTAAGAGAACGGGCTGGGATGGATCGTAGATACTTGAGATCTCTATCTTACCGGCAAGTACGCGATGGAATGATCGACAAGTCGCCATACAGTGCATCATCACAAGACATCGCACGTGCACTCTTCAATGCATGTGAAAATCTCATTGCCTTTGCCAGCTACAGATCTGGTCGTGACGGTGTACACACAGATAAATGGAACCTCGAGACAGCGTTAGTACCTACCATTTCCCAGAGATCGGATGTGAGGGCGGAGATTCCACGCTTCTACCTTGATGTCAACGATTGTGATTGGCAATCGTCTTGAAATACAACGCCAGTGCGAAATCTCGAAGCTGTGATCTCTCCAGAATGAATGGTGGAAGATGTGATCAGCGTTTCGGGCCGGGTTTAAGGAATGCGGAGACTCCAATTGAGGGCACCAGGACTTCAGCTACCATACGGAGGAGTCTCGCATGTGACGATGGACAACCTCTTCCCTAGCCGATATGTTGGGTATTGAGATCAGCCTCGCGGTTCGATGTTTCGCCGCTGGGTATCCTGCGTAAGGATGGCGATCTCCAGCTCGAGGGCACCGACAGCAGTGTCCTTCCACAAATTGCTATTGAAAACTAGAAAATGACCCAAAAAAATGTCTGAGTAACTAATCAAGGCGTTTTGATACACCTGTGGAACTACGACAACACCGTCGATCATTAGCCTATCTATCATGATGTCCGTTAACATTAGTGTCAGTGACCTCATTCTGGCTATTTGAATCATCATACGCAAGACTCTGTGGTTGTGATCATAACTACCTAGATACTGTGATATATAAGAGACGGACATGCGGTAGTAGACAGTGAGGAAGTGGAAGTAAAGAAAGATGCGGTGCGGGCCGATTAGTTAGTACCATCCTGCCACCACTGCCAAGGACAATCGGGGTTGTCGTCATTCAAGTTTGGACACGCACCATTGAAATCGTAGTACAGTTAGCGCAAGTAGGCAGCATCATTTCAAGGACAGACTAGGAAACAGACGAGCTTCGATACCATAGTGATAGCATCGGACGCGTCGGACGAAACCTATCAAAATGAAATTCACACCCGACCAGGATATTCCAGACCTCAGCGGCCGGGTCGTTCTAGTAACTGGCGGTATGTGTGATAAGCTCGAAACCCCGACCTAACTTTGTCCTCAGACCCCGAATCCAACACTGAATGATCTTCTAGGAAATGTCGGACTCGGCCGCGAAACTGTGCGACAGATCGCGAAGCACAATCCAGCACTCATCTATCTGGCGGCACGCACGAAATCCAAGGCTGAGGCGACCATCGCCGAATTGAAAGCCGAGAATCCAAATGCAGCACCCATTTCATTTCTCGACCTAGATCTCTCATCATTTGAAAGCATCAAGAAGGCCGCAGCGACATTGAACAGCAGCACCGAGCGCCTGGACCTCCTCATCAACAATGCGGGAGTCATGGCTACGCCGGCCGGCACGACCGCCGAGGGCTACGAGCACCAGTTCGGCACGAATCATGTTGGACACGCTTTGCTGACGAAATTGCTACTGCCAAAACTCAATGAGACCGCTGGCAAGCACCCGGAAGTGGATGTTCGCATTGTCAACGTCTCGTCCGGCGCACATAGGCTGGCGCCATTCGACGGGTATCCATTTGCGGCACTCAAGGGCGATCTGGGCGACTACAGCACTTTCACGCGCTATGGCATCTCCAAGTTAGCCAACATTCATTTCACCCAGGAGCTGGCGAAGCGGAATCCCGAGGTCAAGTGTGTTTCAATCCATCCTGGAGCCGTCAACACCAATTTGTCGTCCGGAGTGACTAGCACGCGCCCATGGTTGGCTGTGCCTGCGAAAGTGGTCTCGTGGTTGTTCGCCGGCACCGTGGAGAAGGGAGCGCTGAATCAACTTTGGGCGGCTTTCGCCCCCCAGGCAAAGAGCGGAGAGTACTACTTTCCCGTCGGTGTTGAGACGCACGATGCGAGGGTCGATAATCATAAGGCTGCAGAGGACCTGTGGAAATGGACGGAGGAACAACTTGAGGGGCATACTTGATTTGGGTATATATCTGTGGATAATTTCACGGTGTGTTTGTGTTCGCCTGCTTTGCTTGATAAGGTCGAAAGCCCGGTGGGTGGCACTTGCGATAGGATACGCCAGGGTTTCAGACAATAACAATGTTGTACTGGTCCGAAGCATTCAACTTCCCAGTTTCAAAGATAAATGGCTGGCACGATGTCGAGAAATCCTCGCGCGGAGAGTCTGCAGTAAAGGTGCCGTACCTTCGAAACTCCGTTTCCCGACCCGTGGGCACGAGTATGAGGCCTTTATACCTCGGAACACGATTTCTGGTTCCACGAAGTACGGGCAAGCAGTAGATAACATGGGGCAAAAGAGTCGTGCCACTGATGCCATCGTCAAGCCGACATATCGCTGAGTAAATTGTCTTCTCACCTAGTTTCAAGGCAATTCCGGGGATCGATGAACCGGGCTGATGCACCCTGGACAGATTTCCACGCTGCATGGAGCCAGATAACCGTATGTAGCCACCATTTATCTGGCCCATTCTATCGTTGTCGACTGAGGTCACGACTGTGCTCGTGACCTCCACCACTGGCGCTGCCAATGCCCAAGTCTCCTTTTCGCAAGGCACCGTGGCGGCTCGAGATGCCCAAGACCACGTCGGCGCGATGTACCCTTCCCATTTGTGGGGACGTTGTCCCCGCTCTTCCACGTCCCACAGCAATTGGAACAGGATATCCGCTTTCCATAGCCCTGCAAGGTATGTGTCATGCGGAATGACATGACGCTGTAGTTTACGAGCAATCCCGGAGAGCGCAACCAGGCGGTCCGATTGCCTGCTCAAGTTGCCCGCAGAGTATGCTTTCATCACTTGGTCCCAGACGACATATGGTCCCCGGCTTTTGTATTCGGGGTTCTCAAGATTGATGGTTCCCGAGAACGGCAGAAGCTGTTTGAATTGTTCTCCTGGCTCATCTGGTAGTCCGCCAGAGAATGCTTCACTGGCCTCCTGGCCCGAGCACTCCCAGTAGAGCTGATCCTCTGCAAAGTGCAGCACCCTTGGCGAGAGCAGACGTTCTTGTAATACCCATGACCGGGAGTTTAGGGGTGCAAGATTCACATTCTTGACCCAGTCGTCCGTGTCCATGCATCGAAGGAAGTTTTTAGGGTTGTTCATAGGCACAACGGTAATCACACACGGCACTACTCTTTTGGGATCCCGATTGGAAAAGAGACCTCGACTGCCATCTTCTGCGGCTGTAGCCGCCAAGGTACAAAATGCGTTCTGGTAGATGTCTCCCATGATGGCAGACTCGTTGCGCCAGTCGTCCACAGAGTCTTGAAGGATGCACAGTGAGTCGATCCAGAGATAACGGATGCCGAATTCGTCCCAAAACTTCTTCGTTACCGAAATGGCGTCTTGGAAAGTTTTGCACAGTGTAGAGATATCTACTCCTTCGCGTAACACTGACTCCGTGGCAGCTATGAGTTTCATTTTCGGGCCAGAACCCCAACAATGGCTGAGAGCTAGATACTCAATTTCATGATTGCTTGCTCTTTCGAGTGTCTGAATGCGAATACGGTCTCCTTCACAGATCTCAATCAGCCTCCTGGGAAGTCTGCGTTGATGCAGTTCTGATATCGGTGTGCACTGGCCGTGTTTCGAGAAACAATCGGAGATCCAACCTTTGATTGTTTTCCAGCTCTCCTCTGACCAAGTAGTTGAGGCAATATTCGAGACTTCTCCATTGAGCACTGTTTCCGTGCACGGCAGCAATCTGAAATGCTTTTTAAACGGCTGTACGTAGTCATCATTGTCCACAACGATCGTTTGATACTTGTACTCCATCATCAGCTTTCTGGCTTTGTGATCCTGGTCAAAAATCGCCCGATTGAGAGTCAAGTAGCCCGGCAGCCAGTGAGCAGGACGCTCATTTTGTAGATACTCATCCAAGAATTGATGGATTTCCAGCGGAGCAGCCGTCCACAGTAAGTAGCACAACTGACATCCAGTAGATGCCGACTGTTTCAACCTTGGAAGACTATGATGAGTAGCTTTGTAGAACGGGGACGAGAAGACCCTGGTCAATGATTCCCCGGATGTGGTCCTGGATATCGGGTCCTCGCCCACCTGTGATAGCTCGACAAATGCATCCTGGCATACTTCGCACAGCATTCTGTGAAAGTGTGAGAGTCAGATGGAGGGAGAAGTGTAAGGAAGCGCAAGAAGCGCTACAGGCCTAATAATGAATCGTGGTTCTCCCTCGATAACCCCGCGTATTCTCAGCCTCACGTTCAGTCAGCCATTGTCTTCGATTCGTGTAGAATTCTCGTCTAATATCGGAGGCCTATCCGCATCTAGGCTTGAGAGACAGTTCGTCTCAAGCTTTGCCCAGTCGCGTGGGCGACGGGCGCCTCGGGCCAAGCAGCAGGGATACTCCATTGGCCTTATTAGGGATGGATAGTCTGGGCGAGAGGTGCCCCGGACGCTTTTGCTGGAGAGATTTCTTTACCATGATGACGTAGCTCACCGAGGGCTTTAGCTCTTGTGGCAGTTAACAAATCTAACTTCCTTTGATCGATGTCGCGTCACACCTAGAACTGTAATGATGAGAATTGATCTGTCACTCAACTCATCCCATCCATAAATATGTCACCATCCCGGGGCCCATCCACAACTGCGACGCTCCCAAGCGCATCTCCCAAAGAACACCCCCACTCAGGCGACGACCTCGCAGTCCAACAGCAAAGCAACAGCGCACTGCGCAACGCGAAACGAAACCTCAATTTCTTCCTCTCGCCCGCCAGCCACGGCGCGCCAGGCGAGCGACCTGCACGACTACGTACTCGGGCGCTCCTCCGCACGCTACGCTACGTGACGCAGTTCATATTCTGGCGGCTGGTGCGCTGGGCGAAATACGTCGCGGTGGGAAGTCTTGTGGCTGCTGTGGGTGCGACGGCGTTTGGGGGTGCGATTACAGGTGTTGCGTGGTTGGCGGCGCCGCCGACTATTGGTGCCAGCATTATTGCTGCGAGCCTCTGGGGTGTTGGGCGGCATATCGCCAGGAGGGCTCATAAACGGTGGGTCAAGAGTGGTGGGGATGTGGGCGAGGAGGTTAGGGAGAGGGTGCAGGATGAAGGAGGCGTGAGGACCGAGGGTTCTTATGGTGTTGATATGGGTCCCAGAGCTGTGCCTTGGTGATGTCGCAGACATGACTTGTTAAAGGGGTGTATATTTCTATGGAACATGAGCAGGCTTTGGCCCATCAGCGCCGTCTTGCTGCATTCCACGATTCAAACTCGAATATCATCCCACTGGTAATGCTCTTGGGCGTCATCTTGATCGCCTTTTCGATATACTCAGGGATCGTACAGTCCCTATCGGCGTCCATAGCAAACTCTCCTGCGGTCTGGCAAATGCCAACAATTTCGGCACCGGAAAACCCGTCAGTCAGGGACGCAAATCGTCGAGCATCCTCCTCCACGCCAACTTCATATCGGTACGTGAATTTCTCGAACCGTTTCTGGAAGATTTCAGTTCTTGCTTCCAGGTCGGGCGGACCAATGTAGACGACGTTATCGAACCGTCCTGGCCGCATCAGTGCAGGATCGATATTTTGCGGCTTATTGGTCGCCGCGACCACCAGGACGTTTCGAAGCTCTTCGAACCCGTCCATCTCATTCAACAGTGTCGTCAACACATTGAGGTCGCTACCACTTTTGCCACGAGACGCGATAGCGTCGATTTCATCGAAGAAGATGATACTAGGGCTCGCGGCCCTTGCCTTTCGAAAGACTTCTCTCGTGGCCCTCTCACTTTCACCCACGTACATTGATATTAACTCCGCACCCTTGACAGCGAGGAAGTTCAGACCGGCTTCAGTGGCCAAGGCTCGGACAAGGAGTGTCTTCGAACAACCTGGCGGTCCATAGAGCAAAACCCCTTTCTTCGGCTGTAAGCCAATCTTCTTCATCCGCTCGGCAAATTTCAGTGGTCTCTCAATTGCGTTCTGTAGTTGACGTTTGATTTCATATTGGCCCCCTATGTCTGACCAATGCACATTGGGTGTTTCAAGGAAGATCTCTTGCAATGCCGATGGTCGGATCTCTTGCAGCGCCTGCTCAAAGTCAAGCGCAGTTACTTCCAATCGAGGTTTCTCAGGCTTGGTATCATTTTCATTGTCATGCAATGAAAGGGGGAGCTTTTCGTTCACATCCCTCCTCTCATCTTGATAGTCCTCAACAAGATTTTCACTCTCTTTCTCCGATCTATCTGCAGCGGTGTCAAGCGTTTCTCTGAACAACGCATAGAGGTCGGCGCCAACGTAGCCATGAGTCCTTTCAGCCATGGTCTGTAGAAGCTCATCGGATGGTGCAAACTCAGCCCCTCTCATAGCATGTAGAATTAGTTTCCGCTGGTGAGCTGAGGGGATCGGTAACTCTATTTCCGCTTCAAATTTGCCTTGAGCACGTAGACTTTGATGGATGTCGTTCGGGTGCACAATCTCAGCGACCACTAATGTCGGAGTTTCCTTGATCTCCTGGAAAAGACCATGCAGCCCGGCTGGACCCATGCTGCCAGAATCTCGTGATTCGTAACGTAGATCGACTGTTATCAGTCTTGGTTCGGTCGAAGGTGGTATTCTGGTTCCAGTAGTCCATTGGATGACCGATGGCCAGCCCGAATCAGCCAGTGCTTGGATAAATGCGGACTTGCCAGTGCCTTTTGTGCCATATATCAGAACTCCTTGTACTGGTCGGTGTGATGCCCAATTCTGCCTCACTGTAGCCCGGCGTAATCTGTGGACGATTTTCCGCAATTTGATGACCTCCTGCTCAAGACCTCCGAGTTGGGCTGGCCGGAAGTCGACATCTGTTGCCTGCTCTATCTTTGTGGGATCATTAATCCTGAACAAAGTCTTTTCTGTAACTCGTGCAATCATGACATTTGCAATGCTGATATCTTTGACCGTGAACTCGACTCTATCAAGTCCCAATTTGAATATGAATCTCTGAGATATCGCCAAGTGTTCATGCGCTCCTGGTATTGTATGTTTCGCGTATGTTGCATAGAATCTTGCATCTTCAGATGCGAGAGGTGGTCCCGAGGGTTGCAAAGTGACCACGGTGATGTCCTCCACTGGTGTGGAGGATCGAGTAATAGCGATCTTGTCTCCGAGCTTCAGGCCATAAACCTCCTGTAATAATTTTGAAGTCTGCACCACATAGTCCTTGATGCCCGACGCCTCCCAAGCAATCGCCAGTTTTTTCCGGCCGGACGCATCTGTCAAGCCACCTTGGATTTCGCATGTGTCGCCGGATTTTAACTTTAGCGAAAGCATGGACACCACGTTGAGACTGATACGAAACGCATCCTTGTCGGTGTTGGAAGGCCGCACAGTGAATGTGGCCATGATTCCATGTGATGTGGTATTGACCCAAAGCTGCTGGTGAAAGTTCCGAGTCTTGGTCGACACAGCTGTAGACCTTTTCGTACCGCGCGAGTCGGACTAACACACAACGACGTTTCGATGTTTCTCCAGGCAAAGATGTCGATGATTACTGCATCCTACTCTGATGGTGATTCCCACCAGAAGAACTAGATATCTAAAATTACGGGCTAATTGCTGTAGATTAAGAGTCCACCAAATTTTGAGTATGTCTTGGCGGAGAACAAATGTAAAGGGACCCCCTGCCTCGTCAAGCCTGGCCGCGTTTTATACCTAGTTACGTACCCATCCACTACACTAGCAGTACAGAGTAGTGGGGGAAACAACAAGAATTGAGTGAAAGAATTGCATTGGACTCGCAAGTCATTAAAGCTGTGCTTTGGTCCCATAGAAATCAACCCAGTGATTCGTGGGACGGCTTTCTGCAGCACTCCGGGTGACTCTTTTGGTGATGCTAGCTTCATCAAGAGCCTCCCGACCTGTCGATCCTTCAAGATTGGACTCCGAAACTTCAGGACTAGACTCTTCCCTAATATCACCTCCCTTTGGAACCTTTTCCCAACCTTGGCTATCGTCCAGTTTCGAGCTCTGAGTAAGTTCTTTGACAACTTTGGCACCCTCGCTCTCCACACCGTTCCAGGAGCCACAACCCGCACATCTCCATCGCCCAAGTTGTTCCAAGGTATTGACACCTGGAGGTGCCTGACCATTGACAAGACGGCAGTTGGAGCAGAGAAGTGCAAGCCTGTTCTTTGCTGCTGTCTCATCGTCACCAAGCAACACATCCAAGATTCTATCATACCAATGTGGCGCTTGTTGTTCGTATGTGGCCCTTGTAAGAGGAGGCTGAGAAAATGCGTTTGGAGCAAAACCTGGAGAGTCAGGTACGACATCGTTGGGGCTCTGTGCAACATTATGACGAGCTGTTGGTGAGTGATCCAGAACTGGGGAGACCGGGGTCATTGGTCGACTTGGATCTACAGGAGAGGGAACAGCGACGTTTCTGCCTGGAATATTGGCAGTCGGAGGAGGAGGAATACCGGTTCTCTGGGGCTGTTGCCCATGCAGCTGTTTTTGAGCCGGCGCGGGTTTCTTTGGTCCAGATAGGGATGATCTCGACGGAGACTTGTTGGCAGGAGCGGCACCGTACTTTTGCAGCAGTTCTTGAGTACTGTCATATTTGGTAGCCTTCTTGAGATCTGCAATCTTGGACTCTCGTTGTTTCTGTAAGTGGTCCAAATATGACTGCTGTCGACTTATTCTCCAGTCCGAGACGGCAGTAATTGCCTTTCGAACGGCGTAAATGACCAGCGGGGAGCCCACAAGACCTCCATAGTGATATAAAGACCAGTTCTGAGGTCCTAGAACAAGGACTATGATGAGCGAGTATAAGAGATAGGTCAGAGTGGTGTAGAGAGTCCAGAGCGCCTTGACACGCCTGCCTCGACTTCTGGTAGTATCGAGTGCGAGATTTGCAGCGGTGATTTGAGAAGAGAGCTTAGAGAGAGCCTTCTCAAAGGAGGCCGGGGAGTTGGCATCGCCCTAGTGTAGTCAGAGAAGATGTCGCCAGCGTAGAGGGTAGGGAGTGGTTCTCACCTTCCAGAACCACGACATACTTGCTCTCCTCATCGGGACCGTGGTGGAATTGATGCTTTCAGGATGAAGATCAATTTAGCGAAGATTACCACCTGTCAGATTGCATGGTAATAGGGTTTTGTGTCTTCCTTTCGAATCATGTTGCGAGCATGAACCCGGCAAGATTGAAGCACGCGAGGATAGACAGCGAATTCTGTGTGTGAGTTGTCAGTGCCTGCCCAACACCCCATGGACACTGCGTCATTGGGAAGGTGCACCCCTGGGACCCATGGGAATTTAGGGGAGCCACCGGCATGGCTGGCGGAACCGGAATAACTATTGTTCTCAAACTTAGTTAGTCACGTTAAAGTGGAAGGAACACCAGACGTGGACGCGATGGGATTTGGCTGCGCCTGCACATATGACGGTCGCAGGTAACTTTATCTCACCCTTTACCAAAAAATAGTTGAGGACAACTCAACCACTTTACAGCTCCCCATGTAATAGAAGACTACACCTCTTCTACATCCCGCACCTCTCATTCAAGCAGTGTACTTACGGTGCCCTCTTGCTCACTCTCGCCGCCTCCAGTCCTTAACTAGCCTCAAACAAATCATCGATCTTGGTGGACTTCCGGATGCCTGGCATGTGGCTCACAGATATGCAGAGTAGGTCATAATTGGGTATGCATAGTAAAGTCGCGTACTGACAACATAATAGAGGTGGGCGTGGCCTTCTGCTCTGGAGGTATGCTATCTCGAAATATACATCCTCTAACTTTCGAGGGACTAACCATTACCAGGTGGGCTATTTTTGTTCGGGGGTGTCCTGATGTTTTTTGATCGGTCAATGTGAGTTTCTAGTGCTATGTCTCAAGCGGAACAATCACTAACTTCACTTATAGGCTGGCCATGGGAAATGTTCGTCAAAAGCCCCTATCATCCGAAACACTTTGCTGATCAGGTCTTCAGATCCTGTTCCTGATAGGTCTCACCCTTATCATCGGCATTCAAAAGACCTTTGTGTTCTTCGCACGGCGACAAAAGCTCAAGGGGACTGCTGCTTTCATGGCTGGAATCCTTCTGATCCTCATCCGATGGCCTCTGACTGGCTTCCTGGTTGAACTTTATGGCATCTTTGTGCTTTTCGGAGACTTCTTCGCAACCATCGCCTCGTTTGCCGGAAACATCCCAATCGTGGGCCCATATATCCAAATGGCATTGCAAAAGATTTCGATCGGTCGGCGGAACGCAGAGCTCCCTGTCTAATGCACAGTTGCAGTCTTTTGTATCCAGATACCTGGGCAGGGGACCAGCAGCCCCTCCACAATGATATGTTCCAGAACAACAGCCTCAATTCCGTTGATAACAGTTGCTGAGTTGTAATCGAAAGCATATGGCAGTTTTGCTGCAGTCCGACGAAGAACTAAAGTAGACAGCAGACGCTACTCCAATTTTCCCTCCGTATCATTATCTATCAAAACGCCTTTCCTATCGAAATGCGTCAAAAGATGTCAGGCCTGGTTCCTGTTTTGTTTGGCATCTGGTTGCCGACTTGATACAAGCTGACTATCAAGAGTTTCCTTCTTGTCCGCCAGGGACTGGGAATGCTGGACCACTTTTCATCCCACCTATTCAAAGGCCTCCAAAGCCTGTACTGCCTCTGTCGGTCCCATTCCAGCCAATGATTGAGCTCAATCCGTGTGCATTCACATCGGGTGCGGTGGCTAATAGGTCATAACCCATGGACATGGACCAGAGCATATCATCTTCAGTCTGCCAACCTCCAAAGGTGCCTGCCGATGCTGATTGACTATGTGGTGAGATCGCGAATGGGTCATAATTTGCGCCGTTTGGATGCGCGAACGGTGGGGTGGAAGCTGTTTGATGTTGGAGTAAATTCGCGTTGGTATCGTGTCGAAAGAAATCCGGGGTCGATGGTTGTGCATGTTGCAATGGCTGGGATTGGCTTTGAGCCGAACCTCGCTGTGGGAAATTGGCGCTCGGGAGAAGTTTGCCTGTAGCATCAGTGTTGATTTGATTTTGAGACAGACCATTCACTGAGAGACCCCCCGGTGCTATTGAGCGCTTACCATTGGCCAAGTTTCGCATCAGCAACCTCTCGAAACCGTCAGCCATGCTGTACAGGATATGTGCTTTGCCAGCTCTGCAACCACGAAAGAGTGCAATGATCCCCTCGATCAGAGGCTTCGTTCTGGTTTCAGGGTCAATGCTGACACCAATGCTCATCCATCGACTCGACATTTTGATCAAGAATACCACTGCAAAGGCGATGACGGTGTGAAGGTATAGAGGTACACCAACCATACTGTCTCGAACATTCTGCTCCTCAAGGACAATAATCAGGATTTGATGTGCAGAGGTAATGGCGTGAGAGGCGAGGGCCCTTAGCGAAGTTGGAAGTGTGGATGTTGACGAGATGGTGAACAGCGATCTTCCTCGTAGTGCCAGAGAGTTCAGCATCATGGATGCAAAATGATAATGCAGCTCCACGCCTACAACAAAACTTTTCGTCAGTCTTCGATCATAAGCATCAAGCACTCGATCACACTTACCGACAGCAGGGTAATCCCCGACATGAGGATCTCTCAACAGAGCATGTCTGAACTGATACCTCCAGCGATCCAAATCCTCAATGAAGCGTTGATGTGTGAGCAACGTAGCGTCATCCCCTTCCATCAGCCGCTCCGCTTCCAACCCAAAGTGGTTATACGCCTTACTGAGAATAATGAACAGGGTGACCTGCGACAAGACGCGGCGGTCACTGGGCGTGCACTCGGGGGCATTGAGGAACACCTCATACTCCTTGATGGCCTGCAACTCGGCCGTGACGGGGGGCCTGCCATAGGCGATGCTGAAGTGGTGGTCAAGGACATACAGGAGATACCAGAGGCGGGCGCGCTCAAAGGCATGTTGGCGCTCCGAGGAGGTCTGCTTCTGGGAGAACAGGGCCTTGTAGAAGGCCTGGTGCAGGTTCAGCTCGGTCGCGATGCGCACGCAGTGGCCCGACAGCTTCCAGCTCAGGTCCGGCAGCCAGAAGGCGGCGATGCACAGCGCCCGAATGTCCTCGAGCGTGTGGAAGCGGTCGAAAAACGACGTCGCGATCAGCTCCCGCAGGTGCTTGGCCGACTGCTCGTGGATCTGCTCTTTGCCCGGGATGTGCAGCGACGTCACGGTGATGATGGCGGTGAAGAACAGGGTGGATGATTCGCGCACCGAGAGGAGCGTGCGCGACGCCTGGATCGTCGCGTCGTACAGATACCGCGACAGGCTGGTTTTGAACAGCGAGAGCATCTCCTCCGCTTCGGCGATGGTGACAATCCCCAGGGCGATCAGGTCCGCTTCCATGTTTTTCTTCGAGTTGCGCCGCGCCAGGTCTCCGTATTTCAGCCGTGACCGCAGCGTGTTGAGTTGCGTTACTTCGTATAGTGAGCCCATTGGCGCTGGTGCCATTTCGTGTTCGCCTTGGCCTTCCGGGTTTGGGTCGCGCGAGTTCTCTCGTGTTGTTTGTGCTGCTGTGTCGGGGATGTTGGTTCCTGGTTGTGATGTCGGTGGTTGAAGTAGTGGTGCTCCTGACGGTCGGGGTTCGGATGTGCCGATTAAGCTGTATGTGTCCAGCGGTGGCATTTTGAGTCGGGACAGTATCTCCTCCACCGCTCGGTCCAGGCGCACAATTGACGGATGGGGGTTTCTTTGAATTTCAGCTTAGCCCCTGCTTCAAAAACAGAATAGAAAAAAAATCACATACTCATTTTCATCCTCCAGACTGACCCGCATCCGCTTGCTGGTGACGCACTCCAAGCTTAACCTCTGGCATCGCGAGCAGCCAGCATCGCCTCGTTCCAGGCTGTCGCACTTGACCTTCAGCTTTCGACAAGCCAGACAAGCGCGACCTTTACGCGCAACATGAGGTTCCGAGGGCAAATGGTCGGCAGATCTTTTCCTTGAATGTTGCGGATCCTTCAGCTGGCTCGGACTGTCTTCGACAGAGCCATTCCATGATGGTTGGCGCGCGATGTGGGTGAAGACTGATGACTGCTGTGGTGTTTGTTGTGGATGAGAACCAGGATATGGTTCGTTGGAGCCACTCATCGTTCTTAAATTCTCCGGCGAGCGCGAGTGATCCTATTTAAAACAGAACAGTCGGTCTCGTTGCCGATGCGCGGCGCGCAGCAAGCCTCTCTTTGACGCCACGAAGCTGGCAACTGGACACGGGCTAAGCCTGGGTCTTGAGACTGACGAGGAATCAGTGCGCGCGACAGCTTCGCGTTGGCATCGAGCTGTCAAGAAAGTGATCACGTAGCTGGTAGAGAAGTAATCATCCACCGGCCGGGCTGATATTTGATGAAAAAAGAAAGACCGAAAGAGACCAGGGTTTGATGTTTCATGTTGTTTTTTGCACCGTGAGGCCGTCGCCAGGACTGAATTTAGCTCCTCGTCCGGATATTTCCCCGCGCTCAAACTGTCGCCTTCCGCCACAGCTGGCCAATCATCGCCGGCGATGCCGTAACATGTTCTTATCTTCGGCAATTGTTAAATTGACCTCCGTTGACTCTCCTTCCTGCACGTAAACTGGATGGTCCGGAGTACGAGTACCATGCAGCTTTGCTCTCCCTCTTTGGGACAGGTGGTCGTTAAAATCTGGACGGACGCCTACGGATACTTGATACACCACCTGTTCGTTTGATTGCGTAATAGTTGGTTCCTGATTTTGAGAAGGCGCCATATGCCCGACCTCTTCTGTATCCTTTTTCCGAGCGGCACACGTGACCCCAAGGTCCACGCACTTGTCCTTCGGTCTGAGATATTGCGTCTATTTAAAGACTCAAAGTCCCGTGTGGCTGTGCGCGCAGATATGGTAGCCATGGTTGCTGTCGATGGTTCTTTGGCCCCATGGTATGTCATTCTCGGTAGTTTGCATCTGATCCTGGCCCTGTCCCCGGCAAGACGTTGCCAGGGTCAGGTGGGTGGCGTGATCGGGCTTAGGGAGAGGTCAGTGCCGCGTGAGTGGTCTTTGCAGAAACTGTGTGTAAAGGAGTCCTTGGTAGGTGCAGGACTGGTTGCAGAGACCATCGGTCCATCATCGATCAGTAAGACTTACATCAGGCTCTTGGGCTGGAGCCTTGAGAGTGCTCTGCATTCTTCAGCTCCCATTTGGACCCTTCATGAGTCTTCAAAATGGGCCAGTAACAAGATAGGCAATGCGAGCGAGTTTATTCGGAGGGCTATGCCGCTTCCATGGTACAATACTGACAATATTCAGCTTGCAGCATACTCAGGAACTCGGCGCACATTGTTCTAACCACTTTCTTTGTTGGTTGTGGTGAAAGAGTCGTACCGGACGACCCCTCGTTCAACCATCTCGACTGCGTTGTCGGTATACTCTTCAACCCTCTCATTTATGGCCTCCTGACTTGATATGGGCAATTTTAAATCAGTCGGAAAGGCTCGGCAACTTTCTAAGCAGCGGGAGGGCGAAGACCCGACAACCTGAGTTCCCCCAGTTTGGCAAAGATTTGTGCTGTGAGGGGTTTGAACTGTTCCACCTCTGCAGTAATGGCCTGGAGATTGCCGTGAACACCGCGTGCAAAATTCAGAGTGTTGGAAGTCACGCCGAATCGCTGGATATATGCTTGGTTGCCTCGAACCACGAACACGCCTTTCTTACACGCCTCGGCCATGATATCGATCTCTTGGATATCAAGACTGACCCATTTGTTGACGTGAGCAAGGTCCTCGTCATCCGAGTTCTCAAATCTTTGATTTCGCCAGTGATCCTCGATTCGCATCAGCTTGGCAAGGCTTTTGACACAGCGCTCGTGTCGAGCCTCCACAGTTTGACGCAAGCGGGTCGATTGCGCCCCCATCTCCGACTCTATTACAACGACGTACCTAGCCATCAATACTATGACCTTGTTAGCATCGTAGGGTCTTGCATTCATCGCAGCAACAAGGCGAAGCCTGTTCTCTTCAATGTCATCCCGAATCACTGTGCAAATCTTTGGCAGCATCATTAATCTTTCGAATGGCGCGGCCACGTCCTTGTTGTATGGCATGGGCTCCAGATTGTTCTCTGGAGTTGACAACAAGAGGGGTACCTCGTCCCAGTTTGGTAGAGGAAACTCCGGCTCCATCGTCTCGATTCAGGCTTGGGGTCTGATGTCGGAAAAAGACTTCCTGGTAAGGCTTATCGTTTTGTTTGTGGAATGAGCTTGCTGTCGATGTGTGTGGTGGTTTAGAAAGCTGGTTTAAACGCCATGCCCGGCTGTCTTATATACCTGATCGCCAGGGACTGCCCGTCTATGAGTGCTGAGGCAGTACGCATTCAAGTCTAGTGCTGGTAGTGGCATAAAGAATTGGACTGCCTCGGGAGCCATTGTGAGGCAGCGCACGCATTCCTTGACAAAAATGAATCCTTCACCTTGCGCCATTATTCGAGTCATCGTAACCTACAAGGCCAACAATCAAACCACAACAATGGAACGTGTTGGACAATGCCAACCTCATTGTGTTCAATATGTTGTCAGTTACTGCAGACTCGGATAATGCTGAACCGTTCGGATCTCAACATCCCTCGACCATCCGTCGAGAGCGCACTGCCAATGTGATGCTACAGCTCAGAGTGTCTCTCGAGAATGGGATCTGACTTGAACAAGTCTTGCTGCGTTTTTTGGGAGAATATTTCCTGCAGTCGATTCGTCCGGTCCGTTGATCTCGAGGTAAGTGATCGAGCGCACGAACAAATCATAGATGTCCAATGTTTGACGTCGGTTGCTTGCAATGACCTTTTGAGGACGTCTCCTTGAGATGGCTGTTGATCTATGGTCTCAACTCCTCTCGATTGCTGACAAGGGAACTGCAAGCCAATGATAGCTTCGATGTCATGCGAGAATTAACCGACGACGGGAGGCTAATTAACGCATTGAGATAAATATCAGCAAAGTCGCCACTTTCCAAGAAGTCAAGTGCTTCCAGGTCAGACCTAAGACCCATGAACCATGGTACCATTTATTGCGTTTTACTTTTCTCTAGACTCCTGTGCTCAATGGGATCACATTGGAAATGGCATGTTGTTGGTTTGCATTTGGGACTGTGTGCCATCAGGATTTGATTGGAAGTATGTGGGAAGATGTCGCATGGTGATGCGGACTTGGTACTTCTTGCGAGGAATAGGAGTTTTTTTCGCTCCAAGTGTTCCACATCATCCCTTGATAAAATGACACTCTTTGGCGCCTTGGTCAAACCGAGGCGAAAACAAGCCTCACGCCTCCAATCTCAATTTCCGCTCCACAAGGTTCTTTCGCATGCGAGGCAGGATGGTCGTGGACGCTTTCTCCTTCTCATCCGACAGAGACATGGTACCTCGCAAAACGTTGGCTCCACGACAATGCGTGGCGAGACCTTCGAAGTGCTGAATTGGCTGTTCACTAGTATATATATATATAATACCCACGCAGGGCATAATGATGTGAGCAACTCTTCTTCGCTGTCGATGAAGTCACTGTAGTCAAATGTAGAGGCATTTTCTTGCTTGCTATGCTGGATTTGCTGTGATGAGGATCACTGTGCTACGGTTTGCTATAATGTAGTTTGCTATCCCAAGTGCGCTGCATAGTTCGTCATGTAGATTCCACTGCCCTATCACCATTGACCATAGTGCTAGATTACTTCATGTCATTATTTGTTTGCCCCTCTTTTTTTCTTTGTAAAGACCAGTTAGGCTTTTCTTCATTCTTTACTGTCATCCGGTAACGTGCAATTGTTCGCTATGTTGCAGACCACAAGGCTTACAGGGGAACAGTGGAAGCGACTATAAGACTACGAGCGAGGATGGCGAATGAGAGGGAACTTTCAAAGACCGTTAGGGAGAACGATGAGGGCAATATTGTTGTTGTGAGCTTCGAGGCTCAATCGTTTTCTAACATGCTTAATGCACATCGGTTATCTATATACAGGACGTTGATGTGTGTTACAAAGCTCAAAAAATTGCAGGTGGGTATCATCCAGACGCCTTGCCCGGTTTTCAGCAACCTTAAACCCCATATTCATACCCACGCTGCTGCCTCCCGTCCAACCACATCCTCGTATCTGCGCTGGATCCTCTGCGCTGAGCTCCGCATGAAATCCATCTCCATCCGGAGGAGGTCATTCTCCCTCTTTGCCTCCACCAGCTCCAGGCGCTGTGTCTCCATTTCCGCCTGTAATTCCTCCTGTCTCGCCTCCATGTCCGCCTTGAGTTTCCTCATGTCCTGCTGGTGGGCCGCCATCAGGAGCTGCTGCCTGTACTCTTCGTACCCTTTGGTGAGGGCTTCGAACTCCCGCTTTCGCTCCGCGTATTGTTCGGCAAACTGTGCTGCCACTTCGAGGGTTTCTTCGGTGACTTGTACGTTCACCTCGTTGCTGTCATTGTTGTTGCTATTGGCGGTGGTGCTGGTGATGGCAGTGCTGTTGGCGGAAGTGGAGGACGCCATTTTGATGCTGTGTTGTTGCCGTTTTCGGGTTTTGGGTGGTGTTGAGGGGCCTTTGGTTGTCTATTGGACGTCGTTGTGAGAGAGATCGATGGTCGTTGAAGAGGTTTTGGTCGTAAAGTGTTCTTTGAAGTCAAATGGTGGTGAGTGTTGAAGACGTGTTGGTTGTAGAGTGCGTTTGAAGTCGAGTGGTGGTTGTAGAAGTAGTGTTCTGTGTGGTAGGTTTTCGGGTTGGTGAAAATGGTGTTTGTGTGTGTGCTTGTGTGTGTGGGAGAGAGAAAAAAGAGGGAAAACTGGAAGAGGTCGCTGCTTATAAACTGTTCAGAGGGTTGCCTGGTTCGAAGTGGGTGTTTGCTTTTGCAACTGACACACCGATAAGGGTGGATCGACGAGGCTGCGAGTCAAATTCTGATATGATATAGACTTTCTAGGCAAACGAGCACTCAACCAACGCGTGAAGCAGCGGAATCGATCGAATTTTGGCGAACCGGAGTGCAGATTGGTAGTCAGGAAGTCATTAAGCAACTGAGGCTCTTCCTATTGATTCATTGAGACCAGCTGAGCGTTTGGCAGCACAAGGGACTTCACGGTAGATTTTACCGAGGCAGTGCTGCACCCTCCTGCACCATCCAGCTTTGGCTTCCTAGTATTCAAACAAATAGATCACTGCAAGTGAATTCATGGGATCAAGTGACCTCGTTGATGTCGATAGCAATCATAAACACACTGACCAAGAAGAGAACCTCTCTTGTAGGGAATTAGTACATGAATGCCCCTTGAACGCCTCTGCCTAGCTGAAGACCAAGAGCATAGTACTGCTACGGGCGAGCCAAGGTCGATGTTAATTGCACATCGCCCTTGCTGTTTGCTTTGCGTACTCATACCTCAACTATCCTCGGGATGGCCCAGCGTTGGCATCGAGTTACGCAAGACCGTACGATCCGTATAGGCTGCGATGGAGGAGAGCCTAGTGGATGATGGTAGTCTCAACCGAATCAAATTATAGGCTCTCTTTCCCCAGCCTTATTGTGTCCGGGGTATTTTATGCAAAGCATGCTGCTCCGAAACTTTTCCGACATACACACCAGTACTCCATCGATGACCACGAAGTTGGCTGAAATCTGTGCGGGTCAAGAGCCATTATGTTGTTGCTCAAAGCTGTATTCTGGATGGGAAGCAGACGACTTCAATCTTTATAGCTTCGGCAAGCCAGTATCGTCATCAATAAATCATGATGAGAAATCAATCAGGAGATGGTAGCACCGTTTGCGCATGGAAGCCCACCTCCTCTGAACAATAAAAGGCTAGTGAGTCGCCTACCTTTGAGTGATTCAATCCAAACAACAACGGACGGGAGAATAATCTCTTCGATGACTTCAGCGCCTGCGTACGCCTGTTGAGAAACAAACAGGACAGTGTTTGTGCGCAAACCTTCCGCATTGAGGGTTGATTCGTGGTAGTGGCTGATCATGCAGACGAGCTACGTCTGCTCGAAGCAAACAGCAAGAGCAGCCAGCTCATCCACGGAAACTAGAAGGAACGGTAATGATTACCCATGCAAAATCGTGAGCAATGGTGAAATTTGAAGGCACAGCCTGAGCTGATCCAAGCTGCCACTCAGCCAAATGGCAGAATGGCATAAAAGATCGAGACCTGAATGACAGATGACTGTCACAGCCAGTCGGATTGAGTGAGACAAACCTTGGGTTCAGAAAATAAGTTTGTCTGATGCATGGTTTGCAATCGCAAGGCTGAAGCAGAGCGCCAAGGGGCAAGTTGACACTGAAGAGTGGGGTCAACCGGTAAAAGAACCCAAATTGGCTCCGACTATCAATCGAGTGGAAGCGCAAGAAGTCATTCCGATCGGCGAAGAGAAAGATCCAAGGCAGGGAAAACGTAAGTTCGATCCTTGGTCTTGGTGAGTGGAACAAGTGAAGCTGAATAAGTTGACCTCGTCCGCCTCTCATGGACGTGGGCAAAACCTGGAGTCAGACCCCTGAACCTCCGGGTCAGGTCCAAGGGCTGTTCCTTTGGTATGGATGACGAGGCATGGCGGTGAGATGTCTGACCCACGCACATTTACGTGCTATGCTGGAATGAGTGCCACTGGGCTCGTGGCTTTCTTTTTGGAGGGATCATAAAGCCACCAGCACTCTGCCATCCGTCATTTCGTGAAAGAACACCAATATCAGCCAAAGGTTAAGCAATGATTTGTTGATCCCATTTCTGATCACCGAGGGATCTTGTCGCGTCGCGCGAATTGGAAGCCACCAACCCATGAAACAGAGCTACAACTCACACAGGAATCATTCCATGAGGGGCTAGATCACCACTCATGATTGAAGAATTCTCGTGACCCCAGTCTGTGGAAATAAAATTATGCCATGACATTATCTACCTAGGTAAGTAATGCAGGGACCAATTCCGTCAACTGCCAGCCTTTCCGGTGCAGCCGAAGGGATGGACCCACCCTCAGCCTCACTCATTGGGCATTGGCAGGGTATTGCGAAGTAATGGATTGCAGACCGACAGAATAGAATACGGGAATGTGAATAACGGGACCGGCAGGGTCGGATGTGGAAATATGAAGAGCCTGAGAGCGTCATAATTCTTTACTCTCATATTGAATATTGCACTTCGGCCTCCGAGGGCCACCACAATTTTCCACATGGCTCAGATCGAAGGATATGTTTGCATAATATGTAGAAAAGCCAGAATTCCACCAACGCCAAAGCTGCTCTGAGGACCTCCAATAATAGCTCAAAAAGGTCAAACGTAAATAGGACAAATATAAAGTATACAACATGCAGAGGAGCAAGACATGGCAAAATAATCCGTAGATCTTCATGCCTCAGTCCCCGAACATATTCTGCCAACCAACACGCTCGTACATCACAATGGCTAGACAGGAGCTCACGACCGCTTCGATCGGAACGCCTTCCTTGAGATTTTCCGTGAATATTGTGAGCCCGCCCAAAACATTCAGATCTCTTCTTTGCTTGTAGACGGCCACGAGTCGTGCGTCAGGATCCTCCAGTTTCAAGTTGCCGTTGCATTTTGGAAACCCATCGTTCATCTCGGGGATGTCGAGAATCTTCTTGCTGCCACGCCATCGATAGACTCCCGTGGTGGAAGATCCGACTCGGCCCATGATGTACTCCCTCGCGAAGTCGACGCGGAGGATGGTCCATTTGGATCGAATGTCTGCTGGTGCATGCAGCGCGTGGTCGTAGACCATCCATTTCGACGTCTCATGAATGGTCATTTTGATCGTCATTGACGTGACGCCTTGCCAGCCGGGAAATTTGATTTTTGCCAGTGGCCATTCTTTCGATACTGGATCGTCATGATAGTATGAGTCATGTGATGGTGATGGCGTTAGTCCTGTGATCTCGCTGGCGAAGGGCGTTGAACTTGACTTTGCTTTCGCCTTTACTTTTGATTGTGGATGACTCGGAAATAACTCGAATGACGGTGGTAACATGAGTTTGACCTTGTACCACTTCATATCACTGGTGACATAGGTTGGAGCGGTTCCGGAAGGTAAATATGATGAATGACCGGTCAGTGAGACGCCGGCATCGACATCCCTCAGTTCTAGCTGGAAGTTCTGCGGGAAAACCAATCCCACGGGCGTGCTTTTGAGGATCTCGAAGCGTCGGATGCCGTGTTGGCGGTACTGGAGGAGCTCTCGCTGCTCTGGCTCTGCGAACGATCGGTCATGACTGGTCTTGCGTGTCCAAGCCATAAGGATTCGTTGATCTCGAATGAATCTGGACGTAAAGTTGGTGCTGGGTGTTCACACTTCTTCTTCTTGCCTTTCTTCGATAGCTTCTCAATCGGATGGCAGGGACATCCGCCTGGATAGTAAATTTCTCGAAGAGTGATGGTGGTATACCTTCTTCGAGTAGTTCGGTTAGTCTCTTCTTCTGCTGGAAAGAGGGCATTGTATGTCGGTAATTCAGCATTTGGCGAAGACATGTTGAGTTATCACCGCCGTTGATCCCCTTCCCTTGATAAATGCCTGATGTAGGAGAGAGAAAGATGGGGAAAACAGGGGGAGGAGGAGGGGAGACGAGGCTCTTGAGAAAGCATTGAATGATCAGGCTTACAGAGGATGACTAGAAATTAAGGTGACGCATAAGCCTTTCAGGTCTGGACCCAAAGTATCATGAGCCCCGAATTACGATATTGTGGATCTTGATATGGGAGTGGTGTTTCGCGGATGGGCGAGGTGGGTACGAGTTAATTGGTTGTTCCGTTCAGCTTTCGGCTCGGATGGGAACGGATGGAATGGCGGTATTGAATTTATGAAACGGGCTGATGCTGAGAAGGATGGCTGCGTCAGCGAGGATGTTGTGGTCTTGTTGCTGGTTCTGGCCAATCCGTTGAGCGGTGTTTCGTGGATCGGGTACCTAATGCTCCGTGCTGGCTTGCCTGACTCGTATCACAAAATCTAGTGAGGTTATGTAAGAACGGTAAATATGAGACACGCAGCAGTAATGTCAGGTTCGCACCGCAGAGAAAGGAGAAGTAATCTATATATATGTAGGGCCAACCGACCGCCAAATCTGCCTTGTCGAGTTCTTGGAGACTGAGAACGGCCATATCTCAATTTGCATGTTCGCTCAACGAGTATTCCTTGGGCCACAAGCGATGAAGCCACTGAATTTAGACCAAAATCGAGCCATTTTCCTGGGCTTTGAAGTCTCGTGGTTTCGACGTACTCGTATTGCAGAGAATGAAGGGCAGTTTTGCCAGGTTTGGGTGCGGCGGTGACTGTAGGAGGCCAAGACGGCCGCCCCAAGGGTCCCTGCCGAGTGCCCCTCATGCCCGTGTCTTAACCGGACACCCGCTTATGCGGACATAGTGGCAGCCTAGAAGCCATCTCGCCAAGTTAGCTTGAGTCTGCTTGTCAGCCTCGCCCGCGTTGATCACGGAACAGCTGTAGGGCTCCAGCCAATCTTCTAGACCCTACATAGCTGTGCCAGATGCAAGGGATTTTGGCCGGTTGCCTTGCAGACACCGATTGATCTCTACCTCTTGATGAATTGCTCGTGCCTGGTCGGATTCATCGGGTGCTTTTCGTGGCTTTGGTAAGGTACCACCTACGAGTAGGTGACTTCAATCACCCTCAACCCCCCAAAGCGACCCCCTGCTGAGGCTGCACGGGAGACACGTGACTGCCCTTTAGGGCAGGTTTGGCGATGGACATGACGCACCAATCAACGGAAGGTCAATGTCAATTTACAGCTTCTCTACAGATCGCGTACCCTTCTAGCATGTGAGCAATTGGACCAGAGACTCGAACGTGTGGTCGCTGCACTTCTCCTAGAGCTGAAGCAGACAATAATATGCGAGTCTAGATACGTGCATAGGGATGAGCCTTGGCATCATGAGGCCAACATTGCGAGGTCTGCTCTTCAGAGCTTCAAATCCACGTCTACGGCTTGCAAGTTCACCAAGCTTTCACCAGCCCCGACTTGTCCGACCTCTGCTACGAAGACCAGTCTCTACAAACCAGCAGGCACAGCCCGTCACTTCGCGTATTGTAAATTTCTTTTATGGCGCAACTCTTGTACTTGGTCTTGGCATAGCATATGTCTACGTCACAGATACCCGAGCGAGTGTCCATCGCTACGTGGTAATTCCAGCTCTACGGCTGATATACCGTGATCCCGAAGAGGCCCATCACGCTGGCAATCATATCCTGAAGAGCCTCTGGGATTTCGGCATACATCCCAGGGAAAGAGGTGATCCAGACAGCAAGAAAGACTTGGAGACAGAGGTCTTTGGTCAAAAACTTCGGAATCCCATTGCTACATCTGCAGGTATCGACAAGCATGCTGACATTCCTGATGTACTATTTGCTATTGGCCCAGCTATCATTGAGATTGGAGGAACCACTCCTCTGCCACAGAATGGCAACCCTCAACCCAGAGTCTTTCGCCTGACATCTCAACAGGCCATCATCAACAGATACGGTTTGAATTCGGAAGGTGCTGATCATGTAGCAATGAGATTGAGAAACCGTGTCCGGAAATATGCACAGTCACTGGGCCTTGGGCATGACGAGGTTGCAGAAAAGGCAGTCCTTGATGGCATTGCTGGAGTTCCTCCTGGAAGTCTAACTCCTGGAAAATTGTTGGCTGTCAACATTGCCAAGAATAAGATTACACCAGAAGAGGATGTCGAAGCTGTGACCAATGATTATGTCTATTGTGTTGACGTACTGGGACCATACGCTGACATTCTGGTGGTCAATGTTTCCAGTCCCAACACTCCAGGTCTTCGTTCTTTGCAGCAAGCCGACAAGTTACAACATATCCTGACGGGAGTAGTGAATGCGGCCCACAAGGTTGAGCGACGCACACGACCTAAAGTTATGGTCAAGGTTAGCCCTGATGAGGACTCAGAAGAGCAGATCTCTGGAATATGTGAAGCGGTTTGGGCTTCAGGAGTTGATGGTGTTATCGTGGGAAATACCACAAACAGGAGACCCGACGCACTCCCCCATCTGAGAGGGTTCTCCCCACTGGAAGAACAGCATCTGCTGGAAACCGGTGGCTTTTCCGGGCCACATCTCTTTGACCGCACAGTGTCGCTTGTCAAGAAGTACCGGAAGCTTCTAGTCGAGAAACCTCGCCAACCACAACAGCCATCGAAAGCCAGAGGTGCACTTGAAGCCGAAGCTGAACGTATCAAAGCCTCAATTCAAGCAAGTACTGGAGTGCCGCCTACATCAAACCCTGACCCAGTAGTAGCTTCTGTGGATACTGGTGTTGTTCCAGCCCATAATATATCAGGAAAGAGTGACGCAGAGAAGCAGCCACTCATAACATTGCCCGAGAACCGATTCTATGACCAGACAGAATCAGAACAAAACCAGTTGAAAAGTGCAAATGACATTCTGACGGAGACTGATAGGCTCGCGGGTGAAAAGAAGCAGCTCCAAGCGATTCAGGAAGCTCTTGAAAAGCTTCCATCGCGGGCAGAGCGTGATGCGAAGGATCGATCTGAGGCCAGTCCTCATCTAGACTCGATTGATCAATCCAAAGTTATCTTTGCAACCGGAGGCATCACGAATGGCAAACAAGCGCTGGAAGTGCTAAACGCTGGTGCCAATGTTGCCATGATCTACACAGCTCTGGTTTACGGTGGTGTGGGCACCATCTCAAGAGTGAAAGACGAAATGCGAGAAGAAATGCAACATCAGGTTAGGGAAAAGCGCGAGGCAAGGGAGAAAAAGTAGCCAAGTCTCATGGGAAAACTCATAAAAGGATTATTGTACTATTGTGGCCTTTGCAGCTCTAAAGTGATCACCTTGATCTTTTGCCCTGGTATCTGGTGGTCGTCCACCATCTCTTCATACACAGGAATGAATCCGAATTTTTCCAATATCCTCCGACTGGCATGGTTGGTATCGACGACGTCTGCCTGCAATTTTTCGGGCACGACCTCTGTGCTGTCAGACTCATTCGCGTCATCCGATTTGATAACGATCTCTCTGCGTGGCAAGTTCCACCATGCCTGCAACCAGTATTCCATTGCTTCAGATGCGTATCCTTTCCCCCAGACCTCAGTTCGAAACATCTAAAGTTTGCACACGTCAGTGAAATGATTCATAGAGAGCAATTGAAATACTCGAGTCCAAGAAACGAATTTCCGAGAACGCAACACAAATAACCTGACTTACATAGCCAACCTCTGCTGGTTCGCTATGGTGGCAACCAATTGTTCCAATCACCTTTCCAGGCTCGTTCAATTGTTCAATGGTGACACAGAATGTATTCGCATCATTCGGTGGGAGGAATCGGTTCATCCAGGTTTGCGTAGCCTCGTGATCTACATCGACTTTCCCAGAACTCGTCCACATCATTACCTCTGATTGAGTTCGAAGTACATGGTAGTCATTGAGGTCTGAAGGCTGGAAGGGCCTCAACAGCAGCCGTGGTGTTGTGATAGGTGCTCCAGGAGCAGGCAAAACTGGGCGAGTTGATCTCATCCTGTGCTATATAGTCGAAATATATTGGTATCAATAGTCAATTTTCCAGATCCAGCTTACATGCTACGCTCAGGTGCGAATTGGCATGTTCTTCTACTGAAGCACACGGCTGATCTTGCAGTAGGGAGGCTTCAAAAAGGAATTACAGTCTCATGACTCAGACACAGATGATTTAATAGAGTCGTACCTCAAGGTAGTATGTGGTTCAGTTAGTGATACTCGTTATCGATTTCTGGACCACGAGGGCCTGACAGTTCAAGCGGCCGTGTGCCACAACTATCAGGCAGAAACTGCGACTAATCAACTTTAGTCACGCACTAATCGACATCTAGTGCATTGCCAAGATGGACTCTCGGATAACTTGCCCAAACTGTGCAGACTCGATAACGATAAGCAATCAGTTCCGCAGACCCACTAGTGCCGCTAATTCATCTGCGGCATCAACTTTTTGTGTGAATTTTCTGGAGTCGGTACTTTTCCTCTACCAGCGCCACTTCGCTCTGTCCAAACAATCAGAGGATCACCGACAAGATGAAGACGACTTGGAAAGATATTGCCCCGGTGCCAACTTCTCAAGAATTTATTGATATTGTCTTGAGTCGAACTCAACGAAGACTGCCCACGCAGATTCGAGCGGGCTTTAAAATCAGCAGAATTAGAGGTGAGTATCCCATGACATTGCGAGAGTCACTATATTCATTTTTCCTGCAGGATTCTACACTCGAAAAGTAAAGTTCACCTCCGAGACATTCTGCGAAAAACTCCAGGCCATTTTAGAAGGATTTCCCCGGCTGCAAGACATTCATCCGTTCCACAAAGATCTGCTCAATACACTCTACGATGCCGACCATTTCAGAATAGCCTTGGGTACCCTCTCAACAGCCAAGAGACTGATTGAAACCGTTGCAAGAGATTACGTTCGACTGCTCAAGTATGCACAATCCTTGTTCCAATGCAAGTCCCTCAAGCGTGCGGCTTTGGGACGCATGGCCACGATATGCAAAAGATTAAAGGACCCGCTAGTCTACCTGGAGCAAGTTCGACAGCATCTTGGACGTCTTCCCAGTATTGATCCCAATACCCGAACTCTTCTCATCTGCGGATACCCGAATGTTGGAAAGTCCAGTTTCCTCCGGTCTGTTACTAGAGCAGATGTCGATGTACAGCCATATGCATTCACAACCAAATCACTGTTTGTGGGACATTTCGACTACAAGTATCTCCGATTTCAAGCAATTGACACACCTGGAATTCTGGACCATCCTCTAGAAGAGATGAATACCATTGAAATGCAGTCGATCACAGCAATTGCCCATTTACGATCTGCTATTCTATACTTTATGGATTTGTCAGAGCAATGTGGTTATTCCGTCTCTGCACAGTTGGCTCTATTCACTTCCATTAAACCCTTATTCGCCAACAAACTTGTGTTCATCGTGATCAATAAGACGGATGTCATGAAGCCCGAAGACCTTGATCCCGACACACAGAAAGAACTCAACGATGTCCTGACCCAAAACTCAAACACTGAGCTTCTACAGCTGTCTTGCATCACAAATGATGGTGTACAAGAAGTGAAGAACACAGTCTGTGATCGACTGATCGCGGAGCGGGTAGCTTCCAAACTGAAGGCTGGACAAGCCGCACAGTCTTCCACTGCGGACGTCCCCACTGGCCGCCTGGGTGATCTCCTCGCCAGAATTCACGTTGCCCGTCCCCTTGAGGGCGCTGTCAGCGAGACCTACATCCCCGAAGCCGTCAAGAACGGCACATACAAGAAATACGACAAAGAAGATCCCGAGCGCAAGAAGCTGGAGCGCGAGCTCGAGGAAGAAGAAGGCGGCGCGGGAGTCTACAACATCGACTTGAAGAAGTTCTACGACCTGGCCGATCCAGAATGGAAGCACGACCGAGTCCCCGAGTTCTACAACGGCAAGAACATCGCCGACTACGTCGACCCGGACATCGAAGAGAAACTCGCCGCGCTCGAAGCCGAAGAAGAACGCTTGACCAACGAAGGCTTCTACGACGAGAGCGACAGCATGGAGGACGAAGAGGACGCCGAGATCCGCATGAAGGCCGACATGATCCGCAACAAACGCGTGCTGATGATGAACGAGGCGCGCGCGAAGAAGAGTCTGAAGAACAAAGCGCAGATCCCCCGGGCCAAGAAATCCCGCACCCTGACCCAGATGCAGCGACACATGACGTCGATCGGCCTCGACGCATCCGCACCCGTCGACCGCGCGCGCGCAACCATCCGCAACGCGAACGCCAAAGCCCCCTCGACCGTTGGCGGCGATGCCATGGACGTCGACGACACGCCGTCGCGCCGCGCCAAGTCCGTGTCCCGCGCACCCAGGACGAATCGTCTCACAGATGGCCTCGGCAAGACCGCCACCGGCATCACCGACCCCGTCAAGCGCCAGAAGGCCGAGCGCATGGCTAAGCTCGGCCAGCGACAGATGAACCGCATGGCCAGACAGGGCGAGGCTGATCGTCATGAAACCGCTTCTCTGCCGTCTCACTTGCTCAAGGGCAAGAGTAGTATGAAGACTTCGAGATCCAGATAAGCCGTGGTGGTTCAAAACATCGAGCCTATTGTGTTATGTTTTCACGAGATATGACATGCATTCTTTTTGTGGAACTATATCGGCATGGGCATGGGAACCGGAGTTGGTGGGGGAACCCCGGCGTTGTAACTTCGGGCAACGGGTGACTTGAGGTCAGGGTCGGTTCAATCATGATATCCCAAGTCTGAGGATGTCGATGAAAAGCGCTAGACGTGTAGCCAGGCTTGTTGATTAAATAGTCTACTAAATAAAATTCTTCCATTACATCGTCTACGCAAGCCTACTTATATCGCAGAGCAAGTTAGCAGGGATTACACCGACATCCACTTGTTGACTTCCACCTCACGGTGACACATCAGGCAATGCAATACCCTTTCCCCTTGGCCAACGATCAAACCATCAGCCTCGAATGCAGATGCAGCATATCAGAACCATAGAGAACGTCCAAATCGTCGTGCATGCGCGAATAGAGTCCTGTGGGCGCAGCCGTGGAGAGATGTTCAGATGCATCCAGGGTCTCAACAACGCCATTGGTATCGGCCGATCCTGTAGACGGCTGAGACTGCCATCCCGCAAAAACTGCAGTTTCCTGGTGGGGCTGTGCGCTAACGCGGTCGAGACGAAACACATGCTGAATACCGTCCCTGATTTCAGAGCTACGCAGTGCACCCAGACGAGCCACGCTGGCAAGACCATCCTCTGTCCAGTTCGTCAGGGTCGCTGAGATGTCCAGAATGCTGACGAGAACGGTATGAGCCTGGAGATTGAGGTTCTGGAGGACGCTGAGCCTGCCTTGCACGTCTTTGTCGCCCGGTTTGGGAACATCAAACACAGCAGTGACTTCATCGGCCATCTGCCGAGGCCATGTGACGTATTGTTGTAAGTGATCTGGAGTGCTCTGGACGATCGCTTGGAACCATGCCAACGTCACGGTCAGTTGTGAGAGGCGTGTGGAGCGAAGGTCGCGTGCTTCCTCGAGAAGAGGAACCCCATTTTCCATCGTTGCTTGGTTGACGATCACCAGGATCAGAAGTTGTAAGCCGATAAAGTATGCCCACAGTAGCTGTGCCGAGTCGCGGACCAGGCCTGATGTCAGATGTAGGTCCAGGCTATCCTCGGCCATTTTGAACCAGACGGCGTAGAAACTTAGAAACTGACCGTAACCCGTCGCGGGGGAATGCTGAAGTGCCATGAGCGTTGCGTAGATGCCATGATAGAAGTTGCTCTCTGCGCGATGTTGGACCATGTAGGGTTCTGTGTCTTGAATGGCACGTGCTCCTTGGGTGAGGAGGTTTGCCAAATGAGGTGGCAGCTGGAAGTTCAAGGGAGAATCGACGTGAGAGGGTGAAAAGTTCGTAGGGCATTGAGTGGTGTCGGTTGATAGCTGGAAGACTGTGTTCTCATTGCTGCTTTGAATGCGTCGAGTGATCATTGCGCAACCACGTACAAAGGTTGCAAAGTCCAGACTTCCGTTGGATACATGAGCGGATTGAAATGCTAGCGCATAGCAGGTGGCCAACATTGCGTCGGACTCTGGAGGGGATCCTTCATTCTGGGAGAATGCTTTCTTTAGTCCAGCAATGGCGCGACCTCTGTGCTCTAGTGCCCTATAATTGTCTTTCTCTGTGTTTCCAGTCTTGGTGGTACGAGAGCTAATATGCGATGCTCCGAGTGCTAGCAAAGCGTGCATGAGATGGTCGTATTCGTGAACAAGCTGGGGAATGTCGCGAACCCAGATACCCTGATTGCCTAGGGGCAAAGACGGGGAAGCGTGGTTCAGGAAGTGATGGAACAGCCGCAAATCCCGTAGTGTAAAACCGTCATTTACCGAGGAGACTGAATGTTTGGGGGGTTCTACAGATGTCTGGCAAGCACTATTCCCGAATCGAAGATGGATAGGATTCAATCTGGGTGCGGGCCACTCGCAAATCCTTGATCTGCGAACACAGTTGGTGCATGTTGGTTTCTCCTCACTGCATTTGATTCTCCTGATCTTACACGAGAGACAACCAGCTTTTGATTTTGTATGGGATCGACGATGAATCATGGGACCCTTCACTTTACCATCGCGCTTGACATAGTCCAAAGCAGCCATATTGCCAGAGTTCAGGAGAGGAGGTCGCGGCCCAACGTATTTTTTGCCAGATCCAGGAGTGAGTACGAAGTCTTCAGCCAGTTTGTCGTCAGGAGGACTTGGATAGTGCGCCTATGCTTGCCGCTAAGTGATATAGACTCAACAGTAAGCTTCGGAGGGAATTTGAGCTATCAAATTGTCAACCTTAGCCTGCAGACGGAAGTGCAAGCTCCGCGTAGCCAGGTCTTTATCATGTTGAAAGACCATCTCAGCCTCACTTGATACCCTTGAGAGGTGCCTAGAAATATGGGAACTGTTAGAGCTAGACATCCCCAATTCAGGGAGAAGGGAATCCTTGTCGAACCAGGATCCATTTTCGGAGACACAGCCGCGCCCTTTCGTATTTCTACGAATACGAGGCGACCAGAATTCTTGGCTTCTAGTATAGGAAATTCAGGCGGCTATCATCAGTAATGCGAAGAATGGTTGAAGCTTCTTCGAGCTCATCTCACTGCGTCGCTGGAAGAGAAAGGTTGCCATAGTGGAATGCGGAGATGGTTTTTCGGGCATCTCTCATCCGTTGTGTGAAAAGTGGTAAGTTATTATACTCGACTCATAGACATGGAGATCAGTATAAATCACCAACTCTTCGGCAACTGCTCTCGAATCCATGAGAAAGCGTGTAGAAACTTGAGCTACGGTGAAGACCATATTGATTAGCACGTCCACAAGCAGCAACATTGCCAGCAGACTTCGCTGAACATCAACGGCAATACTAAATATCCGAAGCAGCCACGATGTCGTCCTTCGATCCTTCGAACTTACCACCTGGGTTTGAGATCCCAGGACAGAAAGCACTAGTTGCTCATGCAGCTATAATGTGCATTGTATTTGTGCTGTCCATGCCCATTGCGGCACTGACAACACGATCTCCGATCAAGGTCAAAGTCACGAAGCTTCACGCTCCATGGCAGATGTTCAACGTCATTCTGGCAATTACAGGACTGGGCCTGGGAGCCTCGGTTGCATCGAATCGAAAAATAGCCAGCGGTGAGACACCACACATTCTGCTAGGGTGCATCATCGTTGGGCTTTTGATCGGTGTCCAGCCAGTTCTCGGAATACTTCATCATTTGTTCTTCCGTAAGAACAATCGTCGAGGTACCTTTGGGTGGATTCATCTTCTCCTTGGTCGCATCATCATGGTTTTGGGACTGGTCAATGGCGCCACAGGGTTCAAATTGGCCCATGATAACAAGACAGTGCCATACTTCGCCATGTTAGGAGTGGTGTGTACAGTATATATTGGAGTGCTGCTGTGGGATTGGTTAGCCCCTCACTACAAGGCACATAAGAGCGCAACACAGCAGGCTTCAGTTCCAGGTCATACGAGTGAAACCATAGACATGAGTGCGCTCGAGCACGACAGACATTAAAAGAATGGCGATGAGTTGAATGAGTGAGGCAGAACATCACAAAACCAGGGACCATCAAGCAACGAAACCTCAAAGTCCCAGGCTTTGAGCCTTATAGCGATGGCGATCGTCTTCGAAACCCCAAGCATTGGTATTTGAGTCGAACTTGAGGATGAATATTTTGAATTGTTGAATAATGTCAGTTTAACCGAGGATGGATCACAATTACCACTCCACCGTACTTTTATCCTCTCAGGCTTTTTAATCCACCGTAAAATTGTCATGAATTTGAGCCCGCCTACCAGTGCATGGGGGACATCCCGCATTGGACAGGCAAAGAAAGTCGACAAGAAGTCCAACTCATCCTTGAACCAGCTTCGACCTCAAACTTAACTCTCTCACACAATGGCGACTCTCTTCTCAGCCCGTAGAAAGCCTAAGCGCATAGCCCGCGACGATCCAGAGCCGGAGCCTGCTGATGGAGAACAAGACCAAGGTAAGTGATTCGCATTTCCTGAATCACCTCTCTTTCGCTCACATTGTCTGCTTTGGTTGCTCTAGTCTATGGTATCGGACCCCGTCGCTGATAACAATTCTATCGTCTAGACACTGGACCAGTGGTACGACGACCTACAAGCAATGCGCCCAAAACAAAATCCAAACTGCGTGTATCCTTCAATCCCGGGGATGGCGAAGGAGATGTGGATGTAGGTGGAGGGCAGAATAGATCTCAACCCTCTCATACCAGTACCAGCGGCGAAGCCATAGCGAAAGACCCCTCGACACTATCGTCAAGAACATCAAGGCTGGGCCTCTCCAGCGCAGCCCAAAAGTTACAAAACCGAGGATCAGGATTGGGTAATCGAGACACCACCACCGGATCAATAGACGACGAGGCACAAAACCACGACAGACCTACATACAGCAAAGCGTATCTAGACGAACTGCGAAACTCGACACCATCCACCCCGCGCGATCTATCTTCAAGAAACAGCCCAGGACTGGATCTAGTGGAGACATCAAACGGTGCATCCGACCCAAGCAACCAAGACCTCGACCTTGCCAGCAAATTCGGCATCTCAGCCCTCTCATCCTCAAAAGGATCATCACGCATCCCCACCGCGACCGAGATCCGTGAGAAAAAGGAACGCCGCGCACGGCTCGCGCAGGAAGAACTCGCCAACGCCAGCGCCAAATCCACCTCCAGACATAACAACCAAGAAGAAGACTTCATCCCGCTGGAAGCGTACGACTCCGACGGCGAATTCAAGCCGCGCGCGCTGCAAGTCGGGTCCTACCTAGCCCCATCGGGCCCAGAGAAAGACACACGTCTGGTCCGCGACGACGAAGACATAGCCGAAGGTTTCGAGTCGTTCGTCGAAGACTCCGGACGCGTCACACTGTCCAAGAAAGCCCTCAAGGCACAATCGAGACTCGATCGCGAGGCAGTGCGCAGCCTGATCAACGAAGCCGAAGGCGCAGGCTCCAACAACGACGGCTCCGACGATTCCGACGCCGGCGGCGGTGGCTCCAACGGCTCAGACAGCGACTATGCCCGGCACCAAGCGTACGAGACGGCGCAGACGCATCGGGGCATGGACGGGCTGTCGGCACACCACGCACACACGCGGATAGCGTCGCGGCCGCGCCAGCCGCGCGAGACGACGGCGATCCCGAAGCTGAGCGTCGGACTGGCGGGTCTGCGCGACCTCGCGGCGAAGCTGGAGTACGAGCGTGCGCGTATCGAGAAGCGCCGCGCGGACATACGGCGTGAGAGAGCGGAGATTGTGGAGAGCCAGGCGCATATACAGACGAGTCTAGAGGAGGCGGGCAGTGAGTTGGAGCGCATTACTCTGTTGCATCGGCAGACACAGCAGCAGCAGCAGCAGCAGCAAGAGGGGAACGAGGGGCTGTTAAATGGAGGAGACGTAGGTTCGAACCAGAATATGTCGGTAGCGAGAGGGGGGAATGGACTAAGCAATGGCCTCGGGGGGCAGAATGCGGCCCAGCAGAGAGGATTAGAGTCGTTTGGTAACACGATCGGGCATCCTACATAGCACTACTCTCTGCTCAAGGACCTCGTTGAGCTAGATGACCAAGGGAGGGACGACATCTCGCTTCACTTTGGGGACTCATGACATGATTTTTCAATTTTTCAACTATTTTCGACTCGCTTTTTTGTTCTCTCTCAACAACACCCAACAACACGTGGCTATGCTATTCTCATCATCAAGATCAACTCCATATCACCATATCCCTTCCACCAAATGCATATTAGGGTATGCAGGAGGTCAAAAGCCTGATCCGATCGCTGGTGGTCATTTGCTGAATCTGCTTTGCTGAATCGTCCATCTACCATAGCTCCATCCTCATCTAGGTTTATTTTCATCATGTGCGCAAGAACCAATCGCAGTTAAAAATCCAAGAAAGTCAATCACATCGAATGCCCGCCCAGTGGGAGCAAAACAAGTGCGCAGTCATCACCACGTTGCTCTCTGAATCTGCTCAAATCTGTATATTAAAAGCAATGGGTGAGTATTTGGGCATCCCTACGACTTGGGTATGGTTTGCCCATAACCGACAGACGTTATACCGGCCTTCTCGGACCACCCGAAATCAGCAGGGTGGTTGCAGGGCGGCTGTATATGGTTCATGCAGGTGGTGAAACCTGGATTACCCTCTCCCAAAGAGGGTCAAACACACCGAGTGGTGGGACCACAGTTCTAGAGAGCAGAAAAGACAAAAAGCTACATACACGTCAGCAATTTCTTGGGTCAATAATTCCAAATGAACGAGACTCACATTGTTGGTGGCAGCAATAGCGATGCTATCCTCGAATGGATGCCAACTCATGTGCAGAATCTTCTTGTTGAAATCGATCTGATCAGCATCAGTCTCCTTCCTCATTCGACTGCCTTGGCCTGAACCGCCTCCTGCAGGGCTTCCAGCTCTCGAGCTTCCCTTCTTTGCTCCGTTAGGACTGGTAGAGTTGATGGGAGTAGGTACTCCAACCTTCTTAGCTTTGAAGGCTGATTTGTCGGCTTGTAGGACCACTTCGGTCTCTTGTTCGGGATCTGATGGATATATCATGAAATTGTTGTTGTAGCTACCGGTCATGACATTACTTCCATCACCACTGAAAACGACCTCGAACTTGTCGAATATGCTATCGTTCTCATAAGTATCACACAAGCGAGGTCGGAGATGTTCATGGATGGGGATAGTCTTGACAGGTTGTCTCTCCATGTTTACATCCCATATCTTGACTGTCAGATAGTCTCTTGATAGAATATATCTGCCATCATGTGAGAAGCGAACATCGGAGATGGAGGAGATGATTTCGGAAAAGAAGGATCTGGAGGACGGGTCTTCCTCCTGCTCGAATTCTAGAAGCTTGTCAGCACAAATTTCAAGTGATGGAGGAAAGCAAAGTAGGGAGACTGACGCTTGGCATGTTGATCACAAAGAGCGCTTTCACGCATATCGGCCAATTTGATGGTTCCCTTCGAGCTGGCGTACATGAACCAATTGCAACTTTGTGGATGAAATTCGGCGGCGGTGATGACTTCGGTCAATTCCTCCATGTTTGCAGGTTTTATGTCGACAATGTTGAAGGACTGGTCCTGGATATTGAGGTTCCATAGGTTGACCCGGAGATCGTCACTGCTGATGAAGGTTTCGCCGTCACTGTTGACCGAGATGCTGTTGATGTGATAAGCATGAGCATTTGCATAGGTCCTCCGAGGAACAGCAGCAACAACTGTATCATGATGGGTCATTCGAGGGAGTTTCAACTGTGAAGCATCCTTGAAATGAACCGGGTTCGGTCGAGGGGCACCTCCACCACCAACACCACCAGGGGTCAATTCGTGGGAAAGGTTGTTCTCGGCGACTACCTTCAACGACTTTTCAAAGACCTTCCACAGCTTGATGGTCTTGTCATTTGTGGAGAGGAGATAATGAGAGGCATTTTGACGCTTGCACCACTTGATCTTGTTTATCTTTTCCTCTATTTCCAGCGACTTGAGATAGTCGAATTCGGGTTCGTGGGATTGAAACTCCGTGTGGAATTTGTATTCACACGTCTTTTTCTGTGGAGACGGTCAGTTCAGTATGTCAAAAAATAGTGATCCGTGGTCGCTCGTATGGAAGACAAGGGGACAAGGATGGACTCACAGTCTCATTCCTTTCGAAGAGTACAACCCGGCCACCCTTATCGCCAGTCGCCAGATAATTGCCGGTATGATCAAATTCGACAGTAGAGATTATATCGGCTTCGGTGATGTCTTCAACATCGCCTTTGTCACCGAAACATTGGGTGAACTTCCATGTGGGAGTTCCGGGTTCGGCTTCAACCATCTTTCATGACACCACTTTGTGTGGATGAAGTGGTAGGACGGAAGAGGCTCAGACTCTAGGGATTGCTGCAAGGCTAGATCAAGCGAATAGACAAAGTCATGCAAGAACTGCGCTCAATAGGTGCAATGGTGATGAAAGCAAGTCGGGCGGCTGGGGTTGGAGTTGGGCTGCCGTTTGTATGGGTAACTGGAGAAGAAATGGACGAGGGTTTGTCAGCGCAGGAATGCAGGCAACCAAACTGATGATGACGACAGGAGGGAGGTGAATATAGAGAATCACCAACTGCGAGGATGTCGAGAGATGCGAAGAACCAATGTAGAGGGTGATGTAGTCAGCAGCGATGGACGTTATTGAGGCAGCAGGGACATTCACAGTCGTTCTTCTACGGTGGGTGGCAGGTGCGTTGCAATGAGCTTGCCAGCCTGCAACCAGCGTCACTGCAAGAGCATGCCCTCCCACGTTCACCTTCCCGGCCTTCTCCGCCAAGACTGTGGGGTGTTATAGGAAGGTTAGCCGACCACTAGTTCTTGCTACTACTACAGAACACTAATCACTTTTCGGCTACCCCTCGGAACATGATGGTTCCCCACAGCCTCGCCAACGACACTGTTTTCATCCAGTCGGGTGTCACATGCTGGTCGAAACCATGACTTCTCGTACTGACCTAGAGAGAATGACTCGGTTGCTCTATCTAAAACAAAGCTTCGCATTCTCTATGTCTGGCTGGTAAGTTCCAGTTTCTGTAACATTTCCGGTTCCTACACGTGCCTACCCAGAGCTTCGTCGGGGTTAACTTCCGTAGTTGCTCAAACGGCTGGAAGCAGACATATCGAAGGAAAAATTACTGAACCGACTTTCCGGACCAAAGGAAAATATCGAGATCTCCTTCTCAGGTAACAAACATTTCTATATAACACCAAAGGTGGCGATGAGGTACAGTACCAGCTTGAGATGGCGATGTTCAAGTCTCAGCATTGCCCCACTGCTGCACAGATATCCTCTGCTCCAGCCATACAGGAGGCATATCTCATCAGGTCCAAGATATCTCGCTCCCACGGCGGAAAACTCATTGTCCCCTACGCAGAGACAGACGGAACAGATATCGCCCATCCTTGTGCGGGATGCCTGTCGCTGCAGCCAATGTGTGGACCCTTCCGACCGTCAACGCAATTACTCTTACTCTGAAATCCCGACAAATATTGAAGTTCAGTCCACCACAAGCCACAGTGACAACGCAACCACTACTATTCAATGGAACAATGATACAAGTGCTTCACACAAGACGACTTTGGCCACAGAACACATCAAAAGGCTCCAGGAACCCTTCCGCAACGCCAACTGGGAGTTCTACAAGCGGCCTCGAAAGCTCTGGAACAATGAAACCTACCGCACAGAGAAGAACCCCCGGATCAATTATGACGAGTACATGAGCAAAACCGATGTTCTCGCACGGTCTCTCCACCTCCTCTGGCGCGACGGCCTCGTCTTCATAGATCAAGTCCCCGAGTCCGAGGAGTCGGTAAGAACCATCGTCGAGCGAATGGGACCACTCCAGAACACATTCTACGGCCCGACCTGGAACGTCCGCTCCCTGCCCCAGGCCAAAAACGTGGCGTACACATCCAAATACCTAGGCTTCCACATGGACCTGCTGTACATGCGCGACCCTCCAGGCCTCCAATTCCTGCACTGCATCCACAACTCGTGCACGGGAGGCGAATCGCGCTTCGCCGACACCTTCAAAGCCGTGGACGAACTGTACAGCCAAGCCGACGGGCCGGAAATGGTCCAGACCCTACTGACGCACCAAGTGCGCTACGAGTACGACAACGACAACTTCTTCTACTCGGACGCGAAACCGACGATCCAAGCGTCACCTGCCACGCACACGCCGCGCGACAAAGTGCTGCTCGCGAAGAACCCGGAGCTGATGCGACGGATCGAACACGTGTTCTGGTCGCCGCCATTCGTCGGCAACATCGACACCAGCCAGCCGCACGGCGAGCTGGTCAAGTTCATCCGCGCCAGCAAGGCCTTCTCGGACATCCTGGAGGACGCGCAGAACGTGGTCGAGGTGAAGATGGACAGCGGCACCTGTGTCGTCTTCGACAACCAGCGCATCGTCCACGCCCGCAACGAGTTCGACGCCAACAGCGGCAAGCGCTTCCTCAAGGGCGCCTATCTGGCCCATCAGGACTTTGAGAGTAAGGCCGTCGGTCTGCAGCATCTTATGCCTGAGGGAGAGGGGATTTGAGATGCATGTCTTGCCATTGTCGGTTGGAGATGGTCGGTGACTGTACGTAGATATGGCCGTGACGGGGAATAAAGTGCGATGAGTACGTGGTAAGGCGGAATGCAGCCACGGAGCAAAGACAATATCGTCATGATTTTCTATTGTCTGTCATAGCATAGCCTATCATACAAGCATAGCGAAAGCGACAGTAGCATCTAGAAAGAAAAAAAACACAATCCCACCACAGCTACTGGTGTTCATCACGACTAAGGCAAGGGGCAGGGATACAATATAAGGTAGGAGGGCAGACTTACTATCCCGTCGTTGATCTACCTACCTCTCTACCAACGCACCTATCTACCGAGATCGGTGGCTATCTAGTCTTGTAAACACAGGGCTTCAAGACTTTGGCCTCCTCGTCCGGTGCGACATCCTCCTCGGCTGTGGGGCGCTTGCTCTGCCCACCCACAAACCTCGGTTTCCCTTCTTCCAAGCGCTTATACTCATGGCCATTCCACTTCAAGCCCTTGTGTTTGCCAGCCGTGGGTATGCCAGACTTGACGAAGATCATACTCGCGAACATCTTGTTGGTCTTGTCGACCGAACCCTCGCGCAGCTGGAACCCGCGGCGGGAGAAGACTTTGATAAAGGCAGAGATGTCGGTGTCGTCTTTCGACTCGGTGGACGTGGTATTTTCGACGAGGAAAGTCTCCGGCGCAAGGCCGTCATCCGCATCGCCGTTGTTGGGTTTGGGGTTTTTTCTTCTCTTGCCCACACTATTTTCCACGACTGTTGGCCCTCCCCCGGCCGCACGAGAGACTCGTCCGAAGCGGGACTTGACTTCGGCTACCCAAACTTCGCCCTTTCCATCTCCACGCAAAATACGCCATGCTTCTTCCACGAACGACACCCAGTTAGTCCCCATTAGGCTCAAGCAAAAAACTGCTATGTCGGCTTCGCCGTCTCTTAGAGGGAGATTCGAGATGTCTGCTTTTGTGACATGGGTATTCGGGGTGTGTAAGTCGTAGTTGTGGAATTTGAGTTTCAAGGACTTGATGACGGATTGACAGCCACGTGCGAGAGGTGCGTCTCCACATCCTAGATCGGCGATAGTACATGATCCGGTCTTGCGGCGAGGGAGAGGAATGCTCTTATCGGGAGATGGCGTTGTCAGTAAACCGCGAGTTCTAATACTCTTGATATACTGGTCCACTGGATTTTGGGGCCAAGAATCCTTGACTTGCTGTGAGAAACCGGCGTGGTATTCAGCGAAGAGGTCAGGCGAAGCCGTGAAGAGGTCCATGGCCGAAGAGGATGTCGTGGTATACAAAGTCTCATTGAGATGTCGGAAACGTGCAGAGGTCAATTTGTTGCGCATTTTGGCTTGTAACGGCGTTAGCTTCAGGTTTTGTGGTGCTGCTGGCGGCAGCTTCTCGAGTATCTGCGCCGGGCGGACTTCAGAGGTTTGTGTCGGAAGTGCATCTTGCTTGATGGTGCCATCTAATTTCTTCTCTTTACGCCTTTGCGGCTTGTCCTCGTCCGTGGTTTGCCGTCTCCTGTCCTTGAACTTTGCCTTGGGTTCCTGTCCAGTCGACTCGTTGAGTCTCGAGGTCTTCTGAGGGCGCACAGTCTCATTGTCCCGTGTCTCTATCTTTCCCTTCTTGACAGGTCGATACTCCTTGCCAGACTGATCTGATTGACCCTGTTTTTCAGCCTTGTGAGACGGTCTCGTTCCATGTTGCTGGTTCCAGAGTCGATCTAGTTCATTACCCGTGACCTTGGAGACCCGGTCAGTATGGGCACGTGCGTTCTTTCTCTTATTCGAGGTAGATGGGGCGCTATCAAGGGAGGGTCGATCTGAAGTGGAGGAGGAATTGTCTTGAACCAGAGCACTGGCAGAAACTGCCCAACCGGGGACTGCAAACATGGCCAACCCAGAAAGAGGCAAAGGAATAAATCGCAAATTACTCACGGAACCAGCAGTTGAGTGTTAGTTAATCTGCAGGTTTCAGGCAGGATCACCAGACCACGGACCCAGTCGGTTCGAGGCAGGAAGAAAGAGCATATGCTAGACCTTGGATGGCGACGGCCAGATTAGAACCGAGGGAAGAATTGGGTATCTCTGACCTGCGGAGGTTTTTTTTCCCTTTAGAAGTCTTGGCATGATGGATGCGATATCGAGGTTATTAGCCTAGAGCTACTGGGTGCAGGTAAACTCCATGCCCGGAAGAGGCCTGTGGGGTCCAACTTCCAGGCGCTAACGGCCCCCATGGCATGCAAACCGTGCCAACCATGCCAGGCTGAAAGGGTCCAGTGGCAGTCTGGCAGAGGGGTGAAAGAGCCCCGCGGACCTGGACTCGAGCCTATCGACGTCGTCATTCCATTTGAAGACGAGCTAGGGCCGAATATGTACTGCGTAGGAAATGAGAAATTACAGACTTATGATACCCAACTTGCAACCGAAGCGACTGCCCGGTCTTTTAAGGGTTATGTTGATTCTTACAGTCCACCGTTTCGAGGTTCGAATTGTTGTCTGATTCTGATCACGGATGCCTCAGACAAGATTTGGGGACCGAGTGCCTCTTGGAAGTTGTCCGTCGGACACCCAGCCAGCTCTCCGACTTCTGCCAGTCCTGAACTATCTACGAGGACAACTTGAACACTCAGTGGTCCACGGGTCGTTACAGAGGCCCATGTCAGAGTCCCCCAATCAACTTATACGTCCCTTGGTCCACGACGTGTTCCGTCTTCCGCTTCTGCAGAGCACGCTCGGCTCAAGCTTTATTAGCCACCATGGCTGCAGCTAGCAGGCTACTCTTGTGTCATACCTGGTGCCGCTACTATTTTGGACGTTGATACAAACAATTTACGGGGTACTGCTGCACTGTTATCATATCAATCGTTTTCAAAGCGATCCTTTGATTCCGCCATAACCCTCAAGGATTGTGATATAGCAATTCAATCTGACCAGTCGGATTGTGCAGCTCCTGACTAACTGGTTTGAGTATATTCCACGACAAACGAGCAAATGACGGATCATCTCGTATGTATCCCCGTGATAACACGACCTGGCTCAAGATAACAGGCTCCTTTGATTGGGTTGGAACTTCCATCCCCATGATCATCAATCAACCAATTCAGCTGGTGTCTATAGTTCAAGGTGCCACCAAGACGAGGGTACTTTGATCAAAGCGGTTTGGTCTCTGTAAGGCAGACAGAGTCATGTCCTAGTCTGGCAATCGTGGAATGCATGATACCCTTGACTCTCGAGAGGTTAGAGACTTGACTACCCTTCGACCTCCAGGCCTTGTTTTCCTTCCCATGCAGATTCCTGGTGTCCTTCATTGAGAGGCTTAGCCTCCGGACAGCTAGTGCCGCACCGTCAATCTTGGATCTGGAGCCTAAAGTTCTGGAGAGGGAGAAAATGGGGTGGGGCTCAAGAACACGACCACGTTGAGGTTGTGACTTGTGAGGGAATCTTGACCCTGAGGACTCCGATGTCAGTGCCTGGGCAGCTGCAGACTGCTGCCAATGCCTACGGACGGATTCCTCGTAGATAAACGACTCCGACACGATTGACGACATGCCTCCGCATTCCCGGCATCCGATGTCTATCACTGTGACCTGACTGAACATCAATTCTCTTTTCTGGAGGAATATAGGAATGGCTGCTTTGGCGCCCTGGCTACCGTAACATCTGAATCATCATTCGAGCATCCAGGTCCGGATGCTACATTCAATCCATCCGGTCTTGAGCCTCAACCACCAAATACCTGAGAAAGGATCAAGATTAATTGTTTCGGTACAACCCCAATCCCACTATCCTTGTTCATGCAAAGTCAAAATCCCTACCGAACACTGTGGTTGTCTCCGGTTGACAATCAGGCCACGCTAACCGCTCTCTAATAGTCTTGAGAATAGCTGCCCCATCGCTGTTCCTTGTACCACTGGTTCATTCGAAACTTGACAATTTATTCATACCGAGACTGATACGGATGCTTTTGCGGCCCCACGACCATCGCACAGCTTGAACAGGAAGGTTTAAAGCTTTCTGGCAGACCGAAGCCCAAGCTGATCGTCTGCAATGCACCAAATCTGACATAGCCTGTTATTGTCGACATCCAAATAGTGAGAACACAAAGTCCGACTGACCCCTGCTGAAGGTTTGCTGCTAAAGCCATCAACCCGGTGCCGGGTGCTATATTTTCTTTTGGCACCCGCCACTTCATACATGCCCCCTGTATCACTCCGCATGATGTGAGGTACGAACCGCTTTCTATCTAGTCGCTGTTGTTTCGTTCGGCCGTTGCAATTTTATGTACCACCGTTTTTGGTGGTCCTGCACCATCACACTTTGAGAACGCTACAGGGTTTCTCTCGCATTTCACCTGTTCAATGCTTCACGGACCTTCTGATTTCAATAACGAGCACACCAATCATTTCCCGGCATTGAGCCACTCTGCAGAACTCGACCGCAAAGGTCCGCATTACCATCGTTTTGCGACAAGTCTGACCGAGGGCTTGTCCGGGGTGCTTGACAGCCTTCGGTGGATGCCAGCCCGGCTTTCGGCAGGTCCCAACTGTCTGGATTTCAACGTCGCCATTCTTCAATTGCTAACGCCTTTGACGTACGTTCGTCCTGTTACTTAGCGTAGTAGATCCTAAGACTCATCAATATACCCTGATCAGCGCTATGCTCGCTTTCGGAAACTCATGAAGCCGACTCCACTTCTACACCAGGCTCAAACAAGATTATCGACAACTACCCTGGCCTTGAGAATTCTCTCTTTTAAGCAATACCGACTGTGACAATAAATTCACCATAAATCCAAAAGACCTTTTCAGACCCAACCTCGAGATCAGTATAGATGACGGCGACAGACATTCGAGTTGTGCACTCGCCCAGCCCATGATACTGAGTCCATGTCTCCAGAAAAGGAAGATAACGACTCGCCCAAGTCAGAGGCTACTTCCAGTAAAAGTGACGACCAGGCCGCGAGTGAAGCCGCACAAAAGCAAGCCGCCAAAAGGCGTACAAAGACAGGATGTTTGAGTAAGTGTGATGGTGATAATGCCTTCCAGCCAAGCTGCTGACTCGCAACACAGCCTGTCGAAAGAGGCGCATCAAATGTGGAGAGGAAAAGCCGGTCAGTAAATGTCGTCAGTGAAAGACGACGAGCATTTTTCTTACGATTTAGCAGGTATGCAAGAACTGCATCAAATCAAAACGCGATTGCGCTGGTTATGTACAACCTCTCGTGTATAAGCAACAAAATCAAATTCCACAGCCAGACATACGTGATCCCATGGGGAGATCGTATTCAACACATGAAGAAACTTTTGGTCCTGCTTATCTCCACAACCCACTTCAGCATGGCCCACCATATCTAGGATCATACTCAACAATCCATTCGTCTGGGCCGATGTCTTATCAACAGCTGAACTCTGGGCCTTATGCTGGTCATGCGCAAATGGCACCTCCTGGTGCGATGTACCAATATGATGCGAATACCGGGAACTACTTCGGAGGACAACCAAGTCATTTTCGATCCACACCGCTATATCACACCATAGACACAACTGGGGGTATCTCTGCTCCTATGTTTCAGACAACATACCAAGAACAACCCGCATTTGGCCAAACACTACACGATCCGACCCTCGTGAGCCCATCAAGCTACTCAGGATCTCACTCACTGTCGCAAAACCATACCCCTTTGTCTGCAATCAATCCATCCCATCATGACTTCTCACAGGAACGAAACTTTTCCGAGTCCTCCTTTCATCAATCGTCATCTGTGCCACAGCCCTACAAGGTTATTGAAGCAGATATAGAAGGTATGTAGCCTAATGAGAATGCCGTGTTTACCGAAAGTGTTTTTCGTACTAAAATTTGGCTAGAACCCGAATCCAGGAGATACAGTGTGCATGGTTTCGTTCAACCCCCGACTACCACATTGACTCAGAGCGGTCCCATTGCAACTGGACCAAAAATAGAACAGCAGCAGTATTATGATGATGATTACGAAGACCCGGAGGAACCATACGATGTCGACATGGAGGAGCAGGACATACCACTTCAGGATGCCGCACAGAATCTCACCGAAATTCTTGACCGCTCAGGACGAGGCAGTTGGCAGCAATCTAAACGACAAGTCTCCCGGCGACCACAGCAGCAGACTGTCGCGACATTTAAACCGACATTGACACTGTCTCCGTTGCAGGACGAGAGGAACGAACGAATCTTCTGCCACTTTGTTGAGGTCAGCAGTCACTGTATGTCAATATACGAACGCCATCATTTCTCGCCCATCTCTGCTCCTGCCCGAACGTTGTGGAATTTCACCATTCCAGCCTTGGCATTATCACATGCTGCTCTTGCCCATGCAATCTTGGCTCTGGGAGCACTACACCTCGCCAAACTGCAGAACACCTCTGAAGACCTTGCAGTCAAACACTTCACATATTCGGTTCGCAGGGTTGGAAAACTACTTGGTCTACCTAGACGACGTCATGAAATCGCAACCCTTGCCACAGTGCTGGTTCTTGGCTTCTATGAAGTGGTGACCGGTGACCATTCAAGATGGAATCTACATCTTCGAGGGGCAACAAAATTGGTTCTTGAACATGATTTTGCCGCACTAACAAGAGTTGCAAGAAGAATGAGGTCCGGTGCAAAAGCAAGAGTCAATCAGTGGACAGCGCAATTCGCCTTGACTGAAGAGAACTATGGCCGTGTGGCGGGTATCCCGCTTGCATTGTTGGACGATGTTGACTGGGAAGTCAATACAGATCTTGTGTCTCAGCTGACTGGCGTCCAAATCGATTATGACCAGCAATTTCAGCCTCATCTTCCACGCCAAGAACTACTGACGAGTCTTAGTGACAAGGACGTTGAAGACTTCAAGGCCAAGATGGATCTCAGGTGGTGGTATTGCAAGCAAGACATTTTCCAGAGCATGATCAGTGGCGACCGTTTGTTGATGCCATACGAACAATGGATTTATTGTCCACCTCGCGGTCAGATTGGGCGAGCAGAAAATCCCTATGCTACATTGGACCATTTCATGCTTGTCATGGCTCGGTTGGCAGATTTTGGAGGCAAAGACCGACATCGCAAACAAAGAGCAGTGAAACTTTCAGGGGGGCAGTGGAAGCCTCCCATGTGGTTGTTTGGACCTCAAGGACCTCCTGGACCTCCTGGACCTCCTCAAGGGGGTCCCAAGAACGCGTCAGGGCCGCCTCCACAATCATCAAACTCTCGGGCAGCGAGGAGTAGCTCATCCTCTGCTTCCAGCAAAGCCGAAGGTGGCGGTGCTGCGAAGCCTTCACCAGCTCCCAGTGCGAATGAGGGGAGAGTCAGGCAAAGCAAACCAGGTGGACCAATGCCGACCACTGGTAATACTCCCCCAATGTATGGAATGATGCCACCAAGTGCAGAAGTACAAATGCACTCGGCCTTCAAGGGAATGGATGCCTCGATCAATGATGCTGCCTTTCAGCCAGGGCGGGAATCAAGGCAAGTTACCCCAACAACGTCATTCGAAGATGACACTGCAAACGCATTTGCGGAGCATGCACAAATAATAGAGGCTTTCGATGTCTTGAAGAAGTCTCTTGGTGCAGACTTTGAACCAATACCACAAGCGTCCTCACAACCACTGACCACACCTTTCGGCCCAGCTCTGATTTACAAAAATGCTGGTGTTGCTTGCATATGGTTGTTCTATCATGTGGCACGAATCTTACTGTGGCGATTCCATCCGGAAATGCCTCCTGCTGCAATGGTTTCGGCAGGAGTCACGGCTCATTTGACCAAAGATCATGCACAAGCAGTCGGCAAGATATGCGCGGGTCTTTATTCGTCAGAGCATTATGGGCAAACTGGTGCTCTTGACCCAAGTTTCGCGGGTGCATTGATGGAGAGTACTTTCCAACTACTCTTCGCAGCCGTACAATACCAAGACGCGGCCCAGAGAGGCTGGACTATCATCAAACTTCAAGACGTTGCCCGAAGATGCGGCTGGCAAACTTCAGGTGCGGTCGCTGCGGCTTGTGAAATTGCATGGGAGCGCATGGGTCAAGCCGGTCGAGGTCCACCTTACGAAAGAACCCTAGACCATAAGAACAAAGACGCGAGAGTTAGCGGGGCATATTCCAAATCTATTCCGACACCAGGAACTTCCAAATCAGATCCGGTAGCTGAATACGAGTCTGAATTTGTGAATCATGACCGGAACTTGATTGACAGATCTGGTTCGACGAGAACACATTGGGCATTGGGGTTATTGTCTGTCGAAGAGGACATCAAGAAGATGAGTCTTGGAGAAAACTGATTTAGGGGTCGACTACTGGCACTCACCAGTAGCACGACGAATTGAAATCATGAAGAAGAAGCTGCAGACCGCGATATCCGTGAGCTTCCCGCACCACACCTGAGGCAATGGCGATGAAGCCACCCGACATACCAAGGAAGCCACCAGCAAGGATGGTCGACGCTTCCACGCTGCGGAGGACTCGAAACTGGACTGAACTCATGATCACACCCGGGTTCTTCACAACACCAAATCAACCTGATTGCCCCCAGCATTACACTCACCTCAGTGGTCTTTCTGCCTCACCTCATTGGTCTTTTTGCATCACCTTTTTCTTACTTCATGGTCTATCACATTAACCAATTCAAGACAGAGAGCAATGAGTGAGCCCCGCTCGTCACCGCTTAACCCTCGGGTTGCAGAGTTGTACAATTCGAGCACTTGTTCTTATTTTGATCTTCCTCCATCAGACCATACCCCCAGTGGTGGTGACACGCCGATATCACCAGGTACGGCAAACCCAGTCCCGACCAGATCAGATCCCACAAGTCAGAGACGAACAGTGGGTCCACGTGCGAGTACCGAAAGCAATAGTGTACTTCACCGTGTCCACGTACAGGCTATTGAGGAGGGTCTTCCAGACAACTTGCCTTCCATACCCTCGGAGAATGCAGATATACCTCAAGTAGCACCGCAGGAGCTGGAGAGGAACCAGGGACACGCGGGAGTACATCACAACGATGGCGATCATCGTGTCCAAGAATCCCCAAAAAGCCACAATAAAACCACATACTTACCGCTGTCAAAAGATAAGCACGCATTTCCCCCACGCCTTCCAAGACTAGGGCACAAGTGGTCAAGGACCCAATCAGGAAGTGTGTGGTTTGAAAGCCAGAAGACTGCTACGGGGAAACGCAGTGATTCTCATTCGAGCAATACCAATAGTCAAGCAAGCATCTCGGATACCATTCCAATTCGAACTCAACAGACCCCACTAAGACCCCCAATGCCGGCCAGACACAGCTCGAACCAGGTGGTTTCTGGCTCAAATCACATAAAAGTTGAGACCGCCTTTTCCGAATCGAGTCCCTCAAGAATATCAAACACCGCAGGCACAGCTTCCTTTGAGGCTCAGAGTGATGTGCGTGAAGAGAGCCTCCACTCCCGCCAGAATTCAGCCAAGTCTAGGAATATTTTCTCTACATCGCTTGATCTAATTCGTCGGTTGAGCTTGCCAAAAAGTGCTCCCAAGATCACGATTTCTCTGGCCCCGGACCAAACATCTGTACCGGGGCCGGAGTCAAGGGCCGGCACAGCATTGAGTGATCATTCAACACTCTTAAAACGCAACCACACCTCAGAGGCCCTTGCACGCGTGACAGCTATACTTCAAGATGTCAAGCAAAGCGGCACAAGCTCTGGCTAGTTACCAGTCCTCAAACCGCTCAAATTTCGAACGCAGACCGACAAGTCGTCGTTTTCCGATCGGGGACCAAAGGACGTGCACGTTGTGGAAGGAATTACTTCTCCATGTTCGATGGTGTCGGCAAACCGTTCAGAGGTACCCTCTGACGTCCAATCTTATACATCCAGTCAGATGAATATGATGATGGGACCACAACCGGCCAATACGCCGGATGAGCAAGCGACATATAAAATCAAGAGAACTCCAAGTTCCAGAACGGAGGAATTCTTAAAGGTTGACATTAGCATATGGGGTGGGACCAGCTATTTACCCAGTGAGGCACGAAGAATTCATACTCCGCCTGACCCTGAGCAGACACTGGATGGTCGATTAAAAGGCTTCTTCTTCGACTACAACGCGCCGAGAAGTGAACATGGTCAGGATTGTCATGAAGTCGAAGGCGATGACCGAACGGAAGATGGAGGAAATGGACGAAGCAAGGTCACAACAGGGACTCCAAAATTGGACAGGAACAGAAGTGGGAAGTACAAACCTCCAGGAGATTGGTATGATGTCAAACTCGCCGAATTAGACGATGAAGACGACGATGAAGAACAGATCCAGTGTTCCAAGAATGGCAAGTCGGATTGTGGCGTGTATTCTATGGCGCAAAACGGAGATGAAACAGGACAATTTGACCACACGATACCGGAGCATCTCCCAAGCAGTCCTTTGTGCCCGAGAAATCCTAAGTACTGGCGAGTGGTCAGAGGCAAAGGCAGTCAGTTTCGTGGATGTTGGATGCATGGAATTGGGGAATATGACATCGTGCCTGGGATCGAAATGGCACCAACATGATGATGCGAGGTGAAACATGGGTCTGCGGATTAAGCTGATATATCTTTAATGATACAGTAGTAATGGGGTGTGAGCGAGTGTTAAGTATCATTAGATGAACCTGAAGAGAGGATTCTAAATACATAATATTGATTAATGATGAAGAAAGGCTATGACAGTATCTACACTTCTCAATTGGTATATTTTGAATGATATGCCACGGACCTATCAGGCTCTTTCAGTCTCTTCTGTATGACACCCTGGTGGGGGCCTATCCACTTTCCAAAGCCAACTCAACAGCGACGACGTTTTCCCATCAAAGACATCACATGACCTATGCAATGATCCCGGGTCCAAGCTCATCTCATCTTCATCTTCATCGGTCACAAATCGCCAAACTTCTCCTCATACTTCTCGATGTCGGCGACCTTGTCGGCACTGGCGGAGGACGTGTCGAAGCGCAGCTCGACCCAGTCGTCGACGAGCTTCTTGGCCAGCTCGAGCCCGATGACGCGCTGGCCCATGCACAGCACCTGCGCGTTGTTGGACAGCACGCTGCGCTCGACGCTGTACGGGTCGTGCGCCGTCACCGCGCGGATCCCGGCTACCTTGTTCGCCGAGATCGCGACGCCCAGGCCCGTCCCGCAGATTAGGAGGGCGCGGTCGGCCTGTTGTTCGTTTTGTCTTTAGTGGTTTGGCTTTCAAGGTGGATGGGTGGATGGGTGGATGGGTGTTGAGGGGGGAAAGAAGGGAGGGGAGGGGGTGGGAAAGAGGCTCGGAGGAGGAGGGGATTTGCCAGACAGAGAGAGAGAGAGGACAGGACAGAAGCCCCAGAGGAAAGAAAGGCACAGAGTTCCGGGAAGGACATTCTTTGACAGAGAGACAAGTGCATGTTTCCCGAATCATCGTGCAGGTGGTCTTCCTTCTCTGCTCTGCGCTGCTTTCACTCTCTCCGTCCTGGCCATCGCGCTCTCTTCTCCCATGTTCCTTCCCTTCCCTTGCCTCCGCTCGCCTCATGTCAAGGGCCCAAAAAGAAAAGCCATGTCATGTCATGTCATATTGTGTAAAACCTACCTCGCCACTCTTGATCTTCTTGGCCGCATCAACAGCCAAATGCGGATACGCAGTTGAATCGTCCGCGTCCACGACGCCGACGTCCAGCACTTGCGTCACGCCGGCGTGTTTGTGGAGGACTTCTTTCAGCGCCGTCTTGTATGCGTGTCCGGCGTTGTCGCTGCCGACGACGATTCGGAGCGGTGTTTTCTGCTGGCTGGCCATGATTTTCTCTCTTGGAGGTCGGGCTTGGTGGCGTGGGGGAAGGGGCCGATGGGGTGTAAATGTGTGGGGTAAGTCGTGGTCCTTGCGATGGAGGAGACGAGATGCTGCGGTCAGTCGTGTATGTTATATATATTCAGGGAACTTGTATTGAAGAAAAATGCAAGAAAGATACAATATAGCGAGAACAGGAAACGAGGGAAAGATCCAGAGGGGGAAAATATCTGAGTGCAGTGGTTAATTGGTAAACACATCATACCTCATCGGATCTTCCATGCTGCATGTTCGGTGGCATCACCGAGCAGCACCGAGTCTTCACTCTCCACGGATCGTCCCCGACCTGGTGGCATGGTTTCTGCTATTCAACCGGAAAAGACGACGAAAAAGTGGTGGAAGATTATTCAATACGACAGTCACGTGCTCGGCTTGCTGCTCTGGGTTATTCCGGCCGGGTAAATTCCATCGGAAGAGATATGAGAGTGGTGAACCTCCATCACTGCATCCAGCTACGTTTGATTCTCCCTGGATCTCTATGCCTCGGCTGTCCTGAGATACTTATCCTCTATTGATGACAAGACTTGAAACAGGTAAGTGCTCAAAGTACAGCCATGAAGATGACGTGGACATCGATTTCGAGATCAAGGGGCTACGGTCTCTCCGGAAATGGATATACCATTAAACTTTGACCAGCTTGCCCTCTATTTTTAGGCCACCAGGCCCCTAGAGTTCCATGAGTCTCTTAGGTAAATTCAATTTGTTGTAACTGTCTAACAGTGTACTGTATGAGTCACCCACGCCGTCGCGAGCATGTTTAGGTGCGAACTCAATACTGACGGCGGCCCTAATAAGCCCTGTCGCACTCAACCTCAAAAACAATGCTTCACAGAGACGTTATTGTTCAATCTTACAAAATCATCCCATCTGTCCGCTTGATGGCTGCCTGCTCCCCAGATGCCAAGTATACCCAGGCTTCTCTGCTGGTACACATCGTGCCACTCTGGTCATGTTTGCAGGAGGAAGATACAACAAGCTTCTGAGGGTCCAGGGGCCTCGTTCTCGATCTGGATGTCGCAGCTGCAAACGTGAGTTGTTCCAATGTCAATTGTCCGGCTACGACCGAGAAGACCCGCCAGAACAGCAAACCATTGGCAAGGCTGACTTTTCATCATCCGCAATCAGTTGGGCATTACAAATGTGATGAGGCCACACCAATCTGTGGGAGATGTGCTCGGACCAAGAAACCCTGCCACTACCCAGGAAGTGGCGGCAGCACCCCAGAAGCCAACCTCAAGTTTGTGGTCTACACCATACCGAAGGATCCCGTTCAACTCTTAGAAATCCCGGCTCACGAGCAAAGATTGCTGTGGCACTTCCAACACCGCACGATTGGACAGCTTGAAAGCACCTTTCGCTCCGAGCTGTGGTCGACCATCATTCCCACACTAGTTCAACACGATCCGGTCGTTCGCCAGGCGGTGCTGGCTCTGAGCGCTTTCCACGAGCACTATTTAGTTCAAGGTCGTACCAGCACAGCTTTGCCAGACCATGCAACCCGCTGCTACCATCAAGCCCGACAACAGATCATCCAACTCAAATCGCCCGAGAATTTCTTCGACTCCATTCTATGCGCATGTCTCATCTTCGGTGTCTGTGCGAGTCTGCGCGGCGAGTTCGAAGAAGCAACCCGCCATGCTACGGCGGGCATGAGGATCATCTCGGGTCGGCGGCGGGCCCTGACACCGTCGACCTCGATATTCGCGTCGGCGGACAACACCTTGTTCAGTGTTTTTCTGGACCTCCAGGATCAGGTTCTGCAAGCGAATGACGATGATTTCCAGATCGCTTGTCCTGAGCTGGAGGGGCAGGTAGGCGATATACCAGACCAGTTTGAGGATATGGAAACCGCCTTGACACACCTCCAAGTTCTCGTCAATGATTTCATCGACCTTCACCAAGCTGCCGAGAGACATCACGAGACTCATCCCTGGGTCGCTTCGCAGATATCTCCTGCACTGCAGCCAAAATTTGACGAGATCAGTACGAGATACGACGTGTGGAAAAAGGCCCTTTCGAGCCTGAGTGCGAACGGCGATCATCGCCAACGAGCCGGGCTTCTACTCCTGAAAATCTTCGAACTTTCATTTCAAATCGACATGCACACTTTCGAGCATGGAGAATCGACGTATGATGACTTCAGAGACACGAATTTAACTATCTTGAGCCTCGTTGAGGCCTTTGTCCAGATCCAGTGCGACACCAGTGGCATCAAGGCTTTGGATCATAATGACCAGACCGAGTCCCCGACTTCCAATCGCCAAAGCCTGTACTTTACATCATCTCCCGAAATCGTCCCTGTCCTCTTCGAAATCGCGACACGAAGCCATGACCCAGCACTGCGTCAAAAAGCCTGCCAATCCCTCCGTTCGTGTCGCAGGCGCGAGGGGATCTGGGACAGCTTTGTGGCCGCAAGCTTAGCAGAACAGATTGCCGATCTAAAACACCAAGGTATGATGGCCGCGGAGAACCAAAATGCCGGCCGCAAATTTCTGGTCACGGATATCAATCTCCTCTCCGATCGCGAGTGTGTTGTCAAGTACGGGTTCAAGAAGGTTCAGCCAGGCTCCTTCGGCTCGTTCTGGTTGGAAACCATCAAACCCGAGGAGGGCGTGCTGCAGTCGCAGATACTGACCATTTCCTGAAGCACTTGAGATTTTATCATGTCGCAGAAGGAGATTCGGGGCCCGTTGCATGTTCGGTGCCCGGGAGGGGATCTGCCCAACTCTGATATCCGCCTGTCACACAGTTCTCAGAAGTCACAGTGACCGTCTTCACGATAGTGACGAATTGTGTTGGGAATGATAGACCACCGGCAGGAGTCGTCTCTCCATTAGTAGCCGGACCTGCATCCTCCCAACTCTGATAGGCGCTTGCCTCGGAAATCTTGGGAGGAAAGGGTGTCTCTTCAGCAGCCGGAGGTTGATCTTCCCAACTCTGGTAGCCGCTTTCCTTAGCGATCCCGGACATCAGAGTGATTCTCTCCACACTAGTGACGACTTGTGTTGCAACAGATACACGACCGGAGATCGCCGTGACGGTCTTTATGCTCGTAGGCACGGCGGTCACGGTGGTTGGCTTCGTGATGCTGACGGTATATGTTCTGACTGATACACTCTTGGAAGTCGCCATCGAAGTCTGGATGCTAGTTATAAGTCCGGGAGACCAAAATATTGTGTACGAATCGCCAGGAAACAATGTGACAGTTGTGTCCCTTGCCACGAATTCGTGCTTGTGATCAAGCTTGTTCTCAATAACTTTGCTGCTCAGTCGCCCTTTCCCATCTTCGTGCATTGTGTCGTTCAACACGGTGTTGTCCTTTCCCATCCGAGTCATTTGAAAGGACCCCGTTGGCGCATTCCTCGGTGCTGCATTCGTGTGCGCAACCATCTGCAAGAATACTTGCAGGAACCACAGGCTGAATAACCACATCTTCATAGTTGCTGATCTGCCTGAATATCGCAAATGGCTGTGATCCTGATCGTGCAACGCTTCCATTTTATAGCTTTTTGAAAAGTCCTTCTCCAACCACAGTTCTCCATCGTCGGGTATTAAGCTTTGCTTGACTAGGCTGACGTTCAGACGCAAGAGTTTGTCGATTTTATATGCTTCTCCATCCCATTTCATATTGGCATATCATTGCCTTAATACCTTGGAATCCGAACATGTTCATCCAATGGAAACTCCTGAATTTCCATTCTTGTTGATTTTTCACAACTTAAAGCTGAAGCTCTCCACTTCTCATCACGATCCTCTCCTGTCAAACATTCTGTTTCATTCCCTCCTCAAAATTTGCGATCATCCAATTGAATCGCCGGGCAAGCCTGCAGCCGGTCCGTCTCGCTTCGTCCTTGGAAGTTTCTGTAGCGAGAGGCTGAGGGCCATGGATCGTGATACTCCTCCGTTGACAATTTGATCCCATGGATGCGAAATTCCACTGAGAACCGAATTTCTTGTCAGCCGTGAACCCTAATGATACCATGGCGTGACACAAGTCAGCCCGAGGGCCTTGTCGGGCATCATGAGCCTCGCAACGAAATGGACCAGAGAAGATGGTCAAGTCCACTCAGTGGGAAGGAAGGTTTTTCGAGTTTGGGGTTGAGAAATCCACCCAAGGCAACCAGAACTTAAAACTCGGATACAAGATTCCGCCGGTTGTCGATCATGATTGTTTGTCTTGTATCGACGGCAGAATCAGGGTGACTGCCGTCTCCAAGGTGATGAAAGTCGACTGTTTGCGTCAGCATTTCCTCTGTGACTAATAAGACGACGATTATACAACCTCTGAGATGCTTGAGAAGTCCTGGGCCCCCCTTCGCCAGCGGCAAGGAGGTCTGAGTGGTGACCTTCTTGCCCTGTTTCCACCGGCGCGACGAGGACGCGGGGGGCATGCCGGCATTTTTTTTTGGGTTTTCAAGATAAAGATAAAGAACAAAGTGGCGGCCAGGTCAGGAGGGAGGCCTCGGCAGCTATGCAGCTGGAGGTTTGTCTACCTCCGCTCCTGATATCCAACAGTCAGAATATGAAATCAAGCTCCTAGAGCGGAAACCAGGTCGTGGTGCTTACCTTTCCCGCCGTACCACCGGTTCCAGGTGCGCCGGATGGCGCCTCCAGTGGTGACCACGGTGGTCACCACCGCGCAAACGATGACCATCCAGTCCCTGACCACTTTACGGTGGGTACTGGGGCTATGAGAGGACCAGCATTAGTAAATACGTTCGAAATATAAAGGTCGCCCTAGCTAGAGCGCCATGTTAAACTTACGGCACGACAACAAAAATACTGCTATAGGCTCAAGGGTTAGTCTTTCGTCCGGCGGACTACAGCGGTAACTTGGTAGTACTTACGCATTTCCTGGGGCGCCACCCCCAACGACAGTATAATTGCCCAAACTATTCGAACTTGTTAGTCCTCTGTCGTACACTCGCGGTATCTCTCTTACAAGGACAAGTTGAAAGCCATGTCGCTGCTACACAAGTCAGCATTTTCCACTTCATAAGAACTCCAGGTATATACTTACGCTAAAAAGACCCAAAAAAACAAGAGAACGTAGTGGTAGTAGTGATCTAGCAACCGTTGTTAGTATTGCCCGGGTACACGTCTTCCACATCAGAACTCGGTACGTACGGCGGTCTATACGTTGGCAGGCAACGTATACAGTGATTCCAATGCTAGATACACGTCAGCAAGGCTATTCAGCCAAGCAATAGAGCGCGGGCAGTCTCACTGATATCGTCGAAGAAGGGGAAAAAGAAGAGGAATCAGAATAGAAACTTCCGTATAACATATCGCACTGCAGCATAAACAATACTACGTCATATGCCTCTCTTCGGAAGCCTGCTAGCCCCGATAAGCTAATCGATAAGCCATGGTGGGGGGAGGGGTCGATTAGAGATGAGGGGACCACCTTGATTAAAGACTGCATACCTTCATACGAGTACCTATAAGTTAGGCGCCTCGGGCGGTAGCCTCGTGAAGCCCACAGCATTGAAACAGGAGAGGTCACCATACTCGGCATTCTTCAGGACTTGGAAATTCGACTACTGCACCGAACTACTTGTTATTCAATCATGTTCCCTTCCAGACTGGTTGAAAGTTGTCCAACGTGGGTGTATTGGACGTGAGATTATAAGTCGAGGTTCCAGGCCAGACATGGTCTTGCACGGTGGCGTTGCCTTCTCGATAGGTGCTTCTCTGTGGCCCTTGGCTCTGGTAGTAAGCATTGGCCTGCCGATTTCCCGTTGCGAGATCCGTGCCAGCCACGGTTCTGGCGAAGATGGTCTGCAGCAGGAATGGCTGGAAGGCGCCGGTGGCGTGGCCTGCCTCGAATACTCTCACGAAGCTGAAGCCGCTGCTTTGCTTCACTTGGCCGTGCGTGACTTGGTCAGGCGTCGTGATGTTCGTGTATCCCGCCTCGTCGAATCCTCGAGCTCCCACTGCATCGGCGACGGCCTCGACGCCGAGCCAGTTGCACTCGTAATCGGCGTCTCCTGCGTATAGTGTTACGCGCACACCTTTGTCAAGAAGGTTTCCGAGGATATGTATGATGTCGAGGTCTCGTGCGTCATCTCCAGTTGAATCGAACGCGATCCCCACGGTGGGATTCAACTCGATGTATGTTTGATAAGCTCCGATGGCCTGTCGAACCTCAGGCCGCTGAAGATATTCCGCGTAGAAGTCTCCAGGGAATGGGGAGGGGACCATCTCTCGCACGTCATTTATGTCTCGTTCTAAGGCAACGATGAAAGGGTCTTGAACATTCTCAAGGCAGAATTGGTCGGCTGCCTGGCACACTGCATCTGAGCCAGTTGCCTCACAGGCCTTTAGTTGATCTAGGCAATTCCCTTTGCCATAGTAGTTGTCATGGACTTTTGTTCTGACGGAATCATCCAAGTTCTCCAAGTCGTAAGGATTCCCAGAATTGAATGCAAAATCGTAGTCTGAAGCAAGATGTAGTCGTGGCGAAAACCATCCGTTGCCCACCAGTATTGAAGCCAAGTCAATACGTCTGGCATGGGCAATGTTCTTGTCGTTCTGGTCTAGTATATACTGGCTGAAGACCGGAACGTAATGACCTCCATAGCTCTCACTACCAAAATGGAACCCGTGGCTTGAGTATTGAGGAAATGTCGCCATGAAAGCCTGCAAGGTGATCCAGAAGTTTGGAGCTGCTGCGGCCGTGCTGTTCGATGTGGCAGAAGGATCAGGCTTGGAGAAGTTGCCACATATCTCGGCGTATTCAGGGCAAGGAGCGCCGTCCTCGAGCTCGACGATCTCCTCTGACTCGCCATCCATATATGCAGACACGAGTTCAGAATACGAGAACCCAACCTGTACCGGCTGGTCGATGTATAGCATATTGCTGTAGTTGTTCCACGAGAACGGATTGTAGTGTATAGTTTTCTCATCGGGATCTACACGGCAGGGCCCATGCTCTGTGAACAGCTCGGCCATAGCTGAGTCTCCTGGGCCACCACTGATCCAGGCCGTCAGCGGTGAGTTCTCAGGCTCTGCATTTCGTGCCTCGAAGAACCAAAAGAATATGTGTTCGTGCTCGGAGATGTCGACGTAGCCGGAATAGCTCTTCACACCTGGCTCGAGCTCGCAGATATGAGACGGCACTTCTCGATACCGCACACTGGCATTTCCGAAACCCGCACCAGTTTTCCAGTCGTGAAGAGGCTGAGTAGTATCGACGGACAGATGATCCCAAGTATTGAGCCGCGAGGTAACGTCAACGCCTAGCACGGCTAGCAGATTAAGAATGCGCTGCTGCAGCATGGTTGTGTTTCCCTGAATAAGTGCTCATGGGCCGAATGGGTGATCGCCTGCAAGCAACGACACTTGATCAAATCTGATGGTCAAGTAGTGCGACTCTTTTCAGCAGCATCTCGCACGATTAAAATATCCCACGGTGCTAGTTCACACAACAGCGCCAGGGGCGGTGCCTCCAATTGATGCACGGCAATATACACATGCCCGGATCTTCCGACTGTTGTCAGGGTCAGGCTAAGGTCAGGGCTTCATGAAACAGTTCAAGGTACCTTCAGAATAGACTTTGTATGTTGTAGTCCAATTTGGGTCAGGATGCCACGCGGCCTCGCTATGAATTGTATTGTCTTAGACATCGGCACTCTGGGGCTAGCGTTCACGGTGACACAACCCCGTGGGATGCTGTGCTCCGGCCGGTACACATTCTACCCCGACGACGTGAGTCTGTCTGAAGACCACGATTCGATACCTTCTTCGCTTCGCAGATATTCTAGGTCGACGGTCTCTGCTTTGGATTTTCGGCTTCCCGTTTCGGGATCTTCCGGCCGGGTAAATTCTAATGGCTCGAAATTTGGAGAGGCATGTCGGCTTTGTGGGGGACCGGCCACACAACCATGGACACAACGATCATGGGCAATCGCCTTCAGACTGGACTACTGACCACTTATTCGAATCAAAGCTACGATAGATTGGTGGCGGTTTTACAGCAACAGAGTGCTCGGAGCATTGATACAATCGAAGCCAGATTCATCGACTGACGCGGAACCGAGCCGAGGTGATTATATCCCCCAGCCTGGCGAGTAAAGGTTCTCTGGATTTTCTGGGAGACACACAACGTCATATCATTATCGTTACGTTGGACGGAACAACGACGGTTTCGGTGCCAGACATTCCATCGTTCCTAATTCGAGTAGGTGAACCAATTGGGTTTCTCTGAACGATATAAAAAGCTCCCAAGGCAGAGTTGGGGGAGAAAGGTCTAACTACTGGACTACTCGACTAGCGATCCAAGACCACTGCAGTGCACAGCACGAACGAGACCTGACAGGAACATCTACGCCACCAGGTCATATATATACCATCTATTTAAATTCGAATTGCTACTACCCAACGGAGACAGAGCAACGTGGAACGCCCCCTCAAGAGATGTCGAAATCACAGTCGTCGGCACCTCGCCTCCCGTCGAAACTCATCCTGACATCGACAAAAGCATATTTCACACCGAGCCGAACAGTCGAGTATCTGACATCGATCCTCGACCCGGCAACGGGAATCCTGCCCCTCCTGGAATCCCACCGATCGGAACTCCTCTTCGTGCTGATCCCCGATTTCCTGACGATCTACCCCTGCTCGCAGATCCTGTCCTCGCGCTATCCGTCTGCATCCACCTCTCCCCCACAAGACACCAACAGCGACAGCGACACCAACGTCGACTCCACAGCCTGGCCCCTCGCACTGGGCGCCCAAAACGCATTCCAGACCCCATCTTCAACACCGTACGGAGCATACACAGGGGAAATCACGCCCGCGGCGATCAAAAGCCTCGGATGCGCGGTCGTGGAGCTCAACCACGCGGAGCGGCGGCGGCTGCTGGGGGAGAGCGACGAGACGGCGGCGCTCAAGACGGGCGCCGTGACGCGCGCAGGCCTCGTCCCGCTCGTGTGCATCGGCGAGCTGGCGCGGCCGGACCTCGACGGGCCCTTGAGCGCCGCGGTCGGCGTCGCGGTGCGCGAGCTGACGCCGCAGATCGAGTGTGTGCTTGGTGCCGTGGAGGGGGACGCGCAGGTCGTGATTTTCGCGTACGAGCCGGTCTGGGCCATCGGCGCGGCGGAGCCTGCGGGCGTCGAGTATGTCGGCCCCGTGGTGCAGGCGATTCGGGAGATGGCGAGGGAGGTGGGGTTGAGGAGTGGTAAGGGCGGAGTCGAGGTCAAGGTTGTTTATGGTGGGAGTGCTGGGCCGGGGTTGTGGAGTGGGAGGGCTAATGGGGGCAATGGGTTAGGGAAGTATGTTGATGGGTTGTTTTTGGGCAGGTTCGCCCATAAGGTGGATGGTGTTAGGGGTGTGGTTGAGGAGGTTGTGGAGAGCTTGAAGGGGGCGTGAGTGGTAGAAATGAGTTGTGTGGGTGATGCAATGAGTGGGAGGATGATGGAGATGGAAGTGCAGTGGTGTATATACTTCGAGGGAAACATTGATCGATAGTGAAAGCTATTACTAGAGGAATGGTTGGAATGCATTACTGATATCAATGCTATTTAGAGCCACCCTAGCATGAGAATAAGGGATGTTTCATTTTCAATGGCTTCTCTCCTCCGAGATCGTCTTATAGGATGGGAGAAGCCATTATCGTCAATGCAAGAACGCTTCAGGTTTGATTTGATGTACCCTTGTGGTCCGGGATTTCGTCCACGCCAGTCCAGCTACAGGCCGGAGGTAGGAACACCTTGGTGATGCAGCAGAAAAGTCCGCCCAAGTCAACTCCTGGGACATGCAATCTCAACCCCTCATTTTTGCAAATGGCCATCATAAATAAGAGCATACGCCGTAACACCCTCCCCACCCTCCAGCGGCCAGCCCGCGGCATCGACTTGGCCCTTTCCAATCGTAATTTCCTCCACCAGCCGAAATCCGTAGAAGGTGTAGATACCGGCGGCCTGCTTGGTGGTGGCTTCCACCCAGGCCGGGACCATTTCATCTCTTGCACGTTGAAGAAACGGCTCAATGACAGCTGCTATCGACCCCGTGACCTTGGGAACGGTGGTATTGCGAGCCAAGAATGAGAAATGATAGAACGGTCGGATTTGATCCGGGTCAGTTGGTGAGGCCAAATACTTCTTTTTGGCGTCCATGACTTTACCCCTCCATTCACCCAGCAGTGGACCGGGCTTTGCTTTGGAGTCGATGAATGCTTTGCCTTTGAAGTCTGGAGCTTCCCAGAGAGCAACAGCCGACCAATCTCCAGCTTGAACGATTTCCGCACCAGATTCAGCACTGTCAATGATGCCTTGAGCGAAGTGCTTATGCCGCCGAGCATAGTCGATCAGTGGGGATGGATATGGAGGCGGTGTGGAATCATGTTGGACGATGAATGCTGTCGTGAGAGGTGTCGTACTGAATGCAGTGACGATGATGGAGATGAAGTGGTCCAGTTCATCTTTGGATTCGAAATCAATTGAGACTGCGCTCAACGTGTCGTGGAGTGCTGAAGGAGACATGTTGGATTTGTTTTCACCAAGGGAGTGCTTAGGTAATAGTATGAACTGGCTGGTGTGCGGTGCTTGAGAATGAATATAGAAATAGAGCAATCACGGGCTTCGTGGATGCTGGGAAACTGTCCTTGAAACGAACGAGGCGACTTGACAAACAGACGACATCAAGGCAATTACCACCCAAAGAATTGTGAATTGTTCTTGCAACAGCAGAAAGAATCTTGACGAGAAAGTGCCAGTGGTACCTTTCGAGACTCGCCGGAAGCCAAACAACCTGGACTTGACGGGTCGCAATGCAAGTGTGGTTGGTGGGCCCGAAATACTGGCCTTGAAAATCTGGGGTAAAAAAATCCAAGAAAAGGGAGGTCGTGCACAAGTGATGACTGGCTCGGTTAGGAGCGGCAGCAAGGTCAATGAAGTAACAGATACCTTTAGAGGGATAGAGGATGATGGGAGGTGTCGAGTAGTCTGTGAAGGCTCACAGGTTAAGGGGGGTGGAGCGGAATTAAAGACCGCCACCTCATCATGTGAGGAAGCCCGAGTGTTCCATTGCTTCTGGTCACAAGGCGTGAAGCCGGCGAATCCTGGAAATTCTTGACTCATTCTTTGTGACATGAACACGGTGAGTGACGGTGGACGTCATCGCTTATCTCTTTATTTGTCCGGCTTTAGCCGTCAGCTTAGGCTTCCTACGGGAGTCAAAGGACGGAGCGATACGACGTTCGTGTGGAAATATATTGGATGGAGGATAGAAGATGGAACAGAAAAATGCACGAGAATGGAGATGGAGAAAATATCAATCTGATTAGACATGTTTTGTAACTGCCCAGCCTGGCAAAGGTTCCGTGTCCCAACAATGAACTTTGCAGGACTTGGGATCTCAAGAGTATTAGTGCATATGTACGTCGGACAGGGATCAAAGTCTGCTGATTTCACCGAAAGCGACTTCTTGAGGCGTTCATCTACGAGTGTAGTACATAGGATTACTATATCCGTTGTTGTTCGAGGTCTCGTAACATCGACAAGTTGACAAAGACTCTCCATCAGAGGAATCAATGGAATCGCCTTGGCGGTAATGTTCATAAACGCGTCGCAGCATTGACGGATCTTGCATATAACTTGAATCACCAATGGCTGAAGCATCTAGGGACTGCCGGCGTTTACTCTTCTCGTGTTTCACGCGTGAGTCCTTACCAATTGTTTCTGCTCGACGAAGTGTTGCAGGAGAAACCGGTTGAGGTCCAAACAAGGCTTTCCAGAAACCAGTCTTCTTGCTTTCTTTTCTAATCAACGGTCGGTGAGTAACCTCGGATTTTTTGGGGATTTCCTTGGGTTTCGGGTCGACTTTAGCCTTGCGAACAGCAACTTGCCCAGGCTCCTTATGATCACGAACTGGCATCATTGTGTAAATGGCTTCTGTTCGTGGCACGTCATGTCTCGATGGTTTGCCGTGACCATGTGTAACAGTGTCCGCTCGGGTCCTTGCTTTGGGCGTCGCAGTGTTTGGTCCTTTAGCCTTTGTTGCTTCAGCTTTACGGCCGATTTGAACGGGTTCCTTTTGCTTCCTTGCGTCAGTAGTTAGACCTCGAAGTTGAACAGTTTTTGGGGCATGTCGAGTCTGACGGCTGGGTTCTTGGTGGTCTCTCACTGGCATTAGAGTATAACGAGCCTCGGTCTCGATTGGGAGACGCTTTCCATGTTGTCTAGCATTTCCTTGTTCAGTGGTGGTATCACGTCCACGATTGGGTGGAGACATGTTGAGTTCGTTTGTCAGTTTCTTCCTTTTGTTCGATCAAGCTTACCAGGTAGTGTGTGTAGCTTCTAACAGTTCTTGATGAAATCAGAAAGATTCTTCGATTTGGAAACATGTCGAGAAATGCAAGGGCCCAGAAGTATTATTGGCACAGCACACAATATTTAATCTCGTCTTACCGGGTGAGTACTTGAGCATTAAGCCACTGCAACAAAGCAGCCGTAACAATTCGAGTGCTCATTGTCGAGGTAAGGCCGCTCGTTGTCAAAGATGAGATATTATATAACATACAAAGCAGGGAGAAAGGAAAGTGAAGATTTATTGTTGTCCTCTGCACCAAGCTGATGACAAGGGTGCCCGAGGATGAGGGCTGTTCAGATTACTCGTAGCCAATCTCGGGGAATGCCAGTGAATTGCAGTGAGATAAAGCCCAGCTTCTTGCCAATGGACGCGTCAGGTCAGTCAAATTGACGTGACTTGACTTGGCAAGCACGTGCCCGCCGGTGTCTCAAACTCGACTGCTGTGCCACTGTTATGGAGTCGAGGCAAAAAGTGCTTGGGTATTTTTGGTGGTGTAAAAACATTTGCTCAACGTACTTGATGTATTTTGTTAGTCAAGGATACTCGGTATTGGAGTCAGAAAGGAGCACTTGGATGTTTGGTGTCCACATGGAAGAAAAACATGGATCTTGGTTTCAGCCATGTATCACTTTTCAGGGACAGCCAGTGGCCAAAGCCGCACCCGACCCAAGTGGGCAGCTAGATGCTTGCGGCAAACCATAACCACAATGAGGGATTTCTAGTGGCTCGGTAGGCTCTAGGGGGCGAGAGTGCCCGGGAGCTAGGGCTACAGGGAAGGATCTTCTCTACCAATCGAAGCCTGGAGCAGGATTTTGGAGTCGAGTTCCAGGGCTGAGAGGCACGAAGTACGTCGGTGGCTCACTGGAAGACCCCCCGGAAGCCCCCCACTCTACCGGTGTCCCCTGTTCCCAACCCGCGAAAATCTCAGCACATTGGGGCATCTTGCATGCGTGTCTTGCCTGTCACGATATCCACTCTCTCAGGCACCGTGGGCCGTGGGCCGTGGCATGGATCCTGTGCTTTGCTGCATCTCCAAAAAACCTCGAGATAGATGATCCAAGATGCAAAATATTAGGGATTCATCCTGCTTCATCTCTCTTTTCTATTATCCCCCAATTCTCTCGCTTGTATTCATACACATTCTATTCGTCTTTTCCTTGACTTAAAAGTACTCGTACACGATCTCCCTCATCACATTCGCTACCAGGGACTAGTCACCACTGATTCCTGATTCGGATTCTGCTACAACGCCAATCTTCTCGCTTGTCTAACGATTCCCCCATCCCCTTCGACCTTGAAACCGGTTCAAACAAAGCCTCGCTGGCAGAGGCCTTCGACACCAAGTTGGCACTTGTCACTTGATTTGCTTCACGCCCGAACCTTATCTCCAAGGTTCCTATTTGGGCATCTGCACGCCCACATTCCTGCCCTTCACTTCGCACCTTCCCTCGACCCTTCAGTGACATCAGTGACCTCCCCAGTCTGGTCATGTCACTGAACTCCAAAGGTCACTATAAACGTTTCTCAAAGGATGGTTTTCAACCCTTGACTCATCAGACTTCCGGAGATATGGCAAACCCTAACGATATTACGATTGATATTCCCATGACAAAAGTCACCACCAACACCAGTGCCACGGGGGCTCGCCGTGCAGACATCATCTCTCCTGCACGTTCCCAGCCAAGCACTGACTTCCCTGAACAACTCGACGAGAAACAGGCCCATCGTCATTTTCACAGAGGCCCTGGTGGCCGAAGACGGAGACTCGACAAGGAGGATGAGAGAAAGACAGAGAAAGAGCAGGGCACACTGAACGCTGTCGGAAGATTCTACAAGAAGGTTTACAACTTCTCCGTCGTCACTCGCTACTTCACCTATGTTGCTCCCTTGGCTCTGTTGATCGCCATTCCTATCATCATCGGTGCCACTGCCGCTCCCCGTGCTCGCATTGGCGGGGTTCGAATTGTCTGGTTCTTCGCCTGGGTCGAGGTCGTTTGGGTTTCGCTATGGATTTCAAAAATCGTCGCTCATTTCCTGCCACGCCTCTTTCAATTTCTCATCGGTGTCGTCAGTTCCGGTACTCGAAAATACTCTCTAGTCCTCAGTGCATTGGAAATCCCTCTGTCCTTGGTCGGCTGGGCTGTCACTTCGCTCGCAACCTTCGTCCCCTTCATGACCCTCACCCCCGACTCGCTCGCAAGAAATCCTGGTAAAGGCCTTCAGAACTGGCAACAGATTGTCAAGAACATTCTCTTCGCCTGTGTCTTCTCTACCCTGGTCCTCCTTGTCGAGAAGCTTTTCGTGCAGCTGCTGTCAATCAGTTATCACCGCAAACAGTTCGATGACCGGATCAAAGAGTCAAAGCGGAACATTCACTTGGTCAGCCTGCTCTACGATGCATCTCGACGCATGTTCCCAGCCTACTGTCGAGAGTTTGCCGAGGAAGACTATCTCATTAGCGATGTCCTTGACCTGGGCGGTGTGACCTCCAGCAGAAATAGTATGATGCCAGGTCACAAGCGATCGGGTTCCGCCACTCCAATGCGTTTGATCCAGAACGTTGCTCGAGTGGGTGACAAGGTCACTGCGGCTTTTGGTAATGTTGCCCATGAAATCACTGGCAAGAAGGTCTTCAACCCAACCGCATCTCATTCAGTCGTGGTTCAAGCTCTGGAAAAGAAGCGCTCCGCCGAGGCTTTGGCACGTCGATTGTGGATGTCATTTGTTCTCGAAGGAAAAGATGCACTCAGTATCGACGACATTGTGGATGTTCTTGGCTCTGATCGTGAGGCAGAGGCTCAGGAAGCCTTTGAGGTTCTGGATGTTGACGCTAATGGCGATATCTCCCTCGAGGAGATGATCCTCCGCATCACCGAATTCGGCCGAGATCGTCAATCTATTGCCAACAGTATGCACGACGTCGATCAAGCCATCAATGTACTCGACAACCTACTCTGCACTGTCGTTTTCATCGTGGTCATCTTCATCTTCGTCGCCTGGCTCAACAGCAACTTCACCACCACTTTAGCAACTGCAGGCACTGCTTTACTCTCCATGTCATTTGTCTTTGCCGGCACTGCTCAAGAAGTCCTTGGTTCTTGCATCTTCCTTTTTGTCAAGCACCCCTTCGATGTGGGAGATCGTGTCGATATCTCTGACGTCTCATATGTTGTCGAACGCATGTCTTTACTCTACACCGTCTTCCGTCGAGTCAAGGATCAGAAAAAATCCCAGGTACCAAACATTGTACTCAACTCGAATTGGATTGACAATGTCTCTCGGAGTAAAGCCATGCGGGAACAGGTTCAACTCTATGTCAACTTTGATACTTCATTCGAAGATCTGGATCTTCTCAAGACTGAAATGGTCAAATTTGTTCGAGACAAGGAAAATGCACGTGACTTCCAGCCAGATATCGATATTGAAGTCACTGGAGTGGCAGAAATGAACAAGATGGAATTGAGACTCGAAATCCGACACAAATCTAATTGGTCAAATGAGGCCGTTCGTGCTGCAAGGCGCAGCAAATTCATGTGTGCATTGGTGACGGCGATGCGCAAAGTCCCGTTGTATGGCCCTGGAGCGGGTGGTGCTGGTGCAGGGGACAAGGCTAATCCCACATACTCGGTTGCAATCTCTCACGAGGAGGCCGCCAGAAACAAAGATTCCTTTGATATCGATAAAGACAAGAAGAGACTGGTGCCGCTCATGGATCAAAACATCGCTAGGACACCTACACAGGCTCAACCCGCTCAAACCGATTACCTTGGTGCCACAAGTGGTGCAGAAGTTCGAGAGGCTACTGCTATTGATCATCTGGTCAGGAGAAATATCGCGGTGGACCCAGAAGACTCCTTTGACAACGACCGCGATCTTGAGTTGACTAGACAACGGGCTGAGGAGGTTGACGAAGTGCGAAACATTCTTCGCCGTGAGTCAACAACTGGACGTCGTCGTGCAGCTGCACGACAGAGCCAGAGTGGTCTCTATATGAATGACAGCCTTGGCTCTCGTACCATTCCGACTATTGCAGAGCCATCACCACCAGAGCCTATCAGCAACCCATCAGCATATCCAAATCCATCAGCATACCCTCCACGAGTCAGCTACTTCGAGGATACGAACAACCATCCTCCCGCTTCTGGGTCATCTTCATCACAACCTTGGACGAATGTTGCACCCCTTAATTACAACCCTGCCATATCATCGTCAAATCGACCAACCTCACCTGCCACTTCACAAGCAACTACTGTTTCAAGCCCGAGCCGCTATGTTCCTGGCAATGCCTTTTCACAAGCTGCTCATGCCGAGCAACAAGTGCCTAGAATGCCGGTACCTGGTATGCCAGAGATGAAGAGAACTTTGCAACAACCACCAACACCACCAAAATGAAATTATGATACCCTGTCTTTTTAAACTATGAGAGAATAGATGGATTTTATTAGATGGGCTCAGTTAATGGTTCAAGATTTACTGAGACCCGACTCCTGTACAATGAATGAACAGGATGTATGAGAAGATTTAAGCCACATACGAGTGAGCTTTTCCGATGATGTGCTTGATCACCATCTCACATAATGGACGGAAGAATGACATTAATTATGACCAAAGAATGTTGAATTAGATTGAAGTGAAGGTGTATATTCGTCTTGCCTGTATGACCCGACCGATCTCGATGCGCCTTTGAGGAGATGATCCCTTGAATGTAAAGTAAAAATACATGGTATAGAATGATTGCTGAGTAGTTAATGTCATACAGCAGGAGGGGAGTCGAGGAGCCACGCCGGGCTCTCTCTCTCGAATCAGTCGTTGTCGTCAAGACCGTGACTCCGCCCAAATCCGTCCAACGACAATGCTGTGTGTGTCGTGGACAGAGAGATGTTTCAATCCCAATCCCACTCTCAATATCTCACAAAGACCCCCGACACCAACCGTGAGCGGCTGGGATTCCCACTCCCACTCCCGCTACGAGCCTCTTCCGGACCGTGTCTGGACTGTGAATGTGAATGGGATTGTATGTGACTGCTGTTACTGTGACTGTATGCGCCTCCCCGCGTCGTCGCATCGCCGCCGCCACGACGTTCGTTGCGTGACGAGGCGGAAGAAGTGGAAGTGGAAGTGCTCGTCCTGTCCCTCGCATACTGCGGTGGCCCTCCGGCCCTCGTGGTCGTGGTCGAGCCGCTGGAGCCGCTCATCTGTCGTTCCTTCCCGTTGCCGCCGGACGAGCTGCCCGTGTTGCTCTTCGGGCTGCCGCTGGTGGATCTTCGTTGTTGGCCCCACGAGGACGAGTAGTACTCGTCGTCGCCGCCGGTTTGCTCGTCCTCTTCCCCGTCTGAGCCGTACCTGGCTGTCTGGGACTCGGTTGCTAGAGGACTTCTGCGGCGGTATAGCTGCTGCTGTTGTTGTTGCTGCTGCAGCTGTTCGACTTCTAATCGCCGTCGCTGGTCGGTTGGAGTACCCGATGACAATGACGATGTTGTTGTGGTGGTGCGACGATAGTCGTTGTAGGCGTATCGGTCGTATGACGAGCTGTTGGAACGTCTGTCGTCCATTTTGAAAGAATGACTCTATGATACCAAGTCTTCAAGGAGAGTTGGGAGTTTGTCGGTCAGATGTACGTCGACTTTTGAAAACAAGATACTAATATATACTAATGTCCAGCATGAATCATTCCTTGATTCACTCCCGACTCCAGGCACAGCGTAATGATAACGGGGGTGCGTATACAATATCAAATGCGCAGGGCGAGAGCAAACAATGTGTCCTCTCGCTTCAAGGGGGCACAGCCTGGTTTTAATGCATGTCAAATGCAAAAGTCCCACGAAGTCGTATTTTCGTCGTATCAAAGGGCCGGAAACCCTCTCATCGATTTAGCTGCCCTGCTCTCCTTCCCCTTTGGAAAAATACGCTTGAACTCTTGGAGTGAGTGAGCAAGTGAGTAACAAAAAGGTACGAGATTTCCCAGGAAATGGTATCAGTCCTCTGCACGACCCTTACCTTGGCGGTACTTCTCGGGGCTATCTTTCTCAATACTCCGTAAGTTAGTGATGCCATCTAGGGTTATTGATGAAAAGAGAAGAGTCATAAAGCCATCTCGTCGATTCGATGTAAAGTCTAATGCACTTGTTGCAGGGTTCGGATTCACCCAAGCATCCCGATTGGAGTTACATCGCTGATAATTCGGACATACTTGGGAACTCAGAGCCTTGGGCCGTGGACGAGAGAGTACCTCGTACCTACGAGTAGACACTCATCAGTGTTTAGCAGGTATCGACTCACGATAGAAACCTGGGATTGTGTCATGTACAGATGGACCCCTGGACAAGCCGAGAGTCTAGGGTGCATTAGCCGAAAGGCTGGCACCCTTTTAGCCCCCTTCTGTCCATGCACCACTGCACCAACTCGCCAGGGCTTGGGGGAGATCAGCAAAAAGAAGCCACTTTGTTAAACGACTGCCCTCCCTACCCAGTCCGATGGTTTTCTCGTCGACTTGCCGACTTCCAGTGCAGATGCACGAGTGATTTTATTTTAGCTGCCTATCCGTGCCTTGGTGCCTGGATCAGATGACCACGTCGGACAAGGCTCTTACTTGATTTTCTCCCGGGGGTTACAGCCACAATCAAAGCGTATGAGTATTGCCCATTATGGTCCGAAAGGAAATCAGAACGCATAGATCGGGGAACCCTTGTCGAGTTGACTTCCAACCCGACCTTTTTGCGCGACAATAATTACTCAGCCGAGCACGCAGGGAGTCATCTTCTATCACAGTGTTACTCAGAGGACCGTCATTACGAGAAGTTTAGTTCGAAATAACCTCGGCTCCTCCCCTTGGAAGTCGAGCTAGAGTACGAACGGATATCTCGTTCATTCTTGGATACATATTCCATTATTCATGCGTATCAAGTGTCTGCCTGGTTCGCCCTTGAGTATGTCATCAAGGTTGCCTGCCTGCCTGGTTACATGGCACCAACCTAGGTTAAACCTCGAATGCAAGCCACCTGGACACACCCTCTCACAACGGCTCCAGAATTCCGGCATCGTTTCCTGCATGGCATCCCGTTTTCCATCCCCCACGTGCCTTGTGGTTTCCCTGCCCGTCGGCAACGCCGTCACTCTAGTTACTCTGTAACTGTTGAAGTCTGCCTTGAGGTACTAAGACACTGCCGAACCCGAGATGGAAGAGGATCACTCAACCACAGTCCGAACCATATTTCGACTCCAAGGGCTTTTTCTTTTCAATGGGGCCATCACACAGCCATTCAGCGATCAAGACACATGTCGTTTTCGCGAATTTGTCCTTTTTGGGTACTGGGTTGATGTTCAATTTTATACTTCAACCATGCTGCTTGTCGTGTGCTCCACCTTTCGTGGGGCATCAAATGCCGACCCTCGTGCCTCGTGATTGGGATTGAACAGCCTATCTCTCCCGAACGGCACGATTATTCTTCGCTCCATGGAATTTTGTCATTCTGTTTCCAACAATCAAATTCTATCTAATGATCATGACTACGTCTGAACTTGACTTTACACTCGATGTAAACTGGCAAAGACCTCGAAAAGTGGGGTGGGGTCCGGTATCTATTCACGAGAATGGACTGGGAACAGACGAGATTCATGTGCTAAAAATAGTACATTTCCCCAGGGAATTCTCCGGACAACATCGATCGCCTTGGCCACTACTCCTGTGCTGCAACCTACTCTGCTTGTGAACGACTTGTCAGGCATACTCGACGGGCTTTGGAGCAGCCATGGCTTGCAGAACTCTGAAGTATTCTCCCTCGAACCTGCCTGAGGACACCAGATGGGGTTCCATCACATAATTCTCGAAGAGATCTCATTCAGGCTCGGGTATCGTCCATCGTCTACGTCTACACCTTCCACTCAACAAGCACCAACCATCTTCATCTGACCACAACTCCGCACCCTTCTCTGATGTGATCAGCCCGAGTCTCCTTCACTCATATGTGGCGTCATGCAATGACCGACATACTAGTATTCGCCACAAAGCTTTCTCCCCCTATTTTTGGATCAAAAAGTACCACAGACTCCACGTGCCCTGCATACCTAGTATTCAACCCAACCCATCTTGGTCTATACTGACACGCCGCAACCCACTAACAAAAATCCAGCTATCACCGAAGAAGCACGGTAAGGCTCAAACCCTCAGATCTTCTGCATCCTTTTTTTAAGGCCTTCTCGGCTCTTCGCTTCCTCGTGAGCTATACCTTACCAGTCGATAGACTCAGCGCGTCCTGAGTGCCCACTTACATCGATGACAGCTAACCTCATGAAAGACTTTTGCTATTTTTGACTCTCGCTTCACTTCGCTTCTTGACTTGACTTGACTTGACTTGACTTGACTCGACACGAGGTAAAGCGGACACGCATCGAGAGCGGCCATCAGTGTCAAGTTCCCAGTGTCAATGATGATCGAGGCCTTCACGGGAAGACAGTAGTGAAAAACGGAAGGGAAAAACGCCTTTCGGTTCGCCTGATGTGATACGGGACAAATCTCGAACTGTTCTCCTTGAGTATCCTTGGACGTGACAGCCTCGTGTCCCGACGAACCACGAACGCATCGGGTGCTATTCTTGAACTCTGGTCTCTACTTCCGAATGAGGAGCATTCGGCCAAACCCTTTGGAGCAGCTTGTTGTCGGTAGGACAGGGTGGGCTTGTACGATGTAGGACCGACGTCTTCATACAATACTGTCCCACGAATGAGACACCCAATGGACTTTTCTCTTCTGCTCAGTCAGGTCTATTCTCAGACAGAGTTGCAGGTCGCTGTCTATTCGTCGACGTTCCCGACGAACAAAGCCAGGCAACATGGGGAAGGAAGCTAACCCTCCAAGTTCAACTCCCACTCCAATCTCAAAGCCATCCGCAATCACATCACGCCACCATCGAGAAAATGTCGAGAGAAAATCGACCTTGATGTGCGAACGGCGCTCAAATCGAAATCGGGCTTCATGGTCGACAAAATGAGGTATCTAAATTGGATAGATACCTCGACAGCCGGCGGTGGGTTGGTCGGTAGGTCGGTAGGGCGGCGTGCGCAGGTGGCTTTGAGAGGTGCATAAACAGCCATGCCATCTATGTATTCCTCCCTCCCTCCCCCTCCCTTCTTCTCCCAGTCCCACTCACTCACTCACTCACTCACTCACTCACTCACTCACTCACTCACTCCTTCCTGACTAGCCGCTTACACGGTAAGAACAGCAAGCAGCTAAGGTAGACTCGTCACTGCGAGTCTCGCGTCATGTAGAACAGAACAGTAGGAGGAAAGCAAACGGTAGACGTAATCCGACACGTTAGATATTGATGTTGAATGTTGCTGTCACCCGACCCGCTGGATGATTGACTAATCGATCTCACTTCCGGTCGAGCTGACTGGATTGATCCATCGAGATATGAGTACGAGTACGAGTACGAGGCCGAGAGGGAGAGGGAGAGGGAGAGTGAGTGTGAGTGCTAGGAGAAGCACCAGCACCAGCGCTAGTAGCAGCGGGAAGAGGATACCTGCGTATAATGAGCAGAAGACCGGCAGGGGCATCGAGATGACTAGGTATAACATCTCCTGGAAAGCAACAAGGACAGGGAGAGCGATACTGCATCCATTACATTGCTGTGCACAGCGTTTTGTGAGATTTCATGGCACGGCATGGCATAGCCCATCGAGGCACAGTGAACCAACAGGTTGAAGTGAATTACAATTTCTAGCCTCGACACTTTGCGTTGCCCAGGAACGTGAACGGGTCATCTTGTAATGCTGCTAAATCCACAATCAACCGACGGAGACCAGCACTCCAGGCCTTCGATCTCAATGAGTCTCAATTAATCGCCGGAGAACTCTAGGTAATAGCACCCAAAGCCTCATCCAGGCTTTCCCGTACTCCTTCCATAGAATCCCACCCAAATAAACCACAACGATCGCAACGATCAGAATTTCTCCATCATGCGCCTTCTCACTGTCCACATTCGCGCTCGCTTGCCGTAGATATACATAGGAATGGTCGTCACCATGCAAGCGATCTGCAAACAACCAATGACCAAGAATGTATTTTTGGGGCCTTCATGTTCAAGCCATTGAGCAAAGAACAAGCTGAAAACCAAACCGTGAAAGACGTTCTTGCTGAAATTCAATGTCACGAGTGCTTCTCCAGCAAATTGTCGGTAGCTGTCGACACAGAATGTGATGGACGTGGTGGAACCCAACGAGCAGCCGAACGATATAACTCCAAAGAAGATGGTCGGTACGATCCAGTTGTCACGCTCTTCAGCCGACCAGCCATAGCCGACCAGTCCCATGGCAGTAGTGATAGCGATTGGAGCACCCATTATAAGACGAAACTCCGGTTCGTAAACTCCACCATTTCTGCGTGCCATGAATCGAACGATTATGTCACTAACTTTGCCAGCCACAGCCGTTCCAAGAATTCCGCCAATGAATGGAGAAAGATATACCAGACCAGATTGTAAAGCGGTAAAGTTGTACGAGGCTCTATCTCGGTAGATGTCAGAAATTGATTCCGACAACACAATGAGCCAGCCCACGGATAGTGAGTATACGAGTGCTGACCACAACACTGCCGGATATGAGAAGAGAATGAATGGCCTAAGTGCCACAAGAAACCATTTTGACCTCGATAGTCTGCCGTTCCAAGGTTTCAGTGTCTGAACATAGCCCTGAGGAGGAGCTTGTCGAAGATTTGTGGTATATCTGACAATCTTGGGTGGTACAAAGGTTGTATCCTTCTTTGGGAGATCTTTCGTACTGGGAACACTAGTCCTGCGATACTCAGGCGCATCGTCCTTTTGGGTCTGATCCTCCAATCGATCAGCCATGCTGGTGGGACTTTGATGATGTCCAAGGTAGTCATCATTCTTTTCAAGCTCAGTGTAGTATGGAGAATTCAAGTTGTGAAGGTGTGGTATATCATCGTGAGGAGTATATGGAACGAAAGGAGCCAATCCACCCGGTGACGGACGGGATTTAGTGGGAGCGGGTGTGGTTAACTCTGGAGGCAAATTGTCAACATGTTGATTATTGTTTATTTCCGGAACAGCCGTAATTTCTGATTTCTCATCTGCGGTTCCACCGCCGGATGAAACCTGGGATTGATGTGTCTTCGATCGGCGTAGTGAATGACGCGCGATACTCGAGAGACTTCGACGATGGGTCAACCCTCTTGATTTCGGTCTTGGAGTTCTGTCCCAGAAAGTCTCCGGGACGAAAAGAAATAAGATAGCGAGTCCAAACGCTGCAACGATAGTCACCACCCAAAACACCCATCTCCAACCCTTGGCCTGAATAATGACAGCGCTGACCAAGGGGATCAAATTCTTGCCTCCGAGTAGAAGAAGGGTATAGATACCAACACGAAAGGCTCGTTCGTGTAGGAAGAAAATCTCTGCAATGGTGGCAGAAGGAAGACATTCGACCGGACTGACAGATATTCCTTGGAAGACTCTTGCGGTGGCTAGTTGAGCATAACTTGGAGCCATGGCGCACCAAACAGAGGTCAAGATGAACATGACTGCAGAAGCCAGATATACAGGTCTCTTTCCATACAGAATAGCAGTGGGTGAGAACAAGACACTGCCGACACCAAGACCCATCATGTAAAGACCTGTGGTCAATGCAACCTGTGCGTAGGTGACGTGATAGGTGTCAGCAACATCGTGGAAACCAGCAGCCAGTATAGGTGTGATGCCACCTCCAAGCATGCAATAGAAACCGAGAGAGAGAAGAGCCAAATCTCTCCTCCATGCAGGCCAATTTAAGGGATCATTTTGGGAGTCTTCGGGTTGAGGCTCTAGAATGATATCGCCATCCTTGGTCATTTTCTTGTCCCCTTGGGATGGGTTCCTTGGCGATAGTAATTGTGCTGGCATGGAAGACTCCCTCCTCTGATCTTGCCGGGTTTCGAGGCCCAACGGCTCATTGCGGAATGAGGAGAGCAGGAGCACGGTTCCGGGGACTTCCTCCGTTGACTTATCATTCAAAATTCCGAACGACCATTTCGGGATGGCAGGGGCTGCCAACCCATTCCCAGGAGAAGATGAAGAACCATCAGGCTGGGATCTCGCACCAGTATCGAAATGGAGATGTCGTTCTTGCCGCCGGCCCCGGGGTTCATCCGGTACTGATTGACTTTGATTTGGAGTGGCAATATTGCCACCGGTTGACTTGTCTCTAGCCATGGAGGCTGATGGTAAAGGACAGTCGGTCCACGCGATTGACGCGTTGTTTCAACGGTTTAGATTGAAACCAGTCGACATTGATGCTGGGGGATTCGCGTAAGGATAACCCGACGCTCTGTAGCGATGAGGATAATAAAGATGAACAATTTATAACCAAACCTAACCAAACCACAGCAAATTCGGTTTCAAAGAACAACTAGGAGATGTAGGACAGAGAATATAAGCGCTGCCGAAGGAATATAGAGAGGATGGCGGTCATGAGAGAGTTGAAAGAATAAGCCCGGCCGACGGTGGAAGCAGCCGGAGTCCAGTGGGAAGCGGCCTTGATCAGCTCGGTCCAAAGCAGTCGCAATGGATGTTATGCGTTCAAGGCCAATCCGGTGGTCAGGTGCGACTCACTTCAAAGGGCCCAGTGCAGCGGTGAGCAAAGAGTACTTGGTAGTTGATAATACAGGGCAGTAATAATAGCAAGAACAAACCCATTTGTTGATCACTGGTATTGTCGACCAAGAAACTAGTCGCCACCTGCACTGCACAGTTTGTCCATGTGCTGAATGCTGACCAGTGTCTGTTGGGATGTGTCGTTGTTTCAGCCTTCAAAAGCCCCCTAGGAGGCCCGCCCGTAGCGTCCAAACGTGACCGAGACCGACAAGCCAGCCAGACTTATCTAGTTAGGCCACTCGTGCAAGCATGTGGTCAATTGGCACATTGAAGGGGTCACAAGACGGTCCACCGATACGGGGCGGAGCTGTTCTCCCTCCCTTGGCGACATCACCTGGACTCCTAGTTAGTCACCTAGGTAGGTGGTCTTGGGCTATCGTTGATTCAATTCACACAAGAGAGAAGTCGTGTGGACGTTTGGACGTGGGGTTGGGACCCAACCGGCGTGCTTTAGTGGTGGTGATTGTGCATACAGGATCATGGACGAGTGACCTCCTTGATATTCCTCTGGTTGGGATGGTCAGTCCCTAACTGATTCGATGTGGAGGGGTGCATTAAGTAAGGTGGTCATGTGAGTGTGATCAATAGTAGTTGATAGGGTGTCTCTCTCTGTCAGAGCTTGTATCATCTCTCATTGGAGTTTCTCCGTATTTGATAATCGACCAGCCAGCTTAGGAACTGATAGTCCATGCTCTCTCTCCCCTCTCACACTGTCTCTAATATGATATATGATGATGCTAAGATATAATGTCAATGTGACGCTGCTGATAGACGACCGACAGACCGCTACCGCCATTGTCACCACCCTCGCCATCGCTTCGACCCGCCCAATGCACCAGAGCCGTTCTCCCTCTACAGATATGTATCCAAAACTATTCAACACACACACACACACAAAATCGTAACCTCGTAAAAACAAATAGAAGTGTATCTATCCCAATAGAATCAAACTCTCGATTCAAAGTTCGATTCCTCGACGTCTCTCGTATTATTCTCTTTTTCCCCATCATGGCATATCCCACCGAGGATCGTCATCATATAGACCTTTTTTCCAGAGTCTTTTGTCATCCATGCCGGGCACCAAACAATCCCAATCCAAGTGAAGTATCACTGTCCTTGCCACTGCCGTGATCGATCACCTCCCACACACGGGGCTTCCAATCACCGAGAATACCCTTGCCCTCCTTGCCAATGAGAAGTCCATGACCTGCATCCGAAATTTGCACCGAGCCCATGCCGTTGACTGTGCCGAAGAGGTGGACAAGCCGACTTTCCTGAGAGAGCTTCTCCTTCAACATCTTGGCACTCAGCATTTTGACCTCGTCGCTTGCGTCGTCTATGATGGTGGCGATCACGTCAAGAGTGAAACCTCGGAGAGCGGTTGCCATTTGCTGGTCGTCCTTGCCGCTGAAGCTATTGGCTGGGGAGGTGAACATAGCCTGGGTTGCGATCAATGTCAGCCGTACCAGAAGTTGCACTTGTTCCTGTTGTCCTTGTTTCCCATTGGGTGCCCGTCCAGCTGCGGCCAGTCCTGCTCGCTGGAGACATATCATCTGCAACATACATCGAAGATATTCCAAGATCGATGAGGGCAATGCTGCGGGTGCGCTGTCAGATGACATCGCCATCGGACTGGACGTGATATTCATGGCTTGGGCCGGGCTCATGCTAGAAGGGTTACTCGATAATCCGGGAATGACTGGTGCCGTGGATGCAACTCCGTGATTTCCAACAGACTTGATCAGGTGGGATAGCTTGTCTATCAATTGAGGCATAAGCCCGGGCATTGGCGTCGTTGTTGGTGTGCAGACATGAAAAGCTCGCTCCACGATCGAGGACAAGTGCTGAACATCACTGGGAAATGTCGCCGCCATAGGGCTCGCGACTTTGTTCCATGACGTCTTTGGCAGGGCTTCAAGGAATTCAGCTTCGACCTTGTGTCGCAACCGATTCGCCACATCTGTGCCAACTGTCTGAAGAAGCTGTGAAAATCGAGAGACATCACCAGCGATGCCGACTTCTCCACTCATTTGATGATCCAGTGCCTCGAATAGTCCGTTGACAAGATCCTCACTATCGGTGCCGGAACCCTTACCAGATGTGATCGGCGCATTGAGTGAGAAGCGCAGTTGGACGAATCGATGAGAGAAACCATCGATCGACCCGAACAGCGCCCTCAACTCTGAGTCCTTGTTTGAGTTGCTGGAACTGAGAAGAAGCTTGTCTAGCGCTTTGACCGTCCATTCGCTTGCCTGTGCAGACATCGAAGGCGTCTTGGTAGAACTGTCGCTCACAAGGCATGTCAACAATTTTCTTCCCGAACCCTGTAACTCGTCCTTGAGTCCGGCTACACAGAGATTTTCCAGAGCGGCTCTTGGCTCTCGTCCAACGTATTCCCACCATTTAGTCCGGACTTGATAGATGATAGAATCCTGACGCAGCCCACCGGAAAGACCCAAAGACTCTTTCAAGACATCCATGACGGGCGAGGTTTTCCGAATTTCCATTTTCTGAACATTCACAGCTTCAAAGATACCCTGAAACGTCAAACACCCAGTAGCGATCAGATCTCGAACAAGAATGGTTCCGAAACTCTCTTCCAGAGTTACAAGAAGTCGAGGAAACCACTTCTTGACCAGGGCGTCGCCTTGGGCTCTGCGACAGAGTTTCAGTCGGCTGAGGAGCTGGCAAAATGAGAATAATGTCGACGTGTCCTCGGGGAACTTGCTTTGCTTTTCAATACGATCAGTCAATACAGAGAACATGCCGTTCATGGTTTGCTCATTCATGTTAGGTTCCGACTGTAGAATCGCCTCAAAGTCTTCGATGAACGTGGCTCCTGCCTGTTGTAACGATTCGGCGATTCCATCTGAATATGGAGAACAGGCCGCAACCGCACGTCCACGATCTCCGCGTACAAAATCTTGCTGTAGCAGTTTGACTGACGGCACCTTGACCGGGAAGCTAGTGCAGAGATCCAGGAGCGCAGAAGACAAGTATGGCATTGTTGGTCGAACAGCTCTCCAACTCATATATATCTGACAGATTTGACGTTGCAAAGGCTCCAGCGCACCTAAAGCGGAAAATGCATTGGCGTGATATTGTAGAGTAGCTACCAGGGAAGAAAGCAGCTCCTCATCACGAGTCGAGCTCAGAATGCCAACGACATCGGCAAGGACAGCATCGTCTTCCAAGGATTCGAGAACATGTCGAATATAATAAAACTGTTCGCAATTGATCATCATGTGGCTGGTCAGTATTGCGTGGGCGTCTGCACTAGGTGCACTCGCCTTAACAGCCTCAGCAACATGCGAACGTAACCACATCGATATAGTTGATCGTACCGTCCATGGTAATCGTGAGAATGCGGGATGTGGGAGAACTTGACTGATCGGGTTTCTCTGCATTGCGGAGCTAAGCCGTTTCAACTCTTGTGTGACAGCCTCCTTGCTATCCTGAATTACTTGGCCTTCCATGTCAATATCAAATCCAGCACGACTCAACACCGAGTTCCGGAGATTGACAGTGTGGCTTTCAATAGTCTGCAAGGATATGTCGAGTAGAAGTTGAGTAGGGTCCGAATCGACAGGATGGTCGATTGTTGATTTGCTATTGACATCGAGCGCGAAACCCAGGTCCAGGGGGGTGATTGACCCCTTCTTAGGTAACCCTCGCACCATGAGCCACTGAATATATTTCCCAACCGGAAATGATCCCGACCGCGAGAGTTGTGCTATAAGTCGTCTTAGAGCTGCACCGTCTACCGAGACTTTGCCCGAACGGCACAACGAGATATGGTTTAGTATAATGGAGTCGACTTCGTGACCAGCCTTTCTCCAACGTTTGACTAGGCGAGCGAACAAAAATGTTTTGCCATTGGAATGTTGGAAAGGTGTCGTTGCCCATCCAAGACAAGTAGATATCAGGAGCGTTGTGTCCTGACAGGCATCCGCCAGATTGTGATCGAGGGTTCGAATATCGTAAGGGGCAGAGGAACGGTCCAGAATTTCGATGACAGCTTGCTCCGGCGAACGTTGAGAGACCAGTTCCCGGCGGTTATAGCCCATGGTTCTTTTGTTGATCTTGTTCAGTTGTGACAAAATCTGACGCTCGTAAAGAGAATCCAAATCGAGGCATGATTCAACGATCTTGACATATTCTGGCCACTTGTCCGGCATCAGAAAACTCGAGGGTTTCGATAAAAGCAGCCTCCTCAACATCTGGTGAAGTTTTTGCTTGAGAGGAAGTTCTGTCGAAACGGTTGATTTTCTGATGCCATCAAATCTCAAAAGGAATGCCTCTGCCAGCTTCGTTCCCCTCCTGCGGAATTGAGTCAAGTCATCCTTGTATATTTGTATAACCATCAGCCAAAACGGTACAGTGTCGAGTTTTGCAGATCCAAAAGTCTTGACAATCCAGTCCAGATAGTGGTCTCTATCCAATAGATTTTCCAAATAGAGTCGAGTGACCAATCGAAGGGCATATTGTATATTTGATCGCCAGTCCTCGAGATGGCTCTGACCCAATTGCGCCTGAATGAATTGTTCCACATTGATGGTCCATTCTCTTAGCCACTTATACTCGGCGCCGATCGCGACGGCATGGGTGGTCCCCTTACGTTTCAACGTCCGAATTTCGTTGGCACATACACACTTGGCAAACCATATGGCTCGACTCAAGGGAACGACATGTTGCAAACATTGATCGAGTAAAATCTGACCTCTGATACCTTGAGGAATCGTCCTGCTCAGTCTCCGCAAGGGAACATCCGCATTCGCCAGATCCGCAATCCAGGATTTCCGTTTCGCCTCAGTAAGGGTCACTCGTGGAGGTGGTTTGAAGTTGGAGACGGAACTGATGAGACCGTGTTGGTTCTTCTGTTCGAGAACAAGTGAGAGGAGTATAGACAGATTATCTACGCCGGCTTTGTGCTTGAACGCATTATATAGCGGAACACGCGCAGTATTCAACTCTTTCTCGGTCGGGTTTGGTGGTTTGTCGAAGTAGCCCTGCTTAACGGTCATCTCATTCAACAAATCTTCCGGATGTTTCCCAGTCCACGGGAAAAATCCTGCAGGTCGTTGCTGAACAAAGTGAGGTGCCGAGGAAGGCTCCTTCATCGAATCGGGAGTAGTTGGTACGGGAATATGGACTCGCGATCGGTGACTCGGTTTGGTGTCGTCGGAGACTTTGGAACGCTGTGCATGAGCCCATGGACGAGGTGGTAGTTCGGGCAATTCGGTGTCGTTGCCTCTCTCTTGTTCGTTCTTCATCTCCTGTCTTCTGATCTCCTGGTTGATCGTCGACATATTCACCAAGCGGAGTTGTGGCTCTTGGGTGCCGATTGAAGGGTCAACTATGATGCCATTGCTGTTCCCACTGGGGCTGATGACTGCCTGGGTTGTGGCGGGAACGCCTTCAACCCTTCGCCTTTTCGCCGGCCTATCCTCCCCATCCTCGCCGACTACTATTTGTCTTTGAGCTTGAGGCAGCCGCCCACTTGTGAGGAAAGGATTGCTTGGGATTCGCTCGTGGGGTGGACGGATTTGATCGGGAGGACGTTTCAAGGAAGGAGGCCGCGGTTCGGCCGGAGGGTTCGATGTCATGATATGCACATCTTGACGAAGGCCAGCACAAACTCGGCGTGAGAGTTACAGAATGGTATTGCTATTGGAAAAGGGAGGCTTTGTGGGCGAAGAACAGTAGGTGGTCTTAGTTGCTCAGGTGCGCTTTCTTGGGGCTTGCGATCGGCGAGAGCTGACCCCAGTGAATCTCAATTGTCAGCCGTCAATCTGCGTTATAATTTACAGACGTCAGATGGATATCAGATAGGTTTCTGGAATGCGTTTGCTAGCAGTAGAATAAGATAGTAATCCAAGACAAAAGGTTGTACTAAGGGTTGGTGTTGAATCTGATGGTGGTGGTGGTGGTTGTTAGTGCAGTGCCCGTGCTTGGTGTTGGCATCGGATTTGAGATAGGGTGAAGATGCACAAGGATTCCTCCGAAGAGCACCGCCGGGGGCCGGGGCTAGGAAGGAACCTGAAAGGTGATGCACCTGAGCGTGAATGGTGACATTGTGGGTGATGGATGATCCACTGGCCGCTGGCCACTGCGCATGGGTTGGGGGTAGGGTGCTAGTGACTATTTAGGGTTGGTATCAGCATGGAGTCGCATGGATATGGGCGCGGGCATTGGGTGTTAGGCATCGTTAGGCATATCTCGTATCAGCCAAAGGGTGCCCAGGTGGCCAAAGTCGGCCGGGATGATAGGGCCAGGCTTAGGACGGCTACGGTTAACTCGTCAAGAGAACCACCCCCCTTCATCGGATATGGGCCGTATCATACTCGGTATCATTCGGTCGCTAATTAGGGTGATGCCGGAGCAACAGGAGATTAGTGCAATCATGGGAGTGCGGACTTTGTCATTTCTTTTGCTATTCTATTCGTAAAAGTTGTGTTGCCATTGGAATATTATTACGAGTAGGTATCGAAAGAAACAAAGAAATCCGAGGACTGCTCAATGCACTGCGACTGAAGCCCAATCGTCTCGTAATGGCATCAAAAATGTTGAATAATATCCTCCGAGCCGCGTGAAGACGGAGGTAATCGTTCTCAAACTTCAGATTATCCGTATTGAAGGCCGAACGGCACAAGACTTCGGGCGATATTATGCTGAATCACTACGTGCAACTGCTCCTCATCCTCACGGGCTCGTGATGGGGGGAAAGCATGTTCTGCTCCTCTGGCGAAGTTATGCCTAAACTTGCCACCTTTCTCCAATTCCTCTGGGTAAACACCCGAGCTAATGGGCGCCACGGCCGAGCCTAGAGAAACCTGGAATGAAGCCACCAGACAACCAGTGTTCGTATCTTGGCCCGGCTATCGGCTAACCGCACGGGAAGAGGAAAACTTACTGCACGCTGTTCCTATCGCATCTCACTTTGAGAGGGATGGGTTGCGAGTTGCAACCTTTTCAACCCGCTAGCGATGTCACGGTTTTCGCTATCGCAAGTCACCTTATTTCCCCGGATTGTGAGGTCTGCTGTACCTACCGACCCAAGTAACTCGTAGTATCTAACATCAGAACTTCAACACATCAGCGGCCTCAAGTCGATGGTCCGTTCATTCTGTTACCTCTTCTGACGGGAACCCTCTTTCAACAGAATAGTTAGGTGGCTACTGGAGTGAAACGACATTGTCATACCTACTCGTAGGCATCTCGGGCTGTCTCGTCCACCTTGTCTCGCTTCTGGGGCTGTTCTGGTACAAGATATTCCGAGCACCCCGCCAAAACCGGAATTGAGTGATTGGCAACCACTTTGGATACCTCCGAGTAATTACGTACTAGGGAGCTAATAATCACCCTCACTAGCTACCTAGGTACCGAGTATCAAGGTGAGGGTTGGAAGGAATTGTAGATTTGTGGATTGCCTCCTACGACTCTATCATCACCTTTCCCAATCAAGCTCACTCAACCAATCTCATGACCAACACTATTACCACCACCTTGGATCACACTGACGTCCTCCTCAACCACGGGCTCTGCAAGGCCTCTCCTCGCCTGTTTTGAGTACTACCTCCAAGCTGTAAATATTCGCTTAGGTAGTCACAATTTGGTCCCTCATGCTGACCATCACCTGCAACTAATTCGAGTGATCCCCCATCTTCGACCCGACATTCAAGCATTATCAGGCTGTGTGTAATCAACCTGTGATCCCCAAGGGAAGAAGCTCCGAATTTGATCCGCCTTAATTCGACGGTGCGACAGAAGTGCAAAGTCTGGATGATATGCCTCGATTTTGACATTCTTTCTTCCCTCCACGATGGGGGGCACTGCTCGCAGTATTAGTGACTTTGGCCTTGGGATGAGGACCAAATGTGCCTTTTGTCTGTGCCAGAAGCTTTACATGCGTCCGTACATCGATCGGCCTTGAACAGTGCTTCTCTGTAGCAGGCCGTTTACTCCCTATCTGGCCCCTGGTCCCAGCCTCCCCCGATTCGGTGGGGTTATCGGAGGGGCTACTATCTGTGTCCGTACTGAGTCCGCCTCCAAGAGGGGATACTGATCCAATCTCATCATCGCGATGGGGAGAAAGTGGTTCTTTAAGGACCTCGTTCCTTCCGTTATGATTGACAAAAGTTTCTCCTGTCTCTTGCTGCGACATTTGAAACGGTGGAAAGTTGTAGCTGAGCTTCGTATAAAGGAGCTTCGAAAATGGTGATTTCCAACCTGTCAGTGATCGATTTGGGGTAATGTTATCGTGGTTATTCGATCCACCTCCGTATCCTGTCGTTGGATTACGAAGTGAACTCCCTCTTGTTGATGGTCTAGAAAGCTGAGATTGCAGCACGTCTACCGCTGAGGCTCGTCGGCTCTGAGCAGATGAGCCTCCACCGAATTTAGGCATCGTCATTCCATGTGAGCTGCTTGATGATGAATCTTCGTCCCAGAGAATCTCGTACACATTGTCATTCGATACAAGCCGTGTAGAGCATCTCCGCATGGGACTGATAATCTGTTCGAAATCAGAGCCCGCCGAATATGGCTCCATCATAATTATTTTGGTACAGGCCACGGGCGCTATTGTGCTCAGGCTGGGCCACGCTTCGGTGCTACTGATCGATGCCTGGTGCGACCGCTGACGTTCGTCACAGAGCAGTTTCCGATTTGGCGCGAAGTTGGACATCCCTGCTTCTGTGCCCGTGATTGAGGAGATGACTGATGAGAAGAAGCCACTGCCTGTCCGGCTGAACTTGGGCGTCGGAAACGTTGTCAATGACATTCTTCTGGAACTGCCAGTGGTGGTCGCACGCCGTAGAGTAATCATCGCCGGACTAGGCAGCAGATTTGTGCCCAGCAAGTCACCCTCTTCTTCTCTTGGAATGAGGGGAAGAATCGGTGTAAGGCCCCGGGTCGATGCAGCTTTGTTTGGTATAGTCCACCTTCTAGGGCGCTGTTGCGTATTGACGCTGTAGAGTAACTCGATGCTGCCATGAGTAAATCGAGGCTGCAGTAAAGGCAAAGATATTGATTTCCGCAAAGTTGCCTTCCGGTAGCTCTTCTTTGCTTTCTTTCGCCGTCGAGAACTTTCATTGACATCTTGCTCGCTAACATGGAAACTACGCGGTAAGAGTTTTGGAGTGATACCGTGTCGATGGTTCTTCTTCCTTTTCATGCTCAGACTAATTTGGTCATCCTCCTTCGGAGTGAATGGGATATCATTTAGCGAGTAATCCGATACTGGTGGGGTAAGATGTGGTTCGCGTGGTAGAAGACACTCTGTACTTGAAGTTGGACTTGCAGGACCGAAGGATATCGTCATTCCGAGGTGACTCTGGTCGGATAGTAATACTAAAGATAAAAGGCAATGTCTGCTCGACTATGCTGTCGGCTGAAAGTACTTTTAGGGGACGTAGATGAAGTTGAGCGTTGGTGTAGACAATGACGTTAATGAAGCGACAAGCGACGCAATAATGAAACATGTCGGCCTCGTCCTTCCTGCCGCAATGAGATATTGGACGAATTTCTGCCGAAATCAGAGAGCAGTGATGGATCGGAAGGGGCGGTCCATAATTTTAGCGTGCAGATCGAGAACAGTTCCTTCCTGAGCACGCTCAAAATCGCATCTGCTAGTGTTGATGAAATAAAGCCAGCCAACAGATGGGCAGATCATGAAAGGGATAACAATTTCAACCTAATCTTCGACTTTCGAAAGCTGGGGTGGACTGAAACTTGAGTCCGACTTGCTTCTTCGGCCAGTCCAGTACAGTGTCCCAGGTGGAATCGAGAACATTGACAAGGTCAGCAACAAGAATGTATGGCCATCCAGTCGCCCACCAGTGATGATCCATACATCTAAGAATGGCGGCCCAATAGGCAAAAATAGCCAGTGCCATCGGTTGGCCTTGCATCAGGCAATTGATAAAGGCTGGTGGCGCCATGATTATCCAAGAGAATATATGTCCATCCCACTCGACCACAGTTCGACATCTGGAAATGTCACGCAGTGCTTGCAGTTGCGTGAGATATAGCTCCCTCAGAATCTGACCCTCGTCGCCAACGGGTAGCCGTTGTGAGTCTTCGACGGCTCTCTGAAGCGTGTCAAATGCTTCAAGGACATCAGGAGAATGCTGCGGAAGCTCCTCATTACGGGGATAGCGCAAGAGTTCTTCGATGTTGCCTTGAAGCCATTTGTCTGTTTCTTTTATCACGGCATAGACGCCTCTAACGATCATGACAATTTCAATGAACTGGGCCGTCGGTGTGTGTGGTGCGCAGAAGATACCCGGAGGGGAGTCACCATGCGACAGCTCGAGCCTGACATTGTTGAGGCCTTCTGGTAGTCTTCGAGAGGCAAATGCCCAAACGGTTAGAAAAAGAGACAACGCGAAGAGTGCAATGCCATTCTCTTCAGAAGGCTTGCTGACTGCTGGTATGAACCTCGCGAGCGCAAGGTCCTGATAGGCAAGAGCCACTTTGGAGTATTCAGCATAAGCTTCTGACGACTTTGGTAAGAGAGTAGCCTTGTGCAATGCCGAAGTAGCTATTATGCTTTGTAGGACGAAGTCATGTCGCAAAGCTTCGGCGAAGATGGTATCTCGCCAAACGACATGACTGGCGAATCGCGACGACATGGTCATGTAAGTCTTGGTCGACCAATGGTGGATCAACTCCAGATCGAGTAAATTGAAGGCTTTGGTGCCATTCGAAGTCGGCAGCTCGCTGCTTGGAAGTGGCATCGGCGCTGGCATGAACTTTAAAGCCGAAGCCGAACTCGAAATGGTGGGGCCAGCAAGACGTTGAGGGTCAGCCGACGTGGGCGTACTCGTCAATTGATAGTCCATGCTCTTCGGTGTGGAAATATCCAAGGTTGAATGGGCCATGGGCGTCGAGGCGCCGTCGGAACCATCCTCGATAAACGAGCAGACAATGTGTCTTTTGACACATCGTTGACATTGTGGACTGCTTTCGTCACACTAGAGTCGAGACGCGAATTGGGTAAGCCAAATGGGACACCAAGTCTGATGAGATCCTTGAAGATAGAAGGCTGAGGGATGGGAACAACAAAGTCGCCAGTGGTTAGAGAGGTGAGATGGGGGAGGATGACCGACCTTGACTCTCCTCGCCTTGCATTGCCTACAGCCGTGATGCGACTTGGTATGGGATCGGCGGGACGGCATTTGGGCCCTTCAGCGTTCAGTGCGGTGCTGCCCACTGCGGTTATCCGGGCATGATGTGGTTGAGGGAAAACAAGAAGATGGAACGATAATGGCAGGTTCTTGGCAGCCTGGTTATTGAATGATGGTGATGATACAATAATAAATCTTCTCAGTCACAGGGCTCAGGATCAGGCTTACAGACAGTCAAGGCACACTGGGTGGGTGCAGGTGTTGGAATGTCCGTCTCATCGTCCGACGCGAACCGCCACAAAACACGACATTCAGTTCGAATTGCGGATTGCGCCAGTCGACGTTTGTCTTGGCAGCTGGAGTCCCCCTCGTATTCGGCTTCGGACGGGATTGCAGCAGCCTTGTTGAAACTTGAAACGCGATTCTATTCATGACCCTCACGTGGATCAGGACCTCGTTTGCTTGAAAATTCATGGATTGTTTCGGGTTCCTTTAATGCATAAATATCCTCTTCGTACAGCAGTACTGTCTATAATCTTCTAGTGGCAAAATGCCTAACGTGATTGAATAACATGAACTCCAAGGCTGGCACAAATATATCTAATCACTCTCAAAGAGCAGAAACCACTGCTTGTCCGAGGAAAAGCAAGCGAAAAATGCTGCACCAACTTCACAAATCTCGTGAGACGGTGTGATTAATCAAGCAATTTGTAGAAACCCTCGTTCATTTTTCGGACTCGACCTGCCTCTCCAAGGTCGATGCCGAGTTGTCCTCCTCGGACTGTGAATTCGTGTCTTTTGAGCGATCCAGCCTGTCGTTGAAGAAGCCTGGCTTGCAGAAAATCCCAGGATGGACTACTGTCATGGCTATGCAAGCGATTGCAACCATCCTATTTTTGAAAGAGTCAGTGTGACGAAATGGGCGCCCAGGAGACGAATACACATACATGCCGTCCAGCAGGAGGAACTCCTTCTCGTTTCGCATCAGTGGATTTCCCCATCCGCCAGCCATCTCTGGTATTCTGATCACATGTTGTTAGACAGTCTGTGGAAAAATAAGGTGGCAAAGGGAAATTTACCTGTATATGCATCGAATGAGGATGGTCGTGTAGGCGAGAGCAATGGCCGCGCAGAAGATCCTGAAATTCCGTGCGATCTTATGTGACGATTGGTCTTTCTCGTATTCACTTTCCACCTGGGAAGTGACACCACTCTTCTTGGCCTTCTTGAAGCGGATAAAGTAATCCAGCATGAGCAGGCCACAGACCGCCATAGTCGCAACCTGAAAAGCGATACCTGCCACGATCAAGCCATTCCCAACCTTGAGCAACTTGGGGTTGCTGACATTGTCACCCGCAGCCGCGGCTGTACCTCCACCGATGGCCTGCAGGATGATTGACCCAAAGTCGCATCCGATGAAAATCCAGGGATAGAGTCTGGGCTTGAGCCTGGAGTGTTCGGGACCGCAATAGCGTACGATGTGCTTGAGAGTCACGTAGACACCGGCGGCGAGGAAACTGGGTGCCAGCACCAAGCAGCAAATCTGAGTCTTGAACCCAGCACCGCTCCACGGGTTGTCGTGCATGATGATCCGGCCCCCGTAACCGACGGCCTCTCCAAAACAGCCAACGAGAAGAACAGCCATATACGTCCATGTTCGTTTCCGAATTCCTAGATATAGAGTCGCGAGAAAGCAGATGCCGAAGATGGCCACGAAGAGTGAGTTGGTGCCGAGGTTAGGATAGTATCCGTACGTGGTGAGTTCGACAGGACATCTTGCGGAAATTTCGGTACATAGGCGGCGCTGGGACCGCGTGGAGTTCGACATGGCTGTTGTCAGGTACAAGGGGGCCTGCCGGGTGTGGGAGAGGAGGGTGTATGAAGGAAAGAAGAGAAACAGAGAAAAGACGATACAAGAGGACACTTTCTTTCGAGGCCGGGAAGTCAGACCGATGATAGAATCGGGATACCGGGAGAGTAGAGTATAGATATTACATTACACCCTGACCCTAATAGCAAAATTCAATATGAAAACCCACCCGACAGATGGGCGCCTTGGGGCCCCAAGCGGTTACATCAAGACTTGTCGCCGCTCCAGGCGTGGCAAGAGAACATGGGAGACGCCCGTTTCGCATGTTTTGGCTTGACTCTCAGAGGTTGAAATTGGCTTGGAATTCAGACTCTGGGGGCCTTGGTGGGCACGAACGTGCAAGGGAGGGTGGACCGACTGCACCAATGGAAGGGGCCCAGGTGTGAATGAATGATACCCAAACAGTTAGTAAAATCGAGTTCAGGCGGTAGAATGATTGACTCTTGTGGCGAAGCCAGCATGTGTGGAGCTCGCGTAGAAAAAAGAGTTGGGTTTGATAATACGGATTACTCGAAGCGAAGGGCAGTCCGCGTGCCCGTGCATCAATCGATCTTCTTGGTGTGGAAAGATGGTGGACCTTTTACGAGTTCTTGGTGCGTGTACGAAGCAGCTAATTCTCAAGGGAGTCAAGTGTACGATCCCGGATCGTTCTTCTTCCGATGGCTGCCAACTTGCGGGTGCATCTACCGGGAGAGACGGCCGAGTGACATATTGGACTCGGTACGGAGATTCAACGGCGTCGCTTGTAATTGGAACGCTCAGATCGAGTAGTGAGATAGATTGGATCTTGCGAGTGGCGATTACTACGCACCTCGGGAAGCAACTGCATTTTGCATAAATATATCGGTGCTCCTAGTAGAGACATGCATATCGTTCAATACTAGATAAGTATTTCTCTCAGCCGGGTCCTCCATTTTGAAATCATCATATTATGTCTCATCAAGCGGCGTCTCTCCGGGACACGTTGTTGCTTTTGATCTTCGTCCTCGTATTTACAGGGCATTGCAACCTGACCACGTCGGCATTCATTCCACGAGCACCTGCCCGAGCGGTTCCCGTTCATAGCTTGGTCGTGAAAACATAGCCGTTTCCTTTCTCGAGACATCTCTTCCAAGCAGGCCGCTCGTTGACTCTATTATACCACTTCTCCAGCTTGGGGTATGCCTTGATGTCAATAAATTTGTTTTGGATGCACATGTCCATTGGCCACTTCATTATGAAATCCACGCGGCCCGGATTTGCTCCGAGGAAATAGTCCTGATCCCCGAGTTGATCATTTATATACTGACTGTACAGTTTCAGTTCGGGCCCGGTGTATGCCTTCTCTAATTGCCCTATCATCAAAGAAATCAACGGCCTCACAAAGAAGGGTGATGCGTTTGTCATGAGGCGCATGATGAGTTCGAGATTCATCACAGGGCCGAGGGATGCGGCTGCGAGGTTGCACAGCTGGTCATCCCTCAAAGCATCGTTGCGCTGCCCGTCTCCTTTGAATTTGCCCTCGGTATCATAGGTATCAATCAAATATTTTGCAATGACAAGGGTTTCCACGATCACCCGACCATCACCCGTCTCCAACTGGGGTGCCTTCCCGAGAGGATGGGTGTGTTGCAAGGCTTCAGGCGCGCGGCCTTTGAGAGGACCCGACTCAGGCCTTTTGTGAAGTATGAGGTTATAGGGAATTTCCAGTTCTTCCAGAAGCCACAGAATGCGCTGAGATTGGGAGTTCTGGACCACACTTTGATTCAGTACCAGGGCTTAGGACTCGGACCAGGAGAATACTCACATTTAGATGATGAAGTGTGGGCTTGAGGCCTGCCATGGTCAGCGTCTGCGGTAGTTGATAGTTGTCTGGTATCCAGGAGCGATAAAGATCATGTAGCACGGAAGAGGGTTTTATTCGACTGGTAGTAGGAAACTCGCCGGCATGAAGGAACTGGCGTAGCCTGAACTTAGGGTCTGAAAGAGTATGTGCAATTGCGGCAGACCGAGATCAGGCGGCCGATCATCAATCAAGAGGTCTTTCAACATCTTCCAAGACATTTCCAGAAAACAGGTGGGATTTGCGCATGTAACGAGTCATGAGTGAGAAGCCGCGGACTGAAAGGTAGAGCCGCCCATGACTGCAGTCTTTGGTGGGCATCCAAAAAGGCCCGGGACTTGACACGTCAATCTCGTGTAAAGTGGTGAGATGACCGTCAAGATGTGGTCAGACAGAACGAATATCCCCTTTTGGGTAGTATCCACGTTGTCCACGCAGGGGAACTGGAAATGATGGAGATGCCAGGTGGATGGAATTGGACACCAACACCAACACCACCAAAATAATTCCAGTCAAACACCAACAACAACCACCATTGTTGTCCACGACCTCGACGAACTTTCGACGCTACACACGATACCCGATGAATTCATGACATGGACTGTGACCTGTCCCCTCTCATTTGTCCTGTTCATTTCTCAATCCTCCCTTGATCAGGTTGCATGCGCACACTTTCCCGCTCCCCGATCCTCAATATAACCCACCACCACCACCACCACCACCACCACCACTTCTTACAACATGCGTCTTGATGTCAAGAGACAGCTCTTTGCTCGTGGGAACCCATTTCCAAGTCCACAAAGCTACACAGGGCTAACTTCTTCTAGGCTCCGAGCGAGTAAAGGGCATTGATTTCCACAGGTATATCTCTCTCCTCCCACCTTGGCTCATTCCCCGGACTGACAATTCAATAGTACAGAACCATGGGTAATCACACTTCGAATACCCAACCAGTACCCTCAGTGCTAATCCCCAAAGATCCTCACAACCCTGTACAATGGCCATGCTCATATATGGTCCTACGAGACCCAGTCAATAATCAAGACCTTTGAGCTTACCGATGTTCCCGTCCGAGCCGGTCGCTTCATTGAGAGAAAGAATTGGATAGTCTGTGGCAGTGACGATTTCCAATTAAGAGTCGTCAATTGGAACACCAGTGAGAAAGTCAAATCCTTCGAAGCGTGAGTGGTTGCGACGAGCAGAGATTTGGTTCATCGAGGCTGACCTCTTCCACCAGACATCCTGATTACATCCGGGCCATTGTCGTCCACCCCACACTCAGCGTTGTCTTGACCGCCTCAGATGACATGACGATTCGCATGTTCGATTGGGACAAGGAATGGAAATGTGTTCGAGAATTCGTCGGTCATCAGCACTATGTCATGGGCCTCTCCATCAACCCCAAGGACACCAATGTTTTCGCATCGGCTTGTCTGGATCGGACCATCAAGATCTGGAGCATCGATAACCCCACAGCAAAGCAGACGATCGAGGCTCACGAGAAAGGAGTCAATCATATTGATTATTATCCTCACAGTGACAAGCCATATCTCCTCAGTACCTCCGACGACAAAACAGTCAAGGTCTGGGATTACACGACTAAAGCCCTCATTGCCACCCTAGAAGGACACACCAGCAACGTCAGTTTTGCATGTTACCACCCAGAACTCCCGGTCATCATATCCGGCTCAGAAGACGGAACCATCAAGATCTGGCACGCCAATACCTATCGACTGGAACAATCCCTCAGCTATGGTCTGGAAAGAGCATGGTGTGTCTCTTACCAGCGAGGCAAACAGGGTGTCGCTATGGGTTTTGACGACGGCGCTGTGGTGGTCAAGATGGGTAGAGAAGAACCCGCTGTTTCGATGGATGGAACCGGTAAATTAGTCTGGGCTCGTCACAATGAAGTGGTTTCCGCCATCGTCAGGGGTGGAGATGCATCCATCAAGGATGGCGCGCCCATTGGCCTTCCCAGTAAAGACATGGGAACCACTGAGATGTATGTATCTTCTTCGTCATCATTCCCAACCGTACAATCTGACGTTTCAATAGCTATCCAACAACACTATCACACTCTCCCAACGGTCGATTCATCAGTGTCTGCGGAGACGGTGAATTCATCATTGTAAGATATCGCCCTCGAATGTCAATCGCGACCAATTTCTAATATTGACCAGTATACGGCTCTCGCATGGAGAAATCAAGCTTTCGGCTCAGCACTTGATTTTGCATGGTATTGATTCCATCCCTCCAATTAATGCCCCATGCTGACCAATTCCTAGGGGGTCCCACCAGAACCCTACTGACTACGCAATTCGAGAGTCCGGCACCAGCGTCAAGTTGTTCAAGAAGCTGAAAGAGAGCGGCAGTCTTGACGTCGGCTTTCAAGCAGAAGGTCTCTCGGGTGGTGTACTGCTTGGTGTGAAAGGTCAAGGAGGCATCGGCTTTTTCGACTGGGAAAGTGGAAGCCTCGTTCGAAGAATCGAGGTTGAGCCCAGAGAGGTAAGTCCTCTTTTCACATCTGTTGTTCCCTGGAGTTAACGGCCCTCAGGTATATTGGAGTGAATCTGGCGAGCTAGTCGCCCTGGCCTGTGCAGATGCAACCTATGTCCTTCGATTCGACCGTGAGGCCTATCTCGACGGCATCAATTCCGGACAGGCTGATGAAGATGGTGTCGAGGCCGCATTCGCCGTGGTGACAGATCTACAAGAATCGGTCAAAAGCGGAGAATGGGTTGGTGATGCCTTCCTTTTCACAACGAACGCGCGTCTCAGCTATCTTCTTGGTGAACAAGTGGTACACATCGCCCAATTCGATCAACCTATGTACCTGTTACGGTATCTGCAGAGAGATGAACGAGTCTACCTTGCCGATAAAGACGTGGGAGTGGTCAGCTACAGCCTATCAACCGCCTTACTCTCGTACCAGACGTTAGTACTGAGAAACGATCTTGATGCAGCTCAAGAATTACTTGAGGACATCCCTGCAGACCAGTTGAATAAGATTGCACGATTCTTGGAAGCCCAGGGTCACAAGGAGTTGGCTCTTGATGTCGCAACAGACCCAGAACATCGCTTCGAGCTTGCCTTGGGTTTGAACAACCTCGCAGTGGCCCTGGAGATTGCTCGTGAATCGGACATTCAAGCCAAGTGGTCAGCGGTGGCAGATAAAGCTCTCGAGGCTTGGGATCTGAAACTCGCAGAAGAATGCTTTCTCAGAGCTAAGGACCTGGGAAGTCTATTGCTTCTGTACACCAGTTCAGGAAACAGCGAAGGATTGCTCGAGTTGGCCAAACAAGCCGAAGAGACAGGCAGCAACAATGTTGCATTTGCCAGTCTATGGTCCACTGGTGATATTCCGGCAGCGCTCGAACTTCTCAGGCGAACTGGCAGACTCAGTGAAGCCGTCCTGTTCAGTCAAACGTACAAACCCTCCAGTACACCAGGACTGGTTGTGGATTGGAAGGACAACTTGGACAAACAAGGCAAGAGCAAGGTCAGTCGCCTGCTCGGTGTTCCAGGCCAGGACGAAGAATTGTTTCCAGAGTGGGACGAGTATATCAAACTTGAAGAGCAAGGCGGAGCCGCCGATTTGGTAGATGTCAACGGCACAGATGAACCGGCCACAAATGGCACAACCGCTGACGGCGATGATACCGTTGAGGACGAGGACGATGATGATGAGAAGACTCCAGCTGAGACCGCTGCCTAAGCCATACTACTTAGGTCCATATTTCTGTAGCCTGACAAGCGACAGCGTTGATACGATCTCACAAAGGTGGAAACTTGTACGTGTCGAACTGAAGCGGTTCTAAAATTATGGCTAGCTATACCGCGAGGCGTTTGATACCAGTAGCACAATGACTGTTACTAAAAATACTAGTATATCCATCCACCACTGATGAGCCCGTTTTGTCGCCCATCTTCTGTTGCCTTGATCTCCTGAATTATCTCAAGTGACCACCAGCTCTCGATAACCCATGATATTCAGCCATCTTGGTTCCTGTCTCGTTGCTCGCGATACTCTTCCTGCATATCTAGTCATGCCGTATACTGTAAGAGAGACCCCGAGCCACCTCTGGACTCTTAAGGTGACAGAAAGTCGAAGCGGCATCCAACCGGCCACCTGTTGGTCCCCTTCCTTCCTTCTTCATCAGCCGGGTTTCTCTGACGTGTCGCGGTTGCTCTGTGTAACATGCAGTGCGGTCCAGAGATGACACAGGCGGAATAATGTAGTTCCTTAATCGAATGGCCATTGCCGCGATACTTGGGGGTCAAGTCATGTTTGCTCCTTCCATTACAATTGCGCGAGATATTCTACCTTGTTCTTGCTTCCGTTTTTCAGGAGACACATGATCTGCGATGGTTGATATCCGGCCAACTCAGCAATCGTCCTCGGAGGCTTAACTGCTCCACTTCGGTTATCAAAGAGTGCTGTTATGGATCGGGTTGTGTTTTACCACCACTTAGCTGATGGAGTCTGGGTCAGACATCTCATCAGTCCTTCGTCGTTGTACGGACGTTGCCCTTCACCCCAGCAATATGCATGACTTGATGCCAGTGATCGACTCTTCCTTCAAGAGACTTTGGGACGATGAAGTATAGCTTTTCGGGTTCAGTCAGTCCTTTGAATTCATGATCGCCGAGTAGGCGAAGCTGAAATGCTTGATGCGTCAATCTCAATTGATCCCTGTTTGAACTCAAAAGGTCCAGATTAAGCTCGGTTCTGGGCTTTTGATCGACTCCAGTTCGCTCGGAGTCCTCGAGGATTTCCTTAGGCTCTTCCTGATTATCGACCTCGACTGTAGATTCAAGCTCACACTGGAGCTGGAGTAAGAAGTCCTCCGATACCACCACCTGTCCACCTTCAGTGACCTCGATAAACCTCGCGGCACGATTCACCATTGGACCAAGGTAGTCCATCCGATGTATGACCTCGTTCCAATTACAGACCGGCCTGCCCCAATGCGCAGACATTCGCAGTTTCAAACCTCGAAATAAAACGTGGCCATCCGCATCGGTCGTTTCCCTCCCCGGATTCGATTTCAATATGGCTGTGGGCCAACTCTCGTCCAGAAGCCTTTCTTGTACGTCTAGACAGAACTGCACAGCAGATGTGGCACTGGGAAATGCGATCATGAATCCATCGCCGTTCTGCTTGACCTCGTAACCAGAATTGGATGCGATGAGCTCTCGGACCATGTTATCGTGGGTTTGCATGGCTGCGACCATCGCTGATGGGTTTGCTTCCCATATTGCGGTCGATTTGACTATGTCTGTGAATACAATGCTCAGGGCACCATCCGGAGGAGTAATAGGGTCATCTGAAAGCACCTCTTCCTTGGCCCCAGTTGATATCGAGGACTGCTTCTGTATGTCAGCTCCTGAGCTCACATCCAGATTTGCGGAAGTCGCAGTCTCGTCATCTCTAGCCATGCTCCTGCTTTCTTCGCGCACAGGAGACACGGTCGACAACTTGCGGACAACCTCAATGTTGGAAATCGTCGAAGAATGCGATTTGAGGAGAATACATGATCTGGCGACGAGTTTGTCCTGCCTGTGTTCACTCGCTGCCCGATTCTGCTGCACTCGAACCGATGATGGAGGCAGGAAAACCCTGCCACCAAATGTAGACGATACCGATAGAGTTCTCACTGGTTCGGTTGTTGGCCCCGTGGTTGTGTTCAAGACGTCAGCTCGACCTCGGACCCGAACGCGTACTCCAGAGACCCTCCGAATCCATATTCCAGGCATTCGAAACCGGGTACCTCCAGAGGCTGACTGGACGAGATGAATCTATTATTGTCGAAGATCAATATGACCGCACGATCTGGTCCCTAGGCAGATGTCTATCGTTGCCAAATGAGGGAATCGAAGCTTAAAATGCCCGTTGGAAACTTAACGTAATTATGGTGGAGGTTGGAGTTCGAGATCTCAGGCAACGTTCAGCCTGCAGTTAAGCTGCAGCTTCGATCCAAGATAGCCGACGCGATCGGTGCCAGAAGGTCCGGGATCACGATCTCCGCACCCTTAAACTCGAATCACTAGTCGAGTCTCGACCGTTCGAGTATTCGGATTGTATTTCTGAGCTGAGTTGAGGACCGCAATCTTGTTTGTAATGATTCGCGGCAGGATTCTGCTCGACTCACGAGCACATACGTGGTCAGAGCTAGCTGACTTACTAATATTAACGTCAGCCAGCTGTCAAGTTTCCCTCCCTCCTTGACCATTCCGAGTCCACCGGTAGTAGGCAATAGGTCGATCAAGCCTCATACTGCAACTTCCATGTACATTTGCACCCTAATCCTCCCATGGATGGAGTGAGGTCGTTGAGAACATGATAATACAACATATATACATACATACAGACCTTACAGCCCGCCGACGATGAGTATGTCACTCATGCATGATACACCTCCCGGAGCCTTATGAATTACCTACCTATATATATATATACCTATCTACCTACCTACCTATGTAGCTGTAGCTAAGTCCAGGTTTGCTACCGGAGGTATCTATCTATCTATTCGCATGCCCACCATGGCACCCAACCAATGACTCGTAGTTGAATGTTCGTCCGATGCTGCCTGGGTATGGACTGTACACACAACCTAGGTGGGTCATGCAGAGTGTGAGTTGACCAGTAACTAAGTAAGTGGGTGCTGGTGCTGGTGCTTCTAGTCAACTAGCCTAGAATACGACCAAAAGGAACTGAACTGGACTGGAGAGACGTTGTAAATGAGATGTGCTGTGGAAGTCATTGTCCTGGATTTAGAATCTAGAGCTATCTAAGGTAAGGTAGGAGGTAGACCTGCTCCAGGCCTTTGAAGCCCCATCATTCGATCACATCAAATGGGATGGAGCGTAAGGCCTGAGGTCGAACGAAGGAAGCCGAGAGACCGAACACGGCTGTATTTCGTCCTGTTCTCCCGGACGCGCGCCTGAACGCATGGAATGACTCCGATCCCATTCCTGACACGACCCGACTCGACCCGTAGCTCTCAGCAGCAGCATTGTCCACAATGGTCGTGAGATGTTGGCAAACCCATACATACCTCTTTTTTCTGTTGGCGAAGCTATCATTCATTCATTTTCATTCTCGCCTCCGTCCATTGTGTCTTCTGTCCTGCGACCAATGAGAATGGTCGTCTACCACACCACGCTGGAGAACCGTTTTTGGCTCCGGCTTTCACTCTGCAGCAATGTCATCACGAATGGCTCGTCGTACTTCGGTCGGTCGAGGTTTTATTGATTCCAGGGCATGTGGTGACCAGTCGGCAGCTGGAGAAGAGGTGTGGAAACCAAGTGGCCTGAAAAGAGGCTGACTTCCTCTCGTGGCTTGTCCGTTGCAGATCCGTCTTTTTTCAAGACAGTGCATGAATCAGCATATCAAGGTCTTAGCATGTCTCGAATCTCTTGCATGTAGTTTCCAACCGTCCAAGAGTCTTACTTTCTCGCTCGTCACAATGGAGGCCATTTTGGGCACGAATCCTGCCCAACAAAGCAAGAAAAATACCTGAGAGAGTTTCAGCAAAGCGCGGCTCGAGACCACTATCTCTCCAGTCTTCGAAATCGTGTTAGAGTAATGTCAGATGTAGCTGATGGCAGTGTTTTGGAAGGAGTGAACCAGTGACCATACAAACTTCCGGTCCTTGATTGGTAGGGCAGGGCCGAGACTGTTGTCGTTCTCGGGTTCCTCGATTTGCACGGCTTGATGATCGCCTGGGAGCCACTTCATCAGGCGCAAATCTCCACGGCCTCCTGGAGATTCGTGCATTCCAGTAGTCGAAAGGCAGGTGGTATCCATGTTGGATATATTCGCCAAAATGTTTTCCTGCTTCTCACGTATCTGCACGCTTTGCAGGAGGCGCAACCCAAGGGTGTACAGCTTGAAACGGTTTGCAATCGTAAGTGTTCATATCTCGAGATGTGAACGAGGATCATCTCCGCCATTCACCGCGTCCTTTCATGTGAGACTCAATCGCACGCCAGACTTCCTCCACAGTCTCTCGATCTCGCCATCGTTTTGAAGCACGTTGCGCCTGATCCACACCAGCACCATGACCTTTTTCATCCCACCGTTCGACAGAATATGATTTGACACTACTACCCCATCCTTTAACTTCCGAGGGTATCGGTAGGCCTTTCTCACCCACGAAGATGCCCAAAACATGACCAAAGAGTTCCTGTGGTTCCCGCCACTTGTAGCCTCGGAATTGCCATATCTGACCTGTAGTAAATACGGCCACGACACGAGACCAGTAGTCTGGTTTGAATTGATCTGGAGAATCGACCAGGATGAATCTGTATGGCTTCTCACTCAAGGAGTGGAGTGTTCGAGTGATGTGCAGAAGATTGGCAGTGGTTTGTGTGGAAAGTGTTGGGTGGTCTGGAGGCACATAGAGACCGGTGTCTAGGAATGCTTTGATATTTGACATTCGTAGTAGTGAAGAAGCAGACGGTGAGAGAAGAATGATTGGGTCTGAACGCTTCGAAGAGACTGCACCAGCAATTGGTTTTGATAATCCAGCGGCAGGTCGTGCAGCAAGTTGAGAGGTCTTGGACGGCTGGCCCGGTCGCACATTAGGTGGCATTCCTTTGCGGCGGCCAAGGAAGGTTTCGGCGTGCTTGCGCACATGTGAAAAATCCTAAGACAAATTAGAAACGGCAACCCCAAATATAACGAAGGTCTGCTACTCACGGTTGGCTTTATTCCTCGCAAGGCGGTATTATGATCTCCCAACCTCCGCTCACCATTGTAGATTGCTTGTAGTCTTGCATCAATTGTCTTGACAGGTCTTCCTCCCACCATCTGAGTAACACCGACGCCAGCACCTCCGACAGTTGGGACAGCAGAACCGCCAGCAACGTCAGCTGCTCTGTTGGCAGCATCTCCTACCGCAGCCGCGCCCTCGATTGGTTTGATGTACTCTGAATCTTCCGAGGCACCCTCCAACCAGGTGATCAAATCCAGACGCTCGACGAAAATAAGATTCCTCACTTTTTGGCCCTCGGGAAGTTGTTTGTCCAGCTCGGCGGCAAGAGCGATGTATTCTGGAACCGCGACATCTTTCTGTAACCAGGCGAAGAAGATACTTCGCAGGTCAACCGGGACAGTGTCTGGATTTGTTGAGATAAAACGTGTCTTTTGGTCCAGTGGAAGACAGAGGGGAGTAGGATAGCTGAAGAAGAGGGAAGTTGCATCGACAAAAGAATCAGTTTTGGTTGTTTCGGCGGTGGTGGGATCGGAAGAAGTGGTCAGGACTGGTGGCTTTGAGGCTGCAATGCTTGCCCTCAGCAGTTGAAGCGCATCTGTGGAGGCCATTGTGGTGGATTGACTCAAGGGCGAGCAGTGATGGATGCGATCTTGCTATCTCATTTCCAAGTTGCAGTCGCAGGGAGATCGCAAGATTCTGCCGGTTGTAGGTGAAGCGAATCAGAACTCTCTGCGGTTGGTTATGTTCGTCTACGGAGTAGTTGTCAACTTGAAGTTTGTGGACACGAAGATGGATCGCAGGTTTTCGGGGAACGCGATACTTGGAGGAAAGATAATCCGGTGCCGAGGTTAGCCCCTGCCGCTGATGAGTTCCTTGCCTTGCCCCCCTTTGACTTCACTCTCTGCACCCTTCTTCGCTTCCATCAGCCTCAACCTCATTTCTCATGCACAGACCTGGAAATATGCAGCCTTTCGGTTAATCCGACATGTTACATTTCAATGCATTGCTGTCTACAACTCTGAGCAAACCCGGTCAGCGTGGCATTGCAGTGTCGGAAATGCAAATATTGCTTAATAAATTTGTTATCTCGCTTGTAGAATGCCCGCCTCGAAAGGTCATGTCTGGCCTCCTTTATCGGGCATATTGCTCAAACGGGATTTACGAAACCTGCACGGGCTGTACCGGGCGTTTGTGTTGTGATTGTAGAATCTGCTCGAAGCTGGGTCTGCATACTGATCGATTCAAGTTGTGGTTGTCGCAGCCCTTCGGGTATGGAGGTGCTATGTGTGATTTTCAGGGGGATATCAAAGGAATGTGTCGATACGAATTAAGAAGGCAGGTCGGCTGGGATTGACAACCAAGATGAGTGGGAAATGTTTAATCAACATTGTCAAGCTTCACGTATCAGAAACACACAGTCATATTGTGTGATATGTTCGAGATGATTTCATCTGCCGTGCCATCAAGTGTGCCGCTGGCTTAAACGACCACCCTGGCTAGGTGGCTCAGCCCAGCTTCAGCTCCTGCTGCGAATATGGTTTTTCTCTGCGCTCCAGGCATGCATTGTTGCCCTATGCCACCACCCTACCTTTCCTCCTGCCATCTAGCCCCCCAATCACCCGCAATATCCTCCTCTCCTTCACTTGGGTATCTTTCCAATGCAAATGCAAATGCAAAATGGTGATTGCGCCGCTAGTGATACCCACGAAAAATCCAACCCCTTGATCCAACCACGCTATGCAGGACTGTACATTATTGTACTTTGAAAAGAAATGTTGCAATGTACCACTAAACACGGGGCCAGCAGTCTTACTGACTGCACAATCGTCGCCTTGACGAACACAATTCCTTGGAGAAAATGCAGTTTGTTCATGTGGGAGTGAAGTGTAAAGCTTTGTGTTCCATGGCATCACCTTTGTTGATGATGTCCTTCGACATCATATAATCATGACATATGCACGTAGGTTGAGTAATATTTTGATTCTGGTTCATGAGATTTCCAGATTCATGAGAGCAAGCCGGCCTCCGAGACATGCAGCAGGATTTCAACCTCGAGCAGTATTGGACCGACTAACCGTTCGATCGGGAGCAGGTGACATGGCCCGGTTGGATCCGATGAGGTCGATCTCGTGGTCTCGAAGGATGCTGGCATGTCGTGGATCTCGGAGAAATTTGGGCACAGAGTCCTATCATAATGTTAATCCAGGTTATCCTAGGCAGTTAGGTGCATACGACTTACACTGGCCATGAGCTTGAACACCGCCGACTGAGCAAGCTCAAACAACTCCACCACATCCTCAAGACTTTCCCGCATTGCAGTATCATCTGTGTTGGTTCTAATCATGCGACTGTCAAGTCGATTCCGAAGAGAGTGATCGATATTCAACTCTGACGGAGCGCCGGACGCAAGAAAAGAATTGTAGAGACCTGTTTCAATTAGTTCTTTTCTGTGAGATGAATTTGAAAATGATAACGTACCATATGCAGCGGCTAGCGTCTCTCGAACAGCATCAGGGCGATCAAGTTTGCCACCTTGATCCAGTTGTCGATAAGTAGTTGTGAAGTCATGGACATCAAAATAGAATTGTAGATTCTCCTCGCACAAAGACTGTCTCAAAAATTCTCGGAACAGTAATCGGAGCGCTGCGTCTTGGAGGATCACATTCAGTCTGCTGACATTGGAATCTCGGACTAGACGGGACTTGTCTTTGGTGTCTCGGCTGTCCTCACTATCAACACTAGGTGGACGGGCGATCCACCCGCATACACGCTGTCCACGTTCAGTGATGGTATAAATGGCGTACTTGGTGGGTTGGAAGTATGTGGCCATGGGGTTCATTCGAACGTATGCGCGGTCTTCGACAATCGGCTGTATCAGTTGCCATTTGACAAACAATTCGCTGATCTCAAAAGTTTCTCTTCGATCAATTGTGGTACAACAATCCAGTAACCAGTCCGAGGCGGCTTTGCCCGTGAAAGTGTTGTTCACCGTCTTATCCAGCACACGTCGTTCCTTGGCCATTTTTACACCGACAAGACCGGTTGCATATTCCGAAACAGAGTCGGAATCGGACAGCGACGTTGAACTTTTCAGATTGGGTCCCTCAGCTCCCATAAATCGACGAAAGATGACCTCCACAATGGCTCGATCTTGTACAAGCTTGTCGGTCGAGGCGTCTCGTTCCAGTGCCACAACTTGCATGGGGCTCCGTTTCAACAAAGGCTCGATATGGCGGGCGTTGATACCATTTCGACCACAGAAACGTTGCAGGATTGCTATTCCTTTTGGTGTCAACTGCCATACGGCACCTTTGGTCACAAAAATGGTGTTGGATTTGGATTCGGCTGATTCAATCATTCGTGCATCGACAAATCTCTGGCACACCGACCGAGCCATTTCCTTGGCCATGGAGAAAGTAGTGGTGGTGGTGGTCACGACCCATCTCGAAGGGTTCTTTGGATCTGGTATGCGGTTGGACTGAGAAAACTTCAAAGATCCTAAATTAGTGATGGCCTCTTCTGATAGAAATGTCTCGTCAACCCGAGAAAACCGAACACGATGAGGAGTTAGTGGTAGGCTGGTGACGAGAGTTGAGAAGAGATCTTTAAAATCTCGGGTGAAGGGCCGCTCGTCATCGGTCATGCGTAATATTTTGGAAGAGGTTTGATGCATCCTCCCATTATTCCTTTCCTGGGTCGGCATTGGAGGAACGGTTGTGCTGAGACGAGGCTCTTGGGTCGGCAGCGGAACACCGCTCACTCTTCTCAATTGCGCCGCAGTCTGAAGGTCTGGCGGTGAAGTGGGTGTGCGAGTCAAGCCGGGTCGAGAAACACTAGTCGAGGAGTATTTGGACAGAGAACTAGAGGAGGTTGCCGAGCGCAGGCTCGGTGACGAGGCGGTACCTATAGAGGCCAAATTGGCAAAAGCGTTGGAGGTCTTTTCTCTCGCCAACGATGCCAAAGAACGTCGACTCTTGTTGGAGGTGAGACTGACAGAGCCTGTGTGATGGTGGTGAGGTGGTGTGCGAACGGCGGCTACGGCAGGTGTGTCGAAAGTTGGAGGAGTGCCTTGGACGGAATCGGACAAGGAAGTTTGAGCAGATAAGTGGTTATCTTGTGAAGTCATGGAGTCGTGAATAGTAGCATCGCTTGACTGGGACATGGGCGAAGGCAGAGCCTGGGAGAGTGAGCACGGTGTGTGGATAAAATCAATCACTCGAGACGTGGTAGGGTTCCGCTTCTCAGCAAAGGCATAGCAACTTTAGCAAGGACAGGCTTTTTAGGATTTGCAACAAAGAGATGAACTGTGGACGATAGTGGACGACGGAGGGTACAGAGATGCTTGTTCTGACTCTCTGGCAGCGGTGGACTGGCAGCAGAAACACGAACGGGCGCAACCCACAACCCACAATTGACGGAGAGCCGGGATTGTTCACCTTGAGACCACGAGGTGGTGGATCTTCTTAAGGCGCAGGCTAGGAGGGTTTAGCTGGCCCCGGTCAAGTGTGCTGGCAGGGGTGGCAATTGGCAAGGACCTGTCTTGAAGCGTGGTCAGGGTGGTCCAAAGTGGAACAGGTGCAAATTCGAGAAGAAGTTTGGTCCCTGCCGCTGAGGATTGCCTGCGAGGATGTTCACTTAGCGGGCTAAGCACCTCAGGCTCGGGCTTACACTCCTCCAGGGTAATTTTCGTTAGCTCCATACTAGACTGAGAGAGTGTTAGTGCCTATCCTGCTGTAATATCTCGTTTTGATACACTCAACGCGTCCAACGCGCCTATCCTACTTACCTAGTAATATCCATGATATACAGTAATGGATACTACGACACCAGCAACGACGACGACGACTACTACCACTAGTACTTGTAGTAGTACGACAACGACAACGACTACTACTACTACTACTACTACTTCTACTACTCCTTATATCCCTTCTACACCTCCTCGCAAGCGATTATCACGAGATCAACGTCGAGATATCCTACTCTTACGTCGTTTAGGCCATTCCTACGCTTCTATCGCTACTATTTTAGCTATATCGTAGCGTGCTGTACAGTATACTTGTTAAAAGCAGTAGAGTACTTCACAGCATCGAAATGTAGGACGTCCACTAAGACTCTCTCGTATAGAGGCAAATAAACTCGAAGAGTTTGTAACTAGTTTATAAACAACGCGTCGAATGATATATTTATAGATTGTAGAAGCTCTCTGGCCAGAAGGTGAAGTAGGCGAAGAGAGCGTACGCTATACACTTCACCAGCGAGGATACCGCCGTCGAATCGCCCTTCGAAAGCCTCCGTTATCTGAGCAAAATAAGGCGATTCGCCTTAAATGGGCGAAAGAACATATATCCTAGTCAGAAGAGCAATAGTATACTATTCTATGGTCTAATGAAACGTGGATAAAAGCTAGAAGATATCGCCGTACGCTAGTTACTCGTAAAATTGGCGAGGAGCTTTATTCTGACTGTACTATCGATCGTATACAGCGTCAATTAGGATGGATGTTTTAGGCTTATTTTGCTGGTAGTGAAAAAGGTCCTTGTCTCTTCTAGGAGAAGGAATGGGGTACTATTACAGCAAACTCCTATAGCGAGCGGATTATATCTCT